TTCCTGTGTCTCTTTCCTGTGTCTCTTTCCTGTGTCTCTTTCCTGTGTCTCTTCCCTGTGTCTCTTCTTGTTTCTATGTCTCTTTACTATTGTTCTTCTATTGTGCCTTTCGCTTTTTTTTCTCTGTCACCTCTCTCCCTATTTCTGTTTCATTGCCTACCTAGTTTTCCCTTCGTGCCCTTGACCTTCTTGCCCTTTTCCATCGTGTGTGCCCTTCCATCGTGTGTGCCCTTCCATCGTGTGTGCCCTTCCATCGTGTGTGCCCTTCCATCGTGTGTGCCCTTCCACCGTGCCCAGTGATCTCCTAGTACCCCTTCCCTTTTACTTCCCTTCCCCTTACTTGCCCCATGCTTTCTGTTCTTTATGTATTCAAGGCCACGAGGTCCAATTCCTCGTGCCCTTCATTCTTTTTCATGTGCTCGTGCGGCTTGTCCGCGCAGTACGAGAAGACAATCTGATCCCTTCAGTGGGTCTTCGTTCTTTCTTCTTAATAATGTATGTGCCATCGAGTCAGCTGTCACGTTGTTTACATATTTTGCCCTTCTCGAAACACTATGAATAGCCGACCACAACGACTCTCTGCGTTGCGTGAATGCTTCTACGCCTACTAGGCGAGTCACGCTGTGAGTATACTGATACTAGTATTGAGTGGTGTTGACACCACGTTTCCTGATCCGGACGGAAACTTTCAAGTTCCTAACCCAGATATCGAGGACTAGGCTGTAGTGTATATGCATGCTTGAAGTAGACTTCCAGGCAGAGAACACTTTGACAACCCATTGAAGACACTACTAGTAGTACTACCTTCTGTATCCTCCGAATACTAGAGCTGCGCCGTGGCTGCCCGTCAGCTGTGAAGAACCGCTTATAAGTCTATCATGAGCCATCCTGATAGTAAGGTATTCGTATGTAGCTAATGTAAGCATGCAACGTGGATTAAACTTGATGTCAGGATATCACGACCTATAACAAGTATTTGTTGATTCATATCGGCGGCTTGCTTCGAGTGAATCAAAACACATGTATGTTGGCCGAGTGCAATGCAGCAAATACTACTGCTATGTTAGTAGTGTTGAAGCAGGTGTTGTTGCCCAGATCTGCTTCAGTGAATGCCATGGTTGATTTATTCAACTAACATCTTAATATATGGCTTGATATGTGGCTCTCACCCACCAGACTCACTGACAGCAAGGGTCAGATATCATAACTGTTGGCTGCCTCTGAAGTAAAGAGCTGTCTACCACGAGTAGGTACGACGCAGGTTGATGTTGAACATAAACTCCCTTCCCAATGAGGAATTACCGGATGCGGATAGTACGCCTTCCCCAAAAATGTTTAGTCTTACACATCAACCCCGTCAGACACCCGGGGTAGACAAAAGTATTAGATGGAAGTATTGCTAGAAATGCTGAAGATAATCGCTGGTAGACAAAACATCACATGTCTGGTGGCACTCCAGGAACTACAATCCTACTGGTAGCGAGTGTGTCGGTTTGACACGACCTGGCTACACGCAAGTCGTTACATCGGTATGGGACTAGAGTTTTTATATTAGTTTCTTGTTACTACATAGGTCTCTCCACATCAGAAGGTCATTTTTCAAGGGAGCTTGAGCGGCTCCTCAAGTAGCTGACGTCTTCTATGCCTATGTAACTCAAGGGTAGCACGGCTTTTGTGCTGCAGTAAGCAGCATTAGGCTGGTGGCATGTACAAGGGAGAGGAAGATGATGCAGACGAAACAGTGGGAAATGAATCCTTGCACCACTTTCGGCAGGGATCAATTTCTACTCCGTGCGCGGGGACTATGTTGTCTCAAACCACGGAATAACGTCCGCCAGTCCTTTCTGATGTATCCGCAGCACTCATTGTTCCCTCTTTCAACAGGCGCATCAACTCTCTCATGGCGTCGTGCACCACAACTTCTGTATCGCCTTCGACCAGGATATACAGCTTCGCATTCTCGCCCGGTCCAGGCTCCTTGCCGGTGGCATAGAAAGAACCCTTTGTCGTGATTGACGTGCCAGTCGACTCGAGAATCTTTGCAACATTCGTCCGATTTGTGACAGCCCATCGAGCTCGCTCTATAATGTAGATTAGTAAGTAGATCAAACAAGAAGGGAGGATATGACTTACGAGGAAAGTCGTTGATTTCCAAAGTAGCATGGAAAGCACCAGCATCCGGACCCTTGTTGTCAATAGGCACACCAGAACGCATGACTCCGGCTTTGGAAAGTTTCTGATTGATACCAGCCACAGCGGCAGCGACTCGATCCATTTGATTCTTCGGGCCAGTGTCAGCAGGCTCGCTACGCTCCGTCCTGTGCACGATAATCTTCCCATCGAGATCGATACCCTTCGGGACGCCAGGGATGCTGCTTGAGGCGGGTGCATCGAGGGGCTTGATACTGGAAGCTGCTTTGGCAAAGATGTCGTCGCCAACTTTGACGTCTTTGCTGTCTTCTTTCTCTTCTTGCTCGTCCCCTTCATCACCTGTCTTGAAGGTCTTTCTTTCACGAGCTTTGGTAGCGTCGCGCTCGAGATCTAGTCGTTCAAGACCTTTACCACCAAACCCAGAAGCTCCAGCTTTTTCTTTGCCGGCTTTGACCTTTTCCATGAAAGAGTCAACAAGTTTCTGTACTGCTTCGGGAACCGGCTGGCTGCTTTGTCTCAAGGCCTTAGCAATGTCGACGGCATAGCGGTCTTGTTCCTCTGTCAAGAAGGTGACCGCAGTACCGGTATTCCCTGCTCTGCCTGTTCGGCCCGCGCGATGCACATAATCCTCCAAATGATTTGGCGCATCGTAGTTGACCACAAGCTTCAACTGCTTAACATCGAGACCACGCGCAGCGACGGATGTAGCGATAAGAATTGGTACAATACCAGCTTTGAAGTCATCGATGGTAGAATCTCGATCGATTTGATCCTTGCCGCCATGTATGGACATACATGGGTATCCCTTCTTCATGAGATCTCGAAGTAAACTGTCAGCAGACTCCTGTCGATCAACGAATATTAGAGCTCGGTCGTCTTCGTTCTTGTCCTCTTCGTACAGCTTGCCAAGAAGTTCAAGCAGTCGCATAAACTTCGTGCTGTCCTCACGAACCTCGACGACTTGGGTGATTTCCGGGGCGACCACACTGCGACCACCAACAACGATTTCGACGGGTTTTGCAAGGGTCTTCCTCGCGAGCGCTTCCATCGCTCGAGGAAAGGTAGCGGAAAACAATACCGTTTGCCGGTCTGGTCGAATATTGGACAGAATTTTCATAACTTGAGGTTCAAAACCCATATCGAACATTCTGTCAGCTTCGTCCAGAACAACGTAAGTCACCCGCCTCAGGTTAGTTACACGCCCACTGTTGGCGGCGAGTAAATCAATCATTCTGCCAGGTGTACAAACGACAATCTCCGCACCTCTTTTCAGATCCGCGATCTGATCTTTGATGGGCGCACCACCGTAGGCGCAGACCGCCCTAAGGCCCAGTGCCTTGAGAAAGGGTTTACATTCCTTGTGAATCTGGGTAGCAAGCTCTCTTGTCGGACTTAGAACAAGCCCAATTGGTCCGTCAAGCGTATCTAGAGGACGCTGATCCTTGATGTGGCGAAACATGGGCAACAGGAACGCAACAGTCTTGCCGGATCCGGTCTTCGCAACACCAATGACATCTCGACCAGACATGATAGCAGGAATAGCTTGGGCCTGGATGCTCGTCGGCGCATCATAGCCCAATTTCTGAATGACTTCGAGCACTTGAACACCAAGGCCACATTGAGCCCAATTCTGGACTGGCTTGGGAACGTCGACACCTCGGACCTTGATATTGTCAAGCTCCATCCGTAGATTTGCGATCTCTTCCTCAGTCCACCCAGCCGTATCCACAGGCTCGGAGTAAAAATTGCGTCTGAAAGGCTGATACTGCATCTTCGCATGGTTCACAACTGGGATGTCTTTCTTCTTCTTTTTCGCAGCGTTGGAGGCTAACGAGAGAATGTTGTCAGGATTTTCATCATCGACCGCCGTTATATCGATCTCATCATCGCCAAAGAGAGCTTCTGGCTCTTGCTGTCGAGACTTGGCCTTTGATTTTTGACCAAAGGATTTCTTGGGCTGGGTAGGTTCTAAGTCTTGCATGAACGCGTCTAGGGGGTCGACTTCCTCTACCTCCTCGTCCTGACCGTTGGTGACATCCACGGCAGAAGGTGCATCGGTCATGCTCGTATCTTCACCACGCTCGGCTTGACTTCGCTTCTCCGCAGCCTTACGAGCCGCAGCCAGGGCCTCTTCTGAGCCCTCGTCCTGCATATCGACATCATTGTCATTGTCATCTTCGTCTTCGACTCCATTAGTTTGTTCGTCGTCAAGGTCAGCTTTCTGTTCCAGAGCAATGTTCGGCAACTTCTCAAGCTTCTTCTTCGTCCCTTCATCATCTTCAAAGTCCAGTGCTCTTTTGGACACATCACTGTCGAGACCAGCCTTACTGCCGAGCCCAAACTTCCCCAGGTTACCCTTGGCTTTCAGGGGTTTGGCGACGGAGACACCATTTGCAGGTGTTTCCGGGGACGTCTGTGAAGAGTCCTTGGCTAATGCGTGGGCGTGGGTGAGAGCTGGTGCAGCAATGTCGGCTCCAAGAACTTTGCCTGCTGCAGATGTGTGCTGCGCTTTCTTCGCTATGGCCTTGGGATCGAACTTGCCTGTATATGGAGCGGGAGCTACGGACGGTGAAGCTGGCGTTGCCGGCGTCATCGGCGCTACTGGTGATTGAGGAGTACTGGTGGCGGGTGATATGCCTGCTCTTCTGTCAATCTCGTTCAGGATACTTCGTGCGCCACCTGCAGCCTCGAGCTCCTTCTGCTTCTTGGCTTGCTCTTCGGCTTGCTTCTTTTTCCATTGCTCGAGTTTTGCAAGTCGGGCAGCTTTCTGCTCGTCTGCATTCGGAGCAGTTGGTGTGGAGGGCTTGGAAGTCTGGAAATTGTCATGAGCTCTGCATCGAACACGTGGGAGATGCATCCTCACCTCTTTAGAGACGTTGTTCGCATCACGCTTTGTCTGGCGCTCTCGACTATCCTCCCGTTTTCGTTTCCGTGATTCGGTGGACTCGTCTCTCAGCCGCCGATCCTTGTCTCTTGAGTCATCTCCTCTAGGACGGGTATCTCGATCCCGGCTTCGCCGTCGCTCATCGCGATCTCTTGAACGTCTTCGGTCTCGCGATCTTTCTCGTCTAGAGTAGTGGTAGTCTTGGTCTCTCCGAGCATCGTAGCGTCGGTCTACCGAGCGATCTCTCCTTCGATACCCATCACCATCTCGATCGCGGGCTCGGTCCCGATCTCGGTCACGATCACGATGTCGGCGCTGGTACGCAAAGTCGTCAGCTGTATTCCCCGCAGGATAAGTGAGACGGAAACATACATCAGGACTCTTAGATCTAGAGTGCCTCCGACGATGGCCACGGTCATCGTCTCGTCGACTCTTCTCATATCGATCCTCCTCTCTTCGACTGCGTTTTGACGAGGAATATGAACTGCCTACAGGTGATGGTGAGCGAGTGTCCCCGTGCCTAGCCATCCTGTGGCTGCGGATAAGTGAGCTTTACTGCTAGAACCGCAACCAGGACCAGGCTCGAGATGGAAAACTTTCGACTCTGGCGATATGTTGAACAGTCAAGGTCAAACGTATTGATGAAGATGGTCCCGTGTTCCGCCTAATGTTACAAATCGATAAGTCGAGCAGCAGGCCCTTCGTGATATCGTTGATGTTCGTGTTTACTGTCTCGCAATCTTTTCAGGATCGAATTGACTGCGGGCGGGCGTCGCCGCCTTGTCGGAATTATATTGTTCCGGGTCCGGGCCAAATCAATGTGCCTCAAGCAAGAACCCCTGCATTTCCCAGTTGGTGCGCGTGTGGAAGTCGCATTCGCATTGACCAGCCCAGCCACCGAGGTGGTCTTCCAACAACTGATATCATCCACCAACCCAGATGCCCGCCCCCTTGCGTTTGATTATCCTTTTGTAGAACCGCGGTTCTTTCCCTGCAAGGTCGTCGTCATGGTCGTGCTTCCATATTCGCGAACTCTGGCCGCGCAGCTTGTGGCCAGGTCGACCAGATCGTTCACGCGACCCGCAACCCTCAACTCCCTATCACGCGTCGCTTGCGCTTGCGCGAACAAAGACGGACAAACAAAGTATCAAAGTGACTGGGTAGATCTTGGAGCATTCTATCAGCGTGCTAGATCATATGCAACCACTGCTACGAAGCCAGCAAGCCGTCCAAAGGCCCATACCGGACGCGCTGCCGCCAAGCGCACTACAACAACTAAGAAGGCCGCCTCAACCTCTGCAACGAAGAAGCCTGCGAAGCGGACGAAGAAGAAAACAGTCAAGAAGCCGAAGCCAAAGGTCAAGAAAGCACCAAGCAAGACAGCCCTAGCACAAAAGGCACGAAAGGCACAATCAGATCTGCGCGCCGCAGCCCTCTTCGAAGAGCCGAAACAACTACCATCTACTGCTTTCTCATTAATCCTCGTCGAAGAATCGCACAAGGCGGGAGATGTCAGGAGCCGGGCTGCTGCCGCGTCTGAGAGGTACAAGAGCTTGACTCCTGAGGAGCGCGAGGTAGGCTTTACTCTCTCCCAGATATGACGTTTATTGACCAATGGGTAGCGATACAACCATCAAGCGAACGACAATCGTCAGAAGAACACCGTTGCCTACAAACAATGGGTGCAAAGTCACACTCCGCTGGAGATCAAGCAAGCGAACAATGCTCGCCGGACGCTGATTCGCAAGGCCAAGGCCGAAGGGAAGAAGAAGAGGAATATGCCTATTCATGATGACCGAAGCGTGAAGGGCCATCGAAACGCCTATACTTTCTTCTTTGCGGACCGTCATGCCTCAGGTGACCTCAAGGGCATGTCAGTGGGAGAATCGGGCAGATTGGTAGGCAAGGAGTGGAAGGAACTCTCGGCCGCTGAGCGAAGAGTAAGTGTCAATTTCATGATCCATATCAAAGGCCCTGGCTAACCATGCGAATCAGTCATACGACAGCAAGGCCCAGGCCGACAAGAACCGATACGAGGAGGAACTCAAGTCCGTATATGGACTCGATCCTCCCAAGCCTCGCACGCGCAAAGCATCCTCATGAGCCGCTTTGTAGCACGTATCTCGCCGTCAAACGGCCTTTGGTGAGCGCCTGTAGTACATTGAAAGGGTTTATTGCGACCGACGTCATTCAGATCACGGTTCAGCCACAGCACAGGAAGGTGTCGCCATCGTAGAACATGACGGCGGCTCCATTCGGCCAGGCTGAACCAGGTCGCTCTGTTTCAGTTCATGCAGAGGCGGATGGCGCTTTCCTGGGTTGGACGATGCCGGAGCGAATACGGACTTGCAGTGGCGCATCTCAACTACTCGGATTTGGACAAAATTATTGTACAATATGCGAAAGTACAGGGGTGGTGCATTGTCAGGCGCTGGCCGGTGGCCTTCTGTTCGGACTCTGGTGGGTGCAATTAAGAGGTCAAGGTCAAGATTGACTTGGGGAACTCGGGTAACGATTTTGTTATGTCTTGTACAGATCCATATTCAATTGTGTTCTACAATGCCTTAAGGTTCCGTCCGACTTCCTGTACAATCGTAAATGAACATGTCGTGGTCGTTGTCGAACACCGACTTTGTATACAGAAGAGATTAGTTCCTCAGCGAAGCGCCAGTCCAGGCTCGGAGACACGCATAGGGAGACGGTGTCGGTACCTCCCCAGTTCCTGCCCGGTATTGTTTGACTGCTGCCGACCAGCATCGCAGAAGCGTGTCAAGCTTTTTCAAGCCTCCCGCGGCACTATCTGAACATTCACCTTGTCTGCCTGGATTCACGCCTTGTTCTCCTCCTGTGGCTTCTGCTCTTCCTCAAGCATGTTCCTTCTGCTCTCCATAGTAAACCACAAACTTCTGCTCGCACTTTCCAAGGTAGTAGTGATTCCAGCGCCGAAGCCTTGCAGCATAGCCACCAATTGAGCGCGCAAGCCGTCAATGCCACCGTCAATGGAACCAACCCATTTTGTGCCTTCGTTGTCAAACACCTGCCCGTCTATCCGCGCTCCGAGGAGGAGTAACTTCTTCACCCCGTCCTGGACCGGAGGATCGTAATAGGACGGTACTGCCCGTCTTGTGGGTGCGGGGAAGGTAGGCGCTTGCGGACTAAGTATCGAGAAAGCGGTCTTCAGGTGCTGCGGTGATACAGTAGGGAAGGTCAAAATGGCGACAGCGCCAGTCAGGACGGGGGCGAGATCGTGTTCACCCTCGTGTGCTTTAGCAGCTTTGTATGCGGCGACCGAGAGTGCGTGTGTCAGCGAGGGATCTTCCTTTTCTGATGATATCCCTGACAGACCCTCGAGCGTTTCAGGCGGGAGGTCGCCTGGCTTGAAGTACTCGGCGACTCGGAGCGCAGGCTCAAATATGTTCGTTTTGATGACCTGCAGCTTAACGTATTCTCCTATCAAGCTTTCTGAAGGCGCCCCTTGCGCAGCTAGTTGTTTGTCCAGTTTTCGAAGGGCTGTCGTTAATTCTCTCCTGATGCCGACCCATTCTGTGGCTTTCAGATTGCCGTGTTGGAAGATGACGATCAGAGGTGTAGTTTGAAGGAGGGAAACGTAGGATCGCAGGAGTTGAGACTTGCGGTAGGCGGGGTTTCTGTGTGAAGGAGGGGTTGCTGGCGTATACCGTGAGAGCGTCGGTATAGAGGAATGGATCTGCACGTCTGAGGGTGCTGGAGTCGTTGCTACTACTGTAGCATACTGGCATCGGCCACAAGTGTATGCGGCTCGCTCGAACCGGAGCTCTGCTAGTTGCGCTGAAGAGCGCAACCGTAATCTGGGTGGCATACCTCCTAGGAGAGACGTCAACAGACGCGATCAAGGTCGTTGCAAGGCCTCAAGTGTGGATAAATGGAGGTGCTGCTGTGGTTCCTCGAATTGAACTTTCTGCCGGAGAGTCAAACAAAATCGGCCCAGATCATGTGGCTGTTTTAGCACTACAATGACGCCGCTTTACAACTCACAGCCACAGCCTCGTCCAGCAAGCAGATGTCTTCGAACGGTACTACTCCTTAGGTAACGTTCCACTTTTCTTTAGAAGTCGATTTAACAATTCGATGCAATGCGATATATCTAACCAAGGGCAGCCGCGAACTCCTGCTTGAAATTCACAAGACGCTTTTCAAATTCCACGACCAACTCCGCGGTCCTTTTCGCCCCTCTCTCGCCTATGAAGCAATCATGACCCCCTTCAACCGTCGCTGAGAGTATTTCAGGCGCCGAATGAATAAGCCGTATTACCTCTCTCCCTTCTTCCGCATTCCTGTGGAGTGCCGCTCTCACGCTTGGCTTGATACCACCAAAAAGCTTGAACGTCAGCATGAATCCCCATGTGTATTTGTCCGCAACAGAATGTCTCAAATCAGCCGGGCTGTCGCAGGAGATGGAGCACACAAAAGGCAACTCTGCCAATGCCATCTCGTCGGCAACTTCGTAGCCTGTGTTTGCGTCCACAACGAACGCCTGCTCCTGGTGTGACCATTTGACTCCGTAGCAGCCAACACCTATCGGAAAGTTGCCCATGTACTCTCGAAGGTACACTTCTTCGGGTATGATGGGTTTGCCGCCATTGATGGCGCGTTGTTCTTGGAGTTGTATCAGGAAGTATCTGTCTGTGAGACCTAACCCAGTAGCGTACCCGGCCTCGCTCGGTGTCAATGGAGGCTTCTCCCTTACACCACGGATGGCAGGCGTAGCGACAATTGGCACGACGAAGTTGACGTCTATAGACAGTTCCCTAGCTGCTAGGACATAAGGCTGGATGATCTTGCCGCCCATGCTCCAGACCAGCAATATGACATTGTTTGTCAGATTCTCACGATCGATTATTTGTCTGGTGATTTCCACTGCTTGTGCTCCCCATTCGCGGACGGTGAATTCTGGGCGGGTGGTCGGCATTAACGATGGCTCGGTCTCGAGGGGATATGAGATCGCGAGGAAGTTGTAGCCATGCTCTGGAAGCCAGTGAGCGATGAAGTCTTTGGGGTCATAGCCGGTATGCCCGCCGTAGGACACCCGTGCGAGATGCGCTGCTCCTGGTATGAAGATTGCGAGCGGCTTGCTGGGATTGCCTCGCTTGAAGTACATTATTGCCGGGGCGTCGCTGGCGGTGGTCAGAGCCTCGCCTTCGTACAGACCATTGCTGTGGGACGCAGTCATCGTGCACTGGTCGGACTGTTTGCAAGGAAAGGCCAGTATGTCATCTCATGTCGAGTAGATGCCGGATTCCGTCGTCCCTGTCACCGCTCCTCCGTTCATCTCTACTCAAGTGTCGTTGCATTGGAGTACGGAGTGGTGGAGAAGGACAAACGCCGAAACTGACCACAGTGTTGGAGAACCCCTATTTACGAATATACTTTGTCCGAGGCTCTGCTAATTGGGGGTACATATACCGAACTCTCAACCATTTCTGCCTCACTTTTCTTCACCACTCTTTACCACAAGCATTATGCAAAAATAAGACGTTTGCAAAAAGTTTTGCAAAAACTCTGGCTACAAACTCTTTCGAACAGAGGCTGTAGCTAAGTGAAACCAGCCGTACTGGTTCTTTTTGGGGTTGTCGATGATTGATGGGAGAACGGTACCGGTGAGTCTGGCGACTGGGACGTGAACACTTCATAGGAAGTGAACGGGCCTGACAGTCTGATAGCTACTCGTACCATTGAGCCATCACGGCTTTGGTCACTCATTGTAGCCCACTGGCAGAAATTTCGAGACTTTAATCATATATACCTTGAATTTATCGCTCGGAATAGCTTACTCATGGTCACAGTCACTGCCTGTAGCACTTCACTACACGGCAAGCTTTCATTCGACCACCATCTCTAGGATCTCCATGACCTGCTCCTTTTCCGTGATAGGCTTCGCATTTGTCTGAATCCAGTGGTCTGTCAGACTGTTTTCAGCCAGGATATCCAATTTGTCTCTTCCCACCCCGACATCCTTCAGCGTCCGTGGCATACCAATCTCCCTGAATATTACGTCCAAAACATCACCTAGATCCAACTTGTTGGTACTATCCGTGTCTTTCCCATACTTGGCCTCCAATAATTCTCTCACGATGGGCGACCGAAGTAGGATTTTCTTGCAGTTCGCCTGCTTTTCCACATTCGCTCCAACCTTTTCGTTCCACTTGCACACCGCGGGCAGCATAATGCAGCTGGTCTCGCCATGGCCCACACCCATCGGACCAAGTTGGTGTCCGATAGCATGACTCGCGCCCAAAGGCACGCCGCTACTCACGGCGCTCATTGCCTCCATCACACCTCTCATGGTCTCAAAACGAGCATCAAGATCCTTGAGGTTCTTATGCGTGCGAATCAGAGACGGGATTAGACGTAGGAGTCCTTTCTCAGCCTCGACATCACCTTTCTCATTCGACAGAAGACTGCAAATAGTCTCAACGCAGTGGTCAACCGCTCTGACACCAGTGCTCAGCCAGATCCGTTCTGGTGTCGTGGTCGTCAACTCCGGGTCGAGGACCACAAGATACGGATTCTGCTTGGGCAAGAGGAACAAGCACTTTCGATCACTGCCATCGTCGCGTGTCACTCCAGCCAGAGCCTGGTACTCGCCGCCTGATAGACTCGTCGGAATCGCGACGTGTTTGACGGATGGGTCCTTGAAGTCGGTAGGAGATGCTGCTAGCTTCTCCATACCCTCGGAGGTAGTGATGTCGTTGCTCAGCATATAAGTAATCACCTTGGCCGCGTCGGTGAGGGATCCAGCCCCTAAAGTGACGATGCAGTCTGGACCTTTCGAAGCAGCATCCTTTGCGACTTCAAGAACTTGATTCCAATGTGTATGCGGGGCCATACCAATCCTGAGACCGACGACTTTGTCGCCGAGCGCATCCTGAAGACGTTTGAGTGCAGAAGTGTTTTTAGATAAGGAGTTGGATGCTATAATATAAACCCGTTTTGCGTGAAGCGTGTTTTCAATGTGGTGGGCGGCAGCTTGATCGAAGGGCAAACCGTACGCTATGTATGGCAAGGGGCGATCCCCGAATGCATGTTCGAGGTGATCAGTGCCATAGGAGAATGGCATGACGGCAGAAGTTAGGCCGCTGAAACACTCGTCAGGAACAGATATGGACAGACCGACCAGGCATCTGCAGCGACAAGATTGGGTCTTCCGATCAAAGGATGACAGGGTTGATATGAGTTGGCAAGTGGGGGACGGTAGTAGACGAGGCTGACGATGTGTGCGGAGTCAATCAGCATTTATCCGGGCAGCTCCAACGGAAAAAGCCCCACGAGCACGGCATATATAGAGAGTAGTACGGAGTTGTACCGCCAGTCTTCAGCAATGCAGTGTTGGATTGACCATACCTCATGTTTCATCAGATCGGTCAGTGTGTATGTGTGTGAACGTGCGGGCACGCAGTCCTTGAGCGTCTCGATGACGGGCGCTCCAGGAGAATTTCACAATTCAACAAGCAGCTTTTTCGACGCAGGGCAAAGTCACGGGCAGCATCCAAATTCAAACCCCGAGAAACACATGCAAGCACTCTGCCTTCTTTCTTATGACTTGACATTGTGGTTCAACTGTCAACAGTGATATCTGGCTCGAATTAAGTCCGCGTGAGTCTTAGCATGCCCTTGCTCGTCCCGGACCGTTCTTTTCCAGTCTTGTCCACGAATGTCGAGAATACCCTGGTTAAGAGGTAAAGCTGCCGCTTCGCACTAAACGAAACAATCCAGCTCTTCAGAAACGCAAGGTAGGAAAGGTATGCATTTGACTGCATGGTTTTTGTCCGTGTGAATGATGTCTTTTCTCGGAAACGTCGTGAAGGAGGGAAAAGGGCAGTACATAGAACCGGCACGCTTAGTCGAAGAGACCGAAGCCCATATCCTCGTCGGATTCTTCCTTCTCTATTGCAGCAAAAGTGGTTAGCTAACTCCTGAGACCCCAATGATTTAGTGTCAAACATACCCTCTGCCTTCTCTTCCTCGGCAGGGGCAGCCTCCTCGGCAGCACCACCTGCAGCAGCACCGCCAGCACCGGCACCAGGAGCGGCAGCGGCGGCACCACCACCGGAGCCAACGTTGAGGAGCATGTCCTTCACATCCTTGCCCTCGAGAGCCTTTGCGAAAAGAGTGGCCCAGATGGGTTCGACTTCAGGAACGTTGGCGGCCTTGATGAGGGTGTTCAACTTGTCGGCCTAAGGTACACATCGTTAGTCGCACATCCTTTAATCGTTCTTCGTGGACCACTCATGCAGAAGGTCGCAGGTGAGTTTGCATACAGTGATATCAATGCCATCGTCGGCAAGTATGAGAGCGGCGTACGCGCTGGCGAGCTCGGCGGTCGACATTTTGAGTAGGAGTAGATTTGATTGAATCTGCTACAAGTCGGTGTGGTTGTCGAGAAATTGAAGTGCGCGCAGAGACCTCGAAACTGAGTTGGCTGCACATTTCCCGGTGGGATTGTGGGTGTAAAACTCGCCAAGAGTTTTGTCGGATCAGGTGACTTGACAAAGTATGTTTCATACTACCAGTGCAGCCTCGTCTTCGACAAGGCTGAGATCGACCCCAATTCCGTCAAATCGGGGTTTGCGATATACCACGAACTCCCGTTGGCATGCTCCTCTTGTCGTACGCCAGAACTTCACCAGTGTGCTCATTGGGACGAAACATTCTACTGAGACAAGATATATGCCTACGAGTGAGCATTGGTGGTAGCCGGAATTAGCCATACCACTCCAGAACACCCATCTGGGCACTAGCCCTACCATGTCGCCCTCAGACATCGACATGCAAGCCCTTCAGACTCTCCGCTCGCAATTCTCCCAAGCACTGAAAGACTTCGCCTCTTCCTCATCAAGCAACTTCAAAGTCCTAAGATCAGTGCCATCATCATTACCGCCCTCCTCATCGCCAATCCGGACCCTCTATGTCCTGGACTCAAGCTTCAACCCACCCTCTAAAGCACACTTATCACTCGCCAAAAGCGCTCTGAAATCTTCAGACTCCACGACCGACACGCGAGCTCTCTTCCTCCTTGCGACAGTCAATGCCGACAAAAAGCCCAAACCAGCCGACTTCGAAGACCGCCTGATAATGATGACCCTAATGGCCGAGGAACTACGCGCCGCCTTCTCCGCCCCGGGGCCGGCTGATGGCGCACCGGCCGTCGACATCGGCATCACCAAGCAACCATACTTCATCGACAAAGCTGTTTCCATCGACGAAAGCTCAGTGTACACCAGCTCCTCACCAAATCCCGAAACGCACTTCTCGCAAATCCACCTCACAGGCTTCGACACGCTCATCCGCATCTTCACGGCCAAGTACTATCCGGACCACGACCCGCCGTTGTCGGCGCTCGAGCCGTTCCTGACGCGCCACGGTGTGCGGGCTACGGTCAGAGTCGACAAGAACACAACATCAGAAAATCTCAAGGATACGACGACCGAAAGTGGCAGTGATCTATCTAGCGTTGAAGGTCAGAAGGCTTATCTCAAGGGCATTGCGGACGGAGACAAGGAAGCGGAAGGGGCGAAAAGGGAATGGGCTGAGCGGGTGGAGTTGGTGGTTGATGATTCCGGCGAGACTGAAGGGGTCAGTTCGACGAAGATCCGGAATGCTGTTAAGGAGGGCAATTGGGACGAAGTCAATGCTTTGGTCGGGAAGGGCGTGGGTGAGTGGATAAGGGAGAGAGGGCTGTATGAAGAATAGACCATGGAAATAGGAATGACGCTCTAGATCGCTACATGATGAGGAATGCTTGTCATGAATGACGATATACACAGTGGTCGACTGGGGGTGCCTCAAGGTACATGGCCCCGAACATGTGGTCAACAAATACGGAACGTGTCACGAAATGTGTGCACATCAGTCATGGGCCGTAGTAGTGGGCAAATCAAAATATCCATCGGGAACGATATGCATAAACCTGTACATATTCGTTCAGGCGGAACCATAACTGAATACATGAAAGAGCATCGAGGCTCTTGTAACGCTTCCTCAGGCCGCACTCTGGATATCATTTGCAAACCCATTTCTCGCCCGAGCTCCTCTATGCTGGTGTAGCCTTGTCACCTGGAGTCTTGTCACCTCCCTCGCCTGGTCTGATATCTCCAGTACCTTGGGATATGCCGGTCGAACCTGCGCCTGGCTTCGTGCTGTCTGTGGAAAGGTCCATGGGCTCCTTCCTCTGAAGACCCTTGGGCTCGTTGTCAACCTTGTGCATCTGCTCAGCTACGCCTGCACTATCAGGTGCACGGGATGATGTGTCGTTTGACGGGTTGGCTTTGTCCTCTTGCTTCTCTTTCTTGTGAGGCTTGCCCAACTCGGACGCGGGGACGACCGGGCCACTGTCACTCGTGGTCTCATCATGCTTCTTGCCATCGGGCGTAAGGCCGAAGACTGCACTGTGAGATCCAGGAACACCGGTGCCAGTCAGCTTCTTGGTCCCCTTGTCATCGACGACGGCTGGGTCACGACCTTGGCTTGAGTTCTGCAGGTCACCGTGAGAAGAGCCGCCGGTGAGGCCGCTGTCAGTATCATCTTCTTTCTTCTTATGGTGGAGTGGGTTCGGAATGTGGTGACCATGGTGATGCTTGGAAGAGTCATGCTCGCCAGTTGTTTGGGTCGTCTGAGTATCTTGCGCACCTTGCTGGGTGTTTTGACTGTCGTAGCCACCACGTTGTTGGTTGGTGTCCACTCCGTAGCCTGTAGTCTGCTGTGTAGCTCCGGTGTCGATACCAGAGCCAAATCCACCGCCCTGTTGGTTGGCTCCAGAGCTGTGGATGCCTTCGGTCTGCTGTGTAGCTCCAGTGTCATACCCAGAGCCATATCCACCGGTCTGCTGTGTAGCTCCGGTGTCATACCCAGAGCCGTATCCGCCGCTCTGTTGTGTTGTTCCAGAGGTATAATCACCTTGCGATTGCGTGCCTGAAGTGGAAGAGCCTAGAGTGGTGGCATCGTGGACAAAGGCGCTGCCTTCAGTAGAGCTTCTAAGCAGCGTGTTAGCACAACTGGTCTCATAGGTACGTCAGATACTCACCCTTGGCCGAAAGTGCTGCCGGTGCCTGAGGTAGTGTCGGTGTTTCCAGTGTAACCAGACGTGCCAGTGGTGCCAGTGGTGCCTTCAGTATAGCCAGTTGAGGAGCCTCCAGTCAAGCCGGTGGTGCCTTCATTATAACCCGTTGAAGACCCGGTGGTGCCTTCCGTGTAGCCGGTTGAAGAGCCGGTAGTCCCTTCAGTATAGCCTGTCGACGAGCCACCAGTCAAACCGGTGTGAGAGCCGGTTGTGCCAGTGGTGGTGTCGTGGCCGAAGGTAGAGCCTGTTGTTCCGCTTGTACCATTACCAGAGCCTCCGGTGGTGTCTGCAGAGGTGCCTGTGGTGCCCTCCTGGTGTGTGGGCTGCGCGTGTCAGTAGCCTGCATCAGAAGACAGAGATGCTAGGACAGGAAAGCAAGTTACTCACAGTGACAGTGTTGTCGGTGGTGGTGCTCTCCCCGCCAGTGAGCTTACTGAGTACGTTCTTTGCGGCTTCCATCTTTGCAAGCTAGGGTTTATCTGGGGTTCTTTGTATCTGTATGATTTGTGCTATTGTGAAGTAGTAGTGAGGTTGGAACAAGCAAAGCAGGGAAAGGTAGAAGAAATATAACCTTACGTCTTCACCTGCGTCAGTGCAAGATAAAGTCGGATCGGCGGGAAGCTCCTGTGGTCGAAGATCTGACGCCATGGAAGGTGCGTCATAATTTCACTATGCCAAAGTACGTATTTGCTTCTGATCACCATTCTATCACTCGATGCACGCGATACGCTGTATCCAAGGTTTTTGGAGGGGAAACACAAAAACATCATCATCATCATTGCGGGGCTTTGTTTAGAGGGGCAGGCCACGAGATTGCCAACTCGTTGCACTGCCTGTCGTGAGTCGTGACCTCGCCAATGCAAGAAAACAAGCATCTGGACTGATTTGGCGAGCGAATAGAACACCTTACCATGAAAATTCCATCTCACCATGTGAATGCTACGTTTAATGAGGCCGAACAATGAAAGGTTGAGGCTTCGATCGAACAAATGAGGGAGGGGTCTTAGTAAATGCCATTGCGACGTCATCGTGCAGCAGAACTTGCATCGGAAAACCACTATAGGCCTCACATTCGGATGCACAAGCCATATTGAGATCAAGATTTTGCACTTATCTTCTCCAGTCCACGCTCGTGGTCGCTTAGGAAAGACCAAAATTGGAATGTCATAATGGTATTGTACAAGAATTGAATTTCGTCCACGACCTCTTCTCCAGGAAGTCCATCGTACTATCCAAGCTCTTAGCTTTGGGTGCATCAGGCGGCCTCTACGGCTTCCACCCCGACGGAGTAGCATATGTTGATACCCTCAGAAATCCTGAACTTGCCAGCTTATGCTTGTGAGACTGGGTACCATTCCCAGAGCCCCAACCAGTCGACAAGGCTGAAGATGTTGTGCTGGCTGATGTAGCTTCCACTTCCACGTCCACGGGAATGGTGGAGGTGGTGGGAGTAGCAGTGACGGTAACGGTGCTCTGAAGAGTCTCCGTCACGGTAACATAGGCAATTCCACAGGCAGCATCCGCAGTCGATTCAGATCCCGAGCCCCAGCCCAAGCCAGCGGACCACGAACTTGTCGTTTCAGCAGCGACGCCTGTTTCCACAGGCACAACAGTGAGGGTCTCGGTGGAGGTAGACTCGAGAGTCACGGTGGTAGTGCCCGACCCAGTTGCAGCCCCAGCGGCATTGGCCTCCGCAGAAGGTCTAGTGATGGTGGCATAGATTGTGCTTGTGATCGTGAATGTCTTGGTCTGACGAATGGTGGTAGTGACAACAGAAGCTGACGACCCAGAACCCAGGGTCAAAGTCAATGTGGTGTCTTCGACAGTGGTGCTGACTTCAACACCTTCGCTAGACGTTGAGTCAGCCGCGATTGCTGCGCTATTGGTGATGGCTGGTGTTGTCGCTGCTGCAACTTCAGCACTGACGGTCGTAGACGTGGTCACGTCTGCAACAAGGGTACTGATAGTCGTGGAAGTGGTCGAACTAGCCAATGTATCTCCGCCTGCGGTCATGCTGCTACTTGAGGCCGGTGGAGAGGTCGTCACGGCTTCAACTTGTGCACTCGTAGTAGTTGTAGAAGTTGAAGTTGTCCAATCTGCCCATGACTCTGATGTGGTGTTCGTGGCTGTGGAGGCCGAAGAGGTCGAAATAGCTGCAACTTCGGCGCTGGCAGTAGTTGTGGAGTTTGTCATGGAGGTGGACGTGGAGAAGGTGGTCGTAGAGGAGGTGGACGAGGTAGAGGCGGATATGACCGCAGCAACCTGGCTGCTGGTCGTCGTGATCGTGGTGGATGAAGACGATGAGGTACTTGCGACTCCCACACTGGTAGTCGTGGACGAAGTCGCAGTCAGACTAGTAACCGAAGTGCTGGAAGTGGTTGTCGAGGAAGTCTCTGCGGCCACGGAGGTAGTCGTGGTCGTTATGGCAGCACTGCTGATCGACGAAGTAATTGTCGTGCTGATGCTGGTGCTCACATCGTCCACAATCAAGCTAGAACTTGTCGTCGGAGACCAATCTGACCAAGTAGTATCGTTGCTATACTGGCGCTTGAAAACCATGCCATCAGGACGGGCGGAGGCTTGGGCCAACGTCAAGGAAGCTACCAGCAAAGCCACGGTCTTGAACTGCATTGCGCTGCTTGTGCGTCTTCTCTTCTGCGTGCTGTCAAATGGGACCTGTCAAAGGTGTCGATCTTTGTTCCTGGCGGGATCAACCCACGGGAGGCCAACGTCAAATGTGTCAGAAAATAAAAGAGTGACTGGATTGGGAGGGTATCGTTAAGGAGTGACTGACGTCTCTAGGACGTCGAAACCGGTCTGAAGAATGACGACGAGCTGGATAGAACACAGAAGCAAAGGAAGAAGAGCAGAAGGCTGCACAGAAAAGGTGCATATGAATGTTCTTACCATTTTGGCCACCTCTGACCGGGAAATTGTAGGAGCATGGAGAGGTTGCAGCCAACCGGGGACCGCTCCCAGGCGTATCCTGGGTGAGTGAGATGGCTGGAGATCCAGCATGAAACGTACGCGATGAATGGTGAGAGGATGGACAGACACGATTGACTGGGCACGACTGGGACGAAGAACAGGGGCGGCGTCTGTCGCACGATGTGGTCAGGCGTTGGAGCAAACATCTCAGGGGTCGAAAGAATTATGATATGCAGGTCGATGATAGAGAGTCATTGGTTCTTTTACGCGGCGATTAAGATCCGGCCTAACTATACTGGTACTAAGGTCATGTTAATGCGGCAACCCCTGACTCTCAAACTGGGATACTACACAGTACTAGGGCACCATACCACAGTACACTGTACTTCGACATTGAGTAGTGAACCAAATTAATGACCAGCTCCAGAAAAGCACCGTCTTATGTTCGTGCCGCAAGAGAACCCCGACTCTATCTCAATGCTACTCGAAGCCACTCTGCAAGTCACGGTATTGTCTAGTCGGCGGAACAACCCAACGAAAAGCTCCAGCCGTAGGCGACTTGCAGCTGCCGGATGGATAACCGAGCTCGACCCAGATCCACGTCCCTTGAAATCTCTTTCTGGTGGCCAGATCCTTGCATGTGTTACAAGCAGAAGATACTTCGACGCGAGCCAAGCTGCTCGTCAATCGTATAAAAACTCTGTGCAACCTCCAATCGGAGATTTGCGTGTAACAAGTACCCTGATGCCATGCATATCGGCTCGGGGATTTGACGAGAGGCTTAAGAAGAAGACGTCTGTCATTCTCTGGCGCAAAGCCACGTTACTCAGAGTTTTCTTATTCAGTGGCTGCCGTGCAACACGGTTCTGCTGAACAGTCCTGCATTTCCGCTCAGCCACCTCGATTGGACTTACTTGCATTCCGCCCGGCGGTCACTTGTCGCGTGATGGCAGCTTCACGGATGTGCCCGGAATGCTTCAAACTGGGCATGCCTCTTGTGGATCTGCTTATTGGGATACGCTGACTTCATCAATCGCGTCTTCTCCGGTCATAGTATGCCTCAACAGATGGAGTGCTTGCAGAAGAGATAAGACGAAAGTGGTATGCATCGTCTTTTATTAGCCATTATGTCCCTGTATAGCTCTATCACTCTAACATTGATGAACCTCACCTTCGTCTTCAGCACGTGGTTAGCAATGTGGTCCACATGAAGAATCGGACTTACTTTTGATCATCTTCTTCATAGCCAGTATCAGACTGACGGTCATAACAGCGAATCCAAACACGATGCAGATAACCGCAGGTATAGTCTTCCAGCTTCGGGTGCTCAATTTGATGTAGCACAAGGGCGGCAATATGTAGGCAAGCGCACAGGCACTCGTTGCACCTATCAATTCAAATACCGCTCCCAGGTCACAGGTCACCAAGCTGACGGCCATTGCGCTGACGACCAAGGCACTGCTGAAGATCAGATGTCGATTGGGCTGGTACGGCTCTTCCGGGAACCAATAGTTGTTCATGACTTCCCTGCACACAAAGCACTCGAGCGGTAGAGTCGTGAGCATGTTCAGTCCAAAACACAATCGAGCTAACTGAACGATCAAATGTCCCTGAGCAGGGAAATTGTTCAACACATTGCCCTTCGTCCGGTCGCCAAAGGTGAGGAACCCTGCCAGAGCCATAATCAGGCATGCAATCAGCGAGATGAAGGTACTGTAATGGGTGACAGTCGCAAAACGGTCCAAGGTCGGTGTTTTGAGCGAGCCGTAGATCAACAAGGAATTATGGTGACAGACAAAAGCTATGGGATAGTCAGTAGCCGTCAACCCGGATCACAAGAGCTTAACGTACCAAAGGAGATGACGCCAACGGCTTGGAAGAAGCCATCGTTGACAAATAGTAGTCCTCGGACGTCGCCTCGAAGGTCTGAATCAACGAAAGCCCCCTGAGTGACGATAGTCACAATGATTACAATCATACTGATCAATGCCAATGTAGATGCTTTTGCCAGCTGTTCAATGTTAGCAACGTGAAAGAAACGCGCTGAGTGCTTCAGACCTTCGCAATGTCTCGATACAAACTCAGAGGCCAGCTAACTGCCAGAATAAACAGTATTATGACAGCTCTCCTGTCTGTCAGAAGCCACAGGAACGGTATGTTTGCGAGTCCCGGAACCAGCGCTGCGAGGACGTGAGGGATAGTGTCGCCCACGATGATGCAAAAAGCTATCATTCCTCCGAAAGCAAATGCCCATTGCGCAATAGATATAGCTATGAGCCCACTCTTGCCGAAACAATGCTGCATGGTCGCCTGAAACGAGTCTGCACCGGACAACTTGCTGTTGATGACAATCAGACGGATTGTCCAGTCAACCGTGATCGTAAGCCCAACGAGTAGAATGATCCCCATAGTCATACCAGCCTGGCGGAATGCGTACGGTTGACCAATGATTCCTGCGCCAATTATCGAGTTTGCCATATTCATGAACGCACTGCGCATCCCACTTTTTGGGCGAGCATCTGGCAGATGGTCTTCAGGCTGAAAAGACTCCGCCAGAAAGGGTGACTCTGCAGGAGGAGTAATCTCGGTGAGCAACGGTGCATTCGGGCTTGAAGGAGAGTCCAGGTAGTCTTCCTCGTCCACCCACCCCTCAGGTGGCTGTCCATTCTGCCCATGGTCGATGTCAAAGCGGACTCGATTCGTGGTTCTCGGAGTTCCATCGGGACGATGTTGGGAGAGGGAGGATTGTCTCTGCACGTTCGGGCGCGGAGACGAGATAGAGATGACAGAATTGTCTCGAGTCAGGTCAGGAGTCTGCCCTGCTGAGGAGAATAAAGGAGTGTGGCTTTCAAGTTTGCCATTCGGTATATCCTTGACTGATCCGTCAGAGTCCTCGTCATCTGTGATCATGTCGTTTCCGTTGCATCTCGAATGTCGAGTTGGTTCGTGAAAGACACAAGCATTATCGGACCGAAGTGTCAACATCTTGCGTAGAAGTGAGCCCAGGCTTGGCAGCGAGAAAGTCTGGGGCAGCTCACTTCGGATGCCGATAAGAGGTCCTTGATAATCGAGCAACTAGAGCCGCAAACTACCACAATATCTAGGATTTTGTATGGGTTGGCATGTGTTCCATTTCATTTAAGACTACAATACAAGGACTATGTGCACTGTGCAGCTTTGTATCCGTCAACCATATATTGCGAATGAGCATTCTTCATCATGCGTTACAATAGCAAGGCGACTAGCAGTGCGAGCAATAGTGCCGCCACAGAATTCGTGTTGATCTGCGGCGTTGCAAAGGAGCTCGCGAATGGACTGCTGTCAGTCACACCAGACGATGTTGTCGCCTGAGCGGAGGATGAAGATGTCGATGAACTGCCAGTGGAAGTCGTTGTCCTGAACGTAGTCGACGGCTCGGAACTTGAGGTATGAGAGCTAGAGGAAGTCTTAGTGGATGCCGATGAATCTGTGGTAGATGTTGAGTCGGCTGCTACTGAAGATGAAGCGGAGGAAGAGGAGGAGGATGCCGAAGATGACGACGACGAACTTGAACTCCCTCCAGTGGTACCGAAACCGATTTGGTTGTTGTCAAAGTCGAACACAGTGTAGACATTCTTCAAAAACACGTCGCCCAGAATCCACTCATTCGGTCCGAATGCCTGATGTCCGATGATCTTGCTCTGGCACCCGTCTCCCACGGTTTGTCCGATAAAGTCCTTCGATGGGACGGTGTATTGTATCCCGGAGAAGGTGAAGTATACGCTCGCTGTGGTTGAGCAGGGAATCACAAAGATCTCACCATTTTGGGAGCTCCCTGGGATCAGGTTGTGCACTGCCTGTGCATCAGCCTCAGGCATGAGAATATACGACGTTCCAGTGTCGATGATGGCAGTCTTGCCCGTGAAGCCGACCCCATTTCCATTGACGCCGGCATCGCTTGCTGCGATTTCCCAATTCTCAGTGTTGGCCACTTTGGTGTATGATAGCTTGCCACTGTACCTGGACGAGTCGACACCTCCAAATGTGATTTCTCCGTCGTTCGTGCCATCTGATGCTCGCTGAAGATGGACGCCGACAATGTTCTTAGGCAAAGTCCCTTGCTGGTCTAGCACTTGCATGATAGTATCCGTACCCAAGGTGTCCGAGCTCGGCCGTCCAAGGCCCAATATGCCGTCCATTGGGTAGTTGTTGAAGTCGTCCGAGGCACTTGATGCCAGCCCGAATCCCATGCGGACAGAATAATTCGCAAACTTGACGGTATCTTGAGCCACCACACCCTGCACCTCGCCCGTGCCATAGCTGAGACTCCATGACTGAGAAGTTGTATTAAGAGTAGTCGATTCGGCACTGCCGAAGGTGTTATGTATTAGACAGGCATTTGATTGACAACCAGACCCCATGACCCATGTGTTCGCCGACCCCGTGTCAATTAGCATGTACATTTGTTGTCCCGAAGATCCGAATTCCATGACAGAGAAGTAGGTAAAGTCGGAACCGTCTGAATCGATCGCCATAGCATTGGGAGCGCTAGGTGTACTCGACTTGACCACGGTAAAGGTATTGTCCCTCTTCGCCTAGAAAGCGTTAGTCCTCGTCGCATTGACCAGCATTGTCCAACATACCCTCATCCTCTTTATGTCGAGCGTGATGCCTCCTGAGGCATCCCGATCGCGCATTCCAATATTCGACGAGAGCGATCTTTTATCTTCGTCACCATCGTCACTGCCGTATGGATAGAATGCCGAGACATGACTGAAGAGAAGCGCTAAGGATAGCAACTGTCGGTACATTGTTGTATGTGGTCTGATATGTGCAAGGGGAGAAGCCTGGAGACGTTATGTTTCAGTGTATAGTATCGAAACGCATCTATCCAGATCATATCATCGCACGAGCTGTTCGTCCGTTGGTAACCAGCCAATCCAGAGAACGTGAGTAGACTATGTAATGACAATGAGAGAAGTGAATGAGGATTCTCAGTCAAGAGATCCCAACGCAGCCAGTGCTCTGCGATACAAGTACATGCAGCGAAAAAGGAGGAGACAAGAAATCTTCAGGCATACGACGACACTGTCAGAAGCAGAGGTCGAAGGATGACAGCGTCCAGCCGACGAAGGTATGGAGTTTGCTCGAGCGCAAACATCGCATGCCAAGTGCGCCGACTCCGCGAGGCATGTGTGCCATTTTTTTCTTGTGGGTCGTCCAGGGGTACTGTAGTTGGGAATGGTACCTGGCGATCACTTGCGTGATGACTCGATTGGTCCTTGGAATGTCGCCTAAAGCCACTGACGGGTGGGTGGGCTCTTGCTCGCCCAGCCCCTAGTCTCTGAGGCATTGGGGATAATCTTAACAATTCATTGTTGGAATGTGGTCGGAAGAACAACAGGATAGACGTCACTGACGCTTTTGCCTGCCACATCAGCAACGACACACATACTGCGATATATCGTGCGCATGATCTTCACCGCTGGCACTGAAATTGAAGTTCATTGCGAATCAGGGGAAAACAGAGTTGAAGGTGGCTGGATCTAGGTGTTCGTCTATGGGGACACAATGCATCAATGTGGACCCTACCAGAACACGGGATTCATCACAAACACCACCGATGGATATGTGAGCTCGGAATATCATGCCACAGAGAAATGCTGCGCACACTTTTTATCGTTGACGTACCATGTAGTCACGACCTTGATCAATGCACGGTGTGCATTTTACACATTCGAATTTCGCCAAAGTACTGGGCAAGGGATGTGCCAATAACGCAGATCGTGGCTCTGTGCATGTCGCTCCGGTCGTCTTTGGACTGTCAGGAATTTGACATGTGGCTGGAATTGCATGAGTTCATGACTTTGATGACTCCGAGCGTCCTGCTGAGGCTGATATAGGCCACGACTGAAAAGAACAGGCTGGGAGGAAAGACGTCAACATACCTAGGTACAAAGTATGTCAACGTACTCCGTATAGTCATGTGCTTTGGAGAAAGTGACGGAGGGTACAATGCGGAGCAACTCATCTTGGTAGCGAGCATTGATCAACGCTCAGTGTTGTGCTTTCGTGCTGCTTTCCAATGCCAACTGTATTGACATGATGACGGGAGGTAGACTTCCATCGTTAGACTTCATATCGGAGAAAATCTTGCCTCGATACTGGGGAAACATACCTATCTCATAAGACGTTGTCACTCAGAGGTCTTTCAGAGGAAAAACTTCGTCTCGATGGGATGGGGTCTTCTGGGTTAATCCCTGGTCACCTTTGGGGTACTGGAGGAGTGCCGAATCAGAGGATGTGCCGTTATAGGAAGGCATGAAACCTTATCGTCTCTGCTATATCTCCGACTTGAAGAAATTCCAAAACCCAATCCCTTCCCCAGAGTCAAACACTGTGGTCGGTGCAAGATGTCACAATGTCCAGCATGCAACTGCAATCCACAATTATCATGCAGCGATTCTGCTTACTCGACCACAGGCAACACAATGGGGATCCTGACATTCGTCTACGCCGTGCTCGCAACTGCCTGGATCTATCTATCGCGCATTCGCTCCGCTGACGTCGAGCAGCGCAAGCTGATGGACACGGCGTACGCCAATTACGTGCGCTGGAAGCTGATGATCAACGAGTACGAGGACGTACTCAAGGCTGGGGGTGATATCAATGGTGACTTCAAAATCCTGTTGCAGCACCGCTTTGATACTGGAGGATCGGCGATGCGACGCTTGGACATGGCATTAAACTACGATCCGGACAGCGGTGTAGCGACGCGGGTTCGCCAGCGAGGCAAGTTTGCCATAACGCAAAGAGAACTGCACGAATTGCTAGAGGCTGCAACTCAAGCCACAGAGGACGTCAGTGTGCTGCTGGACGGCATCACACAAGAGTATGTACTCATCTTATTCCCGAGAACGATGCACGCTGGCGTGGGGTCTTTGCTTACCTGCTTTTCTTTGCTAACAGGCAAATGCACCGAGACTTGAAACTCCAGCATGCCCTTTTGCAGCAGATTGCACAGAAGGTGGGCGTGAGCGAAGAAGCGACTGCAGAAATGAGGCAGCTTGTCGAAGACGCACCCGAGGGCGCGCCTGTCGCAGCATTACTGCCTAGTACGCATGAGACCACCGCCAAAAGCAGATGACGGCAGGCTTACATGAGACAGCACGTATAGAACAAGCGTCTTCCAGTTACAGCTCCACCGAGAAGGCTGAAATCCTACACAAAGCTGATGTCTAAGACATTCCGACCTCTGGGATGCCGAATGAACAGCGCAAAATCATGACATTTGCCAGGGACCTCTTCACGGCAGTACCTGCATTTGCTTATACGCTATCATTAAGGTGTAAACCCACCAGTATAGGGAAAGTACTAATAACGAGACAGCTCAAGCTCATGCCTTGGCTCCTTTCTGTGAGCTGCCGAACAAGTCGTCAAGAAAGCCGGACCAGATCTTGCGAATGGTTTGCTCATCCTTGTCCTTGACCATGTCCACGAATTGCTTTGCGTTCTTGCCCACCGTCTCGGTCAAGGAAGTAAGCATCTCAACCGACATTTCTGTGTCATGGTGACCATCATGCAAGTCGCTCATTGCGCTTGCGGGGCTCGACACATCACCAACAGCCGAAACTTCTGGTTTCATGATTGTCTCATGGCCTTGAGTGCTTTGATATCCACCAGCAGCCGAGTCGAGCTCCGGGTATTTCTCCAACACTGCTTCGGCTTGTCCCGAAGAGACGTGGGGGAGGATTGGAACTCGGAATTCTGGCAGTTTAGGACCATAGGAATCCTCGAACAGTCTCGGGAGGTATGCGAAGTCGATGGTGGAAGAGTCGTGAACAGCCTTCAACTCATGTGAGGTGTTGAAGTGTCGCTGAGGCGTGGTCCCGGATGGGCTGTAAATCTGTTAGATCGACACACAACCGGAAGAGTCACAAAACATACCCTGAGACAGGCTTCTTGGTCTGTTCAATGGCAATGCGCTTGATGGCAATGGAGAAAGCTCTTGCCTGCAAGCTGTCATGGCCAGCAAGGCGATCAATGAGCTCATGTTTCGTTCCCGACGCCGAGAGAGTACGCTTCTGGCACTCTTGACGGAGATCTTGCAAGTTCCATGGCATATAGGTAGTCTTGTGAGTAGGATCGACGAGGCGAGGTGAGGCATGGACGCCGGTGATATGAAGGCCTCGTTTGGCGGGGGTTGCTCCGGTTGACCGTTGGAGGTTGCGTAGAGCCTTGAGAGAGGACGCGCGAGGAGCTGCCATGATGTGAAGTATGATTTGGGCGTCAGTTGAGACACAAGACTGTGGGTATCAATGGATAGTGTGGAAGATGTTGTGGTCAATGTAGTCTTGAGATGGGTTCATAGGATAGGCGCAGGTAAATATGGTAGAAAAGAGAGGGAGTTGGCTTGGACGACTTGGGCGAGGGCTGAGGTGCTCTGTGGAAATAGCGGTGACCGAAAGAGATAGAGAACAGTACGGGATTCTTCGGAAATGATAGATTGCTAGTTGAGGGATGACAAGGGAGGAGGAAGTGCTTTATCGTCGTACGGAGTTATTGATGTTCGGTGTTCTACTTGTTGAGCACGATAATGCAGCTTCGGACCCCGCGTAATAGTCATAGCTTCAGTGCTTCCCTGATGACCTGGGTTGGGGAGTTCCTAAGCGGCCTCAACGGGCCACTAGGAGCTCCGCCACGGCCACTATCAGGCCATTCCTCACATCCGGATCCAGTTTAATTCGCCCAGTTCCCAGGCGGTGTGTTACTTAGACGGTCCAGCTGCAGGACCCTTCGCTGAGCGTCCAAAGTGCGGAGAAGCGATTGGATTACGGTTTGTTGTTGAACAAGGAGCTCATCTGCTCTCCTTTGGAGTTCTGTGCATCACCGGCCAAACTTATACCCTTTATATTCCGAGAGACAAGGAACTGCAGATGAATATCCGTATTCGTACTCCGTAACTCGTGTCGGAATCTGGGTATATCGGTGGCCTAGGTCATGATGCTGGGGGTTTTCTAAAAATGATCAAGCCTCAGGCACAGTTGAGGCTTTGAGCTCCACCAGACTGACAGATTCCCTGAGCCGGCGACGCTAATACCAATTGGGATCCGTCCGGATTCAGTCTTCCGGCATCATCTCTTTCTCAACATCATCCATGATCCATCCCTTGCTTCTTTGCATTGACCCTGATCTCAACGCCTGTGATGCATATCAAGTCTCGTGTGCCCGGACGTGCTGTATCTTCAAAATGGTGCGCACTAGTTGTTGCGAGGCTAGCTGCTCTCAAAGGTGTGAGGTGTTCCTTTCAAACGAGAGTGTGCAGGTCCTTGCCCACCAAAAAGGTTACAAATGTGTTTCTTTCAAGGTGACATTGTCCTTTATTTGCTTGATAAGCTCATTGCAGTGTTTCTAGAGCAGAAGTGGCAAGCCAGCGATCCAGGGTAAGTAAAAAGAAAGGTCGACGACCGGCTTGACCGGTGTGGCCGACGAACAAAACGAAGGGTTGAATGCTACGGCGAGCGAAGGGAGCTCAAAGACGATAGCAAAACGCAGTGTCTCGTGTAGCAAAGAAGCAGATGGCACGTTGGATCGCGACTAGTGTTGATGGCACGCTGATGAGTAGCTAGCTGTGACTTACATCCTATGCTTTCAACCGGAAGGACTTGAGCTGACTGGGTGAAGGTTGACAGACTGTTTATGATTGTCAGACGTGCATTGTGCAGTTTACAGTGTGCAAAGTTGTCGTCCAAGGCCCAAGTGCAAGGCTGAGCATAGGTACAAATTGTCAACTCATCTCAAGCTTTGAATCTCCTCCTTCTCGTCAAACATTGTTCGATCGCGTTGTTCTTCCTACACGCTCTCACTCTCTCCTCTGCTTCAGCTTGAACTGTCTCCTCGACAACCTCTTGTCCTGTGATTTGTATCTCGGGGTCTGCCACTGTCTCGCGAATTGTGCACAAACTTCGTCCCTCGCAGACGTTTCTCGCAAGCGTTGAGCTCCTTCCACCCTCCTTCGCGAACAACCACCTTTCGCGCTGGCTACTACCCCTCGCCCACTTCTGCGCAGTCTCTGTCACTCATCAGGATTGGGGGATCATCTGCCAAGTTTCTCTTAGAGGATCAGGTTGACCTCTTTTGCTTGCAACATTTCCTGGTGTTTTCTCCCACCTTCTTACATCGCCCTCTAGTTTTCAACTCTGGGCGATTGTCTCTCCTTCCATTACCCTTCGAGCATGGGAATCTCCTGCGCTTTCCGTTCTTACCACCTCATTGGCTAAATCGTGGTGCTATCACTAAAGGGTGAGCCATATTGGAACAAACTAGTTGAACTTGCTAACCGAACAGAACAGGTGGCTCATATTCATCCGCCTTTCCCTCGCGTCCGATCACAAGAGATCTTCGGGGCCTTTAAGCGCCTGTGACCTGTACGTCACCATCATGCCACGCGGTGGCCGTCGCCAGGTCGCGGCTGAAGATGACGACTCTGATTCTGGCTATGGCCTGGAACCAATGTCGCCCAATACCAAGAAGGAGCATGACAAGAAGAAGATCATGGAGGTATGTACGCACATGATCACCTCAAACGACGCTGACAGTCCTCCCAGGCCGATCTAGGAGTGGCAACCGCAAACTTCATTAAGACGAGTGATTACAGCAACCGCATCGTGACCTCCAATCTTCCACTCATTCGCCAGTGCGACATCCCAAACACAGAAGAGGCGAAAGTGGTCAAAGAAAATAAGGCACAGCTGAACGAGTGGAACAGTAGGTAGCGCGTCCTTCCACAAATATGCATCTGACAGCTGCTTCAGACTGGAAATACACTGAGGAAGCGCAGCAGACTGCTTCAGGAGATGGCTTGATAGGCGGCATGACTGGGGGTGGGCACCGCTTCAACACCATGGCAGCTTTGAAGGCGGACAGCAGCAGACTCGGACGCCCCATTACATTGGATGATACTTACGACGACCGACCGAAAGGTTCTGCTCAGAAGTTCGGTGGTATGGTCGGTGGTACCTCCCATGCGAAAGGGTTTAGGTATTAGCTTTTGTCTTCTATCACTTGACCCTGTTGCTAATTGTCAAAGACCACCACCGCTGACTCATACCCTCAAAGCCCCATTGGTGCTCCCTGCTTCGACCTCGAAGAAGAGACGTGGCGCAGCCACCCAAGCGCGACCATGGCCCCCTCCAGCACTGCAAGGCACCCCGGCTTTCACCAATGCTGACAGTCAAGCAACACCTAAGAAAGGAATTCAAACTCATAAACCAATGACTGGAAGCACAAGTCTCCCTGGGCAAGCTGGTCCGTCCAGAGCTCCCGCGAGGAAAAATACCGTCACTGCGGCTGTGGATAGCAGCACCGCAGCCCGCCCTCGTCCTGCGATCGCAGGTCAATACCTTGTAGATCCGTCCACATTCATGTCATCAGTCATGAAGTTGATATCCCCTGGGCCTAAGGCGACGGAGCCAGTACAAGCTCAAGTGAATCTCACAACAAGCGCCACTGTTACACAGGGTCCTCCTCCACCATCCTCGGCACCAACCAACAGCGTTGACACCAATATCGACACGATTCGCAAAGTCCCTGTCACCGAATTTTCTTTTCCCCTGAGTGGTACGCTTGCTCCAGGACATGTATCAACGCATACCGACGGTGAACCAAGTCCCGCAGCACTCTCTGGCTTCTCCCCATCTGCTGCCAGTCAAGCACCTGTGCCACAGATTGCCGATGTTGATGCACTTGCAGACGCTCTTGTTGGGCTGGGTATCGAGGGTGCACCTGTGAACAAGCCTTCGACCGTGGATACTCAATTTCTGACCGCTACAAGTCCAGTTGACGCATCATCCCAGTCCGGTAGCCTGATGGATTCACCTGTTCCTGAAGATGTCGCAGCAGATGTTCTTGTGGCGGACAACGACAAGAATGTTGTCGTTATCAATGGTGTTCGATATGTCCAAGAGTCCGAGCTCCTGGCCTTAAAAGGATCCCTGAAGAATCCGGACACGACAGTCGATGCTGGCCCTCACCTGCATGTCAGCCCCCTGGTGAGCCCTGCCGCCACCACACTTGATCCATTGAGCAACCAGATTCGTACAGAATCTTTGCTTCCTTCGTGCGAGGTCGAGTCGAGTAGGATGGCCAAGTCCACCGGCATGATGAACCCATTCAGCCCTCGTGAACCAGTCACCGAAGAGGTCAAGGTACAAGCACATGCGAACCCAACTTCGACAGATCAACCATTTGAACCACCTGTGCGAGCCTCACCACGAACCCTCGATGAGGTCTTGGTTGCCGCGGTGCGTGCTGCAGCGATTCCACGTTCCGGTGCTCGGACTGCCACACAAGCTTCCTCGACTCCTGAGACAGGCAAGTCTACGGTCACCAGCAATACGATTATCTCAAAGTGGGCTGTTCCAGAAGAGAACGCTAAACCATCCGTCATGCATCTGGCCAGCCAAGCTGGTACAGATTCAAAGCCGACTAAGACCACGAATACAGTCAATACAATAGTATCGAAGTGGGCTACACCAATCGAGCCTGCTAAGCCATCCGTCTTGCAGCCAAAACCGTCCAATGGTACCCAAGCTCATGCTTCCAAGGCTGTACCGATCGTCAAGTCAAAAGGTACACCTCAAGCCGCTGCTCCCACCACAGCGCAGTCCGCGACAGACAGCATCATTGGTGACCGCCGTATCTTCGGTCGTATTTCCACTTATGCCGCAAACGGACCAACTCATGATGAGCCACCGCACAGACCGGCACCACAGCGAAAATACCACGCACCTGGACCAGGGTACGCCTTGCTTCTGGCTGATTTGGAAGCTGCAGGTGCAGTGTCCTCTTCTACTGCAAAGGAGCTCAACGCAGAAAAGAAGTTGTGAGTACGGGAACGACGATAGATGCGTCACATCCTGCTTTCCGCTCAGCAGAGCAGTACTTTCTTTTTGATTGATTTGACCACTACCACAATTGCTCGTTCGTTACCGACCGTGGACGTTCGGGAGTAAGGTACCGATACTGCATTCGGACATGCTGTGCGAAAATAGGTCCAAAAGTCTCCATCGCCAATGACTGAGGATGCCATAGCGCCATTGAGGAGCATCGTGACTCCGGGATCAGCCTTTGCGCTTGCTCTGACAATGGATACCTTTAGGAGTTATCATTCAGTGCTGGGGAGAAGAACAGTCACCCATAGGCTTAGATAGCTCATGGAAAACACGCGATCCCTGCCTCAGGGCTCAGGGGCAAGTGGTGGCAAGCGCTCGCGCTGTACCTAGCTACGGAATCACATCAAGTACCCAAAAGTGTGCAACATGCTGATCGACAAACCATTGCAATTGTAAAGCATCTATCGAAAGTTCACTACGTCGTAGCAGCTTCCTTGCCCTCTACGGGAGACCTAATCACAGCTTACGAACATCGAGATACTGATGTCTACATCTGGACAGCAGGATTGCATGAACACATTCGGACAGAAACCACGGCATCAGCGGCATACGCAGTGGGTGGACGAGTTCATGGTAGGACATGGTATTGTCTATCTATCCATCTATGTTTCCTGCGAGAGCAGATACACTCGGACCGTGTCTTCAGACGGTATCTATCGGTCTTGCAAGGCATCCTGCCCAGAAGCTCAGAGCAGATAGCCTCCTTCGTCATTATTTTTCCACGTGAATGACCCAGCTCAAGCCCAAACTTCAAGCTCAAGACAAAGCATCCCAAACTTTGGCCTCGATACTCGCCCCAGCGCGCTGCCGTACCATGCTCACCACCCAGTCCTGTTGAGACTTACGTAAAGTCTTGAGACGGGAGACATAGAGAGCCAGAGTCTCGGGTTTGGACTGCAGGTCCGTAAGACCCGTAGTCAAGAGCCAACGCTGCAATCGTTGTGGATCACTCCAATCCTCTGGGGGCGAGGTCTGCGGTGCCGGTTGTGCTGGCCGAGATGAGGTGGCTGGAGCTGCAGGGGCAGGTACGAGAGAGGGCAAGGTATCTTCGTCTTCAGAGTCGGAGTCAGCGTGCCGTAGTACTGCGCGTCCAGCAGCTACAGACAACGGGTGGGCATCGTCTTCGTCCTCGTCTTCTTCGACCATGGCGGCATGCGGGTTTCGAGGCATGCTGGGTGCTGCTGTTGGCTCTTCGCCTGGGATTGACTCCAGCTCTGGCATGCTGTCGTCCTCGTCATTATCCGTTAGAGACGAGTTGTTCTGTTCTGCGTCCTGATAATAGTCCCAGCCGCCGGCCATGCCGAGCCCAGCGGGCGTGACTCCCTCTGGAAGCTCAAGGTCCTGGCCTGCGTCGTCCAAGTGGATCTGCAGAAGCTGCTCAATCATCTCTGGTGGAATGTCTCCTCCAAGCTGATCTTGCAGATTGCGCATGGCCGCTTCGCCCTCGGACACGCCACTATGGTCATTGGGTCCTGCGGGAGTCTGAAACCAGTTCATGATTCTTTGTAGCAACCCTCCTGTGGCTCCTGCGGTTGCTCCCGCAGCATTGAAGATGGTTTGCATAGTATTGTCTCCCCACGGGTTCTCTCCTGGAGCGCGGGCGACAAAATCTGAAAGTGAATCTGGAGGAGGTAACACATCAGAGGATGACGTCCGCATATTGGTGAATCGCCTTGGAAGTAATGCGATCAATGCCGGAATCTCGAGAAGCATCACATGACGCGCTTCTTCGAGGGAGACTTCAAGCTTTGGTGCTGGTGGCGCCGCGGCGATGTCAGCGCTGTAATGTGGTAGTGTCTCTGCCACTTCCACCAGCAGACTAATTGTCTCCGGGGTGTTCCAAAGGTCTTTCGCTCGAGTGACATAGAGCTCCGTGTGGAGTTTTTCGGCGTCGGTAGAGGGAAGTTTCGCCCACAACGACTTCGGAAGAGGTGAAATGTCTAGAGCCGTGGCAAGAGCGGAGAGAATGTAAGGGTATTTGTGAATGGCGATGGCTAATTGCCTCCTCGCCTCGCGTGGTTTGCCAGATTTCTGGTAAGCCAATGCGAGTGATATTTGAATGTTAGATAGGAAATCCCATGCGGGCCCATACCCATCGTCCGAGCATAGTGCTATCAGTTGGGAGTGCTGGCGCCCACGAAGGGCAAACTGATCGATCATTAACGTGACTCCATAAGGATCGGTCAGTGTGTTGAGTTGCAGGAGAATTTTGGCCCATTCAAAAGCTGTTCGCCACGTTCCTCTCATTTCGAGGTTCTTAATGTAGCGCCATATTGCGAGATACAATTCTCGATTGGCAGGCTTGTCGAAAGGTACTCGTGCAATGCCATTTCGTAGCGAGGCAGGGAAAGAGCTGTGCACTGACTTCCCGAGCGAGAACAATGCCCGCTCGATCAAATCCCCTGACACCGCGTGGTCGCCTTGATGCTTTGCGATTTCGGAGACCTGTAGCAGAGTTGCAATATGGTACGGATACATGGAGAGCAATCCAATCATTCGTTGCGGATCCATGGATTCCACCACCATGCGGAAGTGAGCCTGAGTCTCCTGATAGAGGTTGTTGTGTACGATGTTGTACTTCTTTTCGAAGGATTCTGGATCGGGAATATTTTCCATACTCAAGCCACCACTTGTAGCCAGTGGCCATTCCTCTCTTCCTTGTACGAACACATTTCGCCGATGTGCAAGAGCACCCAGCTCCTTGCCTTTGCTGGCGACGCAGTATCTTCCAGTCAGTGCAGTTGCCAGATCAACACCCCCTTGCTGATTTTGGTCGCGTCGTCGTTGATTGCGTGGACTCGACCTCGCTTCTTGGCCTTCCAAGGCAATGTTGCCAAAGAGACTCTTCATCTCGTTGACGGGGTTCAGGTTCTTCTCTTCGATGGCAAGCAACTTGGTGGCAGTCCTCTCCCAGGTAGAGGCATCTTGAGAGTCGGTGGGTGCTCCTTTGCCCTTGTTGTTCTTCGCCGCCAGTTCTCTCAGTGCTCGGTCGACTTCGTCTCCAGAGCCTTCATTCTGTCGCGTAGACTCATTGGTGTTTGCCTTGCCCTTAGCCTTCCCTTTGCCTTTCTTCTTTTTCTTCCTCGATTTCGAAGAGGGTGTTGAAGCCAGGCGAGAATCCTCGCGCGCTGGAGGCTCTGAGGTGGAAGGATGTGTGTTTGGTTGTGGTTGTTCTGGTTCTGACTCTTCATCACCGTCTTCAACGCCCTCTAGCATGTCGAAGGCATTGACAGGCTTAGAAATAGCCGGAGCCTGGCTTGGCTCATCTTCCTCTGACTCCTCCGCCTCTTCGTATGCTTTTGTCGCGGCGGCGACCTGCCGCTGTAACTCCTGCTCTCTTTGCAATTTGCGCAGAGCCCTCGACGACATTTTGTATGGTGCAAAGGCGAACTAGGGAGGACAACAGTGAGGGTCGTGTGAGGATATTTTGCGAGGCAGACATAAATTCTTCCGAGGGCTTGATGACAAGCAGTGACGCATGTACAGTATAAACTATTGCGGGCGTTATTTGTTAGTGGGGAAGACGCCTAGACGTAGTGCCTACGGCTGTGCGAGCTCCGGTTGGCTGTCTTTTGTTCAAGGCTGCCTCCGCCTGCGGCATTCAAGCCCCTAACTTAGAACAGAAATGTCCATGATGGCTCGTGAATGAATCCAGTATCCACACTCAAACTACTGTATCTCCTTCGTTTCTGCCAACCTCTTCTCATGCCGTCAGCCTCAATCCCCTGACTTCTACCGCCTCAATGCGTCGAGCGGCTGCTGTCGCCCTCCGTACGGCTCGACGCTCCGCCTTTCGCAAGCTTCTTCACAAGACATCCATCTCGACGTCCGGCCATGTAGTGGCACCTGCGCATCCTTCCACAGCTATACGAAGATATAGCACATCTCGGCAACCATTGCAGGCTTCCATGCGTTTTCCGAAATTACCTCTTGCGTTCGTTGGCACACTCGGGGCGCTTGGAGCGTGGTACGCCTACAGGGGTGATGGGTCAGAGCAACTGCTCCGCAACCCAACTTCGCAGGTATCAGTAACACCTACAAGGACTTTGAGCACGAAGCCAGATATCGCCTCGCCTACTGCAGAACCTACTACGCCAGCACCTGTAACGGCAGGACAAGAAGCAAACCGGAAGGCCCTGGTCGTCGATAACGACCAGTTCTTCACAGGGGCAATTGTTGGTGAAGGGCCGCTCGCGAAAGATACGGATGATTACGGTAGAAAAGTCCTCGAGATGATGACCCCAGAACAAGCCACAGACAAATTAAGGAAGAACGAACAGTCCTTCCTTGTAGGACGAGGACGTGGTGTTGTCAGATATGATGTGGTCCAATTACCAAGCAATGACCCTATCGAGGATGACCATGCTGAGAAGATTGTCGAAGTTCCGAACACTGTGGCAGCCACCGATGGTGCTCCATCCTCTGACTGGATGTTTTGGGGGGTATTCGATGGCCATTCAGGCTGGACAACGTCAGCGAAATTGCGCCAGGTTTTGATCTCGTTTGCGGCACGCGAACTCAACAGCACCTACAAAGCTGCCCTCGAGAACGCCAAATCACCATTCCCACCTCCGGCAGCTATTGACCAGGCTTTGAAGTCTGCCTTTCTCAAGCTCGATAACGAAATCTGTCTTGACAGTGTGAACAAACTCAACAAGAACCCAAGCAAAAGGCTCGCGGCTGAAATCCTGGCGCCGGCGCTGTCTGGCTCGTGCGCCCTTCTCTCGTTTTACGATTCCAGAAGCAAGTCACTACATGTAGCTTGCACCGGTGATAGCAGAGCTGTGCTTGGACGCCGAAATGGGCAGACTGGAAAATGGTTTGCCACACCTTTGTCGGAGGATCAGACTGGTTCGAATCCCAACGAAGTAGCACGGATGCGAGCGGAGCATCCTGGTGAGGAATATGTCATCAGAGCTGGCCGCGTGCTCGGAAACCTGGAACCAAGCCGTGCCTTTGGCGATGCCTTCTACAAGTGGTCACGCGAGACGCAAGACCGGATAAAACAGCATTTCTTCGGACGTACGCCGCATCAGCTTCTCAAGACGCCACCTTATGTCACGGCAGAGCCTGTAGTAACGAGCACAGACATTGAGCCTTCGAAGGGTGACTTTGTGGTTTTGGCCACGGACGGTCTCTGGGAGATGTTGACCAACGAAGAAGTGGTTGGTCTGGTGGGGCAGTGGATTGAAAAGCAGAATAAGCAGGCTGCGAAGTCTTCGAACTCGAACACGGCTTGGCTGACTTCCTGGTTCCAATCAACAAATACAGATACCCTTCCGGTCGAAAAAGGTGGAAACATGGACAAGACCGGCCGCATCGACACTGGCAAAGATGGGAATCGGGAGAAGCCCATACGACAGCAGCAGTGGGACGTGAAACCGGAAAAGAACGGAAGATTCGTTGTCGAAGACAAGAATGCGGCGACACATCTTGTGCGTAATGCGCTGGGTGGAAAGGACAAGGATATGGTTTGTGCGCTACTCACATTGCCGAGTCCTTACAGTCGACGATACCGAGACGACTTGACGGTCGAAGTCATCTTCTTTGGAGAGGGCGAGGACACTGGTGCGGTTGTCATCAACAGTGAAGCAACCGCCCAAGAAAACAATGGAGCTTTGAAGGCCAAATTGTGACGAAACCAGGGGTACAGTTGAACCGTCGTCACACAGACTTCGGAGCGACTCTGTATGTCTGAAATTGTTTTGTTGCACTAGATGTGCTTATGACTACATAGATGTGGTATTGTAACGATAGTTCGAAGACGCCTTCAGCCTACCGACCTTTTTCTGCCGCCTGAGGAAATGACGGACGTGACAGAACTCGATCCCTACTCACATGATGCAGGGGGTTCCTATCAGAACCGTTGACACCACCTCGGGCAGGTCATTGCATCTGGTGCGATCCTAAAGGGTTCATTGACGCCTTTCACCGCACTCCCGTCTCGTCCGTGGGGAGTGATAGCTGCCTTTTCGTACAGCCTCAATCGCCGGTATTACCCTAGGATGCTGAAAGAGCTGCTTTCTTCACCTCCAGCTCAAAGTCCACTCCAGCGCTATCGAGCGATCCTCACATCTGAGAAGTCTGGATCGGTGTTGATGGTGATGGCGGTGGTGTAGCTGTCAGCGCTGCGCTTGACTAACCTGCTCAAATCGTACAACTTGCGTGATCTTTGGCAAGCAATGCAATCTTGTATCAGGAAGATAGATTCGTTTGGAGCGATGATGCCCAGATTTCTAGACAAACCCATCACGTCTCCTTTTCGCCTTTGAGCTTCGGTAGCCGGGCTTCTAGTGGCTCGATGGGCTTTTTGTTGCCGACGAGCCATCTGACTAGCGGACGCTGCACCAGCTGTGTGCCAACACTGCCAATGAAGTATAGAGTGACCGCTGTTGGCAGCTCCCATATGATGATGAGGGCTGGAAACAGGAATGACGCCGCCATGACGAACTGGGATATCTGCAAGTACACGACCTGCCTCGTCCTCATCGGTCCAAGCGGCATGCCCGTAATCGTTCTTTGTTGGGTCTTGATATACTTCCCAACCGCTAGCCATGTACTGGTCACTGAAAGAGCTCCAAATGCCAGAGGCAGAATCCACAGCTCATCAGGCGAGGTCAGAGTTGGAATCCAGGAGAATGCTTCTGTCTGGAGACCTGGCTCCGGAGGCACTATACTTGTGTCCACCTTTCCGTTTGTTTTTGTGAACAATGAGAGCAATGTTCTTTCATCACCTGCCATTCGCCGGATAACGTCGGCATTGACAATATAAATTGGCAAGAAGGAGATTTGAAGGGCGCCCCTGGACCAACTCCCCATAATCTTGTAGCTTTTCTGCAGTAACTTGTGTCGCACACTCAACTGACTCTGGACCCAGGCTTCAGCCTTTTTTGCAGTCTCTTCTGTTCCCCCGGCAGGAAATTGGAGCCTTGCCCTCCACTTGTAAGCTTCTCGCCATCCTTTCAGGATAGGAGCGATCTTTTGTTCACGCTGTACGCTTTTATTGGTGAAGTAAAGTATAGGTAGTGACAGAAGTCGGAAGAGCGTTGCTGTGAGAGGTATGGAAAGATACCACGGCAGCCCGGTAAGGGAGTGGACTCCCTGGAAAGCCTCCTGCGACAACTGCAATGCTTCTGCTACTAATCGATTTGGCCGTGACGAGTGGAACGATCTGAAGACGGGCGTCCGAGGAATTCGAGGTCGCAGACTGGGAATTCCTCCAGCTGGGGCGCTGTCAATAGATGCATGTCGGAGGCATCGTGTTGATAGAGCTCGTCGAGGAAACATCTACCTCAAGCACGACCAGAGCGCTGACACCACGCAAAAAGGAAGATCGGAGGAGATTGTTACAATGTCGTGCAGACAGTATTTCGGCTTTCGATTGCGCTCGGAGAAATTTGGCAAGTCATGTCACGCTCTCCGCCCAGCGCCTCCGACTTGACACCGACGCGTGCATGTTGGCCAGTGCATGCCAAAACCGTGCGTCATTGTTGGCTGGTAAGAATAGAGGATACCGTATCTCACACTTCAGTTTTGACCCCCTTGGAATTGTTTTGTCTGCTCTTCTTTTCCGCCAACGGTTTTGAAAGCATGTGCTTCGTTGAGCTTTGGCCTATCATTCAGCAATGGCCGCCTCGTCTTTCGTGGCAGCTCTGGCGGTAATGCCCCTTCTGCCCCTCATTTTGCTGCTCCTGCTTCGATTGTTGATCCGGGGCCTGGGCTGGTTTCTGCAAACCAGATCCAAGGACAGGAGGGCCGCTATCATAACCAAAGTTCGGCGTGGTCGTGATGCCATCTCGACCAGACTACGACCAACTCATCAAGATAGCGAAGATGGTTGGGAGAAGGTTGAGAAGGCTGGCAAGGCTGACAATGGCAAGCTAATGCACCATGAATGGGAGGGCATAGTTGGCTTCTTCCATCCTTTTTGGTGAGTCATTCTGCAGGTACGCGTAGCTCGCGTTGCTGATCTCATGCAGCAATGCGGGAGGTGGTGGCGAAAGAGTGCTATGGGCTGCTATTGCTGCCACGCAGAAACGCTGGCCCAACGCCATCTGTGCCGTCTACACGGGCGATCACGACATCGATCGCAGCGTCGTGGTAACGACCGTCAAAACTCGCTTCGGAATCACGTTGCAAGAACACTCGTTGGTGTTTCTCTATTTATCTCGGCGGTACTTTGTCCTCGCAAGCACCTACCCATACTTCACCTTATTAGGACAGTCACTGGGCTCCTTGGTCCTTGCTTATGATGCCTTTCAGCTCCTTGTGCCGGATATATTCGTCGACACTATGGGGTATGCCTTTGCAGTAGCGTTTTGCAAATTTCTGTTTCCAAAAGTGCCCACCGCAGCTTATGTGCACTATCCAACGATCTCTACCGATATGCTGGAAAGCCTGGATGACACCACGGGTCAAAAGGGCATCAATTCTGGAGCTGGAGCAGGGTGGAGAGGCAAGATCAAGCGATACTACTGGCTTGCATTCGCGGTGCTGTATGGCTGGGTTGGAAGGCAGATTGATGTGGTTATGTGCAATTCCACATGGACACAAGGCCATATACGGCAGCTTTGGGGATCAAAGGCAGCATCCTCAACATTCGGCGCCATCGTCTATCCTCCCTGTCCTGTTGAGGAGCTAGAGGCCAAGATCGAGGTAACTCCAGAAAGCGAGAAAGGACGCGAGAATATTATTCTCTACATTGCACAGTTCCGGCCAGAGAAGAATCACCCCCTTATCCTTCGGGCATTTGCCGAGCATCACAAATTGGCGAAAGACAAGCCAAGACTCGTTCTTATCGGGTCTGTGCGAAGCAACACACCAGACGAGAAGCACATCTATAAACTGCGACTTGAAGCACGCGAATTGGGAATAAAGGATGCGACAACATTCATCTGCGATGCGCCGTTCTCGGTGATCCTGGAATATTTGCAGAGATCAAGTGTCACCACGAACGGAATGTATTCGGAGCATTTCGGCATCGGCAATGTGGAAGGACTCGCGGCAGGTCTGATCCCAGTGGTTCACAACAGTGGAGGACCAAAGCTGGACATTGTGGTGCCTTACGAGGGAAAGCCTGTTGGCTTTCACGCTGAAACAGCTGAGGAGTTTGCCGCAGCTTTTGGTCAGGTTGCAGCCCTCCCGCCGGACGAACGATATGCTATGCGTTTAAGAGGTCGTGCAAGCACGAAGAGGTTCACAGAAGCAGTCTTCGCCCAAAAGTGGGTTGAGGAAATGGAAACCCTGGTGAACATGCACATTACGAATCGTTCTTAGGCTGTTGCGATCACGCAAGCTTTGTGGCATCGCTCTTTAGCCTTTAGACTACATGATACCCTCTTTGGAATTTGTCAAACCTCACCGAGACAAACACTATTGTTCCCTTCAACTGGCAAGGACAGGCTATCAAAGAGAGAAGTCCCAATCGATGTCACGTGTTGATTGGTAGCGCCTTGGCGTGATTGCCGCCGCCGTAGCCTCGCCGCAACTCTCGTTGCCTCTTCTCCAACAGTCTCTCTTTGTTCACTTCTGTTTTACCAAGTTTGCCGCTTCTCAGCGCCTTGCGCATAAAGTCGCTTCTTTCCCTTGCCTCTTCTGTCGATCTACCTCCTTCCTTCAAGCAAACCCATCTTTTCCACCGAAACCATCTCATCTTGACGAACCAAACCCTATCACCCTTCTCTCATCAGTCTTCACTTCCCGCAATGTCGCTGTGTCTAAACCGGCTACAGGAGGAGAGGTAGCTTTCATTCCCGAGACCCTTGTTTTGCAGTCACTAATCTCTGCCCAGAAAGCAGTGGAGAAAGGACCATCCATTTGGCTTCTTCGCGAAGCCCGTGAGGGGTGCCAATGGAGTCGTGGACTTGAAGAACTGGGAGGTTGGAGTTCCGGGAAGAGAGAAGACTATATGGGAAGGTGGACTATTCAAGTTGACACTCACGTTTCCTGATGAGTATCCGACAAAACCACCAAAGTGTGAGGCAAATTCGCCTTTCTCACTGAAGCAACTCTGATAATGATCTAGGCAAATTCGTCCCTCCGCTCTTCCATCCCAACGTCTACCCTTCGGGCACTGTCTGCCTCTCGATCCTCAACGAAGAGGAGGGCTGGAAGCCAGCCATTACAATCAAGCAGATCCTCCTTGGTATCCAGGATTTGCTCAATGACCCAAACCCAGAATCGCCGGCTCAGGCCGATGCGTATAATTTGTTTAAGAAGGACCGGGCCGCTTATGAACGAAAGATCAGGAGCATAGTCAAGGAAAACCCGGCACCATAGCCAGTTGGACGAGGCCTTGGAGACATGGCATGCCTGGAAGATCGGCTGGTATGAGTGATGAACAACTGCATTTACGAGCGCGGCGTTTCAGTGGGTATCAGGACAGGATTCTAGAGGATTTCGGGCGAAATGGGCACGTCTCATTGAGGAGCGGGCGTCGTGGACATACTCGTATCGAGGCGACATTCCCGGGCTTGAACAAATGATCTACTACGGAGTAACGCCGCGGCTGTGGTAAAGGCTTCATTCTTGCTTCAAGGATCGCAAAGCGCCTGAAAGGTGATAGCGTGGGGGTGCTGTTAGGCTGTGTGCACTGTGCATAAGAGCCGTGCGGGGAGTCGGATGTCTGCAGCATATTGGCTGCACGAGGCTTCGCAATGTGACAGTCTTGCTGCCCAAGAATTGGAGGCGAGCATCTTCCACCATTCAGCTTCCACCTAGGGTAATACAGAGACACATAGTAAGAAAGTCGCGTGCCCGAACATCCTTCGCCCCTATAGGAAAAGCAGGCAGGAAAATATGACATATGGAGGCAAAAAGTGGTCTTGTTCCGAAGACATGAATTTTGGTCTGGTAACGATGTGAGGTAGACCCAGTGGCGGCATCGGAGCTCGAGGTCCACCAAACAGCTAGAAAGATATCCCTTATCTTTTGTATCGTGCCGGGAACCGGCCCAAATGAGGTGGGTTGAGGGGCGGTGAATCTACCATGGTAGGTCTGTGTCGAGGCTGCTCTCACTGACAATTACTTAATCTTCATTAGGCAGGCTGGACACTCCGGGATCACCAGATGCGCTGACCTGCGTCAAGCGTTTGGTGGGAGCATTTTTGAGTCATCCCGCTCCCAAAATTTCGGGCCCTGCGCCGTTATTTTTATTTATCCCACGCTCAACGCCGCCCACACTTTTTCCAGACCTTGCATACAGTCATACTCTCTAAATCTGAAGGCTTCTGTACGGGAGCTCGTGGGCAGTCATGTGTGGTATATTTGCGTGCCATGGGTGAGTAATATATGCGTTAAGCTGTGTCCTCTGGCGTTCATGCCCACTGATTCAATGGCAGCCATCCGTCAATAGCCACCTTCAAAACCCAAGCACTCCAGTGCGTAAAGTGCCTCCGACATCGTGGCCCGGATTGGTCGGGCAACTGGGTGGGAAACAACACAATCCTCTGCCATGAACGGCTAAGTATCGTGGGCGTGGACACTGGCGCACAGCCTTTGGTCAACGATGAAGGAACCATTGCTTTGGCTGTCAACGGAGAAATCTACAACCACCGAATCCTGCGCAAACATTTGGACACTCCCTACAACTTCAAAACGCATAGTGACTGCGAGGTCATTATTCCGCTGTATCAACAGTTCGGCATAGATGCCCCCAACCAGCTGGACGGCATGTTCTCATTCGTTCTGCACGACAAGAAGAATGACCGTACGATTGCTGCACGAGATCCCATCGGTATTACCTCCTTCTACCTTGGCCGCTCGAGCACAACACCAGGAGCTGCATACTTTGCCTCTGAACTGAAAGCACTGGCACCAGTGTGCGACAACATCATTGCATTCCCGCCGGGTCACGTGTACGATTCGAAGACAGACACACTCACTCGGTATTTTCAGCCCTCGTGGTGGGATCCCACCAAAGTACCCGACACGCCCATCGACTACAAGCTGCTCAGAAAGACGCTGGAAAAGTCGGTGCTGAAGCGACTCATGGCTGAAGTGCCCTACGGTGTCCTCCTATCCGGTGGTCTTGACTCGAGTTTGACGGCCTCTATTGCGCAGCGGGAATCTCTTCGTCAAAGAGCAGTCATCAACGCTCAAACCAACGGCGCGTCCAGCGAGATCAACGGCGATACACCCCAGACAGGCTCCAAGCTTGTGGGGATCGACGATGAAGAAGAGTTGACCACGGTCACCTTCCTGCCACAACTGCACTCTTTCTCGATTGGTCTCCCGGGCGCCCCCGATACCAAAGCAGCCCTTGAAGTGGCCAAATTCCTCGGTACCAAGCACCACGATTTGACCTTCACCATTCAGGAAGGCTTGGATGCTTTATCCGACGTCATCTATCACCTCGAGTCCTACGACGTGACCACCATCCGCGCATCCACGCCAATGTACCTTCTCAGTCGAAAGATCAAAGCGATGGGTGTCAAAATGGTGCTCAGTGGCGAAGGCAGTGATGAAATCTTCGGCGGTTATCTGTATTTTCACGCGGCTCCAAACAAGGAAGAATTCCACAAGGAAACCGTTCGCAGAGTCAAGAACCTGCATTTGTCCGACTGTCTGCGAGCAAACAAGTCGACGTCAGCATGGGGTCTTGAGGCTCGTGTGCCTTTCCTCGACAAGCAATTTTTGGAAGTGGCCATGAATATTGACCCCGCAGAGAAAATGATTACCAAAGATAGAATCGAGAAGTACATCATCCGAAAGGCCTTCGACACAACCGACGAGCCAGATGTTAAGCCGTATCTGCCAGACAACATCTTGTGGCGGCAGAAGGAGCAATTCAGTGATGGTGTCGGATATGGCTGGATTGACGCCTTGAAGGACAACGCTGAGCTCAACGTGACGGACGAAATGATGAAGAACCCCAAACCAGAATGGGGCGACGACATTCCCGATTCCAAAGAGGCCTACTGGTATCGCACAATGTTCGACCAACACTTCCCGCCATACTGCGCATCCACGGTCATGCGGTGGACGCCGACGTGGTCGAAACAAACAGACCCAAGTGGAAGAGCGATCGCAACACATCTTGCGAAGTATGAAAGCGGGAAGGAATCATGATCACTGCTTTGTCAATCCGATAACCATCGTTGGCTGGCGTCCGGGGGCATATTCGAGAGCCATGTACGGGGAAGCTTGCGGCCATCTCTGGCGTGGCAGATAGCGTTGTCGTATATGTGTTGGGTGAACAAAACCGTCAAATGGTTCCATAGGTCACACTTGAGTATGTACATCCGCAATGTAAACACTTGTGTATGCATCAATGCTATCGGTCCGCATCTGTGTCATTTCGCTTGTGCTTCGTAGAAGCACGCCGAAGAACGCGTCAAGATGACATAGGGGGCAGCTTTGCCGAAGAAATTCCACCTTCTCGGAATATGCAGGGTGATTGGCTCCAAACGAATAGAACAGCTGCCGATGCAAAACAGATCTCCCCCCGAACACCCCGAGCCATTTTCTTTGAAGCTGCCACTATTCAAGTTCGACATCCTCTGTTGATCTCCCCTTTCCTCGCTTGGACAATCCTTCTCGATCTCTTCATCTTCCACAACCGTCATCATGTCCGGCATTCCAGTTCCTTTCAGCGATATCGCTAAGCCAGCGAACGATGTGAGAGAGACGGTTGCCGATTTCGCATTGAATGCTCTAACATACCTTGCAGCTCCTCAACAAGGACTTCTACCACACCACCGCCGCTAACCTCGAGGTCAAGTCCAAAGCGCCTAACGGCGTTACGTATGTTCCCCCTCGCCCGTTCAGAGGTCGGCGCTGATCATCTGAACAGCTTCAACGTCAAGGGAAAGTCCGCCCACGATGGACCTATTTCTGGCTCGGTGAGCACAACGATAACACAATCAAACTTCAGGATATCACATATTAACGGCAGAGGAAAGATTGAAGGAAAATACTCCGATAAGGCAACTGGTAATACTCCCGTGCGCTGCCTTGTTGCGGTGTCATGAGCGATGGTGGACTCCCGTTTGAGTCACAGGTGTTCGCTCGTTTCGCACGTGCATAGCTGACACAGCTTTGCGCAGGTCTTACCCTGACCCAGACATGGACCACCTCAAACAGCCTCGACACCAAGCTCGAGCTTGAGGACAACCTCACCAAGGGTCTCAAGGCCGAAGTCCTCACCAACTACCTGCCCGCGAAGAGCACCTATGGCGGCAAGCTCAACCTCCTCTACAAGCAACCCAACATCCACACCCGTCTGTTCACCGACCTCTTCAAGGGACCTACCGCCACTATGGACGTCACTCTTGGTCATGAAGGTTTCCTCATTGGCGCAGAAGGTGGATACGATGTTGGCAAGGCCGCCATCACAAAGTATGCTCTTGCAGCAGGATACAGCCAAGGTTCCTACGCCGCGGCTGTAACGGCCACCAACAACTTGACCATCTTCTCTGCCAGCTACTACCACAAGGTCAACACTGAGGTGGAGGCTGGTGCCAAGGCCACCTGGGACTCAACAGCAGGAAGCAACGTCGGTCTCGAGGTCGCCACGAAGTACAAGCTTGACCCCAGCTCCTTCGCAAAGGTAATTACCATCCCTCACTTAGAATGCAGCCTGCTGACCGTTTAGGCCAAAATCAACGACCGTGGTATCGCCGCCCTTGCCTACAACGTCAAGCTCGGAACCGGTGTCACCCTTGGACTCGGTGCTTCGCTCGATACCCAAAACCTCAACCAAGCTGCGCACAAGGTTGGTGCGTCGTTCACGTTCGAGGGATAAGCGCATGCACCACTCAACTGTATTTCCGTAGCCACACTGGATCAGATTGTACAAAGAGGCATAGAAGAAGACATGGCATCTGGCCATTTTAGTGATCGCGATTCATGGGCGACCGTCATGGTCCTGTGTTGATCGAATCAATCCCACAAGCGAATCTCGTCCTCCATTGCGCCCCTCTTTATACAATATTGAAGGTCTATCGATACAATCCTGCTAACCTTTCGTCCAATCGTTCCTGGGTCCGTCTCTGCGACTTCCGTCTGCTCGAGTAAGCCCGCCTCGAGGGGAGTTCGCCATCGACACCACAATGGTCCCGACAGAGACACCCAAGACTATGATGGCTGAGACGACGATAAATCGTCCCCAGAAATTATCGGCCTCGATGGATGCCTCTGCGGCAGCCAATTCCACCGCACGTCTATTTGCCCTTCTATAGTCCTCGTGTGTCTGCGTTTTGTAGGTGCTATGAGCATCGAAGGCCGGATCAAATCGGCCGTCTTCTGTGTAGGCGCCTGTGTTGAACGTTCCGCCCATGTGAGGCTGAGGTCCAGCTTGACTCGCATGAGCCTGGTTCGTCGTGTTCGCGGAAGGCTTCCCATGTGCGTAGAAAGAGGGAGGCGGGCCCTTAAAAGCGCTCCGTCTCTTGCTTAGCCCGGTGGCCGGACGATGACCGGCATATGTTGACCTTTGATGGCTCGAGTGCGAGCCATGACTGTGTCGGTGTGTATGGACGCGCATCACATCTCGATCATAGCGCTTCCTCTTCTCCGGATTTGCCAGCACGCTGTACGACTCGCTTATCTGGGCGAAGCGTTCTCCTGCCTTGGGGTCATTGTGATTCCTGTCGGGATGTGTTTCTTTCGAAAGCACATAGAACTGCTTCTTTAACTCGGCAGCGGTAGCATTCTGCTTGATCTGAAGTACTGCATAGTGGTTCGGAGCATCACCGGACTGTCGTGCCGCAGGCGTTTGTGAGAAGTAGCGTCCGCGTGCTCGTGCTCCATCTAACAAGCATTTCGTAGGAAGAAAAGGGATCGCGCGGCGGAGAGGTACACCTGGCAATGGTAGAGAAGCCGGGCGAAAGGGCATCCCTCATGCTTGTAACGGGCAGGAGACTGCTGACTAGGTAGGAGGTAGATTGGTTGTAATGGTAGAATTCGATTACAGCACAGGAGTGCGAGTGCGTGACGTCTTTCAATTTTTGGGTCGCAGGATGCGAGTTGTAAGAAGCCCCAAATGGATAGCGGTGGCTCTCGCCCGCAATTGGTCCGCTGCCGCCGACTCCAGGCACTTGTTGCCGCCTAAAAGTCTCCTCGAGGAAAAGACCGCCTTTTAATCGTTTTGGCTTGATTTACACACTCAGCTTTCTGTCTCTCGGTGACCAGTCTTTACGATGACGGCCAAAGCGGCAGACGAGCTTTCAAAGCTCGCTATCAATGGCGCTGGTACGGATCCCAAATCACAGACCAACGGCACAAACGGCACGAATGGCCATTTATCAGATCAGGACGAGTCGGACGACGACAAAGACGATGATGCGGTCGCCGCAGGTGGCGCCAACGGTAACACCGCCAATGGCGCTGCCAAAAAGAAGAAGAAAAAGAAACCAAAGAAGAAGAAGCCCGGTGTTGCCAAAGTCCAGTCTGACCCTCCTCGTGTGCTCGTCAGTCAACTGTTCCCGAACGAGTACCCGGTAGGTGAGGAAGTGGAATACAAGAATGACAATGCATACCGGACAACGAACGAAGAGAAGCGTCATCTTGACAGGATGAACAACGATTTCCTTCAGGAGTACCGACAAGGTGCCGAAGTTCACCGGCAGGTGCGCAAGTGGGCACAGGCAAACATTAAACCCGGTCAGACATTGACAGAGATCGCGGAAGGTATCGAGAACGGCACTCGCGCTCTTACCGGACATTGGGGTCTGGAAGAAGGTGACAACATCAAAGGAGGCGTGGGTTTCCCGACAGGCCTGAGCATCAACCACATCGCGGCTCATTATACGCCTAATGCTGGTAACAAATGGGTGCTGGGCGAACAGGATGTGATGAAAGTCGATTTCGGCGTGCACGTGAATGGACGCATCGTGGACTCTGCATTCACCATGACATTCGATCCAAAGTACGACAATCTTCTGGCTGCAGTCAAGGACGCTACGAACACGGGCATTCGCGAGGCCGGTATCGACGTGCGAGTGTGTGATATTGGTGCCGCCATTCAAGAGGCTATGGAGTCGTATGAACTTGAATTGGATGGCAAGACGTACCCAATCAAATCCATCCGCAACCTGAATGGACATGACATCGTGCAGCACAGTATCCACGGCGGGAAATCGGTGCCCATCGTCAAGGGCGGCGATCAGACGAAAATGGAGGAAGGAGAGATTTTTGCTATCGAGACTTTCGGATCCACCGGCCGCGGTCAGGTCGTGGATGATCTCGAAGTCTCCCATTATGCTTTACGTCCGGACGCGCCAAACACGGCTCTGCGTGTGCAGAGTGCGCGGTCGCTACTGAATGTCATCAAGAAGAACTTCGGTACACTTCCGTGGTGTCGGCGGTATCTCGACCGATTGGGACAGGACAAATACTTGCTCGGCTTGAATAACCTGGTTCAGTCAGGGATCGTGGAGGCGTATCCTCCGTTGGTGGATATCAAAGGAAGCTACACTGCTCAATTTGAGCATACGATTTTGCTGAGACCAACGGTCAAGGAGGTCGTTAGCCGTGGTGATGATTACTAGGTTGCCTTCTTCAAGAGAGGTGTCTGAAATCGCGAAGTCGACTTCTGACAGACTCACTCATACGATGAGAATCTTTGACCTCAGAGCCCAGGGCTTATGATAAATGAAAATGCATTTGTACCAGAAATCTATCCCGTAATGCTGCCTGTGGTCAGCAATCCCCACACATCGCTGTAATATGTTGATCACTGGCGGGCATGTAGAAGCCAGCCTCGTCAAGCTTTAAAGCGAAACTAAGACTGTCTGACTTCCGGCTTTTGCACGATTTAGCAATATGCGTGTTTTAGCTAGATGCGTATGTGTGAGGTACAGACGGAATGGTGGGCGTCCATCTCCTCATCATTGAGGCTTCCACCCGTATGCCTTCTCATACTTCAGCTTTGAGTAATGCTTGTTGGAACGGCGTACATCTGCCGTCAGACTACTGCATTTCTACCGGCGGTGGTCTTGGCACAGCCTCGCTTCAGATGCCGCAATCGGATTTGTCGGTGACGTCCATTGACTCACCTGCTTCAGAAAACTTTACATAACCAGTCTTCCTATGAAGCATTCCTTTCTGTTTTTGTCGTACTCCCAACCCAATTGAAAATTTGGGGAAGAGGTGAGATATATATCACCATGTCGACGTTCGGCAGTTACTTCCGGGTGACAACCTACGGCGAGTCGCACTGTCGCTCAGTAGGATGCATTGTCGACGGATGTCCGCCTGGGATGCAACTCACAGAGGATGATATCCAACCACAAATGACTCGTCGCAGACCTGGTCAGTCCGCTCTCACAACACCGAGAAACGAGAAAGACCGAGTCGAAATTCAGTCGGGTACGGAGTTTGGTGTGACGCTAGGAACCCCAATTGGCCTTGTAGTGCGAAACGAAGATCAGAGACCGAAGGACTACGGCAATAAGACGATGGATCTCTATCCGAGACCCAGTCACGCAGACTTCACCTACCTTGAAAAGTACGGCGTCAAGGCAAGCAGTGGCGGAGGAAGAAGCAGTGCTCGAGAAACCATTGGTGAGTGCCTCACAGAAGCTTTACGTTCACATATTGACCAATGTCAACAGGACGGGTAGCAGCAGGTGCAATCGCTGAGAAGTATCTCTCACAAGCACACGGCGTCGAGATTGTCGCATTCGTGTCTTCCGTTGGCTCAGAACATCTCTTTCCACCAACACAAGCTCACCCAACTCCTTCTACACAACCAGAGTTCTTGTCCCTCATCTCAAAAATCACGAGAGAAGACGTCGACTACTTTGTGCCTGTGCGATGTCCAGAGGCGAGCGCCACTCAGCGCATGACCAAGGTGATTGAGAGGTTCCGTGACGCGAGCGACAGCATCGGAGGAACAGTCACTTGCGTGATCCGGAATTGTCCCATTGGACTCGGAGAACCCTGCTTCGACAAGCTAGAGGCAGATCTTGCACATGCCATGTTGAGCATACCAGCTACTAAAGGTTTCGAGATTGGGTCTGGTTTCGGTGGGTGTGAGGTTCCAGGTTCAATACATAACGACCCATTCATTATCGCCGAGGACGGTGTTGTAGGGGAGAAGGGGACCAAGCGCAAATTGAAGACGAAGACCAATAACTCGGGAGGGATTCAAGGTGGTATCTCGAACGGACAACCCATTTACTTCAGGGTGGCCTTTAAGCCTCCAGCGACCATCGGCCAGGCTCAACAAACGGCCACGTTCGAAGGGGAGGAAGGGACCCTGGAGGCCAAGGGCCGTCACGACCCATGTGTTGTGCCCAGAGCTGTGCCCATCGTTGAAGCAATGTCGGCCCTCGTAATAATCGACAACCTCATGGCGCAGACTGCTCGAGAGAGCACTAGAAATCTCCTGCCGCCTCTACACGCCACTCTGCCGGCTAATGAGACAGGCACAGAGGCGGATCCAGCCACGGTGGCCGAGCATCTAAACGGGGCGAGTAACGGGACAAGCTGATTCCATGTGGTGGACTCTGTAATATAGAAAAGTTCCGTCGTACTGCTTAGGCTGGGTTTCGCACCACACCACATATCCACAAGGCGTTGAGACAGGCGGTCGTCAAATGATATCATGTATGTGTACCAGCGAAATTTGTTCCGTCGCCGTTCGCTATGCTCTTCATGAATTGCTCCAATATAGCCAATCCCCGTCGTGCACCTTCCCAACTTACGTCCATTCGCACAGTCTGGAGTGGACTTACCCAGCTTGAAGATATCTCCATCGTTCCCTAGCCTCGCTCTCCCTCCGTTCTTTCTCCTCTTGACTCACCATCTCCACGCCCAGGGCGATTCTCTCGTCCTTGGCTCGTAAAGCGCGCCTGACTCTCCATGCCATCGCCGCTACCAGCCCATACAGCACGGCACTAACAAGCTGCAATGCGACCATCGCCCCCCAAACACCCGCATACCCACCGGTTCCCGAAGGACACTCGTTCCTCGCCAGGCTACCGTACGAGTTGTCGTTCCCCACACAACTTCCCAAAAAGAAGATTGCGCTGACGAACATGACCACGCTTAGTATCGCGGAGAACCATAGGGCGAGCGTAGGAGAATTGACTCGCGCCAGGACGTGCAGGTGCAGACTAGGAATGGCGTTGAAGAAAGATAGCCCAGGCACGATGAGCGGTTGGATGACTTGTGCGCTTGCATGAGCGTCAGCGACTGTCTTTCAAAACCCCCGTACGACGATCACAACGCCTTGCAAAACCTAACACCGTGAGGGGATTTGGACATACAAATTTAAATCTGTCTTGAGACTCGCGATCCAAGTCGCCCCCAAAGCGATCTCAATCATGCTGAGGATGCCAATCGCCAAGACGAACCAGGGCGCATAGGCAGTCCATCTCGCTGTTCGAGACCAGCGGGTGTCGCCTTCAAAGGAGGCGTCTTTGAGGCCCTCGATACCGAGCATCTTGGACAAAGCCGAATATGGGAACTTTTTTGTATCGGTGGCTGTCGAGGGCGAGCACGAGATAAGAAACCTTCGGAAGTACTTTTGTAGGTAGTAAAGGCGCGATCTCAAGTCCTCGAATTCCTTCGTCTTGTGCGCATGATCTGTACTTATAGTCGCTCTGGAGTCTGAAGAGTGCTATAGATTATGGCTGCAACCAGTATCAACCGTAAAACAGCATGGCAAAGAGTACGAGTATCAAAAGAATAAAGACAGAAACACCTTGAGAGATCACAGACTCCCCAAACCCCTCAATTCTGTCACCAGATCAAAAGTTCTTGGGTTACATGGCTGGCCGTTGATCAATTGCCCCGGGGGGAGTATTGTGGGGTCAAGAGACAGGTTTCGGGACGCCTAATCAACACTTTGTTGCAAAAGCTGGCCTCTGATCGTTTATTGTACGCTATTCTGATTCGCCGTCATGATGCCACACAGGGCATATTGCGTAAATAAATACGTGGGAGACGCAGACAATGCATGCCGAGTTGCCGATATCACAGCCTCTCTCATCGGCGCGACCCGGGGCTGCGAAAGCTGGAGCCATATATATGCTCTCAATCACTGTACGATGTCATAAGTGATCATGACTTCCATATTAATATATCGCACCCGCTCGATATTCTCGACATCGATACGCGCACTTGCAGCCTGTTGAGAGACCAGACCAGACTGATTCCGTGAAAGGTTGCTAACCCCAGATCTCAGCGATCTTCGCGCTGAGTGCTTTGGCCACCTTTTTGCGTGGAATGGCATTTCCAAGACGATCACTTATCATGTTGTCTCTGTCTGGACCTCCTTTCCGCATCTCAAAAGCCTCTGCCAATGCTCGCGGCGTTGGCCAGATCTTCTGGATTTCTATGGCTTTGTCCCCAGTCACACCTCTCGTGCACATCAACATCTTGAGGTAAACATCCCTTAACGTCATGCTGTCGGATTTGTCACACATCGCGCCAAACAGGGAGAAAGTTATTCCAAAAACTATTCCAGGAGATAACCTTCTCAACCGCTCAAGTAATATCGAAGCCGCGTCAACTTCGAAGTTTCGCGAAGGTATGACGTGGATATCTTTCTTTTCATAGAGTGTCTTCAATGTCTTGGTCATCCGAGCCAGATATCGAATGGTGTCATCCAGTTTGGTTGTTTGCTTGACGAAGACGTTGTCGACGACCTGCATGCTCGCAATGGCACTCTCCACCGCATCGCCATACTTTTCGCTTTTCTCCGCCGAAAGAGAGTATTCTTCGACGACGTACACGACATGCTTGATGCCTGACTTGTGTAGACGGAACTTTTGCTCACGGAAGCGCCCGTCCTTGATGCTGCCGATCAAATCATCCAAACGCTTCCGCTCTAGAACATGCTCCAGTACGATCCAGATCTTCCCTGCCTGGTCATCTCCAAGATGTGCAGACTGAAGGACATCAGCATATGCTGAATTGACTTCAGCAATCCAGAGGACGTCTCCTAGAGGGAGTGAGCGTAGTTCGGGATCAACCCCAAGCTTCTTCAATTCGCCAGAAATGTATTCGCGGTCGGTAGTGGTCCGGATTTCGCGTGTGTCCAAAAGCATTCTTACCTCGAAACTGCCTGCAGGCAAGATAATGGTGTCATCAGACGCAGGTCCAGCGGCATTTGGTCCTGCCGCTCCGAACTTGCGCGCTTCGATACGTATGTCTGGTTCGGGGCTGGACAACAGATCAACGATACTGGAATTGTTGGTCGCTGCCGTCCCTACCTGGCGTTTTGGAGGCGACTGGTCAGCCTGCGTAGTACGTCTCACACTGAGTTGCGGCTCTGGCGAGGCTCTCCTCAGTGGACTAGGATCGGGAGTTGGTGCGTTCTTTTTGCGTTTGGCTTGGGGCGAAGGGACAGTGCGGCCTTCCAATGTGGCTTTCATACGTAGAAACACTTCCCATCCCTCATCAGACAGGTAGTATTTTTTGACAGGGTTGCCCTTCGTGCATACCAGCTCTTTGCCTTCGAGGGTTTTCATGGATTGCCAAGCAGTATAGAACTTGGTAGGATCACTTGGTGCATAAAAAGACGCGTCGGAATGAGGCTGCGCCTTCGCCATAAGGTCGTCCTTTGATATTGCTTGGTTGCTTTCCTGATCCAAACCACCCAGAGCCATGATCAGAGCATAGGCTCCAGACCTTAGTTTCGGGACATATGGTTGTGTCTTGCGCTGCTTTCGCTTTGGTGACTCTGGCTCGGCTTCAGCCAGTGTAGACTCTTCCGCATCTCCTGGCCCTCTTCTCTTTTTGCCTTTCACAGGCATAGGTAGCCCATTGGCTTCGCAAAATGCTTTGAGCTTGTCCGCGAGGCGGTCGCACAATTTCGGACCAAGCCCATTGAGTTGCTGAGCCTCCGAAGGGTGATTGAAGCGCATAGGGCATGCTATCATGGACTGGTAAGCTTTTTTGTACCTACGACCATCAGTACCCTGCCAACCTTCCAATGCCTGTGTCTTACACAATGTGACCTTTACTATTGCGCTCTTTGGCCTCATCCATCCACTCCTTCAACCACTTCGCAAGAAGGGGATTGGCGCAGGCCTCGGCCATTGTCGATAAAGGCCGGGCTCTCGAGAGCCCAAAATTCGTTTCGAGGCTTCACATCGCTGTCGCGTAGGACGATATCTACCTCATGTCGTCCCGTCGACCATCACTGGTTGCCTCCTTCTTGCTGTGCAGGCCCGCGTCGAGAGTCAGGCAGGCACGTGAACAGGCGTCGCAGGAAGGCGCGTGATCACGGGATGTGACTCAGGCTTGGCATTCCCTTGCTCTATGACTTCGTAGCCTGCATCGCGTTCATGTTGTCTATCAACACACATTGATGGATACGAGAATGATGACTCCACTTTCAGACTGTCCCATTCAGCTACTCAGACCATTGATGTCATGCTTGTCACGCTAGATGTTGCTACGTTTGAATCAGAAGACTCCACCAAGATCAGACAAAGGATGAGCCATCGACGCGGAACCGGATCAAACTGGTTCGGTTTGTTCCTCCGTCGAACGTGTGCCTGGAGATTAAGTATCAGATCTCGATTTCTCGGGTATCTGAAGTGCTTGCATGAGTACACATCGGATGCAAGATCTTAATCCACCTTGTGGAGTAATCGATCGCAATATCGGAAGTTATGGCTGGATGCTGACGTCTTAGATTTGATATCAACCTCATCCCGCGAATCCTCGCACAGCTTTCCAGCCTTGTTCCTGAACCCCTTCGTCGTTTCCCATCGGACAATGCCTGACGTTCCCAGCTGCCACCTGGAGAAGAACTCTCAGAAAACGGCATTCGTGAAGTCAGGTGGATCATCCTAACGCTTGCACAGGTGAGGCCCTCCACCAGCACCTTCGAGCTTTGCGTGAAACCCCTTGTCTCCATTTCGTCACAACATCCTTATTGTCATGGATGACCTCAAGGCGTGCCCATGAAAGTGTAAGTTTGCTTGGATTGTAACTGACGGATTCGTCTGTTCATGACGACACAACGTCCATCTCAGACGTGCTCTGGTAAGGTCCTTCTGCTGGTGGAATGTACAGGTGGGATATCATGTTATATAAACCTGGGAAAACATCTCCCCTGACAAACACTTTTCATTCCTGCATCAATCTTGCAAATACCACCTATACCCACCACAATATAACCATTGTTATCACTAGTCAACATGTCTGCCAACGACGAGTACCAGCCCGGCTCCGACAGCATTGAGGGAGTTAGTGGTGCCGACACCATCCAGAATGACTACAAGTCTCGAACCGGTCAAGGTCACATTCCTGTTCAGAGTGACGAGACTCCCGTGGAAGATCCCATCGATCCCAACACGGCTGACTCCGATGCCACACTAGGTAGGTGTTACCTACCACCATCTTGTGTACCAGACTAACCTTTTCAGCACGTGATGACGCTGAAGCCATTGACAAGAGCAACATTATCGATCAACGCACTCGTGGTGCCACCAAGCCAGGTGCATACCGAGAGCCTGGTGACGAGGAAGGTTTGCCAGGTCCGGAGGATGGTACTAGTGCCGTCTCTGGCGGCCCTGCGTAACTTCTACAACATTTATACGCCGCGTGAAGTGGGAAGCTTGTATTACTAGAAGTGAAGGAGTACATAATGTTACTATGCTGTGGTAAAGATTGTACCCTCAATGGATTTTATGAAATGATCGATGTCGTTCTTCAGCCCTATCAAGTGACGAGTGATAGCTTGATCGTGATTGCCTTATCGTGAAGCATTGCCCACTACGTGAGTATATCGCGATCCAATCACATATCCGTCGCTACTATATGCGCGTGGATTGTTTATCGTCTTGAACCGGTATTTAGGGAATACACGTTTCTGGTCGAGGTTGTACGATCAATACTCAATCTGCAGCAAGTCCGGGGCACAGCATGGCAACAGGAAAATAGATCCATCCGAGGGTTGACAGAGGTATGTAAGCTGAGGTCTTTAGAGCGTCGTCATTCACGAAAGCTAGCTGCTGCAAATGGTACGGAGTACGATCACCGCGATCTTGGGAAATACAGTTTCGATGGCACTTGGTACTCCTGAACGACGACTTTAAGCTTCAATGTTCACTCCTGGTGGCTTACAGGGTGGATTCTCAGACATTATGGGGGAGGCTTGGGGGCCGGCACCAGGGACACATCCGCCAGCCAGCCGTGCCACCTCAGTGCTCACAGCAACCAACCCCTGGCCGCGGGCGCAAAATGGCGTGTGCATCGCGGTTGAGTGTCCTACCTACTATGACCCCGGGCTGACCAAGGTACAGTCGCACCCTCTTGACCTCTTCTTCTCACCTTTATTCACCTGACAGCTCATTTCCGACCCTCTACAACTTTGCAAACTGGTCGCAAAGCTTTCGCGACTCATTATTTGCATTTACATTGACTCAACTATCCTTCCGTTGTATTTATATTGCATCGGCCTCTCTCCCTGACGTCATTATGCCTGGCGAAGAACCCGAGAAAGGAGACAAAGGTACGTAGACTGCTATACGCAACACCAGCTGAAAAGCACAGCACCAGAAAGCTGCATTGCTCATCAGCAGGCTGCTGTCGTGCTGAGGAGCCTTTGCGCCCTTAATACTCACTTTTTGAGCGTCCACAACTTTATGCTAAAGCTCTTTTCATTCATGCGCTGACATGTCTCTTCACAGTCTCATGGAACTGGGGTGGAGGCGCGCCAGGCGGCACCGTTGCAGAGAAGAAGACTGAAGGCGAAATCGCCATCACCAGCAAGCGCGGCAACAAGATCAAGAAGAATGCGGAACCAGGCAACCCTGCCGTGCACATCGAGCGGTCTGGCAACGATGTCGTAAAGAAAGCATCGGAGCTCAACATCGAAGAAAAGGCCAATGGCGCAAGCGGTGAGACTCACGAGGATAAAGAGGAGAAGAAGACTGGAGAGAAGAGAAAGCACGAGGAGGTCGAGGATGGCGACGAGAAAAAAGAAGAGGCTGAGAAGAAAGAAGGGGGTCTAGAAGACAACGCTGAGGGCAAAACAGTTCGGACAGGCGGCAAGACTGAAAAGGCTAAACCTGCTGCTAAGAAGCAGAAGAAGACCGAGAAGACTGAGGAGAAGAAGGAGGACAAGAAGGAAGAGAAGCCAGAAAAGAAGAAAGCTGGTCGACCCAAGAAGACCGAGGGTGCTTCTTCGAAAGCGAAGAAGAATCCGACACCTCGCGCTGGTGACGGCATCGGTTCGCGAACAAGGAGCCAGAAAAAGTAGTTATAGGCGCTGGATCTCTTTGTTTATGACGGATGTGCATGGGTGGTATAGGAAAACAGGCCTAGCACACGCTGGGACCCAGGAAAGGCTAGAAGCATGTATCAATGGACTAGTAATGGACAAAATCTAGGAACTTGGACCTTCTGAAATGAAGGCCGTCATCAGCTTCTATGTGCTAAAGCATCGTTCTCTGGATCCTCGCCTCTCGCCTCAGCCTTGCCCGCCTTCTCTGGATGGTAATTATCCTCGTCCCTGCCCTCAAAGAGTATTTTCTTCCTCCAAACCGCCCGAGCATGGTGGAACAGAACAAAGAAGTACAGCGCCACAAGACAAATACTCATGATCGAGCCCACCCACTGTACGCCCTGGCTATGGAGAGCCCTGCCAATATTGATAACAGCCAACGTGAATCCGACATTGGGAAACACAAACGCCCACCAATTCAGATGGAACTTGATCTTTGTGTGCACAGCCAGACAACTGATGACGCCGATGCACAAGAACCAGAACGACAAACACCATATAAAGACTGCGGCCATAATGGCGAGAATTTGGACCACCTGCACCGTGATTGCGTCCGGGCCGAAATCATTATACCCTGTAGGCCAGTGCTCGGACAGACCTATGATGGATAGGGCTGTAAAACTCGGAGGTCCCACTGCTATGAACATACTCGGTCGAGATGCATACGACGGCAAGCCATACATGATCATTCTTCGGACATAGCTGGCGTACATTCCCATGGAAATCAGCATACCGAGACCCTGGGCGGTCAGACCGCCGAAGAGCATGGGCATAGCGTATTCGCGGGGCTGATACTCGATCCCCGCCGAGGCGATAGTGCCGCAGAGCATGAAAGGGAACATAGGCAAATCCCATGCTGGTGTCATATCCTGGATCTTCAGCCGTGGGTTGGTGAAAAGTATCATGTACGCGAAGACGGCCACTAGGAAAGAGGCGCCAAAGTATATCCAGAAAAGGATCCGATAGACAACGATCAGCCAGTATCCAGAGGTTGGGATGCCGTAGTGCGCAATGCAGGTAATTATGCTTGCCAGAGACAGAAAGAAGGTGGCGAAGAAGAGTGACTCGGTAGGATGGACGAGACTGGCTTTCAGGGTGCCTGGCCACCTAGTGAAGCGGTAGGTGATTGCGCAGACAATGAGCGTGAAGATGCATAGGTCAATGATGTACACGACCTTGCCGATAGTCTGAAGTCCAGGAAAGGAGTGTGGTTGATTTGTTGGTGACAGGAGTAAGGCCAGCCCGCCTGTTGCCATAGGCCATGTGAACCACGCCTGGCATTCGGGTTAGAGAGCCTCGTAGCTATGTCTTAACAGGACGAAAGTATCCTTACCCAGGTGAAATGCTTGAGTCGGTGTAGGCCATGCTCAGGTACCGGCACATCTTTGGCCTCGTTTGTGGTCTCATTGGCATCGTGCACGATATTACTCCGTTCCTGTTGTCGTGATGAGGGAAAGCGTTCGTTCATGATTTGATGAACGACAGGTGCCCAAGATTGGGGTAATATTCGACCTCGAGAGACAGAAGAAAGGTGATGGTTTTTGCTATCTCAGACCATCGAATCTCAGAAACATTTCAGGGCGCGTGTCCCTCAAAGATTCGCTCCATAATTGTAGTTGAAGTGGGTGCTGACGTTGTCTGATAGATCCTTGTGCACGACTCAATATCAACGCTGGTCACAGAAATCAGTGGCTGTGTGTCTGGGTGTTATATGTTTTTGCAAGTGTCGTCCAAAACATGTGATGGTGGAACATGTGTGGTACAGGGTTTAATTTAGGAATTCGTCAGACATTCGAGTGGAGTGCATTTAATTGCCTTGACCCAGCGAATTGCGACCCCGGAATACACAGTTCTGTGCCGAATCTAGGTGTAATGGGCGCGCCTAAATCGTGCAACGCCCGGGATGTTGGCCCGCAAAGGGAGGTTTCATGGACTGTTGCGTCATGCATGGCTCCCAGCTGAGTCTTGCTCTTCATTTACAGTATGTAGAGTGGCCACAACCACATCTAGTAGCATTTGTTGACTGATATTGTAATTTGTTGTGAAGAAGGTCTGGCCAAACTCGATATACTACTCCAAGGCACGTAAGACTCGGCAAATATCCTGCCCGAACTTGAGTTGGTCGAGCACGGCCTCTGTCACGCTGCCCCTGAGGTATCCAGCCTCGTCCTCTTTCACCACACCATCATCACCACCAGGCTTTTTTCATCTACCCACGCCCAGCAGAGCCGTCAGGTGAGATACATCAGCCAGGAAGCTGGGGGAGGGCAAAGAGCCATGAAGGAAGTGTTGCAACGTCGGTGAGGACCTAGCCCTTGACCCGTTCCGGAACCATTTGTTCACACATTACCAAAGTGCTGTACCACTGTCGTGTCGTGACCTATTCAATACGTACAGGTAAATGAATGTGTCCATCCCTCTTCGGCTCTGTTTGTTTGCCAGTCCACAAACGAAGAAATCCCATTTCAGGCTTCACAAATGTCCTTGCTGATTATCAAGACACGAACACCCTGCTCGCTCTCAACCGTACAACGAGTGGGCGCCCCCATCTCGGCCACGATGGTAGCGGATACCTTGTACTCTCACGAGACATACATGTCTATCAGACCCCTATACGAGTACGTCCCCCTGACCTTCTACCTTCACGATGAACCATATCTAACATCCGATCGATGTAAACAGTGCCCATGAAGAGTTTACATCCAAATCGGGCCATGACTTTATTGATACCGTGGCCAAACCACTACTGTACACCCACAGCACGAACAAAACCTTCGGCATAACGCTGATCTACCGTCCCTTCGACCTCAAGCCAACACAGAAGCTAGTGACCTTCCGCGATGCCAGCATGCCCTGGGACGTGCCAGATTATGACGATGAGGACGCGCAGCTACCAACGCTCAAGACTCGGAAGCGTATGCTCGCAGTGGACCCGGAATGGCTTGACGGCAGGATCAGCTACATGTCTTACGAGCACCAAGCGTTTGCACTCCCAACGCTCAAAGCTAACGAGGAGCATCCCAGCCTGAATGCATTCACGGACTTCCTTGCTGAGTTTGGCAGGGCAGTCCAACAAGCAGGCCTAGAAAATGTGATAGGACTATTCTCTCGGCCGTCGAGTGACTTTCAGGGCGGCCTGGAGCGTGTCGAAGGCGGCGCTGTCGTTCTGTACCCGCCTGGCGAGTTTGTCGGTGCCGACCTAGAGGAAGCCGTGCAGACGGGCTGGTTCTGGCTGGAGGACGACGAGGCCAAAGAAGTGCAGGTGTGGTCGGCGGTCGACAAGACAGCAAAGGGGAAGTAAGGAGGCAGGGGAACCTCACTGTTCTCCAGCTGTGCTAGAAGAGTAAAACATGAACGACATGCTTCTCGTGAGCACACTACCATTTGAGCACAAAGGACTCCTGGATACGAAATGCGGTGCTCGTAATAACAGCATGATTGAAATCTAGAACTTACGCCATCGCTATGCAATATTATGGTGTACATGTATATGACAGTAATAGTCTCTGTGCAAGGCCACACCACCCTATACGCTTCATCGCTTCCCCTTGTTCTCGATCCTTTTTAGATAGCCTTGCTTCGGACCGAGTACTCCACGAGTGAAATAGCTGGACACGTCCATTGCTTTATGTGCACGCTTATAGCTCCGTCTCATCCTGGCTCGAAAGGTCATCGGCAACACCAGAGCGTCGTGAAAATTTGCAGGTATGTTGAGTTCTCTCTGGATATCTTCTGAGGACAAGTCGAAAGTCCTAGCAATGTTCGCGGCCCATGCGAGAAGGTTTTCCAATTCAGCATCGGCGTCGTTTGAAAGTGCTCTCGAGGATTGCTTGTCGGCCAGCGCACCTCTCACCAGGATTTGCAAGGTGTGAAGGTCAGGCACTACAATCGGATTCACCGTGAGATTGTCTTGGTCTGGGTCATCATAACCAATTGAATCAAAGGGAATGTCTGAGGATGGATCTTCCACATGGGCGGCAAGTGACGACAACATATCTGAACCTTGCGACAGTCGACTGCTGAGAGAAGGAACATCGGAATCGATTGACGGGATTCGAATTGAGTCGTTCGGCAGTCGAACTTCTCCAGACTCTGCTGATTGCATCACACTCGCTTCTGGTGTATCCTCGAGGTTTTCAGAGAGAGAACCTGCTTGTTTACTGACTGATCCAGACGTAGTAGAGCGCATGCGTCGACTTGATCGGGGATCGTGTTTGTGTTCTTCGGCCCCGAGTTGAGGAAGCTGCGACAGGCCATCATCACCGAGCGTCGTAGGGTTTGATAGACTGGGCAATTTGCAAAATATGTCCCACATGCGGCGGCCCTCTAGAGCACCTTTGACCTCGACGACTGCGGAAAAGATAGCATGAAATGTATCCAAGTCAAGGTTCGGACTGTTGCTGACAGGAAACTTGTTTATGTAGGAAGCAGCAATGTCTCGTACACGGCTGTCCGGAATGTCTTCTAGGAAACGCAGCAGAAAGCCAATTTGTTGTCTAAAAGTCTTTTTCTGAAGGACGTTGAAGTCTGCTTTTGGCGCATCATAGCGACCGCTCAGAATCTGACCGAGAAACCTTTCGGCTTGTTTGAGATCAGCATCGTCCGGATCATATTGCTCCTGCCGCTGTCGCTTTGTTTCTGCTTCAAGCCGCAATATCGCGGATGCCAAGTTGGCGACGATGCCCGGACTGTAGCCGCCCGCCTCGGACCTTTTCAATCTCTGAAGAAGAAAATGGACATCATCCCATGCACGAAAATGGATTTGAGCATTTGCAAGAGCTCTCAGAAGGTTGACTGTTGGCTTCCTTCTCGACTCTCCGGATCCGGCTAAGATCGACTTCATGAGGAAGATGTCGTCCTTAGCAGCTGCATGATGACTGAGCGCGATCGCGATAGACGGTCGCCCATGGACCTCAACCGGCACTACAGGGCCATCGATGTCGGAAGAATAGAGTAGCCAGTCACTCAAGCCGAACAGCTTAGATTTCGTCGCCATGTTGATGACCAGAGGAAGCTTGTACTCGGGGAGTTGACCATGTGAATTGATGAAGTCGGTATGGCGCTGTGTAGGTCTAGAAGTGAAGAAGCCGTCCTTCGGTCCTACTTGAAGTGACAGAAACTCGCCAATAGCTTCGAGTTTGCTTGCATCAACCTGCTTTTGGAGTAACGTGAGGGTACCCACAGCTTTGGTGGTAAGACTGGATTCGATGTAACGTTGTAGGGACTGATGGAGGATGCCTGCCTCTAATGCAGAATGCTCCAATATGTAGTCGACATAAAATCCTGGCTTTCCGAAACGGAGTGCTTTCGCACGTTCCAGGGTGCGCAGGACCGACACATCAGATGCCCATTTGGCCAATGCATCGGGGCTTGTCTGCAGGCGAAAGTTCTCGGTTTGGAAAATGCGCACAGTCAGATAATCGAAATAGCCCGGAGCAAGTCCATGCGGTTCAAGAAAAGCCACCACCTCGCTGATTTTGTCTTGGACGTCAGCGATGGTCAGTCCGCTATACGCACAACCTTGATCTATGCTATTGATCAAGCAATCAACAAGGGCAAGGACAACCTCAGCACTTATGGTTGTGGTAGGCTTCTCGACTGATGACTTGTCTCGACTGTAGCCTTCGATTGGACCTGCAGTAGATCCTCCATAATTGGGCTTGACCTGCTCCCAGTCGATTTGATGGATCTCGTTCTCTGTAGCATGGCCACCAACCGTCCAATGGATAGCAGACCATAAGTGGTTGGAGTCTCGACGCAAAGCCTGGATGATGCGAGCTCCAGCGGACGCAAGTCCTCCCTCCACACAGCACCAAAGTATAAACTCAACCCATACTGCTGGTGCAAGTTCCCGTATTTTGAGGCGGAAGCGACTACCTGGAACATCTGAGAGAAGGTCTTTATGAGTCTTGCCCTCCTTCAACAACCGAGAGATTTCCTCATCCTGCGAAGCACGCCAAACAGTATCTGAAAGAGTCGACAGGATCCTTGTCGACAATAAACTTAGTATCGGCGGATATTGAATGGTTGTTGGTGCTTGTGGCGTAGCATATGTGTAAACAGAGGCTGGGACCAGGCCGACATGATGAACTCGCGCGATGATCTGATGGACCATGTACATGACCTGCTTAGCCTTTTCCGCCGAGAGGTGCAATGAAGCTATGACGAGATTCGCCAGCATCGGCCACATTAAATGCATGACTGCTTCATTGCCACTTGCACCTTCTCTGCCGTGATAAACGCTTGCGAGTGCTACTGAAGACGAGATCCGGACGTAGGCTTCGGGAGCAAGGTCTATTGGCGCCTTCAAGAGCTCAGATAATGGAGCTGACGGCCAGCGAATGTTTGAAGGCGGTTCCCGGGCAGTAGACTGGTCGGCCCGATTTTGTGCTGGTTCCAGTATCTTGTTTGCAAGATAGATTACCGCTTTGTGCCGATGCTGGGTTAATACCATGTAAGTCAGGATATCCAGACCTTTGCTGCGTTGCGCTGTTTGGAGAATCTCAAGCACTTCCTGTGCATCATTTTGACGATCGAATACGGTGCGCGATCCCTCCCGGAAGGAAAGATTCAGATCCCTCGGCAAATATTTCTCTAGCAATGCTACCCAGTACTCGTGATCTTCTTCCGTAGGCTTTGAATTCTTTGGATGTTCATCTCGTGTTACCGCTTTTGCAAACTCCTGTGCTTTCGGGAGGTCGATGGACGGAGCCTGCGATGCAGGCGGCGCCGCATCTTGTTTCCAGATTTGTGCTGTCGAGAACGATCGAGAGACGAGCTTCGAGGCATTGTGTCGCCGAACTGAGATCGCAGGATTGAGGTTTTGCTGATTGATGGAGGATGCTCGGGAGGCGCGCTGGGGGCAGTGCAGATATCCTCTGATCTGAGCATGTTCAACCCATCTGCGCATGACCTGGGAAACACGGACGAGAACACATCGGCATAACCTCCACAAAATCAATTTGAAGTGGAAGGGCGGGCTGAGCCAACAATATACCAAGTCAATCGTGATGGCTCATATATACATGGTGGACCAGACGTTCAATGATGTCTACACTTTTTTTCCAAGTCGCGCGACAGACCACAAAATTGCGCCCCAAATGTCGGATCTAGGTACGGTGGAACACAGTACGGTGGGTGGTCGTTGGTGCCAGCCTCGCCCGTCAATGCCCATTCTCGCCGTCGCCGGTGCGAGCACTCAGAAATCCAACAATGGGGTAAACCCCTCACCTCACCTCAGATTATTGTACTCATAGAGCAGCTCCCCCATCATCATCTCTACATATCGTCCTGCGATACCCGACCTCAGAGTCCTTCCTCTCCGAACTCAATTCATCGATTGCTCAAGGCAATCCTGCTTAGCCGTGAAAATGAACGGCATACCACCACGTGCGTGCTCAACCAAACCAGCCTGCTGACAATGACTTACACAATGCGCAGAAATCGAAGCCTACAACCAGAAAATGCGCGAGTCGTTGTATGTGTCTCTCAGACCCTATGCATTCGATTCTGTGAAATGCTAACACGACTCTTCCCCTCAAAGCTACGCAGCCGCAACTCCGCTGAACATTACCCTCTTCGCTCTCCTGGCTACATTTGTATACTTCCGCATGCGACCAAAAGAACCTCCGAGTCTTCCCAAAGGCCCTGCCCCGATCGTCTTTCAGACCTATACGCCGCGTACTCTGCTCAAATCCAACGGCCAAAACAATGCACCGGTGTACCTGGCCGTCAGAGGCAAGGTCTACGACGTAAGCAGCGGGCGTAATTTCTACGGTCCTGGTGGGCCATACGAAAACTTCGCTGGTAGAGACGCCACAAGGGGCTTGGCTTGCCAGAGTTTCGACGAGGATATGCTGACGAAAGACCTCGATGGGCCATTGGACACTTGCGAGGACTTGACACCGGAGCAGATCGAGAATCTGAACGGATGGATCGAGAGATTTGATGAGAAGGTAAGTGCTTAACATCCAAAAATGGCTAGATGTGAATCGTAACGCTGACACTGTATTAGTATCTTGTGGTTGGCAAACTGATGGCGTTCAAGAAGACTGACTTCCATTGACGAGTCAACACGTAATCATTAAAGGATGGAGAAAATGATAAATACACTAATCATACTTTTCGCATTGTGTTATTGCTATCATAGCTATCAAGCTCTAGAGGTACAGTCCGTAAAGCCGTTACCAGCCCATCTCCGTGTCATGTCATGATCGTTGATTAATCAACCGACTCTCCCCGCCTGTTCCGCCGCATTCACCGTCTACCATATTTCAGGGTATCAATTTTACGGACCAAATATCCATTCCTTACAATTCACCCTTAGCAGCGCTCTTGGAGGCACTCTTGGAAGCAGCGCTGGCAGCCGAGCTGGCACTGTAGGCACTGTCGGTAGCGCTCTTGGACGCCACGCTAGCAGCTGAGCTACCACTTGCGGCAGCAGTCGCGACAGCAGAGGCACCTGAGCCCTGGATCTGTCCGAGAACCCATTGGACACCACCCTTGATCCGCTCGTAGATGGATCCTGTAGGAGAGGTGGTGCCATATCGGAAGTAGTTGGCTTGCTTCTTAGCTTGGGCTCGAAGCTCGTTGGTGGTGGAACCTTGGTAGTTTGGAATACCGTAGTTGTCAAGGTAAGCCTTGAGATCACTGTCAGACCAGGTGTCGAAAGTGGTATCCTTTGCAGCATCAGTCTGCTTGGCAAGGTAGCTGGTGACAGAGGCATAGCTAACACCGCCGGACTTGGATGCGGAAGCGTAAGAGTCTTGGACTTGCTTGACAAGTTCGTCACGGTTTGCGTTGGCATACTTCTTGGCTTTCGTGCCATGCGACTCCAGGTAAGACCGGAGGTTGTCGACGGTCCATGTATCGAAGGTCCAGGCAGACCAGCCGGTAGCCGCCTTGTGCTTGTTGAGTCTTACTTGGGCCAGGAGCTCATCCTTCTTGCCACCTTGAGGAACTGGAACACCACGAGCATCGAGATAGGCCTTCAGGCGGGATTCGGACCAGGTACCGATTGCGCTCTCGAAGGCTTGGTCGACCATGAGAGATGCATCATCGGTAGCCTTAGCAAACTGGTTGCCAGCAGAGGATGTGGCTGCACCGAACGCAGAAGCAGCGGAACCAGATGCAGAAGAGGCTCCTGAGGACAGAGCTCCAGATGCAGAAGAGGCGGTCGAGGACAGAGACCCAGAAGCCGATGAGGCTGACTTCTCAAGCGCGGAGCGCTGCTTGCGAGCGAGAGCGACCAATTCGTTCTTCTTGCTGCCTTGTGGAACAGGGACTCCATGAGTGTCCAAGAAATCCTTCAGCTTGCTGTCAGACCACGCGTCGAAGAGAGCATCGCTGAGGCTTGCTTGCGCACTGGCGGCAGATTTGCTTGCTACCGAAGAACCGCTCGAGTAGGAGGCGCTGGCAGCAGAAGCTGCTGATTGACTCTTGAGGGAAGCCAATCGACCATTGCGTCGAACATGAGCAATAAGCTTGTCACGAGTGGAGGGTTGAGGGACGGGAATGCCACGTTCGTCGAGGTACTCTTTGAGATCAGACTCGGTCCAGGAAGTATAGAGCCAGTCACCAGGGTAGTGGTAGTATTCGCCAGTTTTCTTTGCCACAGCTTCGTAGTTTTGACGGACAGAGGACAAAAGGCTATCTCTGGTACGTGGCTGAGGTGCAGGAATACCGTGATGATCGAGGAACGACTTCAAAGACGAGTCTGTCCATCTGTTCAATGGTTAGGGGATGGACAACCATCTCAGAGGGGAAACACCTACGTGTCAAAGATCCAGTCCTTGACATTGCCAAAGCTGTCGGAGGCTTTGTCTCCACTTGCAACGACTGGTTCGGCCACCTTCGACTGCCAGTTTGCCTTGACGAGGTTCTCAAGATCTTTTCTATCGGCAGGGGTAGGATAGGGAACATCGTGGTCTGAGAGCCATCGTTCGAGCTCAGTCTCATGCCATTTGTTGTAGGCTGAGAGTTAGTTAGCATTGGTCAATCACATGTGAAGATGAAGTGAGCATACCTGTTTTGCCAAACCAACTGCTAGCAACAGCAACCTCAGTCGAGGCGAGCGCGACAACGAGGAACTTGGAGAAGGAGAACTTCATCGTGATGATAGTTTCCTTGAAGCTTTTCGTATGAGGATAAAATGGGGAGAGGAAAGAGTTTGGGAAAGAAGAAATATTAGGGAGGAAACAAAAAGTCAAGGAAGGAGCAAGTGACAGCGTGTTTGTGCCGGTAGTTTGACGTCAGAGCGTATTCACCATCAAGTTCACTTAGGCGATAACAAGTGGTGGGCTGTTCATCATGTGCACGGTGTGGCGCAAAAAGGAGCAAGCTACGACATAGTAGTTCTAGGCAGCAGGTCGGTGCGCCCCAGCAGTGTCACAGCAGCAGCATTTCGATTTCAAGCTGTTTCCAGGCCAGTCAATCTCCAACGATGACGGTTGGCAAATCCGACGAAAGAGAAAAGACATCGTGACGATGACCATTGACGCGATTTGCGGGGAAAGACACCCAAATTTCTAACCACGCTATACGTCATGCTACGGGTGGTGATTCCATACTATTTTCGCTACCAATTGACGGTCAAGATCAGAGATTGAGTGTACCACGGACGAGGATAGAGAGATTGTTTTGATAGCGAGCGCTTGCCGTCAGTACAAGATAATGTATCTTACAGTACGTCGAAAACGTACCTGTGGTCATGAGGATATTATAGGACATCTCAACACGTGAAGCGTGGCTTATGTACCTATCACGCCCCGTACTCCATTTATCTTGCACCATCGTATGGAGCCTTGGCGTTATCGCAATGAGATCATAACATTCTTCCGTGCTTGATCTTACTATGTGATAGACTCCATTCGAAGCTATCACAGTAAACTGTCTTGACTGTATTGCAAAGCCACAGACAATAATTTCAAAGTCGGTATATTCAGAAAATCATTCCAGTACGCCATTAATCCAGTCTGTTATCTCTGAATCCGCTCACCATGCAACCAATCTTGCGTCTGGCCATCAGAGCACCCCGAGCTCCTAGACGTGTTCCCATCCTATCTTATACCGCTCAACCACGACGATTTGCACACCAAGACTATGGCAGTAAACAATCAGGCATGGAGCAGGGCACGGACGAGAAGAACCCAAAGGTAGACCTCGAGCATCCTGGTCCAGAAGCTCCTGCCAAAAAGGGCTCGTCGTCGTCGTCGCCGTCCTCATCATCATCATCCTCCTCCTCCTCCTCCTCCTCCTCCTCCTCCCCCTCCCCCTCGTCTTCGGAGACACAACAATCATCGAGCAGCTCTTCAGACGAAACCCACGGCGCGAGACCAGCAATCCATCGACCTAAGTCCGCCGCTGAAGAAGATGACCCGGAGGTGAAGAAGCACAATGAAGATATGGAGAACAGACATGAGCGGTCGGTCAATCAGTTGGGTGAGAAGGACAACAAGGTGAACAAGAACTTCTGGAAGGGTAGGTGAATCAAATCTTCGTCGCTTTGCAAGCTGACATTCAAAAGGCGATGTCGGTCAGAAAGACACTGGCAAGTCCGACCAGAACAGTGCTGGCGGGCAATGAGAAGTGGTCGTATGAGCACGATGTACCAGGACGGCATCCTGCGGATCTCTTGGTAACGCCAACTGGACTCAGGGCCGCAATCGGGAGCTGGAGTCATGGGATACTCAGAATATTGCCTCAGCATTTGAACAAAGGGCGTACTTGATTGTGGCAGCTCGAGCGAAACTCTCGCATCATCCCCTCTTCAGCCGGAGAATATCTTGAAGCTGGATTTTCCCTCTCTGACCCCATCCTGCTTGGCCATGCTCCACGTCAGGTCTAACACGCACGTACCATGACTGAGCCTTTTGGTCCAACTCCTCATTGCTCAATGTGACCGCCCAGCTCTGTAAAACAGTATCAATGGCTTTCAGCGTGATTGCTGCCGCTTCTTCCCTCTTACTGGCCAAGCTTTTGGCGGTTCCCTTCTTAGCCGCTTGTTTGCCCTTCTCTTGCTCGCTGGACGCTGAATTATCCTGTTCAACGACGATCATCGACTTCAAAAGGTAATTTCGTGCTGCGAAAGGTTTGTGGATGGGAGGACCGTCTTGCCTCTTGCCTCCGTTTCCTGCTGTTAGTGGTCCGTTCGACCGGCGGAGGGCTTCAAGGTCCAACCCCCAGAAGGCTGTAGTGGGAGCACTGAATTCAGCTTCGCTACTGGAAACGACATGTCTGCGCATGACAGCAACTTCTCTTCCCATTATCTTGACCTTTGGCTGACCGAGAGCCCATCCATCCTCTTCTGCGGTCGGCCCAGATGTCAAGCCAAGATATTTCGCTTTGCTCTGCGCACCAGCACTTACGACCGCTTGCGCCATGCTCCAGCGACTTGAAAGCGGTTGCTCAGCGTGAGTATAGGCAAGCACAGCGATGGTAAAAGCGAGGAACAGAGGCGCTCGATTGGTCTCGATCGTCGTGGTTTCGATCTCGTCGAAGGAGAGATCCGAAAGCGGCAAAGCCAGTGCCTCTTCATCATCGAGTACATTGGATTCCCCTTTAACGCGCTTTGATGCAGGAGAACTTGCTTCAGAAGAGGGGCGCTTTCTTGGATTGACTACGCGCTTCGCGGCATTGATCACCTGCTTCAGCACTTTGTCGTCAGTAAACACAGTCTGCAGGACCGCTTCGTCAGCCTTGGAGATGCTCTCCGGGGTATTGAATTGCTGTTTCCGAAGAACATTTATCTTAGACATTGCTTCAGCAAGCGGGATTTTGGCATCTTTGGTCAAAAATCGGAGCAACGCCTGCACCTCAGCAGCCGCCGCCATTCTTGACCCGGTGAAGACTCAACAGGCAAAAGACACGGCCACAAAATGGTAGGATTAATGTAATGACAATCTCCTATGGTCAGTGCGGAAATATCTGCTGATGGGTGATAAACCGAGTCAAAGGTCCGGCCACCAAGTGGATGTCAATGGCAAATCAACCGCCGCCAAAGTACCTGCCAAGTCTCTGCGCTTTAGAGGATCAGGCTAAGCCTAGAAAATCGCCCGTACCATATCTGAACCTCAAGTCATCACTACCGAGACGACCTTTCAGAGACTTCACCTCCCACCACCTCCTTCCCTCCTGCACGCTCGCCCCCCTCCGGTACCTCCGACAGCTTCGAGATAGTCCTATACCACTTATATCCATCCAGGATAGGCTTCAATCGCGTTCATTGGCATTGGAGTCTAGAAAGGGGTGGCGCAGCGCCCAATGGCGCGACGACCTCCGACCTTGGGATCGTTACCAATGGAAGAGATCAATACATTAAGGCGACTGTCGATCGAAATCCCTAATCCCAACATCTTCAGTGACGAATACGCTGTCAACCCCTTCGACGCCCCGTCGGACCACAGTCCGGTCGATTCGATTGACAGCCGACCGGAACAGCTCAACCTCAGCAGCGATCTACGGCATCGTTCTCCCTCAATCAACCGTTCCTCCATACCCGAAAGAAACAATCACACTCTTCGCTCCGCGGATCCCCACCGGGCCATATCACTCTCGTCCCGTTCCATGGCAGACACCCAGCGAACACTAAGCACATCCTCACGGCTCTCCATACCCCGAAGCCAGAGCCCTTATCGAGGGCCGACGGCACCAAGCCAGCCATATGGCATGTATTCACAAGTAACCCGTGCCTCGAGCATCGCAAGTGAATCGACGATCAGGCCTGTGGAGCGACCCTTTTTATCACATACCGCACCCGAACATCCGTACTCTATGTACCCGCAAAACACGGTACCTGAAGAAGATCTCGATCAAGATACACATGTACCTCTCGGATTCCCGGTCCTAGGCCTTCACTCGGGTTCCAACTCGACTGGAGATGACGCTGGTGATATCGTGGGGACTGATGGGCACGTCGAACAGCTACCTCCCTATAGTAGGTATGCCGACAACGTTATTGCAAAGGGCGACATGGCGAGATTAGACGCGGCAACGACTATGCAGCATTCAGGGTCCGGGTCTCCTGTTCAGCCTGCCGTCTCTCCGGCATCAGATGTCGAATTGACGACTGTTGGAGCAGGTGCTCCCATGGAAGAGGTGGCCAGAAAAGAGGGATTTGTTCAGAAGAAATTGAAGAGATCGTGCTGCGGATTGCCTTTATGGGTATGGCTGGTACTGGTTCTGGTGGTCTGTCTGGCAGCCGTTCTCGGTGGTGTGATTGGTGGTGTCGTAGGGAATCAGAAGGGAGCACAAAGTGCTGCGTATGTCCATTCCATCCCATTCAATGAGGAGTGCTAAAACTGGTACAGGTCTGCTACCACTACCGTGTGGCTCGACGCCGATCCCGCCTCCACAGGGCCTTCGACGCCGTCTTGCCCGACCGGACACTGGACAATACCTCTCAACAACACTGATCAAGTCAGTTCCTGCGTTGTTGGCGGTGCGCCTCAAAGCGTCTGGGACTGCATGGACTTTGCGAAACTCGGTATCAATATTTTCGACAGCGGCCAGAACGGAAGCCATCCAGGGCCCCCTTTATCGGTGGTGTTTGACGATTACTCCTTGAGCCCACAGTTGTTCAGATATGGACCGCAACCCCCCGACTTTAATGGCTCAGCGTTCGTACTAAAACCCTTCAACGACAAAGACGATGATCAGTTGGGAATCGCCTTGTTCTTTAGTGTTCTTTTTGATAAAGTTAATATCTGTGAGTGAAGAATTCGGATTCTACGAAGGTTGACGACTAACAATGGGATTAGTACCGGCCTACGCGCTCACCACCCCCAGTGCGGGTTCGAAAAGGTCGCTACCTGCTGCCGAGCTGATGAAGCGGGATGCAGACTGGATGGGATCCTATCTCAGTGTTGGCGATCAACCATGGTATTGCTTCTGGAATTCCACGATCAGCGAGTTCTGGATCTTCCTGGACGAGAATATGGACGGCACGAGCACAGCCAATGCCACCATCACGTCCTCCACTGGCATGGCAACAAACACAGCCTCCACTTCAAACCCAGCCACGTCGGCCGCATATACGACGTCGCCACCAACGCCAACGCCGTCGTCGGCTACGCAGACTGGTGCAAGCCCCAGTACGACAACAGGCGCGACGAGCTCGGATGGCTACTGGAATGGGGAGAAGATGAAGCGCTCAGCTGCCAGCGGAAACGGCTCAACAAGCTTCCCCAAGCTGGTCAAGATGCTTGAAAAGCGCAAACCCGGCCAGAATATCCAGCCATATTGTCAACAGATGCAAGTGCTCAACGACTGGCAAATTGTTCCTATTCCGACTGTGCAAACCATTGCGGTCGAGGAGTTAGAATCGACACAGTCTGCATCTGCAACTGCAACTTCAGGTGGCAGCAGACTGGCGATCCGTAAGAGAGACTCAACAGAAGGGGTAGGGTCAAACTGTCTCTGCGAATGGTTCAGTATATGAGGCCGAAAAAGAATTTGCTCCTGCCTTTTGATGTGTTTACGAGTAATGATTAATTTACGGTGGATGGGGTTTTCTTGTCTGGTGTATCGGTGTATATCAGCGAAAACATTTGCCAAAGCTTTTTGCAAATGTCTCTGGGATGGAAGTTGGAATTCTAGCGCTGTCCGCTGTCGAGAAAATGCCGATGGTGAACAGTTGGGATGGGCTTTTGGCTGGTACATATTTCTTGATCGTCGGAAGTCGAAATTGGGGACAAAATACTTGACATGATAGAAAGTGTCGACATCTTTGAAAGTTCTACCATGGTACATGCCTGGATTCAGATACTCTTTCTAGGTCGTTCATCAGAGTGCAGTGGCAATTATGCACTTCAAGCAAGAATGCGTGCGTCGAGCTGGCAGTTGACAACGTCCGACCAACGAATTAACAATCTAGTCCTTACAGCGTAGGTCACTGTTGTGCTTCATTGGGTTCCCGCTTTCACCGAGTCAACATTCGCCGATGGCTGGCTCGCGTACGTGGCGCTGACTGGACCTCGTCACCTGGCCTGCATGATATGTCTCAGCCCAACCTTCACCAAAGCATAATAAGTAGCCCTGGTCGTTGCCTCTCGTATGCTCACTCATAGACTTCTCCTGCATCTGGTGAACCTCCAGACCACACCTCACCGTTGACACACCACAGCATAGTCAGTCACATTGACTTTTTGGGTTCAAGGGACAGAATGGGACGACGCAAAGCACTTCTCATCGGCATCAACTACTTCGGGTCACAGCATCAGCTCGCAGGATGTATCGACGACGTACGCAACATGCAAGAATTTCTCGCGTCAAGGACTTACAGCAACCACGCAAGAGACATGGTCGTCTTGACCGATGACAGCGACCCACGGGGCCCCTACTTCCCAAGCGTGCATAACATCATTGCCGCCATGCGCTGGCTGGTTAGTGAGCCTGAGACCATGTGTTTCTTGCATTACTCGGGCCACGGCGGTCAGGTTCCTGACCAGGATCGCTATCGGTCGTCTGGGTTCGATGATACGATCGTACCTGTTGATTTCGAGGTAAATGGTCAAATACCCAGCGGCGCACTGCACCGGATGCTGGTTAGCGCTATGCATCCGTCAAGCACGCTGTTCATACTATTTGATTGTTGTCACAGGTCAGTGTCTATCGTTGGTGCATGTTCAAGACTCTGGCTAATCGCTCCTGGGTACACAGTGGGTCGGCAGTCGAACTTCCTTACGTTTACAGGACCGACGACGACGGAAACGTAAATTTGATGGATAATTTGAAACAAGGCGCGGAGCTTTTCGGTGAGGTTTGTGCTATGAAAGTCCTGCTCGAGGTGGGGCGTGGAACTGACAAGTGTTGCTATGTAGGCGGCTCATCTGATTCGAGGAGACATTGCGTTCGATGAGGTCGGTGAAGCGCGGCATCTACTTGCTGGGGCGACCAGCTTTTTCAGATCCTTGAAACATCAGTACGATGGCGACGACCGTGAAGGACTGCAGGAAGATGGCGATTTCGATGCTTGGGCCCAGGAGGGCAAGAGTGTGTTCATGTTCTCGGGATGCAAAGACGAACAGACGTCTGCTGACGCGTTCATCAACGGGCGCCACGTTGGTACGTTCAGAAATCTTGTCGTGCTAGAGAGGGCTGTACTGACTGCGAGGAACAGGAGCCATGTCATGGGCCTTCCTGGAGACAATGAAGATGGATTACAACTGGAGTGTTTCTTATGTGCAGATTTTGCAGAATACGAGGGACCTATTGCAGCAGCGTTACTCACAGATACCTCAGCTGTCATGTGGTTACCAGTTCAATCTGAATAGTCCATTCAGGATATAAATGACGAGGCTCGACCTTTTTGCCAAAGGTTCAAGAACGAATTGACAATTAAGAGGCTAGAAGGCGACTTTAAGCCGGGACCATAGCTGCATGCCCTGAGTACCGAGCATGCCTCGGTCGAGTTGGGGGCAATAAATCCTTGTGGCTGCAGTTTCAGCACTTTGGTGTTATATCCAACTGTGAGGGGCGACCGTTCCAGACCCGGATGGAATTCATGCGCGGAACTTTGCAATTCTTGGGATGTAGAGTCAGCAACGATGGAGGGTCACTCAGCGATGAGTTATGGAATCGAAAAGGAAATAGGCTCAAGAAACGAGGGCGAAGAAAAGAATCCTATTCGACGCCACATCTTGGCAATAACGTTAAAAAGATCTTGTTCGTGCTTGTTTTTGTGGCTTTTCCAGTAGAGTTTTAATGGCACTTCGTCATCTCTCCAGCGAACCAGGTTCCTTACGTGCCGGGAACAAAGAGGTGCTTTGCCCCTTGACTTATTTTCAACGTCCTTTTCTCCCTTTGCTAATCTTACACCTAGCTTGACGAGACATGAGGCACAGTATATGACCTGTGGAATACTACAAGCCAAGTCTGATGATCACCATGCCACCGAGAAACAAGCATTTTCACTGCCACTCGCGGGAACCTTTCAAAGATGAAAAGTTGGCGCTGGAACACGCTGAGGGGCCTCTCGGCTTCCTCAATCCAACAAGAGCCCATTTTCATTATCCTGTGCCATCAGGATCAGATAAGCACCTAGCGAAGGGTGATGAGAGCGAAAACAGTGATGTCAATGGCTATGGTGACCACAACCCCGAACAGCCAAATGAGCAACAAGATGACGAACCTGCCAAAAATGTAAAATTCTTGTGGCGCTCTCGCGATAACAGAAAGGGCCGACACGCACTGCTGGTTCAGCGACCTGAGGCGGGGCAAGATGCCCCTTTCCTGGTGCCACGGAAAACGTCACACTACAAGGAGATACTCAAGGTTATATGGTTGACCTTCACATATTTCCCCTTATGGGATATCTCATGGCTTGTGGCATTCATCTTCACGCTCGGTAGTGTGGTTTGGGTGCTGAACGTAAGTGTGCAAAGTCTGCTTTCGCCCGAAAATCCTGCTGATCATCCTCGCACAGGGTTTCTTTGTCTGGCTGCCGGTAGTCGCACCTTCAACAGAGTTTCCTAACGAGATCTATGTCGGAGGTGGTGTTACAGCATTTCTAGGAGCGATCATATTTTTCGAATTTGGCTCCATTCTCTTGTTCTTTGAAGCAGTCAATTCCAACAATTCAGGCTGCTTTGGCTGGGCAGTTGAACAGCTTGCGGAAGAAAAGGACGGTGGCCAACCCAAATTCCAATTCAGCGCGAACCTCGACCACTGTCGCCACCACCACCAGAACCGACGAAACTTCGTTGGCAAAAGCTCGTACCGGTTGGCGGAAGAGGCCCAACTGAAAGCGCAAACCACCAAAGATGGCAAAAGCTGGATATGGTTTCCATCCTGGCACGACCTCCGCACGCACTACCTCCATGAACTAGGCTTTCTCGCGGGTATAGCTCAGTTGACTGGTGCGACTATCTTCGGTGTTGCAGGATTCACCGCTCTACCGGGCATCCAGAACCATCTGACCCCTCAATGGAGACTTAACGCCGCATACTGGATCCCGCAAGTTATTGGAGGCACTGGCTTCATTGTTTCCAGCACATTGTATATGCTCGAGACGCAGCAAAAGTGGTGGAAACCTGCATTGAAGGTCTTGGGATGGCACATTGGGTTCTGGAATCTTATTGGGGCTCTTGGTTTCACACTGTCTGGTGCACTGGGAATGGCGTATGGCAACTCAGGTGCACAATACGAGGCCGGTTTGGCCACTTTCTGGTAAGTCCGACATTGCTGCCAGCATGGAGAACGACGTTGCTAATTGTGTCGCAGGGGCTCCTGGGCCTTCTTGATTGGGAGTTACATTCAACTTTACGAAAGTTTGGATACACATCCAGTGGAGGAAGTGTCATCCGCCGAGGATTTTAACAGGACTCAATAGTGTACAGCACTTTTGGGGCGTTGAAACTGTACATTAGTGTTGATTCCTGGAAAACAAAAATGGCTAAGTAATAAAGGGGGACGCGTTTGATGTCTAAAAGTCCAGTTTTATTGGGAGGATGCATGATTATTTGCGCTTGAAATTCGGAATTCAGCTGGCTTGAATTCGTCTCAATGTCTTCATATTGAGTCTTCATCGGAAGGTATACATACGTAATTTCTCACATTTCTAAGCCAAGGTGAAGATCACCTAGTTCGACATCTTATTCTCCTCGGCAAGAGACGCTGGATTAAAGGAGCTCATAATTTCGTCCAGGTCGCAGCAATAGCTAAAATGTCCGGTGGGTTCGAGGCTGAGGTTCAGCCTTGCGTCGGTTCTTCCTCCCGAAATACCTCGGTATTGCGCAAAAGCGTGGGGATTGCCATGAACTCCGCAACCGAGTCCATTTGACCTTGCCTGCACCTTTACCCAAGGACCGGTAACCGTTTTCCTGGCGGTTTAGCCGACTGCAAGTATCTTCCATCTTACTTTCTCTCATGCAATAACATCAATTTGTCTGCCCTTCCCTTTGCCATTCCAGCGCTAACCTCTGCACCCACTCCGAGATGGCTCAAAGAGCGCAGCAGATCGCTTCCCACCTCAACTTCCCTTCCGGGCTGCTGACTGGCCAGGTCGCCATTGTAAGCCGACCATGCTTCATGAGAGACCTGTTCCTGCGACACACAAGTCTGACTATGTATAGATCACCGGCTCAGGCCAAGGTATTGGTGCTGAATGTGCCCGCTTGTTCGCCAACGAAGGCGCAAAGGTGGTGGTCTGCGACGTCGACAGTGCCAAAGGCGAGGCCGTAGCCAAATCTATCAACGATGCTTCGCCGAACCGAGCCATCTCCGTCCCTGGCGACGTTACCGACCCCAACTACTTTCCCGTGCTGGTAAAGAAGGCTGCTGAATTTGGTAATGGCAAGATCCACATCATCGTCAACAACGCCGGATACACGTGGGACGGCGTCATTCACAAAATGACCGACAAGCAATGGGACACAATTTTGGCCGTGCACAACACAGCGCCCTTCAGACTCGTAAGAGAGGCTGCCAAGTACTTCCGAGTCAAGGACGGCGAGGCCAGATGTATCATCAACATTAGCAGCACAAGCGGCACGCACGGAAATGCAGGACAGGCCAACTACAGCTTGGCTAAAGCTGGTGTAACAGGCTTGACCAAGACCATTGCAAAGGAATGGGGTCCTCAGGTATGCTAAAAGTGACGGGAAAGGAAGATATGAGACACTGACATGCTCGACAGTTTGGCGTCCGAGCAAACACCATTGCTTTCGGGCACATCAACACCCGACTGACGCAAGCTAAAGAATCGGGAGCTTTCGTAAGTACTCTACTCTGCGAAAGACTGTGCCATTAATCACGAGACTTTCGTTTTCTTCCAAGTTTCAATGACACAACTTTCTGACAATTGGCAGATTACCACCCCGGATGGTCAACGCATTTCATTGGGTATCCCACAGGCACAACTGTCGAGCCGAAAGGGCGACGAGGAAGCTGCATATAAGGACATTCCCCTCGGTCGACCTGGAAGTGCCACAGAGGCTGCCAGCGCTGTTCTGGCAACGTGCAGTCCGCTGTTCGCATATGTGAATGGTCAGACGATAGAAGTCACTGGTGGCAGAAACATCTAGACTTGGAGTGTTATATATGAAGCCCAGCCTGAAGCAAGTCTTTGCGAGAGGGTGTATATAATAACGGATTATATGAACTAGAATTTGACTCCACAAAGCAGGGGGTTTTGGTTCATGGTAGAGAGTATTTTCTGGGTGGCAGTCACATATCATCGTGACCTTCGTTGAAGAACAGGTGCCTGACACACTAGAGTTGAACAGAGGAGACCTTTCTAGGCCAATAAAGACTCAATGTTGTGCTCTTTGTTGTCGGCGATATACAAAGGCACAATGCCTTTGCAAAGCGACAAGGATGTAAGTGAATGCCACAAGAATGAATGCCTTGCAAATGAGACAAAGGAGATGAGACCTTGTACAATGCACCTTGAATGAAAAATATCTATCAACCAAAGAAGTTGTCTCACAAGGGCAAAGAAACTGCCCTTTGAACGCCTGACCTGACTGACCGTAAGAACGGCTCCAACGTGCCTATAAATAACATGGACGATGACCGAGTAACTTGAAAGATCCATCAACCCAAACTCCATCCAACTTTCTGAGGCCTGCTGTCCAGTAAGCACCACTCCGCTTCGATCATATCAGAAAAATTCAACAGCAGCCCTCAGAAGGTATCATTTGCAATGGCCATCATCTCGAGAGAAATCACCACCGGTCCAGACACCATGACTCACCCTTACAATACCGTGGGCCTCAAAGGTAAGTCGGTTGCCAAGCTTCCAGTTCAGTCGACGAGACCTCAACTATATGTTGATACTGACATTCCTCTCCCATTGTTTGTGCAGAAGGCCGAGAACAAGCAATCAGACTCATTTCCGTTGTTCAAGGGTTGGATCTTCGAGATTCCACTTTCCAAGGCTGAGTTCACTTTCAACGTCCCAGCACCATGGCACCATGTCCATTGTCTGTGCGGAAAGTTGAGGACAGACAATCAAGCTTGAGAAACGCAGCAAGACCCGTAAGAGAGAGTATTGACATTGTTCGGAGAGATGGCTAGCTATTGCGCCCAATGATGAGTTGGTTGAGATGGGGGGAGATCAGGTAGGTGCAGAACGCAGTGAGATTCGGGTTGCCTGATGGGTGGCGGAGAGGCTTTTACCTTCTTTAATTGAGTTGAAGTTGATAGAGAACAATGACAAGGAGTTGCAAGTTGCATGTTTAATAATTCTTGTGGGGATAAAAGTGACTGAAGCGGAATTCCAACCGTAGTGGAGCCGGTACGGCAAATCGGTGGCGAGAGAGCAATGGTTCGGCCTCCCTTACCGATGTTCCTTACCGACGTCCTCGTCTACCTGTCGTTCTTATAAACGCGTTTCTTATTGCTCATGATATATCTGTTTCATTGTGTTTGACGACAATCTACTATCAACAATGTGCTTACCTTGATTTGAATATCTTGTCTACTTCTGAAAAACACCATATCCCCGAACCATGGAAAAACAAGATCACTATATTCAGCCAGGCACAGATGCTGGTACTGACACCGAAGCCAATATCCCCATCACCACTGATTTCGAGAAAATCGATCCGACAGCTCCAATCGGTACACCGTTGGCACCCGTCGAAACAGATCCATATGGAAGCCGGCCGGCATGTTTCAATAACCTGCTGGAAGAATGTCTCTTCGTCCTGACAACTACCGTCGCCGTGGGCCAATCTTCCATATTTTCAGGGGCGATCCTATGCATGACCAACACTATCGGCCAAGACCTAAACATGTCAGCAGCCGAAGTCTCTTGGATCAACGCAGCGCAAACCCTCGCTGCTGGAACATTTCTGCTCTTCTTTGGCCGGGTGGCCGACCTTTTTGGAAGACGACTGCTGTTCCTGCTGAGCCTGGGATTCTTCACCATCTGCCTCGTCATCATCGGTTTCGCAAAAAATGCAATGTATATGGACATTTTCTGCGGGTTACTTGGTCTCAGCTCTGCCGCTTCTGTGCCACCCGCAATCGGCAAGCTCGGTGCAGTCTACAACAAACCTTCTCGACGCAAGAACCGGGCATTCGCTTGCTTCAGTGCCGGTAATCCGGTCGGCTTCGTACTGGGCGCCTTCATCTCGGGCATCACAATGCAAGTCTCAAGTTGGAGAACGGCCTTTTGGGTCATGGCTATTATCTACGGGTTGTTCACGATTGCCGCGTGGTGGACTACTCCTCCCGACACTGAGCAGAGTCTCGGCGGGTTCAACAAGGCCACGTTCCTTAAATTCGACCTCTTTGGGGCTCTGCTTGCCGTTGCGGGAATTGCCATGTTCACTGCTTCGCTGACTTTGGCTGGTGATGCTCCGAAAGGATGGAGGACACCGTATGTGATCGCCTTGCTCGTCGTGGGCTTGGTCCTGGTTGGCGGCTTCATATACTGGCAAAGTATCTTCCGGTATCCTCTGATGCCGCTACAGGTCTGGAAAGACCGGAATTTCAGCCTGGTGGTGTCGGTGCTCTGTCTCGGGTTCTATGGATTTATCGGAAACACATTTTGGCTGACGCTCATGTGGCAACGAATATATCACCGGTCCCCATTGATGATTGCAGTGCACCTCCTTCCAGCCGGCATTGGAGGCATTTTGGTGAATTTGATCGCGGCGATCATCATGCACCGAGTCAGTAATCGACTCATCATGATTGTTGCGGCTTTCAGTGGTGCGGTATCTACGGCACTCTTGAGCGCCACATCCACATCCATATCATATTGGGCATTGACATTCCCATCTCTGTTGCTCGCTGTCCTCTCGCAAGATCTGGAGTTTACGGTCACAAACATGTATGTCATGTCGAGTGTGCCTAGTGATCAGCAATCTGTTGCAGGTGGCCTATTCAACACCCTCACTCGACTGGTGGCCACAATTGGTCTCGGTATCCAAACGAGCATTTTCAACAGCGCGGGCGGTGCAGCTTCAGGACCAGGCGCCTACCACTATAGACCATACCAGGCAACATTTTGGGTATCGATGGTCGGAGGAGTTCTTGCCTTGTTTCTGGTCCCATTCCTGACCATTGGAAAGCAAGGAAGGTCGTCGAAAACAGGTGCCGAAAAGCGCTAGGTACAGCTAGGTGTATTGTATAAAAGCCATGTTCGAACGATAGTTTTATAACATGTCATTCACCTGCGTGCACTTGTCCTGGGATTATCATGGCATGTAGGCTCGAGATATAGAGGAGCCTGTCAAGCCAGACCTGAACAAGGCTGTGGAGTCCACGGATTGTTCTGAACTGTCATGAATGCATAGGGGCTTGCAGGAAGTCATAAATCTGCTGCACATCCTGACCATCACATTCAGAGATGTGAAAGCCCCTTACGAAGTACTCATGCCTACCATAAGTACTTCCAGGGGACATGCCTGCAACATATTGCGCCCATTTGAAAATTGACTCTGCAGGTGCGGGACAACGCGGGCCAGACCGACGCGTATTCTGGTGACGAAAATGGACAAATAAACAATGTATGAACAAATCGAGAAAACAACGAAGTGATGACTCGAGATGCATGTTTGATGTGTCCAAATTGAGACCAGAGAAGTTTCTTTCTTTGTCGATTCGACAAGGTCACCCACTTGATCGCTTACACTCCTGAAATTGTGTGCATTGTTTCACTTTTGCTGCCAGGCTTCCTCCACCAATCGGCACCCGACAGAATTCCCTTTCTGATGTCCGGTGAACAACAGAATAGGACATTGTTCGCCCCTAGGCGATTCAAGAGATTCAACGCAGACTGTGACCACCTACCTGTATACACCTCCTCACTCTTTGCACGGCCAGTGACGATAAATTGAACGTCAAAGTCGGAGAGTGTCAGACTCCATCGGACATTCAGCATCAATCAGTTTGACCGAGCGTAATGACCTCTGTGGGATCCGTGCGTCGTCGCAAGTCATCAGCATCATCGTCTGAAGGACATTCTTGAAGCACAGATACCAGCCCAGCATGTGGAGGCGAAATAATAATGACCCTCAATTGGGCTATTATGTATACCCTGATGCGGACGAGCGATACTTAGAGACAATCCCGGAAGTCGAGTCTTTGTACAGTCGAGCGTCAAGAAGAAGCAGCGTCGGTACTGCTCTTCCAGAATTGCCATTGTACGTGCCTTCAGCCTTTGTCTTGTTATTCATGAAACTAATTCCACCATTGCAGTCGCGCTGTCCCTCCACTGAACGACCAAAACCCGATCTATTCTTACGACCTCGATTCGTCCAACCCTTATTCCCAGAACAGCACTCCGGAAATGAAACAAGCGCAAGAGACTCACCGAGAAGTGGCCAATGTCTCACCAATAAGCACACAAGACTCGACACATCACAATAGTTATGGTTCGGACGGCTCCCTTGTATCTCCTGTTGATTCTTCCTTCCCCCACAACGCACCCACGACACATTCACAAACGACGACCACAAGTCAAATACCCCGCATAATACCTCTGGCTGCCCCGAAATCCAACCGCGAAGATGTACCAAAGCGATGGGCGCTGCAAAAGGGTGAAGATGGAGCAACACGGTGGGACGAATATTCGGGTGAGCCAAACCTAGCAGGAAAACCGCCCTCCGCACGGCCAGGCATGTTACCAACACTCGAGCAACAATATCCACAGCTGAAGGAAAGAACACGTCAGATTCTAGCGAACTTGAAAGAGCGAGAGGCTGTAAAGAAGGCAAACTGGGGCAAAGTACCTCCACCTATCGAATCAGATCCTCTTGATCATCCCGTCCAACGACCTCCATGGAAAGGTGCCAGTGGGAGACACGCAATAGTCGAACCTGTGAAGAATAATCCAGCAGCAAGGACGAGGCCGTTAATGTTGGTTCAACGGCATAAGGAGGCCGAGGACAGCCAAAGAAGCCCAACATCAGAAGAAGACTCTATACCGCCAGGAAAGACACCCAGATCACCTATCGATGCCGTGTCATACGCTGCATCCACACTACCAACAGTCAGAGAGATCTCATCAGATGACGATATCAAGCCTGTTGCTCCTCTCAAGATAAGGAATACACCCAGAGTTGTTTCACCAGTACCTACAGAGAACCCCCGAGCGCTAGACAGCCCTTTTCGAAGTCCGGGACCAACAACCCGAATTTTCGAACTCGCTGCAAGTCCGGTTCCCAGCAATGTACAGGAATATGGGGCTGACAGCCCGACACTCGGGTCTGTCCGTAGCTTCCAGGGTCCTGAAAGAAGCTCAAGCGAAGAATCTATCACAATGAAAGCAGTACCAAACCCCCTGCAGCGGGAACCCGACAGCTCATCAAGCTGGAACACCTATGCATCGACTACTGTGGCACCACAAAGCCCCATCTCTCGAGCGGAGATGACTAGCAGTCCCATTCCCCGTGCCGAATTGACCGGCAGTCCTGTCTCAATGACTGAACAATCAGCTGTGCCGTCGCCCATCGCGCTACGCAAACGTGTGGCATCGAATAACAGTGTTCAAAAAAGCTACGACAATTCCAGCAGCATCTCACCCTTTTCGAATACACCAGGTCGCAGTTCGAGCCTTCTCCGCAAAGCCATCGCCGGGAACGAGAAACCGCGCGCCGTGAGCCTCATGTCCGGTCTTTCAGTCAGCAAATCGCTCCCACCGACCCCGGTTGAACTAGAAGCTGCCGACAAAGCCGGATCTCTCGAAGCTCGACTTGAGGACCTAGCGCGAAGGAAGCGGAACCTGCACAAAATCATCGCCGAGCTGCATGATTCCCTGAAAAGGAACGCGATCATCTACGACGCCAGGAAACGAAAGGAAGTCGACAAGATGATCACAAATATCAACATGGAACTCCAGGACGTTACGAATGAGGAACATGAAGTCTCTCTCCGATTGTACCGTGTTGTCAAACGTAGAGACAAGGATGAGTTCTATGAAAAGCCCACGGGGCTCTGGATCAAGAGGGTCACAAGCTGAACGAGAGAGCGTCACCACAAACGACACGGATGATTCCCGGTCTGTGTGCAAATATCGTGCCAGACTGAATCTGCCCCTCTACCAGGACAGACATGCGACTTGTAACGAACTCGGTCGCAGATGCTGCGCATCTTCAGTGGCAGGACATTCTCCATTCTAATGCATCACACTTGAGGAAGGGCATTGCACCAGGCTCATGCTCATATGGACAGCTTCTACCGACGCGAATAAGAGTACCATGACAAGCTCGGTCGTCTTCACAGCTCCAGCGCCAGCACATCTGCGCCTATCCACACTGTCCGAAGGAGTGTACCATTCCTCACACTACCAGACACAACATGTTCTACCCTTTCCTTTCCTGTCGCGACTGGACACGAAAGCAAACAATCGAATAGCAAGCGGACTTCTTCGACACTTTTCATTTTATCAGCACAGCAGCGGAGATACCTGTACACATATTGGATTTTGCGTTGCCTTCTTTTCTTCTCAGCGGCGAAAACGACTTCTTTTCCGACATTGGGCACAATAATAGCGAGGGCGTTGGGGTAGTATGACTGTGTATTCTCGGTGGACCTGGATACCGTGTAAGAATGGCAGCTATATGTGTGCCAGAATACGGAAGGAGGGATTGGGTTTCTGTGGTCGAGGTTGACGCGGCCGAACAAGTGTGAGAGTATTTAGAAACCCTGTTTAGACGAGGACGTCTAGTCATACAGGCAGCTGTTGAGGCCACGAACGAACGCAGCAACAAAGGCTAGCTAGAAATTTTGATGCCTTCTCTTGCCATCATCACGGAGAGAATAGCTGATACATCACCATTAAGTACTGTATTACGAACATGTACAAAGTAAACAAGTATCTGCACGCAGCCAGCGAACGTTGCAGATTCCAAATAGCTTGTATCAACGTATCAGCGCGCCTCGTTAATCATTCATCGCAATGCCATCTAGACACATCTGTGTCCATAATATACCTACAGGACAGGAGGCCCGCACAACATCAACATGATCATTATGTAACGCCACAGAAAGGCCTCAGGCCATGCATAGTCCTCCATACTGTACGTATTCATATCATGGACACGCAAGAAGTCCACCGATACCTCAACACCGACGCAATGCCTTAATATACTCAAAGCGATGGCCTAAAAGCCATTATATCACGTAAGTAGTCTTTGCAACTCTCTGAACTTCTGTAGAGCAAAACAAGTCAGCAACCAACAGTTTGAACAGGTGGAATGGGAGGAAACTCACAATGGGCTTGCTCAGGAAGTTATCAAAGCCAGCTTGATAAGCCTCCGTCTGAGCACTTTCGCTTCCCAACCCAGTCAATGCGATAATGGTGGCGTGGTCTTCGATCTGATTCTCCTTCTCGAATTTGCGAATCTCCTTTGTCGCTGCGATGCCGTTCATGATTGGCATCGATATGTCCATGAGAATATACTTGAATGCTTTCTTGTCTTCAAGCACGCTGCGTTTGTAAGCTTCCAACGCTTTTAGTCCGTTGGTTGCAGATTCATGCGGGTTCCCTGTTTTCCTGACGAATGTGACAAGGAGATGTAGGTTGATGTTATTGTCGTCGACCACCAAAACTCGTGGTCTGTTCTCGGCTTGCTTCTCGAGCTCCAGATCTTCGGCTGAATCAGGCCCGTCGAACGACTGGAGCTCCTCTCTGGCAGCTTGTTTGGCAGCCGACACTTGAGAGTGCCTCTTATGCTTGTCCTTGTCTTTGTCCTTGTCCTTGGGCCTGTGCGTCAACTTCTCTGCGCCAGACTCAGGCTCACCTCCCTGCCACTTCTGTGCACCTGAAGGGGATTTGCTGGCCATATCCTTATCCTCTGTTTTGTTGCGATTCATGGACATAGGCACATGTTCCGTAGAACCCTTCGAATGATCTGTCTCAAGCATTTTCATCCGTTGCATGCATCGGTGAAGCACTTTGGCTAGCTTCTGAGGCCCACAAGGTTGTGAGATGATCTCAATGATTCTGCCAATGTCGGTAAGTTGATGAAGGCCATGCGATCTGAGACTCGCTGCCTCGAATGCGTTGGTACATAGGACAATGACAGGTATCTCTCTTGGCGAGTCAGGATTGCCGTGGTGGTCCATCAGATAATCGATACGGGGCGGCTCTGGATAGAGGAAGAAGCTTGGCGAAATACCCTCCATGCTTTTAGCCTTGGTGACGTTCATACTGAACCACTGAGATAGCAGGTTTTTCATTGAGCTTTCAACCGTAGGCATTGGACGCAATGCTTTGGTCTGAGACTCTGCCGGTTCCTCTGGCGTTGGCAGAAGCAGGCTGATTTCAAGTCCTTTGGTCCGTTTGCGCATCTCTGTCATGATGTTCCTCTCAAAGTCTGGTTGGGCAGGCTGTTGACTCTTGGGTAAACTCAGCCAAATGCTTATTTCTGTACCGGCGTCCTTTTCACTAGCAAGATCGATCTTTCCTCCGAGTGAATCGACGATTTGTCGGACAATGCTCAATCCAAGTCCAGTACCAGTAGCCAAAGAATCTTCTTGCGAAAAAGCAGTGAATGCGTGATTCTTCATGAATTCTCCAGACATTCCTCTCCCAGTGTCTGTCACCTTGAGGTGAGCGTGCAGGTGTGAATGGCCTTTCTTTCGGCTATGGTCGACCACAAGAGAGACATCAATGCTGCCCTTGTTTGTGTACTTTAGTGCATTGCCAAGAATATTCATCACGACCCGGCGTATAGCGCCAGGCTGTGATCGTACTCTCCAGTCCATGTGATCATCGATATTCAGGGTAAGGCGTACGGCGTCAGCGTTGTTAGCAGCCGCTTCGCTGAGACTCTCTCGTGTGGCGAACCTCTTCTCCATCGCGCGGCCAGCGGCTGAGCTCCTTGGACCCTTGCCTTCGAGCGCATCCGTGTTGGCGGATCGGAAGACTTGACCGGCATACACCGCTTCGACTGCTTCTTCGACTATGAGAGCCATGTCAAAATCCCCCGTCAAGCTATCATCCGAGTTTGTAGACTGCTGATAGCCCTGGTTCCGTGAAGAACCCAGTCGTTTGGAATTCTGGTTCGAAAGATTGTTTATCTTTGCATAATCGAGCACGTGATTGACTGTGTCTAATAGAGTTTTGCCACAGGTTTCGACTGATATCACCATCCCTGCCTGAAAGTCATCCATGTTCGTGTCATGGAGAAACTCGATACTTCCAAGGATACCATGGAGAGGGGATCGGAGTTCGTGGGAGATGTTGGCCAGGAAGGTTGCCTTGGCCGTGTCGGACAAGGCAAGATTGATACGGTTCACCTCGTTCATCAACGCATTGTTGAAAGCGGCAAGGTAAGACATGTCATCTTCGATATTGGTGAGCCGAGACGGATCATTGGACCATAGGACAACCGCTGCATGCCACCTTTCTTTCGAGAAGTCCCATAGTGGGAGGAATACGATGTTTCTCGCCTCGGGAAGCGCTTTTATCAAAGATGTCGTTGTCGAGATGTGTCGTACTGCTTTCGGAGACTTGCTTCCGGCCTTGCTCGGGTCGTCCTCAGGCATTGTAGAAGCAGATTCGGAACTCTCGTCGCTCGAGGCGGGTTTGCCAAACTTGTCAAAGGTGAAGCATTTTCCTTTTGGGTGACGGCGGACAAACCGTCGCAGGGTCTGCTGGGAAATATTGAAAGCCTTCTGTTGCTTGAGCATGGATGTGCCCCAAAGCTCACAAAACTGCTTCTTGATCGGAGCTGTGGAAGAATCACTATTACTTCGTGTCCCTCCTGACGAACTCGAATCGCTTGCTTCTTTGGCCTCGGGATCAGGAATGCCGTTAGCAGTCCCGTCAATCTGGACCTGTACTGCGTCATTCTGCAAATGCTCGACATGACGCTTGCTCTTAGCTCTGGAATGTTGAAGTGTATTGACGCCAGATTGCGAACCAGAATCAGCGTCGTTCATACTCGTACCTGCGCTGAGATTCGCAGCACTGGCATTGATGAACACAACTCCGTCAGCATTCACACAAGTTCGAAGAATTGTAGCTGCGCGATCGAAGACGTGCTGTGGACTGAGTAAAGAGTTCTTCTGCCCTGTTGCACTACGCTTGAGAGGCGTTGATCGCCTCTGCCTGTGTTCAGAATCTCGGTTCTCGGGTGCCGGTATCGTTGCCTTGTAACCATCGTTGTCGGGTTGCGCTCGGTCTGAGAAGTAGTCATGACTAGCGTGTTCCAAATCGTGATTCATTGCCTCGTGTGAATCGCTAGCAGGTGTGTTCGCATCTCCGATAACCATTCCCTTAAACGCTGGAGTCTTCGGATGCCCTGGTGAAATTGTTTGACCTGACTCAGCAGAAAACCTCCTCTCTCTCGGTTGAGGCTGATGGCCTGGGGTTGTTTGCACAGAGTCGATGCCAGATTCTCCCTCGATGAATGCACCAATGCCGCGAATGAGGCGTTCGCCACGAGCTCTAGCTCGATCACTTTTGACCGACTCTAGATGCTCGGCTACAATGACGGCCATGTCGCACATGACTCGGAGCTGTTCAGGCGACAAACCATCTCGAGGTTTGTCGTCGGTCACAGTATAAACTCCGATAACATAACCCCTGCTCGTGGTAATGGGTACTCCACAATAGAATGAGACGCCATTTCCTGCGTAGCCCCGAGTCTTGTAGCGCTCGTCCTTAGCAAGATCGTTGACCACCAAGGCGGGGGCACTATACGAGGAGCCGTCCTGTGCATGCGCCGTATATTTCTCCGGAAACATTGCATCTCCTGACACGCCTTCACCGCGTTCGATGAAAGAATTCCCGAACCAGAGCTCATCGCCATCAATATGCTGAGCATCGGATAAGAGCGACAGAGATTGAGTGGCCTCGGCGATGATATATTGTCTAGTGCTGTCCAGCAATGTGATAATACCTCTTCGGGCGTTCAACCGAAGACAGCCAAGTTGAGCGAAAGCGGTCAATGCCTTGTCTCTTGAGGAGCGAGGGTTGTGGGTTGTTTTCGGGGGGAGGTATTCGGCTTGCTCGAGTTGGGCGGATATGTATCTTTCGAGCCATGGCTGGTAATATCTGCACAGTTTGGATCAGTTTCTACCCCTCCGACGATGAAAAAGCAAACCAACCTGTGCATCTCACGCTCCCGGGCGCCCTCACGATGCCCATCGGGAGGCATTGTAAGAGGCTCGTTTGAACCGAATGTTCAAACCCAAATACAGCGCGGCTCTTTATCTTTGGACTTGTCCTGTCCTAGCAATGATGGGATTTTTGCGCATGCAGACCATCGCGAGGAGGGCGATTGTTCCGTGTTCAAGGTGGAAGGACGAAGAATGGGTCGGTGATTCGCTGTCGCGTCAATAACGTCGATGAATACAGGCAGCGAGTGCAAAATGCATGCAACGGAGTGATAACCTGAAGAGGCGACAAAGTCCCTATTCACCACCGAAGTCTCATGGTGAACCTTAATAGAATGGTAGATTTCCCTGTAAGAAAGCCTCCAGGTAGTGACCCAGAGACCCAGGGAGCAAGGACTGGAAATGGTTACCGTGATTGGTGTCCAGTGGCACTGGCCGTGGGCCTGTCAAAGAGGCTACCCTAGGCTTGAGAGGCTCTCATAAGCTCTTGTTGAGTCGAAGAAGGGTCATTCGTGGATGCATGGGAGACGGGACACGAAAGGGTCACGGAGGGGTCCAGACTGCAATGGCCCGAATTCTTGATCGACTTTTCCACGAATTCGATGGAATCCCTTCCACGACTTTACCCACACTAGCAAGGTCAAAGAGACCGACCAGCAGCGCGCGAAAGACGGCAGCGCAGGTGGGGTGCCTACTCAGTATTAGTCATGCAGTTGACGACATTGACAGAATCTCCATTCTCAAATTCGCCAAGAAATTGGCGATGCCCGCAGGCAATTGCGAATGGAGACGACGACCACGATATCCTCCAAGATCGACCCTCAGCTTGCCAATCGATCAAGTAGTGCACTCTATCGTTTTCGGTCGCTACACAGTGTTTGTCAGCGAATTGTATGACAATTGCCGAGGTCAGTCTTCACCTCTGGCCCTCAGGACGATAGCAATATGATATTGAGACAACAATAATCGTTTCCTCCATCATGTCCACAGAGACACAATCGCATTCCCGCTCCTCCTCCATCTCCGACACCGAATCCCATGAGCTGTCAGTCCCATCGTCTGCCGCTACTCCCCAGAACGATATATCCAACGCCAGGTCTGATCATGCCTGCTATGCCGATTCCCCTGCTTCCGATTCCGCCCTAGATGGAACGAATTTCACATTTCGAGGCGTTCTGGTAGGAACCGGGATAGGTATCATAATATGTTTCTCCAACACATACTTCGGGCTTCAGACGGGATGGGTCTCGGGCATGGCCATGCCCGCATCGTTGATCGGGTTTGCCATGTTCAAGGCTCTTTCGCGTTTTCTGGTCCTCCCATTTACACCTGTGGAGAACGTTCTAGTGCAGACTGTGGCAGGTGCTGTTGGAACCATGCCACTAGGTCTGGGATTTGTCGGAGTGATACCGAGCTTGGAATTCCTCCTGAAGACGAGTGAAGGTGCACCAATAGATCTGTCTCTATGGAGACTCTTCGTCTGGGGAGTTGGTCTCTGTTTATTCGGTGTCGTCTTTGGCGTCCCATTAAGGAAGCAAGTAATCATACGTGAGCGCTTAAAATTCCCTAGTGGCACAGCTACCGCTCTCATGATCAGCGTCCTCCATGGAGGAGCCAAAAGTGACGAGGCCAAAGACCGAGAAATCCCAACACAAGGCACAGAAGAGCGCGAAAATTTGCTCAGAGAAAGCGAAAGAGATGAGACCGCCGGACCTGCTGATGAACGTGATGTGCGAGGCGATTGGAAGAAGCAGATGCGGCTCCTGCTTCTCGCTTTCTCGGGTTCTGGAGCATACACTTTCATCCAGTATTTCCTCCCTATCCTGCATAGATTGCCCATCTTCGGCACGTACCTTGCCAACACGTGGGTTTGGACCTTGAATCCATCACCAGCCTATGTCGGTCAAGGTATCATCATGGGTCCGGCCACGACGTTCCACATGCTCCTTGGAGCGGTCATTGGTTGGGGGATCTTGAGCCCAATCGCGAAGCAGAAAGGATGGGCACCAGGTCCAGTTGATGACTGGGAAACAGGAAGCAAAGGATGGATCGTCTGGGTCAGTTTGGCAATCATGTTGGCCGACGCCGTGGTGAACCTGGGCTGGCTGGTCCTGCGACCGACGATCAAGTATGGTCCTGTATGGGCCAGATCAGGCAAAGAGCACTTTGAGAACAGCTCGTCCTGGTACGAGGTCTTCCTTGGTAGCCATATCGCCGGCCACATCGTTCCCAATGGGTCTTCACGGGCACGAACTCAGCGCAAATCGCCATCCAAGCCTGCAGACGCTTCCGATGGCCCTCCTGACGACGCACCACCACACCACCTAATCTCTGACCGCACCGTCGCCTTTCTCCTACCCCTCACACTTATCCTCTGTGTTGTTTGTATCCACATCACCTTCGGTGGCTACATTCCCATCGGCCTCAACATCCTAGCCATCCTCCTGGCCCTGGTATTGTCTATCATGGGAGTACGCGCGCTTGGCGAGACAGACCTCAACCCTGTCTCTGGCATCTCCAAGCTCACCCAGCTTGTGTTCGCACTCGTCACGCCGACAGGGAAACTCGGCAACCACGCCATTGTGATCAATCTGCTTGCTGGCGCTGTCAGCGAGGCGGGCGCGCTGCAAGCCGGCGACATCCTTCAAGACCTGAAAGCCGGGCATCTGATCGGTGCAAGTCCCAAAGCTCAATTCTATGGCCAGATCATTGGCAGCATCATAGGCGCGTTTGTCTCGGCGGCCGTCTACAAGCTCTATGTATCTGTATATGAAGTCCCGGGCGAGCTCTTCCAGATGCCGACAGCATACGTCTGGATCTTCACTGCCCGCTTGGTCACAGGCAAGGGTCTTCCACCCATGGCATGGCAGTTTGCCCTGGTAGCTGGCGCAATCTTCGTCTTGACGACGTCTTTGCGCATATATTTACTCGCCTACCATGACGCAAAGCCCTGGTTTCGCACTTTGCATCCGTGGATACCCGGCGGCATCGCGGTCGCTGTGGGTATGTACAACACGCCGAGCTTCACGCTGGCCCGAACCGTTGGCGGCGCCATTACTCTCTGGTGGGTCAACTGGAAGCAACGGGGTGAGACGAAGGTCATTGTGTTGGCGAGCGGGCTCATCCTCGGTGAAGGTGTGGTGAGTATTGTCAATCTCCTCTTGGCTAGTTTGAGAGTGCCACACCTGTGAGAGTCACGATGGCACAAGTGAATTTGGGAACGAGGTGGAAGGTTAGGTCATCCCTGACGTAGGACAGCATTTACGACATCTAGAGACCAACTAGCATTTACGACTGCAGCGAATATTGCATAAGTATGACATAGGTTTGGACACGATATAGTGAGCCATATACAGTAGGTATACCATTTTCTCGTATGCTGATCGAGGGCGCCGAGAAGAATATTCCTACAAATGGCAGTCTAGGTCCGGCTCATGCATTGTATCGTGTAATCTTTCTGGGTATCCGTTTTTTCCCACGTTCACGCCTGCAAAACGGCAAAATTCAAATGCTATAAAATACCAACAGGAGCAACTAACAATCGTCACCAAGGTCATGTCTGGTGCCGTTGTCCCTCACCACCCGCCACCACTCATCCCAGCAATCTGTGCAATGCGTGCTGCGTCGTCCAAGTTCTTCCCACTGGCCTTGTTCTTGCCAACATCGCTCTCGACCTCACGGTATGTGGTATACGCGAGCTTATCGAGCGAGACGCCAACAACACTGGCCCAGTGGTCAAGAAAGTCATGGACTGTGGAAACGTCAATGCCGTTGATGACCTGACCCGCAGCATGTCCATTACCATTAGTCATAACCACATCTCCATCAGACTCACTATCCGAATCAGCAGAGTAGTAAGCCTCATCGACTCGTTTCAGCCACTCCTTCTGGCCCTGCGGACCGGCAGCATTGACGACTTCTTCGCCCCTAGTCTGTGGCAGGATGGAGGCCACATCTTCGATCTTTATCTGGCCGCCACCGTTTGTACATCCGCCAGGGCATGCCATGACTTCGACATAGGTGTATTCACCTCCACCACTTGCGGATGCTGCCATCCTCCTCGCAGCGCCTGGTAGTCTTGACTGCTTCGCCGGCTTGAGTTTTCTCACGAGATTCTGAATATTCCTGAAGCCATAATAGCGTGCACATTTCATCAGATTTTCACCCGAAGTCGACAGGAGACTGTACTCGACCACATCGACATTACGACCGCGCTGTATGGAGATTGTGCTGCCTGGATGTCGTGCTTGCTCTGTCGCAAGGATGTGGTAAAGATAGCCACCTGAAGAGCCTGCGTTTGGAGACTGCTCGGTCCGCCTCCGAGGTTTTGGAAAGAGGAAGTCTGCTATTCTTGTGTCTGGAAACGGAGGACGATCGGAAGGAGCAATAGGCTCGAGAGGCAAGCTAGACAGCCGCACGCCGCGTTCTTCAGCCAGCGAAAGAAGTTCTCGAGAAGTGATCACACAATCGACATCCCGCACGGCAGGTTCAGATGAATTTTTCGTCTCGGTAGATTGCCACCACCGATCGGTAAGTTCTTCTCTGCTCGCTTCCAGTTTCTTGTCGAAACACGGCATGAGGGCGAGATGCCAGATCTGTGACGGCGGAATGCCAAGCGCTCTGCTCAAGACGGACTTCAATAACGTCCCTGATAATGCCTGAGGTGACTTCAAGTTCGAAAGATGAGGGAGTATGTGAGGGTGCGTTTTCTCGGCGTAGCATATCCATCCAGGACAAGACGACGTCAAGACCGGCTTCGACTTCGACTTGTTCGCTGTTGAATCTGCCACCTCTTCTGCTCCAAGCACGAGACAAGCCTCTCTGAGCTGATTCGTGTCGACCACATATGTGAACCCGTTGTTGTGTTGACCGCCTATCCGCAAGCCCTGTGATCCACTGAGAAACTGTTCAATCATAAATCCTGCTTTTCGCTCAGAAATGCCATATGTAGCCGCCAGACTTGCCCGGACTTGCGGGCTCACGCTGGCGACGAACAACTTCGCACCAGCCGGCTGAGGTACGTGTCCGTTGATGGCACCATTCGAGCTGTTTTTCAGACTGCGAATGTCTATCGAAGGGTATGAGTCAAGAGTGTGGAGGACTTCTGTATGCGATTGTAAGGAAACGAGGACTGCTTCGGCGGAGGTCACGCATCCTGAGCACGCGAGGCAATCCGTAAGTGAGATGGATGCGGGCGCAGGGTTCTGTGCTTGAACTTTGTCTTCGGTGGTAACTTCGTAGGGATTGTAATCTTCTTGCTTCGGAAGGGTCTCGACAGGCTTAATGCAGGCGACACCAGGCGAAATGAAGTCGTTGAGGTCGTCCGCAGACAGGATTGCACTCATGGCGAGTGGCGACCGCGTTGCCCGGTCTGGCAGGTCTTATGGGATGTTGGCAAGGGGTTTCTGAGGGACTTCGGATCTGAACGGGATTCTGTACAATAGCGATGCCGCCTGGAGGAGTATGGAATGTTCAATCATGCAAACACAGATTGAAATGTTTAGTTTCTTAAGACATTATTAATGCTGGACTGTCTCCGAGGACCGGGTCTTTGGAGAAAAGAATTGACGCTCGGGACCCCCACTCCAGCTCCTATCGATAACGATAGTGGCAAGGCTGTGAAATGTCCGGGCAGTCTCCCACCAGTAAGAGGGGGGAGATTTGCATTCACTGAGTGAGATTTTGGAGCCGGCAAGTAAGTGCTATGCGCGTGGCCAGAGCCGCACGGGATTGGCTGCTTCTCAAAACGACCAAGTTGTTCATGTTTTACTAAGGAAACATTATGGTATGATTCTATCACTCGCTAACTTTCATAACGCTCAAATATATCATGAAACCTCAACAATCACAGAGCCCATCCCCGTCGTGCTAGTCCACTCCTTGTGAGCCGTCGGAACATCATCCAAAGACCACACCTTCTTGATTGAAACCTCTATCCGCTTCTCCTTAGCCAACTGGAAGAGCTCTTTCACGTTTGGTTCGAAAGTGGCTTGATCCTTCGTGATGTAGTAGAAGGTCGTCCGTCGGTGGCACAACTTCAGGTTCTGTGCAAGCAGCTTGACCGTAGGCCACATGATTGATCGAGGTTCCTCGCCGTTCAATGAGGCCAAATTGCCTCCATAACCATACAGGTGTCCGCCTTTGTGGCTGAGGATTGAGTACGACTCGTCCCAGCTCTCGAAGCCCAATGGATCATACACAGCTTGAACGCCGCCCAGGTCTTTCATCGCCTTGATCCAGTCCTTGTTTTTGTACTCGAAAGGGGTAGCGCCCAGTTCACGAATGGCCTGGTGATTGCGACCTGAGGCAGTGCCATAGACTTCGGCACCTTCCAGCTTGGCCAGCATCATGAGAGCATAGCCAACCGCTCCGCTCATACCATGGACAAAGACTTTATCACCCTTGTGAAGATTCCCTTTGACCATGCCGTAGGCGGTGTTCCAATCGAGGATCAGGGCGGTGGCGACCTTCAGATCCAGACCGTCGGGCACTGAGATCAAATACTTTTCGGGTTGATTGGTGAATGTCGCTTCCGAGTCGTACATAGTGAGGCAGGCTACCAAGTCGCCAACGTTGAACTTCTTACTATGAGGGCCGTTGGCGTGGACCCTGCCGACGTGACAATAGCCAGGAACGAGAGGAGCCTTCTTCTGCATTGGATAGTGACCCAGTCTCATATTGATATCTGCCCCTGAGAAGCCACTGTAGAGCACCTGGACCTGGACATGTTTTGGCTCTGGATCAGGCAGAGAGGAGTTCACAACTTTGACGACTTCTGGGCCACCAAAGGCGGTGATGCAAACGTTCTTAATTGCTGTAGGCATTGCGGTGATTCCTTGACCGACACTGAAGAGTATTGATTGTATGTTGTGTTGATGCTTTCACTTGTTGTACTGTCTAACGGTCAACGATGCTTGTGCTTGAAGCAGAGGTTGTGCGTGTCACACCGCATCCTATATAGGTTCCTCGACCCTGGCATCTTCGAACGGCTGACGAAGTGGCAGGTCTGCATGAGACACACCGTCGGGGGAATCTTTGGAGCTTCATTCGTCCAATACAAACCATGTTCACAGGAGAGTTGAGCGGCTAATGTCAAGACACGGCACAGATGCCTGCAATACGAACGTGAAGGTCAAACATCAATAGACACGAAGGACCAATGCATGAAGGAAGCTTAAGCACGAAAGCTGTCGTGCCAGGGAGCTTTGCACGGCATGATAGCGTTCTTGGGGCCCGAGACTGGGGATGGACGGGGACACTGGCGGCCTAATCTCCTCTCCGTGTCGTGAGAACAACGGGAAGTGTCGCCTTCGAAATAGCCCGATGCCGACTGCGTTGACGTAAGTGGAGAACAAAAGGGCACATCAAACGTAGGACGATTTCTTGTCAAACGGCAAGATTAACTTACGCGATGGCTTCCCGCACCATTCAATGGTCTGACAGCGCCTTGTTACAACAGCGTTTGAGGGCGACGACGAGGTCTCGATCAGTGGGTAAATCACGTTGTAGGAAGTGGGTAAATGATGCCTCTCTCACCTATAAATACGTGGTACGTACACAGCTATTTGAGAGAGAGGGCAGAGAATCAATGTATCATATCATGCACACTGTTTGACATTTCTCCTATCGTGAAGTTGTCAGTTCACAATCAAATGGCATTGAAGCACTTGAATCGACGGATCTTATGAGAGGCATTTTGTGTACAGGCGCACATCGACTTTGTGGCTCCGGACTGAATCTAAGATTGAGAGTAGTCCTATCTGCGACAGATGTGAGCTGGACTCGACATTTGTGCTACGTTGGCTGGTTGAGGGATTTCGCTATGAGCCTTGTTGTATGGTTGCTTGACACGTTTTAGTCGCTGTGCGATGCCCACCCCAGACGACGGCTCGTCTTCGTTGCCTGCGTCGACTTCCTCGACTCTATCGCTTTCAGAATTCTGGTTGTTTTTGCCATGGTTGGACCACAGAATAGATCGATGATGTGGCGTGTTACAGTGGATCGCGGGGAAAGGCTGAAAATGATAGGGGATCTTCTCGAGCCTACGGGCCCAAGGCTGCAACTGTCCCATGCGCCCTTGGCGGGGCTGCGTTAGGCTGTCTTCGGAGTATTGCATCTTCACTCGTCCGTGATTTCACTTCGATATTGAACTTCATTACTCGACGAAAGGACCCTGGTGCACTGTCAACAATCTTCTCCTCACTCTTTGTGAGACCGACCACTAGCCTCCACCTTTGTGTCTCTCCACCAGATTGTAACACAGAGATTATGGACCTCGACGAAACCATGACAACTTCTACTGCCTCTACCCCCTCCGCACTACAAGATCCTATTGATGAAGCCTTTGAAGACGACAACCTCTTCCCAGGCAGTGCGAATGTGAATGATCGTCCTCGAACGCCAGCAAACGACCACCTCAACGCCGCTGCTCCAGGCGAGCTGTCCCCGCCCAGATCTCAGACTCATGGTGAAGACATGCAAGTCAACGAGTCGCTACGTCACTCACTACCGAACGGCAGCCATCCAAGCGCAAACACCCGAGCGACCAGAAGCGCAGCCAGACAACCAACCGGGGTGGATGCAAGATATGATGGCGCACAATCTGCTGAGTCCGGTGGCTTGGGAACCGGGAACAACGAACGAGACGAGACACCAGGATGGGGCTGGAAGGACAAGAAGGCACAGGAGGAAATGCAGCGTGCTTGGGAGAACGTCATCGACCGGGACTTCAGTCTTAAGGAGTATGGAGACGTCATGATGTTGGGAAAGGCACAGATCGGTCAACAGTAATGGATGTGCATTGATGGAGATCACGAGATTGAACGATTTTGCTTTGCATGGCGATGGCGCAACGGGGAAAAGAACGTCATTGAACCAAAAGACGGGGTCACTGATATATGCTCGTGAAAAACGGCTAAACTGCTACGAGTACAGATAGCACTCCTTTGCAACAGAGGTGCAATGCCATCTGCGGCCACAGAGAGCCATGCGCTCGAGTGAGACCCTGGGCTACATCTGTGCGCAGGTCGCAACGGCTGAATATGCCTCATGTTGTCTTTCCTTTTCCTGATCTGACTCAAACAATCGCAACCTAGAAAGGTCGTGTCGTGTATCCCGCAAGCTGCTTTGCTGTTACAATACTGTACGAGCGATCCCTCCGTCAGGGCTTAGCCTGATGTCGGCTGCAAGGCTGAAGCCCTTACTCACCCCAAAGCTGGCGCCGCGCTATCGGTTCGCGATCCGATGTCACTCCCATAAACATGAACCATTATAGTGCGTGATCGTCGAAAAAGACTGGTTATGTCCAGGCTCCTTAAGTTAGTCGGCCGGACTGCCAAGGGTTGTTCATGGAAATGCCTGCTTCACCTAGAATGTTGAACATGACGGCGGTAATGTTCAAAAAGTCGTCTTGAGCCACAGTGCCTGATGCCATACCCCGCTGGGTTGTATTGTCGACAATATCTGGGCGTGCTGCAAAGCTGAGTCTGAGGATGCGATGCCCATTCGACGTGTCTCTGCAGTGAGGAGGGATGTTTGCATGCCTCGAAATTGGAGCATCCAAACGACGTAATGACGCTTCTCCGTCCAGCAAGCCTGCTCCAAGCTCACATCCATAACATGAAGCAACAGTAATGATATCCCCGGTAAAGAAGTAGAGGGTCTCCGGTTTTCCCCCCGCCTCTTAACGAGGCTCAAGTCATCTCTTCCCTGGAGCGGGAGCCAATCCAGGAACGTTACTATAGCGCTCGTCTCTTTCGGTCTTGAATAGAACCTGACACCAGAACTCCTTCGTATCGACGTCCCACCAAGTCCAGTATCGTCCTTCTCGCCTATCCACCTCGCGTGACTGTAACTTGAATCCGCAAGTCTCGTATGGTTCTGCCGCCACAAGCAGGTATTGGTAATCCCGGTCCGGCTCTTCGAGTTTTTGTTCGTATGCACTCATGAAGCGTACCCGAGGCTCGACGCCTGGCGTGATCTCGGGATAGAGTAGCTGAAAGAGCAATCCCACCTGTCGTGTGAGAGGATCACGGATCTTCGTGATCTTGTAACCAGGACGTCCAATCTTGACCATATTCTTCTTGACCTGCACGCCCATCATCCCCGGCAGCATTTGTCCATCCTTTTGCATCTCCTTCTGCTCTCTGGCCGCACGGCGAGCCAAATTGGTCTGATGCTTGCGCCCCTGCGTGTGTGCAAGGTATGAGCCATCATTCTGGTGCACTGTAAGACATAATCTGCATTCGAAGGATCCGACATGGTTCTTGAAGAAGTAGGGGTCTTTGTCGAGGTCAATCGTTTCGAGCGCGAGTTTGCGCAGACGTTCTCGTCGATCGGCATTTGTTGCGGAGTGTGAAGCAACACCTCCTCCACCAAACTTCGAACCGACACGGTTCTGATAGTCCATACTTGCAGAGCGATCGTCTTAGTGAACGTGAGGATATGTGCGTGCCGAGTATAGGAAACAGAGGTTGCGCAGGTGTGGGGATGGATGAATCGAAGTTGAGGTTATGTTGGAAAGGTCCAAGAGTTGGGGAATTGTGAAGAAATTGTTCAAGCGTAGCCTAGTAAGCCTTACTCCGCAAAACTGCAAGGCTGAACCTCGCGTGCTGCGGAACGCTTCTTGTCAACGTCGCTCTATTCGGGTCACAGGAAAATGCCACACGCGGTGCGTGTAGGTGGCCAGTATGTCTGAATCCTTCTATACCTCGACCTCGGCGTCAGGCGATCCAACTGCATCGCATGCATCTCCAGCACCCTCATCTCCCATAACAGCTGGCGCACCCCCACCCCCTCCGCCCAAGCCTCTATCTCAGTTCAATGACCAGATTCAAAGCTCTGCTTCAAGTCGCTCGGGCACGCCAGGCCCCTCATCCACAACTGCGCCGGCCCTTCCAGCCGTACCTGGACTAACAAACTCGCCGCGTCCACAGCCACCTCTTCCACCAGCCCAGTCTTACTCGACACCAGTTTCCCAGGTTCAATATCAGTCTCAGACAGTCCACAATTCGATCCCACCTCCTTCACTATCTGACCGATGGATTCCGCCCGAGTTGCAGGACAAGCCAATTAATGAACTGCATCCACTTGTCCACAATACATCTTTGCTCGCGTCCTTCGCGGCTAGTCATCCTTCTTACTCTTCAGCGCTTGTTCCGCTGCAGTCTGCCGTCCAAGCCAATATCCAGCTTGCAGAACAAGTCTCGCGGGCAGAAAATCAACTACATCAATTGAGAAATGAGACGGCGCAGCTCTTGCTGAACCATACGTCATTGCAGACGCAGTGGAAAAGAAAACAGAGCGAGATGGACGATGCGCTGGCGCCCTGGGGACCCAGACAGATGTATCAGCGGCTGGTGTCGAGCATCAACGAGCAGGAGGCCTTGCTAAGGGCCGTGCAGGAGAGCTTTCTGGATGGTTCGGACAGAGATGATTCATTCTACGGCGGTGGAAATGGAAAGGCTAGTGAGAAAGACGTTTCAGAATGGATTCGAAGAATCAAAGAGGGAACTACGACACTGGAGAAGAGGAAAGAGATGAGGGCTCGATGGGACGAAGGCAGAGTCGGTGGATGGAGATGATGATCGATATGAAATTGAGTCTACTCCATATTTTGGTCACAACCCAGGTCCTCCGCTCGTTAACGGCGGTGCTCTCCTGACAACACCTGTTCTGGATTGCATGAGTGGCATATTGGAGTGCTCGCTCGGGTCGGGGTCTGTCTCTGAGAGGCGAGTAGGGAGACAATCGACATGCAGAAAAGGAACGATCCTTAACCCGCTGAAAGAGGCGGTGTACATCGTCATGGCTTCCCCGCCAACCTGATACTCACGTCATGACCACCAGAGTGCCTTGCTGATAATATGACCTTCCAGACAGACGGTCACGTTTTACCACTGTTCGGCACACTGGAATGGACGAGGACCATACACCGATGAAAAATCTGGCTGCATATAAGCCAACTCTGGTCCAAAATCAACTTGTCGGGATTGGATCGCTCAGGCTCGTATGTCGTCGCTCGGAGGTCATCGGACTCGAACTCACTGCAGAAGCTGCCAGCGCTAGAGCCCAAACGAAGCAGCGTGGAGGAGGAGTCCTTCAAAACATAGGCTGTCGCCGCGGTGGTTTGGCCTACGCATTGCCCCTACACACGCTGACGACCCGATCGGCTCCAAGGTCACTATGCTCGAAGCCCTTGCACCCATAACGCCCGCAATGCAGGTGCGCATGAGATTTTCTTGTGGCAACCTCTTCAATGTGAGAGACGGGTTCGTGTGTCACATGTCAGCGAGGTAGTTGCACCAGACATGTGACCATAAACCTGAGGAGGACGTCTGATTTTACCTGCATAACCATTGGGCAGATCAAGCAGGTCCATATTCATATCTGCATAGCTATTGGAAATGAGACCATCCCGACAGGTCTAGGGAAGGTTTGCCTATTACCTAAGTGAAGGCCATGACTTGCTAGTACCCGTAGCAGTGAAAGCATTTTTTGCTTACCCTTGTCACAGACATTCAGTTGAAGATTAGCATTGTCTGGTCTCTGATTGGTCAAACCCCACCACCCAGAGCATATGTGCATCCATGGTGCCTGCCACGCTTCTAGGAGGAGTGCCAGAAGATGATTGAAACATCAAACATTGTGGAAGCTCCTTCATATCTTTGATACGTTATTCATAATCAGTCTCAGAATCTAAAGAAGTCAGCTCCGAGAGACCAACGTTCGGTTGTTCCTAGCGAAGCAACCAGCGCTATGGAGGCCGACCAGCGAATGAACAAGACCCCAAACCGGCAACACCATGAACGAGAGACACTGCCAACCGCGCCTGACCTTGAAGCCAACAAACCTCTTCTATCAAGAACATCAACCCTCCAGACACGGTCAGATGATCAACGAGTACCCATCTTCTGGTCCGACAAAAGTTCTACAGCTTCGGAACGAGGATGCCTGTCTCATTTTCGGCTTGATGCAAGAATCGTGTCGGATGCGATCCTAGGACTGTCGGATGGACTTACTGTACCATTTGCCCTTACAGCAGGGTTGACAGCGCTTGGAGATACGAGAGTGGTGGTCCTGGGAGGCTTGGCCGAACTCATCGCCGGTGCCATATCGATGGGTCTTGGAGGATATGTCGGTGCCAAAAGTGAAATGTAAGTGGCAGACTTTCCGGACAACTTGAGATCCCAACGGGAGGCTGACGCTTTGCAGAGAGTCATACAATGCACTTGATCGAAGCTGCAATGACCTGATCTTGCAGGAGGCGGACACAGCAAGAGACTATGTCCAAGAGTACTTTGAGCAGTTCGGCCTGTCTACCGAAGACACAAAACGTGTGGCCGATCACATCAAGGGATCGACGCCTGGATTGAAGGAATTCCTCATGCAGAATCATTTCCATGCGGCGAAGCCCGATACCGGTCGACCATACCTATCGGCCCTCACTTTGGGATTATCATACTTCATCGGCGGCTTCCTTCCACTGATACCTTATTTCATCGTCCCAAGGGACAATGTTCTGGCTGGATTGTTGTGGAGCGTGGGACTCATGGGTGTAGTACTACTGGTTTTTGGTTATGTGAAAACTGGAGTTGTTCGGGGCTGGACCGGTAGAGAGAACTACCAGGCCTGCGGCGGCGGCGCCCTGCAGATGCTGGTTGTTGGTGTGATCGCGGCAGGTGCTGCTGTGGGTTTGGTAAGGTTAATCAATCAGACCTAGAGCCTGGACGATGAACGAAGCATCGAGAGTATGTTCGTCGGCTCGTGCAAGCGAGAAAGGAAAGAAAAAGTCAATTCTTCTAGTCCTGGACTACAGTTACCTTAGTCTTTCTAGAACACTTCCCGTTCGGCGGGCGTAGATATGGTCCTGATAGGCACCAAGAAGCGCCCCATGGTTCCGGACGCAGAGCCTGGTCCCTTGAAAGTCGACCCTAACTGAATCATATGTCACTGTACATGAACAGAAGGCTCGTGCTGACGGGCGAAGTCCGGTATGCAGTAAAGGTACGGAGTACTCCATAGGTGATTACTACTACTGATACCTCATGTAGCAAGGTTCCCATGAGGGCGTTTTGTCGGTGATGGCCGCTTGAGAGAGACTGATGAGATTTTCCGCTAGAGGTTACATTGTGGACAGACTTGATGGCTCTTGGCTGATGGCGATATCGCTGAAATCTGCTTGTCGGCTCGACGACTACCATGTTGCCATCAATGGGCTTCGGTTTTCATGATGGAATAGTCAAGGCAACCCTGCATGAACCATAACGTTAACGGCAGTTCGGTTCACTCGGTATGAGAAAAATCGAGAAAACCATTTTCCGTTTTGCCCTTGGCGTGCGTGGAAATTCCGGCACGGGGTCAGTTCCCGGCACGTTGCCTTGCGCTGTTGCCTCGGCCTTTCCCTCCTTCCTCTTCCTCCTCTTTTTCCATTTTTTCTTCTGACTTGCAGATTTCCTTTTCTTCCGAAATGCATGGACCAAGTCATCAACCACCGACCATTATCTGATTCGCTTCTTTTCTCTCGGCATTGCCAATGGAGAGTCTTACTGCATCTACCTTCTATACACCGTCACATTGCAGCAATTTTGTGGAGGAGCCTGCAAAGCTTGCAACTTGCAGCTGGTCTCAATGCTACACGTGGAAAGGTATCGATCTGTGCTCACTGCTCTGGCTTTTTGTCAAGCGGACCACTTCCCAATCTAGCACCGCCTGTAGAGCCCGCAGTCTTTTGTGAAAGCGCTTTCTCAACAACGGGAGCCTGGCCGTTCTGACCAGAGGTGCCATGGACAAGTCTTGGCTTAGGCCATGCTAGAAGATACACCCGAACAGCAGCATTCGAAGGGATCATCCATTCTGCCGCCCTCTGCCGTGTGGGTACCCTCTGCTTGTTCACTATCGACTATCGATTGTCCAAGCTACAAGTCTCCGGTCAGTCCATTTTCAGGTACTTTCCTTTTCTGGCATATACTACCACAGTATGTCGAACATTCCCAGCCACCACGTTGGCTTCAGAGCGGCTGCGTGTTTGGGCAGGATCTTGCTGCTAGTGTTCTGCCTTCGAATACGGTACGGAAGTCCGCCACACCCCCGTCAAACAGGATGCTGCTGCATTGACAGATACCTATTGACATCACATATCCCTCAGACTGGGATACTCTGCCATCTTCCAGACACTGACAGCCCAACCCTTGCATGCATGGAAATATCTATACCTTCTGCGCTAGGTCGGACCCGGCCATACCAACGCTGCTCTTCTGTCTAACCTTCCGTTTCCCCGTTCTGTGGTTGCCCAGAATCTCTCTAGCGCTCCTGATCTTTACACTTTTTGACGGAGTTTTCGATCTTGCCCAATCGCTTTTGCCTGCTCAAAGCCCTTCGAGACTATGCGACCCATCTCTTTTGGTCAGTCGCTCCGTTGAAGACGAACCCAGGTCGACTGCATATCGTTGTTATTAGACTTCTGTCAGCAAAGCGCTATCGAGGTCGGAACAAGAACAAGGTTGTCCAACGTGTATCCGAGGATGACAAGACATGAGCTCTGTCATGTTACACAAGCAGTCTTCGGTTGGATGCGCCCGACAACCACGGAAGATTCTTCATTCACTATGATCGGGCGCAAGTTCTGCAGTCAGCATGAATTCTACTTGCTCGACGTTGAAAAGGTACGTTGGTCTATGCTCTTCTTGCACCTTTTTTTCCGCGACAAGGATGCGATGCGACATTCCTATCTGCGCACTAGTCCGAAGTCCCAACGGTCGTTGCTATGCAAGCACTTTACACGCCACGCGCAGGCGGTTGGGGTTACCTGACAGGCTACGATATCGTGGGACAACCTGACATTGGCGATGGTGTGGATACCACTTGCACAGCGACTGCTGCACTGAACGCTAATCGCTATCATGATATATCCTACGCACAATTCATATGAGATTCTGGGATCGCATTCTCTTAGTTTGGTTCGGAAGAAGCGCAACGGACCCAAGTGAGCCAGGATCATTTATGGACCGTTTCCAAGGACAAGCGGCCTCAGATATTCAGGGTTCCCACTTTGCAATCAGCCCGAAGGATCTTCCCCCAATCGAAGTTTTCCTTGCATGAAAATACTGTATGCATGACTGACGTATTGGGATACAATGTGCACATATGCGCGAATGTGTCATACTGGAAAAACCATACACCTCGTGCAGGGAAAAATGTGGGCAACTTTTGCTCTGCCGTAAGGCGGTAGGAGCCTTGCCCGGATTTGCTGTTCTCCAGGCGCACATGTGGCGCCAGTCGACTCGACAACTTGCGACACAGTGTCGTAAGACCTTATGCGACATATGCGCTGTCGCATGGAACAGCACGGTCTCTTGCGCACGAGTTTCTCGGCAGGATGAAAAGACCCTCTCCCGCGCCGGCACCACACGTGGGCAAGGACAGCCGAGCAAACGGCTATCGGGAGGCTTGTGTCTTGGAAGGTGTGCTGTTCCTGACGGTGCCTGAAGCCAACCCATCTTCCGCCTAGTGGGAATGATTTTGGTGCGCCATTATCCGGCCTTGGCCCCGGGGGCGTTCCAATCGGTGGGCTTTGGTACCTGGAGACCTAACAGGGCCTGGACGCCTTCGCTCGGGTGAGCATGTCAACCGGGATTGGCTCTATTTACTCCACTACGGCTGCATTAGCTCAGGAACCACGGCATTTCATGGCGTTGCGCTCAGGCCTCTATTTGACAGCACACGAATGGTGCAAAGTGCCAAACTCCATCAACCCAATCCACTGCACCACCGAATGGCACCCTTGTGAACCTACTGTGTCGGTAGTCAACGTTTTCGACCGCTTGTTCCTTTGCCTAGGGCTTGCATATGGTTTTCTGCGTCTCCGCCGTTCTCAATTCTGACACCAATAGCATACACAGCGGACTTCGAGGCTAGCTCCACGATGCCCATGTCCGTCTTGCCTGCCCGTTGACAGCGCTAACGCATCCGAAAAAAATCTTTAAACGATGCAGGTCCAGGAGGATCCATCCCACGGGCCAGCGTCCAGGGCTCTGGGAGTGGCGGCGACTCGAAGTTTGTTGACTGTGGACACAGTCCGTGAGATCAAAGTTACTTAAACCGGGTGCCGTCTCTGTTGTTCAATTTCCCCTTTTTGAAAGCAAACGGTCAATCCTTTTCAACTCTCTCTCTACCACCTCGAGCAGGTCTCTGATCAGCATCATTCCTTTGCTGCAAGAACCAACGTGTCGACGTCACACCTATACAGGATCACTCCTTACAAACACCAAGTCTAACAGACCCAACTATCCTTACCGCCAAGGAAAGAAAACCAAACCGCAAATCAAAATGCAATTCAAGAACGTTGTCGCTGGCGCAGCAGTGCTGCTTGCCTCTGCTCAAACCACTTTGGCCCTTGGATCCGCCACCGTCGTCAACAACTGTGGCTTCCCAGTCTACTATACGTCTGTCGGTGCTGGTGCTAACGCTGCCATGCAAGAGCTCTCCGATAGCTACACTCAGGCGTACAGCAACGAGGGTGACGGCTTCTCTATCAAGCTCTCCCCCAACGACACCACTTCCGGATCCGTCTCCCAATTCGAGTTCACCTGGGCCAACAACAAGATCTCCTATGATCTGTCCAATATCAATGGCTACCCGTTCTCTTCTGGTGGTATGGAAATCGTGCCTTCCATGCAGAATGACCCAAGCAACCCATCCTGCGTCGTAGTCGACTGCCCTGCCGGAGAATCAGTCTGCTCCGCTGCCTACAACGCCCCAGATGATACTCGAACCATGGTCTGCGATCAGGACAGCAACCTCGTCCTGACCATCTGCCCCGGCGGTTCATCTAAGCGCAGCGTCGAGCTCATCGGAAGCGACATGCACTACCGCGTGCACGCTCGCCACCTTCCCAAGCACGCTTAAACGGCGCCTCGTCAATCAATGATCAAATGATACGACCCCAACAAGACAAGTCATAATATGCCGACCTCAAAGTTTTCCACCTCTTCCAACTTGGCGCAGCGAGTCCTGCCGCCTCCTTTTCCACTGCCTGCAAAGACGCTCTTTTACGACATCCCCCATGAGTCGACACATGGACATATGTCATCACCCTTGCAGCAGTGCCCGATCTCGACGATCAACCCACCCCCTTCCAGGACCCGACGAGAGGTCTTCACCGTGGAAATACTTAACGACAACGACGGCATATTATGACTTGGCTACGAAACCAAGAAATCTCATGAGCACGAATCCAGCAAGTAGGAAACCTGAAGTCATGTCTATGATCTAGCAATGGCGATGGTGGAGCACGTTTTGAGCGATCAAAAGCGCGAGCGGAGGTGCAGGCGTTCTTTTTTTATTGTCCTTTTGGTTTAGATCGTGGCTTCTCTCGAGTGCCATGGTTTATCGACATGTTCTTTTGAGGTGCCTGTTATCATACGAAGCCCAAAGGCGTGTGCAGATGGTGGGAGGATTTCTCCCTTTTCTTTCGTTTCTACAATTATCCCAAAGAGCAATCTACGGGAGAAATTGGGTTTATAGACTTTTCGATTCTTGATATACCATTTCTAGGGAAACAAATTTGACTATACAAAAATGATCTTCCTTTTCTCTTTGTTGTCGTTGGCGTTGATGAGGTAGGTGGTGCAACTCGTACCTGCAAAGGCGATCCCGCCGTCACCCAAGTCGACCATCAAGGTGATGACGAAGCCCAAATCTCGTGGCTTTGATTGCATGTTCACACAGTTCGCTAGTTTTGGCCCCAGACCGCGTGTTCCCCCTTTTGGGTTTCTCGCTAAGGCCCGCGGGTGGCCGGGTGGCGGGCATGGGGGTGATCGGCTGTCTCCTTGGGCCTTTCAAAATGCAGGAGAGCAGAAAGACGCGAGAAATCACTGGCCCTCGGATTTGACAGGTTTCTTTCTTGATGTGGTTTTGATGAAACACAGCCGAAGGTCGCTCTCCTTACAGGGCCATGAAACACTCTTATCTGCGATTGATCTGGTCTGGGTGTCTATCGCGCAGGCGACGACAGCATATCACATCGACTATTGTCAAGTGGCTGGGGTAGGCTACTGTAGGGCAGACAGGCCAGGGCCAACAGGCATCACGTTTCATCAAGGCTCAGGGGGAACATAAAGTCCGTAGCGCGCGCTGTGATATTGATGCGCTGTAAAGGGGAAGAGCAAGCACTGAGCACTGAGCTGGTCAGGCATGAGCAACCACAGAAACAATTGACGCCCGGATCGCAATCCTTGGATCCTGGACCAGCAGTCTGGGTCATAAGGGCAGAAACCGTGCGAGACGGCAGTAGAGAAAATGTAACCCCAAAGTCTGGGGCTCTCGGGCAGCGAAAGCAAGAGGCTGGAGAACGAAGGTATGTGTTCAAGTTCTCTCCTGTTCCTTTGGGGTAAGGAGACGAGAACTGCTGGACTGTACGGCACGACCCATGTTCGCGAGCAAAAGGTGTGCCTGTCAAAATCACACATCAAACCATCTGAGATGTGACAGATGCGGCTTTGCACGTCCAAATCGATAGTGTGTATATGTCAAAACTGTCCCGAAAAGGGCGAAATGCCAACTCCCGGATAAAGGTGACAGCTCTTTCCATGAAGCTTGAATTCTACAAACTGCAGTAGCTCGTAACTTACGCCGTACGGAGATGAATATCTTTTGATCAGCGCAGTGCAGTGTAGATCGCTAACGTTGGCCGGGATGGATAACAAGGTACAATAGTGACCTCCTCAGCAAAGCAAAAGGAAATAAAGGTCTCCGCAAGAAGTTCCTGTCGTAAGCAAACAAACAAACACTCTGAAACTCTGGCGAGCGGGCGGGCTGGGCCGGGTAAAATTGTCGATTGAACTTGTACTCCGTACCTGGACCGCCAGCATAGAACTGCGGTAAGTGATTGGGGGCGGCCCCTACCAAGTGGTGCCTAAACCCTCAATACCTAGGCTAGAATATGCAGCATAGGAGTAAGCGGGGCTGTATAGACGTCACGACTTCTGCGGGCACCAGAAAGAGAACCCCCGGATGAATATTTCCAGGTGTACATCACAGAACGCCGGGTTTGCAGCGGCTCAGTGACTGTGGTCCTTCCTGTTTTGGTTGCTCGGAACGACCATGCTAGTTCCCCAGAGCCTCCCCAATGACTACGACTCCTTCATACATCCGGTGCATGGGGGAGAAGGCAGCGCCCGAGAAAGACGCTGGCTACGCAAAAACCTCCCAGGCGAAGAAGATGCAAAGTGATCGCCGTGGTCTCGGCCATTTACCTAGGTAGCATTGTTGCATCGGCTGGTAGCGCGAGGCTATTAGAGCTGCTCCTGGGGGGACGATCGTAGTAAGGCTGAATACGTGGCAAGCACGTTTTGGATTGGTAACCGTTATTTTAGACGATCGTGATCGTCTGGCTGATCAGGCGCAGATCATGGCCACGTTCCTGATAGTCTCTGAGCGAGTTCTTAATGATATGGCCAATATCGACTCTGTTAGTAGTGCTCCATGGTCTTTGATAGAGTCAAGACCAGCTCTTGAAAATAGCAGCCAGCATGGCCCGTTTCGAGGCCCCGTGGGAAGAGTCATATGACTTTCGCTTCGAGCTGGGACGCCTCGACATTGCTGTCACTTACCAGAAATGCCTCTATCGCTGGAGTCAGAAAGATGGCTGGATTACCATTTCCACGCTGTGGATTATAGTCGCATCTGCACAGGGCGAGGAGAGCTTGACAAAGCCCGATTCTGAGAAAAGAGCACCGTATGGATCTTCTGAGCAGGGATGCAGCCACTGTCCAGCAGTTTGGCCTCAAAAATATGGTGCGTTCAATAATCGATTCGTGGGGTTTCAAGCGTCCTTGGACGGTTGGCCATGACCAGGAGGGCGCCACGTACTCAGCTGTTTGCTACCCACCGGCTTTGGCCTCCCACAACATCAGGCTCACGGCATAGTTGGACCAGAGGCCGTCCAGGTAGTGCCCGAAGCCGTCGCTCTGGAAGCGATGAGCGAGACCAGAGAGTGCGGCAACCGATTTTGATCTTCCTTGATCAGACGATCCTAATACGAGAGTGCCAGGTCGTCCCGAACATTGGCTCGCTCTTTGTCGGTCATACGATCCAGACTCGAATTTGAGGTCGCTCAATGGAATATTCAATCTGTGACAATCACAAGTTTGGTAGTCTCTCTTGTACATTTTGGTGCCTTGTTGGGCCTGCCCTCTCCAATAGATAATCCTGCTTTTTTCAATATTGTGGCATACCGGGCATGGCTTGGTAATGATCTGGCGCCCTGATGGTGCTGGCGTAGGTGGCACTTGTGGTGCAAATGCCATAACGTGCAGTGGGCATTGGGACTAGCAGTATCAGGACGATTTTGGGCACCTAGGACAACTAGATTCGGTGAGTGTAAGAAGGGACTGGTGGTGGTTGTTCATTAATGGATGGCCTCAGTACTGTATGTCAGCCTCGTTATGTGAATGGGTTCACCTCAAATTCACGTGATGCTGAACTGCGCCCGAAACTTCCAGCGCAAGAAATTCTTCGCCTGGATTTGTCACATGAGGATAACTTATCAACAACGTCTTCTACTGAGGAACCTTTCGCACTTCATCCATAAAATCCCCTCGAATCTCACCACCGTCTAATTGCAAAGATGTCGCAGTCACAGTCGGGCGGCTTCAACCAATATGCCTCGGGATATGCTGCAGGCGACGCATCTGGCGGACCGACCGTACAATATGTCTGTGGTGAATGCGCCGCGAAAGTCAGTCTGGGAAGAGGCGACGCGATAAGATGTAGCACTTGTGGACACCGAGTTCTTTACAAGGAGCGAACCAAGAGGTACGCGCCGCCGGACAAGAGTGCTTGGAGTTCTTGCTGACAACGGCGTTAGAATGGTACAATTTGAAGCGCGATGATTCTGCCCGCGGCCGACGAAATGATCGACTAGTTTAAGAGCACTACGATTCAAATACCTCTATTTTCATCAGGCATAGCGACGGCGTTTGTTACTGTTGGTTCAGCACATGCAAGACTTGAGTGCGACGGAACAGGCTCAGAAGAAAGACTTTTACGCGTAAAAGGACTTTTCATGTTGGCTACAGCCTATCTATCGGTTTATTGGTGAATTCGATGAACTTTTGAAACTCCTCGAGAGCCCTTCCACTCTCTATGCACCACCTGGCTTTTCGCACACCCTCTTTCCATCGCTCTCCTGCTGGTCCTCTCTCCTTGATCACTTCTCCGGTCGGACAAGTATCGGCCTCGCATGCGCCGCTTACCACGAACAATGTAGCGACATTCAAGAGGACGAAATGCAGGATAGGATCGTCGAGGCTTCTCTTGTTCTGGAGGATGCTCATGAGCACGGAAGCATTCTCCCTGGGATATTTTCCACCGCCCACTTCCGACAGTGGGTGCGAAGGAAGGCCGAAGTCTGCTGGTTCGATTTGAAAAGTCTCGATCTTCGATATGTATTTTGGCGGGCCTTCATCATCACTTGTGTCTTCGTCCTCGCTCTCGCGGTCGCCTTTGTAGGCAGGGTTCTCTGCTTCTCTCAACAACCAGCAATTGGTCTTGCCAGCGCAACTTATCTCGTCGAGGTCTTCGTGTCCGCACACCACAATGGCTTTTGTTGCGCCGGAGAAGCGCAAGGCTTCCGCGAAAACCGGTCCCAGCTCTTGGTATGCCACTCCGACAACTCGAGCCTCGATGTGATTCTCAACGGGGTTCGCAAGAGGGCCCATCAAGTTGAAGATCGTCCTCAGTCCGAGCTCACGCCGTACCGTTGCAGCGTACTTCATTCCCGGATGGAAATTTGGGGCATAGAGGAATGTGTAGTTGGTGTGTTCATACGCTTCTGGGAGCAGGTCGGCGCTCAGAGCTTCGATCTTTGGAGGCTTGGGAAGTATTGCGTTGAGGACGTCTGCGGAACCGGACATGGAAGTTTGCGCCCTGTTGCCATGTTTTGCCATCATCAAGATAGGAGAAGCAATGATAGAGGAGGTGGTAGAGATGTTAAAAGTCGAATGTGAATCTCCTCCAGTTCCTACAATGTCACATAGTCCGCCCCGATATTTGCCCAAACCGCGCTTCCTCTTTCCGATGACTGTCCTTAATTGCTGATCGTTGATCGGTACTGCTGCATCACGCATACTCTGTGCGCATTTTGCAACGACAGCTGGGTGTCTATCCTTGCCTGTCGAATGTAGAAGCGTTAACAACGCCGAAAGTTGCGTCCCACTTAGCTCATCTTCGAAAGTCCTTGAGAATGCGAGTGCAATGTCCTCGGCGTTAACATTGTTGTCCTGAGGTGCTGGTGCGGAAAGTTTCTTCAGAAGAGGTGCAATAGAGACCTTCCGAGGAGAGGTGGTCATCTTTGAGTACAGGCGTGTTACTCTTAAGCCTGGTGCTTGTGCAGACTGTGTCGTCTCTTTTGTAGCGAGCGAAAATTGTGAGTCAATCGCAGGGAATTTGCGGGGAAGCGAGAACTGTCATCAATGGCATCAAGCATAACAACGTGGGCCTCGAGCACGGCTTGATTTGTTTTCTCCTACCCTGCTCCACCCTTAGCATTCCACGATCAGTTGTGCAGCACACATTCTCACCGACGTGCATCTAGTTCTTCTAACAGCCCTCGTGAGACAAAATAGACGGTAGGACCCGGGAGCTGCGTTCGAGCCCAAATCTTGCTCGCCAATCTGTTCTTGATCGAATCTGCTTCAGCCACTTTCCAATCCTCTTGCGGGCATTCGTTCGCGCAGTGTCGCTTCTAACGATGGGAGAGGCTTCTCCAAGTCCTCTTGCGGCCATGGTACAGCTCGGACGCTATGATTGCAGTCAAGAAAAACCAGACTACTCAAATGAAAAGGTCTTCCAGAGAAACAAACTTGCTGCCAGAGCGTACCACATTCCCGACACATCCATATCATTGTCTGGCGTGTGGGACTTCCATTATGCTCTGAGCCCGGACCTCGCTCCCTCTTGGGATGGCATTACTACGCAAGACGAGTTTTCGTGGCGACCCATAACGGTGCCCGGTCACTGGCAGTTGCAAGGATACGGGATACCTCAATACACGAATATCGTCTTCCCCTTCCCTATCTGTCCTCCATATAGTCCAACTGACAACCCCACTGGAAGCTACCTGAAGAAATTCTCCGTTCCAAAAAGCTGGAGCCCAGACTCCCAGATCCGCTTGCGCTTTGAAGGTGTCGACAGCGCTTTTCACCTATTCGTGAATGGGACCGAGGTTGGGTATTCGCAAGGAAGCAGAAATCCAGCAGAGTTCGACATATCCTCGTATGTGGAGCGCAACACGGAAAATCAAATCTTGGTTCGTGTATATCAGTGGTCTGATGGCTCGTACATAGAAGACCAGGATCAGTGGTGGCTATCTGGTATGCATGGCGTTGTCAGCTCTCACCTTGGCACAACTGATGCAACTACTAGGGATCTTCCGTGATGTCTACCTGTTGGCTTTCCCAGGACAGGCCCGTATCGAGAACTTTTTCCTTCAAGCAGAGCTGGATGGCGACTATCAACAGGGAAACTTCAGTGTGAGCCTTGATATGGCCCTGCAAAAAGACTGCGAGGTCGGTATCAAGCTACAATCCCCTGGAAAAGACACCGTCTTAGTCGATGATCGTATCAGCGTCGCTCGCAAACAGTCCCAACTGCAAAGACGATTTGTGGTCGAGGCACCAGCCAAGTGGACTGCAGAAACACCGGTACTGTATCATGTAGAGCTCAGGCTACTTTTCGATGGGGAATGCACCCAGACAATCAGGAATCGAATCGGGTTTCGGAGGGTTGAGATCAAGAATGGCTTGCTAACAGTGAACGGCGTACCTCTCCTACTGCGTGGTACTAACCGTCACGAGCACCATCCTCGCCTTGGTCGAGCAGTGCCTACAGAGTATCTAAGGCAGGATCTCTTGCTAATGAAACAGCACAATATCAATGCTATCCGATGCTCACATTATCCATCACAGCCGGCGCTTTACCAGTTTGCCGACGAGCTAGGCCTTTGGGTCTTGGACGAAGCCGACCTTGAATGCCATGGGTTTGCCGAAGCCGTGAATAGATCGATGCACATCCCCGAGAGCATGGACTACGAACGAAGAAGTGCCCTGGTAGCCGACGAAGCCGCTGCTTTTACTTCTGATAACCCAGACTGGGAGGCTGCATATGTCGACAGAATGACACAACTGGTCGAGAGGGACAAGAACTTCACATCTGTCATTATCTGGTCTCTCGGTAACGAGGCGTTTTATGGCCGCAACCATAAAGCAATGTATGAATACGTCAAGAGGACTGATCCGTCGCGGCCGGTGCATTATGAAGGCGACAGATATGCTGTTACTGCAGACATGTATTCTTACATGTATCCATCTGTTCAGCAACTGATCACTTTTGCCAAGGAGGAAGGGGTGGCACCAGATGGGTCTTTCGAGAAGCCAATCATCCTATGTGAGTACGGACACGCCATGGGTAATGGACCTGGACTGTTAGAAGACTACCAAGCAGCTTTTCGCGAGCACAAGCGACTACAGGGAGGATTTATCTGGGAGTGGGCGAACCACGGCCTCTTGAAGCCCTCGGACGAGGTCAAGGGAAAGCAGATTTATGCCTACGGAGGTGATTTTGGCGATGTTCCCAATGACGGTACATTTGTTATGGACGGTCTATGTTTTAGCGACCATACTCCAACTCCAGGCTTGACAGAGCTCAAGAAGGTCATTGCTCCGATAAGAGCTTGGTTTGATGAAGACAGAAGCGAAGTCGTCATAGAGAATGGCTTCAACTTCAAGGGCCTTGATGAACACACAGTCGAATGCACACTGGAGATCTTCAAAGACGCGTGAGTGGGTTCAAGTATCACATCTCACTGGTGCTAATGTCAGAAGGCCTGAAACCTACGTGTGGAAGTCGGACATACCTGATATAAAACCCGGCACAATAGGGGCCATTGCCCTCCCCAATTTTGCGCTTCGACACCGATCATTCACTGCTGCTGAGTGCTGGGTGACAGTCAGCTTCACCCTCAGGGGGAGTTGCGCCTGGGCCGATGCCGGCCATGAAGTGGCGTGGTTTCAACATCAATTAAACAAAGACGTCTTCACCCTGCCTAACAGGAGCCTGACTCCGAACGATGGAAATAAGTTGGATGTCACGACATCCCGCCAGTATACAACTATAACCGGCAATGATTTCTCAGTAACTTTCGACCGAGTCTATACGTACGTCTCGTCATGGGTTGCAAACGGCATAACCCTCCTGCAAGCATCAAACCCTTCCACATTGCCATTGAAGCTCGGCTTCTGGCGCCCACCCACAGACAACGATGCCCGAGGCCAAACGCAAATATGGAAGCAATGGGGTCTGGACACCATGACGACCCAAAAGCGCCGCTTTGATATCACTAGAGCGACCAACACCCACATTGAAGTGAAGACAGTTACTCACCTCGCTCCTCCTATCCTAGCCTGGAGCATGCATGTTGAGACCACATACCGCATTTGCGCCGACGGGACAATTTCAGTCAAAGCACACATCACGCCCAAAGGCGCAGCTCCCGCGACTTTTCCAAGGGCGGGCTGGGACATCCAAATGCCAAAAGCATATGATCGAGCCGGGTACTTTGGTCTCGGCCCAGGCGAGTCGTACCACGACAAAAAGTCCGCGCAGAAAGTCGGCATCTATCACGCGAGCATCGTCGATTTGCACACCCCTTACGAAGTGCCACAAGAAAACGGAAACAGAATGGACACTCGGTGGGTGAAGATCCTCGACGAGCGAGGAGCGGGCATCAAGGCTACGATGACCGGTGGGAAAGGGACCCCTGACAAATTCCACTTTGCAATGTCAAAGTACTCGGCCGCGGAGCTGGAGCGAGCACGGCATGGTCCAGAGTTGATCGAGGGAGACGCGAACTATCTTCGTCTTGATGTCGACGTCTCCGGGGTTGGAACTGCGGCGTGCGGGCCTGGGATCAAGGATGAGGACTTTGTTAAATGTGAAGAGATGGAGTTTGAGATCTGCTTGGAACCGCTTTTCGATGAGACTCTCGCTTGAACCAATGCGGAAGCCAGGAGTGCATGATAGCTTCAGGGGTGAGCATGACAAATGCGATGGCAAGTGCCGGGAGTCTCCGGTTTGTGCAAAAAGGGGATGAGACCTGGTCTACGAATAGTTGTCCACCGGTGCATATATACGTTAAAGGGCTTCTTCGCTGCTAAATTAGAGATTAACTGGATTAGTGCAAGGGCTTAAAAGTAGACTACCTATTATTAGTGGCTGATCCTGTAGAGCTAAGCTTGATAAGGATGGCGCATTGTTAAATACACCTCGAGGCTGGAACCTCAGCCGACCTCGCCTTCCCTTTGATCTGGACCAACAAGCACGTCTTTTTTTTCTTTGTTCTTCACACATCTTTGGCATCACTCTTCATTAATCCTTTCTCCTATTGTTTGGCGATTATTGTCACCCTCGCGTCTTCACATATCTCAGTTTTCATCCTACAATCCCGAACATTGTGTTTCAGATCTCTACTTCGACTTCCCGATCATGACTATCGCTACCATTAGCTAGAATTGTATATCTCACCCAGAGAGAGCTGCACAACATCCACACACCCAAGTAACATCGGTCAGCTGTTCCATCACTTAGTCGCCAACAGCAGAATTGTGTACGCCATGGCTTCACCGGCTATTCAGCCTGTCAGACCTTCTGGTTCGATCGACCTACGACGTCCCGGCGAGTATCCCATCGTGCTGGGCGACAGCTTGAAGGATGAGAACTCGAAAGCGTACCTACTCAATGTTCGTTACAATTGGCAGCCACAGTCCGGATTCAAATCCGGTCAGGGCAAACTTACAGAATCTGGCGGCAGATATCAGCTAGCAGTACAGGATGATAATGACGGCGGAGATTACAATTACACCGGCAGCCTGAACGCCTCCAAGTCTGGAAAGGATGGCGAAAAATCTACTGCGTTAGCCCTGGTGTTCGACAAGTCCAGATCCGTCTTTGTTCTTGAGGCACTTTCGGCAACTCTAGATATGAACCTCGAGTCTGGTCCAGGCCAGCCATCCAAAGACGCACGTGAACTACCGCCGTTACCAACCTCTGTACAAGCCTCTCAGAATCCTATATATAAAGGTATCAGTAGCAGCAAGTCCCGATCAGCAGACGATGAGACACCTGATGCTTCAAACCCGTACGACTTTAGACACTTTCTGGCCGAAGCACGCGACAACATGGAAAAGTCCACACAACAACCGGGCAACAGGACGCCCAACCCTGGAGGAAATCTGACCCCTATGAGCAGTATCTCCACACCGATTCCTGGCTCGAGCCGCTTCAAAGCCACAACACCACAATTTCGACCTAACCCAGCAGCCACCAAGACATCACAGCAGAAGGGCCGTAGGGGTCCTGACACAAAGGGTGCGCGGCCATCTGCTGCGCCCAAGACTAGCAACAAGCGAGAGCCCATAAAGTCATCAAACAAACCACTAAGCAAAGCCCGTGTCTCGGACTCCGACGAAGACGATGAGCAAGCCACCATCGATGTTTCGAGAGCTGTGTCCAAATCGACCACCGCAAATACATTGAAACCGACCGCTACACGACCCAACCAAGCACCTGGGAGGGGTCACGCACGAAACAGATCCGCCAACATGGGTAGCTCCCCACACATCATTATCAATGACGACGATGGCGGCCTGGAGATAGATATGGGCAGCCCGCCGCCAGAGGACCGCGCGAGACGTAACAGAGTCGACCCCGAGATGTTCCGCAGCCACACAGGCACACCAGTCGCCGGGTTAAGTTCGAACACAAGACCGATGTCTAGACCTGCCGATGAGAACCGTGAGCGGACCCGAGACAAGGATGTGTCAATGAAAGATATTGAAGGTGGCACGAGCGCGTCCGAGGACGGGGATGTCGAAGAGTTCGAGTTGGGTAGCCCACGCGACAAGAGTCTCGGTGTGCCGCATAGCGGTGATGTGACTATGGCGGAGGATGACGAGGAGACACAACCGCAAAAGGCGCCCGTGGTGGCCAACAACGACGACATCGACGATGAAGACTTGTTGGCTGCCGAGCTCGAGGCTGCGTTGGAAGCGGAAGATGATGAGGCGGCGACCCACGGCAACAACGTTGGTCTGGGTATCGGCATGCACACGGTGCAGGACGACGAGAGTGAGGTCAGTGAGGAGGAATAGCGATATTTTCCGCAGAATAGATGGTATTCATGAACATCTACAACAGGTCTCAGGCTGAAATGTAGTCGACCGGCCTTATATCTCAACTGGCACGTGTCCGAGTCGCTATCAACAATATGCATTGTGGCGCTTTTGTTTGTTCTACATGATGACCCATGTCGTGACATTCTGACAGACACAGATGCGTGGCATTTTGAAGCATAATGTAAGGGTATCTATCACCATCACTCTTCTCCACCACCACCACCAGTCAAACCACTGCCACCAACTTGCTTCGCGCTCTTCGCACCGCAGATATCGTCGACACGTAGTAACAAGCACGCGCTCTCCACAGCCGTCTTGATACTCTGCGTCTTGACCGCCTGCGGCTCCCAGACGCCATACTCTTTCATGTCGACCACATTACCCGTGTCACCATCAATACCGAACGTCGATTTTCCTTCGGCATGCTTTGCGCGCAAATTTGTCAATATGCGGATGGGGCTGGCGCCGGCATTCTGGATCAGCGTTCTCGGAATGACTTCCATCGCCTCCGCGACGGCGCGGTAAGGCCACTGCATCACGCCCTCGACCGATTTGGACTTCTGCGCGAGCCTCACCGAAACAGCCATCTCCGTGGCGCCGCCACCAGGAGCCAAGCGAGGGTGGAATATGACGTTACGAGCGACCGACATGGCGTCCTGCAAGTTTCGGTCAATCTCGTTAAGGATGTCCTTTGACGGGCCTCTAAGAAGAATCGTGCAAGCCTTGGGATTCTTGCACTTGGTCAGGAAAGTGAAGTATTCGTCGCCAATCTTCTCGATTTCAAAGAGACCGCATCCCGTGCCGACGTCCGCTTCTTGGAGATCGTCAACCCGGTTCACAATCGTTGCGCCTGTCGCTCGGGCGATGCGGTTGTTGTCGGACTTGCGTACCCGCCGTAGCGCCGTGACGCCGGCCTTGACAAAGTAGTGCTGTGCGAGATCCGAGACTCCCTTCTCGGTGATGACCAGGGTGGGCTTGACGGCCAATATAGCGTCGCACATCTTCTTGACCTGCTCTTCTTCGATCTGGAGGATTTTATTCCACGATTCCTCGTCTGTGATCTCCACATTGGTCTGGGACTCGCCCTTCTTGTATTCCAGAGTGCAATCCAGGAGAACAATTCTGGGGTTTTCTATCCGTCTGCGCATCGAGGCGTGTGTGATGTCCTTGTTCAGCATGACACCGTCCAGCACGCATGAATCTTCAATTTCTCCGCCGGGGATCTTCTCGATACGTGCGTAACGTTTGATATCGACTTCTTGAGCTTTTGGGGCGTTAGGTGAGACGCTCTTGGCAACACCGTTTGTTTGAGGATTGGAAAAGAAGGACTGTTCTAGTGATACCGTCCGGACCGCTTTCAGGGCTAGGGAACACATCAGTTCAGAATGTGTGGAGATGGTTTTGGTGCCGATGGAGGATTCGATGAGGGAGATCATGGCTTTGTCGTTGGAAACGTCGACTGGCATCGAGATTTCCTCCACAATCGCCAGAGCGTCTGCGAGCGCTTTCTTGAAGGCTTGAATAATGACTACAGGGTGAATGTTTCGCTCGAGTTGAGGTAGGGCTTGTGCAAGCATTTCACCGGCTGCATGAGTGTCAGACTGATCGCACAACACCGAGGGAGGCCTCCCAGACCTAATATTATCACTGTCGTCGTGCCGTCCCCGACCTCTTCATCTTGTGTTCTACTCAACTCAATCATGCTCTTGGCTGCCGGATGTGCAACTTCGATCTCTCGTAGGATGGCGTGGCCGTCGTTGGTCAGGACGATGCCTCCCATGGGGTCCAAGAGCATCTTCAACATCGCTTTGGGACCTAGACATGATCTTATTATATCCGCAACCCTTGTGCTATCAGTCAATGCTTTCGTGGGACGGTTCGTTGATTGCTCACGTCTTTGCGGCGGTGATATTGGAAATTTGTGCTTTCCGACCGACCTGTCTCTCCCCACTCGCCGTATCTGAAGCAATTTTAGTCTTGACCATGGATAGAAAGCCCAATAGTGCTCACTCATGACAACTACGGGCGCCTGCATCTTGCCCTCGTTCGCGGCCTGCGGCCTTTGGGATTCTAGGGTGGGATGTTCTGATTCTTTACCGGAGTTCGAAGGCGCACGGAACCGAAGTGGACTGGTCTTCGTAGAGTCGGTTCAGTAGGTCAGGTCCAAGGGATTGCAAGCGAAGTGAAGGTGCCTGATATTGCAGAACCAATCGTCTGAAAATGTACCGCGACCAGAGATCGCGGTGTCTCCAACTTTTTGTGCCAAGCCGGTCAAATTGTCACTTCGAAAAATGGCACTCAAGTCGGAGATCACTCAAACACCTAGTTGTATCATAATATGCGACATATACATAGAAGAGGAACGACCGTCGAATCAACAACACAAATTTGCGTTGATACTTGGAAGAGAACAAGCAGTCAGAAATCCATTCGGGAAAGCATTGGAACGTCAATCACGATGCCCGTCGCAGGATCTACAAGCTCCAGTTCTCCTGCTTCTGCTCTTTCACGGCCTGCCTCCCTTAGATGAAGCTCACTTCGCCCAAAGAGACAAGTTCATGGCGAAGATAAACATTGTGCACAACCTTTCTGGAGTCGCCGAGAAGAGTGCTGTACAGCACAGTACGATTGGCGAGCCGAACTCACTTCACGGCAACCCCGGAGTCCAAGACGTAGCCGACTCGTAGCTACAATCTTCCTTTCGACGACAACCTATCCATCCATGATTCAGCCTCTCATACCAGTGTAGTGCTACTCATCCCGCCATCGAAAAGGACCGGACTTACTCATCGTCATACCCATTCTTCCCACTCACACACCCAAACGCACCTCCCCCTCGCCCAAACATCTCTCGCAAATCACCCGCCAACAACTCCGGCACCTCCCACGCCGCAAAATGCCCACCCCTCTCATGCTGCCTAATCAACACTAACGGCCCCATCGTATGATGCCACAGCTCCGGACTCTGCACCAACTCCTTCGGCAACTGCATTACCCCAAGCGGTGAATCGACATACTCCTGCGCGACCACAAACCCCGACCCGCCCTCGCGGTTCCGATCATCATAGTAAATCCTCTGTGTGGCTGCAGGCCCCCCAGCCGAGAACTCATAGATACTAACCCACGTGAGCACCTCGTCGTCCGTCCACGCATACCCGTCACTCCAGTCATGCAACTTCTCGTAGATCCAAGTCAACAATGCCACCGGACTAGCCGTGACAGCGACGCCAATGGTCTGAGGTTTCGTGCCTTGCTCAATCATGTATCCTGACCCCTCCGTGCGGAACCACTTCGTGCGCTCGAGCCCGGCTTTCTCAAACTCCGTAAGAGGCGTGGCTTGGACCTGTGCATATAACGCCGGATGCGCCGTCAACGTCGGTTCCGCCGGCATGGCCATGTTGACGTGATGCGCCTTGCAATGTTGCGGGTAACTCTTCGCCATGAACCGTGTGATGGGATAGCCTATGTCGCCTCCTTGGACCACGTATTCATTATACCCCAATTGAAGCATTAACTTGTGACATACTTCGGCGTGCTGATCAATGTTGAACTTAGGCTTCATAGCAGCCTGGGAAAACCCAAAATCAACTAGACTCGGCGCGACGACATGGAAACTCGGCTTGTCCTTTCCTCCATCCACAAGCAGTGGTAGGACCTTGGTGACCTCAGTGAAATTGCCGGGCCACCCATGCGCGAACAGCAATGGAATCGCATTCTTCACTCTGCTAGTCTGATGGACAAAGTGTACATCGTACGTGCCGAATCCGTCCACATCGATGCTGGTCATGAAATTGGGTATTGAGTTCAATTTTGCCTCGGCTTTCCGCCAGTCGAAGCCATCGGCCCAGTACGCTGCGAGGCGCTTGATGTCGGCGAGTGGAGGACCACGAGACCATGGCTCTATACCGGGGACTTCATCCGGCAAATCGAACAGTCCGAGCTTTTGTTTCAGGCGGTCGAGTTTAGAGTCCGGGACTGATATGGTGTATGGTCGGATCGGGGACATTATGAAGGTTATGCAAGTCTCGAGGGAAAGACGACAGAGGAGAGACGACCGGACTTACTCGCCAGGTGATCAGATCGCTTTTTGAGAGCAAAGCGCCAAGAAGGAGTTTCTGAACGACGTGAGACTGTGTAACGTGCTTGATGTTCTTGTGCATCTCGAAGTACGGAGTACATTCGAGGGGGTCATCTTATGGGGCCCCACAAGTGGAGGAATGAACCTCGGGTTGATGCCGTCACTGTACAGTACAGACCTGAGGCGGAGGTACTTGGTGGTGCTCACGTAATTGCATATGGGACAATTGCCGACAACAGAAGTACCAAACGGTAACACGCATGGTTGAGTCTCAATTTCCTCACGTTCCGTGCCTCGGGGGGTATCAATGTAATTTCAACATGCTGCATCATCTATGCTTCTGCTGAAGTCCCGCCGTTGCTATGCGACAGCTGGTCTAACTGCTCCTGCAATTCATCGACCAATCGTTTCAGCATCACACTTGCTCCACGGCTTAATGGCCTAAGGAACACCCGAGTTGGATCATCCTTGTCACCTGATGAATCCAGCAATCCAGTGTCCTTCTCAAGCCTCGCTGCCTCGGATTTTTGGATAAGCTGCCTTCCACGCTGTAAAGCTGTCCCCAGCAGACTGTTTGCGGGATCCGAAGGGCCATGCGGTAAGTACAGCCAGGCCAAGACGTCTTTCAGCCCTCCAGGTGGTCGACATAGAGCGTGTTTGATGAACCCTCGAGCCATCACAAATGCTTTCTCGCTGTACTGCTCAGCTTCCAGGGTATACCTGCTATCATTCTCATATCCTTCGAAGCCGGCTTCGTTGTAGAATGGTCTCTTGACAAACACCAGCCCCTGCAATGACACCAGTAGTTGAAGGATGGTGGCCTTGTCACTCCATTTCTCACTCTCATCTTTTCCAGACCATGTTCCGAGCAAGCTCAAGCATATCTTTCCCTCTTCGTAAAGATTAGGGTTGATCCGGCCTAGCCCACTGGTCCAACTGTGAAAGTGTGCAGTGGGAGGTCGATCAGGGAATTCCTCGGGCAGATAGAGGTCTATGAGAAAAGGTGCGTTTTCATAAGGCGTGTCTCTTGGGCCGATGATCAGGCAGCGAAGCAGATCAAGGCGGCTCTCATATGTGCGAACGTAGATTTCTCCTTCAGGCAATGTCGTAGATAGTATCCGATGCTCACGCATAATGCGCTTGATCGCTTTGTCGCCCGTCGGCTTAGAATGGAGTCCAAACTGGTCCGGAGGAGGTTCGCTCTCAAGAACGAGGAATTGCGGCGGTGTTTCAGATGGGAGTTCCGTCTTCAGCTGGCTAACGGAGCGCTGAGGCTCGATCGCGAAGGTTCGGGCGCGTGCCATGTCTGCCGCGATCACGTCTCTCATGTCAATATTTTCGTCCTCTGGCAAGTTCTCCTCGGCGTCAACGAAATCCACGTCTTCGTCGGAAACCCAATTGTCGTCTCCACTGTCATTGTCCAGCCTTTCACCACCTTCGTACTCGACACTTTCAGCTATGGGTTCCACGCTGGGCGTTTCTGACCAGAGCGAGTCTTGGTCTGCCCATGAGTCCATATCGTTACTTATGATTTCCTGATGCTCCTTGTCGTCAAGGATAGCCAAAATGCTGTCAGGTTCGATACAGACATCACGACAATGCTCCGCGGCCCCAAGACGTACAGTGACCGCGCCGTCAAGACCCAAGGCAACGATCTCGCCAATCCACTCGACATCTTGGGACCATCCCTCCTGGGTGGATTTCTGCCACCTCATATCACCGAACTGGGGACGTCGAGATGGTTTTGCCGTTACATCTGGGAAAGATTTACTAGTAGCACTCCTTCCATGCTGTTGTTCAAGACGTCTGGAGACGTCTTCAGGATTAGCAATGACGCACATATCTCTTCTTCGCCGTGCTAATGCAGGAAAAGACAAGATCTCATAAAGAGAAACATCCTCAGTCACATCTCCAATCAGCCCAAATTGGGAGTCTGGAGCGAGTATCTGACCTGCAGCGCGTATTTCAATCTTTGGTTCCTTATACCAACGGACACGTGCTACTCTTTCGTCGTGATCCACCATCTGGACAACTCCTACCTTCTCTGGCAAAAGGTCATGAGGTCCCTCGAAGAACATCATCTCGTCGAAATCTTTGATGGCGGCTTCGGCACCTCTTCTGCCGACGGATCTTTGGCGCATTCCTTCTCGCTTGAAGACAATGTCCGTAGGCGCCAGCTCCGCTTCAAAAAGACCATGGTCGTGCAAGAGAGACGAGTCCATTGTAGTGGTCGTGCCATCTTGCCACAAAATTGTTGCGTTCTGTTGCATATGTACGACTCTGAACTCGTTGAAGTCCCATCCATCAAATGTCCCGGAAGTCACTCTGACAAACTTCCCGTGTGATGTGTCGCCACTGCCTTGATATTTGACTGCTGCTGCCGTTGTGTCTCGAAACCTGACATGAGTTCCAATTGCAAGATCCTGCCCTGGAAAGAGATCTTGCGTGCCTTCGGCTTCTTTGTGGTGGTACTTCGTGCTGTCTTGCCTCCCATTGGGAACATGACGACCTCCATCTTCATCCTCCCCTCGTTGGGTATTGTCGGGCAGTGTCCGAGAACCCTGGTTCGCGCCATTTTGAACACCGTTCACGTTCTTCGCCGGCATTCTTCCGCGGTTGTAGGGCGTGACGTCAACCCGTCGCATCAGGTCCATCTGCTCGCCAAAGTGTTGACCGCCTGTGTAGAGCCCGATTTCGTAGGGAGGGGGGGATTGCTCTTTGGATCCAGCGTCATCCCCAGTCCCAGGGTACCTGGACAGCCAGTCTACGGCGATCTCACGGGCTCTGACATCAAGTACAACGCCTTGTGAAGGGCATTTTGGATCATATGCTCCACGAAGCCATTTTGAATTTCGAAGCCGCCTTCGGTCAATAATCACAAAATGACCAGGGCGCGGTGCCTGGACAGGGATCGTGCTTGCCCATCCTTGAGTGGCAACCAGAATGTCAGGTCTCTTAAACCCGTCGGACTCCGGCAATGCCACCAGAGGCTTCCCATGGTCAGGCACGGGTATATGCAGACAGTTGATGCTGTTGACCACCACGATGGACTCATTTTCCAATCCAATGACCACGTTGTACTCCGCATCATCAACTAAGCCAACCCAGCCATTTGATATAATGTACTCGTCCTTTCCAACGTCCTGTGCTCGTATGACCTCGCGGGAGGGCACGTCGTAGATAAGTGCGTGTGGATTTGGGTGGAAGAAAGGAAGGTGCGTTGCGCGTGGCGGTGTACAGGTGGGAAATGTCGTGTTGATGGAGAGCAACTGGGCCACGTCTTTCCTGCTGGCAATGGGTTCGAGGGTGTATTTCTCATCAACATCGATGACGGTACCTGTCATGCTACTTCCATCTCGTTTTACATTGTCACCCACCTGGAACGCTCGGCTCAATAGGACCAGATCATCTTCTGCTACTAGAGCACTGCCAGTAGCCTCGTCGGCAAAGCGGACGAAGACATAACCCAGGGGTGGTACGCTTGTTGTGACGAAGTTGTTAAGAATGTCCGGAGGGACTTCTGTGTGTGCTATTATCAACTCATCTTCGAGCGAATCGAGTGGATCGGTATTCGTCCCGACCACTGTCCCGTACAGGCTCGAATTCTGTTTGACGGCAACATGGTCGTAAATTTCGAGGGTTCGCATCGGTCCAACGCCAGGAAGAGGATGGCGATGGTACGAATCGCGGTCCGATCGCAGGCATCAAGAGTCAAGGCGCAGTGGTGGGAAGTACGTGATTAGGCAAGAGGCGGCCGTGCAATGCGACTTTATCAAATGGCAAGTACGCCGAAGGGCACGTCAACAGCGACATGTCGCAAGCACATCACCGCATGTATATGAATGATGGGAATTTTAATGATTATTATCCTTTCAACTTCGAAATCTCCGTTGCTGCTACGAATACCTGTTTCCGTCCCAGTGCTTTTGGTGGTCGCCGTAACCATAACCTGTCAAAGGTGACCATCAGACATCGAACTTCTCACCCACCAACTGCTCGCTCAATTCCCATAGTCGCTCTGCATTTGCGTCATCCGTCGCATACTCATATGCTGTGTCAATCTTTGCATCCGCCATGTAGCTGCCGCTTTGAGCCTCAATTCTCGTGTCCAAAGCCGCCACAAGTGTGGTTGTGATACCGGTGTCGATCGGCTTTGGGGTGTCCGCTGCCAGCGGGAAATGGCGGCCGGTGTTCTTGATGGCTACTGGATCGATTGCTGCCAGGGCTGCATGGACATCACTAATATCCCTGGCCAAATTGGTGTTGAAGATGGCTCCCGGATGCACACTGAAGCTCTGGATGCCGCGAGACTGGAGCTTGTTGCCCAAAGAGTGGGAAAAGAGAACATTCGCGGACTTTGACTGGCCGTAACCCTCCCATGGATTGTATGTTTTCCCACCCGAGAAATTGTAATCGTCGAAACGGACTGGCGAGATCTTATGTCCTAGACTGGTCAAGTTGATGATTCTTGAGCCAGGGGCGGCCGCGGCGATCTTGGGAAAAAGTAGCTTGGTCAACAAGAAATGACCTAGATGGTTGGTGGCAAACTGCATCTCTATTCCATTCTTGTTCGCTGCGTAGTTGTCAGGGGCCATGACACCAGCATTGTTGATTAAGCCATGAAGCTTCTCGATTGAGCTGTTGATGGTGGCCGCCGCAGAGCGAACAGAGTCGAAATCGTCAAGAGAGACAGGGACAAAGTCAACCTTGGTATTCGGACTGATCTCCTTGATCTGTGAAATGACCGAGTTGACTCGCGCCTGAGATCGGGCGAGAAGGATCAGATGCTCAGGGTGTCCATGAGCCAGAGCAACGGCCGTCTCAGCTCCTAAGCCACTTTCGCTGGCGCCAGTAATAATAAAAGTTCTTCCTTTGACTCGATCTGAAAGCTCCTCAACGACTTCGACGCCAGTGGTTTCGCGGGTAAAGGCCTTCATGTTAGTAGAATGATGTAGTTTCTTGAGGCAAATGTGTGATTAGCTGGTCTTTGCACGCTTCTTGAGCTGGATACTGGAAGAGAAAGTCATGGGAGAAACGAAGCTATATACTCTTCACGTCATGCAAATAGGTGACCAGCGTTACAGGAGCTATGGTAACTCCATGCTGGACAAGAGCATTCTACAGCAAACTTACGCATCACAGGCATCTTGTCTCCATGTCATTGACAGAGAGGTCCGCCGGACAGCGACGGTCGAAACTTGGCCGAGGTGTAATGCGTGATTGTGTCTCTCTGTGCCATGAACTTAAAGGCAGGAATAGTTCTACAATGCGGACGTCAATGCCGGATCGATACTCTTTAATGGCATAGTTGGAGAATATCGAGCTTGATGGTGCGGCCGCACGCTTGTCGGATATTGTATTGGCCCCCAATTAAGCCCGCAACGTGCATGTACTTATCGGTGTGAATATACTCCGTACTGATACCTCATGCGAGATATTTCATTCTACGCACGTAGGAAACCACCTTCAATTTATCAAGATTCCGAGACAGTTCTAAGAACGCCGACCAAAACAATGATCATGAGGGTTGCAAAGATTCAATAAATGGTATTGCGCTATACTAATAATGAAGATGTAGGCAGACAAACTCAACTCATTGAGTACAAGCGAGTGCATGATACTCATCAAGGGGTATCTTAACGCAAATCAGCAACGCCAAAACAGGACCCAATTTTAACCCACCCAGCGTCGTGACTGCTACACTTTGAATCCTGCTCACAATTGGGGGACTTTAGATGTCGGTCAGATGTTCTCGATGACTCTGGCATTCATTGCCTGCTGGAAGCCATCGTTCATGTCTGGCTGAAAAGGGTTGCTGTTCTGCTTGGACGAGCCACTAGGTTCGCCGCCAGTGTTGTTCGATTGAACGGCATTCAACATAGCCTCGGTGGGGATGGTCTGGTTGGCGGCAGGCAAGAAAATGACCTTGCTGTTGGCAGTCTTGGCCATGGCTTGCATCGCTTCAAGATATCTGATCTGCATCGCAGGTGCCGAGCTCAATATATCGGCGGCTTGTCTCATGAGTTTGGCAGATTCGACTTCCGCGCGCGCCGCAATAACCTTGGATTCACCAATTCTCTTGGATTGAGCAGCCATAGACAGAGAGTCTTGGAGGTCGTTGCTGAAAATGATGTCCTTGATGAGCATGGACTCGACCTGGACACCCCAACCTGATGCAACGTCCTCGATGATCTCACCGATGGACTGCGCAAGCTCTTCACGGCGTTCAATCACATCTTGAAGAACGCGAGCACCCACCACATGACGAAGTGTGGTCTGAGTTCGCTCTACCAGCGCTTGACGAACATTGGAAATACCGAAGGCCGCCTTGTGAGGAGAGGTAATGTGGTAGTAGATGACCGAGGTCAGATTGAGAGTGACATTGTCCTTTGTCATGCACACTTGACGAGGCACCTCGACAATCTGGATCTTGACATCGACCTGAATGAGTCGCTCGGAAAGAGGATTGATCTTGACCAAACCGGGGTCGACAGCGCGATAGAATCGCCCAAACTTGGTGACGAGACCAACGTTTCCTTGCGACACAGGCTTGTAGGGGTTGGGGCAGATTACGCAGCAGGGGATGGCACCCATGCAACCGATGCATTGACCAAGCGAGTTAACTGCGGGGTTTGTCAGTAATAAAACATTGTAGGCAGATAATGTTACATACTCATCGATCCGTACCAGCCGTGATTCTCTGCGTCGGTATCACCCTGTAGTGTTTGCGCATATGAAGGTTGCAAGTCTTCCCTCCGTGGCGGTTCTACCTTGATGATACCGCCGTTCTGTGGGCGGAATCCGACAGGTGGCCCGGTGGGTGTAGATTTGCCATTGTCCATGGCCGAGCCTCGCGGAGAGTCCATTGTAGAAGTAGAGGGGGTAGTGAGAAGAGGACGCGTCGACGTCTGATTCAGAGAAGATATGGTGTTGGAATCGAGCGCAAGCAGGCGACTCGATTGATGGTTCTGTGAAAGAGTGTGAATGCGCTGGTCGAGTCTGTGGCAAGTAGCGCTTTATGTTCTATGTGATGAGGCGCGACACAGAGAGGAGGAGGCGAATGAAGTGTGTGCTTTAGCGGAATATCCAGGTCAATAAGTAGAGGAGCGGCGAATGTAAGGCGTCATGAATGTATATGTAGTGTGTTTCCGAAGGTGGAGTGGAGTGAGGAGCGTTTGACAAACTGAGGAGGTGATCAGAATAATGGGGTTTGGGCAGTTGCAGATGACCGCCTGAGCAAAGAAAGATAGGGCGGACCCTTGTTCTCGTACACGCCCCCGGAGAGAGTTTAAGCACAACTAAGTTAGGCTGGCTGCAACCTGAGGGACGCTATTTCTGGGAGCACCAAGAGCACCAAGAGCACTCAAGCATTGGCATCCCGCAGCAGAATGGAGCCAGGGATCTGAGCACCGCAGAAAAAGGCCGCTCCTCAATACTCCTCTTCTGCAATCCCCGTTGCCAGGCGCACATGACAAGTTTCATCCGTGCCCATTGTTTCTTCCTTCGGTTCGTATTTGAATGCGAGAAATGCGAGGGCATATCTCCAGTGCGTTTCCGCTACCCGATTGGCTTTCTTCGCTTAGAACCAGCCGTCTTCAAAATCTGACCACGGTCGCATTGGTGCTGAATAGCTGTGGACAATGGCCTATCTGCAGGGGCTATGCCAGCGCTCATCCCCTACTGGGGGAGACTTACAGAATCTCTTACACTTCTCTTTTCCTTCTGTCTGCCTGGGCTGTGCATTCATTGGCTCTCCGAAGGATTCTGGATCGCGCTCCGAGGCATATTTCTCTCAACACTAAGTGATACTACTGGTTCCGTTCTGCCGCATTCCCGTCCTTTCACAAAGCATGGTCAAGGACCTTTGTACGAAGACATGCTGGACCTGGGGGGCAACCCCCATGCATCGGCTAGAGAAAGCTTGATCACACAACTCGAGGGAATGTAGTCTCCACTTTCTGTTATCGAAAGCGTCGTCACCACTCTCCTTTGTCTGCACGCCACTTTATGCAGTGGTACTATGGCAGCTAGAGGAGCCGGGTGTGCATGGCGGTTCTAAGTCTGATACGCGCACAAGTTTCGTCTCATCGTGATGGTGCCGTGGGTGCTCAAAAGACGATAATGATTGCGCCCGGCGATGTGCCAATGATCAAGAACCCAATTCTCCGCTCGATGCGGTACACTGCCGCCACAGAGTCAGCCTTGCCTTGGCAAATCAGATCCTTCAAAACTAGGGCGCGACATGGTCAAATTGCTGTCTCCAAAAGAAAGACCATGGCAACTGCAGTGACCTAACGATGTGTCAAAGATGGCTGTGCCTTCAAGTCAGGAAATACGACTTCGCCAGTCCCACCGAAAAGATACTACTAACTCTCTCAGCTGATAATACGGCTGAGAGACCGACCCCACGGAACCACTCAGCAGACCTTCTCTGGCAGATCTGCGCCATTGCAAAGTGCACTACTGATCTGCGTAGCATTTACCATACTCACTATAGTACCTTCTATCCATGGGCAGATCGGTGGCAAACACAGATCGCATCGTTGGGCCATGATTCCAATGACCTTCGAGAACCTTCCCCCAAATAGTAAGGCGCCCCACGATCTGCCGTCCCGTGATCAAGGGTCTATTTTCCCAGCGCTGCATTGACCATCATCGAGTCACTGTCCAAAAATAACAGTCCCACTCATGAAATGCCTCTACCTTCCACACCCGGCTGAATGATGCCGAGAAGTTAACTTCGATATGAGAAACGCTTCACGTGCCTACAGAATGACATCGGGCTCGTCTGCATCTGATCATGTTCATCGCACAACGTGCAGAAACGATCTCACCCCAGGCAGTCCTGTGCGACTGACGTCACTCACAATCGCTCACAATGCGGGTGAGGTAAGTCTGGAGCTATCCAGCGTATTCGTACTTGCACAATCGAACGTCGATGTTCTGAGCTTCTAAATGTAGTATAATTTCTGGTACCACACAATCATCCCGATCTAGCCGACACGCCAAGCTGATCTTCAAGCGACAATGGTGTCAACACGTGCTCCAACAAAGGGACCAAGCAGAGATCAAGATACCAAGCCGGCAAAAGTAACGTCTAAGAAAAGAACTCACAGAAAGACCGAAACGTCCAATACACCCAAGAAGATTGCACCGACCAAGAAGATCAAAAAGAAGGCCGACGATCGCCATTCAAAACAGGAATCCAAGTCGGAGGTGCAGGACAAACCAAGTACCACTGACTCGAAGTCGGAGGCGTCAACCTATCCCAAAATTGACTCTCTGATCGAAAAGTATGGGGCAATTCCCCTTTCAAACACGGCACTGGAGGGCCTCCAGTCCCCAAAGCCAGAGACCATCTTGGCCCTTCTATTGAACGCCATGTTCTCATCGGCCCGCAACTCGCACGACTTGGCCGCCAAAACCACTGCCACAGCCATCAAAGTACACTATCACAAGGTCGATGCCCTACGGAAGAGCTCCTGGGATGAACGTACTGAAGTCTTGACCGAGGGCGGATACACCAGATACAGAGAGAAGAGAGCCACAGGACTAGGCGAACTGGTCGAGCTTATTGACTCGAAGTATGGTGAGTGCCACCAACCTCCAATAAGCCGCGCAAGGTCTAACCCGATCACGATTGCAGATGGAGACTTGAACAATCTCTTGCCGGACTTAAGCACCGACTCTTCACCCTCCGAAATACGTAAACGACTCAAAGAAATCAAAGGTGTAGGTGATGTTGGGATCGACATCTTCGTGGACACCGCACAAGCAGTCTGGCCATGTCTTGCGCCATTCTTGGATCCGCGCAGTGCAAATACTGCTGACGCCCTCGGGCTTCCTAGTGACGCTCAGATCTTGTGGGAGTGCAAAGAGATCTACAAGGACCCTTTGAGAATGTGCAGACTGGCATCAGCGCTGACAAACGTCAGGCTGGATAAGCGTGAGGGTGAGTTCAAGTGAGGCTGGCTGGACGTGCTTGAAGAACCAGATCTAGATCCCTTTCACTATGCGCTATATTTCCATTCCGCTTGAGCTGTCTAAAACTTGTGCACGACAAATCGACAGTGTAAACAAATCCGGATCTACATCTAACCTCACTTGTCATCCAAACATCCTCCGACTCACACTTCATGTAGTCGAAACCTGAAATGGTGCCCTAATCTCACTCGCCATCCCAGCAATCCCTCTCTCCTCTTCCGGCCGCAGCACGATTCCAAACCAAGTCCGCAGTCCCAATACCCTCTCATTCTCCGACTTCGCATCCACGACGACCTCCTTTTTTGCCTCGCCGAGGCGCCGCTCAATCACATTTCCCGAGACGATAAGCGTGCCCGTCGGATTAGTACGCGTCTCGTCGTCGATGAGAATCTTGGCCAAAACCAGCCGGTGCGTGAACCAGCTCTTGGGGTCGTTGCTGGTGCGGTAATTGATGATATCGAAATCACTCGGAAGCCATTCGAGCTCGGAGAAACAATAACCCCCCGCCCACCCAGGTTTTGTCTTGTTGCGCGTTTCGAAAACCCATAGTTTCTGCGAGGGGTCGGTGTTGGACGCTATGTTGCGGTAGACTAGACGACATTCAGCGCCCGGGACGGAGCGGTAGGCTTTTGTTGAGGTCTTGTCGAGTGGGAGGGCGTCGATGAGCGGTTGCGAGCCGAAGCCCACGTCGGCCAAGTACTTTTGACCGTCAATGGTGACGATGATAACTTCATGCTGCCATCCTGCGAAACCACCTGGATCCAAGCCGTTGCCGTCGAGAGAGTAGCTGATGCGCGCGCCAGTCACGTATAGCTGGTATCCCAGAGATCGTAGGATGGTGGAGAAGAATGCGTTGTTCTCCATGCAGTATCCGCCGAGTTTGCGCTCAACGATCTTGTGGAATAAGGCTTGGTGATCCAGAGGGAGAGCGCGATGCCACGAGTAATGTAGAGCGACGTTGCCCCAAGGGTTAAATGCCATTTGACGGAGCTGAAGTCTTGATAGGGCCGCCAAAGGGTCGGTCTTGATTTCGGCTTCAAGGTCGGCGAGGGTGTATGATGCATGAGGCGCTATGCATGTCACATAGAGGGCGAGCTGGTCGCGCGTATATGTTGGGCGAAATGCCGGAGATGACGGGTCTGCACTCATCCTGGCGGCGTTTTGATATACAGCGGGCGAAGCACAGCAGTATCCCACTTCTCTTCCTGATAGCTGTCGTACTTTCGTACAAGCCTTGGAGACCTTTCCGATCGAGTTGCAGAGAAGGCCACGTTTGAGCACGGGTTGAAAGGAACGTACCTTCGCAGATATGATATATAAAAGAATGGGCTTACCGTGCTGTCTCTGCGAGCAAAGAATATATAAAATTTACGATCACAGAGTTGATGTCAATCATCTCGGATAGTGTCATCGTGACTTCGGATATCGACGACAATGCCGCGTACTGACGAGGTTGATAAGTCAGCAATAGTCGGCCTTGCATGTTCAGCTCTCGTCACGCTTGTCCCGTTTGAATGAGGCCAGTGAAGATAACCGAGAAGAATAGTAAAAGATAGATTTCCAGGGCTACTGCGGGCGTTTATGAGGTCGATAACAGACATGGGGAACGATGGGAATAACTCGTGGCTCATCTGCTATCCGGATATTTTAGAGAGTGAAACATGGAGTTTGTCGCATGCCCCCCAGTGCCTGGAATACATGCCTACCTTATTACCAGGCACCTAGTTAGCGAACAAATCGGCAGCCTAAGGCCCTTCTAATCAGCCTCTTCTCATCGGTTACCAACCTCCGTGCTGCATCGAGAAAGAGCCTAGAACACTTCTTATAAACCTTTTACTTTTGTTGCTCACTCAGCATTTTATCTTTCTGATCAAAGAAGACGGTCTATCTCAAATTCCAAGATCTTGGTATAAGCGCCGCTCTCGGCTTTCACTGTCTCGGATCGCCTTGACAAGGTGCCACATCTGTCACTCTTCCTACCTAGTTTTCCCCGCTGTCGGCCTCGACGTCGCATATCTCCTACTAACTTACGAAGCTTCACACATGCCATTTGAGCATACAATTGACAATGATGAGTCTGCCTCAATCCCTCCTCGCACAACAATGAAAGAGACTCTGCGCAAGAAGACGGCCAAGACCGACTCCAATAGTGAATTCGATACAGCCAGTGAGGCTCCTTCTAATCCATGGGCAAGCGAGACTTCTTCTGCTGTCAATGGTGATACGCTTTCTCGCCAGTCCACAAAGGCATCCAAGAGCCCAGATACCGTTTCTCCAAACAGAAGTATTCCACCATCTGTGACCGAGGAAAAGCATCAATCACCACCACCCACGCCTGCTGCTCGATTGGATGTTCCTGGTGCGGACAATGGGACTGACGACGCATCAAAACCAACCCGCCGAAGAAAGACCATAACTAAAAAACCACATACGTTCGAACTTGAGGCGGATCTGAATCCTGTTAAACCTAAGGAACAGCCACCCGCTATGCCCTCCGAACCACCCAAACCAGAGACGCCAGCTCCTAAAAAGAAGAAACGTGTATCTCAACCCCCTGCCGCGGAAACACCACCGGCTGTCACCATCAACTCTCTTCCTTCAGTCCAACAAGCTCCTCCTGCCCTTTCACCTGCAGTTGCATCTCCGAAGCCTCCCCCTGCAGCTCCAATGTCTCCCCCAATACAATCACCTCCTCAAATGACAGCTCCAGCTTCACCTAAGCCACCATCGACACCTTCGACACCTTCGACACCGATAGCAAATAACCCCTTCACTGCTCACCGAACCAAGAAATCAGTATCATCAGCCCCCATTCAAATAGCAGGTTCGAACCCGTGCCGCTTCTCTCCGCCGCGTTTGGCGGATGAAGCCTTCTATGGGAAAGTCATAGTATTGACCCACGGGGCGAGTCAAACCGGGCAAGCCTTGATCCGCCAGTTCCACGCCGCAGGATGCCGCATCATCTTCGGCGACACGAATGGAGATCAAGCTCGCAAACTCATCTCGAGCCTGCCTCCGCCACATGTAGTGCATTTCAACAAGTGTGATCTCACCAGTTATTCCGACATTCTGGAACTATTCAAGTTGGCAACCACGATGTACGGTCGTGTGGACCACGCCATATTTGGTGTAGGCGACGATGGTGGTCAAGCTCGAACGGTTGGCGAGGGTGAAAAAGGCTGGTTTGAAGATAGACCAGGGGTGAACAAGACTTTTCGAATGGCCGTGAGCGAGATTGAGCGGGAACCTTATGGTCTAGGGGATATACTCACTGCGAGTGTCAGATTTGCACGCATAGCCATGGCATACCTGAAATACTCGCCAAAGTCGAAGCCAAAAAAGAAAATCGTCAACCCTTACGCAAAGACCGAGCCAGAGCCATCAGCCGGGTTCCCGGCAAAAGACGATCGAAGCTTGACCTTCGTCACGAGTATTGCCGCCTTCAAGGAGACGCCCATGTTACCGATCTACCAAATCACGCAGCACTCGATACTGGGCCTTGTACGCAGTCTACGCAGTACCGTCGATCCTGACCCTGAGCGAGACGGAGTTCGAATCAATGCAGTAGCCACAAATGTTATGGTTCCTCGTGCTGTGGCCCAGTCTGGCGGACGGATGTCGGTTGCACTTCCACCTGATCGTCCTGAAGACGTGGCGCGAGTGGTGGCAGGCGTGGTAGCGACCAGCACGTCCAATACCGGGAATGACACAGGAGTCACACATGGTGGAGGAATCTGGTATGAGAAAGGGTACGAGAGAGGTATGACAGAGCGGTACCTTCACGGCCGAGTGATCTATAGTGTCGGACTTGACTGCTGGGATGTACAGGAAGGCATGGATCGAAGTGAGCCTGTATGGATGGGAGCAAAATCTAGTGATGCTTTGGCAAGGGCAATGAACGGTCTGAACGTTGGGTCTGCTGCCGTTACTGGGCAAGGGAGCAATTGGATCTTGGATTTCGTCTGATGCGAAAAAGGTGAACGTTGGATGTGCAGCAAAAATTGGATGGATTGCATATGCTGAGCAGCTTGAAATGATAGAAACTCTTTCGCGATGTGGATCTGAGTGTGCTGATTCGACTGCATTTCAGAGTCTCTTCCACCTGGTAACACGGGGTCGGAGGTCTGGTTCGTATTCGATAGCCGGGGTAAAGTTTGTGGCTTGCGTCGAGACCTCTTTGAGCTCCTCAGGCCTGCCACCCCGAAGATTGCTTTGAGACCACCATTACGCACTCCACTTCAGAGCTGATTGTCAGCCATGGAGAAGCTGGAAATGAATCACCGAAGTGAATGGCATCGTCGTGATGACTTCGCAAGAGCATCACCGTGTGGTGACGCTGTGAAGGGCGCCTGTTAACTTCATGTGCGACTTTGGCAAACAAACCCAGCTTAGCCATCGCCATGTCATCATGGCAACAACAACCTGAGCAAGATGAGCGAATCAACAGAGCCGATCCATGAAGGAGTGGACGACTTCATCTACGATCCGATCAGGGTGTCGCTACTCGCAACTATTGACGATGAGAACACCGCATACAAGGACCCCGACAAGACCGATCGCTATTCTCTCTTCGAGGCCAAAACAATTGATATCTGGGAAATCAATCAACGAGGTCCACAGATCCTTGACAGAAACTACCCTCTGTCAAGACGACTTCCGGAAGATCTGTTCGAAGCATTTCATCCCTCTGCCCCCCGAGGAAGCCGTCTAGCTCTGCGTCTGCTGTGTACTCGACCAGTGCTTGCTAGCAATCAAACCGCTCGACTCGACGATCTTGGTCGTCCAGATAACAGACAAATCAATTATCTACCTTTCGTTCCTGAAGGGATCGAAGATCTCATACACCAATGGGACCTAAACCGAGAATATGCCTGGATGAGGTTGAATTCTCGGGAGGTAGGCAATTTCCAACGCAAAACAGGATGGGATTTCGGTTCGAATCCGCCACGCGCAACCAGGATGGGTATGTGTTGAGATGTATGTCCTTGATGGCTGAGATCTGGTAAGGCTGAACGAGACCTAGGCATAGTCATCCATTTCCCCTTCGTCCTCCGTCCGGCACGACGCGTCAAGTGGGAGGCCCAAACCAAAAAGAACCCAGCATCCCGTCGTACTCTTCGATCCAAGTTCAATCCTCATAGAGATGATCCATTCATATGGTCATTCGCGATGTCCCATTCCCTGAGAGACGGCAAAACACGAGGTATCGTGGACGGCTTGACCGACTTTGCATTTGGCGATCTCTCGCGCCGTCTTCTGAAAGGAAGATCAGAGTGGTATCCTCACCCTTTGCATGTGCCTGTCGTTCTCTTGAACATCTTCTTCGACCATGCGGCCTGGGAGGTCAACCTGCTATGCGTCAAGGTCGGCCGCTTCGAATACCTGTCTCGTGATGCTGAGATCGGCTCGCTCCAGGACTTTGACACCATCACCACGCAACTACAATATACTCGACGGTCACTAGATTTTCAACAATCTCTCACCAAATTTTTGCTGGAGACCATGAAGTTCCTCGAGACCAAGGTATTTGCGCGAGAGCCCTCTGGCCGTGATGACGGTATCTCGGAGTCATACAGAACATATGTCTACCATACCAGTCCACATATGGAAGAGAAATTGAAGAACATACTGCACCTGATTGAGAACAACCTCTCGACGTGCCAGTACTTACAATCACGGACTCGAGATGCGCTTGATTTTGTGCGGCATACCCTAGGTGCCGAGCCTGTGACCTATGCTAACAACTCGTGCAGATCAAGGGCAAGATCTCCCTTCGAGACAACGAGTCGAACCGCGAAGACGCCGATAGCAACAGCACCATGTCATTCTTGCAAATGACGTTTCTGCCTGCCACATTCGTCGCGGCCATTGTGTCGACCAATTTCTTTGAGCTGTCGAACAATCCACCCACCGTGTCAAAATACTTTTGGATCTTTTGGGTCGTGGCGATCGGGCTGACAGTGCTTACACTGGGCATCTACTTCCTGTGGAAGCGGCAGAAGAAGATCGGGGCGGAACGCCAGGAGCGAGAAGCTGAACGGCGTAAGAAGGAGATTGGATGGGAAGAGGGCGATTCCAGTAGCAGTAGTGATACTGATGGTGGTGATGGACGAAGAAGACGGCGAAGGAGGAGGAGAACAAAGATTTCTGCAGATGATGCTGAACTTGGCAATGGCAATGGCAATGGAAAAAAGAAAAAGGAGAAGCCGGAATTGGTACAATGACGATGCAGTAGCGAGTGAATGGTGTCAAGACCTGTGGTCGATTTGTGTTGTCACCGGGAGCCCTTGCTGACAGCGCTACTCGGCAGCCACGATGTACCTGGACACCATCGGCCTTGCAAGGAATACTACCTACAAAGACCATGACTTACGAGGCGAAGCTGACATCGACCCTGTTGCGTCTGTCATTGGATTGGGGCGATATCCGGTCGCTAGTGCTGACGCAACAATTACCTCCTACAGGCAAGAAGTGGCTATGGATATCGAAGATCGTGACTTCTGCTGCTTTGCCCTGCTTGGCATGCAAAAAGTAATCTGGAACATCAATGTTACCGGCCCTCTTCAGTGTCTCCATCACCGCGGCAAATGGCAGATTGCCCATCCATTATTGCGGCTGGTTTTTCAGCTTTGAACCAAGCTGCCAGCATGGCACTGGTGCTGACAAGATGTGCCATGTATAGCTCTCATGGAGACTTGTGGGTCTGGCATCGACAGGAAAGGTCGAGAGGTGGATGGAGAACTTGACTTGCCCCGTACCTCGTATATGGCAGGTCGCGGACGTTGGCAAAGAGATACAAGGTATAAAGTATACGGTCCGGTGCTCCCAGTCAGACTGAGGCAGCAGACTCATTCCTAACAAGAATCCATCTCGTTTCAGTCGCCCACACATTCGTTGAACACTCACAGTCACAGTTCGGCAAGTCGCTCACTTAGTCACGACCACTTCCACCATCCACCCAATCTATCACCAGACTCTCTCATCCCGATTCATTCATCCATAGCACCAGTCCCTCGCAAGAATGAAGCAAATCTTCTCCACCGCAACTCTCTTCCTGGCCTCTCTCGCCGCAGCATCACCAATATCCCTAACCACCCGCGCAACAAGCATAACGATCTCCATCAAAACCGGCGACGGCGACAGTGCAACTACCTTGACCGTCCCTCTCGACCAAATAACCCAAACATCAGGCCAGAGCACCAAAGCAGTCGCCGCATCGATCTCCACGCTCAACACATTCTGCCAGGCGTTCTCCGACAGTGCTGGCACAACACCACTCGGGCCCGTCTTCAGTTCTGGAAATGACGCCAGCTATAGCGCCTCATCGTCGGGAGATACCGCAAGCCAGGCGGACGATGCGGTCACGGTAGCTGCATACTTGTGCTCTGCAACCCAGGCTGGTGTGGCGCCGAAGACGAGCACGACCACCGGCACGGGCACGACATCGCTGAAGCCATCCACAGGCACGATCACTGTCGAACTGGAACAAAGCTCTGACCAATTCGTCCAGACGGACATACCGCTCGATTATTCGCTGGTGGCCACGACGGCGACCACACTAGGCAACATGGGCATCGATCTGAGTCTTGTCAGCCTCACAGGGTCAAGCGCCACGCTGGCACAGGTGGGATGTCAAGTTTTCGAGGATGCGCAGGGCACGGTGCCTGTGGGTGGAGTGGCGACGAGTGGCAGTGACGCTATTTTGGCGGCGAATCCGATTGCGCCCAGTCATATACAGAGCATAAGATGTGGTGTTGTCGGTTGAATGACGATCACTCAATTTGCTGATGTGGCATGCCGCATGACGATGAGAAGCAACCGTGTCTGGGCACCTCGAGCAGGGACTTTTCAGAGATGGGGAACGCAAAGGAACGAAGTTTTGGGAAAGCATTGATGGTTGATGAATGGTGTATTAGAAAAAAGGCAATTACCTCACTTATCGAATGAGTACGCCCCAAAAAAGTATCCCGAGTCATAACAGATCCTGAAACCAACAGAAGGAATATATACACAAAAGGACAAGAGTCCAGTATAGAGCAGATGTGCGCTATATCGGGTTGGCATTCTGCTGTCTCCACCAGATGCCGCCTTATCTGCTTTGGCTCGACCTACACCGATTTGACGGGGTAGATGTTTCCCAAATTCTTGACATAAAGTCGAAGCGGGGATAGCTGAGGACTGATTGGCAAGTGGTTTCATGCCAATGCCAAATCCTGATTGCGGCGCTTTATTGTCAGGAGTGCAGCGACAACCGGCAAGCGAAGCAAGAAAAGTACGCGTCCATCCTGTTGGACTGAGAAATGACGGACCCTTTAAAGCAGTCAAATTTTTGTTTTAAATTCGAATTGCAGATGCTTAATCGGTCGAAGAGTGCTCGTTGGATGGCAAGTGACTCGTCCAGGTCGAATATGGTGCGCATTGTGTGTAACCGGTTGGAGCTCTGACACCACGGACTGGGGGAGCGCCGGATCCCCTTTGAAGAGTCTTGTGACGGCAGTGAATAACGTGGTCATAAGAGATCAATTCGGTGATGAGGGGTTCTTGATTTCTCATGGCACGAACCAACTTCTCCCATGCATAGATGCAGTGAGTAACGTGGTATTCTTGAGCGACGTAGACGGCATCGTGTTCTCCCTTTCTCATTTCCTCGAGAGTCCAGGTCTTCTCACCGCCAGAGTCCGCGTACCAGGTCCAGTTGCCCTCTGCCAGGAAGCGATCGGAAAGGAGTTGATCGTAGCAGTCGGCTGGTGTCCAAAGCTGCATCATGACATCGAAGATGCATCCTTTGGCACGGGCTTCCTCTGCATTGTAGCCGCAGCTCTGGATATCGGCATCGGTGGTCTTGACAGACTCGGTGGCTTTCATCGAGTCGTCATCGAGGAGGGAGGAAGTGGCGGTTGATGTGGCAGCTGATGCTGTGGACGACGCGACGGCAGTCGTCGAGGATGATTTATATGAGACCACAGCCGATCCGACCGTAGATAAAACAGCTGCGATGACTGCGATGAACAATGTGCCGGTTGCTAGCGTCAAGAGAATGGATTGTTTTCCCCAGCCGGTTCTTCCTTCTTTTTCTGGCGGAGCAAGAGGGAATGACTCGCCGTTGGAGAGTGAGCGATAATGGCTGTTGGCACCCATTGTCGCGGCGTGTTCCGGGAAGTTTTCAACTAGGCGCGTAAATGAGGGGATAAATCAGGCTTGAGGGTAGAAAGGGTGATGAATGGTACAGATTGCAATGGTAGAGAAGAATAGCGAGAGATAGGAAAACGAGTGTGAGTTGATGTAACACAGATGAATGCAAATGAGAATCGGATGAGAGGGAAAAGAGGTTGGACAGAATGGGGACTAGAGGCTGTTTTTCAAGAGAGGGCTAAGAAGCACAGAAGGACAGTAGGAACAAACCTGCTCAGCCCATGCGGCGAAGCTGATCAGTGATCGTTCTTGCATGATAGTTTACCTTACGAGGCCAGTCAGCCAGTCTTAGTTTGGAGCTTCAGGGGCAAAAACGAAGCCCAAGACCGCCGAGACCCCAATAGAAGCGAAGATGCAATCGATGGTGGCTCCTTAAAGCCCCCGCCAATTGCTTGAATTGCGGTCTGTGCCCTGCCAAAAATCACGAGATGGGCATTGCACGGCACCGGTAAAATTACCATTCTATCGATAATGCCGCCAAATCTTCAGGGTCTGCACTCTAATTCATCACCTGAGGGGTGAAAAGGGTGCCCACGGGTGCCACAGAAGACACACCACCTGTCGGAATGTCTCTTTTGATAGGCAATCTCTCGTGTACTCATAAGGAGAGTAAACACTGGTATTAGGTCAGAAGTCCTAACTACAGTATGCCATCTCTCTCAGCAACAGCCACAAACCTGACCTATCCACGGCTGGTACAGTAAAGAGCACAGCACAGCCGAGCCTCTCCGTTTTTGCGTCATGTTCTATTTATTGACTTGCATGAATTATCCACACAACCACGAGTCCCCTTCGCGAAGAAATAAGTTACCACAATAAAAGAATGCTCCGACGCGCGTCTCTTCGAACAATCGCATTATTTGTGCTCAAGAGAGATCAATCATATACTGTAACAGTTCATTATTGTACCAACCATTTATTATTCCCTGCGATTCTTTCCTCCCCGTTGCTAAAGAGTCTTCCACATCCCTTCCTTGACGGAACCTTTGACGAGTGTCGGCCAGCATCCTTTCCGATCAACTTTTCAAACATCAATGGTTGTGCCACATCGTCGTCTTCGTGCTTTTGTTCTATTGCATCCTGAGGCCTAGCACTAACGTTAGTCAAGATGATCAAAGCCACATGGGTAGGCGCACAGTATGGAACTTCTTCAGGCTCCAGAATTGTCCCAGACTCCAAGACTTCGCTACGAAGTTCAAGGGTCCAACGGCAGTGCCCACCAAGCCTGTTTCCAGAAAAAGTGGCACCGTCTGACGTTGTCGCTCTTCAGATTCAAATAGATACTCTCCCTTCTTGTCGTCCAGGAGTCCTTTGCACAGAACGATATAGCATTGATCGTTAGCAGAAGGAAGGGCATCAGCTCTACCACCCACTCGTACTAACTTTCAGTCAAGGCACTTGCTGTCGTGAATCTGCTGGATCATGTACTTATATCATCGTGGTACTCCCTGTCAGACGGTGCCACTTTTTCTGGAAACAGGCTTGCCACCAGCCATTCGCGCCTCGTAAGGACATGCCAAGATGCATTGGCCAGAGCTTTCCGCACCTCAGGCAGACACCATATTGGCCAATCACATCTCGTATTCGTGTTCAAGACCAATGATGTCGCAGCTTCAATGCTTCTTCCATCTCGTCTCCTTCGCATCATGGTCGCAGGTTTCGTTCTTGACGTAGGTCTATATAACGAAGCTACCTTCCAGATCTCACACATGACGCCCAAGAACCTATTGAGTAATCGATCAAACCACTAACCTGTCTCGCCCAAATACTCTCAGGTAGATTCACAGTCTGTGTCGACACACTGCGCCCTTGAAGTCTACTCACAGTATCTCTCACCGCAGCCAACATGGGCAAGCTCAGAAGTCCTCAGTCTCCGCCCGTAAGAGCAACGGTAGCACCCACGATCCCTCGCATGGATCCTCCTCCCCCATACGAAGCTGCATCATCTCGCTCTTCATCGGCCCACAGTAATGACCACCTCCAATCTAATGGAAACAGGCAAGAGCAACCACAACAGCCACAGGCACAAACACCGCAAGCAGCGGTTACGAACAATGCCGGGTCCGAGAAGAAATATCAAGAAGGATGTCTCACATTTGGCGAAGGCGCTTCGGGATGTATGGTATACGGGAATCATGCTGAAGGTGAGCACACACGTCTGGCGGCGTCAAATGAGACATGACGTGACGCTGTTATGGCCGAAGAGGTGCTGACCCAGGTACAAGGCTGCTTGGTTTACGGCGACTATTCAGAGGGTTGGTGAGTCGCTCCCCAATCACAGCCTCGTGGACATCTTCTTCGATCCCACCGGCAGCTTTGTGATCTGCACTTCGCAAGCTATCGACTAACCGTTCCCGCCAGTTGCAACTACAATTCACGAGAGGGCTGTTGCCTTTGGGAAGCCACAAGCGGAGGGTGAGTATGCCGAGCTCCCCACTTGTATTTGCCTAACCTCCCATAGATGCTTGAACTTCAAGACCAGCAAAAATGGCTGCTGCCAATGTGGTTGAGGCCGGGATGTCAGAATGAATTGAACGAAATGTTGACAGCTTGTTCGACACCTCGAATCGATTGCTGGCGGGTCGGACGCTTTCGTCGCAGTTATGATACCACTTTGTTGTCTCAATGCAAATATTTCCATGCCCACGAAAAACATCTTGATCCGCATATCCAGATACCAGACTGTCAGTTCCAGCAAATGTATGTCCATTTCCAGGGGGCGAACTGGCAACGATGATCAACTGAAAGAGAGCTACGATCGGCAGTGTAATCAGCCGCTACTCACACACTACTAGCTACCAGGATACGGTAAAGTGTGCTTCACCTACTCCCCCAAATCTGCGTCTGATGCAACTCATCAAGCAGTCAAACCCGCCAGCTTCACTGGAAATCGTATTGCTGGTAGAAACTAGAAATGGGCTGCACCGGCTCTCCAGCTCCCGAACCTCAATGCAACCGTGGCAGACCAACATATACTCCGCGAGGCGCCGAGGCGATCATCGAGGGTGTTATTGCAAACCGAAACAGGAAAGATCGTTCGTCTCGCATGAAGTCACGCCCGAAGGACATGCAGCCACCACCGAGGACACGACGGAAGAAGCGATAGATAGGAGAATCCGGGAGTATGGAGTCAGTATCGATCATGCCATGGGCTCTTGCGCGATGGGTAGAGTCGTCGACAGCCACTGCCGCGGGAAGGGGGTGAAAAGATTGATTCGGTTGATGCATCTGTTTTTCCTGTTTTTCCTGTTGCACTTGCCTGTCACATTCAAGCTGCTATTTATGCGTTCGCTAAGAGGACTACGGATTAGATATCTTGTGGTGAATAGGTCGAGTTCGAACAAAACATCTGAAGCCTTTGATGTTCACCGAGTTCACGTTTTCAATCAATCTTGGGCCCCTGCTCATTGCTCACCTCTTGCTGCCAGGAGGCACAATAAGCTGTCTGACCGAAAGATTAACCAAACACCTGCGCGTTTCCATGCAAATAGGACTTGTCAGACAGAAATAAGTGCTATCATCACGCCGCCTCAATACATCCCAATCCGGTATTCCTTTCACCACACTGCAGGTCGGCGAGGCTCTCCACCAGCCTCACTCTTGGCGGTTGTATATTCACTGCAGCTTCACCACCGCAATAACCTGTGCTTGATATGTTTCGACAGTCAATTACTGGTGTCCAAATGGGTATGCTATGTCACTTCCTAGTCCTTCGTGGCCTCATGGTTCGTACTGACTGTTCTCAAGACAGACTTCGTTGCGAAAAAGTCTTAAGCGGGGGCCATATAAGTAACTTATGGTCAACTGAACTTCAGCATCAGCCCCATCCAACTTCAGTGGCTTGCAGGTGTCAAAACTTCAGTTGGATGGTGTTGCAGAGGTCTTTTTTTTGCATCTACCTAGAGTAGATATCTATGTGTATAGTCCTTCTCTGCATCTATGCGAATTGCCATTTGACACCCTCACAGAATTCCTTCCAAGTAGTTTTTTTCGCACCGGCCACCAAGAACTCATCGCTCTCAGCTTGTTTCTTCTCCGCCCCTTTTCCGTAATAACTGAAATCGCGAATGAGAAGCATATTCTGCTCGAGCTCCTCGCCAATCCTGTCGCCCAGCTTCGCAGCAGACTCGACACTTCCTGGCTTCTCAACGAAGGTGACCTTTTTGCCAGTGATCTCTGACAATTGGTCGGTGAGATCTTTCGGGTGCAGCCACTCGCTGACAGCCTGGACAGAGACACCGTTTGCCTTGGACCCAGCTTCGAACAGACCCGCAGTATATACACCTGTATCGCGCTGGATGTCGAGCATTGGGATCCAAGTCTGCGTTGGGTTCCATGGCTGACTGAGCGTCACTACACCGGTGTCCTTGTCCGGTTGGATCCACTGGGTCAAGTTCGACATGAAGAAGGCTGGCATGAAATACGAGACAATCATATCGCCCTTGACTTTCTCTGCGTATTCGCCGACCTCGGCCTTGGAGTCGAAGTGCTCGATCTTGGAAAGCTCGCCGTCAGTCAGCTTGGTGGTGTTTGGCAAGTTCGACCAGACGAGGTGTTTGACGCCCTCGTCCTTGCATGCATCGACGATGTTCTTGCCTTGCTGGAACTCGACGGTTTTGGAAGTCGTCTCCCAGTAATTGGTAACGGCAAAGACGCCGTAGGAGCCGGCAATGGCTGACCGTACGCTGGCGATGTCGTTCAGATCTGCCTTGGCGAGTTCGGCTCCTTTATCAGCAAGTTTTTGAGCTGATGGTTTGGAAGGATCCCGAGTAATGGCGCGGATCTTGTACTTGGACGACAGTTCTGGCCGGCTCAAGATGGCAGCGACAGTGCTACCGCCTTGGTTGCCTGTAGCACCGAAGACTGTGATGATCTTCTGTGTCATTTTTGTGATATGCTTCGAAGCCGTGGTGGAATGAAATGTCCTGAGGTGGTTGGTAGTGGTAGTAGTAGTTGTGAATGAACAGTTACTTCGTTCCGAAATGCTTTTCAACCTACCTGGGATCGATCGTTATAGCCAGACATTATATACACTTTGGATCTTCACGCTCGAAGCATATCGCTTGCAGCCCGATTGACATTCAGGTAAGTGGCTCCTCGTCGCTGAGGCGCTCAAATCGTCTGCTGGTCCTTGGTTAGTCATCTTCGCGCGTTCGGCACTGAATGGTTTGGTAATTGTCATAGGCCTAGAGGTGATGGCTGGCCTGAAAATCTTCCATTGCGTTCGATCGAGAAGGAAGTCATTACTTCTCTGGGGCACCCGATAGGCGAGCGGGCCAATAGGTGTACGAAGCCGAGTGCGAAGCAAAGTGTATGATTATGTCAAATGGCTGCAAAAGAAAGCTGACCAATTTCTTTGTCCACTCGGATCCAACCTGATGCCGAGCACCAGAGTAGCGGGCTTGGCTTACTTAATATGCCCTCGGTGCCAAGATGCCTGGTAGTGTTGCATCCAGGGTCTATCGATCTTCGCCTGTCACAACACCAAATATAGGAGCCGTTCTTGAAGCAACAGGAAGGAGTGCTAACAGATACCGAGCACGGCATCAAAATGAGTTGGACAAGCCGAATACGTAACACAGTTTTGGTCTTGCTTCGATTTGAAATCATCATATTTCAAGGCTGCTTGACTATCATGAGGCTAGATATTGGTCTGCTTCTAGCCCAGGCTCAGTAAATCAGCTTCAATGAAGCTGACCAAGAAGTTCAACTTGGACAATAAGCCACCCGTTCCATCATTAAAGATCCGTGAATCGTACTTTTCTTTTGATCCACTCGTCGCTTTCCGAACTCAAATTCCAAAGAGTAGCAATACATGTAGACTTGCGGGTATCATGATCCGTCCGGTGATGTAGGTAGTATGGAGTGTCGGACAGGTGAGACAGAGCATCCTACATGTGCAACCAGCATGACCTCCAAACTTTGGAGGTGCTGTAGTCTCCGCTGATCAAATTAGGAGAAGAGTCGAGGAATCGAGTCAAGCTTTGGTGATGGCACGCAACTTTACAAGCAAGGACCAAAAACTCCGCCGCCGAAGAAAGTAGACTCGTTTTCGTAAACATAAGCACTGCAAATGTGCAGAATTGAAGAACACCAACGCTGTGCAGAATTCGAGAAGACCAGGCCGCCTGAGTGATTGTGGTCGATTACAAGTTCGTTGGGTAATAAGGATCAAAACTCTCCGCGGCCTGCGCGAGAGTATCCAGATCGGAAAATCCTCGAACCAAGGTTGGTGGCATAAGACCATTCGGAGCAAAGCCGTTGTCGTTGATCTTGTTGAACAAGGACTGGTGCATGCCAGGGGCATGGGCGAGGAGGGATTCCTCTCCTAGAGGGGGATACAAGGAATTCGGAGAGACGCTTTCAGGGATCGTCTGGATGGGCATGAGCATGTGGGATGGCTCGGCGTAGAAGGTAGTGTCTTCGTGGTTTAAGGGTGTGTCAATTGCAGTCGGTGCGAGGGATGTGACCTCGGACAAAGGCGAGTGGAGTAGGCTTGATCGTCGACTGGCTTCGGAGACCATGGTCTCAGCCTTCTTGGGCTGCTTGGTCTTCTGAGCATCTTTCGTCATTGCAGCCTTGCTGCGTCGTGCCGAATCATCGCTATTGCTGGATTGAGAGCCCTTGTGGGTGCGCTCGTGTTGCTTCATATTGTCCTTGCGCGTGAAAGCCTTGTTGCAGATGGGGCAATGCACGCCCTTTTCTCCGGTGTGCTTCTTTCCATGACGCGCAGCGTGGCCTGAAGTCGTGAAAGTTGCTTGGCAATTGTGTGACTGCGCATAAGGGCACGGGTATTTATTCTTTTTCATGGTTGACTCGCCACTGGTGGTCGGTGGAGTCGTGGGTTGGCTAGTAGGAGCAGGAACAGCTGCGGATGTAGGTGGGAGAGTGGCATTCATGGGAGATGGAATGGGGAGAGGCTGAAGACCGGGATGAACAGGTATAGGAATATTCGGATATTGGTGCGCTGGCGTTATTTGAGGCATGAGAGTCTTTCCAGAAAACTGATCAGGCATATTTGGAGCAATCATGAGTTGTTGTTCCAGAAATGGAGTAATGGTGGAAGGCGACGGTAGGTAGCCCACCAGGTCTTGGCGCAGCAATGGATCATATGGCATTAGGGTGTTGTCGACATAGTTGTACGCCGGCGTGATCGGGGATGGAGAAGAGTCCATGCTCGAGCTGGATTCTGAGGATGATTGGCGCAATAGAGGAGGAGTTCCGGCGGATGAGACAGAAGAGGTACGTCTGTAGCCTGCCTGGCGAGGAAGGTGCGGCCTCTCACACCTTTGTTGAGGAGGAATCGAGGGAGAGGCCCCGGATTTCGAGAGCGAAGGAGAAGACGCCCCGTGAATTCGGACAACGAAGGAAGGGCAGTCGTTGTCGTTTAAGATCGAGAAGATACGTGCTCCGCGGGATTGCGTGTGAACATCCATTGTTCCACGCGGCCACCAAGCGTCCAGCGGGCGGGCCGCTGGTCCAAAATGAGGGTATGAGAACGACTGCGTACAGGTCAGGATATGGGACTACTAGATGATATAAACTTGGGTACATACGCCTGAGGAATGGCTCGTGATGGTCACAGAGGTTCAATTGACACAGATATGTGAGAGATCGTCGTTGAGAGATTGTCTTGTCAAGTGAACTCTGCGAGTGTCCCAGGCACAGAGAACAGCTCCGGGTGTCGTCGAAGAGCGGTTGGTCGAGAGAGCTGCTATTGCTGCTTTCAGGGATTGCCCTGTAGCTTGAGGTATACTGTTCTCCAAAGATGGAGCAGTTTGTTGAAGGGATCAGCAGTATAGGCAAAGGTAACAATGGATGTGAGCTCTGTTAGAGGGCACAGGACCCTTGAGAAAAGAAGGGTACAGCACAGGGTCTTTGGATATAGACGAGCGTATGAGTGGAAGAATGATTTTTGGTAGGGGAGAGAAAAAGGGTCTACAAAAGGAACGGGAATATGGGAGAAGAAGATGATGTTTGAACAATTGCGTTAGTGGAGCGTTGGATCAAGGGATCGAGAGATCGAGAGGATGGAAATGTTCAGAATGGCATTTGACGGGGATCCGAGGCGCGTGCGTTGGATCTGCCAGGGTCGGAGCTTGGAGCTTGTGAGGGACGGCACACTCTGTAACAGGATGGGGACATCTCCACGCGCGCAAAATGAAAGCGTCAAGGGCTTCTCGTGGGAAAAACGGGCAAAAAGTGCAGTCAGCGGCGGCCGGGAGGAGTATAGGCGAGCTGGAGCTAGAGGAGAACACGGACACATGAGTGGTGAATGGGCTGCAAAAGAGGGTTCAGGCCTGTCATGGCAGATTAGCAACCACATCATGCATCGAGATTCAAAGCCACAGGGAATCAGGGATCACGATACAGTAAACTCGGACGTCAGCCACTGATGACTTGCCACAGTGCTATCGACCCTGCAGGACATACTATAGTCAACACATGGCATGAGTAGTCCTAACATAACATGTTCGCAAGGGTCCCAGACGGGAGACACCACTCTGCTCGACACCATACAACATCCATGCAACTTGCAGACGACCCATGCTGCCCTGTACACAATATGACCACAAGAGACACAGTGATACGGAGTAAATGATAGGCGTCTGGATCAAGTATCCGAACAAGGAGAAAGACAGGTTTGGGGGCACTTCCATTTGCAGCGCTGAGAAAAACAAGACATCATCAGCAGTCTCATTATTGTTGGTACTCTGAACAAGGCTTGATCGACCGATGTACTGGTAGATCACGATCTCGAAGCTGCGAAGAAGACCCAAACAAGACCCAGCAAGGGGGGTTCGGGCCTGCAGGTCGGGGCCCCTCTTTTGACACTAGATGAGCATTGGCACATCGGTTCAGGGTACAACCTCTGAATTAAGGTTGACAGAACAAATAGTGATCCCAATTAGAAAAGGTAGAATTAGTACATACTCTGAGTGAAGGTTGACTAGGTGCTTGAAGACATGTAGCATGATGATTTATGGCTGCCGTAGGTTATCGTGCAGTAGTCGTGAAGTGAGGACTTGTACCACACTAGTAGGGAAAACCTATACGTAGTATGTCGTTAGGATGTGGTGTCCGAGAGGTCCCTCCCTCTCTCCATTCCCACAATCGGGAGTTTCTGACACTGAAAGCGCCGTCAACGTCACTAGGCGCATGACATCACAGGCAATTAAAGTTGAAGTCCCGGAGAGCCGATCCAGGCCAAAACGTTCGATCCAGACCCCGAATCGAATTCCTGCATCCACGGCACAGAATGTCAAAGCAGAGAAATCAGTTCTTCCAAAGCACAACTGCCTTTTCTTTGCACCCGCAGGATTTACCACTAGAAACCTGATTGTTCCAAAGCTTGCCGGACACTTTACCCATGGAAGGTGTTTCCTGTTCTTTACCTTTTTGACGTCCCACACCAGCAATCCCCGTCCCACTGCACGGTTCCCGTATCATTCACCCTTGCAAAACGTCGTCCGTACTCGGTACCTGGCACACAGACAAGTACAACGGTACTCGTGAACACTGGAAGTGGCCTGACATGTCAGTCATCTCTCCGCACGTGGCATATCCAAGGGGTCGTTCCCAGCTCATCGGACTTGACGCGAGGGTTTCTCCCCTTCGTCACTGACAGCTGGTCTTTGCGTATCTCCATCTGCTTGATAGTATGGTTGAAAAGCCTGGGCCAGAACAAGCACCTACCAATGTACTCCGTATTAGATGCCAATGACTGCCTACTGATTTCCAAATGCTCCCATATTTAATAGAAGGTTAAAGAGATTGAAGTCCCCCTGTCTCATAAGGCTTTCTCCCTTACTTCTCTCCCCACGTGTCTCGGTCTGCCGATCAGGGTCTGGAAGTTGCTATAGGTGCGACATGGACCGTACCGAAGGGCAGGATACTCCCTTTTTTTTTTATAGGGTCCGGTCACCTAAATGAGACACGGCAACAATAATCGATGCCCTATGCAGGGCCGCCACTGTAAGGACCCTCTTTGCTTGTCAGTTGAACATGCAGGGAGAGCGGCTGCCACGGGGCAAAGGGTCCCTTCAAGAAGCCATTACTGCATGCTGGAGAGCTGAACAAGCAATTGCCCCTTACCTGGCAGGTATACAAAGTCCAAGGCTGTGCCATCTCGTAAAGGTATTTGTTTCATACACTATACTCAAGTGCCTCTCCAAACCTGCTCGGCAAGGCTGACATGAACATGCCGCCAATTGATTCGCACACTTTCGCTGCTTGTCAGCTCCGATGCTCCTCTGACGTGGCAGTGAAAGAGCGGTAAGAGAAGAGTGAATGAAGATTATTATCCTGCCGGTCTCCCCATGGCATAGCCACATATGTTGGCTCCCTTCCATCAGCCACCGCCGCTCCCTCTCGAATGCCTCTTCTGTGCCGGCCGCCTTCTTTGCAGGTCACTCTGCACTTACCAAAGTCCCCCTACAGAGAAGAAGGGTTGATTATCAATTCTCAACCAGTTCATCACTTTCCAGCTGCCTTTGTTGTGCGAACTGGACGCTCCTTGCCACTTGAAGAACCGAGAATTTTTGCTGCCTGAAAAAATTCATGGATCATGCCTATTGATTGATTCGGTGTATTCCAACAATTACGTAGCCTGCACCACTGGGGGAGCCACATCACCTTTGCCTTCTCATTCACCCCTCACCAGTCACCACCAATTCTCACTGTCCGGTTTGACCAGCCACCTGACTTTGTTCACCATTCTCTTCTGCGCCCAGCTAGAGAGCCTTGCCAACCTGCCAAGCTCCCAGCAATCGTCGCTGCTACTTCATCAAGGCGCTCTTCGCATTCTGCAACTCTCATCATCTCTCAACTACTCTTTTCCATCATCCTCGACCGCCGAGACAACCGAGTCTGAATTTGCCGCTACGACCCGACCCTTTGCCGTGGTTCCGGCTTTCCGCTAGGCCACGAAACACCTCATCATTCCATTTGACTCGGACCCTTGAAACCCACCGCAAACCCCAGCAAACATGTCCTACTACGACGATGACAGAGCCCCTCGCCGACAGAAGAGCACTCGAGAACGCGCGCGACGAGATGATTACGATGGCGGCGGCACTGTCTATGATGAGAATGTTCGAGATACTCGCATAGTCAAGCGTCGTGATGACAGTGCATCCTCGGTTGAGGAAGTCTCCAGAAACTTTGCGCCCGGAGATCGTGGTGGCCCTTACTACCGCGAGACAACCGTGCGCAAAAAAGGCCATCGACCAATCCGTGATGACGATCGGGGGTACGATGATCGCTACGACGACTCCACTGTTGTCTCTCGAAGAAGACGCGATGATGATCAGACGGTTGCCGGTGCTCGTGATCGTAGGGGGCAAGATAGAGGCGACAGACGTGAGTTCAATCTTGCACTCGCGGTTGATTCTGGCTGACACAATCGATTGCAGGTCGCTCCCGGCGCCGCGATGACTCTTACTCGTCCTACTCCTCGCGTAGTCGCACTCCACCAAAGAAGAAGGAGCGCAGAAAGTCCACCACTGAAGAGGTACTGGGCTCTCTAGGCCTCGGTGGTGTTGCAGGAGCACTCTTAGGCAAGAATCGGGACCGTTCAGCATCCAGCGGGCGCAGTCGTCATCGAAGCCGAAGCAGAGCAGGCGGTCGTCGCAGATCGTCATCGGACAGATCTACACGCCGGAGCAAGAGCAAGGGCAAGATCACAAACGAGCAAGTCTCCCAGGCTCTAAAGGCTGCCGTTCTCGCCGGTGCCACCGAGGCTTTCCGCTCTCGCAAAGACCCCGGCGGCTGGGGCGCTGACAAAGGCAAAAGAGTCTTGACTGCCGCTCTTGCTGCAGGTGGTGTTGACGGCCTGATCTCGAACAAGGACAAGCCAGATCACCACAACAAACGGGACATACTCGGCTCTGCCATTGCTGGTTTGGCCACCACCCGTATCATCAATGGTCCTCGGTCGCAGTCTCGTGGCAGAGGTAGCCAAGACGGTCGTGGTCGAAGCCAGTCTCGAGGTGGCCTTGGAGATCTTGCCGCAGGTGGAGTCATCGCCGCCACTGCAAAGAAAGCGTACGATCGGTTCCGATCCCGTTCTCGCGGTCGCGCTCGTTCTCGGAGCTCTTCATACGACAGTTACAGCCAAAGTCCACCGCGTCGCAAGAGGAGCCAAAGCGTTGCGGGCTATGCAGCCAAAGGGCTTGCGGCTTTGGGCTTGAAGGATGCGGCCGACAAGGTCGATCCTCCTAGTCGTAGCCGTCGTTCTTCGAGGCACTATGATGGTTACTCTGACGATGGACGGAATGGTGGATATTATAATGATCCCAGAGATGTAGGTACCAATCAACCCCAACAAGGTCACCCCAAGGGTGGTCCGCGTTCCATGAGTCTGCCCAGAGGGCCTCCCCCTGGTTATGAGCTGGATTACGGACCACGTCGTACCGGTGACCCAGAAACAGACTCCGATTCTGACCTCGGCTCCAGTTCCGAAGATGAGCGCCGGCGAAGAAAAGGCCAGAAAAAGATGTTCCTTACGGGTGGACTCGCCACAGTAGCCACCATCCATGCGGCGCATAACGTCTACCAAAGTATGGAGAAGAGAGAGGAGCGACGACATGCATTGAAGGAAGGTGAGATTAGTAAGCAACAGGCCAAGGGCGAGAAGAACAAGGCGAGACTGCAAGATGCTGCTAGTATCGGTATCGCCGCACTGGGCCTGAAGGGTGCCTACAGTGAGTGGAAGGAGATGAAAGAGTACAACCACGAGAGGCACGAGGAGAAGGAGACAATCGAGAGGCATGCCAAGAAACGAGAGGCCAGGCGAAGGAAGATGAGCTTGTTGGCCAGTCAGGACTACGTCAACAGCGACTACACCGGCAGCATGCCGAACCTTGCGACATACCCTCACGATCCTTACCGCCCAGCGGCAGCTCCAACTTATGCCTCTCAATCGGCGGTTCATTATAACGACGACAATCCCTACGCCGCCATGTCACAACAAGCACCTCCTCCTGCGGCTACGGGTTTCCCTCCTCCGCCAATTGGGCTTCAACACCCACGGACTATGTGAAGACGTTACGAAACAGGACAGGCGTCGACCTAACGACCTCCCATCGACCTTTCACGCATTCTAACGAGCCAACACAATGATGGTCATGACCGATCTTTTACGCATATGAGAGGCAGGCGTGGTACCACAGGAGTCGAGGATGCCAGCATTTTCGGGGTCACGGTTCTCATTGGAAAGTGCATGCTTGAACTGTCACGCCATTTCAGGATGGCTACGATGTTATGATTACTTAACGAACACGATCCGTTCGCTATGATAGATAAACAATGACCTTGAATGATTACCATATTGAAATCATCCAGATGCGAGATTGCTGTCAATGTTGAGTCGTCAATTGCTCACCGAGATGTTCTGGAAAGGTCCTCATAGCCCTTGGCCCTTGTACTCATCCACCTACCAGTGAGCCGGGTCCTTGTAGACCTGCCCTCGATCATCTGCTGCACGACAGCAGTCTGTCTCAGAATATCAACTGGGGTCCAGCAGCCAATGCATACTGATGGAGCCCACCCATGACCAAACAGAACCCCTCGTTCACACCTTTGAAGGGGTTGTTGATCATTTGCCAAACCGCGGCTCGCGTTGTTCAACATCCGCCCCCAGACTCTCGTCGTACGAAGGAGGTGGATGTGGATGCGGCTGCGGGTTTGGGGGATACCATGGTTGTCCTGGGTGCGGACCAGGGGCAGGAGGTGCAGAGAATGGACTGTCAGTTGGGGACACATACTGAACAGGCATTCTGGGAGCGGATGAGGAAGACGGTCGAAAGTCGTACGCGAGGTTGTCGTGAGGATTGTAGCTTCTTCGTGGTCGGAAGCCGGTGCTGTCTGGACGGTCGAGGTACGTGTCACCTGGACGAAAAGTAGATGGGGAACGTGGTCGAGAGTCAGAGCCAGAGTTTTCATGAGTGTTGCAGGTCCGCCGTGGTCGGAAGCCATTGCAGTCTGCGCGGTCAAAGTACTCGTCACCTGCCACGCTGTCTGGGCAGTTGTCGCGTTTGTCGAGCTCTTCGAGTTCCTGGACGATGTACAGTCGGTTGCCCTGGCTAGAACTGGGAGCGTGGTTATGGCTTTGGCTGGGCCGTGGTCCATGCGTGAAAAGCAGGTACTCGTGGTCAGAATCGGATCCTGAGTAGAAAGATGAGGAAATGTCGCTGGACATATCGGACGATGAACCATCGCGGGTTATGAAGCGGACTCGACGCTCACGGTCTGCCGAAGAGGAAAGAGCTGAAGGTCCACGACTAGCACGGCGTCGACGCCATTCGTCTGGGGAGACGCATTGCGAGTAGCCGTCTCGGGAGGGCGTGTTTCCCATGGTTAGTTGATGAGGTTGGAGAGAACTACGGATTAGGTTCGTTGGCTGTAGGATAAATGGCGCACGAGTTCGCGCTTGCAGTGGTCAAATAGTCCAGATGAGACGAGGAAGAGAGACCGTATCACTGCCTCGACTTACGTGTGAAAAAGTCACTGTGAAGTTCGTGGTGATACCACAGGTTTTGTCATCGTTGTCACCATTATAGGTGAAGCCAGGAGGTCTCGGACCTGAGATTTCCCAACAATGGGTCACCGAGCACTGATGGCTCAAGCCTCGTTTGCCTTCTGGAAGCTGGCATCACTGTTCGCAGGTCACGAACTCGTTCGGGGAAGCAGACGTTGTAAAAGGGGTGTTCAGCCTTGTCTGCTCCTGCTTGGCACTTCTCCACTAGCCGAGTTGAGGGGAAACCCGGATGACAACAACGGCTTATGTATCTGGCCTGTGAAGACATAATGTCTCATGAATGGATCCGACTGTAATGCAATTTTTTCTGCGTGGCAACTGCCTGTTCGCTTGATGTGAAAGTGTCGGGAAGGAGCTTCGGAAGTTTGAGCCGTTGCGACCAGGAATGTCAAGGGGCTGCACCTCGACGAACACCTGTTCGAGACGTCTCTAGCCGAGGCCGACACCCTTGTTGAACACCCATATATCATGCAGCCCCCTTGCTGCTTGATGCCCAACATGATAACCTCTCGTCTTGACGAATTTGCGGCGGCCTTCAAGTGAGGCGACCATTATCACCCAACCAAGATGCGTCCAATTGAGCGCAGCCACGGAGCTCCTGCATCTTCAATTGCGTCTACCACTGGCTACCTGCACAGATACTCAGATGGTGACAGCTATGCGAAAGTCTCTGACCAGCGTGAGTATGCTCTCAGTCACTTGCACTATCGACGAAAGCACCACAAGTGAGTTCTTCGTTCAGAGTGGTCGCAAATGAAGGCACAGCGGAACTCGTCCATCTGCAAACTTCCATTGACAAATTACTCTGGAACCCTGCATCTACGAAGGTGCAGAACAGGTGCCCTTGAGGCATATATCAGATTGTTTCTTGCTCTGTGATAGCTGACCGTACAACTGTCAATGCTTTGCAGCTTGTCTGAAAAGGATCTGGCAAGTATTTCTTCCTTGACCCCGGTATCATGAGCTTCGAGGCTGCCAGCGAAATGGAAAAAGAAGTGGAAGCCCACACAGAGAATGTCATAGCTGAAGATGCGAAGGATCTGAAAGATCAGGTCGTCTCACCCGCCGCTCCAGAAGGAGCAGCCAAAGCCAAGGCCGACTCAGTCGATGACATGATTGCGACTGGTAAGGCAACGCTGCCGCATGAGGACAGCGAAGCGAGGCCACAATCACGATTTCCTTCTGTCGATGCCGTTGACGATCTCGACAGCTTCAAAAGTGCAGCCAGAACTCTACTTAGTATTCATCGAGATGAAATAGCCCAAAGAGACGAGCATATATCGAAACTGAGAGCCGAACTGCTCAGGGTTCGAGAAGGTCTTCAGGCGCTGGAAAACCAGAGCCTCCTGGGACAACCTCTGCAAGATGTCGCGGATCATAGCGACAAAGAATGGACATTTGTGCAGTCAATGTATGCACCGGAGCTTGGAAAGGAGTCACAGGAACAAGTGTGAGTATTGTCTATGCTCGCTTGAGGAGAGAATTCTCACTCCTTTAACAGCTCTGGACGAATCGAGAACATCTGGGCATCCTGCCTGAAAGCAGTTCAAGATATCATGGCACAAGACGCTCCACTTGAGGCAAGCCGACCTTCCAAATTTCCCCAGGCCTTTACTGATCTATATGAAGTCAATTTTGGACATGAATAATTTAGGCCTGCAAGAAAACGAACAGGTAATGACCATCGTTGAACTTTTAACCGAACCGTCAGACGCTGCCTTTGCGAGCCGGACGCGTACAGTACTCGTCCTAGCCCTTCTGGCAAAGGCTCTAGAGGAGTACATATTGACCCCGAATTATCTTCTCGAAGACGATAATGAACTCAGGTACATCTTGAGCAAGATGACTGACACGAAGAAGAAAGCCCACTTCAGAGGTCTGCTCTTGTCGATATCCGAGGAAGACGGCTTCAAAGAACCAGTCAGACTTTTCAGAGTGGAAAACGCGTTGGACAGTATCACCAAACCCCTCGAAGCAGTGTATCAGGAGGACTTCCGTGACAAGCTCAGATCGAGGCTGGAACAACTATTGGAGGGTATTATGACTGCCTGGGAGCCAGCTCAACACTGTGAAAGCCATTTGGAAGTCAGCACTATGGCGAAACGTGATGGACGGGAGTGGAGGACGCTGCGTTTCGAAGGCGACACTGCCAATCTGGTGACAGTCAAGTCAGATGCCTTCGAAGCGGATCCCGTGCTCATGACACTCTTTCCAAGGGTATGCATCATCGATAGAAGCAAGAAACCTGCATTCACGACAGTATTTCCAGGTGTCGTCTTTCAAAGGTCACAAGCCACAGTTGAGGTCGCTGACGTGGAGGTGAAGAGTGTTGAAATACCTGGTGTTCCGACCACTGAGCTAGTGGCCATGGAACAGATGGGTGGAGTGGCGAAAGAGAATGCAAAGGCCGACGAGGCGGATTCCCGCATTACAGGGTCTGAGTCTGAAGGGTCGTCTGCTTCAAGTGACGAGACCGAAGGGAGCGAGACCGAGTCAAATGACGGTGATGAAGAAGCCTGATACAATGGCTTCTTAACGAGGGAGGAAGTCATGAACGCCAATCGACCACTAATTGCCGACCAGGGTACTCCATACACGTTTCAGCTTGTCATGAGTCATGAGATGATCTTAATATCAAAGTAGTATCTACAGTGCCTTGGTAGTTCAGTTAACGCCTCGGTGGACTGTACTTCATAGCTGAAGATATCTTCCCTTCTCATATTCGCACATTATACTTCTTGCTTTTTATCTTGTTGCTTCTTCTTTTGCAGCTGTTCTAATTGCTTCTCGTACTGGGAAACGCAAGGCGCGAAAAATATGTTCCCAGCCATGACACCCCGGAAAGTTTCCAGCGCAACCATCAACCACAGCAAGACGACAGCGATGGAGAAAATTGTCCCAAGGACTTTGAAGAACAGGCTGGGGATTTCCTTGGCGAGAGTGCATGTCGAGACGGCGAAGACACCAATCGGGAAGGTGAATCCCCACCATCCCATGTTGAAAGGAAACTTGCTTCGAGTGATGCTCGCCAGGGCGAAGAACAGCCAGACGAGCCCGTAACCCCATATCACCAAAGCAATGACGATGCTGAAGCTGAAAATGACTCTGCCGCTCTCTGGTCCAAAGCTTTCCGTCTTCGGGAAGACCTGTGCGCACACCTTTCCGAGCTGCATTAGGCCGAAGCTGCCTTGTCCCAACGGTCCCAGTGGGAGGAAGACTGAAACGATGACCTCTCGCGGCGGGAGCCGATGAATAGTGAGACGTTGGAAGTACATCGTTAGTACCACCATCGCCAGAGGAAAGCCAGTTCCCCAGAGGACGTAAGAGGTGACGATTGTCCACTCCTGGTGCTGGGGGTTTGGCAGGACCTCAGCGACGATCCCACCGGAAGCGGCAGCGACGATAGTGGCCACGATAGGCAGCAGCCACGCGGCGGTCATCTTGGACAACTCGCTCTCATGCAGATGCATGATGATGAAGGGCAACCACATGCACGAGGCGACCGAGATGACCACGTCAATCCACCACAGCGTCCAGGCGAGGGTCGTGGCCCAGGGTCCCCAAGCGGGCACGCAGACGAAGACGATCATGTTGATGATTGTCGCCAGACCCATCGGAAAAGTCCCTACGAACAGCGACTGTACTGGATGTCGGATCATGGCCATGAACAGGCCGCGAAACATGGTGTACCTGAGGATCGAGATGGCGAGGAAAGTGCAGAACAGACAGATGTTGAGGCAGAAGATGATGACCGAAAGCCAGTACAGCCAGTCGCTGTTGTAAGGGAGGTTGTGCAGTAGTATGGACACGATACCAGTGCCCATCGTTGCTGCGAACCACGAAGGCGTGAAATTCAAGACTATGCGACGCCATCCGTGGTTGTTTTTTGCGGCAAAGCTGGACTCGAGGGTGTCTTTGCCCGTCTGTGTGACGCCATCGTGACACTCATGGTGGAAGTCAGCGGCACCTCGTTGAGCGATTTGGCAGTTTGCGTATGTTCCTGAGGGGTCCATGTTTGGTGTGCTTTGTTTTGGTTCAGTGAAATGGACGTTGTCGTCTCGGACAAGTAGGAAGGGTAAATCTATATATGTACTCGTAGTACCAATAGAGGGAGTAACGGTGGTCCGAGCGCTCAATGGCAGAAGGTTCAGCCAATGCGGGTGGTGAAATGGGAGTGGAAAAGGGCGGTTCGAGTTTTCAAGAGTCAACAACTGCTAGAGGAGTTGAGTGATATACCGGTGGACCACTCAAGGATTTGTAGCCAGCCATCACACTTATTTATGTATGCTCAGCAACAGTCATCATGACCAAGATTTGCGTGCTCTTCCGGGCATTGTTTTTGACGAGGCTGAAAGTGGAGCCAAGTGATCAAACCACCGGCTCTGTCCTTTTGCCGATGCTGAAGGTTGTAAAACAGACCTTCACGGGTTTCTTGATCTTTTCAAGCCATGGATTCAGTATCTGGTGTTATCCTGACTGCAGCCATCAGACCAACTATCGAGACTTGAGAAGGCGAGGTACCTATTACACAGAGTTCGTGGTGAGGTCCATGTTGGTCCCCGAGACCCCGATTCCCGGAAAGGCTTTGTCACCCAGGTAGAGAGGTCCATACCCCGCAAGGTCGCGCTTCCAATTTGCGTGGGGAGTGATCGAGGCAAGATGCCGTCGGGTGACTGAGTAGTAGTAGATCAATCAGTGAAACCCTTCCAACCAGGTTGCAGGCAGAATCGTCAGCCATACCGCCGCATGACTGATTTGGTCGTTTCTTATACGACTCGCCGCCTTGCGAGGATGCATGTGGTCTTGGAACCTTCAACTCAACCATGACTCATACTTCACTTCTCGGCAAGTCGAAGTGACAACATTATACCGTATCTGAAGTTGAGCTAAATTCATGCAAGACGATGCCATGCTTGCCTATGAGCTGGGTAGACAACCACTGTCCCGAGACCATGGATATCCGCTAGAAGCGCTTGTACCAGGCCATACGGCGGCCAGGAGTGTTAAGTCGCTCGAGAAGGTCATCCTTGCCAAAGATGAATGCCAGTCGGCGTGGCAACAGCGTGAGTATAAGTGCTTTGAACCGAACCAGACACCGAAAGTTGTGGACTACGCATCCGCACCAGCCTCAAGCGCTGCCGGTTCGAAGTGCCATCACAGATGTGAGAAGCATACCGAAATACAGCGCTCAGGGCAGAGCGGAGATGTAACAGTGCGGACTAGAAGAAGACGCCGTCAAAGTCGAAGGCTATGCATATAGCGTCGCTGGTAGAAGGATCATTCGAGTCGATGTTAGCGCTGACTAAAATGGTCTAGAAAGATGATTCTCTGGCAAGAAGCTTTCAATACTGGTGTCGATTTTCACCACGTCCCAGCTGCACCATCCATGACGTGCGCCGGCAACCCGTTGAGAGGCTAGAGCGGTTTACAGAATATTCAGACTCCTCTCGACTTGCCATGTCACTGTTAAGACGAGAGTCAGGGGTGTGCATTCTGGTAACGGCTCGGCTCCAAGTATACTCTAACGGCTCGTGCTCACCAAGACGCGGCGCTATGATGACATTGCCGCAAATTCTCAATACTTGCAGGACTGTCAAACGGCAAGATTACGCGATGGCTTGCCGTACCATTCAATAGTCTGACAGCGCCTTGTTACACCAGCGTTTAAGGGCGACGACGAGGTCTCGATTAGTAGGTAAATCACGTTATAGGAAGTGGGTAAATGATGCCTCTCTCACCTATAAATACGTGGTAAGTACACAGGTAGTTGTGAAAAGGCAGAGAATTCAATGTATTATATCATGCACACTGTTTGACAAGGACACTAATACTAGCGCAAGAAAAGTGTTATCAAGAGCCTCATCAGCGGGCTACGTCCTGCGAAAGCGCTTCTCGTTGCATACGCAAAAACTGCGACTTTGCTCTCAGCAGACATCATGTATTGCGAAGACTACGTTTCAGCAAGGTCAGACCAACCACGCTTTGTCCGCATACAGTACACATGTGAAGGTGGTATTCTTGGTGCCCACCGAACCAGAATTGTACCGAGTTCCATATATTGTAAGTGGACAACATTTCCAGTTCGAGGGCTTCGAATGGCAGATCAGCTTCCTCATTCGAGTGACTACCATTGACTGGCGACGACATGAGCTGACCCTCAAGACACTTTTCTGTGATCAGCGCATCATGGACGTGTTATTGGTCGAGTGGCCTGGACCCTCGTTGTCCGTGCGTTCGCACCAACCGTCATATCTCGATTCTCCAGGGCGTGAAGGCTCGTGTGTCACCCGCGAACTAGTGCGCGGTTAACGCTCTGGCGAGCATGGTAGCCATGGCTAATTCTACTATACTACCTACGAGACTAGAGGGTGCCCCTATGAGTACTGGTATGCGAAGACCCTGAAGAGAGTCATCCACAGAGTTTAGCCGGTATTGCGTGGGAGGCTTTTGAGCACAGACTTCAATACTAGCGCATTGACCTCCCGCCGCGGCAGCTCATTTTTGTTGATCTTAAAAGAGCATGTTCTTTCGTTGTCCCACCGGTTCAATCCATCAATCCAGCTTCAAGAACCGCGATAAGTCACGGAACCAGTGACGATATGTTCGACCTTATCAAGCGCAAGTCGAAAAGTTCGGCAAGACGACAATGTCAAGAATCGCAGCGGGAACGCAAGATAGTATTCTGCGACTTTGGGTTCCATGGCCGAGCAGCCAACAACGGATGGGAGTTCACATATGTTGATGAAGTTGATTTCGACCCAGCGGTGGATCTAAGGAACTACAAATGGACTCCGCCGGATCGGTGCGTCGACACACTGTCAACATTTGCTGCTTCGCAACTTCGCAAAAACTTGAGAAGCTCTAAAGGATGGTTAGTGAGGCAGGACGTCTTAATTTGAGGTCACACTAACCAGGGTAGGCGGTTCGTCGGTGTAATCGAGGATGGAGATCGACGGCCACTACCGATTCAACGTAGGGAGAGAAACCCGAGAACGATGCTACTCTTCGAGAGGGATGTGCCTTGTCCTTGTGACGGTACTCAGCATTCGGTGCGCAAATCGAGTATCTCAAAGTCGTCAAATGTCTACGACAGCAAATTTATCGAGTACGGTCACGATGACATTCTGACCACGAAAATGGCCAGGCTCGATTGCAGCGGTGGCAGTTTTTCGTCCACGTCCAGTGATGGGCATGATCCGCCGCCATCATACCGCAGTCGTCTTTCGACGTTAGCTGTCTTACCCGAACAGCATGCGACATGAAACCTGCGCGAACATCACCCTTTTATTGCTGCATTAGCGACACAAGGATGCCATTGCGCGGCTCAGGTTGCCCGGATGGCATTTGAAGTACACTGCACAGCCGGCTCAGCAATATCATGGGCAAGCTGATCCGCTCAGGAGGGCGCCACTTACCAATCCTTGCGAGACCATTGTTCCAACATAAGGGACACCTGTTGTGGTGGACTAGGGGCATTTCTTTCGGGTGAAATGCTTGGTTGGCATGATAGACGGAGCACCCAGGGAGCGCAGACTCAAAATGACTACAGGGAAGCAAAGGCCTTGCATGACATACTACGACAAACATCGCTCAATGGCCCAGAGGCTTGTAGAGCTACGACATATAACGACGTACACGATGAAGCAATTGATTTCGTTCAAATTTCCAATCTACCTTACTCTCCTGCATTCTACTTCATAGACTCTTATTCGTATACCAGGCAAATGAATAGTCCTCTGTTCGGGATCGTCCAGACATCAATGCTACTCACACGGCCGTCGTAACTTCGTAAGGTAGCAAAGCCTTCACATCAAGTTAGGCCAGGGCTCGACCGCGAGTATAACAAGTCTCGACGCGCAAGACGTAGCATTATCAAAAGTCTTTCGAGGATATACCTCAATACTATGCGGAAGGGCACGGTTCGGGCAACGTAGGTAAGTTACCTCCTAAGTTCCATGCACACGGATAAATGTTACTTGTTCTCTAAGTTATTTCCACGGAAAGAGTCTCCGATATTTGGCCGGATACTCCGCCGTATATTTTCTACGGTGTCGTAAAGATCCTTAGATATTTCCCCGGATTTAGATATGCAGTCATATCATTATTCCAAAAATTCAACATACCGACATTTGTGCTCCCGATTTGACAGGCTAGTATACACCTCTGCTCGCAAACTAGACGACTGGCCGAGAACCATGTCCTGATCGAAAGACACGCGCCGATCCACCTGCACGCAGCGTCCGGCGCATTTCGCTTGTTGGAACGGTTCGCCATGTCTACCACACCAAACACCCAGTTCAACATCTCCGCCGAACTAGCAGCGCTGAAACACGAGAAAAAGAACAACGCCTTGCACCGGCTGCCTTCGAATTACACCGTCCAACGGCGCCCGCTGAACCACGCACCGGTCGCGAACATCCATGCGGGCGCGCACGTGCCGAAAGTAGTGTATGTCTCGAAGCGTACGCCTATGATGTCCGCCGTCAAGCGCGTGAAGAAGATGCTAGGGCTCGTCGAAAAACGCGCGATGCAGCAGGCGGGTGTCCGAACGGGTGGGAGAGATCGCAACAGAAGGATCGTACAGGCGAACGAACAAATCGTCAAGAATAAAGAGGAGGTTCTGGTCAAGGCCAGTGGGCGGGCGATGGAGCAGGCGTTGCGAGTGGGAGAGTGGTTCAAAAACAAGGAGACTGAATTCCTGTGTAATGTCGAGGTCAGGCCTGGGAGTGTGAGTGTCGTGGACGATATCGTCGAAGTAGAAAACGAGGATGAAGAGGAGAAGGAGGAAGATACGACCACGACTACTGGGATTGAGTATGGGGATACGACGTTGGAGATGGTGGGTGGTGTCACGACGAGTACGGCGGAAGGGGTTCAGGCGAGTGACGAGACTGGGCAGAAGGAGCAAGCGGAGGTCGATGCAGATGCTGATGATGCCCCGGGTGCTAGAAGGAAGAGGAAGAAGAGGAAGAGGCCCGTGTACAATGAGGAGGATGTACCGGAAGCGCGACTCAGGTGGATCAAGACGGTCGAGGTTGCAATCTCATTGCAAGGCTGATGACGAGGTGCTTGCTGGAACGACCCTTATTGTGGGTGCAGCTGTATGGCCCGGCAGTCGGGAGTATGCGACTCTGTATCGATAGCAGTCAGGGGAGAACAGCTGGTGTGGCCTAGGTGTATTCTCAACAGACAGTATGTTTGATGTAACATCCTCAGCGTGAGTTCCGATGTTGAAAAGTGTCATCTGCTCCTTGCCTCACGCCCTCCATAAACCCCAATGGGCCCGCGCGTCTCTGCCATTCAGCACTTGGTACTCTGTCCTTGGACTCTGCTAGCAGGACATATCCGCAGTGTCTTCCGCAATGGCACGGAAGAGGCCTCGTTCATCCTGGCCCCCAAAGAATCGACCCTGGCGCTTAGCCTGTCCGGGAATCCTCTGGTCACTTCATGCAACTCCCCGGCTGAAGGTGGTCCGCTCAAGAGGCACTCGGCGACATTGAGTACTTTTTTTCATTCATATGCTGGAACTCGGGTGTCCTCTTCATGTCTCTGCGGGCGCTGGCTTTCTGAATGAGACCTTTTCGACTGCGACGTTTTCGTTTCCATTCGCGTCGGTCCGTAGTTGGTAAACGTAGAGGACTAGAACATCTCCTTGGATCTGGATCGAAGTCAGCCATGATGTATTTATAGAGAGTCCGCTCAGGCGCAAAACATACGTCCATCAAGCAGAAGCTTGGTGAAGGCTCCTCCTCAACGGCCAACCAGCTGGTGCTGAAAGCCCCTGTGGCGCTACCTGGGTTCACAAAGAACTTCCCCTCTAGTTCGTATGCTTCAAATTTATGAGTTCCGCCCCATAGCAGGATATCAACATCCATTTGACGTGCGGCAATCAATAGTGCATCTGCCTCCCCTTGAGGAATTATAGTATGCCCGTGTGTAAATCCTATTCGGAGGCCTCCATGCTGTACAACTTTTGACAACGCTAAGTTGGAGGCTTCGGTATCGAAGTCACCTTTGACAATGTGTAGATCGGGGGCGATTGCGCGTAGAAAATCGTACGTCTCCTTGTCTGTGAGGTTGCCTAGACATACAACCTGGCCAATCTTTCCCGGAGTAAGGAGCTTGCGGAACTGCGGAGTGAGATCAGAGGCTATTCCATGTTACAATCGGCTGTACGAACCTTTGCCGGGATCTCCTGTATGTCTAGTCAGAACAGCTGGAATCAAGGGTGCTGCAACAGTGAGTGCTTACCGGCGCCCGATCGGGGATGAATAGGTCACCGATGACCAGCACCAATCTGGAGGCCATGCCTCTTCTCACTTCGTAAAATCCTAGCGTGAAGATATCATGTCCCGCTCCTCAGTAATTCATCACAAAGTGAACAGGGTTGGCAAGTCGTGCATGTTGAGTAGCCCCAAGTGTTTGCGGGATGCAGTCGCAATGCAATGCTGTCGCCGAGGTAGGAAGGTATAGCGAGGCGCGCGCCTGTTCTTTTTAGGTGCTTAACCAAATCACCAGGACTGACGGAGACAACTCGTATTGCTAGCCAAGGCTGCTAATGATCACTATCTCGGAGCCGCCTGCTGCGGCTGAGAACCCAGAACGTCTATGAGCAATCACTGTTCCCATCAACAAAGCACGTATCGGTTCTTCCTGACCGGTTTGTGGAGAGCTGGAAAGTCGACTGTCACAGCTGCAACTGTCACCGGGGTGGCCTTTCGCTGCAGGAGCGACATGGATACACCTGCCAGGAACTCCGGAATCGGCCATCCAGGAAGCACCCTATCTTCCCTGATCCCTTAGGGAACAGGGAGAGTGTCGGCCCTATGACCACCCTGTGGACGCCCAGAGTCTCGATACTTACCAGACTCCACACGTCTTCTCCCACATGGTTCCCTCCACAAGCTGAATTCATCAGCTCGCACAGGTCCAGTCCCCAGAGGCATCACAGATTCGCTCGGGCATGGGCACCGAAAGCGAATCGCCAAGGTGCGGGACAGACAAGCGTGGCAGCCACATCTGGCTTGGTTTGCTTTAAATCCCCCTCCTGCAGGCCCTGTAATAAAGTAAGTTCTCACTACCGGCACCCCATGTTAAATCCGGTCGCCTGCCAGGCGCTCACTTGAAAGCCTGGGCCCGATGCCTTCTATTTACAGCGGAGGAAATGCCCAACCCACAAGTCTGTCTTCTTTTCTGCTTGACTCACTCGTCAATGGTGTATCTCTCCTCCAGTCTCCTTCTGACTATCCTTCCGGCCATGCCGAGCCAGGATAGACACAGCTGAGAGATCGTCCAAGTCAGGGGCGAGATTTGAGTACATCGATCGAAACACAGGTCTTTCGGGGCCATACTACACAACCAAGTGTCTCAAGGATGTCGCCTTCCCCGACGCTTTCGGTGGCTTCGTCGATATGCTACTAGTCGATATCCAGCAGCCTGGCCGAGTGTTCTAATCTTTCGCATACCTCGAATTGTCGCTGGTGGTCTGGACAGCAGTCTCAGTGTCTGCGTCAGTCCGCGCTGCATATCACGTACATTCCATGGTCAATATTGGCAGGTCCAGTACCGGTTGTGCGTTGTGCCGGAAGAGGAAGATCAAGGTACGCAAATCATACTAAGCTTTCTTTGGTCTGGGTTGACAACCATCAGTGCGACGAAGGTAAACCTGGTTGCAGGCGATGTGCACAGGCACACAAGATTTGCCCAGGATATCCCTTCCAGCTTCAATTGCAACTACGTCTAGACCAGTTACCTTCAGCAGGAGTACCTGCTACGCGGGATTGCCCGCTTGGTCCAATCCCACCGCCGGGCCAGCCTGGTGACATCGAACAACAGACGATATCGCGTCTTGTTCTAGACAAATTACAACAAAACAGAATCAAAGCTGAGAACTCATCCTCGTCGACGGGTGTGGACGACGCCGCAACAGCTCGTCGGTCAATCTCACCGCCACCACGTTATGACGTCCAGCATCAATCGCTCTGTTTTTTCGTCAACCTCTTCTGTTTCCAGGCAGGGCGACTTTACTCATTTCCAGTCCTTGATTTCTTGCCAGAAGTACTTCAGAAAGCCGACCCATCCTCATGTCTTCATCAAGCGGCCACCGCTGTCTCTCGTCTGACCTTGGCCGACAGATATAGCGGCAAAGATGTCCGACTGAACTCTGATCCCCAATATGGTCATGCGCTCAAATTGGCAAAAGCCACAATCCGTGACACGGCTGCTAGCATACAAGACGAGACTGTGCTAGCCGTCTGGCTACTCGGGCTATACGAAGTGAGTTGCCATTCCTTTCTGATCCAACATAGTTGACGTGAGACAGCATATCAGTGTTCTTTTAACACATTCGCGTAGAACAGCTGAATCTCAGACTCTCGAGGAAGAATGGCAATCACATATATCTCACGTTCGAGGTGCGATGAGGCTATTACGTCTTCGAGGGAAGTCGCAGTTCACGACAGCGGCCGGAAAGAAGATCTTTCTCATCTTCAGGGCTGCAATAGTGGGTCTTCCTCTCCACTCCGTTGGTTCTTTACTAATCCTGCTCAGCAACTGCGACTCTTCATCTTAACTTCAGTTACGTCCAAAGACTTTGATGACCTTGAAGTTGATGTCTTCAAAGAAGAGAACGAATTTGTCCCGTCCCAGACAGCGAATAAGGCGACTGCCTATTTTCACCGAGTCGCACAACTACTGGAGGAGGTTCGAGTATTCCTTGCGCACAGAAAGGAAGATCCCGCGAAGACGGTGGGCACGGCCGAGGACTTCGTTGAGCGTGGCGAAGCTCTCGATGAAGCAATGACCGGCTGGAGCAAGGATGAGCCGGGGTGGGATCTGCTGAAGGTGCGGGCTGCCACAGCCGGTACAATGTGGGCTCTATATCCCTCACATGCACGATACCATTTTTACAGCTTTTGGGTTTATCTATACTGGATACGATTTCTCACCGCCCGGATTAAGCTCTACGAAGGTCTTATTGAGTTGCAAAAGCTGCTGGCACGAGCTCCTGCCGATCAGCGCTCTAGCACCGCTGCTCCGAGACTCAAGATATCAAATTATGAGACCATCATCCAGACGACCGCCTCCGAATTGATTGGTCTGACAGCATATGCCTTGGGCGATGTCACGCCTGTGGGTGGGTTTAATTCGTCAGCATCTGGGGAATATCCAGCGAGAGGTGTCCAGGAGATCAATGTAGTCGCAGCAATGCAGCTGGTCATTCCGCTGAAAATGTTGCAGCGTTCAGCCTATCCTACAGCTACCCAGAAAGGAGCGGTTGATCTCGCCATCTCTCATATTGGTGACGGGTTCCGACGGCAGCCATTGATGTTCGCTGGATGACACCCACTAGTCGGCGGAAAGGTGCTTCTGGGAACGGTGTAATTAATACTAGATGGCCTACAATCTATTCCATGTAAACCAGGAATTGCTCATACTTAAAACACATCTTCATTGCTCGCTGTCAACGATCTCGGTCTGATGCGCCGATGTCAGTAGGTACCTAGGTAGGTGGAGCAATCTCATACGGCGGAGCTTTGTTTCCGCAAGTGCAGCTCTCCATCTCCGTCTGAACTTCTCTCCGCATTCCATCTCAAGGATACTTCGAATGGAGTCCATTCATCCCAGCCAGCCCTCCCCGGCCGCCATCTGTTACACGTCAACATGGCGACTTTACAGGGATCCGGTATGCCTCGGGTGAAAATGGAATCGCTTCCTGACGCCCATGTCGATATCAAATCGGAACCTATGGACGATACGCCCTCGCCGTATATGGACGAGGATGATGACATGTATGAGGACACCGGAGATCTCGATTTTTCGCAGTCGCAGCAACAACTGTGGCTTAGCCATATCCCGCGGCAGCTGTGGGACACACTTTCACGACTCCAAGACGAGGACGAAATAGTGATAGGAACAGTACGAGTCGAAGGGCCTGAAACGAATCCCTCACGGGTGAGTGTCATGTTTGACCATTCAGTGTTGAACAGGACTAATATTGTTTTAGGTCAGTCTTATGCTGAACCCGATCGCGCCCTTCGAGAACCAGCCTAAAGAGTACAACTTGCTCCCTCCACCCAACGAGAAATTGAGAGCTCGACGAACTGGTCAGGCATTTGTCTTCTCGGAGAAAGATCTGCCTGGTTATAAGCCACGGACCTTCGCTTGGGATGACCCGGATGAGGAAGGAACCCCAGGACAAAAGCGCTCATTCTTATATGAACGACATAAGCGGGAGTTGAAAAAGAAAGAAAACAAGGGTCGATTTGTGCCCTACGCGCGACGCCCCATACCTAAGCAGACCGCCATCATAGGAACTGTTGGCAAGGAGTGGGAAGCGGTGCCTGTCAAGAATGCAGAGTACTTTGTGCTCGAAAATAAGCAGGCCGAAGAGATGCTCAAGCCACCTGAACGAGAGCAAGCCATATTCGTCAGTGGTGAACACGACCCGTCGAGGAAGCACATTCCATTCATGACCATGAGTGACAAAGCCAGCGTGCTCAAGGTAATCCAGCTCTTCGTCCTATTTCTTGAATCAATGCTGACTCTTAGCAGAACGCCCAAGCTCGCAAACAAGCACAAAAAGAGAATCGCGCTGCTCGTGTCGACAAGCATGTTCTTATTGACAAACTACTCGAATTGTTCAGGCAGCACCGTATCTGGGGATTGCGTGATCTCAAGTCTAAAGTCAATCAGCCAGAAGCATATCTACGACAGACTCTGGATGAGATTGCCTTCATGTGGAAAGCGGGCGATTTCAACGGCAAGTGGGAGCTCAAAGACGAGTATAAGAGCGATGCCATGCTGCAGAATCCGACTGGTGTCGTGGCTCCCAAGGCTGAAGATTCTGACATGGATAAATCTGGGATGGATGATGACGATGATGTTAATGACGATGAAATTTTCGAGGACGTTGGAGCATGATGACAGGAAGCAACTTCTGATGCATAGCGATGGCGTTCAGAGGGATAGAACTATCCAAAAGAGATACCCTGGGGGGCTGTTCAATCGAACTCTGCCTTGTAGATATAATTCAGAAGAGATGCTACAGAATTGCCCCGCGTCTCGAACCACTCGTTTTGTGCTTCGATTGACAAGACTTCTGGCAACTGAGATATTTCGTAGGTGCCGTTCCAGGCTGCAGCCTTGTGAGCATAAAGGGGAGAAGCCTTGGCATGGTTGTACTGCTTCAAGTTTTTCTAGACTTTGGCTTCCTTCAAAGATTCCCAGACCATGGCGCAAGGATAATCAAGGGTCCGACTTGTTCTGCGCATGTGAAAGCAACGAGTGGATGTCTCCCGCGCAACGCCGAGCAAAGTAGTCCATGACCGGCTCAAACGTGATCTTCTGATTGACTGGCAACATCGGACGACTCGTCTGTATGAGCATTCCCGGAAATGGAATCAGATGTGGCCTACGTCGGTCAAAGGCGCTCTTACTCAGGAGCACTATGCACCGTCCGCTATCAAGGTCCCCTCCCATCTCTCAAGGGCGAATGGCTAGGGGTGGAATGGGATGATCCAACTCGAGGAAAGCACAATGGCTCCCACGAAGACCACCAAGTGTTCAAGTGTCTCTCTCCAGTCCCGACGGCTGCCTCGTTTGTTCGACCCTCGAGAAAACCAGATCCTGAAAGGACATTACTGGAAGGCATCAAGTTCAAGTACGCCCCATCGACCACACCAAAGACTGTCGCTCAGTCAGCCAGCGTGGGGAATGAAGCGATCGAGATATCCGGTAAAGTCGTCGAAGAGGTCGGGTTCGATCGGATCAAAAAGCAGCTATCTCTGCTTGCGGACTTGAAAATCGTGTTGGTCGACGAGCTCGCTCTAACAGGTATTGCCGCTCGAGACGCATCGAATACTGAAGTCAGGCACGCCCAGAGGGAGCTTCAGCAGGATTGTCCGAATATTGTCGAACTGGATATAGGCTGGAACACTATCGAGACGTGGCAAGCCGTTGCGGATATATGCCTGCCGCTCAAGAAACTAAGAATATTGAAAGCAGGCGGTCTCCGACTGAGAGGTTTCACTGCGAAACGATCCGAAAATGAAGCAAATCCTTTCCAAACGGTGGAAGAATTGTACCTGAACGAGTGCTTGTTCAGTCCTGAGCAGATTCTACAAATGCTATCTCCTGGCGAACCGTGTGGATTCCCATCATTGAAGGTCTTGTCACTCTCCCTGAACGAACTGGACGTCTTCGGCAAATCCAACCAGAGCTCAGAAGTCAATTGCCCGTCTGTAACAACCCTGATCCTCGACAACAACAGGTTTCGAGACCTCTCGTCCCTGCCTGACATCACCTCGCTATTACCAAACATCACCTCAATATCGTTACAAAGCAACGAGATCTCACAGCTCGGCCTCGAGACGGCTCGGCGATTCGGCAGCCTCGAAACACTCAACCTGGCAGGCAACAGGATCGACAGCTACGCCTTCGTAGACGCCTTACCGTCCCTGTTCCCAAACCTAACTTCTCTACGTATCTCGCGCAACCCATTGCACGAAAGAAGCCACAACGGCAGTCAACAACAGCAATCCGCTGCCTCGGACTCAACGTCGTACTATCTGACGCTCGCGCGCCTTCCGGGCCTAAAGTCCCTAAACTACACTACTATCACGCCGCGCGACAGAGAAGAAGGCGAGATATATTATCTGTCTGTCGTGGAGAAGGAGATCCGGGCTCTTCTCGACACTGACGCCAACAGCTCCGTAGAACAAAAAGCCAAACTAGCATGTGATATGCATCCGCTGTACACGACACTCTGCGCCAAGTATGACCGCGAGGACATGGTGCAAGTGTTTGTCGAGAGCATGAATAAACCAGCTTCGCAAAGCGCGGGCAGGCCGAAGACAGAGTTGGACATATACGCGCCGGGCACGCTCGGCTCGCGCCTTGTTGATGCGTGCTTTTATATACCCGAGTCTGAATCGGAGAGCACGGAGAATGGGATGTTCCAACGCCTCCTGCCAACAACCGTCTCAGTGTACCGCCTGAAATCGCTGGTCGCTCGACACTTTGGTTTACATGCGCTGCAGTTCCGACTGGTGTACGAGTCGCATGAGTATGATCCTGTTGAGCCCATCTCAGTCACCACGCGGAACACCAAAGGGAAAGAGGATTGGGATGCTTGGGGGGAGTGGGACGTTGATTCTGACCACGAGGGTGACCAGGACCAGGATCAGGATCTGTTCGGACATTCGCAAGATGACGATGATGAGACGGCAAGCAAGGATGGCGCGCCGAAGTACATGGTACGCGATGGTCAGCGATTCAGGAAGCGCGAGACGGAGATCCTGGATGGGATGCGCGAGTGGGGAGATTTTCTGGATCTCACTGCTCACGATGGGTCGAAGATGAGGGATGTGAGAGTTAGGGTGGAGCCTTTTTGATTCACGACAAGCGTATCTGTGCTCGACTGGAACAGGACTGTGAGTTTACTGTGTGGAAGCAAAAGTGCCATGTGAGAGGCGAAAATGCGCTTTCATTGAAGAATTATTGGTACAAAAGTTGTCGACCGTGTGGCTTAGCAGGGTATCCTCCTGCAGAGGCTTCACTTGCAGACGATATGGCTTCGAAACTGTTCAGGGCTGAAGGTTCGCCATTATACCCCGTCGACGTTGCCGAGTATGATCTTCTCCTTCCGCAGATCATCAACGGGAATGGCACGGGTTTTCTCGACTCCGCTGGCGATTCTGTTCGCTCGTGCTTCTTCCTCGGGATCGAGCTCGAACTTCCTCATCCGCTCACCGATCCTAGTGTCGATCACCATATCGTTCATCAAGACTCGTTCGGTCTCGTCGCCCTCTTTGAGAGGCTTGTATACGGATTTGTGCCACCATGGCTCTTCGAGAGCAAGTGCTGTTTGTTGCTCCCACGTCTTGCCAGACTTTGACGTCAGAACATCAGCATCGGACTCTGGTGCTTGTGTGGCTACAGGGACGGCGTCCAGGTCGTCGCCGGATGGCGCAAAGGCTGAGCTCTGCTGCCATGGTCTGTATGAGGCGAGGATGATGGCAGCGGTATCACGACCGATCTGGTCGGCCAGGTGACGGCGATTGAGGAAGTTGTAGATCCTTTGGGGTGTTTTAAGAAAGCCTATTAAATGTTGTTGGTAGATGGGCTGGGATGGTTCCAAGGTGCTGGGGGTATTTGGTGATAATGATGCGGAAGAGTATTTGTCGATGGACAAGTAAGCTGGAGGCGGGGATGGCTTCTTCTTTTCCTCTTTCTTCTCTTCTTCCGCCTTCTTCTCTTCTTCTGCCGTCTTTTCAGGTTCTAGATTTTCTGTTGTCGCTGCTGGATCGTCGGTTCGAGCTTCGGTGGGAGGATGGATAGGTGAAGGTTCCGCTTCGAGCTCCGGAGGTGGTGGTGGAGGAGGAAGAGGTTCCTCGACAGGCCCTAGCCAACCCTCGTGAACCCCTCTTATATATTCTTTCCAGGTGTGTCGACCGAGCACGAGATCACCTCTCACCCCCGGCTGGGGCACGATCTGCATTTTCTCGCGGATCATATCAATGGCTGCTTCAGTGTCTGGCTCTTCTTCCTCTTCAGCTGGTGCCGCGCCCTTCTCGCCTCTCTTCCGTCGCAGTCTTCGTATCTGCTCTGCTGTCCCATACCGCACATCGCCTTCTTTCCGCCCTTCAACCACATCATAGTCCATCGCCGCAGCCACTAACACTGGTTTGACGTACTCCTTGAAATACCTTCTTGATGCACTAATACTGTCTCCCGGAGGCGCAGATAGGAAGATAGTCAATCTTCTGGGCATCTGGTTGACAGGAAGCGGCTCCTGTGCGATGTGTGCGACCAGGTCGCACCATTTCTGGCGGACTTTTTTCGTTTGCTGCTTGTCGTATACAACAGCTGCAGTCCAGGAGCCGGTGATCGTCAGGAAGATCATCCAATTGCGTGAAGGTAGTTTGAGGCGCCAGTTCGGTAGACCTAGTCGAGTCAATGAAATGAATCAACCTGCTGGGACATCAATGTCACTCACCCATCATGCGAAAGACCGGATTCTGTTTCGGGGGTGGTTTCGGCGCTTCAAATTTGGCCCCTTCCGGTATGCTGTCCGGTTTCGGAGGTTCAGCCATCTTGTCGGTGGTGCACAATGCGGTTAGGTAGTCAAGGCGATGTGCAAATGTGTTTGATTGACTGCGGTATTCATGGGCACATGCGCATCCATGGACTACCGCAGCTGGCTCCGGAAAAAAAGATGAGCGGGAACGGGTCCCGTTCGGCTTACCTTCCCGGAACCTCTTTAACTGGTATTGTAAAACACGGAGACGGGCCTAAGCGTGATCTCCACACGAAGGCCCCTTACCTAGAATGGTGATACCTACTAAGGATACAATGCTTCGAATTCATGCTGTCGCTTCGATTCAGGTCACAAGACTACACCAAGTTCACCCGTGAGGTAGGAGGACTGTGTCGCTGAGCAGTGACGGCATCGAGCGACTCCTGAAAGTCGCACGATCGTCGTGTTGGATTGACTCTGTGCACGAGACTTTGCTCATTTGACAGCGGGATCGTCCTTTACCGCCCAAGAACTGTGCAAGGCAGAAAGAGATCCGGGTATCACAGTCTGAAAATACCTCGTGTTCACATAGCCGAGATATAAATTCCAGCCAACAGAATACACCAGGAGGAATTGTAGCCAGGCCAATAGGTACCTTAAGGACCAATCGAAGGCACGTAGTACCTGAAGCAAGGGAAGGGGGGCGGGCCCGTGGGAGTCTGTTTAAGCGTTGGCTAACGGAGCACCCCTAAGTTCTAATCCCTGACTGTCTCGTACTGCACCCACACCACCTGCATGTCGGAAGAGCAGCACTCTTTACACCCTTTTTCTTCTAGACCACGTACCTTCTTCCTACACTCATCTAACACCCACTCGCTCTTACCCTCAACATACCTCGCGTGCCCGGTGTGCATCTGTCACGAAACTAACGCCCCTTATCGTTCTTACCTGTCGAAGATCCCGGTCGATCTCGCCGTCACGTCCCCGAAGACAAGGAGGTGAACCACCGTTCCTGACCGATCTCAACACACTCTCTACACGATTACGTATCCTGGTCCATTGCGATCGATACTTGGGGCGTTGTCGATCTTGTCCGGACATCAGAGACAGTATCTGCATAAAGATCGGTTGGAGTTGCAGCTGGTGACCTTAATATCTCCTGCCATTGAAGTGACCGCACTGTCAAGGGTACAATCATGGATTCAGACAACAATCGTCTGCGTCTGAACTTTCAATTCGACAACCAGCACAATTTTGATGCGGCCAATGCTCGCATGTACCCTACCACTCCCTCCACCTTTCCTCAGTCGATCTACGGTGGTCAGCAACAGGACTACCCCGGCGGTCTATTGTCCCCCAATCCCACCACCAACGCAGGCTATTTCATGAACCAAACCTTTTCCCCACCGCCACAACAACAAGTCCAGTACCAGCAACAATACCAATATCAAACACAATCTGGGCTTCAATCCCCGCAGCCTGCGTACCAAGCCAATACCAGACCATATATGGTCAACAACAACAACCATAATGATGCAACTAGCGGTCTGATCCAACAATTCTCGAACCAGGACTTGAGTGCAACTCCACGCAGCGCTAACGTGAACCGGGTACCGTCGCCTGCTCAACCACGGCCAAGGACTGCAGGTGAGGGTCGACAGGCTCAGAACCCCTATCAGAGCCACCTGGCCCCACCAGTGCCACGACCCTCGGCCAAACCTGAAGAGGAGGAACAACCTAACCCACGCAAGTACTCCGACAACATCATCAAGCGAGGTACAGCGGCCAAGCAGCTGGTCAACGCCTTTTTCCAAGAGAACATTGAACGTGCCAGAGATCGCAATAGTCGTGCAAAGGAGTTGGATGCTATACTGAAGAACCCGAATGTCAGTGACATTGAGAAGCAGAAGGAGATCAACATACTTGCACAAAAAGAGGCTCGCTTCTTGCGCTTCATTCGGACACGGGAGACCCCACAAAACTTCAACACTATCAAGGTTATTGGTAAAGGAGCATTTGGCGAAGTGAGACTTGTGCAGCGGAAGACGGATGGCAAAATCTACGCCCTGAAGTCTCTGATTAAATCAGAGATGTTCAAGAAAGACCAACTGGCTCATGTCCGAGCAGAGCGTGATATCCTGGCCGATTCCAAGGATAACCCTTGGCTAGTCAAGCTTCATGCCTCATTCCAGGACGCAGCATTCCTTTATATGTTGATGGAGTTCCTGCCCGGTGGTGATCTGATGACCATGCTCATCAAGTACGAAATCTTCTCCGAAGACATCACGCGGTTCTACATGGCTGAGATTGTCATGGCCATCGAAGCGGTTCACAAGCTCGGTTTCTTGCATCGGTAAGTCATATTGGATCATGTATAGTTTTCATACTGACTCGACTTCCTAGTGATATCAAGCCGGACAATATCTTGTTGGACAGAGGCGGCCACATCAAACTGACTGATTTCGGTCTCTCGACTGGTGGTCGCAAGCAACACGAGAACTCTTACTATCAAGCACTCCTCAAGTCAAATGCCAACGACAAGTCTGGTAATCGAAATTCTATGGCCCTCAACGAACAGATCAACCTCACTGTTAGCAACCGTGGACTGGTCAACACTTGGAGAAAATCAAGACGCCATATGGCCTACTCGACAGTTGGTACGCCAGACTACATCGCACCAGAAATTTTCCTCGGTCAAGGATACACCTACCTTTGCGACTGGTGGTCAGTGGGAGCTATCATGTTCGAATGTCTGGTTGGCTGGCCACCGTTCTGCGCCGAAGATACCCATGATACATATCGCAAGATTGTCAACTGGCGAGAGTCCCTCTACTTCCCTGATGAATTGGTTTTGGGACGGGATGCGGAAGACATGATCCGGAGGTAAGAAGCACCACCAATCTTGTCGTTCGCAGTACTGACAAGCTTAGTTTCCTGTGTGATGCACAAGACCGTTTGGGCAAGGAGGGTGGAGCTCATGATGGCGCATCGTCCATCAAGAAGCATCCATTCTTCCGCGGGGTGGTTTGGGATCAGTTGCGGAAGATTCGTGCACCATTCGAACCGAAGTTGTCGTCCAACATTGATGTGAGCTATTTCCCGATCGACGAGATTCCACAGGAAGACAATACCGCCATGCATCGGGCACATGCCAAGCAAGTCTTGCCTGAACAGGACGCCGAAATGAGCTTGCCGTTCATTGGGTACACGTACAAAGCGTTCAATGCCTTTCAGAACTCTTAGGGTATGCTGTGTGGCACTGTCGTTATCGTTCAGAATTTTGGATGCATGGGTTCTATGGCAGACGGCACTTATGACGATATGCTTGTGACACGTGTGTCAGGCACAAAAGTATTCGAAGCATCTTGAAGGGGTTGGGGTCGGGCTTGTTCTGACTTGACGAGGTCAAAAATCTCGCATTGCTGGGCCCTAGAGGAGAAGACGGCCGACAGGGAGGCTATGAAAGAATAGCATTTGGCTGGACACGCAGCACAGTTACAGACACGTATTGACGGGTTGCATTGGTCTACGGCAATGTGCTGTGAATACCCTTCTTGCTTGGTTTGCTACGAGGAACGATATGCTATGACAGCAGATTTGTAGCGCTATATCAACGAAATGACAATTGTGCTTGAAGAGTTTCTGCCCTTTACTGGCCTTTGTGGACAACAGTTTACGCGTTGCACTCTTCTTCACGTCGTGTCAGCCTCGTGTTCCAGTGACGTCATTCCACGACTTGCTGCACCAGCTGCACACGTTGTAGATGATTCGCTGTGCCTACCTCGTTCACATACAATCGGGCCTACTTTTGTGAACCACGGTTCCTTCTCTTCTACAGGTTCAACATTGCACACCGCTGTGCTCGCTTATCTTCCCAAGATCTTCATCCACCGAGGGTATCACATTCCACATGGACGTAAGTCTGGACCAGTTCTTCACCGAGCTTGACAGGCGACCATCTAACAAAGCAGCAACAGGCCTTTTATGCATACACCTATGGATCGGCAGCATGGTTGGGGCTACAGGCCTTGCCATTGATTATCATGCCTAAGATGATTATCACCATGCTAGCCACCGATCTGCACATGACCACAGGTAAGCCATTGACCTTGTCGTCAAAGCCACAGACTAAGATTCGGTCCAGATGTTGAGGTGTACTTCAGCCGCTCGTTGGGTTTCGCACTGGTGCTGCTTGCGTTGATCATCATGTTCTTCACGGGCTCCGTGCCGCTGTCGTCAAGCATCAGTCAACCTGTCAGTCTGGAGGACAGTGAGCCCAAAGCTCCATACGCGGTGCCCATAGTGCGCATCACTATGTTCTTCCATGCATTGAGCATGATATACTGCTACATGCGTTGGGTGAACTATCGACAAACGGGCTACGTACTTGGAGCAGTTGGATACGGGGCCATGGCATGTTTGGGATTATGGTGTCTGGTTTTTGGAACGTCGGCAGGAAGGATATCGAAACGTACAGGCGCGGACAAGAGAACGGCAGGATTTCCATTCAAGAACTCCTCCGCATATGACAAGAAGAAGGATAGGAAAATGGGTTGAAGGAGTGTACAGTCATCATGCTGCGGAATCCAGAGACACGCTATTCATGTAGACTCGGTGGGTGGATGGGGGAGACAGCCATATCAGTATCAGCACAGTCAGCCTCACAGCGAAACAACAATCCGTCCAGACATTGTTGAATCACAAGGATAACATTATTGTTCGCCTGTCTTGTCGTCTCCAGCACTGTAAGCGAAGGGCCTCCACGGCCTGGCAATATTGCCTCCAATCACGTGACGTCACGTGAGCAGGCGTGAGATACAGTCGGTTTCTGTTCTTCTTCCACTCGCCAAATTCCATCTCAACTACTCGCTGCTTTCACAAAATTTAGAAGCGATCCACCACTCAGTCACGTACCTGCGCATCGCATCTCGTGTCCGATCATGGACGCCGACGCCTTGCGGAGCCTCGCTGCGTCCGCGCAACCCATCCAGTTCCCTACATACAATGAAGCAAATAGCGAACGGACAGCGCAGGAGGTCGCCGCTGCTGCTGCAGGCTATGCGCCTGCCGACTCGATCGATCCCAATATTTCGAACTACGATCTGAACGCGCAAGACCAAGACGGAACACTACCTTTACAAACACACCTCCATAACGACGACGCCGACGTCGCATCCGAACACGTCCAGTCACTGCGCAGTCCACAGCAGACACGCGCGACTCGAGCAGAACAAAACGCCCCTTCTACAGTTTCATACCCTCCCCCTACAAATGGTACCCTGTCGCAAGACGACACCCAGAACCAGCAGGATGTCTCACAAGATCAGCCCGACTATGTATGGAGAAATGCCTCGTCTGCGTTTCCCAAAGGTACGCCGCAGCCGAATACTCGAGCGCAATCCAAGCAGGCGCAAGTCTACACTACTCCAAATGGCTTAGTACACTCGGACCCGTGGGTATCACATTTCTATGAGCCCGCGCAGCCCAACACTCCTACGTCCAACAACAATGAAGATGTCGATCCCGCCATTGCTGCGAACCCATTCAGCGACCGTTTTCCATTGATCCCTAACCCTCCAGATCTCGAGGCCTGGCGGCACAAACTATTCAACGTTACTGAACCGCTTGTACTATCGGAAGAAGAATACCTGACATATTTCCCACACGTCGACAATGTCTACTCGCACCGCTCTACTCAGAAATACAAGCGAAAACCATTTGTCAGCCATTACTGGGATTGCCGACTCAAGGGCCGACCAAGTGGCACCCCCAAGAGTACAGATCCGAACAAGAAGAAGCGTAAGCGTCAAGCTCGGGAACGAGATTTGTGTGATGTCAAAATCAAGGTCACGGAGTTCTTCAGTGCCGATGAAGCGCGAAATCAAGGCATGAACGCTGTCACAGACCCAAGTGGAATGGACGGAACGGACAACATTCCCACTGACCCTGCTCTTACCGGACAGAGCGGGCTTACCATCGTCCTCGAAGACGGTGTCAACGGCAATGGCCCACCCACCAACCCAACTGACCCCAATTTCGGTCTCCTTGAGTTGCCTCGCCGTCTGCCGGATGGTCACCCTGGTGCCAACGGTAACCGATGGTTCACTATTCAGCGTGTGCGCGGAAACCCAGGCGGGGGCGCCGTGAAAGAAAAGCGTGACAGCATTGCCAACGGAGAGGCTCCCGAGGAAGAAGATGACTCTACGTTGTTTGACCCGAACCTAGACCTAGATCACAAACATACTCTGGACGAAAGTGATCGAATCAAGAAAAATACTGTGCAGAGATGGCTGTTGAAGGAGGAAAAGGAGAAGAAGCGTCAGAGCGTGAGTGTTCCGCTTGGTTGACTCAGGTTTGTGCATGTTGTGGTAGCTGACTTCTTTCCCAGAAACTGCCCACGCCGGCAGTCACCAATCCAACACCGACGACCACGGAAACAGCGAGTCCTACCTTCCGGGCCAGTGGTATGGCCTTCTTTACCGCCCGCAGTCATGCGATTCCGGTGCCGTCCAAAATGATATTCTACGCGAACAGTTTTTGTCCTTTTGCGCAACGAGTCTGGATTGCCCTTGAGGTCAAAGGTGTCCCATACCAAATGGTGGAGGTCCTGCCTGCACACTTGGACACATACCGTCCACCAGAATTGTTAGAAGTCAACCCAGAAGGACAAATTCCTTGTATCCGCCATGGCAATTGGGCTGTGTGGGAAAGCGGAGTCATGCTGGAGTATCTCGAGGACTTGGCCCTGGGACTCGGTCTGCTGCCATTGGGCAATGCACAATTGCGAGCTCACTGTCGGCTATGGACAGATCATATCAATCGCAAGATCTTGCCCAGCTTCTACAGTCTACTGCTCACGCCACCTCCTCACCATCACCAGCAGCGAAATGGACCTGATATCGATGGCGACCTCGACATGCACAGCCAGGCCCAAGCCCGAGCGGCAAGTGCTGTACAACACGAAATGCTCATCGCTACCCTGCAGAAGAACATCACCTCCCTAGTCAATGCTTCACACGCCACTGGTCCGTTTTTCTTAGGCAGTGAGATCGGCTTCGTGGACGTCATGTTCGCGCCATGGATCATTCGACTGTCTCGGGTGTTGAGCTACTATCGCAACTTCCCACGACCTGAGGTCGGGACACGTTGGCGCCTGTGGGTCGACGCCATTGAAGCGGACGACCGTGTGAGACGCACTATTTCGGATGAGAATTCCTATCACGGCATCTACCGTGGTGTTGGCGAGGATGGCTGGGATCCTCTCTCGTCTCGCGACGCCTATGGACATAAGAAGGCGATGGTCGAATTGGAGTATGCTAAGCGTGTCGTCGCTCAAGAAGGCTTCGGACTCGGCGGAGATGTCTGGGGACGCATGAGAGAGGAAGAACAGAGACATATGGGTTCTTAGAAGGATCGCAGCTGATACGTCTTGTGGACTTTGCAAGCATGGCTAAAGAGTTTCTCATGGTGAGCATGGCAATACGGATAGAGGACACCAAGGACATGCTTAATTCGGAGAGTCATGGATGGCTGCTGTGTAGGATTAGATAGCATCACATCGAACAGCCGAAGCTAAGGGAGATGAAACATTCAATAGCTAATGATCAATCATCTGCCACTCGACTGCCACAATCTACATGTATTGATCGTTGACAGAGCTGTACCTGTATTCGTCGTCCTCTTGTTCAAAGGGGACAGCTCTGACGCTTTTCGGTGCGACGTGTCTATGTTCCTTCCTGCGCCGATACTTCTCGCGTCCTGTCAATGAATGTCTCCCTTCCATACTGACTATGGACATATTGTTGGAAGTTGTATCTCTCTCCGTACTGACCAGATGTATAGTCATAGAGGTCGGTATGACCTTTGCTACGAACCAGGGGAGTCACGTCTTTTCTGGTCAGCAAATGCAACTCCGGCCCTTCTAGAATCACAGCGTTTGACCCGTCAGCTTATGTCTTCCCCACAAGAGTGGTTGACCCGGAAACCCGAGGCTCGACGTGTCTCGATACCAGCTCTGTGACTGGTCTGTTCCACGTAGAACAACTCTGCCTGTCGAATACCAAACACTTCGTTTCGAAACCGGATTGACACGTTTGTGTGCACCTCCGGTTGCAAGCCACGATATCATGCTTCGTTTATGTCTTCTTCGATACATCAGCAAGGGTTGGTGCCGACAGGTAGTAACCATACTGACATCTATAATGTGCTCAGCAACACTGACGAGGACCTGATGGTCACCCTGAGCGCGTACCGAGTCATGCGGCGGGTACGCTGGCGTCCAGGTCTTCGGTCGGTATTGTTGTTTCATCCACCGAGGAATTTGAGGCATGAATGAATCCATTCGAACCCCATACTGACGGTCTCGGTAGAGTAGTTGTGAATAAGACTTGATGCTAAGCCTCCTAGATGTGAAAATATCGCCGAATCCTCAACGGCTTTCTGCGGGCGCGGATCGCATATGGACATGGTCGAAGCTGAGCCATGTACTGCTGACGGTTATCATCCCTGGAGGGGGTGAGTAGCCGAAGGGCTGTTTGTCGTGAGCGTCCCTGGACTTTGCTTGTCGTCTGGACATCTCATCCCCAGGCTCCCGAAGCGAAACATCTCGCCTCGGCAAAAGCATTCAGTCACTTGCATCGGGCATTGCAGCAGTATTTACAGCACCTGTCTCGTCCTTCGGAGACCTGGAACTCGCAAATCCAAATCCGCCTCTGCCAGATCCATCTGGCCCCTTGGGCGCACGAATGGGTCGAATCTCTGGTGTTCGCCCGCCGCTGACGCGACTTTCATGACGTTGAACGTAACTCGATTCCTGCTTGGGCGCGTATGACGGATCAAACAAATCTGGATGCTGCAAAACCCGTGACTGATTCCTGGTATTGGAGTTGGCACCGCCTCGACGTCCACCTTTTCCTCGTCCACGATTCGGCGTGGCTGATCGTGAACCTGGCGGCGTGAGATTCGAAGGAGTTGACGTTCCGGACTTGTTGGTCGCTTGTTGAGTACTTGACGAACCGAAAAGTTCCTGTCTGCGCTCTTCGTACTTGCGCTGTTTCTCCTCCCGCTCTTTTGCGGCTTGGGCCTGGCGCTCTGCAAGTGAAAGTTCTCGCTCTTTGGCCTCGTCCTCGTCCTCGGACGATTCGGCGTTCGTTCTGTCGTTGATGCTTAGATCGGAAAAGCCTGCCGTGGGCGGTCGAGAGGACTGGACTTTGGGGCCTTTTCGCGACAGAAGGATGGGTGGAGGCTTGAATTCGGTACGGTGGGGAACGACGTTGCGTGATTCGAGAAAGTAGTTGGTCTCTTTAGGTCCTTCGCTGTCAGGCATAGTCTGTTAGTAAACAGTAGATCTTGCCAGTGAGTTGGGGTGTCATACGCTTCGGCCCAGAGTTGTCTGTTGAACTCGGCTTGCTGCGCTCTCCGCTGAGCCTTGCTTACTTTGGATGTGACCTTCTTAGGTTCGGCGGACTCAGCAGGAGCGGTTGGACTGTCCTGCGAGACTATCAGTCATGTTGTATTGCTCGCGGCAGGGAGAACATACATCAGCGTTGTTGGACCATTCGTCCTCCCATGCATCTGGTACTTTGCTCATGGCACAGCCGGACAGAAACAGTGGAGAGTGAACGAACGAGAATGTACGCAGGCATGAAAGTCAAGATCTGGCAAGCGCTACAAACGGATGAGGGATGTGTTGATAGTGCAACATACGATTGCAAGTCAAGTATGCAGAGAGTATTTCAAGTGTTGTGGTGGGTTTGGAGGTGGGAAGCGATGGTGGTGGAGGGACGAATGAACCAAAGAATGCGACAAAGTTTCTGTCAAGACCAGACGACCGAACTTCTCCTTTCCCGGTCAGCCTTGTCTAGGTACAGTACGCAGGTGCATTCCACCATCCGTTTCCATCATGCCCATTTTGGAGGGCGGAATACCATGTTTATTTTATTAGGTATCATCGCCCTTAACAGTCTATGTATTGGTATGTGCGATCTTTTATGACTCCTTCATGATCCTTACGGTAAAGCAGGACCGAGGTATATAACATCTTCAAAACATCGCTTGCACCGTCATCTCTGATGCCATCAACAAGTATCTCAAATCATAAACGTTTCATCAAACTCGTCCCCGGGTGCGAGGAGCAGGACTATCACTCTTCTTCCTCCTGTCCTTGCCCTTGGCGATCTTTTCCCATTCTTCCCATTCCTTGGCTATCTCACCCAAGACTGTAGCCATGGCCGATGCTGACGCCATGAGTCCATGGCCTTCTCCATCAAGCACTCTCAACTCGCATCGCTTCATGACACTTTGCAACCAGCGCACGTTGTCCAGTGGAACGCGAGTATCTTTGGCGCCATGATGAATCACGACAGAACGTGTCACATCAGGGTACCGGAAGCTTATCGGTTTGCGTCGCTCGAGACAAACAACCAGGTCGATGGCGGGATTGGCATTCTGTGTAGCAAGAGCCCAAATGCGATGAGTGAGGGTTTGATTGTACAGTGCCTGCCGTGCTTCAGGGCTTAGGCGAGGAGACATGGGAGACGCTGTGGCACCCTGCTGTTTCATTGAGTTTTGCATCTGTCGTCGTGATATCGGACGTGGGGTAGTGACCTGAGCAGGAGACACCCCTTGAGATTCGTTATTGGCTTGGTAACATGACAGGCTTCTTGCTCTGTTGGGCGTTCCCGTCTTGGGTCTTTCAGGCTCCATGTCCGGCACAGGACTGCTGAAAGGATTATCAGTCGTGATATCGTCAAACGGGTAATCTAAAGAGACCTCGAAATTCTCCCATGTCTTGTTCTTCTTCGGTTTCGGAGGCTTGACATCGATGGAAGCGCTCGTCGCCGTCAGAAATCGTGAGTTCGCCACCTTCAGAAATTGCGCCGGCAAAACGCTCAAAAGCTTATGAGAAAATGGCAAATTGGCGATGGGCTGCGAGTCCGATCCCACAACTGCGCCTTTCGGCATCTGAGACGGCGGAATCCAGGGTGCTAAGAGATGAATACGCCCTCGCACGTACTGAGGCATTTTCAAAGCGGTCGCAAGAGCATAGATGGCGCCGGCAGAGTGGGCCAGTATTGAAAATCGCGTGACTCCGAGCGAGGAGCATATAACGGCCACGTCGTCAACCCAATTTAGAGGTGTACAAGATCCTTCAGGCATGGCAGAGCTTTCACCAACTCCAGGTCGATCTGGTGTGATGAGGCGAAGTCTCAACGTCCGCGCAAGCTCATCGTAAAAGGCGGTCAGGTAACGTGTCAGGCCCATTCCAACGCAGCACAGAACCACGAACCCATCTGGATCCCCAACCTCTGAGAAGGCAATCGTCCGTCCCGTACGGGGGTGCCGAATCCTTTGAGTGAAGCGAGGAGCGCCAAGAAAGCCATCCACCTCGTCCGAGATGGTTTTCAGCTCGTTCAAGGGAGGTTCCTGCCTAATTGAAGGGCTTGTGGAGCTGCGTTTGATCTGTGTCGGCGTGGCTTGATACGTACTATTGTCCCTGGATCGCGCAGCACTGCTCGATAACATAGGCGATGTCCCCTTGTATGGACTGTGCGCTTCTTCATCCGGCGCCACGGGGACTAGAGCAGGCATACCAGCCAAATCAGCTGCTGTGATACGAGCCGACAATACAGGAGGACTCTCCGCAGGTAGACTCTCCATCTCGGGGGATTCGACAACCACCTCCGTCACGGAGAGCCTTGAATTGGCATATGGACTAGACCTGCGTGGCAGTTTTGCTGTAGCGATGGTATGCCTTTTTGCCGCTCGTTCGGACTTGCGGGCTTCGTTCCGCCATTCTTTTTGACGCTTTTCTCGCGCCTCTTGTAATTCACGTATTCTTCGGACCGTAGAGTTGTCCCCTTCGATCAACTCCGAGTCGATGTTCAGCTCCTTTAGTTTGCGACCAGCTGGATCGTGTGTTGTGTCGGACAGCCCTCTAACGCTGCGTCTTAGAGACGACCGACGAGATGGAATAAGATGACTCCCCGAATCGCCTCTACTCAGTCGACTCAGCGCTATAGCCGTAGGGCTCTCCGCCGTCAAAGAATCTTGTGACGCTCTCCCAGACGAATGACCATCAATAGACAATGACCGCCTCGGCGACGAATTCTCCGTCTCTTGTCCCGTACTGTAAAACGATTCCGCCTTCCGATGTCTATCAGATGAGATTCTTTTCGGTGGGGTGGGCCTCGTGGTAGCTTGCTCGCGCATCGATTCGACCGTAGGTTTTCGACCCAGAGCGCTCATATCGTTGCGTATAGAGAAATTGGAGCTGGTGTTCGACTCGCGAAGTCTTTCAATGCTAGGTATGCCCACCGAGTCCGATTCAGTATGCGACCTTAGACTCTGAAACGAAGCCCGTGCAGCCAGACCAGGCTCAGACATGGTGAAGGAGAACAGCCTTGTTTTGCTCGATTTTCTCGATATAATGGGCGGCCTTCTTGCGTATCGGATCACTGGCGCTGCTGCCACATCCCCATTGCTGTCGTCATCCGCGGCCGACGGATCATGTAACTCCCGGTCCAATTCATCGGCATTAGGAGATCTGGGCGAATGTGGTATTTCGTGCAGCAGGCTGTGCGGATGTGTACGATTCCCGACCGTAATGACTCGCCCTGCCTCTTGCTCTGCATTTGGTATTACGCTCAACGAGTCAATCAACGAGGAGATGACTTGAATCGATCGCGGAGAGTATTGAGGATCACTAGGTAGTCGCGACTGGGGTCGGAATTCGAAGGGTTTCGTGGGAATGATAATGTTCGACGGTGGCGCGCGACGGTAGGGCGGCTTGACAGAAGCAACGCTGTCCAAGGCCATTGGCCTCACGTTGGATGTTGCAGGAGCGCATGCAGTGTGGACGTCCTGTGCGAAAGATGGCAGGGATGAATTTCTTTGCGCAGCCAATCGGCGAGTTGTACAGGGGAGATTTAGTGATACGGAATGTCGGGTAGAAAGCAGCCACAGCGGTAAGAAGACGAGGTTATGGATCAAAACGAAGATCGATCATGTTGGCCATTGATCCCAGCCTCATCGACGAGCAGCAGGATTTTGACCTTCGAGAAGATGCGACTGCGCTGGTCCCATGACTGGGAAAAACCTGCATTCGAGATTGATGCCGAAGAAAGTAACGCTGAGTGATCTGCCGGTTGGGCTCGTATGTCGCAACCAATTACGGTAGTCTGGTCTCAATGGAAATTGGACATTTGTGACTTGGAGCTTTGAACCAGAAGTGCAGACCCCAGAAGCGGAGGATCCCCTGTTGCAGGGGCTCCAAAACAAGTTAACACCTGCCCGCCTGGGCCACCTAGTCTGTGGTTTTCAAGCCCCAGAAGGGATCCTCCCAAAAGGCAATTGCGGTACTTTAGGCGTCGGTACCACTGCGGTGCAGACCGGTACCATAGCTTTGCTAAAGTATACGGAGTACCACGTGAATATATGTCGGCATCGGCTTCGCAATAATGAACTCACCGGCAGGCGGATGATGAGCTCCGGAAAACAGAGTCTTGGACAAGGCAGACAGATATTGATGTGGATATTTCATGTCTATGATATCTTCGTCTATTCATCTAGTGCTTTTGATGTTGAGAGGTTTCATCACAGAATTGTCCTCTGGGATGCCAGTATCAGAACATGACCATCAGGGAAAATGGCCTTGACCCCGTAACACCACGCTGAAAGCACATTTGAAAACAGGCCAACTCCTGCCTACCCCGGACTGGTAAGTCCACACGTCCGTATGTTGGCCGCCAAAACACCCAAGAATAATGCTCGTCTATGCGTGTCGCTGAATCGATGTTCGTGAAATCTGTGAAATCGTAATCGGAGTCGAGAGGAGAGACAGTCGACAGGTGAAACGAGAAAAAGGCGGAGGACACTCGCCCAGCTGATAAGCCCATTCTTATACAGCAAGAGGCTGTCCCGTCGTCTGCAACTTCTCCTTCTCTTCCGCGAACAACCTTCGCGACATCTCCAGCACCATCTCGAACCCTTCTCGTCCCCGAGCAGCGTTCTCTCGGAACCTCTCCACGCTCGCTTCCTCAATCTTGGTGCGGATCCTCTGCCACCCACCACACATGGCCACGATTCTCGCTTCTTGCTTGAATTCCGTCTTACCCTTCTCATTGCCCGAGCAGGGCTGGTATACCACAGTCTCACGGCATTCCAGCAAATTCGACCACGTCATATTGGTACTACACATAGTCACTTTCTTCGCGGCCGGGTCCACGTAGGACACTTCGTAGACATGGCTTGTGGTTTCACCACCCATAATCGTCAAGATCCATTGTGGTGCGTTTTGCCGGCAAGTTATGAGGCGTTCGGTGCGAAGGATCCCGGTCTCGGCATCGATGTGGCGGGAGAGGGTATCGACTGCCAGTACGTGGGAAGCTTTATCGTTCCACGGGCAGTATTTTCGCCAGTTGTTGGTAGTGACTTCTTCCCAGGAGTAGTCGAATGTGTATGATGATGAGAAAATCTTCATTGTGAATGAGAAATCGAGATTGGATCGAGTCGAGGGGAGAGGTGTTTTAACAAGCTTTGTTTCCCTTCTCTATTCGGGTGCAACAGAACGCATCTATCGGTGTCGGATAATGGTACACAGGGGGTCACTGATCCCTTCGTCTATATGCGAGCTTGTGTGCAGCGTTGATTATCACAAATGAGTGTCGGATTGATGGGATCCAGAGGTGAAGAGGAGGTTGAATCTGTGGTGCGTGTAGGACGAGAAAAAAGAGGGCCGGATCCGTCTTAAGAAACTTTTTCGCAGTAGAGCTCGGAATATCACCGAGAGCCGTGATTGGTGCAATTGGCCTTTTTCGGGTCTTCACGAGGCTTTTTGCTCTGCCCAGGCCTGCCCATAGGGGCCTTGACTTCCGATCCCCGGCGGCCATTCGCCCGTAGACGCCTGCAGAATATCTCCAAATGCTTTGTTACTCCAACGCCATCTTTCTCTCATCAGCCAGATTATGACATAGCGCAGATTTGTTATTCTCACTCATCAAAGGCTGCTGCTTTCCATCCCAGGCATGTCGGAATACTGGAAGTCCACGGTAGGTGCGGCCGTTTGTGTCACACAGATTCCTATGGCAATGCTTTGCTGATAGCTGATTCTTTGCATTCGCAGCCAAAATACTGGTGCAAACATTGTACCGCCTTCGTCAAAGACACACCCTTCGAGCGAAAACAGCATGAGAGCACGGCAAAGCACCAGAATAACCTCAAACGATTTCTTCGCGACATCCAGAACAGCCATGAAAGAGGCGAACGAGACAAAGAACGAGCCAAGTCAGAGGTTGAACGACTGAGCAAGGTCGCAGGAAGTGATCATGACACGCAGCGACAATCCAGCGCGGATCCATCGCCGAAGCCTGCGAGTGCTACTGCTGTGCGCAAGTCTACTGCAGGTCCCATGACCGTTGCCGACCAGAAGAGACAATGGGCCCAGTTGGCGGAAATGGGCATTGCAGTACCTGAACAGTTTCGAGGAGAAATGGCTATGGCGGGCGATTGGAATGTCGTGTCACGACATGTGGCCAACGAGCCGCCACCGGAACCATCTCTAAGCATTGGAGTCAAGAAGCGCAAATTCGAAGGCCAGGAAGAAGAGGAAGAAGCTGGCGAAGTAGTGGCCAGACGTGGATGGGGGGCCAGCACAAAACGATATCCTGGTCAAGACACAACGGACCTGGATGACCTCTTGGCCGGGCGAATTTCGTTGAAGAAAGAAAAGCCTGATCCCTCGTCAACTGGCCAGGTCAAGAAAGAGGAAGATACTGCGCTGAAGCAGGAGAGCGACCAAGCGGACGACGGGGATGATGCTCACAGATCATTACCACCACCGGTCAAAGACGAAGTATCTGATGAAGGCCCTCTGAAAGCCGAGGGTCCCTTGCTTAAACTTGAGACTGACGATCACGACCGAGGTCCAACGACATTGGACAAGATTCCAGAAGAAGCGCCCATACCTGTTTTCAAGAAGAAACGTAAGGCTAAAGCATCCTGAAACACTAAAGTTACCCGTGTTCGTATCTCAACAGGGCACAAGCGAACCGAGAAACCCGATACGCGAGATCATAACCAAGCGATACTCGTAACCTCATCGTCGCAGCATTTACGATCCTTCTTACCTTGACCTGGAGTCTGATAAGAGCACAAGACGTATGCAAACTCATTGGTGAAGCGAGTGGCTGATCAGGTTGTCGCCCAAGATGGATGGCCACGTGCATTTACAGTAACACGAAGCAGCCGTGTGCAACGACAGTGACAGGTCCATCCTCGTTACGAGGGTAATTGCGGAGGCCTTTGTCTCTGACAGGCCGTCCTGTACGAGGTCAAGGAAACAAGCGGGATCTTGCCTCGAGCGCCTTGAAGACAAAGGTAAGAGTCTGACTCAACAACACCTTGCAGGATTGCTCGACTGCTGAGCTCGACCTGTCAGGCAATCATTGCCAACTCAAATCATGGCATGATTATCAGAGAAGGCGGGAAGAAGATTCCCGCATGCAGGGGTTTTGATTTTGAAACCACTTTTGGGAGGCTGAGCAGGGACTTTCCCACCTAGTTCTCCTCATCATTGCAAGACGTTCCCCTCGCCTATACTCGATTGGAGCACATAGCCGTTTTCGCGAGTTCTCGACAAGAAAACCGCCGTTTTCGTTTCAGAACATGAACATGTAGTACACGCAGGAGAAATGTATCTTGACTCTTCGGCCAATGAGGCAATACATAAGGTGATCCTCGCGTCATGTCGACCGTCCAGGCCTCATCCTAGTTCTCGGTTACTGCTTTTCCTTGATATGCGATGACTTTGGAGTGCCCCATGCCAGAACCCTTGCGTCTGCCGGCAGGCAGGTGTCACAAGCATGTACGAGTCAGCAGTCTGCTAAGGGAATTTTTCTCGGTCGTTTCTTGCATGCACAGTAGCTGTTGACACTGCTCCATTGTGGGCATAGTTGTATGAAAGTGGCTTGCCTTCGGAGAATTCCTGTAAAGCTCTGACCAACAGAGTCCCCTGACAGGTCAATCATCCGCCCTTAGCAGGTCTTTGTTTCCACCCAGTTGTCATCCGCTTCTGCTTCACTTTCGGGTATTTTCGCTAGATATCTCTGTTCTAGCTGCAAGGACTTCCGGCACAAGAGGCTGTTGTCTAGAGCACAAAGGTCTAGCTTAGCCTCCATGCATCAATGACCTCGTGATGTCTCAGGGGATGATTTCTCCTGAGATTGCTGGTTCACGTATCACAGAAATGCGCAACGAGGTGAGGAATAGTGTATTAGTGACAAATGGTACCTTGAGCACCTGGTCGGATTGCGGATCAGTCGCGGACCATACATGCATGGTGGCTGGGCGAACATGACACATAGGGAAGAGGTTGTTTGTATTGGGACATGCTCAGCGGGCGGAAAGGGGGCAGTTCAGCAGAGGCGTACTCGGGATCGAGGGGAGTGTGTCTCGCTTGGAGGCGGACATGCTGCAGGCGCTGCAGCAATGCAGCCATACAGTATCTTGATGGGGTTCGGGGATTTTGTATAGACTGTTAGCTTCAAGCCGGCACATCCTTCTCGAGTTCTGCCAGGGAAGGCTCTTCTTTTCCTTCAAACAAGTGTTTCAGTTGGATAGCGTGACGGGGATTACGGTGATCAAACGGCCGCTTAGCAGTCTATCACACGCCAAATTGTCCATCACTGCCTGGTTATCTTCTCCAACCCCTCCAATAGTCTCCGTGGTGGGCCCTCGATTGGTTAAGCGGTGGCGCATTCGTCTCGAACGACACCCATAGTGGAATAGGCGAGCGGTCTGAGGCTGCAGGGCGAGCGGGAGAGTGGAATCAAGTGAACAAGGTGAATCCTCTTCCTTTGTCCGGAGCCTGAAAGGAGACGGCGAAGGGCTTGTGTAGTCGGAATGCTGACATGGTCGCATCAAGAGGATACGACTCCAGTGATAGAGAGTGGATTGGATGATAATCACAAAGAGGCGGTGGATTCATCCGGGAGGGTACCATCACTTCCTGTCAAGTGACTGATACGACTCCATTTCTCGAAAGCCGGCTAGCAGGGTTCTAGAGCCACTTGGCAACGGTCAAGCAGCCATTGGAACAACCAGACAACTATTCAGTTGCTGTTTTGGAGGAACATAGGACGAAAACGATTCTTGAACCAGGGGTTGGTTGAGGGAGGAGGTGTATGGAGTTGAAGAATAGAACAGGAATAGGTGAGTCCCTCTTGATCAAGGCGGTGTGTGCGTCGTGCTCGCTCGATACTATCTGGTTTTGTCTGTTGAATTTTTACGTTGTCTTTTTTGATCGCTCTCTTGCCTGGATTCCTCTTTGCTGCTGCTGGTGATTATCGATCGCCTGGTAGTGGTGATGATTTCATGGTCAACAGCAAGAACGATGGTGTGGGAGCAGACGCTCTCCTTCCCACCAAGTCCGGAAACCACCGTGGTGCTGTCTCTTTTAATTTCCATTTTCACTTCTGCCACTTCTCTTTTTCGTTGCTTGCTCCGATTGTTACTGTGTATAGCTAGCATCCCCGAATCGATGCACAATGAAATGCGCCAGCCTGGAATGGGAGCGCTAACAAGTTGACAATGCCATCACCCTGGCATGTCTAATGTGCATAGACTCGGGCCTAACGTCGTTTGGCGCCGGGAGAAGCCCTAAGCGAGAAGCCTTTTGACAAGGAGGCCAGGGGTTGAGTCCACCCCAAGCACGACCTCTTGACCATGGAGCAAAATGGTTTTTCTGCTGTATCCCTCCATTGGATGACCAGGTGGGCTGGAGCTCCATTCCTCATTACGGAGGTCCAAAGATGCTTTCCAAATGATAGTCCTCAATCCACCGAATGGACTACTCGACTCGAATGCTGGGATCTGCTGCACCGCTTGCTGGCTGTCAAAAGAAGGTGCTGGTCATCTTTTGTCCTAGGGCGGCTGAGCGAGTCGAAGCGATCCCAAGCGAGGCTCGTTCCAATTTCGCCATCCATCTGATTCATGCTCACTGCGCTTCGGCATTTGGGCGTCCGCGACACTCTGAGCGAAGCACCATTCATCAGGGCCACTCACGAGACGTTTCACTTAACCTAAATGGTTCAACTCTAGTCTCGTCTTTCTTCAGGCCCTGGTCTTCTTCCGGTCTTGCCATCCTGTACCCACCTGTATCGGGTCATAGGGACATACATGGTACTATGGTGCAGTCACTCATCGACACACCTTTGCTGTTCTTTACATATTCGCTTCGCTTTGCGTCCGGTTTCGATTCTAGTTGTTCCAGCGTCGTTTTTCTCGCCTCTTCTTCCGTTGTCTGGCTTTGCCTGCCTCTTCGTCTGCATGTATGCATGTCATCGCGGACACATCTGGCAGGAGTGACTGAGAAAGGTCACTCGTTGAAGCGATCAGCCAATTATCACACTCGGAGCTGACCCAGCGCATTCGCAGACTTCAGAGTATTGTCGATCGAAGAAGCTTGGAAGCGAAAACGAGGAGGATATCTCGGTGCCTGCAGGAAACCATTCTTACGGAAGGATCCGCTGGTCGCTGGACCTCGACCGACCACAGAGCAGGACGTCTCTTTGCGTTACGATCGTCTGAGTCTGCGCGCTGAAAAGCAGCAGAAGACGACATCCCATCAACCCGATGAACTATTCACACATGACGAGTGCGGCACTGCAACCTGGGTCGGCATCTATCAGTCTTCCTCCGATCAGCAGCATCGAGTTCCACACGCAAATTCTACGTCGGTCGTCGCCAGAAGTGGTACAACCGCCGCCACCTCCTCCGCCTCAAGCGCCACGTGTACTACCACCGCTGCCGTATCCCTACGCAGCACGACCTGCACCACCCCCTCCACCACCACCTCATATGCATCACGGCTACATTGACACGAGACCTCTATACCCGGGAATACCGTCGTCATACCAGCCGATGCCAGGGCGCATGCCTCTGCCTTCATCGACTGATCCTAACTTGATTGTCCATCAACCGCGACACAAAGCCAAAGAGGTGAAGAGGCGGACGAAAACAGGGTGTCTTACATGTCGGAAACGGCGTATCAAAGTGAGTTTGGCCATTTTCTTATTCTTGTCTATCTGCAAAGTGTGTGCTTTGGAGGGCGCCGTCGAATTCGATCGTCATCTTATGCTTTCAAACTCATGAGCGAGGAAGAGTATTTTTTTCTGGCACCGAAATGGGGGGATGCGCGGGCAAGTTTAGACGGCACTCCACTTTGCAGTGTTCGCCGGGTTCGTGGTGGCTTGGACGCCACTAAAGTGACTAAACTACAGCCCCCGAACAATGGCCCATTACCTCTGGAAAGTGCCAAACTCCGCCTGTCACACAAAATTCAACGTTCAACAGTCAACCACAAGAGAATCTCGCTTCCATAATCAATCAGTCAATTGCGCACAACACACATCAGCACGACCATATTTCACGAGTCTCCCAAAGTTCTTACCGTTGTTATTTCTCTGCCCATCAGTCGTGTCCGGAGCGCGACATCGTCGGTCTCAATTGCCTTTCGTTACTACTTTCACCTTACAATTGGGAACTAACGAGTTACTTGTCATTCCACAGTGCGATGAGGGCAGACCTGAATGCAGGAATTGCATGAAGAGCAAGCGCCACTGTCAAGGCTACGACCCGGTCTTTCAGTCACAAGGACCGCACTCACTTCATCCCGCGCCATCAACTTCCAATCCTAACAATCCTAACCTGACGGCACCAGTCAGCCACCAGCAACGGAGGTACTCTTCAAATCCTATCAGTCCTGCCGTTACAGGTCCCAATCCCACCATCGTACCCAGTTCACCTCGAAATCACACCGACTACCCGTACTCACGTCAATCTGACCACGTGTTACCTCACCTCAACCAACCATATCATATGGAAGCCAATTCACAAACTGGTATCCCTGCATATCCTCCTTCTGGACGTCGTGAGTTTATCAATGCCATAATTGCTCGTCTTCACTAATGCGAAGCTAGTGCAGTAATGGCCGACATCAGCTCTATGCCTGCTCGAAGAAGCATCGAGTCCATCTGTACAATTGGTGGTACCAAGATTCCAAGTATTCCTCCTATTCCTCCAGACTCTGTTCCCAACCTGGAGTCTATCCGACGAGTATACGACATTGCTTTTGCGCCCGGTCTAGACAAGCTCTTGGAGTCAGGCTCGGCAAAATGGTTTGCCCGAGAAGGATTTCCTCTGCTTTCTGCCGATCGAACCCGCCTAGGAAGTCTTTTGGCATATTTGACACTGGTCAGTAATCACTCGGATGCGGCAAATGAGAATGCGACGCTTGCGAGTCAAGAAGCCCGTGTTACCTGGGGCTTACTTGAGCTTTGTATCCATCCCGAGCATGATGGAGGTGAAGAAGCCGATAAGCTGGCTCGGCATTGTCGGGCTCTGAGTGCAATCTTGACTGGTGAACCATTTTCTAGCCCAACCACTTCGATGGCGGATTTTGTTCACCAAGATGAGGTCGAACCAGAAGTCAAAGCCAGTGCATTAGAAAAACAGCTGTCAAGACGATCAGAAGACTTTTGGAAGCTGGTGGAAGCGGCAGCTGCAAGTCAAGTTGCTCCCGGACAAGGTATCTCTCCTGCCGCAGTCCGACAGTGCCGACCTCTGCTTGACGGGTTGGAGAATCGAGACATCGTTTACAGCATCATGTTATTGGGGTCAAGAACGAGCGGAAATGGCGATCTCACCTCGGAAAGAGAACTGGCAAAAAGATTCCTGGAGTCCCAGGCCAATGGACGTGCTACGAACCAAGTTTTTGCTACTGTCTCGGGCATGGCGTTGAGGGCGTTTGCATCCTGAAGGGACAAGCCTTGGACGGGCCTTTCTTTCTTATGTTTCTGGATTCAGAAATTGTTGTTTGCATGCACAAATACCCCCTTTCGTTTGATGGTTTTTTTATACGGACACAAAAGGCTGCGGAAAGAAGTAACAGCGAGTTTCTCGATGAGAGTCATGACATTTCGTCGATTGATCTATCAGATACTGTACATCATACTGCTGGAGCGAGATGGCTGGAGCCGTAGCTATCAGGCAGCGAGTGACACTTAGATCGATATTCACAAAAGACACATCCATCTTTCTCTCTCTGCACCTCCACAAAACATGTCACATGTGCACGAGTCTAAGCGAGTCCAGGCTATTGAAGTCAAATACCTTACCCTGTCTGTTACTGTGATATACCCCAGCGCCCCAGGACCCTTAGGGGTCGATCACCACATTTGTGGGCGTCACCCTTTCGACGCCCCGAGCGGCAACTTAACAGGGGGTAGAAGATCGAAAGTGACAAGGAGCGGCTCGCTTAGCTTTTTGTCTAAGAATCATTTCCCTATCTACTATAGTCCGTTTCCTCAACGACTTACTATGCATAGTCCGTCTGCTTGAGTGCTTAAGTGTTCATGGCTTCAAAAAGATACGAGATGCGGAGATGATATCTGCTCGCTTCTAAACTTTTTGTACTTGTCGCTGGAGGCTCAGGGGGAATGAAGGGCAGGACTTTGCGAAGCTAGAGCCAGATCGAGCATGGCGAACGAAAATGCGACGATATGTAGGGACGTATACGTTACTCGTGTTCCAAGATACCTACCTGTACATGTAAGTGCCGAGGTACCTGGTCAATTTTGAGATATCCCAGTGTTGTGGCAATATTCTATTAATGGTTATCTCGGTAGGTATGTTCAGGCACGTCACGGTCGAAAAGGCGAGGCCCAGAACCCGGATCATCAAGATGGATGATGTCTCTCCAAGGTTTTTACGGGGGAGACGGGCACCAACTATTTGACAGGCATGGGTACCGAGGTAAGAGCTGCTAGGCTGCTAGGCCTGCATAATAAGCTAAAACGGGCGAGGCTGTCAAAACGACACTGCCTAGGGGACCTAAGCTTAAGCGAGGGCTGTCCGTCCCGGCCTGCTACTGTACCAAAAAGGTGGGCTTTCCTGATATCGAATCGCTCTAAATTTCCCTTCACCACTTTTGCCTAGGTACTCTATCGTGCCTATCTCTCTTTACGAAATACTCGTATACTGTGGACTATCTGCGGATTCTGCGCGCCGCAACTTGGGCGTGATGCTTGCTTGCTACCACCTCGAGTTGACATTTTTTCGCCGCCGGGCTGTCATCTCTTGCCGTGCATCTGCAGCTGCAGCTCGCGTCGGTACGGTTCCCGCGTGCCGTAGGTTGAAAGCTGGAAAGTCTTGTCTGCCAGTGGTTCTGGCGAGTTCGCAGGCGCTTCTTCTAGAAAGAGATGATGGCCACCTTCGTCAACGCATCTATGCTTGCACGAGTGCTTGAGCCGAGGGTTGACCAGCGCCAACAGTGCAGTCGCACTTGGCCGTTGCATGCGAGTTGCATTTGGCAAATCGCTACATAGTATCCCTGGTAAGACATCGGCCGGTCAGCATTGAACTGTATAGGCGACCTCGCCGATCCCTTCGGCTGCGTTCGTTCGGTTGTGCCTTTCCGCAGGTTTGTCGCCCCCTGGTCCCTGTCCATTGCCTCTTTTCTGCCCTCTACGAGTACCCTTGCCCTGCACATTTACGAAGAGACCCTGCGTTTTTGGGGGCTGTTCATGCATGCAGGACCGTTGCGAGATTTTGTCGGTTAGGCAGCTGTTGCAGATCCGGACTGGAGATCAAACTCGTCAGAGGCCAAGGTGCTGTTCGAGACGAGGACGCACACGAGTATGCATCGAAGGTCTTGTGGCCTTGAAGCGAGAGCTTGACGATGAGGCAATTCGCGTCTAGCCCGTCGTTAAAAGATCATAATGGGACAGAGGGATGTGTTTCTGGGAGCGTAAGGCTGGCATTCGAGTGAGACAGAGTGTGATATTAGTCGCGTGTAAACATTAGTAGCCCATCAAAGGTGCTATAACTGGTATATCTGCTTTCCCATTCCGCTTTTGCAGGCCATGCTCTCGTGATTCAGGTTTGGATGCGAAGCATGAAGCCTGCCGTGGACAAGAAATACACACGGCCTGTTCAAGGAGGACCCATCCTATGCAATGCTCCATCTCGCAAGCCCAGGATAGTTTATGCGGCTCGGTGGCTCGACGTCCCGAGGGAAGAGCACCTTGCCAAACTTTCTGAAACCAGCCACGGCGGAAGCTGTACTGGAGCTGAGAGAACGGTGTCAAAATTCGACCACCACAAACCCGGCGATAGACGTGCTTGAGTGTCGCCCGACGAATTAAGATCTTCCGGGTTGAAAGAATCCAGCAGTCGCAATGGTTGACCGGCCGATAGGTCCGTCAAACCTTCGCGAGCTGTTTCCGCCGGTGTTTTCGTGAGCAAGCACTATCTTCGCCATCTGTAAACAGCAGGGCGTCAAAAGCTCTAAGCAGGTTCAGACCGGTTGTATCTTGCTGAAGCTCTTGCCAGGGGACCATCGTGTCCTGCTCCTGCCAATGAATTATTCGCCCACCATACCTTGCCGCTCCTGGGACACTGGGTCGCGGTCGAAATGGAGCACCCGTTGCCCAGGGCCATGCCATGGCGGCGACTCGAAGCATATCGCAGGTAGAAAGCTGTTCATCCAGCCAGTGAGGAATGTTAGAACTCCACCCGTGACCCCTCATACTTTGTTATGCGACTTCTTCTCGATGCTGACGATCCTTTTTCCACCCATCTTCTTGATCTGCTCTTCCAAGGTCCCTTCAGCGTCCATGTGGGCGAGGTCATCGCTTCCACCCAAGCTTTGGGCATTGATCATGACATTCGGCACCGTCCTACGCCCAGTCAACGTGATAAGGAGGTCTTGAAGTTTGCGTCCAAGTGTCGGTGCTGGTGCAGCCTCATCATTGTCATCATCATGTGGTTTTGGCACAGGCTTCGTCAGATGATCGAGCTCAACGACGTATGGAGCAGGAGAAATGGTATAGGTTTCAAGGAGCAGTGCCTTAGCACGTTTGGAGTAGGGACAGTAGGATTTTGAGAAGATGATGACTGCGGAATAGATTAATATAAAGCAGTAATGTCTTCAAGTTCGTTGTTAACTTACTGGGACTCTTCTTCAGGATGTCGTGAAATTCTTGTCTCGCCATCTCCTCGCCTTCGTCTACCGCGGTCTCAGGCTTCGTTGCGGGCTCTGCCTTCTTGCCTGACCCGCCTGCTGCAGCGCTCTCCATAGGATATTTGGGCTTCTCTTTCGGTCTGGACACTGATATTCTTCCGGCGACACTGGACTCTTCCTCTTCGGAGGCATCGCTTGCTGCGTCTGGCTTACTCTTCTGATCCGCATCTTGCACCGGTGTAGCGTCGAATGGTTCCTTCTGTTTGTCGAGTATGGATTGCAGTTCTTGGTTCGTTTGCGCAGTCAGATCTGCGTCGGAAAGCGACCCTCTAAGAACCCCACGCCGCGCCGATAAGGATTCTTCGGTGGTTTTGCGAAAGTCGGTTGAATCGCCAGAGAAGAAAAGTAGGTAGAGGAGAATGATGCCCACGGCCAGCCCTAAAGCATGGCTACGGCGTACTCCTGCCATTGTTCAGAAATCGAATCTAGCCAGTAGCAAGAAAATCGTATCGCCAGGTAGTGAGCGCTCGTTCTGCTGAATTGTAGTCTCTACGGGACTGATGATACGGAGCGATGGCGGAAGTCACTGGAGGTTGCAGTGTGAAGAGCACATGGACAGACGTGGCGATTCTCGATCAGTCTTTTTGTCGAGAGGTAGATTTCATGTCAAGGTCTGGCAGGAATGACCAGTGGACGGGCGGTTTGTAGACAGGACAGGCACAATCAATGCGCGATTTGTTCATAATTCTGGGGGAGAGTTTTGCTCCACGGGCCCAATACAGTAAGTAAGGGACCAACAACCCGAGCTGCAAGGGGAACATGGAATCATGGAATCATGGCTGAAGCTTGATGGCGGGGCAGATGATCGTTCGGTGCCCGCTCTGGACAGTGCATGTCTGTGTCAAGACTTTTTGACACTCGATATTCATCTCGTCTGCGCCGCCCAATCAAGAAAAGAATCTCTCTGCAACAGCCACATATGGACTGCCTGCTATGTTTTAGCATCTGGCATTACACGATACCTGTAAGAACGCTTGAGCCTGAGTAAGTCCCAAGCAGCCCACGATAGGTCGTCACTACAGGTGCAATCACCGGTCAAGAAATGATGCATGGGAGCAGAGGAGCATGTCGCCCAGTTTGGAATCGACGCAAAACAACAATGCTCGTCTGTTATATCATAGCTTTGTCGACATATGCCCCATTGGTCATGTTGTACAAGCTCGCAAACAATTCCATTGTTGTCTGTCCATCCTTACATGGACCGTTTCTGCCCGGGGGTTCTTCCCAACGCCTTACTAATTTATCCAGAAATGGTTGTACAATAAGAAAACATATCATATCTGCTTCAAGCCATCAATCCGCCGAGTACCACCTTCTGCACTCCCATCAATTCTCTCTTCGCGGATTCTCTCGAAGCAGTCTCAAATTCTCTTACAATGACGGATATCATCACTTTCCGTATTCGTCCGTCAACTTTCGTGAAAAGATCGCTTACCAGAGGCGTACATGTTGACGGGGTCGTCAAGATTTGCAATAATCTCTGGTACGTGTCTATCAAAATATCGCACAGGGTGGCGAAGACGGTGAAAAAGTCAGGGTTGAAAGGTAAAGGCGGCGTCTGAAGATGGGTATAAGGACCTTCGTTCGGTAAGAGTGTTGCATTCGGCGCGTCCACTGGCCCAGGAGCAGGGAACGTTGATGTGGTTGGAAAGCTGGCCGTCGAAAAAGACACCGAAGGGGATGCCGTTGTCATGGTGCTCGCAGAGGAAGCAAAAGATGCTCCGCTGGTGGTCGTTTCGAATGATGGTTGTGGGCCGTGATCATTTGGTGGTGACGAAGTGTGCGGAAGCATGGGCAGACCAATATCTGTGACAGGACCACTTGACTTCCTCGGTCTCGAGGTTGCCGTCGCTCTTTTGAACATCTGCGGGATCCTTGCTCGACTCAAGGAGCCTGCTGAGCTCCCGTCCGGAGGATGTAATTGTTGGAAAGACTCGAACTCGGTAAGGAGCATGTTCAGATTTTTCAGGTAGTCTTGCGCAATTGATGCGCTGATGGTCGCAGTGCTTTGAGGATGAGGCTGTGGGTGAAGGTCTAGAATGGGTGGTATGGACATGCCCAATAACATGTAGTTCACGGCCCGCCGTGATAGTCGATTGGGGGTATAAGAAGGTAATTTGGCGATGTCGGCTTCACTGAACTGCACTGTATTGAACCAGAACGACCGTCCCTCATGCGTTTTGCGCAAAAAGTCCAACGTAGCGATCCTCTTGTTTGCCAACTCTTGTATGTGAGTATAAAGTGTAGTTGCATTGGTGCCGCCCGAAACCACATTGGCTGAGAGCATTCCATTGATGGCAAGTGCAGACGCAACATCCAACTCCGTTTTGACGGGACCACCCCCATCATGTGTAGTATTGCTCGGAATCCTGTAGAGCGGCGCTCGTGAACTGCTGGAGCCATTCGTGAGGAGGGGTACGGGCAGTGGAAGAGCCATGTTGTCTGTTAGTGTAAGACTGCTCACATCGCTGCTGGCGCGTGAAATCAAGTCAGCCTTGATGGCTGCCGGTGCAGTCGTCGTTCGAGGGTATCCTGGTCGAGGGGTAGGACGTGGTGGTGAAAGAGTCGCATCGATGGAGCCGCGTGAGCCGTTAGATCCTAGCGGCTTGTGCCTGCGGGAGGGCGATCTCGTGATCTTGGAGAGGAAACCCGTCGAGCCTCCTCCTCCTGAAGTGATTGAGTTGGTAGCGACATCCCGGTGTGTAGACTCTGTCATGCTATTTTGGCTTTCCGCCCCGTACCATTTAACAGGTATGCCGAGCCAGAGTCGCGGCTAGAGCAATGGTGTGAGTACCGCAAAGCCCCCGTTACACAGTGGCCATGGATCGTAATGGCTGCGGGAGTAATCGCTACTGTACCTGCAGGAGAATAGTGCGAGGGTTGTGCGTACGGGATGAAATGGCGCGGCGTAAGGATGAAGGGGTTTAGGTGGTGTGGAGATATGTGGCTTTTGGTATGGGCCAGCAGTGGCTACTAGGGTCAGTTATTTAGCACCAGTTGTTTAGGGGGTAATGGCCTGTTTCTCAGGGACGTTTAGTTAAACTCACATAGACGTCGGCCTTGTTTCAGATTTTTGGTGAGAATCAATCGGCCTGAAAAGCTGACGGAACAGTGCCTTCGCATCGAGGATTAGGTCAACATCAAGGCTATTGTCGGTGTTAAAGTCATAAAAGATGGACGTTCCCGAGCCTGGCCACTGGCCGGTAGATCCTCAAGAAGATCAAGAATTACGCAAAGATCGTATCTGGGTGGATGGATGCTTCGACTTTGCTCACCATGGTAGGCACTTGACTCAATTATAGGTAGAGCTATCTAACAACTGCTTCAGGCCATGCCGGTGCTTTACGACAAGCCCGTCAACTAGGGAAAGAGTTATGGGTTGGCCTCCATTCTGATGAAGAAATCCTAGTAAATAAAGGTCCGACTGTCATGACGCTTGATGAGCGGTGCGTTTGTCGTTGAATCCGAATGCAATCCCCGGACTGATCTGTAAAGGGTTGCTGCAGTCGAAGCTTGTCGATGGGTCACCAAATCTGTTCCTCATGCTCCATACGTGACAGCGCTGCCTTGGATCTCGCATTACGGATGCTGGTACGTGGTGCATGGAGACGACATCACTTCTGATGCCGCCGGCGAGGATTGCTATCGCTTTGTCAAAGCTGCCGAGCGGTTTCTCGTCGTCAAGAGAACACCTGGCATTTCTACCACGGACTTGGTCGGTCGCATGTTGTTGTGTACCAAGACTCACTTCATCCGATCACTAACAGATGAAATCGACGGTAAGAGTGACGGCGCACCTGATCCGAAGCGAAAAGCTGCCGGTGCCGAGGTGCTCGAAAGAATCAAAGACTATGCCACAGACGAAACCGCGCTTCAACCAGGGTCAGAAGTCTGGACTTGGGCAGGCAGTCAACTAGGACACTCCGGAGAGGAAAGCTCCCACGCTGGCTCGTTCACGAAGCTGGTAGCTGGAAACGGTCCCCAGCCTGGTCAGCGGATAGTCTACGTTGACGGTGGCTTCGACTTGTTCTCCTCAGGACATATCGAGTTCCTCAAACGAGTCTATGAGACCGAGAAAGGTGAAGCCTATATTGTGGCAGGTGTACACAATGACGAAGTGATCAATCACTGGAAGGGCCTGAATTACCCAATCATGAACATCTTCGAACGCGGACTTTGCGTGTTGCAATGTCGATACATACATGCGGTCGTCTTCGGAGCCCCATTTGCCCCCACGCAACCTTACCTACAGGCCATGCCGCTGGGGAAAGTCGATGCAGTGTACCATGGGCCAACGACCTTCATGCCGTCAACACAGGATCCATACGTTGATGCAAAGAAGATGGATATTTTCCACGAGATTGAAAATCATTCCTACGCACACGTCAATGCTGCGGAGATCGTGGGCCGGATCATGAAAGGCAGAGAAGCTTTCGAAGAACGACAAAGGAGGAAAGGTGAAAAAGCGGTTGGCGAAGAGGCTGTGAGGCAGAGAGAGATCCTTGAACAACAACAAGCTGTAGTAGAAGCGGAACGAAGAAGTGCCATGAGCTGATGTGATAGCGTTGAGTGTTTCGAATCATGTTATCATGTTTCTTGAGCGCTCGAGACTGTACATAATTTTAACTCAAGTCATCAAACTCAAACGAAGTTTCGGTTAGGGTAGCTGTGAGAAATGTTAGCAAGGTCGAGCAACAACTCGCAAGCCAGTGTAAACATACTGGTCTTCATAAGCCCTTTGACCAATCTCATATTTCACATGTGACTTTTGGCCAAACGACGGTGGCATAGGCGGTAGACCATTCTCTCCTAAGATCGCTGTTGCTTTCTCCGATTCGAAATAAGTAGCCAACCCTTTCTCGCTCTCTTGCTTGACAGCCACCAGTTGCTTCTGCCCTTCCTCTCCAGCTAGCAGTTTCGGACTGGGATTGGCAGCATTTCCCATCGTCAACAGACCAACGGCGTCTGCCTGTGTAACCGTGCTGGATTTTGGATAGGCCCTTCGCATATCCCTCTTCCAGTATGGGTTGTCTGCAATATCTGCTGCAGGCGTAGTCACAGCTTCGTCGTAAGACAGGGGATCGAGGCCACCCGGGGGAGGATTGCGGAAGTGTTTGACTGGGATACCATTGCTTCGATCGGGGTCTACAGCGAAGAATCTGCGTATTCTTTCGTAAATGCCGTGGCTTTGCTGTGTATATTTCTGACAGAGTGAGTAACAGACGGCGAATGGCATTGGGATGATGGGTACCTTCGCGACGCCGACGACATCTTTGATCGGTTTGGTAGCAGCCATTTGGCCGCAAGCAGCAGTGTCGCCTATCGGGTTGCTTCTTTGAGAGAGCCGGAGCCGATTTAGAAGGTCGCACAGATGCGCGAATATCAGTTCGACTTAGTTGTGGTCGTCGTTCAATGTGAAGAGCGCAGTTGAGGTCGAGCTACGGGATTGGTTCTGAAATCGACGGGGCCAATCACGTGTCACCTATTTTCCCGCAGATTATTCGGACATCTAAACATTTCACGTCCTCTTCCAATGGCCTTGTCCCCTTCACTTTCGAAAGACTGCCTGAATACCAGATCACTCACGCAACTTTGTATATGTACCTTCAACACGACTGTTATGCTCTTAAGGACTGAGTGCAGCATCGGCATCCTGAGGCCCAGGGGCCCAAAGTGCGAGCAACGCCGAGACGTCTGGAGAAGTCAAGTCACTGCACAATGCCCCAGGAAAGAGCGTAAAATCTGTGATGGATATGTGTCTCCATGACCGCAGTGTATGTGTGCTAAAAAGGACCTGTAATAAGGACCTGGATCTCGGTTCACTTGGCCTGTCAAGTGGCCTGCGATCGACTGTACGAGAGCAGGTCCGAATTGAGAACGTATGCTGCGATGCTACCATCGTCTTGAGCGGAGTTGGCATGCTAGCGAGGGACTTTGTGGGGTATTTGTAGGACTCTTGACCGTGGGAGTCCAAGCGGGCTGAGCCTTCTGTGAAGATGACTGACTTAGCACCAAGAGTCGAAGTTGAACGTGTTAGAAGTTCGAGGCATCGGGTCTTTTTACCGACTGCAGTCTGCTTCGTGCAAAGGTAAAGCCTTATATCAATGCTACCTTTGCTTGAACCTCTACCTCCAGCCGGCACCAAGCATAACAACGATTGCTGGTCAGCGACATGTGGCCAAGTAAGTGCGTCCTCCTTACACATTACGTTTGCGTGAGAGGCTTGGAAGGACTGCAGGTGCTGGACAACGATGGCGGACATCACCGTCAATGTTCAGCCTTGCGGAAGAGTCCGCTAGGCTAGTGATGGAGCAGAGGCAGCATGCCTCACTTGACTTACACTCTAGGTCCAGCGAATCCTTATTCATTCAGGAAATTCTGGCAAGTCTGAAGTTGCGCACATTACTGCTCAGATCTCGTGTCGTACTCACATTAAAATACTCACCTGCATTGTCAAGCGGCGGCCCCTAACATTCATCATGCCCAAGTTCGAGCCGGTGCCGAGTTCTTTTGGCAACCTGAAGGACAAAGTGGTGGTGCTTACAGGTAAGCTGGACCTCGCCCATGGGTCTCTCACTTTGTTTGCTAACGGTGGCTGCCTTTTCCCATTAGGCGGCGCTCACGGAGTCGGAGAGTCTGTCATACGCTACCTTTACGGTGTCGGGGCACATGTGTTCTTCGGAGATATCGATGACAAGGCCTGTCAAACTCTTGTCGACGACTTAAAGGCTGGCAAGACCTCGTCAACAAGTCTTCAATACATCCCTCTCGATGTTCGCAAATACGAGGACAACCTTGCTTTGTTCAAGTTGGCCTACGAGAAGCATGGTCGCATTGATCACGCTTTCTCGATAGCAGGCGTGACCGAGCGGCAGAATTGGTTTGAAGCGAGTCTGGATCTCAAGACCGTGGAGACTCCTCCGTCAACGCTGGTGCTCGATGTTAACCTTACCGGCCTCTGTTACTTCGCTCGCATTGCCACGGTTTACCTTCGGCAGGGTAATGACGATCATTCCCAGGACAAATCCATCTGCTTACTCGGTTCAATCGCGTCGTTCAAGGAACAAGCCGGCCTGTTCATCTATCAACCCAGCAAACACGGCGTGATAGGTCTGATGAGGTCCACCCGGAAATTGCTTTACCATGAGTACGGCATCAGGATCAACACTATTTGTCCTTCCCTCATCAACACGGGCATGGCCTCCCACATCCATAGTCTTTGGCTAGGGAAAGGTCTACCAGTCAACGAAGCTGATGAGGTCGCGCAGTATGTCCTGACTCTAACCAGCATTCCCCAAAGTCCCTTTGGAAACATGACAGGGTTGGCAGTCTATGTCGAAGGAGGCAAAGGTTGGGAGTTCGAGAACGACCTGTACAGGACAGATTCCGACTGGCTGGGCGAGGAGAATAGCAAGAATACTGCGAGGATTGATGAGGCACTTGGGATCGGCTTGTCCTGGACTGCAAGCAAATAGATACTTCTGTTAACGGTACTGTCGATGCCATTGCCGTTCGCGGCCCTTCTCGGAGAGGTTGTGCAGCATACTGCAATCCAGAAGGATGACATCTTCCACAGCCTTGCATAAGAGCGCCAAAAAAGCATGTTAAGGAAAATACTGCGTGGCATGCGCGACACCGGGCGATGGAGTACTGCACATCGAAACGCACGTGGATTCGAGAGATAGGCGGCTCCTTGGCCAGGGCCCGAGATTCAAAGTGGCTTCCTCATGACTGAAGCATTTTGCCAATCAAACTGTCCAACTTGATCCTGGTCAGAAAGTCCGTAAGGCGGTCGGCGATCACCGCTGTGGACACCCACTCGCCTAAGGCCCTTATCTGACTTCAAGCCACTCTTTAAACCAAGAGTCCTTACGGTTTGTCACTCACCCTGATAAGCGGTACCAACAGTCACTGTTACTTCATGGAGGCTGCCGCTGGATTGAATATCCTGACACATGCAGGAGAGGTCCCACTGATATCAAGACTCCGGGGTCTGAGCGACTGAGAGCATGGAAGTCAAAATGAGTTGGTCCACTGGCCCAAGGACTTTTGCACGACAAATTACTGCACACATCGTTATGATTACGCACCACGAGAAGCGAACGGTGCGCTTGCATGAGTGTACTCGGTTGATCATGAGGGTAATCAATACTTGGGGGAAGTAAGCCATCTGTGGCAGTCAAATGCTGCTGTGCTTCTACAGTGAAAGGTCTAACAATTGTCCCCTTCCCTCGTATCAGGGTCTCATCAATTGACGACACCATAACGCAGCGTCCATCTCGATCTGGACTGGGCTTGACGGACGGCAAGGTATACGAAGTGCCGTAGCCTGTAGGGATGCAGGATCTCGGAAGATCTGCTTTCATTTCCCAACGCAAGCCCTATTTCGACCAGGCCTAGGTCTATCTTGGCAAGAGTTCCCTTATCTCTGGGCACGGTCTGTGGTCCAGATCACAGACGGCAACTTCGCGCGGAGTAGCCCGGACTATACAGGGCTGCTTTCCTTCTGGCAGGGTCCTGCATTTCTATATATTGGGCTGATCCTGTCATGGTCATGGTCTGCGTTCGTCTTCCCGATCTTGTTCCATCCCCCGCCTTCACACATCGACCCTGAACATAGTCACAATGACTACCGAGTACGAGAAAAAGGAGCTTGAGCTCACGGTCGACGCTGCTGGCGACCGGCAGGCTGGACAACTGAACGATAAGTCATTTCTGTTCAAGACGCGAGCATGGATTCGCAAAATAGGCGCAGAGGAGATTGGTATTGAACGGATCCCAGAAGAGATGCGCACGAACCAAAACCCTCGCGACCTGTTCACCATCTTCTTCAGCGCCAACTGCAATGCGCCAACACTGGCCTTGGGCTTCTTGGGCCCTACCCTTTTCGGCCTCGGGTTCTGGGATTCGTTCTGCTGCCTTCTCTTCTTCAACCTCTTCGGCGCTCTATTCCCGGCAATGGTCGCATGCTTTGGCCCCAAATTGGGGTTGCGTACCATGATCATCCCACGATACAGCTTCGGCTGGTGGCCCGCCAAAATTCTTGCCATCCTCAACTGCATCAATCAGATCGGCTGGGCCATGGTCAACGCCATCTCCGGAGCGTCAGTCCTTTACGATGTTGGCAACGGCAAACTCCCATTGACCGTGTGCGTACTGATCATCGGTCTTCTCGCGGTCGTCCTGAGTCTTTTCGGTTACAAAGTTCTGCATCTCTACGACAGATACTCCTGGATCGTTATCCTGATCTGCTTCATCATCCTCGCCGGCTTTGGTGGCAGCCACTTCGTCAACCTCCCCATGGGCTCCGGGTCCCTCGAGGCCTCCAACGTCATGTCCTTCAGCACCTCCATTATTGGATTCGAGATCGCTTGGCTGCCCGTTGCTGCCGATTACGGTGTCTATATGCGCGATACCACTCCAGACCGCAAGTCCTTCGGCTGGGCCTATGCCGGATTCCTCACCAGCCAGCTGTTCGTTGAAGTGCTCGGTGCGGCCATCGGCACTCTCTACTTGAGTTCCGACACATACTTTACGGACGCCTACGATGACCGTGGTATCGGTGGTCTCATCGGCGCTTGCTTCGGCGTGTACGGCAGTGGTGCCCGCGGCTTCGGCAAATTCATCGAGGTCCTGATCGCTCTGTCTTGCGTTGCCGTCATCACGACAAACATCTACTCCCTTGGCTTGAGCGTGCAGATGGTCACCCGCAAGCTAATCATTGTCCCGCGTTTCGTGTGGTCGTTGCTCGGCGCCGTCATCTTCCTTGCCGCCGCCATCGCCGGCCGCGACCATCTCGAAGAGGCTATGTCCGACTTCCTGCTCATCTGCGCGTACTGGATCGTTCCCTTCGCCACCATCCTGCTGCTCGAGCATTTCATTTGGAGGCGCGGATACCAGTACGACCTCACCGCTTGGAATGACAGCACCAAGCTGCCGCTTGGCATTGCCGCCTCGGTTGCCTGGATCGTTGGCACCGTTCTCTCCTTGCTTTGCATGAGTCAAACGTGGTGGGTCGGCCCTATTGCGGCAGGCATCGGTGGCAGCCCTTATGGCACCGACATCAGCTGGATCTTGGGCTTTGTTGTAACGGCCGTTGTGTATGTCCCTCTTCGCATGTGGGAGCAGAAAAAGTGGCACCGCTATTAGATGAGTGTGGTTGCCGAAATGTACAAGATGTCAGATCGAGTCGATGGCTGATTGTCCAGGGTGGGACACTGTTTTTCGAGAGTCGAGAAGAGGTATACCTCGGTTTTACTGCTACAGTAATGATTATACCCCCTCCAAAATTAAAAGTCGAACCTTTCCTCGAAAACAACCTTCCACTCCCTCTTTCTACTGTGGCTCATTGCGCACTGGCTTCCTATAACGTGGAAGTTATTCAGCCGAGTCTATTGCCCTTGACGCCTTTGATCGTGCCGTGAGAGATCAGTAACCCAGTCAGACAATACCATACTCTTTCGTCGGTCAATTACACGGTGACACGGCTCTATGGCTGCTTCGCCAGTACCTCATCACTAGGCACAGGCGGATAATCGACCTCATCAAGATAAAAGCTCAGATCTCCCCTCTCCTTATCAGCGATCGTCCAACCATTGCCCAGCCACTCAAGCGGGTCGTGCCCATCCAAGCTCTCATATTCGTAATCCTCCCACCTGGGATTCTCGAGTGTCGCCCTCGCATGTAGACTGCTTCCCGGCCACAGTCCCGTGATCTTCCCGTTGACTTTATACCAGCTCGTGCAGTCGTCTACGTGCACCGTAAGTGGGAAGTACTTCTCTAGATAGCCGTTCCAGGACGTCAGCGCCGACTTCTTGACCTCCATGGCCTTGAGATGCTCACGGCTGATCTTTTGCACAGCCTTGACGACGTAGCCGATCAGAGACTCGAAGATGATCAACAGCGAACCACCACCGGTAGCTGAATTGGGGCCGCCGACAAAGAAGTAGTTTGGAAATCCGGGGACCGAATGCGACATGTAGGCTGACGCATGGTCAGACCATACGTCGCTGACTTGGAGACCGTCGCGGCCAGTGATGGGGAAATGGGGCATAAAACTGGTGTCGAAGCCGGTGGCGCAGGCGATGGCGTCGACTTCGTATTCCTTGCCGTCGGATGTAAGGACAGAACTCTTCGTGACTTTTGTCACAGGCGTCTTGATGAATGAGACGTTGTCCTTGGTCAAAGCCTCAAGGTATCCGGGACCAGGCGTGAGTCTTCGGCAACCTGGAACGAAACGAGGCTTGAGTGCTTCAAATATCTCCGGCTTTAAGGCAAGCTTGTTTTTCATATTTGACATGATGGCCTCTGTACCGGCGACTTCTTCCGGTGAGCCTGGGAAAAGACACGGGTAGTCCATGTTGATGTACCTCTCGACACCCTTTCTGAACTTTTTGTAATACTTGGGATCTTCGGCGAATTTGTGGAGTTCCTCTGCTGTATAGGTATAGTTGCCAGGCTCATCGGTCTGTGCGAGCGTCGCTTCTGTGAAACTTGAGCCGAAAGGCTGGCTGATCCATGTACCACCGCGGGCGAAATTGTATACTGCAGAGGACTTTGCTTGCAGCTTAGGCAAGATTTGGATAGCCGATGATCCACAACCTATCAATGCAACCTTCTTGTCGGTCCAATCCCTGCTTCATCAGTGACGAGGTCAATAAAGATTGGTCGGCAAGCGTACCATGAAGTATCCCAGTTTGCTGAATGAAGTAGCTTGCCCTGGAAGTCGTGGAGACCAGGAATCTCGGGCCACTTCCACTTGTTAAGGAGTCCGGTCGCATTGATGACAACTTCGGCCTCGAGTCTGCCATTGACTTTGCCACCTTCAGCGCTGTTGGTCTCTGTGTCCACAGCCCAAGTACCGGCTTGCTCGTCCCAAGTTGCCGCAGTCACTTTGGTGTTCAGACGAACTTTCCGGTCGACCTTGTACTTCTTCGCCACGTGTTTGACATACTCTTGGATTTCAGCACCAGGGGAGAAGTACTTGCTCCATTGAGTGTTGGGCTCGAAGGTGTACTGGTAGACGTGACTTGGAATGTCGCACGCAACACCTGGATAGCGATTCTCGTGCCATGTGCCTCCAATTGAAGGGTTCTTGTCCAGGATGGTGATCTTGATGTTAGGGACGTACTGCAGTAAGCGGATGTATGTGCCGATTCCAGAAACACCTGCACCAATAATTATGGCTCGTATCTCTCGACCCTGGTTGACTGGTCGATCCTGGAATTGAAAATCAGCACCCGCTTGGGGATCTGCCATGATCATGGTCAAAGTCACTCTCAGTGCTAACGAGTTGTAGAACAGAAACAGCTTTTGTGTCTGGCGAGGCTGCAGCAGTAAGTCAACAAACAAAGTCAGGTACGTGGCGATCCGTAACGACTACTGCAATCTTGACGAGGATATACCACCTGGACAAGTTACGGGAGGCTATGGCAAGCCTAGCCAGTGGTCGCCAGCCCGCGAGAACATCCCTGGGCTGCCTCTCTTCGGGACGGCGGCGGCATACCATACGCTCAAGTCCGTGTCTTTTTGATGATGGGGATGGCTTCTAGAATCTGATCCACGTAGAGGAGAAAGCCTCTTCGAATAGGCTTCTTTTGGCCGACCTCTGATTATCAGACGGGGAACGGAGATGTGCGGATGGCGACTCAGGGCATTGTGTCAAGGGTTTTGCGGAGCGTTTGGAGTTCATAATCCGATGTGGAAGGCTAATGACTCTCAACTACCGTCAAATACTCGGTTTTATTACAAAGAGGTAGTCGTGCAGTCGAAAGAGCTTCCTTGGGCCAGAGCCCAGCAAAACCTCGCAAGTGAGTTGAGTCGCCGACATGGAAGACAAGAAAAGAGAAGTGACAAGTGACATGGAGACGAGCACAGGTGCGGTGCTTGCCAAAAGAGTGGCCGCTTTTGCGGTAGGACGTGATGCCGCTTTAACAGGATCGCGTACCTCTACAGTACTCGTGAGTACTCCATTAGGTAGAGAGTACTCGCCGACCATTCCAGCACCCAGCGCCCTGTCGATGACAAAGGACGATTGCGGCAACCGAGTCTTTGGGATCTATGGAGCAGCAAGAAGAGCCATGTCAAAGCGCTGGAGAAATCTCTGAATTGTGCTTTTGAGCACCCAGCATGATCGGTCAATGGCTTATTGCGTATCATGGCCGGAATGAAGTGCGTCGGCAATCACATCCACATTTATCCGTATCTCCAACAGCACGCATCAACAGCATCATGAGCGCACAGTGACATGCCCAGATCAATAAATTTTCTTTGAATAAAGGTTCGTAGTCTTTGCGTGCTCTGCGTTTCGCTTACCTCAAATCTATCACTGCTGTCTTCTTCATTCTCCCCAAGTATCGTGCTCAGCCGTGTCTGCATAAGCGAAGCATAGTGCAAGGCTATCTCTCAGAGCCAGCGAGACAGTCAGTGCTGTGAAGATCCAACCTTTGAAAGGTCTAGACACAAGAAAGCTATCTCAGTGACTACCACCAAAATGTCCGGCAAACCAAAGATCGTACTCCTTGGTGATATCGACCAGTAAGCCAAACCCACCACTGAATACTGCGCCACGCTAACCACACACCAACCCCAGCGCTCACAAGCAATGGGAATCCCTCAGCTCATTAGGCGAGCTGATAAAACCCCAATCTACCAACCGAGCGGACTTCATCAAAGAATGCCGTGAAGGTAAGCTCGACGGCGTGGTCGCCGCCTATCGTACATTCAACTCAATCAGCATAACTGGCCGCATCGACGCCGAGCTATGCAACGCCCTGCCCAAATCCTGGAAATACATGGCCCACTGCGGCGCCGGCTATGACCAGATCGACACCGAGGCCTGTTCCGCACGAGATCCTCCCCTCCTCGTGTCCAACGTGCCCACCGCCCCGGACGATGCGACCGCCGACACCGCGATATTCCTCATGCTCGGCGCACTACGCAACTTCAACACCAGCATTGCCGCACTACGACGCGGCGACTGGCGCGGCAAACCGGCTCCATCCCTCGGCCACGACCCGCAGGGCAAAACTCTTGGTATTCTCGGCATGGGTGGCATTGGACGGAATATGAAGCAAAAGGCAGCCGCGTTTGGCATGACCACCATCTATCACAACAGGCGCGAACTGGACAGCTCTCTAGCCGACGGCGCAGAGTACGTCACCTTCGAAGAACTGCTCAAGCGCAGCGACGTGCTGAGTCTGAATCTCCCTCTCAACCCCAAGACGCGGCACATCATTTCCACGCCGCAGTTCGAACTGATGAAGTCGACCGCCGTCGTGGTCAATACCGCTCGAGGTGCAGTGATCGACGAGGCCGCTCTCGTCGACGCCCTGGACAAGGGTCTCATCGCTGGCGCTGGCCTTGACGTGTTCGAAGAGGAGCCCAAGATCCATCCTGGTCTGGTCGCCAATGAGAAGGTCATTCTTCTGCCTCATATGGGCACATGGACGAAGGAGACGCAGGTACGTTGACCCTGAGCAGGATCTTCTGATCGTTGATTTTGTACTGACCTTGCTGTGTCAACAGGAGAAAATGGAAGAGTGGGTGATCAACAACATCCGCTCCGCACTGGAGGAAGGTCATTTGATGTCACCTGTCCCTGAGCAGAAGGATATCAAATAGAGGGTGCTTGTCATTCCGCCACTGCCATAGCATGATCTGCTAGACATAGACTGTACACTGCTATCCGCGAATGAGACCGGAAACGAGAGGCTCCATAGAGAGGACCATGGCGCAAGGTTGCCTGATTCATATGATGAGGACCTCTGCGTTAATATGATGATCATTCACATGAAGGATCATTATAAGGATCTATCTGGCATCACAGGCGTCAAACCAACCGCTGCAATGCATCCCGGGACCACTGTGCATGCTGTCCGATTTCAATAGACCCTTACCTTTGCTAGTCCAGAAAAGACCCCCGTAACCTCAATATACTCCGAAATCCGTCGGGTCGAAATCCGCGTCCATATCCAAGTCCACATCGCCAATCATACCCATATTCAAATCATCATGAGTCAGATCCACAAGCATATTCTCCTTTCCATTCAAATGGCTTGCGTCGATGTCATTCACCACATCCCGAAGCACAGGGTTTTTATCCAACAGCTGCTGCACATCGCCCACAATCGCGCTTCCGCGCACAATTTTGTCAGGCTTCTTGAACGTGCCTCTCTTCCTTGGACTGCCATTTCCACTACTACCCTGCAAAGGCTGCTTCCTCTTTGCTGTGGCAGGACGGCCGTGCTCGTCATCGGCACGACCGGCCAAACTCCTCTGTGTAGCGCCAGTCATGTTCTCGAACGTATGAGACGCGACGGCGCCGCCAGGCAGATCCAATATCCAACCTTGCTCGCCCATGATTCGTGCCAACCCCTGCAGGATAGGCACTCCACTTGCGCCCAATGTGCTCTTACTGCCTAGAATCAACAGTTTGCTTCGGGCACGGGTCACAGCCACGTTGACTCGTCGCCAATCCTTCAGCAGATCCCCAACATGGCTGTTCTCGTTGCTTCTGACGCAGCTGAGAATCACAATTTCCTTGTCTCGGCCTTGGTATTTGTCTGCGGTATGCATCTCAACTTCACTCGCTGCAATAGACCCTATTGCAGCCTTGACGTCGGATTTGAGAACCGCCAGCTGTGAGCGATAGAATGTAATGACGCCAATGGACCGAGGAGGAACCCCTGAATGGATCAGAGTCGTAACCAGTTGTGCTGTGAGTGTGGCTTCACTGGTATTCGTGACTCGTGCACCGGCAGAGGTCTCGCGGCCAGATCCACATGGGGCGAGGCTGTCGGTATTCAGAAACAAGCAGCGCGACGAAGGTGATATTGCTCGTCGGAGCCAGCAACCAGCATCAGAGACACAAACTGTCTGGGTCGACCCCGGCAGGGAAGATGCTGTGAAGTGATGTGCCCCAAGCCCAGCTTCGATATCGGGGATGTAAAGCATTCGACTGGCAACATCTGCAGTGCCACACTTGATCCGGCCATTGTAGACAAGCTCCTTCGACAGAAGCATGATATCCTCTGCCATCCGATACTGGTGTTCAAGGTTGACCACGGAGTCTGGTTGCGCATCAGACAACAGCTTGAACAAGCTGACGTCCAGGCCACCCTCGAGAGCTTGTCTGTTCTGAACCAGAGGCGGTAATTGATAGTGATCGCCTACGAGGATGAAAGTCCTTGCCATGCGAATGGGACCAAGGCACACCGGCAGCGTAATCTGTGAAGCTTCATCCACGATGCAATAGTCGAATGTTCTGGCATTGAATACTCCATGGTTGACTCCAAGACAGGTGGTTGCGACGACCTTGCTTTCCAACCACGAAGCGTGCAGCTCCTCCATGGTTCGTTTTGGAATGCCTGAAATATGAGCAAACGACTGGATGTCTGGATGCACTTTGTTGACGGCTCCAATTCGCAGGATGGGAATCTTGTCCTCTTTGATCTTCAAAAGAATATTGTCCACCGCTGTATGGGTATACGATGCCAGCAAGACCGACTTGCCTTGCGATACCAGAGCCCGAATGATGTGGGCTATCGTCGTCGTTTTGCCGGTTCCAGGCATGCCCAGCACAAGTGCATAGTCTTTTGCACTCATCACCTTTTCGATGGCTGTTCGCTGGTCGACGTTCAGACTCTGCTGAGAGGCAGGACCTGTCAACGTGTACGCAGTGGATGCAACCTTGAATTCTGGGGCCTTGTTCTCGATAATCAACTCTCGCAGTTCTCGCGCTCGCCAGAGGTCCTTCTCCATGAGACGAATAACGTTGTTGCGGGCAGTGGCCATGCCATTTGCAAACTCATCCTTGTCTATCCGGTAGAGGATTGGAGAGTCGACTTCACAGCCAGGTTGGCTTTCCGGGGCTATGACACCTTTGAAGACTTGATTCTTGGACGGGTCGAATCCTTTCAGCTTTCGTCGTCCATATTGTAAACTTCGGTCCACCGCCACCACGACTCTCGTAGGTCTCACGTTCGTAACAAAGCCTGCAGCGAAGTTGAAGTGGCCTTGCTCATCAGAAATCACGATTGGTTCTCCTGCCGTGATCTGGGACTCAGCGAACGAGAACCCGGGGCGGGGTTTGTGCTTGATAAAAGTGTACTCAAATCGGTTGATCTTGGTACTCTCTGGATTCTCGAAAGCTGATCCTGGTTGTATGATGACTTCTGAAAAGCATCTCCCAACTGATTCACGTTCTGCACCCAACATCGTCCACAGTTCTCGTCTGAACTTCATGGTATCACGCTCCTCTTTAGTGAGCAGATCGTCCCATTTCTTGAAGAATACCTGATGCGCAGGAGACAGATGGTCGACGACCTCATTGAATCTCTCTCCGACACCACTCGTCACTGCATCACCATCTTCGGACAGCTTGTGGTAGATGAAACAGGCAGCTTTGGAGTAGCAGCTTTTGCAGGTATGTTCCTTCTTGATCATGGGCGGTAGTGCCAGCTTGTCGTGCACATAACAAGCCAGCTCATTTCGCTCGATGACCATGTGTCGAATCTCATTTCTGATACCTTCGACACGGAAGGTCTTTGAGGTTTCCAGGTAGTATAGTACGCCACATGTGACATTGATGTCGTATCTGTCGGACAGCAGGAGTGTGTACAATGCTGTTTGAACTCGATGTTGTTCCACATTGTCTCTCTTGCCGGTCTTCAGCTCAAATGGCACAAGCAGCGTTCGAGGTGAAGACTCGTTTGGAAGCTTCATTTGAGCTTGTACTGTCGCATCGATATTACCTTTCAAACCATACATTGGTGACCATATATGTTCTTCAAGCTCCAGCAATTTGTTGATTGTGGTAGGCACAAGTACGCCATGGCGATCCCGAGCGACTGCATCTGGAGATAAAACGTCGCCGACAAAGACACTTGCCCATGCCGTCAGCTCCGGGGTCTTCCCTAGCAGATACTCGGTAGCGTCTTGCAGCTGGACTCCTATCTCATAGAGGGACTCCAAGTAAGATGGGAGTATTTCGGCGATAATGTCCTTGAAAGATTGCATGTCCCATCTGTTGAGACGCATTGCTTGACCAAAGACTTCGTGTAAAATATGACCGTAGACCTGCGGTTGAGTCGCTGCGCCGGTCGCTTTCACTCTGTCTTGCAAGACAGCTCTTCGCATACAGGTGAAGGAGTCCCCAACAACTGTGGACGATATTAAGTGGTCCGGGTGAAGAATGATCATGTTCTCGGCATCATTCACGACACACTGACCCGTACGGTCAAATTTCCCAATTATGTGGACGTATGACCCTTTTGTGCATCGAGTGTCGTACCAAGAATCCCGAAGACATACAATGTACAGCATTCCGGTCTTTTCGTCCTTGACCGAGAGCATCTGCGGCTGGTTAGAATATGAACGGGAAATGGCATGGGCGTCGTACTTTTTCAGCTCGTTTGCGCCCGGGTTTGGACTCATACTGGCTCTCGAAGACATCGATAACAAGATAACGTTCGATGGCTCTGTTATCCGTGGTGTTCTATATACACTATCAGCATATGGTACACCAAATGGCAGTCTAACTGGAACGCACAGGTTCTGTGGACCCTACCACTGCTGCTTCTAGCGAGGTCGCATTTGCAATACCTTCCCATAAGTCGTCATCATCGTCAAAAGCGTCTTCGAACTCGTCCAAGGTTTCCAGACGCTTGGGCTGAGCTTCGGAGGGTGGAGTCGACTGCACAGCAAACGATACTTTCTTTGAGGAAGACTTTGGCTGTGAGTCGTATCGTGCAGCAAGATCAAGCATCTCATTCATTAGTTCTTCGTCGTCATCATCATCATCAAACTCGTTGTCGACTTCTGCAGACACCACAGGAGCCTGATGCTGCTGCCCTTCGAGGTCCTCTGCGTCATGAGTATCTTGTTGCACTCCACACTGGGCCATCGGCTGCGGAGACATGGTTCGGCTTCGCGCATGACCCGCAGCACCCCTACTAGATATCTCCTCGCTCTGTCTCACTGCAGTCTCATCTTGCACCAAACCTTGCGCAATTGCATGTTCGATACTTTCGAAAGCTTCCAGATCCAGACCATCGTCACCAAACTCAGAAGAGAAAGAATCTCCTGCTCGGCTCTTGTTGTTCGGTGTGGCGTCTTGTTCATTACCGACATCGTCCGTTTTTGTGTCAGCAGGCGGCTCTGATTGTTCTTTGTTCTGTAGTCTTGTCGGAGATGCTAGCCGCCCTTGTGATCGGCGATCCGGTAGTGGAGAGGAGCTTGATGGACTCTCATCATTCGCAGCCTTCTTCGCCAGGCTTTCCTGGATCTTTTCCAAAAGGAGTCCAACTCGAGTATTGTTGGATAAATCACGACGAAGGATATCTTTCCGAGATGCGGCGAAAAGGTCCTTGGTACGGCCCTGCAATTCTTTGTTTTCAGTCTTTCTCCGCTTTGCTTTCGACGTAGGCCACTCCACTCCACAACTGTGTGTCCTGCGCAGGCCGCTGTCCTTACTGGTGCCGTTTGGAGTCTGAGGAGACGAAGGGAGGAGGTGAGCATAAGCAGGTAAGGCGGATTCTCCCTGGTTGTGTTTCAATGCGTTTGCAGTAGTGTAGCGATTCCAGAGATCTTTTGTGGGGTCATTATTTGGTGTTCGCAGTGACCTGTTCAATGCGTCGAGGTTCATAGCATCCTTTTGGGCGGACAATTGCTGGGAAGAAGCGGGCGAAGAACTCAGAGCACGCTTCCTGCTTCTTTGTGTACCAGCAGCACCTTTTGAACCGGCGGAGCTTTCGGGGTCCCAAAGTACATGATCTTTTGGAGTCGCTAATGGGGGCGCACAGTTAAAAGCGTCTTCGGTGTTTGCAATGAGGTCTTCAAAGGGGATTCGAACAGCAGGTGTGTGAGGGACGTGGTGAGAATTGCCATCTCGAGCATCCTCATTGTGCTCGTTGTCGCTCACTTGCTCTTCGCCGTCGCCAGATTGATTTTCTTTGTCCTCTTGCCCCACGGTCAATTTCTCGTCGAATGCAAATGTCTTCAGCTTCTTCCTTGACTGCGACGAGATGGCGAAAGGAGCGGAAGGCATGTTTTTATTGCCAACCGTGTATGCAAGACATGGCCAGAAAGTGGTAAGGATGAAGAACGATTGACACAGCGGTGGCTGATCTGTGTGTTTACACGGTGCGGTCTGCAGTTAGGTCGACTCGGTTAATCATCGATTGGGGCTGGAGCGACGCAAACGCGTTCGAGAAGGAACGCGTTCCAAGAGCGCGTCCACGTGATCTGATTACGAGTACGACGTCATTGTCGAATGCTCCTGAAAATACGGATACCTAGGTACGAAAGTACACAGCCTCAAATCTGTCAAGAGCAACTCGAGCAGCAAACATTCACTCTACTAGACTACACGTTTTCTCAACTTACAGACGACATGTCCTGTATGTCTTCCGTCGAACGACATTACTAGATACCAGTCAAGCCGTTCCGAGTTCATACAACGGCCTTGATAGTCGAATATGAATCGACTCTCGCTGCATCAATCGTCGTTGTTGTCCTGGAGAAGACCGCACACATTGACAAAACCTCCCGCATCCTTATGGCAGAGGCATGACAGCCTACGTGGGACTTTGACCTATCATGAAGCCCTGACCCTCCCAGATCTCAAGTCGTAATTTTACCGATATTCCAGCGTCAGCAACTTTGGCTGGGTGCATCTGGCACCAATATGTCTTACTCAGCACCTCAGTCTCCCGCCCAGTACCGTGACAGAGATGCTGACTCCAACGCTTCGCCAGCTCGGCCTTCGAAGCTACTGCGGCTTTGGCAGTTAAGCACGGAAAGGGCGTCGTCATTGCCGCCGCGGCGACTGAATTCTCCGGTCAAGAACGCTCCGCAAACCCGACCCCGTCTGCAGGAGTACTATACTTTCGACCACGCAGTGTCACTTTTCAAGTCATCAAAGAACATTGTTGTCCTCACAGGAGCTGGAATCTCGACTTCTCTGGGTGTCCCGGACTTCCGCTCCCAGAATGGGGTTTACAATCTTCTTACGGATTCGATCTACGATGACCCCCAGGAGCTTTTTCACATCGCAAATTTCAAGACAGATCCAGGCGAATTCTTCAAGCAGGCAGCGAAGGTCTTTCCTAGGATGCAAGGCCTTGTGCCAGTCAATGATGACAAGAAGAGTACCAAATCAACTGATGTTCCTCTTGTCCCGAGATATAGCGCCACACACGCGTTTCTTGCCCTGCTGCAATCAAAGGGGAAGTTGTTGACGATATATACCCAAAACATAGACGGACTTGAAGTCGCTGCTGGTCTACCCCTATCAAAAGTCATTCAATGTCACGGTACTTTAGCAACTGCCACCTGCATGAGCTGCGGGAAAAGGACTACGGCGCGGAAATACATGCCGCACGTCCGAGCTGGCAAAATTCCATTCTGTAAATGCTCCCTGGATCCGGACGTCAGGGATTCAAAGCAGCGTGGGCGAAGTGGGAAAAAGAAGCGCAAGCGGGATGACTACGAGGACACGGATGAAGAGGACGGAGAGAGCCAGAGTCAGTTTCCGAAGGGCCTAATGAAGCCAGACATGACTTTCTTTGGCGAGCCCATCTCTCAAGCCTACGAACCGCGACTGGAGGACGACAAGACAAAGGTGGATCTGCTTGTTATCATCGGCACCTCCCTCAAAGTCGAGCCTGTGAATGATATGCCTCTAATCATACCACCTAAAGTGCCACAGATATGGATCAGCAAAGACCGCTGCACACGTGACGGCGTCAAAGTAGACATTGAGCTCTTGGGAGAGTGTGACCTTATCCTCGAGGAGATTGCTCGACGAGCAGGATGGTCCACTGTGCTGCAGGAGCGACTGTGGGAAAATCGAAATACGGATGATACACAAATACCGATGGAAAAACCTAAGAAGTCTTCCGCAGCTAAGGCAAAGGAGAATCTCGAACTGCGCCCGAAGCAGCACAAGTCAACCGAACAGATGGTCCCGCCCCAGAATGGCGCCATCATAAAAACGGATGACAAGGTCTCTGACCAGGCTGTATCCCCACCTGAGAAGCACGCAGTCAGGACAGAGTCAAAGAAGATTGCTGCACATAACGGGCCATCAGACGCAGCAGAATCACGATCTGAAGCGAAATCCAACGGCACTAAACTTCCGCCTTCCAAGATTACGATCGAGCTTGAAGCAGGGCAAAGGTCGAGATGGTATGTCAGACGAGCAAAATGATGTCCCTCGGGTCGGGAGCTATTGTTACGCATTATGTTGCCTGTGCATTAATATATTAGGTATCAGGATCGGTCTGTTGGAACACGCCTGGGACGCTTTGAGGAGTCAACGCCTTCGTTATCCACACTTGTTCTCATTCGACATCATTCAAGTCGAGGTGGACTGGGTCTGTTGGGCAAAAACGGTATCATTCTTTCTTCTTAGGCATGGCCTACTCGTTTGTACGATTGTCGTGGATTCTAGCATTTTGGAATCCCGCACAACGCATGTGGGTGCCGAATGGCAAGGTCATAACCTTTGGATAGGGCTATTATCGAGAAAAGTGAGCTTCTTGACTGAAAGCTGACTCCCTGTACGAAATGAAAAATGTTCGCGTTTCTGACTCTGCATCTCTCTCGTTCTTGCAGCTTCGAATCTAGAGCAGCAATGCCAGAGGTTAAGCCTATGACTCGAATAGATCCTCCTGCCAAAATTCCGACCCAGTCTATTGCTGTGTTACCTCCCGCTTCTCGGACCCCTTTCGGAAACTCAGAGTGATGACCATAAAGGTTGAGCCTTGTCCTGTCGATGCTGAGGTGATCCATGATACCGACTCTGAAACAAGACAAAGTCTAACACGGGAGTCACTTTGTCTGTCGCATGAGAGGAGAACAGGCCCCCTAGCATCAAAGGAAGGCCGTCGATCTCCACATAGCCTCGTCGTTTCTCGTCTAGACGATTGGCTGAGCACCCAACGTTCTAAAATAGTCCATGACAGTGGTGTACACCACCAGCAGCACACCACCACCCGGACCCAATCTCAGCACCTTAGGCAAGAACCCCTTGTACAGCGCGGCAAAGCCCTCCTCCTTCATCATCGTGCCCAATCCGGGCCAAGCCCAATTATACTTGGCCACCGAGCCCGCTATCTTAGGCGAATTCTGGATCCGCGACTTGACCACATCCATCGGGGTGTTGAGTATCGTGCCGACGGTACCACCAATGGCTCCCGATGTGAAATCCGTAGCCATAGCCTTGACCTTATCCTTCTTGTCGACCGCCGGCATAAGCGCCTTGACCTGGAAAATACAACCGAAATATCCCGCGTTCCACAGAATATGTCTCCAAAGTGTGGACTCGAGGCCGTTGTACAGCGCCAGGGGACCCTCAGACTTCACAATCTTGACCACACAGTCGGCTATGCCGTTGTATTTGCCCGCGCTTGCGCGATCTTGTAATCTGATCTTGACCAGCTCGAAGGGAACCACGACAAAGGCTTCGGTCGCGCCGGCGGTGGCGCCCGTCAGGATCGCGAGAGGTTGCGTCGGTTTCTCGACGTTGAAGAGCTTGCGATAGAACACGCCCCAGGAGTCGTTGGCCGCGAATTTGGTCGCTCGTTTGGGCGCTTCCATCATGATCGGCGCGCCGATGCCGCGGTACAGTCTGGAGGGTCCTTCGTTCTTGATGATCTTCCTGAAACAGTCGCCCATGCCGGTGTAGTAGTCTTGACCTGGGACAGGTTTGCCTTGGAGTTGTCTGCATCACCACAGCCAGATTAGTCGAGATCCGAGGGCAGGGACGAGGTAGATGGGTAAGTACTGACACTCTCGTCTTGACCACGTCTAGAGGATACCTGTGAATCAGGAATGCATTAGTAAAGACAGCATCTCATGTCGTCGCAGGACACCTGTGCGCAGCGTAGCTCACATTATCAGAATCTAGGTGCCGCGTGTTAGCTTGGTCCACAGGTCCGGCGCACTTTGGGTCTCACTTACTTCAGACACACCGGCGATAGCGCCGGCGGCGAACTGGTAGCCGAAGCCCAAAGGTTTCTCCGTCGTCATCTTGGTGAGAGTGCAGAGGTCGAGGTCGAGGTCGTGTGCAGTGTGTTGCGTGCTCTATGCTACGTGCCCAAAAGCAAGGCTGCGGTCTATCGAGCGAGCAAGCTACAGTAGACTGAACGTCCAGCAACAAATAAGGGTGACTGTTCTAAAAGAGACTTGAAGGACGACACTCCACACTCAGAGTAATAAAGATAGGGACAAAATATCTCTTTTCTCCAAAAAAGCACAAAGAGAGAAAGTAGGAAACAATTATTTGACGAGAGATTCCAACGGAACGACATCGGCGGACTTGTCCCGAACAGCTGTGATAAGTAAGCTCTCCGTGGCTCTCGTAGGGCGCGGTCTCGGATTCGAGGTCGCGAAGGGTGGAGAAAGGTTGAAAATCATGGGGTTCTCCAACTGCCAGTCACCAAAACCCAAAGACTTCTCCAAGGCAGTATATCATTGGATTCGTACGGAGGGAGTATCATGAAACCAAGATGGCCTCCTACTTGTACTCAATGGTTTCTCAACAGCAATCTAAGACTCATTAACCTTGATATTGTCTCTACCTACAATACAGTCCCAACATGAGGGGGTAGAACTCTGCAAGCACTCAATGATATGGAAGAGAAAAAAACCGTCGACAAAACGAAGGGGTATCAAAGCCGAACGTGAAGGATAAGCATGCATCCTGAAATCCCACGCCCCAAACGCCGCATAACCAGGGGAACCTTCAAAAGACAGACCAGGTTTCGGAGAAAAGTGTCCCATCATCATATCCTCTCAGCATTCATCGCCTCTGTATCATGCATTTCGACCGCTCCAAGGACTGTGACTCGCCGTGTTGTATATTGTTGTTTCCCATCAGCTCCTTGAACTCTCTGTTGTGATAGCTGGCAACATCGTATAAGCTTAACCGTCTGCACATCTCTCCATTAGTTCATCTCCATAAATTCGTCTTCCTCTTTGAAGCTAATGCCCCCATGTCCGGCGCTGTGCCAGTACTGAGGTTGTCCCTGGCCATTACTTCCGCTTTGAGTACCACTGCCGCCGCTGTGGAAGCCTGGACTGAGCTCAAAATTGCTCTGCGGACTCAGACTGGGGTTCTGGACCCTGTCGCCTGCCAGGTTCGTGTGTCGAGGAACACGGAGCCCACTGCCATCCGTCCTCGTATATGAGAAAGAAGTCACGTCATTCTTCTCAATAGCGTCCACGACTTCGGACCGCATCCGTTTTTCATCATCAGTGATTTGGAATGGCCATGTGCCACCTAGAGAGGTGATGTATTGCGCCAGTTCATCTTCTTGCTGATATTTGAGATGAAGAGCCCACATCAGGTCCCTTGTCCAGCTCACTGAGCCGTTGAGAATGTCACCCTTGTTGGGTCCTTTCTCCTTTTCTTCGATGGGCAACCCAATCGTGATGTTACCTGCCGTGCTCGCAGCGCGCCGTCCCGCGGCGATTGCCAACAACGACGTGTTCGTGCTGTTAGCATTCGGAGGACTCATGCTGGTTGCACCCATTGAGGGTGACATGGGGGTATTGCTTTGCAGCTGCTTCTTGACCTTGTCATCGTCCAAGCGATGCTGTGGCACCAAATGTGACAGATCCTGTATGCGCTCGTTGATGTTGTCCCGTCGCCGCCGTTCAACAGCATTGTGAGATGCTCGTCTTCGACGCTTCTTATCCTCAGCGGAATTTGCGTTGGGCATCCCATTCTCGACCTTTGCCGGCAATGACGCGTGCTGACCAGAACCAATGGTCTCTGAGATACCAGCGTGGTGCATGCCTGTACCAGGTGACGATAAGGGAGAATCCAAGAATGAGTGGAGACTTCCAGGCGTGCTGTCATATTGACCCGACAACGTCTTAGCATGCCGATTTTGAAGATTGGGTGCTCTGATGGGTCGTCCGTTGGTCACATTGCCGCCTTCCGGAGTTCCAATGTGCAAGCCTGCCATGGCTGCCGTGCGTGGTGTCATCGGAGTCCGTTGTTGGTCCGACGACTTCCTGTTTGCCGACTGGATGCTAGGACGCTTGGCAAACTGGGAGCCTTGTAGAGGCGACATGTGCTGTGGTAGCGAATTCATGGGTCGGAACTGGTTGTAATCAAATGTGCCCAGAAAAGGACTCTGAATGGGAGGTCCGTCAGGTGTACTGGAGTAGATGTTGGACATGCGGTTTTGTTGATTCATGGAAACAGCACCAGAGTTTCTGTTATTGTTGTTGTGTTGAGGCAAGGTGGTGAAGTCATCAAGCATGGCCGGGCCATTATTGCTAAAGTCGAGACTCTCCAGCAGCTCGCTATCATCATAGCCAGAATTGCCCATGCTGAAACTTGACGACATATTGTTGCCGCCGAAGTTATAAGGCATCCCCCCAAAGTTGTTGTTCTGCATAGACAATTCAGAGGGGTCTATGCTCCCACCATCTTGGGTGTTGAATTGAGTACCGAAATTTTGCGCATTGCCATAGGTGGAGGCGGACATGAACCGGTTTGGGTTGTTGCCGAAGTCATCCGGCTCGCTTTTGATGAAGGGCATGGCTCCCGAGGAATGACTCATAGTCTGGGATGAAAGGGCGGAAGCTCCTAGATGAGATGAATGTGTGGTGTAGTGGTGGCGTTGTATAGGAATATGATTTGCACTGAACGAGGCTGGGTACTATACGGCCATGTCCATCGCAAGGCTTTCTGATCGGGTGCGCGCTCGTGGGGGAAACGTGGCCGGATGTAATGCCGGGTCTGTGATCAAGCTGACTGTAAGGGAGTCTGAAGCAGTGTTGACGAGCTTCTCAGACCGAGGCGTTGATCATGTGTGACGTTGAGCTCCGTCAATTAGATTGTAAGGCTGACTGCAGAATGCACTGTAAGCAGTGACACGCTCGTTCGGCCTGATTCCGTCCTCTAGTCGTAAAGGCGAGGTATGGTATATAATCGACTGGTCTGAGGCGTGATCCTTATACACAGGTTGACTCGAACTAGTCGCGCAGTTGTGCGCTCGATCGTACACAGTGGGTGTGAGATATGACTTCACTCCGATTGATGGTGTGCCGCCTTGGGCCGCCTCTTCAATCACTTCTCGCAAACTCTGACACTCAGGCCCGATAGAACGCAAGTGACTGTAAGTCCAGCAAGGTAGATAATGCGCTCAGCGTGGGATGATGGTCGTGGAGGACGGATTGGCGGATGTTGTTGACGCACACCGACAATTCGACACGCGGGAATGTGGTTCGGAGGTGGGAGGAGGGGCTCGGTCAAGAGGTCGAGGGGCGATGCGGTTTTGGACGGGAGGCGAGCTGTAGCTTGGGTGGGTATGCTCAATTGGCGAGAGGAACTTTGTTTGTGGCAGGAAGGGACACAGTGTTCGGTGAGCTTGCGGCCTTGTAGAGGGTGTCAATAGATTGTGGCAGTGACTATGAGAGAGAGTCCGAGGCCGATATTGCCGCTTCGAAAAGGGAGACGCAGACGCACACGCCGCCTTGATTTGAGGCTTGACCTGTAAATGGAAACACTGGCGCCGCCGCCAATTGGAACTCAACCTCGACCTCAGGCGATAACTTCGCCTTGGCACGGGGTCCGGGCTTGGCTTGAGGCGTCAACCTCGAGGTGGACAGACAATGATTGGTTTCTTTGTGCTGTTCCGCAATGACAGTTGGTGATGGAGTCCGGGTGGTTAAATGGTGAGCTGCCACGTAACAAAGTATCTTTACATGTAGATCTTCCGGATAAGAGTGGAAGAAATTGATGAACCGCCAATGAGTCAGGTCTTTTGGGAGTGCCAATCCACGAACGAAACGGAGAAGAGCTGTCCTCGCTACGTCCGGCAGGGTCACTAACTTAGGCATGCCCTTTATATACGTGTTATGCAAGGCTATCTGCCGCATATTCCCACAACAGCCCTTCCAAACTGGTTTGCGTCTGCATTCCATCCATTGCTCACTCTATCAGGCGCAGCCCCATGAGCGGCGAGGGTCGGCAAGCCAATCGTTTGGAAATCCGGCATGGCTTGGACCCTTTAGTCGAGCGTATTGGTCTGCCAGAAGGCAGGAGGGCAAGGCGACAGTGAAATGGGAATTTCTAGCTGGAATACATGCTTGCCAAATGCCATAACTGTCTCGGGTGCCAGTACAAGATGGGTCATGTTGGTAAGCTCAGAGCATATTCCGCCCACATAGCCTTGTACCAATACACCCTTCCAACCTATCAATCCCCCACCAGCCTCATGCATGACTTGAATATCAAGTAGTCATGATCCCAGTAGTAGATCATCCGGGATGGGTCAATGCAGGTCAAGTGCTCTTGAGAGATCATTTGTCAAGCCCGAGTATCAGCCACACCTCGATTGCGGTGTGCGCCATCAAGGCCCATGAAGTACGTATTCTTTTTCCGGAATGGCATACGAATTCCTGTCATCACGCGTGTCAAACTGTAGATGCTTCAACTCGCCCCGGACAAGGCTTCAAGCCCTATTGCAACATGATCGGGGTTGTTGAGAGTCTCAGTTTTCGTCGGATCAGTTGTGCAACATTACACGGCATCGATCAGAAGCAACTCCTCAAACACAAGTTCGTCCTTTTGCGTGGTTCAAAGCTCTGGCGGTTGTCTGCATGGTTCATGCAAACGCCACGGCCGCATACCGCGGGGCCTTTGGAACCCCTCCTTTGAGGTGACTGTGGGTGTGGGCATACAGTTCTAGCTGAAAGCTGTCCGAATGGTCCGTACCGATGCCTGCTGCCGTCAGGCTTTCTGGCCGGGTAACGTACAGTCGTCTAGCTACTTAGTGAGGCTTTTTAGCTCCGGACAGGTCCCATGCATCATGCATCTCAGAATGGTGAGTCAGTTCGAATTCGGTCTGATGTTGGATGGAGTGCGCGTGTACGCGCTGTGTCTTGTTCGTGACCAGGGTGATGATGGTCATTATGCAAGTGATATGTACATGAAGGAGTAAGAGAACCGGGCGTGATTGGAGGTCTTTTGCCATTGGCTTTAATCAACCAAGTTTTTAGTCCAACGGTGGCAGGTTTGATCTGCGGCCCGCTTGTCCACATTGGAGAACACCTCAACCTCTTCGAAGCAGCCTGCTCTCCCTGGCACCTCGATCCAAAATTCCTCGCCCATATGCCTGGCCTGTCCACGGTCACCGTCAACTCCTCCGAACATCTCGACCCGTGCACGAAAGAATCCCTTGCTGCCTCTTGAACCTTCGGTGAACCCCGCTCGCAAACGAACCTAGACATCATCCTGCAAGCATCCGGAACACGCTCTACTGCCTCCACCCCCGTCTGGGTCTCTACACAGACGTTCAATGCTCGCACCTCTCAGTTTGCCTGCAACTAGGGTCACCCTTCCGTCCCACTAGCTTCGATCGTCTGCAGAGCCCGCGTCGAGACCTGTTAAACCACAAGCAGCATACCTGATTCTGCAAGAAACATTCTTCTAGCCTCCACTTCGACGTCGCTCAGCCTTTGAAAAAGATACAGAGTTTTTGGGCTCTGAGATTTCCTATCAGCCTTGGGGAGCCTCTAGCGCGTACACCAGCCATCTTGGCCTTTGGACGAGAACACTTGAGTCTGATTACAAGTCACTAGACGAGAAGGGAAAGCCTGAAAGGGTAGAGTGACCAGTCAACATGACTTCTTCTGCCTTTCGAGACTCGCTGAATTCCTTGGGTTGGTCGAGAAGAGATCCGGATGTGCCGGCTAATACATCCTCCTCGACTCCCATTCTGTCAACTCTTTCGTCGCTGAACCCTTTTGCACGGGGAGGCTATGTCCAGTTGCCCACACATGAGGCGCCAGGCGCACCCTTACCTGCACCCACGAGGAGAGAAGAAGAGGAGGGGTGGTTTGCTCGTAAGTCCGCGATGCGCACATTGCTACATACCAGCTCGGGAGCTGCCCAAGCCGCGAGCATACTGACTATTCTGTCTCGATAGTGAGTCGATGGGACCGACTACTCATTTTCGGTGGATGCAATGTTGCCGCATTGGCATGTTTTATTATCTGTTTCGCCTTGTTTCCGGTCCTTTCGCTGCGGCCTCGAAAATTCGCTATTCTGTAGGTGTTTCCTACCTTTTCCTTTCTTAGCATGGCTACACACCACTACGATCTAGTCGGAATGGCCATGTGACGGCGCGTAACCCCATGATGATGTCAGCTCTTCTACATCCAGAATGCTGCTCATACCGGGGATGCACCATTGCCCATTGACCTTGGATTGGTTTCCATTTTGGCAACTAAGGGCTTGAAATTGTGCATGTGTCTGGATCGAGATGTATGTGTGGCTGACGCGTCTTGATAGGTGGTCTGTCGGCTCCCTGCTGTTCATCGCATCATGGGCGTTTTTGATGGGCCCATACCAGTATGCCGTGCATCTGATATCTGGGCCCCGATTGCCCTTCACTGCGGCTTACTTTGGCTCCATTGTGATGACCATCTATTTTGCAGTCGGAGTATGTTTTCGAGTCCATTTGACCCCTAGTCACCCCGGTTGCTGACTTATATCTTCAGCTCCACTCGACCATTTTGACACTATTTTCGTCCATCATCCAGCTGGTGGCGTTGTTGTGGTATCTAGTCAGCTACTTCCCAATGGGAAGCACCGGTCTGCGATTTGCGGCCCGGGTAGGAGGGAGCCGGGTAACCGCGTGGATGAATGACTGAAAGACTTCAGGCTGATCGCAGACATCTTCAGATACCCCTGAACCCTGTAGATTGCAGGTTGATCCATAGAGGTTCATGCTTGTTATCGCGCCACCCATTCGTCGTGGGATGTGGTATGCGTCGATGTTTCCGAAAAGGGTCACAAGGGTCTCAAGCCTGGCCTTAACAATCACTGCATTCGTCTTCGAACGTCGCGTTCCTCATTGCCAACCCCTCTGACCGCGTCCGTGATCAACTCGCGCAATTCCCTCTGGCCCTCCTCCGTGTTGAAATTCTCCTTGGCAGCGAGCTCTTCTATCCTCCTCCTAAACTCTGGGTCTGGCTCTTGCTCGATGCCGTTAGCCGATGCATTTGCCGCTGTGTCGATATTTATGGTCACATTAGGTGGTGGTGGTGGTGGGATACGTTGTGTCGCATCATTCGGAACAGGACCACTCCGGTTAGAAGCGGCATCGGTGCTTTGATTCTGGTGAGAAAGCGTTTGAAGGTACTCTGCAACGTCCGGGAATTCCTCTTCGGATACGAATTTCTTTGCGGCCGTCATACCTTCGTCGTTCTGTACGCCAACATCAACGTGTAGTTCTTCCACCAGACACTTTGCGGCTTCCACAGTCTCCACAACGAACAAGCAAGTCTCCCCATCTTCATCTTTAAGGTTGATGTCGACCCCAAACTCGTTGATCAGTGATCGCAAAAGGTCGAGGTGATTATAGGATGCGGCAGCATGTAGCAGAGAATAACCATGTGCATCTTGGGCAGAGGCAAGTTCAGGTTTTGCTCGCAGGACGGGCAATAGTCGAGGGTCAGGGTCGGGAGTGACCGCGGCCTGGAGGAACGGGTTTAGGTCAGACATGGCGACGGTGCAGGAATGTCCTGGCCGATCAAAGGCTTTATTTTCGCTGTCGGACTCTGTAGGCAATAGAGTAATATCTTTCAGAGTGGTGAGTGCTTCGATGGTGTGACGCCAATACAGCACTTGGATTGTCGACACTCCACAGCACTGTGCTGTTCGTAGGCCACAAAAAACTGCGGTCCAAATTATTGAGTCATGGCAGGGTCCGCAAGCATTTTATTGGTGGTCAATCTGCAGTGCCTTACCTGACTGGCGAAGGCAAGGCTGACCCGGAGCCCAATCCTTCAATTTTCAACTGAGATAGAGGTGTGCAGTGCGGCCTCGATATAAAATCAGAATTGATCTCACACACTATTGCGACTGGACTGTCAAGGAAGATTGTGAGTCATTGGTACTTGCAGAGGACTCATTGAGAGGAGGAGTGCCTGCGTCGAGTGCAGTGTTCTTGCCATGATTTAATTGTCTTTTGTCCCTCTCTTCAACACTCTCACTTGCACTTTGGCTTTTGATCCCGGACTTTCAACCACACCTTTAGTTGAGCCTTCGAAGTAGTTCTTTGCAAGGTTGAAAGCATCATACTTTACAATTCGGCATCCTGCCCACTCACCCAGCTGCTCCTTTCACCACTGCCCTGTTCAAGACGCCCTTCATCATGGGCCAAGATCCACATCAAATAGCCGAGCTTTGCAACGCGCTTGAAGCCAACAAAGGCAAAGGCCGAGGTGGTGGTGGTGGTGGTAAGAAGGGGTTTTCTTGCAAAAAGACGACCTTTGCCGTTGCAGGCTCAAACATCACCGTCGACTCGTGGCGTTTCAACGATTGGGATTATAAACGAGACGACCTTCCCACCTATGCACGAGGGCTTTTCACCACCAAGAAATCTGACGGCACTCCAGAAATAGCCATTCGTGGGTACGACAAGTTCTTCAATGTCGACGAAGTCCCAAGCACAAAGTGGCACAACATTGGGCATGACACCACCGGTCCCTACGAGCTTAGCGTCAAGGAGAACGGGTGCATCATCTTCATGTCTGGTCTTGAAGACGGTACACTACTAGTCTGCAGTAAGCATTCCACTGGAGCACGTTCCGATGTCGAAGTGAGCCATGCCATGACTGGGGAGAAATGGGTCAAGAGACATCTAGAAAGCGTGGGCAAGACCACAAGAGATCTTGCACGCGCACTGAGAGAGATGAACGTCACCGCTGTTGCTGAGCTTTGCGACGATGATTTCGAGGAACATGTTCTCGAGTACCCTCCAGAGATGGCGGGTCTATACCTCCATGGACTCAACTTCAACCTCCCCGAGTTCGCCACCTTGTCCGGTCCAGAAGTACACGAATTCGCAGACAAGTGGGGTATGAGAAAGGCTCAATACGTAATTATTCAGACCCTGGACGAAGTCAAACAGTTCCTGGCCAAGTGCGCCGAGACAGGATCATGGGAGGGAAGAGATACTGAAGGATTTGTGGTCAGATGCAAGCTGAGAAGTAAGACGGCGTCGCTCTCTCCAGACTGGTTTTTCAAGTACAAGTTCGAAGAACCGTATCTGATGTACCGCCAGTGGCGGGAGTGCACCAAGGCTGTCATCGCTAGAAAGCCACCGAAGTTCAAGAAGCACAAGAAAATCACGGAGGAATATTTACTGTACGCGAGACGTCAATTGGCCAAGGATCCCTCTCTCGGTCAAGCCTACAACCAGAATCATGGCATCATCAAGATGCGGGACGGCTTTCTGGCAGAGATTGGACAGAAAGGATCGGACATCATCGCTCAAGAGAAGGAAGAAGGAGGTGGACATGCAGAAAATGGCCATCAGGTCTCCAATATTGTGCTGGTTCCTATCGCAACTATCGGCTGCGGCAAGACCACGGTTGCGACTGCGCTGGTGAAGCTCTTCGACTTTGGTCACGTCCAGAACGACAACATCGAGGGTAAGAGAGACCGACCTCAGCGATTTGCCTACGCAGTTACCAGCGAAATGTCATCGCACAAGGTTGTCATCGCAGACCGGAACAATCACCAGAAGCGAGAGCGGCAGCAAATCATAGAAGATATCAGCAAGGTGATCCCGGAAGCGCGCTTCGTGGCTCTGCACTATGTCCATGAGCCCAAAGACCGTATGCTGGACGAGATCCGCACAGTCACCCGTCACCGAGTGCTCGAGCGAGGGGATAACCATCAGACTATCCGAGCTGGAAGTAAAAGCCAGGATGAGATCATCTCAATCATGGAAGGTTTTCTCCAGCGATTCCAAGGTTGCGACACCAGCTCACCGCCAGACTCTGATTTTGACGAGGTGATTAACTTGGATGTCTCGGCTTCATCATTAGAGAACCTGGAAACAGTCATCACCCACCTGTACAACGCATATCCAGGACTGCTGCCAGATGAGATGCCTGGAGACAAGGAGATGCAAGAGGCGATAAACTTTGCAATGGGACATGAAGTGACGACCAAGCACGACCTGTCCTTCAACAAACCTGACAAGAAGCACAAGAACCAGAACCAGAATCAAAGCCGGAACTCGAAGACACCGCCACAGGAAAAGTCCTTTAGCCCCGACCAGCTTATTGGTAAACTCGAATACTTTGGTGTACCAGTCTCAGCCACTCAGATTAACTCCATACTTGGCTCGATGTTTGACAAGACGGATGCCGAGGAAGCAAAGATGTATCGGATGCTGAAGCAGTCACGCCGTATACAGGGAGAATTCCACGTCACACTGATACATCGTGCTTCGGCCACGCAACAAGATATGTGGCAGATGTGGCAGATGTATACAGAGACTTTCCGGACGGCCCTGGAGAACAAGAAGCTTACCGACAAGAGTGAGCTGACACCAAGCCTTGGTCCTGCACGCGTCAAGCTGGAGAGACTGGTCTGGGACGATCGTATCATGGCATTTGTAGTTCGACTTTACCCTGCAGAGGGTGGTCCTATGTGGTCCAGCGCCAATGCCATTCCACACATCACGATTGGCACGTCAAGACCGGAGGTGAAGCCAGTGGAAAGCAACCAGCTTCTTGCAAGATGGGAAACCGGCGACACGAGTGGAGGCCCGATCCACGATAAGGAGGTGCCTGGCGGAGTGATCTTGGAGGGAGCAGTCAAACCGGTCTTGCAGCGCAATGCTCTTGGGAAGTAAAGGTCATGCGATGTGGAGGATGAGCGAAAGTGTAGAGGTCGTTCAGCCCAACATCACATGAATGGTCTGGAGGCCCACCACGTCACATCGTGGGAGCTGTACAATAAGTCTAGGGCTGACAAAGGATTCGCAAGCAAGCGTAGAGAAAATCATTCACAGCATAGTGTATGTATACTGTTTTAGTATCAGTCCAAGCGAGCACAGCGTCATGTAACAGACAGCTACCAAGTATTTCATGGACAGTGAATGAATCGCAGTTCCAAAAGAATCTTCCTGAGTGGACGATTCACTGTCACGAGAATTGGTGGTTGCCCGGCAGCCACTTTTAGCACTTTTAGCGAGAGGTCGACAACAACGCCAGCAGGCGCGACGGACGTGCCGCCTCCACTGTGGATGGAATTGTTAGAGAGAGAGACAGCTGCTTCCAATTCATCGCTTCTTTTTCTTTCGACCTTTCTTGTTATTCTCACCACCAACCACTTTACCTTTATTCTCTCTGCTGTGCATCGCGCATCTGAACAACAAGGTCACCCTTAGGAGACATCCATTCATCTTTGCAGTGCTACAATCAGCATTACCTTCTTGTCCATTACCCGTAAACTAGTTGAAACTGCGGGGCGATTTGAAGCTACTCGCGCCTCTCCGAAGAAAAAGACAAAGACGCCCGGTTGCCAAGGACAAAACAACAGTGCCCAGCTCCACTCCCTAACTGTCTGTCGCCCTTCTTAGGCTCTTACTGATTGCACGCCTGCACCCAGTACCATCACAACCAGAAAACCATACCACCATACACAACTATCTTCTGTTGTACTTGTACTTCAGTCCACCCACACACACACACACCCGTACGACACCACATCACACCTTTTCGACGCCCTTTCCAGACGTTCCTCTCTGCACATTCTGGGGAGCTTCGATCTGGTCAATTGGTTCTGGACAACAGTCTCGCGACCCGCGTCTTTCGTCCTACCATATTTGCCATTTCGGCCCTCACTTCACTTCACTTGCACGTTCACGACGCGCCATAGCAACCTCGTGTTTACCTCACAAACCAGCACACTGGGTCTTCACGGGACACTGGAACACGGCATCTCTTTGCAATAAACCCACCAAGCTTGACATTCGCAATCTTGAGCCAACTCCATCTGACACGGTCGAAAGAGCTCGTGCGTCATTCCCCAATCAGATTGAATTCCTTCCACATATCAATGCTAACTCGGTCTGGAACACAGCTACGTGAACTCCTTCTCTACTCGATCAAGCAACCTTCTCGTCCTTTGAATCACTCTTTAACAGTGTTGAACCGCCATAACGGCGTCACTCATCCAAGATGCCTGTCGTGAGTATTCTCCTGCGCCCGCGCCTCCCTTGCACTTTAACACGCGTGCCTGTCAACACGTACTGACCCACTCGCAGTCTCGCACCCGACAGCGAGTAGTTAACAATGAAAACGATGAGAACAACGCTGTCCATTCTACGCGTCTCACACGTGCCAAAGCTGCTGGTCTATCCAATACTGAAGACACCTCAATGGCGAAGAAGCCTCTCCAGACAAAGAAGTCCACAACCACCACGGCGACCGGAACACAGAGAAGACGTGCATTGGGAGACGTGACCAACGCCGCCAAGGGGGTCGAAGTTGTTCAGGAGGGAAAGAAGGCCGTTGCGGGCAAGGTTGGACTACAATCCAAGGCGGCACAACCCACTACTGGTGGTGTCCAGAAGCTGTCGAGAACCAATTCGTCCAGAGCTGCCTTGGGCGTCAAGGACAATAATGTCAAACCTAAAGCTGCCTCAGAGTTGAAGAAGCCTGGCAGTGGCTCGGGCATCCTGGGCAACAAGAGACGGACGACACAGACATCAACCACCACCGCTCCCTCGTCAAAGGATGCCACCCCAGAGGTTGAACAGCCACTCCGAAAGAAGCAGGCCACAGAAGAAGCCGTTGAAGAGGCGGCGCAGAGCGACGACACCTACGATATCGTTGCCGACCTTGATGCAGAAGACATTGACGATCCCTCTATGTGTGCCGAATACGTTCGTGAAATCTTCGACTATTACCGTGCTCTGGAAGATGTTACCGCCCCCAATCCTACCTATATGGATCATCAAGACGACCTGGAATGGAAGATGAGAGGCATTCTCATCGACTGGCTGATTGAGGTTCACACTCGCTTTCGACTATTGCCCGAGACCTTGTTCCTTGCCGTCAACATCGTCGATAGGTTCCTGTCACAGAAGGTCGTCCCTCTTGACAAGCTCCAACTCGTCGGCATCACTGCCATGTTCATCGCCTCCAAGTATGAAGAGGTCCTCTCTCCACACGTTGGCAACTTTGTCCATGTTGCTGATGATGGCTTCACCGTCGACGAAGTCCTCAGTGCGGAGCGTTATACCCTGTCGACCCTCAAGTATGACCTGAGTTATCCCAACCCAATGAACTTCTTGAGACGAATCTCCAAGGCCGATAACTACGACATCCAGACCCGCACCCTCGGAAAGTACTTCATGGAGATCAGTCTCGTCGACCACCGCTTCTTGGAGTACAAACAGAGTCATATTGCTGCCGCCGCAATGTACCTTGCTCGCATGATACTTGAACGTGGTGAATGGGTATGTGTCCGACTTGATGATGCCTAAACATGAACTAATCCTCGCAGGACGCAACCCTGACCAAGTTCGCTGGCTACTCAGAGGACGACATCCTTCCGGTTTTCGACCTCATGGTTGACTATCTTCAAGCACCTGTCGCTCATGAAGCCTTGTTTAAGAAATACGCAAGCAAGAAATTCCTCAAGGGTAAGCTAGTCTCCATTCAATATGTTACTTCAAAGCTTATATTTCATAGCATCAATCATGTCAAGAAAGTGGGCCAAGGACTACGGTGCAACCCACGGAAACGGTGCCTCACTCACCGGCGTCAAGATTGCACAATAGCTGTCACATCCACACCCTTACCTGCTTTGAAGACTGGACGCCCGATAGGTCCTTTTCTGGAAAGCGCCTGCGACATGTTCGACAACACAGCAACTTTTTTAGGGAAGGCCATGTTTCATGTCTTCATCATCCCCTTACGATCGAAAATGATATCCCACATAGAATACCAATCCAGCATCATTATCACCATATCAATAATTCTGTCACCCATCAGCACAGACGGAGCGCTTCGAAGTCGGCGTCATACATTGACTTTGCGAGCTTCAACTTGCTCATTCATGGGAAGCAATCCCACCTACAACCATATCAGGATGATCCTGAATTCTGTGATTGTCAAGCACTGCAACGGCGTTTGGAAAAGCACGAGCTGTGATTTAGCCCAGCTCGCGAATGAAATTTCATGGTTATGGCGAAAGGGCGTCATATGATGGGCGGTTGAAACATTGTCTTCGAGTAAATCCGTTGTTTGAGATCAACATTGAAATGCACATGGCGACAGGCGCAAGGGGAAAAGCATATGCTTGGGACGGGCATGCAGAAGGACAGGAAGCTCCTTGGATCCCGAGCTATGGTATCAATGGCCATCACATGGTTTCGGAGTATTATTGCTTGCAATGATGAGTTATCCTTTGTACTTAGGGAGCCCTTGCTAGTGTGCCTGCTTTTGTATGCTAGTTTTGCCTATCCACTGGCAGCATCACTATGTAGGCTCAAACCTGCCAACCAGATGAGACGAATCTGCGACAGTGAGATCTCGCCGATGCTTTTCTCTACGTCGTTTGTGGCTGATGCGCCGACAGCCGTCTGTGGTTGGCCATTGGGTATAAATAGACTACCCCAAGTCGGACAGACTTAGTTGTCCTGGTATACGCGACTACTGCAAGTGCGTTGCAGGTCAGTCAGTAGACGGACCAGATGTTGCTGGCGGATGGTGGCTGGACAGGTGCCATCGGACAACGACGTTGGGTGACCGTATTTGTCTAGCTGGTGAGGTTCACATAATTGTCTGTACCTGGCGTCATGGGCACCAATGACGACTTCGACGTCCAACCGGATACTGCTTCATGCTGAAATCCTGGTCGTGCATGAGATACTCGTAGCCTCACCAGCAGCTGGAGACTTCTGTTGGGGAATTTGCAACATGCTCTTCGGCAATACTGTCGTTGCGCTTGTGCTTGAAGTAGATTCCCAGGGCGTTCCGGCTCCGTCAGTGGACATCTGCACTTGGAATAGGGTGATCTAGACTTTCCATGCCCCTCGCTTTGAAGCATTCGAAGCGGCGTCCTCGCCGAATGTGCTGGTCCAATCCTCTCTGATGCAGCGCCTCATATCCTCCACGAGGGCCGCGGCTTCTTCGTCGTCCAGGTCCGATCTCATTCCGCGGCCGAAAAGGATCATAGTGCGTTTGTAGCCTGTCGGCTGAGTGTTGGGAGGGTACTGTTTCCGTAAGGAGGTCGAGGTGGAAGATCGTGGTTGGACGTAGCCTGGTGGTGGACGCGGGACGATGTGGAAGTGTACGTGGGGAACGACTTGGGCGGCGCCGGGGCCTGATCTGGCGTCAAGAAGTGCACTGGAGGGTAGAAATGGAAGTTGGACAAGGAGTTCTGGAACTTACCATTGTTCTGAACGATGTTGTAGTCCGCTTCATCGTGTGGGATGTCTGGCATGACCGCCCGGGTCACCGAGCGTGCGATGAGAGGCAGGACCCGGCCGATCTGTTTGCTTATCAGTTTATCTCTAGGGTGTATGCTAGCTGGTGGAGTAGGAAAGGGACCATGCAATACCTCAGCACTCTCATCAGGACTCAGATGGCCCACTTTGACTCGATGCCTCCTGGGCGCGACGAGTACATGGCCTCTTGTCAGGGGCATGATATCTAGAAAAGCGACGACGTGCTCGTTGGAGAACAAGACGAAAGACGGCGGATCGAGTTTCTCTGGATCCAGGTCTGAGTTGTGCTCTGCTGAGAGAGGTGATGTGGGCCCATAGGTCTGTGCTATTATGCAAAAGGGGCAGTCGGGCGAGAAGTCTTGTGCTGAGTGGGTTGGGGTCTCTGGGACGAGCACAGGGCGGTCCGACATTTTGATCAGGGGATGGCAAAGCCGTACAAAGGGTATATGGATAGTATAGAAATAGAAAGAGTCTAGCAGATGATCAAAGAAGAAAGGAGTAGAATGACGAGGACTCGAGTTGTACATTCGGTCCAGATGACGTTGATTGTGAGATATCGCTGCATTACCTAAGCATAGCCGAGGCTGAATCGGCCATGCTTCTGGAATCAAGACCAGGACCACGAAGTAAAACCCCCGTCAGACACACACCTACGTAGACGAGGTTTGTGACGAGGACTCAACGAATGCCACCAGAGCAGAAGTTGTTCAAAGTTTTGTAGGATCCGTTGCTTGGTCGCGGATCCCATCTCTCGGCCGATAGCTGGTTCCTAGCCGGCCGAGACATCGCGCACTAGATAGTCTCCTCGCGGATAGTGGGAGTTTGATACTTATAGCGTCTTGTCAAGAGCGGTTGTCCTCGAGGTAAGAGCGGGGGCTCACGAGATAATAAATAGTATATATAAGGCGTTATGCTATGTAAGCATTTCCACAGATATCCGCTCAACTGTTCGGTTTCCACACTCACCAATGTCTCTGCGCTCCCTTTCTGACCTTCCCGTCTGAGTCTTGACATTCTCACTCTATACCGTCGCCATGGCCTCCGACATCAAAAACATCGTGATCCTCGGAGGTTCGTACGCCGGCGTGTCGACCGCCCATTACCTCCTCAAGCATGTTCTTCCCAAGCTGCCCAACAAGAAAGCATACAAGGTCATTTTAGTGAGCACATCTGATCAGGCAATGTGTCGGCCTGCCTGCCCGCGCGCCATGATATCGGACGATATGTTGCCCCAAGAGAAGCTCTTTGTCAGTATCCCAAAGGCTTTTAAGCAGTATTCTCAAGGCACGTTTCATTTCATCAAGGGTACGGCGACAGAGCTGGACCATACGACTCGCAGTGTCTCCTTGAGCCTTCCCGACGGGGCGACAGAGGGGATCATCTTTCATGCACTGGTCATCGCCACTGGAGCATCCACACCATCTCCCCTGCTCGGTCTGAACCGCGATGTCGAGTACCTCCGCAGCAGTTGGACCGCATTCCGGCAAGCATTGCCATCAGCGAAGAAGATTGTCATTGTTGGAGGCGGCCCTGCTGGTATAGAGACGGCGGGTGAACTTGGCGAATATCTCAACGGTCGCGCTGGCTGGTTCCGGTCGGAAATGGTGCGCCCCAAAGTTGACATCACCGTCGTGACTGCCGGTACCAGGATACTTCCCATCTTACGATCATCCCTTGCGGAGCAAGCCGAGATCTACCTCGCCAAAGTCGGCGTGACAGTATTGAAGAATGCGCGAGTCACGGCTGTCGAACCACAAGACGCAGGCACAGAACAGGTGGGTAGCAAGGCGACGATTACTCTTCAGAACGGCGAGAAGTTGGATGCCGACCTTTACATACCTGCGACGGGAACCAGGCCAAACACATACTTTGTCAACAAGACGCTGTTAATGTCCGACGGTCGTGTCGATACCAATCCTTCAACATTGCGTGTTGACAGAGCTGGGCCACGGATCTACGTCGTTGGTGATGCTGCGTCATATGCAAGACCAGGCGTTCACCTCATTCTTAGCGCTATACCTGTTCTTTGCACGAACATCGAGCGCGATCTGCTGGTGACGGAAAGCAAGCCAGGCGGTGAGGACAGATCGTACAAGGAGGACAAGCGAGAGACGCAGATGGTACCCATTGGTAAAAGCAAAGGTGTTGGTGCGGCCATGGGATATAAAATGCCCAGCTTTTTGGTCTGGCTTATCAAAGGCCGTGACTATTGGTTGTGGACAACGGGCAACCTCTGGAGTGGAAAGCAATGGGCCAAGCCATCCTAGAAAGGAGCAGACTGATGTTGTTCATCAACAGTTGCCTTAAGAAGTTCGAAACGGAGATAAATATGATGGACAAAGACATACTGGCACAAATGGCCTGATTGCGGAAACACTGTTAAAGCCCAATGCCTGGAAAGGAGGCCTTAGGAGGCTTAAATGCCAGATGCCGGATTGCCATGCCTAATCTAGTGGCTGCGAGCCCGAAATACGCTGTTTTCTGACAAATCTTCCATGTTGCTCCACGCCCTCCAACACATCGACCGATGATGCCATCCAGCATGTCACTGTTGGCTAATTGATGAACGAACTCATCAACAAAGCGAGTGTTTATATATGAGCTAGTTCTTTGAAAGAGAGCGTATCAACTCGTTTCGGTCAATTTCTCACAGTCTTCATCATGGCGGCAGCACAGTCTCAATCCCTCTTCAAGTCTTTGGGTCTTGCTCACCACGTCTCCAAAACCTCCTCAGGAGCCGAGGTGCACAGCTATACCTCAGATCTAGGGCCAGATGCTCCCATACTAACATTGATCCACGGCTACCCTCAATCAGCATATGAGTATGTATATCCCATCTTCTCGAGCTCGACGGCGCTGATCTGTGCAGATGGCGTCAAGTTCGTATCCCTGCAGAACCCCTTTACATCTCAGCCTTGGGGTGGCTTCTTGATAGTCCACTAATACAATCACCAACAGGTCATTCCAGCACTGAAGGGAAAAGTCTCCCTGTTCGTACCGGAGGTACATCTACCATGCGAATTACAATCAGCTACTTGTCCTAATTGACTGTATCAGCTTCCTGGATACGGCATCTCAACGCCCATCAAAGACAAAGACGCCAACACCAAGCGCTCTGTCGGCGGAGCTCTTTTGGAAGCTCTCTCAGATGTGTTCAATACGACAGACTCCAAGACACCCCGCCGTATCATTCTAGGAGGCCACGATCGTGGAGCACGTATCTGCCACCGCCTTGCCGTCGATTTCTCACATCCACCAGAGTCGCAATCCATCTATTCTACCCTCAACCTGACCGTTCTCGGGGCCGTCCTCATCGACATTGTCCCGACACTGGAACAATGGCAAGCTTTTGCTAACCCAGCACTTGCTAAGGGATATTTCCATTGGCCTCTACTTGCCAATCCCGAAGTCGCCACAGACATCATCGCTGCCTACGGAGGCGACAAATGGTGCAGAGCTGCCAACACCCGCATCGCAGGTGACAATCCGCAGTCCATTGAGCGACTCTCTTCCGACGGCGCCCAAGATGTCTATGCCGAACTCTTCAAGGAGCGAGAAACACTCTACTACACCGCCCTCGACTACGCAGCGGCCGCTGTACCGGAACCTGCAGAGCAAGACGAAGATCAGAAGGCGGGTCGCAAAGTCAGCGTGCCACTACTCGTCATGTTCTCCAAGGCGCGACTTGGCGCAGGCCTCGATGTGGCAGAGATCTGGAAGAAGTGGATCGCTGATGGTGTCGACTACGAAGGGTATGGCGTGGGCGAGGGCTACGGACACTATCTGCCTGAGGAGGCATACGACATTGTCAACCCCAGAATCGAGGCGTTCATCAAGAAGGTGACATGAAAATAGTGCTGCAATCCAACATCTACCTTCATCCCGGCCATCATACAATGCCCAATTTCTCCAGCATCTTGGCCACTGCCACAGCTTTCTCTTCCCCAAATCTACCCGTGACAATCTGAATATTGACCGGTAGACCCTGCACGATCTCAGCATCCCACAGTTCCTTGTACATGTTGTAGTTAAACTCGTCCGTGTACCCTCTCGTATGCTGCGCGTAAGCCTTCCACTCGGCATCCTGGTCCGGATCATCCAATGCCTTATCCACACTTCCCGCTGGCATCGTGAGGACGCTGTAGTCCAGCAGATTCCACATCGCCGTATAGCCGCAATACTGCTGACTCTTGACCCAGACCCTGGGCCTCATCCCGGCCCACGGCGTAACAGGCATGATCAGCGCGTCAATCCCACTCTCCCTCCACTTGGCCAGGTACTCGCGCTTGTACTCCCATATGCGGTCGGCCAACTCCATCCGCTGTGCATTGTCGAGCCAAGTCTCAGAAGTACCTACAAGCATACCCTGAATCAACGGCTGGTCGACCATCTTGCACAGATCCTCGAACCGTTTTCCTCCGTCCGCGAGCACAGCCTTCACCCACAAGTCATAATATGCATCCTTGTGACTGGACGCATCCCACTCGACCACTTCATGCCCACAATCCTTCAACTTCTGCACCACGTCCCTGACCGTCCGCTGGATCGGAGGATGCGGCATGACCGCGCCGTCGTCCACGATATATCCGATCCTCAACTTCTCCTTCGATTGCACCTGTTCGTCGATCTCCTCCCTCCAAGGCACTGGATAGATCGTCGGATCCACATTCCACGGCTCCATACTAGTATACGCCTGCATGAACAGCTCAATACTCGACAAGGAGTTCGCCATGGGCCCAGCCACAGGACGGACAATATACTTCTGGTCCCTTGCGGATTCTCTGTACGGCACTCGCCCGACGCTTGGACAAAGTCCATACAGCCCCTGCAAAGCAGCAGGTATACGTATACTGCCACCAATGTCTGTCCCAATTCCCAACATCGACCCTCTCGCACCCACGAGCGCGCCCTCACCACCTGAGCTCCCACCAGAAATGAGCTCACGCCTCAGTGCATTCACACTCTGACCCCACACGTGGTTGTAGCTGTCGCTCATCATCAGACTTTGAGGCACATTCGTCTTGACGTAAACGATCGCCCCGAGCGCCCGGTATTGTTGGACCGTCAACTCGTCCTGCGCAGCAGGCTTACCGATCATCCCGACCCAGCCCACCGTTGTGTCTACGCCGGCGACCTGGTGCGTATCTTTGAGCGACAGCGGGATCCCGTGCAAGGGCCCCACAAACGTGCCTGTGTCGGCGTACCAGCGGTCCAAATCGCGGGCTTGCGCAATCGCCGACTCGAACATCATCTCAGTGCAGCATTTGATTAATTGCTGGGCGAGCGCGGCGCGTTTGCAAAAAGCAGTCACCACTTCCTCGACCGTCCAGGCGCCCTCTTCGTACCGGCGGAGGATCTTGCGTGCGCCAACCGTGCTGGTGATTTCGAGCTCGGTTGGGGTTAGTATCCCGGACTGCTCGATCACGTTTCGGCTGTCTTGAAAGTCGTCCGGGATAGAGGTTAGACGCCAGTCTTCGGGTATGGACTCGAATTGTTGCTTGCGCCGTTGCTGGGCTGTCTCTTTCCATGCTGGGGTGGAGCCCATCGTGTCCGAGACTCAACGTCCGCAATGAGCGGTCGTGACAATGGTCAACGGTGTGTTAAGTAGAAATGTAAATTAGTTGTTTGGTGACAGGCAGAGTGATCGATATAAATCAGGATTGATAGAGCCTCCTTACGACAGACTATGCCTGCACAATTCCCACGTATGCACGTCCAGTATTGATTGCTGTTGGTCGTGGTATTTTTGAGTTCTGACTGATTTATCTCCTCTGGCAAGTGCAAGACACTTTCAACAAAGATAGCAACAGATACAGTATCTATAAACAAGCTATCGAATAATATATGTGGGTCACAGTTCACAGATAGGCGATCTCAAACCCAGTTAAGTTATCTCTACGGCGCGAGACATCATGCACGCTCGAAGGTCCAGACGTTGACGTAACGGCAAGTGTCATGCCACCTTTCCTGGGCATCGATCAAGAAAGTTTCTCGAGGTCAATATGTGAGTTGGTACTGTTGATGTGAGAAATGTCACAACATCCAAGCACATTGTTGCAGAGGAGAGTGGCATAGACTCCCACACGATTCGGACAATGCCGCCTACGACTCCGTATGCTAAGGGCAGATGTCCGCCACGCGAGTCATCAGGTACGAAAAAGGCCAATACCATTGGTACGCTTTACTCCTCCCGAGGATGTGAGATGAGAGATTCGTTGAGATGCATCGCTAAATAGAACAACGACAGCAGTCACAAAGACTGGATCTTAGTCACCCAGTTCTCATGAGGCCCTGTCTTTCTCCACCTACATCAAGGGGATCTCTCGACAGCAGTCCACCTCCTTTTCCCAGGACTTCTCTCTCTTTTGATGGATTCACCGCCCCAGAGTCCGCGCTGGCTAGCGCTCCGAACAGGAACCTTGTCTGCCTGCCAAGTTGCTTCAGGAACACTGTCCGCAACATTATCACTTTCTGTGGTAGGGGTAATAATGCCAGCATCGCTCGAATCAGCCGTCTCGTCCCTCGAATAACGACTTCCACGTCTCCACAGGCCATCTGGAGGCTCAGTACCGCTCGCTGCATCCGCTGGATACGGTCTTTGAAGGCTCTGACTTCTGGACATCAGCGAACTGTTGGACTTGCGATGACCCAGCGACGCTCCTAAACTGAAACCTTCGGGGGAATCTGCACCCACGGTCCGAGGGTTTGCAAAAGCTGGATTTTTGCCGAGGCGTGGAGAGTTCAAGCCGAGTGGGTTCGAGCCAGCTCGAAGGTGCTCTGTGGAAGCAATAATCTTCACGTCGAATTCATCGCAGATGCTGAGGTCCAAAGATCCCCTCCGACGTGTTGGAGTTATGGGAGACTGCTCCTCCGGAGGATTTTCTGATCTGACCGCCAAGGTCAACGAAGACGTAGCCACGTCATGCAAGGCTGGTGCTCCTGTGAGAATCCGTATGAGTGCATTACAGCCAGCCTGATGGGTAACCATGATGATGACCAAATCTTCTTCTTCATCCTCAACACCTTTCTGTGTCGCTAATTCACCTTGACGTTCATAGAATTCAAGCAATTTCTGCAGACCGTTACGGAATCTGCGATGCATATTACCCCACTCTTCGTCGAAGGGGCCACCATCGCCCCAGTCTAGGCCGGAAGTCTCACTATCCCATCCCATGTCAACCTCGAGACAGACGTCACGGGCATGGGCAACGTATCCGGGAGGTATTTTGTCAGACGGACCCATGGCATATGTCGGGATTGGCGGACTGTAGCCGACTGGATGTCTTTGAAGATGTCGGTTCAGCAGTCTGGCACCATTTGCGAGCTCAGTTCCGAAAGAGATGTTGCGTGGTCTCTTGGGGAAAGAGTGACCGGCCGCAGCCATAGCCCTCAAGCCTGTCTTCTCATGGGCAGGCACCGAGGCAAGTTCATTCTCCTTTTCGTCCCCGTCCATCGAAGGCAGCTCATAGCTCATTGCCCCCGACAGATCGGCTCCTTTGATCTCTTCTTGAGGTAGTTGTAGACTCATCTTGGCTTCTGACACCATCACTGCCGAGGGTGGTGGAGGGAGGGAATGGAAGTAAGTCGGAGACTGCCATTCCCCCAGAAACGCATCAATTCGCAACAGGCAAGTATTATATCCAAGTCGATTGGTCTGGGGTCGCTCGTGGCTATGATTACGCTGGAGAGAGGCTCTGTCGCTGTCCCTGGCCTGCGAGAGGACGTCAGGCGCTTCCTCGGTCGGGGATAGACGAAGACTTGCTCGAGACGAACGCTGGCGCGGTTGCGGACGAGAGCGGCTGTGGTTTTGAGGATGCTGAATGCCTGCACTTATGGCCACAGCGGTTTGGACGCATCGTAGGTACGGCGAGCTATGTATGATTATCTTGCGTTTCTTGCGAGGTGGTGCGTCTTGGTTGGCATCGTCCTTGTTTTCTTCTCCCGGCCTCGACTGCACATCCAGGTTATGCAACTCGTTATTGATCCTTACACCCAGATTTTGAGACTGAATCCATCCACCATAGGACAACGGGCTGTCGTAGGGGTTGTCGGCATTTTCTGCCCATTTTCGGTCGGCTTGATCGAGACGAGCGCCATGCCTGGAGGACAAGATCAGTAAAGAAACCTGACGACAGAGAAGGACTAGTACCGAGTTATGATTATAACCGCAGGCTGTTTACCCATACTGAAGACTGATATGGACTATTACAGACGTAAGATGTCATTTGTCGCAGTCGCACTCGCAATACAAAACCGTCAACGTCAACTTGAAAATTGCGGGGGAGGCTGGTCGCAGGGGAAGATATAAGTTGGTGTCGCCACTACACTTAGATGCAAAAGTCGGTGAAGGCGCAGTAAAGACAGAGTGCTAGCGTGAGGTCCATCCTGTGAGAGGTAACGCAGCGATCAAGGTGATACCATGTTGGGCACAACACTGATCTGCTTGTTGTAAGCGGCGCTTTTGTTTTTTGAAAAATAGATTTCTGGAGGTGAAGTCAGAGTGCAGCAAAGCCACCACCGCCATCTTGTTATTATTGTTTGTCGGTCCGGGTGCCTAATTCGTCACTGTCTTCGGGGTTCGAATTGGCTCCCTCAGGGGCTTGGCAAGCCTATTCGTGCCTATTAAAAGATATTCCACCACCACGCGTACATGAGTATCGTCGCCCTCATACTACAACAGGGTACCACCATCTGTACCTCAATATCAGCCGGACTCCAAGACGAACAACGATACGGATACCATGCACTTACCAATCTCAACCAGAGTGCCAGTGGCATAGTCTGCACGAATGGTGTACAGATACGCTTCAGCAATATGCTCAGGCGTCGCCACGAATCCAACTGGCAAAGTCTGACTGGCTTTGTCGAACAACTCCTTTTGCTCCTCTGCAGTTTTTCCTTGCTTGTCCCACAACGGAGTCTTGACCAGTCCAGGAACCACAGTGTTTACACGGATCTTCTTCTCTGCGAGGTCAGTGGCAAGGGATTTGGTCAGCGAGAGAACGCCTCCGTTCAAGGATGAACCACCAGCGGCTCCTTTTCCAGGTTTGATGCCCGCAGTCCCAGAGGTCAAAGTCAGTGACCCTCCCTTGCGGATAATATCGTACTTTGCAACCGCTGAATCCTATGTGGTTAATGCACAATCGCCTCATTCTGAGCACAGTCTCACCTTTGCCAACAATAATTGCTCCCCATAATTTGACACCAAACAAGTGCTTGGCCGCATCGATGTCGAGATCCTCCAGTTTCCCCCGGATTATGTTGTCAACAGCCGAGTAAACGATATGGTCGACCACTCCAAACGATCGTAGCGACTGGACGAAGGCTTCTTCCTCGCGCACGTTAGCAACGACACCTTTCGCATCGGGGCTGCCGAGTCGTTCCACTGCCGCGTCAACCTTTCCCTTGTTTGACGAGATGATGGTGACTCTTGCCCCAACATCTAGCAGAGCCTCTGCAGCACCGAAACCGATCCTTTGCGAGGTCGTCAGTCTTTGCACACAAGAATGCGTAACCAGTAATCTTACCCTGTACTGCCTCCAATGACCACCACATGCTGACCACGAAGCTTATTGGCGAATTTACCCATTATCGTGCTGTTTTAGTCCGTGCTTCTCTGTTTGACCTGCTTCCTTCCCCAGGGTTGGATTTGTCAACTTACATATACTATACCTTCTATTACTATGGTGCCATTCTCGTGGAAATGACATCACCTTCTTTGGGGGTGCACTGCACAGTGCTTGATTGAATAGGTGCATGAGTGCATACAGGAAGGCGCCCCTCACCGGCTATCTCGACGAATAGTGAGCCGGAAGTCAATTGCTTCAGCGGTGAATCGCCGACCTCCCAGCTGTCCCAGCATACCAGTATCACTCACCCAGTCGGATTGCGATGCACGGCTACAGGTTTGCATATCATAATTCCTTGTAAACATGGCTTCTGATCCAACGTTTCAGGTATGGCAACAATGGTATCCGCCCGACAACTTTGCTGAGGCAATCTCGTCTCGAAAGCTGTTCCAAGGTATAAGACTCACTAGAGGCCAACGGTACGAGGCTCGAAGCCGTAGTTGTGTGCCGCCTCACGTGGATTGATTTCCGTCTCTAACGATCAGACGGACTTTGTCGGCTGATCTTCAGCATTCCAGACGTCCTATCCGCTTCATCTCGCTTGTCAGATCGCTTGTCTGGGAACGTGGATGATGTGCTCCATGACCAACTTTTCCTCCCGAGGATGGAGAAGATATGGACACCGGAAGGAAAATGGTGCCGACTGAGAAGCAGCCAGGAAATCAAGCTCATGGCGAAACAGACGAAAGGGGTAGTTAAAGCATAGCTTTGCATTTGAAAACCGTCCGTGGCCCCAATGCATGTGCTTTTGGGCTGTTTCATATCGCAAGAAGAGATCCCCATGCCCGCTTACATGGTGGCCGTCTTTCGCCCATCTCCCAGTGGTCACGGCCCCTGCCTACGTTTAGGCGAAAAGAGATCTGCACGCTGCGACCACTGGCGAACCTCGGTCACCTCTGAGCCACGGCTAGCATTTCCGCCTTTCGTCCTCCTTGGACCATGAATTCATGCCTGCCAGTGATGGCCCCGGAAAGCTCGCTGTCTCCTTTGACAGACAGAGGCGGCGCAAGTCAAAGCTAAGTGCGGATCATGTCAATCAACTTGAACAGCCGATTGCTTCATTGAACCACGATGACAGGAGGCGGTCGACTTTCTTCTTGTCGACTGTCGTTTCAAGGAGCCCCTTGCTTGCCTCCACAGGGTCCCATCATCGGCCGGCTGGTTCTGCGCCAGTTCCTGACTACCCGTGGGGTGGCACTTCCTCTGTCCAGTCCCCTCTTCCCCTTCTTCTTTGCCCCTTGCATGCCGTCCGGCCTAACGGGCACTTTCCTTTCTTTAGGCCTTTGCTGCTTTGCTGCTTCGTTTCAGAAATGCCCGAACCCGCTTTCGAACTTTTCGGTTTTCTCTTTGCATTTGTGCACACACTTTGTTTCTCGCTCATCGTGCAATGTCGTTATCCGCTTCGCAGATGCATCGAGATCGAACTTATGTGCCGTTCAACAATGACTGTGTCGTCTTTTCCAACCCACTCGCTTGAGACATCGATTGCTTCGCTTCGGCAGCCAACTCCCCTCGTGGCTTGCACGATACTCGAGATTGTTCCCACTTCTGGCCTTCTCGCTGCAGCTGTTGGATTATGCCATGCAGCAAGCACCCACCATGATATTACGCTACTACAGGTACCATTTCTGGATCGGGCTGGTCATGATGGCCATCCCAGATTGTTCCCCCCGTAATCTGGCCATCCTTCCTACGTCTAGACAGGGTGCCTGGCAACGTTGTACAGACCACCATCTGACATCTCTAGCCCATACGCTCACCAAAGTCACCTTGTGACCGGGCCCCAGGTTCCAAGATAGGAAGCCTTGTGGACTACTTTTCCAATCAGTATCCACCTGCTAACAAACGTCGTTGGAAACTGTCTCTATGATCCCTCCACCTTCTGGAGACTGTCCAGCATGTTCCCTGCTTTCTTTCGTCGTGCAAGTCATATGAACATTTCAACACCGTCTACCACCCTGCATGCACTATCAGAAGTTCGTTGTTTCTCCTTCCAACCTGCAGGCAAGTCCTGCTTTTCTATTTGCCTCAATTTTCGTCTCTCCTTTTCCCTACTTGCTTATACGATATTCTCACTTCACTGCTTACGTTCACTTCAAAATACAATCCCAACATCTGCAGGCATATCCATGAATTTGACGGCAAAATTCCGATAAGATTTGCCTGTCTGTCTCGGGAAAAAGTCGCCGGACACGATCTATCACCCTTCAAAAATCTGTCAGGCTGCTGTCAACTTGTTCCGTCCGCGACACAGTCAAACACGTTAATCGGCCAAGCACAGGACTTCAGGAGGTTGGCTCTTCGCTCATGACGGCCGTCAATGCAGCAGCCCGCAGTATATTTATCTCTTCAGCATTGACCACCCCCGGTTCAATCGTCCGTCTTGCTCTCCTCCAGCCCCATCAATTGAACTTTTGAAGTTGGGGGCTTATTTCAAACGATTCCCCATGCCGCACAGACATCGATCAGCAACCCATCTCCCTTCATGACGACCCTTTTGGCACATACTGGTGTGCCGCTCTGGGTATACATTGTCCTTATCGCTGTCGGCTCTACAGTACTGCTTCTCACCATCGCCGCATTGTCACGATGGTGGTTTGTCCGTCGAAAAGCAAGCCAGAAACGCGATTATGATGGCCTTACTGGTGCCACTCGTCACGTGACCTTGCGGAGAGGACGGGTGGTACCAACTTCGCAACACCTGTCTCTTACGGGATCCAGATTTGGAATGCGGCAGTTTGGAATGCTTGCGGACAACGACTCAACGCATACTGGTAGGCGGAGTCCCTTCGAGTGGTGGAATACCATCATAACCGAGAGATCACAATCTCGACAAGATCAGATGTCACAACTGGAGACTGGTTCTCTGACGCCACGCTCTGTTTACGGGTTCACAAGGCAGGAACTTGGCCCGACTACTCCTACCCAAACTCCTGAAAAGGACCAGGATGCTACTGCGAGAACTTGGGAAGTGACACCACCTTCAATCTCACCAAGTCCTTCGCCGTCGAGCCAGAAAACCGTCAACTTCTCCAGAGCCTTTGTGCCTCGAGTGCCGTCGTCTCCGGTCGCTCAAAGGTCTCAGTTTACTTTGTCACGGATCTCAGAGAGATCTCCACATCAATCGATGATCAGCCCCGCTGCTGCAGATCGTCCAGAACGGTTGTCGTGTCACGACAGTCCACGGGAGAACACAACAGTAGCTGACCAACAGCAACAAATTCTCTTCTCTCCTCAGTCATCACCACGGCCCACTATACCAACGTCAAATATTCAATTTACTGCCATGTCACCGACGTTCCGTTCTCATCGACCTAGTCCTCTATCACTAGACCCTCATCCCGCACAGCAATCATCAAAATTTAGCGCATCGATCATCACCATACAGCCGTACAGCCACACGCCTTCCCCGACTACATTACGACCCCACACAGCGGATGCTTCGTTGTACAAAGGAGGAGTTTCAGATATGCGCCCGTACGACGTTCCTGTGCCAGATCTGGCCGTGCCCAAGCCAGTCAGACACGCCTCGATTTCTCCAGAGTTGCAACAATATACGCAACCTAACTTGTATCGTCAGCCCAGCAAGTCCCAACCAGATTTGTCTCACCGTATGTCTACAGTGTCCGTATCTGAGTTTGGGAGTGGTGGGTCATTTCCATCTCCACGAAAGTCGACGTCGACGATTGGTTCGAGTGGGATCGTATACGAGTCTCAATTTCTCGACTGGTCAATAAATTCTGATTTGCAAAAATTGTCATTCAGTCTCGACCGCCCGGCAGTACAACAGCCACAAGACCGAGTGCATGAAGGCGAACAGGAAAACTTGATGGGCATCATCACAGTTCCCGGGAAGAATAGAACCAAAGTTCTGAGAAAAAAGTCCCTCGGAAGGCAGCGCCTGGTAACATCAGTCACAGGGTGATTATGTCCAGCGATGCGAATGCGAAAAGAGTGCAGTGCACTCCTGCGGCATGATGGGCGCCAGTCTCGTCCTCAATCACGCAGACTTTTGCTTGTTCTCAAATTTGTTTTTGCGGCGACAGCCTACAATGCCACGACGATATACGACATGAAAGGCGGATGTTTGTGAGGATACTTTTTCAATCCTTTGCTACCAACGCCATGCGAATGCGACGAACAACTTACCATACCCCATTCATCATTATTCTTACTCTTGCAAACTATCTATTCGAGCGAATTTGCGCTTGACTCGTCAGACTGAGGGGGTTGAGACGTTTTGGTCCCACAGCTGTCTTATTTTCATCTCGACATTTAATTGCCTGGGCGACTATGTTTATGAGCACAGGCGTGGCTGAGCCTGAAAAATTGGGCTTGTTTTGCGAAGCTGGTGATGCCTTGAAGGCGATCCGCTTCTTGTTAGGAGGGAGTGTCAAGGATGGATGCTACGTCTGTTTGACGGAGCAGCCCACGGTGATGCTCACACTGTTGGAGCATTCAATCTTTTCTGTCATATCGGCAGTTGAAAAGTCCATAGCACCGAAAGGACATTCAATCCTTCAAGGAAATCCATACCCTTCCAAACAGAAGGCTTGCTCTGCGTAATGTGGTCAACGTTCACTCGTCCACCATCTATCCAACATGATGCACGTGACTAATTTATCTTCTCCTTCTTTGAGGCAACGAGGTTTCGGTTCCATGGCGAACTCCTTCCCTTCTTCCTTCGCAACATCAATTGTAGTGTTGGAGCCTAGGCCTAGGAGACTTGTGGGTGGTGATTGAATATATATTGACTGCAAATTATTGGTCAACACCTAGCACATTACTCACATATTAAGCTTCATCTTTATCCATATCATCCCGCCGACGCTTTCCTTTTGCACCTTTGCCGGTCCGGTTGTCCTTCAAAGTAGAACCCTTCTTGCGACTGTCTCTGTCTTCGTGCAGCTCTTTCATCTTCATTGCAGCAGCTCTTTGCGCATCGCCGACTCTTTCTGCCAGAACCATCACCTCTTCCTTGACCGTCTCGTATTCATCCAATTTCTTCTGAAGGGCATTTTCGATTCTCATCCAAAGTTCCACGTCATACTGGCTGACGAAAGAGATTGCTCTACCACTTTTCCCTGCTCTGGCAGTTCGTCCCACGCGGTGAATGTATGTCTTGCTATCGTGAGGCAAGTCAAAATTCACCACAAGATCAACCGAGGGAATATCCAGACCTCGAGCGGCGACGTCGGAGGCCACCAGTAGCTTGCGTGACTTTGCGCGGAACTTGTTTAGTGCAGCAAGTCGAGCGGGTTGAGACAATCCACCGTGAATTGGAATAGCAGAAAAACCCAGGCTCCCGAGAAAAATCGAGATACGTTGAGCCTCGTTGACCGTGCGCGTGAATATGATGCCTGTCTGACCAGCCAATTCGTTGAGGATGTGGACGAGATAGAGATCTTTGTGCTTGTGAGGAACGAATAAGTAGGATTGTATCAAGGTTGACACCGTTTGATACTTGTCTTGGGATACCGAAACTCGAACGGGATTCGACAAAGAAGCTCGCTGTAACTCTTCGACCTTTTTCGACATCGTCGCAGAATAGAGATATGTCTTTCTGCCCTTGGGAAGATGCGTCAGGACTTTCAGCAGAGTTGGGCCGAAATCGAAATCGAGAAGTCGGTCAGCTTCGTCCATCACCAAGTATTTCAACTGCCGAAGAGAGAAGCCTTTCGTGTTTTCCAAATGGTCTATCAAGCGACCCGGTGTTGCAACAATAATATGGGGCTTCTTGCCCAGGGCGATCGCTTGAGGAATATTGGCCATGCCTCCCACGAGAACAACACATCGAACGCCTATCAGCGAGCCGAGCGCTTCCACCACGTGCGAAATCTGATATGCCAATTCTCTTGTAGGTGCCAAAATCAACGAGTGTAATTGTTGTGCCTTGTTCAGCAAATCCTGCAGGATCGGTAGGACGAATGCAGCCGTTTTGCCGCTGCCCGTCTCGGCCAGCCCGATAAGATCTTGACCTTGTAAGGCTAAGGGTATGGACTGGGCTTGAATAGGTGTAGGAGTCTTGTACCCGAGTGAATCGCACGCTTCGCAAAGAGAGTCAACTATTCCTAACTCTTTGAATGTTGTAGGAGTCCTTGTTGGTGTTTCGTCAGCACCATCTGCGTTGTCTCCCTCTTCTGAGTTTTCTGAAGATGCATCTGATGGCTCCGGAGAGACATTCTCAGGAGCTTCGCCATCATGGCTGAGCTTTCTCTTCTTCAACGGTGGCATTGTGGTGTTGCAAATGGTGTTCAATGTGGACGCAGAAACATTTGACGGCGCAGTTCAAAATATTTATCGGCGGCAAAAATTTAAGCTTATCTTATCGGCACTAGAGCAGCCTCGTGAGGCACGAGGCTGGCAAAGGTGCTTCCTCTCCGAGGTTCTTAAATATCACCGACCGCTGGCTTTGTCTTATTGCAAGTTAGAAAAGACATGCACGACTGCTTACGCCTGTCCAATTTTGTCGCCGCGTCATGGTTGTCATCCGCTATGAAATGTACCGTATTCCCCAACGTCGATTATTCTTCCTCTTGCTACTCTTTGTGGCCTACATGAAGCAGCCTAGTTGGTCCCCTACGGAGGGATTTTTCGGCGAAGGTTTATGGAAGCAGTGACGTCCGTCCATGGCGCGAGGCGCACGTTATATGATCCAGGCCGCTTCCGGCAGAAGATGGCTCATCGATTTGTATCCATGCATGTGGATCCCGAAATCACATAACAGTTGAAAAGAATTCTTTGTCATCACAATGCTCTCATGCATCATAAAGACGCACAGCACGACGTATGGAGACGCACTTTCTTTCGCAAGATTACCGTACTATTGCACAAAAAGGGTCGTAGGGAGCTCAAGTAGGGAGTTTAAGAAACACATTCCATGCTTCAACGTTGGATATCTACCTTCGCATGCTGACTCCTGATCCTGTGATACTCAAATTACATTTCCACCAAATTTGCCACGTCTTCCACAACAAACCGCGATCCTGGAAGTTCCAGACGCAGACACTTCCTTCATTTACATACCAGAACCTATGGGATGGCATATGCACTTAGAGCGAGCCAGTTCGTTGAACATTCTCGACCTCAACACCACCACCAGCCCTCTTCTCATCGGTAGCATGGGCAACAGTGGCCTCCATACCCATCTCGGTGGCCATCGCAAGACCCTTATGGGTGGCAGCACCACCAGCAAGGAGAGCGTCGTCTCCATCAAAGTGCTTGGCAATCTCCTCAAGAGGAGTGTTCCTGGTCTCGACGTAGAAGAAGTAGACGACAGCAAGCTCGACTGCGAGCCAGACGCAGTAGAAGATGTAGTATTTCCAGCCGAGGTGGTCGAGAGCGATGGGGTTGACGTACTGGTTGAAGAAGAGAGCAGCATCAACCATGAGGAACATGACAGTCATACCCTTGGCACGGATGTTGTATGGAAGAATCTCGACAGTGTAGCCGACAAGCATGCCGGACCAAGCCCAGTTGTAGAAGAAGTAGTAGATATAAATGAACCCGACCACAGCGTTGGCCGCTCCTCGGCTCCCACTAATTGTGAATCTAGCCGAGCAGATTGTCCAGGCGATGAAAGTGCACAACATGCCAGTGGTGGAGAAAAGGAAGAGCTTGCGACGGCCGATCCTGTCGACGAAGAAGCAGGAAAGGACGGCGATGAAGAGGTTGAAGATCTGTAGGACACCGTTGATCAAGTTCTGCGTCAGCGTGTCGGTGTAGCCGATTTGGTCGAGAACCTTGCTGAGGTAGTATGAAACGAGGCCGTTTCCAGACCATTGAGAGAAGAGACCTGCCGTCAACAAGATGATGAGTCGGCGACGGTTGCCCTTAGTCTTGAAGAGCTCGAGCCAGCCGTTGGATTCGAGTTCCTTCTCGAGTCGGATGGTGTCACGGATCTCGACGTACTCGAGCTGAACCAATTCATCGTTGATGTTGCCATTGGCGTGAACGTCACCAAGAACCTTGAGACCCTTCTCCTCCTTGCCGTGGGCTATAAGCCATCTGGGCGACTCAGGCACGAACCAGATAAAGGCGATCTGAAGCAAACTGGGGAAAGCCTGGACAATGGTGGGGATACGCCACGCCCAGTTGTTGCTGATATGATCCGTTCCGTAGGTCAACCAGGCTGCAACGATAGATCCAGCGTACCAGGTCGTGTTGTAAATGGTTGTGAAGACTGCACGGTGCTGAGGATGCACCAACTCCGTAATGAGAAGAGGTGAAGATCCGTGGGCGATGGCAACACCGAAACCGATCATGAATCTAGCACCCAAGAACATGCCAAATCCGGCAGCAATGGATTGCAAGACGACACCGATCAACATGATGATACAGCCAATAAGGATACCCATGCGGCGACCAAGGATATCTGCAGTGTAGGGGACGAAGGGGATGGCGCAGAGAGAGCCAATAGCCATGATAGCGTTCAGAATGCCGATCCTGCCGCCCGTTGGGTGGTCGAAGTAGTTTTGCCAGGGAGTAAGAGTTTGGAGACCGTTCATCATGGAGCCATCATAACTATTGACATTGATTAGAATAGTGGACTTGTACGTCCGTGTACAGTCCTGACTTACCCGTTGGTGGCACTGGTAAGGACCACAAACATGAGGACGATGTAGGTCTTCCTCAAGGCAGGGTCTTTGTACCATGTCTTTGCTGGAAATTGGCGACCGGCCAGCTCGAAGGTGGTGGGTCCTGCCATAGTTGCTGGTCTCAATGACAAGTGAAGACCACAATCTCTGAATGATGAGGTCGTAAAGAAAGGTGCTAGGGATGTTGCTTGATGGGAGAGAGACGAGGACAAGCAGGAGGAAGCACGGTGGTTATATACAGGACGGTATAGATGTGCAGACCTGTCTTACCCCCAGTATTGATCCTCGTCTGCCACATGATTGTCCTGGGTAAAGATCTAGAAAAGTCGGCTTGCCATGCTGACTAGGGTCGTTCTCAGCCAATGGGCCGTTTAACCTGGTCTTACCGTGGATATTAGCCAGATGAAAAAGGCCTAGATGAGGGTGTGGCAGCCGAGGCGAAAGGCTGGATAAAAAGCGGCCCCGCCAATGAGACGGGTGTTTCTCGATTCATGACGGAGCCATAATTGATCTTGGCTCGGAAGAAGCTATCTGTATCGATCAATACCACCGAGCAGTATTGAGAGCAAGGATGGCCGGGACCAGTCGAATGGTAGGAGTTTTGCCGGGATACTGACTGGTCGTATGAGGAGCTCCGTAGTGGCGGTTGCAGTGGACAGACAGGTCGGTTGGCGAATGTCTCCATCTCAACCGGGTTTATTCTGAAGTCCCCAAAAAATCCTGCAGCTGATCTGGAGTGTGTGGAGGGCGAAAGGAGAAGTGTGGGAGTGGTTTGCCGGGGAGAACCAGGAGCTGCCATGGAAAAATGTCGGCACGGTGCAGGTACGAGGGCACTTCCTCCCAGTCTAAATGACTAGTGCTTTCTTCTATATTATCCTATTAACCGGGCAACTCGCTTCGCTTGTTGCTTGCCACGCACGAACGGCAGTCCTTCGAAGCACAGAGCACAGCTTCTCTCGTAGTCCTGCTTTTGCGACTGGAAGTTGCTATCCGGCACAAGCTTTTGGTGGCTGTTCAACCCCCCTCATATCGAATCTATCAAGCTTCCGCATTGGGATGAGGTGCGTTGAATGGCATGAACACAGCGCTATGAAGACTAAGGATCAAGCCGTCCGGTTAAAAAGCTGGCCTTGGCTAATGACTACTATGTACGACATCACTTGACTTGGCCACAGGTCTTTGAGGTGTAGATGAGGCTCCGGCGACAGCGGTGACCTCTTGACTAAGTTACAGAAAACCCAGGTACCCATACCCAGATATCTTTTGCTCCACCTCCACATTTTCCCTGAGTCCATGGCAGTGGTTTCCGCGTCGGACGCGTACTTTGAGAAACGTGTCTGCAAGATCTTGTTTCGCTTGCGCAGGCAACGTCCCACGAGTATCCTCTTTGAGGCCTGACTTGGAAGGTGAGTAGATCATCGACAACATATACCTGCAGCACCGTTATCTTGCTTGCGGGGTCCGGTTGATATGTGAAATTGATTCTTCGTCGTCTATGTTGATCAATGGACGGCATATGCAGAATGGCTTGAAATGCAATTTCTGATCCCGGCGAGGAGTATCATATCACATTTTGCCGGAACCAGTATATGAAGCTGGTGCTTGGAAAGGTTTGTCCTGGGTCGACCTCTGTCAAGTCACCGAAGTTTTCGTTCCATTCTCGTTTGCTCTTGAGTTCAATCAAGCATGCTTTCGCTTTTCGTCTCTGCCAACGCTTTGGCGGTTCTGGTGACTCTTGCCTCTGCAACACCTCGACCTCAATGGAGCTCTTGGTCTCCGCCAGGCTCGAACACGACTGCCTCATCCGTGTCAAGTACAACGACCAGTGTGTCATCGACGATTGCGTCCAGCGTAACTTCCGGTACCTCAGTGTCTCCATCTGGCTCAACATCCCCAACTTCACCTTCATGCTCGGGGTATTTTGAGCCCCTGGCGCCTCCTTATCTCAACGACCTTGCACGCGCAGCCGGTAAATTGTGGTTCGGTAGTGCAACTGATCAACCGGTAAGATCGATGGCATTCATTGGAAGCTGACAAGCACTGACGGGCGCACCAGGGTACAGGAGAGGATACCAACATCCTCTATCAGGAGATACTGAATGATACCGACATCTTTGGTCAGATCACACCCGCAAACGACATGAAGTTCTTCGCGACGGAGCCGGAACAGAACGTGTTCAACTTCACTGGCGGACAGGTGGCAGTTGACATTGCCCAAGATCATGGGAAATACCTCAGATGCCACAATTTGGTCTGGGTATCACAGCTCGCTGACTGGGTGACCAACGGCAACTGGACAGCAGAAACGTTGACTGCGGTTATGAAGAACCACATTCAGACCTTGATCATCCACTGGGGGGATGCCTGTTATTCCTGGGATGTCGTAAATGAGGCACTTGCTTCGAACGGCAGCTTTTCTTCCAGCATTTGGGTAAGTTAGACCATACCCGTCAATGGACGAACGTCCGCTGACAATGAATAGTACGACGTGATCGGACCAGAATATTTCTTCCTCGCATATCAATTTGCCCAAGAGGCGGTGGAAGCCACCGGCAAAGACATCAAACTGTTTTACAACGACTATGGTATCGAGGACACCGGTAACAAGACGCAAGCCTTGTACGCATTGATCCAGGAGATGCAATCTCGAGGCATTCAGATCGATGGTGTGGGCCTGGAGTCTCACTTTGAAGTGGGCGCCACCCCAAGCCTGGAAACGCAAATCGCGGCCAAACAAGGCTACGTTGCGCTGGGCCTTGAGGTGGCCATGACTGAGCTGGACATTCGATTCATTGAGGCGAATGCCACCAACTCTACTGGGTTTGCTATGCAGGCCCAGAACTACTATGACAGCGTCTCTAGCTGCGTCCAGGTTGACGGCTGCATAGGGGTCACGGTCTGGGACTTTGACGATCAGTACTCGTGGATCCCAGGAACCTTCCCAGGACAGGGCGCCGCAGATCTGTACAATGCAGATTTTACCCGGAAGCCCGCCTATTATGCGGTAGGCGAGGCCTTGCAGAGCGTGCCGTGTTCAGTCTGCTCCGCTTGACCGCTGCACATGGGCGCGAATGGTCCCCAACACCTGGCGGGTCGACTGGGGGAGATAGCTTGATCTGCCAAGCGATCTGGAAATTGATTTGGATTTGGATATTAGCCACTTTAATGGAAATGTTCTAGAATGAAAGGTCTTGGTCACTTGCCATGTGATGTTTTCCAGTATGTAGTTGTCCGCATTAAGTTGGCCACACACCTCACGAGACATCTCAGTCACACAAAGCTTACCTCTGGGCTGTTCTCCAGATAAACCTAGCCTATTGCATAAATTACGGTTACAAGGCCAATACGAAGCCGGTCAAGCCTTGTCGTCGTTTGCCAAAAAAAGGAATTTGCTCTTGATGGCACGGGTGACCAGGTCAGCTCGGTGTGGCTGCTTCGAAAGGGTGCTTGATTTGGACTTTTGACAACGTCGGAGCCCGATGTTCAACCGTAGAGGAGAAGGTAACCTGATTCAGTCTCGTCAAGGCGTGATTACTAACGACCAGTATGCCTGATGTTGAGATCTTCAAGGTTTACTGGGGCAGAGTCAGAGCCAAGTGCTACCTTCCGTCTCACCAACATATGTGATGATCTGTAAATAGTGCCTTGGGCTGTCCGTCAAGACTGCGAAGTTTACCCGGCACAGAAGGATCACTTGCTCAACTCCCTGTAAAGTAGCATCTTCCCCTGAAAGAAGAACGGCGCAAGAGATGTCTTGGAAGCTCCGCAGCTGATGAGCTTGCGAGGCAGCTCTTGGAAAGTGACGGAAATGTGCTGGTCTGGCAGAAGGCACGAGATGGGGGGATTCAGGAGCATTCAGCCAGATATCTGAATGGCTACCCGGTTGACCGGAGCTGTTTGCGCTCAATGCTTTCGCTCACTGCCACAGCTGCTATGCGGGTGACTTTGATAGCGCGTGATTTTCCAGCTGGTAGATGATTGTACTTCTGTGTGTCATATGTTGGCTCTGTATTGCCTTCAGTGCAACGATCCTCTTTGGAAAACGTGTTACCCAAACGTCCTGGAGGTAGGATATAGGTAGTCTGCACGGAAACAATGATGACGGTTAGGCTGGCTGTCGTGGGACACGAAGTTGCTCGAGCCGCAGCAAAGAAGTGCTGCTCAACATGCGGTTGAATCGCCGGTCACAACAGCGACCTTGCTGGACGGAAGGCTCCGAATTGTCTTGCCAGTAATGAAAGACATAACCGTAGCATCTGGATCTTCCTTGACAAAGCGCGCTGCATGTCACATCCTACTTCTAACATGGCCGTCGTTGTACCTCTCAGAAGTTGCATTCCGTTGACCTGCTGAACCTGTCTTGGATCTGCAACAGGTACTAAATGAAGAACCTTGACGCACAAGGCACCCAAGTTTGCCACGTCGGGCGACCTACCTTACGTTTGGCATGCCTCCAAGAAATCCACCGTAAGCTTTGCTAAAAGATACATCACAAGGTCTTGCAACGTCCGCGTCAGGATGCGGAATGCCCCTGATGGACTGAACCAATTAGTGTTTGCTGAGGGGCAAGTGAGGCTCAGTCCATGCTGGAAAGACATTCAATGAACAAGCCAACTGGACAGGAGCAGTCGACGTCCGAGCTGGAGTGTTGGGTTGGTCCCATCAGTCCCGTCACTCTGCGACTCTATGACAACTGAGCTTTGTAAGCAAGGCTGACACCTGCATCTCGATGTAGGACCTGTCCTCCAACAGCTTCGGGCACATCTAACAGCATCCAGCACTTCGCAAAAAGCGCTGCACAACCCTTCCGCAGCACGGACTCTCCAGCAGTACTGCGAGGCAAGACAAACAAATGCCATCATGGGCATGACGCATGCTAGTCAGAACACGCCCGAAGAACTCGAAGCCCAAAGGGCTCCAGGCAGAGGACTTGTCCTTCATGCATCGCTCCGGTGCAGCGCCGGTCACGGATCGTCTCTTGGACCTGCATTTGCTGCAAAGCCGACTCGATCTTGCTGCTGCAAAGCCGATTGAAGAAGGTCTCGGATCCAGAGAAGAGTTGTCCCCCTTCAACCCGACATCCACCTGAAGCACGCACATATTTGCCGCGAAGAGGAGCATGGCGGTTGCAAAGAATGCGGAGGTTCGTACAACCGGAAAAGCAACGATCAAAATGAAATGCAAAGTGCCGAAATCGAAATGGTTCCTTGCGGATCAGGCCCCTTTCCGGCAAACGCACTCGATTGAACCCCTGATTCGATATTTAGCCTAAAGCCAGCCCCCAGGTCTACCAATGTCGGCATGATCTCCAACTTTTTTCTACCTTCCAAACGCGCACGTCTGGGGATCCCCAGCCCTTGTACGGAACGCCGCTTTTTTGTACGCGGGCCCGCTATGCGCACTCAGTGATGTTGTGATACACAATATCATGTTCGATGATGCCGACACTTACCTAACAGCACTCAAGCTGTTACTGCCTGCGTCTTCTTCTCCGCATTTTGCTGCCCGCAGGCGACGTGGATATCGCGTATATTAATGTCCTGCCAAACTGGGTATGGCAACTTGACCTTATGCTGAAGGCTTGAAAAGAGGAGTCAAACATGGTGAACAGCGACAATGGGTGGACGGGGAAGGGTTTGAATGTATCACCCGCGAAATCCATCGTTGAGACCAGCATGATAATAGTAAGAACATCGTCTTCCAAAACTTGCTGCCATGATCCTATCTCTTCCTTTCTCAGTTTCTCTTTGAGTGGCATGGAGTACGTGTCAACATGGTATCTCTTCTGCGAGTCGCACTGCCTTTGGCGATATTGACCGTGTCGGCTTTCGGCCACCCTCATGAACTCGATCGCAGAGCCGGGACGGCTGTCTCAAATGCCAATAGCTCCCTTACCTTCATCTACCAAAACAACCTCAATGCCTCCGACGACGTCAACCATGTTGGCGCAATTCTGCTTGATCCCATGCCCGCCTCTGCAGGTTCGACTGCTTGCGGCGCGTTGAGTGAGACTCTTTTGACTCAAACTACTATCCAGAACTATAGTTCGGACTTTGCTTCTTCGTTGTCCTACCTCGAATTTGCGGATAGAGTCTCGCCCAACCAAGCGTATCATATTGCGGGCGGTACTTTGCAGGTATCTCCCCAGGGACTCTCCTTCCTGGCCTCGACCCAGAACAACTCGACGCTGCCGGTCCTTTGCACCCAATCCAGCAGAGCCAGTGAACCGCCGAACTCCACAGCGACTGTGTCGAACGAAGTCGCTGTAGCTGCAGCGGGCAATGTATACGTCGGATATCGAAACCAGAAGTCGTTCCGCTTCCTTGGCATCAGATACGCCAATCCACCACAGAGGTTCCAGTATTCTCAGCTGTACAATGGTACGGGCGAGACAGCCAACGCCACCGCCTACGGCTCAGAATGTCTTCAGGTTGGTGGCGGCAGTGAGGATTGCCTGTTCCTCAATATCCAGACACCTTACATCCCTAAAGCTGGATCCAGCGCAGAGCTGCGTCCAGTCCTATTCTGGATTTACGGAGGAGGCTTCACAGGGGGCTCGGGTGCTGATCCTTTGAGCGACGGTGGCAATCTGGCATCTCGCGATGACATCGTGGTCGTCCAAGTCAACTACCGTCTGTCGACGCTGGGTTTCCTTGCCATTCCTGGGACAGATATCAAAGGCAACTTTGGCATCGGCGATCAGATCGTTGGACTAAAATGGACAGTTGAGAACATTGCCAAGTTCGGTGGTGACCCTAGCAAAATCACAATCATGGGTGAGAGTGCCGGGGCAGGCTCTGTCCGGACTCTGCTCGGTAGTCCTGAAGCGATCGGCATGTTCCAGGGCGCTGTCGCCATGTCCAATCTGGGAGGCGGTGTCGACCTCGGACTGACAGGTAACTACGGCACGACCTACTCGTCATACTACACTATCAACGAATCTTACACCGTGGCTGGACCTCAGATATTCAATGAGTCCAACTGCACCCAGCCGACCTTGAGCGCTCAAATCGCTTGTCTTGAAACCGTCAATGCCACCGATCTGGTAGCTCTCAACACCGTCGCAAGATATGTTGTCCAGGATGGCACCATTGTCAACACCCCCGAGCTTGACGTCGTCAACAAGAATGGAAGCGCAGCGTACGTACCCGTCATTTTTGGAGTCGCTGCCAATGACGGCGCATCGTTCTCGAACCTGTCGCCCACACCAATCCAGAACGAGACCGCTGGACTTATGTACGGCCTCGGCATCAATCAGTCCTATGCCCAGGCCATCATTCAGTCAGGCTTGTTCCCATACTACGACACCGGCAACATCACGTTTGACTCATTCAATGTCACGCAACGAGTTGCCACAGACAACACATTCCGCTGCATAGACCAGGCTACCGTCTACGCTGGCGCGGAGAGCGGTGCCTTCCCATCTACCTACTTCTATCAATTTGAAAGGACGATCAACGGATACAACCCGGAAAACGTGCCCGGCGCGCCCGTAACTCCAGGCTATCCCTACGGGAACCCCAACCTACCTTACTTCAAGCTGCACGGCGCAGACATGGCATGGGCGTTTGGCAACTTCTATGTCCCCCTTCGTGACGCCAATGATTTGTACTCGGTTCAGCTCGTCAGCGGGTACTTTGCTGAGTTTGTCAAGAGCGGCCAGCCAAACCCGCCCATTGATTATCTGCAAGTCAGAAATTACACGACGACCTTGCAGGGCGTTGAGCAGTCTGGACCGTGGCAGAACGTGGTCAGCGACACTGGCCCGATCAAGCATTTCAACTACCCGTCCTATACAGGAACGTTCGTGGACCTGCCACAATGCGCGTGGTTGAACTACAGCATCAGCTACTATCTGGGGGGTGGACGGTGATACTCTGCCAGGAGATGCTGGACTGGCACTGATCTTTTCTAGCCTGCGTGAGAAGAAGGAAAATAACAGCTTGAAAATAGTAATGCGCCTGAAAGGCGTCAAAGCATAAAATACAATGAGTACACAAATTTAACAGACTTCAATCGGCTCAAGCTGATTCGACAAGGATGAAAGGATCTCGTGCTCACCATGATGGACTGGTCATAAAAGGAGACCAGGAGAGCAATGAAGTCGGAGGTGGCAAAGCCTTCAAATGTGCCAAGCAGTGACGGTTAATAGGTGCCGCCTCGACGTCATGTCTTCTTCCTCGTCGTCGCTTCCGGACATCAATATCAGGCGAAGGTATGCCATAGGGATTTAGCCGAGGATGCCATCCTAAAGTGAGTTCAACCATCGACGGATGTGATACGGACATGTATTGTTCCATGTCTGCTTGACGCTATCCACGACAGCGCGGTAAGAGGGGCATTGACCCCTGGTTGCTAAATGACTAAGAAGAGCATGCACAAGTTTACCCAGGTGATAGGACATGTCTCTTTGCTTAGTTCCGGCATTTCTATCTAAATAGCCTGATGTGAAAGGTAGGTGTTTCTTCCCTACTCCCTGGCACTTCTCTCCCATCTCTTCCAGAGAGCGAACATGTCTCCTGGTTAAGAGGGGAGTCGAAAACTACGAATGACTGTTTCGACGAGTGACCCCAATGTCTTCTCACGGAAACCGACCCTCGATTCTTCCAGAGGCCTTGATCTACATGCACTCGCCTGCCCTTCAATTGTCGCCATCTCGAGGACGAAATGAATCCACGTCCTGAAGGGAGTCTGGCTCCAACAATCTTGATCGTGTTTTTGGCTTGGTGAGACGTAGACGTGGACTAATATGCATGGAGCTCACCGCCTCCCCTTCCAGTGTGCGAAAGAGAATCCCCATATCCGGAAATGCACACAGTACCTGCACAGAGACCTGACCGAGACAGACAATGGCCATCGGCTAACTTGAGGGACCATGCCAGCTTCTATGCCGGAAGGGATCATCAAGACACAGCAGAATGGCTGTGGCAAGATAGCGACGAAATACAAATACGAGACCTGGGTTGTTGTTTAGGATCTGATCGATCAGTGAGCCTCGCGATCCCGAACGCATTCGACCGCAGGCTTGCTACGCTCGGTATCGAAAAGGTGTTCCCCATGTACATCCACATCCTATCCTCCGGGTGCATGGGATTGCCTCTGCAATGAATAGAGAGGCTTAGACATTGGTGGATGTATCTGTGCACTGCGCAACTACTCAGTAAGTCAACCCAACCTGAAGATTCACGCTCTGGCGCACGACTGACATTGAAGAAGATGGTTTCATCCCTGCCCAGCGAACGAACAAGCGAACGGCCGAGCAAAACAGCAGACTCGAAAGGCTTTTCCTCCGCACAGCTGATTCAAACCTCAACGCCAGTGACCGCCATGTAATGGCGCGCCCGTCTCTCCGCTCATGTGGCTCCGGGAGGACGTCGAGTTACAATATACTGGTCAGCAGTCGAAAGTCTATGAACTAATTGCATCAATTGAGACATCTGACCGTACAAGACAACGGCATGAAAGGCATGGCATCCAGAAGCCCGCAATGATTATTGAATCCCGCGATCAAGCCCTGTCTCGACAAGAGAAAGCAGCACCGCGAAGCTGGTTCATCGAGTTCCTCGAAGAGCCTGCGGCAAAAGTTCAATCTATGTTTCGTCTCGGCTGGCGAGACTCGACTTCGTCCTCGAAGCGGGGACTAAGAGAAGGCTGCACTTCTCAGGAATGGGGAACATATCATGCCACTGGCCACTCCTGGAGCATGGATGGCCCGCGCGCGAAACACGCAGCGCAACTTAAGATCTCATCCGAAGACACCAGATCTTCCAATGGTCGAACATGCATATGCTACTGCATTTCAGCTTACAAGCACAACAGCTTATATTTTATATTCATGGGGACAAGCACGATCTATGTTGTATGGCCCATTGATGACCAAGGAGGAGCTGTGGCAATTGTCAGCCGCCGGAGTCTGTCCAAGTCAAGCGCAGCCAAACTCAGTGAAGCAATCGTGGCATGTCTTCATCACGCCATGAAAGAGCGAACCTACCGAGGCAAAACAATCTGAGCAGACATTCAAGAGTATCGTCATCAGCAGCAGTAGCTGAACACATGTGCAGGATATCAGAACCGAACCAGTGGGTGGATGAGCTAGGAAAGTACTTGTGATGAGCGGCGGCGCCAGCGCGGCGGTCAATCAATAGGTGACCATCTCGTTTGGGCTGCCCCGCTTCCACCTCCACAGCAAGAATGGAAGCGAGAATCGCATCCCTGGGCACGATGCGTCTTGGAGCTGCAAGCTTGTTGCAGTACTGACGCAATTTTTCCAAACCATAGATAGAGCCTTATTCATATATTTGAATGACTTGAGGACATTCTGGAGAATGGGTTATATTCTACAGCACTGGTTAGAGTGTATGATATGACCTTGTTCCTGCTAGAGAAGGTGTTACTGAACTGAACTATGGTTGCAGAGGGAAATCCCTACAACCGAACAGACTTCAACCCCGGTCTGCATGATTGGGTCCCCCAGTGGCACCCCAAAGTTCTTTCATCGAACCACGAGGAAGCCTAGAAGCCACCCAGAAACCACACGCACCGTAGGGCCTTGTGGCCCTTGCACTTTCTCGCCTCTATTCGCACATTGCACTGATTCATCACTGATTCCACACCCCCCGCCAATGTCACCAAAAGGCTACCGATTCTCCATCCTCCCAATCCTTCTTAGTACGAAGCTAAGTTACGGTTGCGTGCCATGAACTCACCTCCCGGCACTCTCATGTGAACAAAAAATCTCCACTACCAACGCTCCAGCACCACCACCTCCATCTTCCCGTGGGCTTTGGCTTTTGACGACTCTCCATCTCTAACTCAATGACGACCCGACGGTGATTTTGAACATTCACAGAGAAATGACAGCAGACCTCGTCGCTGCTGTCGCTGTACAACCCAACTCAAGATGCTCTCCCGCATTCCCCCACAAACCCACAATAGCTACTCCGATTACCACGATTATGGCCAGAGATCCGACATGATCACGTCTCAGCCCCATCAACTCTCCTCGATCCTGCAACAGAACCCACAGTCGTACGAGAACGATAATTTGCAAGCTGGTCGCAAGAGGAGGGAGTCGGAACTCGATGCAAACGCCTTCGCTGAAGCGGCGGCCGTTCGCCGCAGGATAAGTCGAGCTTGTGACCAGTGCAACCAATTGCGCACAAAGTGTGATGGTAAACAGCCTTGCGCGCATTGCACCGAAAATTCTCTCGTCTGCGAGTATGCTCGAGCTCATAAGAAGAGGGGCCGCGCTCCGAAAAAAGAGGCAGGAGATCAAAATGAGGAGGCAATCTTTGCGGATTCTCAACCGCCGCCAAACAATTCCTCTGCCATGCACCAAACTGCAGGTACGCGCAAATACTCGAGCACATCATATACAGGAAGAGAGGGACTGGTCGAGACAAATGGTCTACCCTCCACCAACACCCCTACCAGCGCCACCTTCGATACTGGTCACCATCAAAACAACTTCTTCAATGGATTCGACCCGGCAGGCACGATGGGCCTCACGAACGGAGGGCAAATGCACGATATCGACCCCTCCATGGTGCCTCAGATGAATACGCGTGCCATTGATTTTGCCATGCCGACTCAAGCCTTCAATACCTCGGCATTGGACTCAATGCATGTTTCGGGTGCGGTCCAAGGTTTTGGATTTCCACTGGGAGACGATTACTCGGTAGCGTTCATGGGAAAGGCGCCCATGGTCGAGTCGCCAGACTGGTTGGCTTTGACCTCTCCCATGTTCGTCCATGAACCCTTACCAGCACAGCCTCGCATCACCGATACTCTGAGGTACCCTGTACTACGTCCTCTATTGCCTCATATTGAGCCAATACTTCCGCAAGCTCTGGCTTGTGACTTACTGGAACAATATTTTACGAGTTCAACTTCTGCCTACCTCAGACCCGCTAATCCTTATGTCCTTGGATACATTTTCCGCAAGAAGTCAATATTGCATCCGACTGACCCTCGACCTTGTACGCCCGCGCTTCTTGCTAGCATGCTATGGACCGCTGCTCAGACAAGCGACGCACCCTATTTGACCAGCCAGCTGGATGCCCGGGCCCGGATTTGTCAACGCCTACTAGAACTCACAATCAACATGCTGAAGCCCTTGGTTCACAGTCATCCGAATACTGCTGTGGCGACACCCAATCCCAACTATCCCCAGATGGCAGTCAACGATACTGGACTGGGCGCCTTGGTGGTGCCAACTCAAGCAGGCGGGAACGGGGTAGATCACGCACAGGTTGATAATCTCGCTACTTATATACATTTGGCTACCGTGGTGTCGGCCAGCGAACGCAAGGCGGCCAGTTTGAGGTGGTGGAACGCGGCTTGGTCGTTGGCGCGTGAAATCAGGCTTGGCCGTGAATTACCTCCTAACCCCACCGCGGAGGACGGAGAAGACAGCACGACAGACGCAAACCCGGGCGAAGGGCGTAAAAGCTCGGTGGATGACAGCCGCGGCAAGCCTTCAGGCTATGTGTCTGAGGAGGAACGGGAAGAGCGACGGCGGACGTGGTGGCTGTTGTACATGCAAGATCGGCATTTGGCGCTGTGCTACAACCGACCCATGTTCTTCCTGAACAAGGAATGTGAGGGTTTGCTCCAGCCTCTTGACGACGAAGCCTTCCAGGCGGGCAGGTTTGACAGGGCATCCGATTCCGCGCACCGAAGGCGTGGGTTGAACATCGAGTGCACATCACATAGTGTCTTCGGGTATTTCCTACCCCTGATGGTCATTCTGGGGGAAATTCTCGATCTGAATCACGCACGCAATCGTCCTCGGTTCGGGCCTAGAGCTAAGATGGCCAAGAACTGGGACGAGCATACAGACGAAATCACACAGCAACTGGAGGCTTACGGCCAGAGTCTGAAGGAATTCGAGGCGTCTGGGGGGCATCCAGTGGACGGCAGCCACAACGATGCCGTTACGCCGTCAGTGGTATCTGCAGGTACCAATGAGTCGCACAGCGCTGCTGAACTCGCGCTGCAGACCAAGACGGTGGTGGCATATGGAATGCATATCATGCACGTGCTGCACATCCTCCTGACCGGCAAATGGGATCCGATTGCGTTACTAGATGACAATGACCTGTGGATTTCGTCACAGTCGTTTGTGACAGCAACTGGCCATGCCGTGAGTGCGGCCGAGGCAGTATCCGAAGTCATCGAGGTTGACCCCGACTTGAGTTTTATGCCTTTCTTCTTTGGAGTGTATCTGCTTCAGGGCAGCTTCCTGCTGTTGTTGTTTGCGGATAAGCTCCAAGGCGACGTGAGTCCGGACGTGGTGAAGGCCTGTGAGACGATTGTACGGGCCCATGAGGCGTGCGTTGCAACGCTGGACACTCAATATCAGGTATGTGTTTTGAATCGAGTTGATCATAGCGACATTTGACTGACTTTGATGCTTAGCGAAATTTCCGAAAAGTGATGCGATCGGCTCTACAACAGGTTCGCGGACGTATCCCTGAAGATCTGGCCGAACAGCAACACTGGAGGCGAGAGGTCCTCGCCTTGTACAGGTGGACAGGCGACGGCACTGGCCTTGCATTGTGACCACAACTTACTGGGCTAATATGGTAATGTTTTGCGGAGTTTGCACGATTACCTCGTGTATATAGGATACCCTTGCAGCATATGGTTGATGGCATGAGTTGACGGAGATCTATCCCAATGATGATTACTAAGGGACAGGTTATGTATATACGAGATTTGATGAAGGTAGTAAAATTGGTCCGGCATGGTGAACACGCGTTCACCACTGGAAGTAAATGCAACACACAAGGTATACAGGTTTATGCCTCGGATAAGCCTCCGTGTTTGTATCATGAGCTTCATGTTTTTGGAACATGGACTTTGCCTAGATGAGATATTGTCGTAGGTACTCCGTATCCTAAGTGGGCTCAAAGGAAATACCCGCATGAGCATCAACTTCTGCATCGGAGCTAAAAGTGTTACTGACCCACTGCGATATGGTGTTTGATCATTTGCGACACCTCGGTGCAAGGATGTAGATATCATGCATGGTAAGCAGTCAGCAATGTGGAATGGTCTGCTCGACTCGGTCAATGGCCGACGCAATGCGGGAATGAGGCTGCACCTGGTTGGGAGCAGTATTTTGACTCATCAACTTGGGTCGTTTCCAGGTCAGGAATGTTGCAGGTTCGTCGATATGCCCTGGAAACATCTCGAGCAGAAAAGACACACGGCACGCGACGCTTCGTCATGTTGGTGTAAGTGAGTGCACCAAAAGCAATAGTCGTTATCGCGGTTGATGAATTTAATCTGGTGGCGGGCGCCGTGGCAGCCTCATGAGGGGCAACGAGGCCAATCGCACAATTACGGGACAGCGGGATGCCTGTTCCCCCTAAAAGTGTGTGGCTTGGTACTTAAAAAGACGTCGAACTAAAAGATTCTGGCACCCAAGATGGGCGGCCTCCCGCCCGGTGATTGGAGAAGGTTCTCTCTAAAGTCAGACATTGCCCAAACCCAGCCAAACAACACGAACCTCCACTTGATCTCTCCATCCCATCTTAGGTTACACTCCGGCCATGGCGTCCGTCATCCACCCAGAGGAGAAGGGACGCTCCAGATTCAGAGACAGCCGAGTCCAGAAAGATTCGTGATGAGAAGAGCGGGAGAACAACAACGCCGGCAAGAGGCGAAAGCAAGCCACAACCAGCAGCAACACGACAAGCGTTTCGCTTGTGGAAGCAATGGGAATCACAAGTCTACGAAACAGACTAATGACAGCCCGACGCAAGATGCATAAGTTACCTAGCGGTGTCAGTCTGAAGAGCGTTGATGGCCTTCCCGGCACCCTTCACCGCGGTCAACCTCCTGTCGACCTGTTGCCTCTGCCCCTCCTTAACGACCTCCCCTATGACCACTCACTAACCACCAACATCTTATCGTCGCATATCATCTCTGGCTGTTTCTTCCATTCTTTGATCATTTCTTTTCCATCTTTTCCATCCTGCGGCAGTCGATATACGAAAAGATTACACGAAGACTATCGTGTTTTACCACCACGCGATTCATTTCCACTCTGTCGGGTTTTGCCATCCTTGTTTCGCCGACAACCCAAACCGAAAGCCGCGCTCGTCCTGAATTGCGCTCACCGGAGGATTCTCCATTGAATTTCCCCTACAGATCATCTCTTACTTGACCCTCTGTACCTGCAAATCAGGAACAGCCTCGGCGGATCGAATTGCGGTACAGAGTACATTCGAGGCTGGCCTGATTTATCCAGCATCGCGCCTCGCGAGCCTGAAAAGCACCTCAACGAAGAACGCTCCACCATAACCAGGGCCCGCCTGCTTCTGAAATCCAGTCGACTAGCCCTCATTACAGAGTGCTGATATCTCCCACCTCGAGAGGACTTGGGGGCTCCTTTCCCCTCGTCCACAATTGCCAGCCATGCCAGCAATGACGGCGGCCCGTGCAGCGGGTGAGTTTTCATGTCTCAGCTTTGGAAGTTTACCTTGCAGGTGTCAAGTTGCGGCAGCGTCATTCCGGCTTATTTTGGGTGCCACTGCTTCCACGCTACTGACATCTGCATCTGCCCTTCTCCATGTTTTCGGACATATTTCCCAGCCTTGCATATCACTCCCCTAATCATCCTATGATTTCTATATGGCATCACTAACATGTGTTGTTCGCAGCCCATGCAGATGACTTCGACATGGCCAAGCTATCAAAGTCGCTGAAGCAACGGCAACGGCATGCTCGTCGTAACAGTGCCAATGTCGCAAAATTGACGCCAGCCGAAATCCGATCGCTGAATAACAAAGGCCTCGACTCCACGACTGGAAGTCAGTCCAGCTCGAATTCGGTTTCACCCGTCAAGTCACGGCGTGCAACTACTACGACTCCACCAACCACTCCTCCCGAAAAGGCGTCTGCCTACCAGGCACAGAGCCACAGAAACTCCGTCTCTCGGAACTCGACCGTCGATGTCCCCACACCTCCTCACACGCCCAATGGACATCGAAGGCCATCGCAATCAAGTACACGCAGCCACAGCCATGGTCATCATTCCGATCAACCTCATGGTAACGGAACTATTCACGCTCCTCGTCCTAGAGGTTCTGCTCACGCCGCTTTTGTGGCGGCTAACGGATTGTCTCCACGACCATCAAGCTCCGGATCGTCGACCTATCGTGGGCTTCAAACTTACAGGGGTCCGGAAGTCACTCGAAATGGGTCCTTCAACATGCTTCAGCGACCATCTTCCAATATTGTTACCAACCCGCTTTCTTACTTTTCCAGGCCCCGGCAAAGCGTGCTTAGTGCATCGCCGGAGCGGTCTCGCAGCTCTCAGGAAGTGAGCATCTATCGTGCCCAGAGTTTGCGGAACGAACGTGATAATTCAATCTCCAACATCAGCGCGGCTTCCTCGCGACCCGCCAGCCCTCACAGGCAGAGCGACTCCCCGGTGTCCATGATGCATGAAAATGAAAAGTTTACAGTGCTCAATCCAGCGGATGATCCACACAATCAGCCAAAGGTTTCAAGCGACGGCGAGATACCTGCGATGAATGAGAAAGCAGTCAACACAGCACCAGATGAGAAAGAAGCGTTTCCTCCGTTGCCAGTACAACGCGTCACAGACCAGGCAGAGACACCCAAAAGGGAGAGCAAGAAGAGGTTCACTCTTTTTGGGGCGGAAAAGGGCAACCAAGACGGAACGGACAGTACTAATAAGCTGAAGAAGTTGAGAAGACGGTCTCTGCCACTCACCGAACTCCATCAGCCGAAAAGTTCTGAAGTGGAACAATTGCCATCCGAAGGCCAAGCCGCGGCGTCGAATGAGGAGCTCCATGTGGATGGTGCCCAAATCGAGGAGTGTGACTTTGCAGCTCATCCGGCAGTTCGACCTCTATCCCTTGTCATCCCTGACGAATTCAAAGGCAAGGAGAGGGAAATTGATTGCGGCCCAGTCTACGCTCGTTGCTCTTGTTGTGGCAAAATCAAACGTCCACCTGGAGCATCCGATCTCAGTCCAGTCATGGAAAACGAAAACCTGCGGACAAATTTCAGCTTTGAAATCGAAAGGACGTCTAATAATCCCGCCAGACGCAGCTCGGACAGCAGTCGAGGGAAGTTCACACCTATAATACCGATGGTAGTGGCCGAGAATGAGACCCGCCAGGCCAGCATCGAACCATACAAGACTCCTATCGAGCCGACATCGCACCAACGACAGGTTACCAGCCCAGGTCCCAGCTCCAGGAAGATGAATCCCCATCTCGCCTCGCCGCCAAAATTCGTCCGATTTGTAAGTCTCCACGGTCGAAGAAATGTTGATTCCTCTATAATCGACGAAGAGGACGAAACGGAAGTGGTCAAGGAAACGCCGTTGGTAGCCGAGCGAACCCATGTTCATTTCGCTGATGTGAAGACGCATGAGTTTGGAGTGTCGAATGAGATTGTGAATGGTCAAGCCATGCCTGAGGCCCAGACGAACCAAGAGACGGCGGAAGCAAAGCTCGAGGACCAACATACGAACACTGAACTGGTGGAAAGCACCCCTAGAGCACCATCAAATGCTGGATCCGAGTCTGATGCCTTCTTCACGCCTATGGATGGTGCTACGCCTCTCGACGAGGATCCAACATGCGAGATAGAAGAGGAAAACGAGCTGAAACAGAATTCTCAAGGCAGGTCCTTGCTTACTTTGCCACAACCATCGTTCGGACCGCAATTTACTCGCAGCAGCGACTCGCTAAGAGATTTTGTCCTACGAAGCGGCAGTGTGAGGGTGGCGGGTGACAGGGAGAACTTGCACGAGCTCAGTAAGCAGGTGAGCAGGGAAAATGAAGTCATGGCTGTATGAAAGAGGTGGATAAAGTATGCTGGTTGTCATGTGGCTGTTGATGTGCATGTTTTCATGATAGCGTTAGTGGATGCGAGCGAGCGAGCAAGTAAGCGGGTTGTTTGCGGTTGAATCAATGCAGAATCACGATAAATATGAGGCTCAATGAAATGATATTTTGACGACTGACTTCTCTGCGAAGAGAAGTCAGAGATGCATACCGTGCAAAAGCCTCATGGCAGCTTGATTGGTGCAAATATGCAAGGATGATGTTGGCCACAGATCTGAGCCACGATGGGGCGCACTCTAGATGGCACCAACTCTTCCTGACTCAAGATCAGAATTCATCTTCCAATTTATGCAGAAGCAGCAAGTTGTCATTGACCGAATGGACGGTAACAAGCAGCATGTCTGTCATCGGTATCTCGCCGACGGATATCATCACTGTCGTCAAAGCTTTCAAGGACGCAGCAACTGCACTCACACCAGGTCCGGATGGCGCAAGGCAGCAATTTCACGATGCACAGGCTGCACTCTCCTCCCTCGAGCTGATGGTTGCTGGCTTGAAGGGTTCTATACCTCCCGCAAGTTCAGCAGCCACGGTTTACAACGATCTCCTCGAGCGCGAACGCCGTTTTCAGGTATCTCTGGAGCCATATGGCAAGCGGCTGGGACCAAAATGCGGAACGAAGTCTTGGATAGCGATAAAGCGAAAGCTGCAGTATGCTTTCAGTGGAGCTCAGAAAGTGCAAGAGCATATCATCAGCACAAAGCCTGGGGTAGATGCTGCACTTTTTCACACCCTAGGGTTGGCTGTTCGTACTTGCCCACAACGAGCTACTGACAGATCGAGACAGGGCCCAGAATGACCTGGCCATCAAGCACCACGAACAGACAGTCCAAACCATGCGCCAAAGTACCACGAGTGTGACTGACAAGATCGATGCATTGGGTCCGGATATGATGTCCCGGCTATCTCAGGTCATCAGCCCTTTTCCCCCGCAGCACTCTGATATTATCAAGGGAGCGATCGCATCCCACCTGGAAGATGTCAAGCTTGATCTCTCTCAGATCAAGCAGGCGTTGCTCCCTAGCAGCGGCCGGGACAGTATCATGGAGACCGACACCTCCCAATTTCCTACAGATGCTCAGTCGGCATCGGGGTACGAAGAAGCCACCCAAAATATGGGATCAGAGGCTTATGCCACGAAACAGAGACCTTGCCAACACTTGAGGTCGCCTAGCAGGAGCCGAGACCAGCACGCCCTTCCTAGAAGGCTCGAAAGTTCTGCGTCCACGAATGCTTCTAGACTAATGCTGTGCTTGTTTAGTGTGTCTGCTGCAGCGCTTTATCAAAACCCTGCAACAAGAAAAGCACTTGTGTGCTGTCTTCATGCTTACCATCACGATCCAATGTCCTTGACGTTGCTCCTCTTGACCATCATGTCATTTGCCAATTGCTTTATCTCACTGCCATATCAAGTGTCTTTGTTGACAGACGAATCCATATTGTTGACCACCGCGCTCGGGGAGCCACTGAAGGTACCAAGACATTACTGGGAATCTTTTGACATCTTCCACGCCTTCCTTAGGACCCACTTTGAGACCAGGCCAGGCAAGACGTACGTCAGAGCCAGGAGGTACAGGATCCTGTTAGGCGGAAATACTGGCCAGGTCTTAGAGATTGCGAAATGGCAGCAGGTGGTTTCGGCGCGCATGAAGCTCGTCATGGCTATGCTATTGGAAAGCATGGACGACGATTGTCCAAAGTGTCAGCATCCGCTCGAGCGTCGTAGCGCTTCTCTGAGCTACTGGTAGGCGCTCTTGGTCATGGCTATGGTTGATGCATGACACACTGACGTTTCGCAGCGCCGATTGTGACAATTGGTACCAGGCCATTGACATGACTCAGGACAAGGGCGGATTCCATGATTCGGACTCGGGATCCCTCGATGACACATCAGGCTCATCACATCCCTTGTCACCAAGTCAGTCTCTCGAGCACCTGTTCTTCCGATTTGGACCTCATCCGGATGAGCTTCGATATTTCGTGCACATGCTGCTCGCGAAAGATACTGAGCCTGCTTGGGGTCAATTCGATGACAAAATGACCATGGAGGAAGCTGAGCTTGGAGATGTCCTTCTCGACACTCAGAAAGGACTGACTTGCAACCGAATATGGTCAGTGAAATCTGTATTTGGCCGTCCAAACTTCGCTAAACCTCGTTTCAGGGACCGTCTTCGATCAATGGAGAAGTTCCTTAATGGCGAAATCGATATCGACAACCTCTGTACCGAGCTACGTGCAGTAGCGAGGTGTTCTCAAGGCGGTGCGGTCGTGCACAAAGATGATGTCGACAGGATATTGGCTTCCGCTTAGGCAAGGCCGAAGCATCTGTGATTGTGGTGTAGTGCTTGCAACGACTATGATGACAAGTGCGTTTACTCTGAATGGCTGCACAAACTACGGCTGAATGATCAACACTCACATGCTATCTAGGGGCTATGCCCGTAGGAGAATGTGCATCCATGGCCCCGAAAGCTATTGAAATCGTAGCCAATGGAAATGATACAATGGTGGAAAGACGTACAAGGCCGGGCTCACGGTTACCAAACCAATGCCTATGACACTACTCCTACTTAGTGTGGTACTGTACTTAGGACTTCCGTCGCCCACGTTGTTTCCCCACAGCACATTGCTCAGATAGCCTAACTTCTCAAAACCTTTCGTCTACCACCTGTCACGACTTGCTTTGCTACATTATTCTCTCACTCTGTTTGTGCTGCCATCTCAATCTGACTGTTATTAAGGCAGCCAAAAGTCTGCCTTGAATCACCCCATTACCCCCTTAGCCCTCTTCTATTCTGCCTTACATCTTACAATCATGCATCCAAGTCCCGCTTCCGTTACCTGCCTGGTGTCCACATGCCTTTAAGCCAAAGGCTGTGCAGTCGTACATTTGAAGCCTCTGAAGTGCGGGGGCAGCCATACCACAGATACTGATCTGGTGGTGATGGTCTTTACGCCGTCATTGGCCGCCTTACCTGACCTCTGCAGAAGGCTGCCTTCTTGAAGCCACAATTTTCTCCTTCACGATTCTTAGCCCGAACAATATGAAGCCCGTCGAGGCTTGCGCCGCCTGGCACAGCCTCATGGCCACAATCCACGGTTTTCCTTGGGCCAAATGGTATCCTTGTATGCAAATGCTCCTAACAAAACAATGTTTGTCATGACAAAGCTGTCGGCCAGTGGCCCACGATCGGTCGGCGTTGTACAAATAGATTCGCGTCATTTCCATCACTGATCCGAGTTCAACCACTCAATTTCAGTCTTTGAACGCGTACAGTGATTTGCGACCTACCAGCGATCCAGCTTCAGATGTCCGGACGCTCAACCTGTGTACCCGTCACGCAACCTGCCAAACAAGAGAGAATCTGTGACACCACAGCACATGGCGCCGACGGCAGTGTGGACGAAAGCCCGTCCGACGCAGTCAAAATACACTTGCAGGGGCTCTTTGCAAAGGAGATGCAGAGCGCTGCACAAGCGCGCACCCACGAGAAAGTTGCTGTTCTTCTGATTCAATGGGAGCCCGAAGGTGAAGATTTCCTGGATACACGGGAAGAGGTATATTCCATGTGCATCTAGCCGTCTCATACTTACGAAGATAGGTCGAAAACCTCCGGGTCGTGTTCGAAAATATCTACCACTTCTCTGTGCACCAAGCGACATTGCGTACAAGCCCAACCAACTTTCCCAAGAAGCAGTTGAATTATCACATCGCTAAGTTGATCAACGAAGAGGATGTGGGAAATGCTCTGTTGATAGTATACTATGCTGGTCACGCAATTACAAAGGAGGGTGAGCTGTGGCTGTCAGGGTAAGTATACCTCTCACTATGATACTCAAAGCTCACGATGTCCAGCGGCAATCCAAAAGAGCATCTCTCCGACCATGAAACCCAGATATTGTGGGACGACGTTGAGCGCCACCTCGTTGATGCGGACGCGGATCTGTTGGTCATCTTTGATTGTTGCTATGCCGGAGCACTGGCCTACGATGCTCGAGCTCCCCAGTCTCCCAACAGAATATTCGAGTATATTGGAGGCACTCTACGCGACAGGACTGCTGAGGGCCCCGGAGAGACGTCTTTTACGAATGCACTCGTCTGGGCTCTGAAGCAACTCTCGGAGCGTGTCGGCGGCTTCACGGCTAACAAACTGGTATCGGTGATCCGGGACGCTCCCTATTTTCGCAAAACAACACAAGAACCGATATGGTCACCCAGAGGCGAGGCCGAATCGTGTTACATGCTGAACATTGTCCCTTTGACAGCCCAAGGGCCTGTGCCAGAGCGTTCAGATGTGTACCGCAGAGAAGACGCGAAAACAATTTTTCTCGACCTGCAGCTTTGTTTCGACAAGTGTCCAAGAGATAAGGACATCGTAGGGTTGACCACCACCTTGAAGAATTTGATTCGTCGAGAAGACTTGCCTTTGAAGCAAGTGCGATGGAGAGGCTTGTCCAATGTCGACATAAAGCCCGACATGCGCGACGTAGCATGGAAAGTCCTCCAGCAGGTCAAGCAGCGCAAGCTGCACACTCGCAGCCATATCGGAAAGGTTTTAACGAGCGGGCCGATAGGAGAGACACAGGAGGCAGGAAACAATGGTCATCTGGCCAAACAACGAAAGATCAAGCTAGTTGGGTGGATGAATTTGCGATCCTGGCATCACTATGCGGCTCGAGCATTGAAGTGCACTACATGGGATTTTGTCCAGCAGTGCCTCTGGTCGGGTTCAAAGCGGCATGCAGGCCCATTAAGATCTTGATGTCAGTTGGGGATATGGGTTTGATCAAGCGAGGAAATAGATTGCGTCTTCCTGTGCTGTCCCTTCGACCCACTCGTTTGCTAGAGAGATCGATGCGGGCGACATGCTTCAGTTCTTCCGATGGATGTGCCCTAGACTGCTAGGAGCCTGCATTGGTCCTGGGAACACCATAGATCACAAATTCCGGTGGCTATTCAGCGACATCTGAGGAAGAGCTCTTAGGCTGACCGGTGTGATCTAGCAATGCGCCTGCTGTACGAACGCGGCTAGTATGGGGCGTTCGTGGGCTTGCCCGGCACAGCCATGCACCCCTCTCGTCTGCACGATCCCTGCATCTAAAGTTGTCGAGATAAGAGCACACGGAGTTTCACCTCTTGACTTCAGCCTCACCCTCTCCGAGGCAGTGTCCAGGGCCTTGCATGTGCCAATGAGCCTATATTAAGGTGTTGCATGACCCAATTCTTGGGCGTGACAAGGCATACTTGAAAGTCTGCCTCGTCTAAACCGCAGTACATCGAAATTAAAGGTACCACCATGAACAACCCGTCTGAGGTAAGCCAACCATTCGACATCGGGCCCCGCAAGCTAACCTATGACTTCCGACACGCAGCCAGAAAGAAGTCGAGAGCGGTCGCACGTTCAGCCCCAGGACAATCCCACAAAGGTTGGTCAGATTCTTTCCGGTTGAGTGCCGAAGATGAAGTCTCATCAGCTCTGCAGGACACTCAGCAATACTGGGTGGACGACCAGGTATTTTATGAGCAGAGAGGATGGAAAGTAGTCAAAGTCGTGGACGACGATTCGACCTGGAAGTATCAGATCAGACTGCTTGTGAGCAAAGGCGCTGCTGAGGAAGACAATTTCGTTGCACAGGAGGACCTAAAAATTCAGCGTCGGGGAAGCAACCACCCTGGACCTGTGAAATGAAGCTGAGAATCGCCGAATTGATGGGGCCATTTGGAGCGACGTCTGCGGAGTATAATTCGTAGGGTTCTCAAGCAATCACGTAGATGTCTTGTCGAGTGGGCGCTAGCTAGAGCGGCCTGAAAAGTAGCTGCCGCATGCGTACAGAAGGTTGGCCGCTTATTGGGTGGTCATGCTGTCCCTATTCATGCGGGCGCCGCTCCTCAGCCTGATGGAAGCGGCATTGGGATCCTGCTGTCAATATCACGGGTGTATAAAGGACTGAGGATCTCGAGCCTTCCGAACGAACATGATTCAGCATGCCCTCGGTGTGAGGCTGCGTCATAGTCATGGGTGGCACAATGTCTATCGATCTGGAGAAGGGCAAAATCGAAGATAAGCCAGAGACGACCGTTTCAGAAGAGATTGTCCAACCTTCACCGTCAGACAGGCATTTGCGGCACCTAAAGGATGGCCCCAAATCGCCCGCGACCGACGCGAGCTCTTCGACGACACTCGTAGGTAAGGCAGCAGCTCGGAGTCTCCTGCCAGCGTTGCTGGTATAGCCGCAATCGTAGCTGACTGTTTTCACAATCAAGCAGGGTCGAAGGGCTTTGCGGCTTTCTTCGCAACCTTGCGCGAGGTCATAGTCTCAAGAAACTCCCGACAGAAGTCGGTTGCAGCAGCGAAAGAGACGAAGAAATATAATGTACGACAGCGTAAGTGTCTAATTAGTGGGGAATGCGCACTTCATTCCACTAGAATGCTGTCTGACAACTTATCTGCTCCCAAAGTTCACAAGATGCCAAATGGTTATCCCAGAGTCGCAGCTTTCCTTGACTCAGACGAGAACTTCATGCTCTACAGGCGGTTCGGGTATTTGCAATCGCGACTTCTGCTAGAAAAACAAGATGAGCTGGGCAAATTGGAGTGCGACCTCGACTTTATGGATCGACTGGAGTTCGATGAAGACGTTCGTAAAGAGGTGCTGAGGACGCGTGAGTTTCAAGGGCAAGAGAGGAAGGATCTCTTGCAAAAGGTGGAGAAGACCTGGATCCAATACTGTAAGCTTCAACCCAGAAAGCAGTGCTTGTTCTGTCATACACATCGAACTCTCGACTCCAGGTCGCTGATTTTAGCAACTTTACTTTTCGACATCTTCGTAGCTAATGTGCTGAACTGTTTGATAGCAAACCTTGTTGTTGCGGCCAGGGACATGACCGCGCTCAACAAACCTACCTCCAGCGAGTACGATAGCTTGTGGTGGTGGATGCGCGACAACAAACCACTCTATGCTGGAGATGCGATGTTCGTTCGCGAGAGAGAGGATTTGATCACCTTACGCCCGGGGAGGGAGTATGCATCGCTCGATGCAATGGTCGAGAAGATGCTTAGATGGCTTCCATGGCCGGCGATAGGGGTGAGTTGCTTTCATTTTCACGATCAAGTTCCTAGGGATCCTGTCTCTTGCACAATATATCCGATCCTCTGCATACTCTCAATGATATGCTAACGACCGTCTCTCGTCCAGAATCTATTTCGTTCAAAGGTCAGTTCACCCCCATTTCACTCATACATGGCGCTTTGTATTGTCCTCTTCCGTTCGCCCCTCGACGGAACTGAGCCAACTAAGAAATGGTCCTTGGGTCGACGTTGACATGCAGTACCGCCACCTGGCAGAGACTCCATGGCGCCCGATATGAATGCTTACTCTCATTCCTTTCCCAGGAAACCCGCATGAAAACTGAAGGCGCAGGTGATGAGCCAGGCAACGGCACCGAAGGCGTGGTATACTATACCCGCCGTCGAATCGAAGGCGTGGTCAATACCATCATGATCTGCATGGTTCTTGCCATACTTATCATCCCTGTGTACATTTTGTTTCACCTCAGCGAACGTCCTCAGACCACGCAGAATACCGCGAAATGTATTGGTGTTTTGTTGGTTTCGACACTCGCGTTCGCCGCGGGTGTGAGTCTCTTCTCACGGGCAAAGAGGCATGAAGTCCTCGCTGCATCAGCTGGGTATGACATCATAACTCACTTGCGTCGGAGTTGCTGATAGCTAACACTTGTACAGATACTGCGCACTCCTCGTCGTGTTCATTGGTAATGTGGGAGGTGGACATGGCTACGGCTCGTCGTTTGCAAACTCGGGTTGACTCCCAAGTCTGGCGGCTCACGTAGGGTGCCGTGATAGAACAATCTGGTTCGGAAGGCACTATAGGGTAATCGATCTCATAGTAATAATAGTGATGGCTCATAAGCCCTCTGCACCTGGCGAGTTGAACGCTGTGAGATCACCAAGTTAAGTTTAGGTCTAGTCTAAGTGACGTGCAGTACTGTAGTCTATCCGCGCCCCTAAATCTCAAGCCTCGCGATGTACAGTGTAAGAATAGAGCTATGCATCGTTATCGTATCAATCCACAGATAGCTAAATAGCACATGGCGGGAGAAGAATACAACCCTATGGATCTCCACCTATGCGGGAATCTTCACCATTTTGATCGATTCAACCCAATCCAGTCGCTCAAACTCAGAATCTCAAGGTATTTCCACCCTCTCATTACTACTCCCCAGCTCACTCCTACCAACCTGCTTCTTCAGAACGGGATAATTCGAGAAATTGCCATCCGCAGGCATCTCTTCTCGGGTTGAAGTGACCGACATTTCAACCGGGACACCCTTGTGGTTGTCGCCGTCAAGGTGATTGGTGCTGCTCTGCTGTGAGCGACGTCGACTCCTAATAACGAAGAATGCGACGCATGCCAAAACAAGAGCGCCACCAACGACGGAACCGACGGCTATGCCTGCTTTTGCGCCGGTGGACAAAGACGAGGAAGAGGGGGTCGATGATGCTGAGGATGAAGCCGCAGGCAGGGATGATGATGTGGTGGGAGATGAGGTGGAGCTGAGAGTGGTCGAAGATGACAATGAGGACGTGGACGAGGTGGTGGTTGAGGAGCCGAATGTGAAGCTGGACGTAGACATCGGAGTCGGATTCACTGTTGGATATAGGTCCGTATCATCAGCTTTTGGTCCTTCGTCTTAGGCACCTCATAATGCCCCTCCAGGTTTTCTGGAAGGCTATGTAGAGATATGGGAGTCTGACCTACCGGATTGCGACGTGCTCGTGACATTACTCACACCAAGGGCGTCCAACTCAGCGCTCACGGCGGCGGCATCGGAGACATTGTAGACCGGACTCACGAAAGCGCTAACGCAGACATCATACTGATTTGGCGACGTTGTGCAGGTCTCGTCAGATGTGCAGCACCAACCTATTCCATCCGTTAGTACAGGAGCCCGAAATTTTGGCTTTTTGACCCTGACAACATACTATGTGTTACGAACCAGGACCTACGGCCAGGTCATGACCAAGAGCACGTCAACCCAGGAAGGAAAGCCTAGCAACGAAGGTACGTGGGAGGTAACCCTAAACAATAGGGAAAGAAGGCCATAAGTCACGTAACCTCCTTAGGGGCTCTTATAGCTCTTAGGGCTCTAACTATAAAGCTAGTAAAGCTACGTAGAGCCACAAGGTATTTACCCTATAGTTACGCCTATATAACTTATACTCCTTATATAGCTTCCCTTCGTAGTTAACTTCGTTAACGATTATACCTATATATTTAAGTATTGATTAGTCTCGCTCATATCATAAGCTTGCCCTCTTACCGCCATACCTTAGTACTTCCCCCTGCTTAGGAACCCCTTGTCTCGTGATACCCTAGTGGAGCGATTCATAACACTATGACCCTTGTTACTATATGTAGTCTGATCGTCTCCTTCGTCCGAGCATGATTCGCCCCAGGTCCAGCAATTTAGGCTAGACGCGGGACACGCGTACAATCGACTTGTCTCTAGTACATACGCACAAAGACCACCGTCCTCTGTGTTATGTTGTGCCGTCAAGTAGGCTCCGTTCCACGTGCAGACGTCGAGTACTGGACTGTAAAAAAACTCAACTTCGTATTGGCTTAGGGCAGGGACTGAATATGCTAGAAGAGTGAGCCAGCCTACGTACTGGCGATGGGTAGGAGAGAACATAATGGTAATGGTAGATGCTGCGGAGTCAGAGCCAGGGTGGTCTTCGACCTCCTTGCAGGCTGAAGAGAAAATTCGATATATATAGCGTTTTGTTCACTTTGAATGCCGCCGAAGAAAGGCAACCATTTCCAGTCGGAAGAGACAGCGGATCCGCAAGCATCGCATGATGCACATGGCAAGCGACGAATTTACTTGGCTGCGGTGTAAAAGTGGAGTTGATACAAGGTATGGCTTGTTGGAGCGGGAGGCCTGAACCGCCCTGATGGTGATCGGCAAACCCTGCTACATGGTTCAGATACAGCCACCGACTCCAGATTATCTGAAATAAGAAGGTGCTACTGCAAGCCTCGTTTTTGTTTACCGGCAAGGAATCTTGAGCCTTTGGACATCTCGTATCACACCACAGGGCTCCTGGAAGTGTAGCGACCCAGAAGCAACATGGGGAAAAGCTACCGGTCTGGACTGGCCCAACCGCTGCACCTGACTATCGAGCACAGTAAGTAGTCGACCCTGGTTTCTGGGCTGAGGACTATGGACCTATCGAGATCAAGGCATAAGTACTGTGGTAAACCGCTCGCACAGCAGTTCGATTCAGTGGATCTGTATGCATAACGGTATCTTGTAGCGCTAAACGCTCTTTCCTTATTATATTAGCACAGAAGCGAATGAGCAGGAGGTATCTTCATTGTTCTGTCTATAACCTCATGGTACGTTGCGAAACCATTCTTGAGCTTGATGACTCATATGTAGGGGTTACAGACTTGAGGATTCGGATGGTACTAAATTACTGATCGAGCATGCACGTCACAGTTAAGAAATCGCCGGTCAAGGTATTGGAAGAGCAAAAGAGCGAGGAGCCAAACAGCACGAGTGCTAGGATCTATTTCCCCGATACTAATCGCCAGCCTGACCACGGGAGTACGAACCCATTCCTTCTGCTGCCCATTGGCGAGTAAGCCAGACACCATCCGTAACGCGGTGGCCGCTGAAACAGCGTCCCTATTCTCAGTTGAGGGTGACTCGCCTGTTTACCGCGTTTCTAACGTGTTTTCTACGAGGACCGTTTCACACTTGGCCTCATGGCCACGATGCAGGTTGTTCAGTACTCGCTGCATGCTAGTCGAGACTTGGTCTCACCGGTTTTGGAAACCTCGTTCTCTGTGAGTTCAGTGAAATGTCATGTGGCGGTTGGGCCCTTTGGCCTGCTCCCATCTACAGAGTGACTACGCGAATCAGGAGGCGTTTTGAATAGAGTTCTCGGCAAGCCATGCCGCAGGTGAGGCTGTACGCAGAACAGTAGCTACTCGCGAGATCCCTGCTGTTTGCCACCTTCCGATGATCCGAACGGTGTGTCTCTTGCTATCAGATACCATACCATGCGTTGCGAGCTGGTCAGGCTGGCCGCCTTATATTAGCGAGTTCGCGTAAAGGAATCTCCGGGTTTGTAACACTTAATTAATCGATCGTAGACCCGCCGGGCGATCTTTGTTCCCCGCAATCTCCAGAAACTCGCAAAGGTTGAGGATTGTCCCTTTGACAGCCTGACTGTCTGTTCCTGAAACCAGCGATCGATACGCAATGGGGGAATAATTGAAGCCAGTCTTACTTGACCTACAATTCACACAGCCCAGCTGGTGTTCAAGCATTGTCTAAGTAATGTTGTGGGATGACTAAGTCGAGATTGAGTTTGACCTTGATCCACCCACACCCCTGAATCTCCAGCCTCGCGAGGCACGTGCACTTGCCTGTCAATGATGCAAAGTGTGGTGTGGCTATTCATGATCACAATCATTATGGACCACGGACAGCGAGCTCGGTAGCACGTTCAAAGAGAAAGATACACATACACTTCTTTGAGTAAAGGGCGCTATTGTGCTAGTCTGAATAGACACACTCCACGCATTGTCCATGTTTCATGCCCACAGACGACCCCTCGTCTCCCTGCGCCATGCTTTGAAAAGACGCCCAATTCCATTCAGCTCATACAATCAACATATCATCGTCAGTCAGCCACTGCCCTGTTCTTTCTGCTCGATGTGACGGGAAACCGCCCGCACCGCACTGAACACTTTTTTGAGGTCCTCAATAATCCGTGGTGAACTTTCTCCAGTGCTTGCCCTGGCAGCATTGAAACTCAATCTCGCACTCGCCCTTCTTGTCGTCACGATCATGAGGTCTTGCTTGAGCCCAAACCCTCAAATCCTTCTGCATAACACCGTCCGGTCGAAACACTACAGGCATTTCTTTTCGCTCCCATTCGCCGAATTTGAGGTGGAGTTGTCGAGGGCCTGTCACGCGGTCTCCGAAGACATGTTTCCAGACTCCGCCCACAAAGCGCTCTATGTCTCTAGTAATGGACGGTGGATGGAACGTGAGCTCTGTTTCTCCGTCGAGGAACGCCCGCACTATCGTCTTTGGAGACAGGTCGTTGAGATCAAAGGTTCCTCCGCAAGCATTAGGTCGTTGCACGGCGTGTTCGCCGGCGAGTTCCTCAAGATCAAGATCTTCCATGTCCGAGTCAGGGTCTATGTCGTCATAGGGTCCGGGAGCGCTCTGCATATAAGCCATGCCACAGTCAAGATAGACATGGAGGTTGTCCAGATTGAACAACCTGAGTTCATTCATTGTGTCTTGGTAGTCCTCCATCTTCAACGCGCTTGTGACCCGGTTTATGTCAAGGGTGAGACTCTTCAACATCGGGCACGTACGTCTGATGAGCTGAAGGTCGTGTACAGAGAAGACTCTGCCCCCATCGTCATTCATCTCTTCCTCGCGCATATGCAATTGCAGGTCTCGTAAGGTAGGACCATGTTGTAGGATGGTAAACAGTGAGACTTTTCCCCTCCATGACCACAGACTCAAGGTCTGCAAAGGGTTACAAGTGGCAATGTAGTGGTCGACGGCTTGCGCAGTCGCTGCATCGCAGCTCCAAGGGCTCAAATTGAGGCTGACATGTTTTAAGCTCCTCAGCACGTCTGCAGCCTTTGCAAAATAGGATGCGGACAATGGACCTCTGGTGCACTTGAAGGTTTCGAGGAGCGTGAGGTCCATGAAGCGTGACCAATAGTCTAGTGTTTGCGCAGCAACTGGCCAGCCATCTAAGGAGAAATGACGAAGGACAGTGTTGGGCTTCGATTCTGGCCATGTTGATATCCACTGCCGAATCTGTGGAGCACTGATGCCGAAGGACGTCAAGGACGCATGTTTAAGGTTTGGTGCTCTATTGATGATAGTCACAAACGCCCGTTGATATGATTCCGCGGAATGCGAGCCGCGCGGAATGTCCATCACGAATGTCGTTAGACACGTAGAGCCTGCCAGTGCCAATTCTGCATTCGATGGGATTTGGGTGCTGTACGGTCTCCGATTGTAATGAACCCTAAGTTGGCATTGAGGGTGTTGTTCTCCAAGGACTCTCGTTACTTTGCTTGGTGGTGGATAGGCGTCCAGCCAGGTTAGAGACTTGAGGTTGCTAGCCTGACACAACAGGTCCCGCAGCTGGGCAACCGCTCTCAATGCAGTGGCTCCATTCGCTGCAGACGTCTCCTGTCCCTTTACAATGGTCAAATGGCGTAGACCACAAAGTGCAGCTGGAGATTTCAGATTTTTCAATCGTCGACCACAAGGATCGACGAATGTCTCTCGATCATGGCACCACTTGAGTGTTCTGTGACGGTATTTCACAAGGTGGACTGCGTTGTTGAAATACTGATTGACTAGGACGATGGCTCGGGTGGTCTTTGGCGATACATCATCGACGTAGGCAAAGATGTCGGCGAGGATTTCGATTTCAAGATCGACAATGTTCGTAGGAGAGGTCATGGCGCCGATCTGACCGATCAGTTGAGAAATGCAGGTTTGCGGTGGATGATGGGTATCATCATAGATGAAACTGAAGCGAACGTGAGTTACAAAGGCAGTGGACTTGGGAGAAATATTTGAGATCCAAGGCAAGAGAAGAGAAGAGAAGAGAAGGAATGTGGTGAAGAATAGAAGTGAAGGAAGGCAAGTGAGGCATGTCTATTCGCCCGCCAAGCCAGTTTATAAGAAGGCGGCATTGTTTGAATCTCATCGACGGTCATATTGAGCCCGACGAGGAACTCGATTTACTTCTGATATCCCTTCATCGCATCGCCAATGCACGTATCTACCACGTTTGCTTTGTTTGTATGGCATTTATCTTTGATAGTTCCTGCTTCGTAGCCTCTGCATTAAATATTTGATGATGCTCCCTAAAGATGCAAACCACACGCCTCGCTGTAATAATATCGAAACCCAAGGTTGAGCCCATGCTTTTATCCAATTTTGAGTCTGACATCATGTTTGCTTCATTCCTTCGTGGTAAGCGGACGTCTAACATTCGCCGTCAATAACTGCCTCCTCCAGCTCCGAAAGCATGGACTCCTCAAGCAAGCTGTGACTGGCAACATAGCTAAACCCGCCGAAGGGATCGGACTTGCTCAATGTTCTGCTGTGTCTGCGAGGAGCGGCATCCACTGTCCGCTCAGTAAATTCTTTTGCAAAGTTTTCCGCGAGTTCTGGATTGGTTACCAACGGTCTGATGGGTGGTTCGAGTTCCCGAGCTTCCAACTTCTTCCAGTCGATCTTTTTGAAGAATCGATGCTTTTTGATGATACTGATGTCATTGGGACCAACTCCAAGTCGCTTCCTGGGCTCTTTGCGCAAGAGTCTGGTGAGAAGATCTTTGGCATCTGGCGACAGGAAATATGGCAGACTCAATTTTTGATGCATGATATTCTGTTGAATCTTGGTCCAATTCCCTCCGCCAAAAGGAGGTTTTCCGGTCATGAGGTCGCATGCCATGGCTCCCAACGACCACCAGTCGCAAGCCTTGCCGTACCCCGGACCCCAATCGGACTCCTCAGAGCCTCTGATGATTTCTGGAGCCATGTACTCGATCGTGCCGACACCCAAACTGTTGCAGCGGCTGCCCCCTGGCGTGCTTGAATCTTGAACTGCTACTTTGCTCAAACCGAAATCTGTCAGTAGCAGATGCCCTTCGGCGTCCAGCAGACAGTTCTCGGGTTTCATGTCTCTGTATATGACGCCCACAGTATTGTGAAGGTAGTCCAATGCCAGCACAATCTCAGCGATATAGAATGCGGCAACCTCCTCGGAAAAGAATGTTTCCAGCTCTAGATGACGGAATAGCTCTCCACCAGAGGCATACTCGAGAATCAAGTACAACTTCTCATGATCCTGGAAGGCATAATATAGGTTGACAATGAATGGGTGACGATTGACCAACTCCAGAATGGTTCGCTCAGACCTGGTCGACTCAATGCGCTTCTTGTGAATCTTCAAGAATGCCTTGGTAAGCTGTTTCTGTGCAAATAATCGACCGGTCGCATTCTGTCGCACTAGCAGCACAGTACCAAACGCACCATCGCCCAGACAGCGGATTGGTGTGAAATCGGCGGCAGTCATTTTGCGCGCGATCATTGACGTGGCCCGCTGATCGACGGTCATGGTAGAAGCAGACATCGAGCTGGCCACGGTCTCAACCAACGATTGACTGACAAAGTCCTGGTCAATCTGAACGTGGTAACTGACCATGTCGTCGGGGACGTCTTCAGCTTGAGTATCGGACGCGGCACTGGCAGCACTGCTGGGTGCTTCAGAGTCGAAGTTGTTCCGGACGCGAGAGGTTGAACGGCTTTCGCTGCGAGAGTTGAGTGCGTCGAGTTGTGCTTTCAAGCTACTGATCCCCGGTGACTGTGGGCGCAGTCCCGGGCTGGCACCGGCCAAAGCAGGCAAACGCGGCATGGGTGACAGGATGTGAGGGCTACTGACGGATGCGTCAGAGTCCTCCGCACCCGAGTCAAGCGGCGTGTGTGTGAAGCCTTTGACGGTATTGAGCGGCTGCGCAGCCTCGGTGGGCTTGTTCTTGTTCTTCTTTCTCCGCCTCTTCGCTGCGGTTGTAGACAAAATGACGCTACCCTTGGCTTCTTGTCGCCCTCTTTCTCCTTCCTGTCCAGCAGGAGACACTGCTCCACCGTTGACTGCGACCGCTTTTTGGGGTGTTGTAGGAGGGCTTTTCGTGCGGAAAGGTGTGATCTCAGGCTCGGCCGTTTCTGGGGCATTGTTTCCCAGCGCAATCGAGTTGAGAGCATCATCCAACTCTGTAGACCTCTCTGCAGCGGACTTCATGCCACTAGGGCCATTTTGGACTTTGTCCATGATAGTCTGGGTCTGGCCAATGCTCATTTTTCCAGACAGCAATGCTCTTCTTTCGCAGATCTCAAATCTGTGTCAAACAGTGTTTTTATCTCAAGTTATGGATTACCGTCCGCCCTCTGTTCAAGGCGGACCTTGCGCCAGTAGCCAAACGACGCGTTGACAGACTGTAAGATCGGTTCCAATTTGCGTCTCAATCACACGAGAAAGCGCGCACGAGTCGCAAGTAGCGGCAGGAGTGCATGGAATAAGACTGTGTGAAGTAGTGGCTGCAAATCGACCCATTGAAGGTGGTATCGTCTGGTGATGATGAAGACAGAATCAAATATCGGACAGTGTAGAATAGAAAAGGAGGAAGAGTGTTATTACTTGACGTGCCGTGCCAGCTGTTTGCGAAACGTGGTCAGCAAGCGCAACCCTGGCTGCGAAATCTTGGAAAGTCGTTCCCGCCTTCAATTCAAATTTGGCGACTGTGACAGGCTCACTATGGCCCGAGCCACAGAACTCCCCGGATCCGTCACGTGTGGCGCCGCCGCTTGCCGCATAATCGGATTCTGGGGTGAAATCTCGCCGGAAACGGAAAAATAGATGATGCGGAGCAGAGGTGGCAGTAGTCTGCGGAACGTCTGGAACGCCTATAAGCTTTAGGCTTCCGATACCTAAGTTCCCAGGCGCTTCGGGTAAAGGGCTTGCCTAGATAATCTCAGAATGCGGAATTTTCAAAGCCGTGACCAAAAAGATTACTGTTACAGGACAACAAACATCACCAGCAGCACATAGAACTTGACTCAATGACAATACTAGTATGTGGTCCTTAGGAAGTCGACTATGGACTGTACTGGTTGGTGGAGTATGCATTTACCTATTCTGCATGTTCCGTCGTAGTGCGGACAGAGGTCGAGTTGCGCCGCCGTATGCCACGGTGACAGCGAAAGCCAAACAACCAGAACCATCACAAACACCATATTTTCCATCTCACTATTCACCGTCATTCGACACACAATATCTCGGAATCATGGACAAAGTCATTCTAAAGAATCTCAAATTCGACCTCGCTGTCGGTCTCGACGCATGGCGGCGCTTCGGCAAGCCACAGCCCGTCTCAATCACTGTCGAAGTCGTGCCAACGTCAAACCTTGAAGCTGCCGCCGCTCAAGATAATGTGAACCTCTCACTCGATTATGGCAAACTGTACAAGACACTCCCTGGGAACCTCACAAATGGAGAATATCCGACCATTCACGTTCTCATCTCGAGTCTCGCCGAAATGATGCCAGATTATGCTTTTCTCGACATCGACATTCACTTTCCAAAAGCTCTCTTACTGGTGACCGGGGGCGTTCTATATCGTCTGCAGGTGGACAACTCGACGCCTGGTGTGACTACGCCAAGCTTGACATTGGACATCAAACAGATTGCCTGTGCTTGCATCATTGGAGTGAACCCGCATGAACGTCTTTACAAACAATCGTTATTCATTGATGTCAGCATACCCATTATCACCACAGCCCTCGGACCAAAGCCCACTGAAGCACACTGCACTGCCGAGCTGCATGATATGGTCCAAGAAATTGTTGAGGTGAGTGTAAGGATCCTCTGCAGATAGACCCGGTTGCTGATCAAAATATCTCTTTCAGAAAGTCGATGGTTCGTCATATCATACAATTGAGGCACTTGCATCGGCAGTGGCACAAATTGTCACCCTCAACTACGGCCATACCGTGGCTAAAGTCCGCATTGAGAAGCCTAATGCTATCGCCACGATTGAAGCAAGTGCTGTTGAGATTACTCGTAGCAAAACCTTCTTCGAAAACAAAGACTTTTGGAAGGTCAAAAAGCCTTGAAAAGTCCATGAATGGCTTCAGCTGCTTGTCAAATCCACAATGCTGATGCGAGGAGGACGTGTCGTCTTGGACAGATCCACCCGAGATCTACCGTCTGCCTCGCCCTCGGTTTCTTTCCAGGTGCCAGGCAAGCTGCCGCGGGGGAAAGCACGGATATGGGTGCCGGAGAAGGTTGACTTGAGCCCTGTGCTTATCTCGGGAGGTATTGCAGGCAGATCTGCTTCTGCGAGGGCTCTTGCTGATGTTGCCTTTGCCTTGCGGCTTTTAGCTATATAGGGAGCAAAGTAGCTCTCCATAGTCCGGTTGGGTCGGCCGGGACTGCTTGTCGGTGGTGGATCACTTGAGATTATTATTGTCTCAGGCTCGGGCAGTGTGCGGACTTCTTGGGCACGCTTTCTGTTCCGTCGTTGCGTCACAGCAGCCGGAATGCCCTCGGGCTGCAGAATCGTTGCATTCATGCCGCGTTGTGGCGTCTTTCGATCAACGTCTGGCTGAACAGGCGATGTGATCATCTGAATCGGTTCATCGGCAGGCTTAGCCTTGACCTCGTGGTCGGGCATGACATCCTCGGAAGGATCATCCGCAACCGCTAAGAGATGCCGGCTCTTGCTGGTGTTGAAGGACTCCTTCACTGTAGGAGACCTTATGAATTCGGACTGACTCAATGTCGACTTCGAAGGGGTCCTGGGAGCTTTCTGTGCGGCTGCTGAGGACTTGGAAGGTGAACGTGGCTGTTCCTTGCTCTTCATTCCTTCCTCTGCTAGATTGCTTCGTGCTTTAGTGGCTGTCATATAGTTCAACAAAGCCCCTGCTGGCATACCACCCGCATCTTTCTGCTTCCGTGCCTCCTTCTGTTTTCGAATGTTCCGAGTCGCGAATTTCTTGGGGTCGTTCTGGATTTCTTCCTGAATTTGCTGCCACTTTTCAAGGTGCTCTCGAGCTCCGATCTCAACTATCGTCTCTGCAATCCACATCTTCTCAGGCACATCGGGCAACCACGGTGGAGTCTTTCTCTTTTTTGAAGGGCTTGAGAGCACAAGTTCGCCTTGATCCTCATTGCCAGCTTCAGCATCATCTTGACCTTCATCGTCGGCCGCCAGGCTCTCTAGGTATTCACGACTGTCTTCTTCTGCGTCAAGGTCGAGACCAACAACCTCCGCCGGAACAACAGTGACCCTCAGTTCGGGGATGCCATCGCTTACAAAATGTTTTCTCCGCTCCGTGATCTGGTTGTGTGAGCGTATATCCAGAGCAGCCGCGCCACGTCTTAATCGACTGGCAAGCAACGCTGGAGCCATGACTCTGACAAATTTCCAAGCGCCCGGTTTATAGAGCCATTCGAATGTGTCTGCAACATATTCTCGCATGGCCAGGATGTCGATTTCCGACTGCCATGCCTGCTGCCACTTCCTTTCGAGAACGGGTAATCCATCATCTGGGGTGACCACAGGGTTCAGATAATAGCCAAGTATCTTGCGGTCGGGGAATGCCTCTGGAACCTGTACGGCTTTCCGTTTTACCTTGAAATACCCACTTTCATTCGTTTCAAGCTCAAATTGCAAACGTTCTCTCCACTCCTGGATCCCGTTTTCATCACCTTTCCGCACAAGCTCCAAGAGGTCGCTTCCAAACCCAGCTCGTGCGATCTCGCAGGCCAGAGTAGACCCGATGCCACTCACACCTGCTTCATCATAGTCTCCACCACTCAGAAGGGCCACCAGAATCATTCCATCCGGGTCCAGCCCTGAGAAGGACTTGATCCGGGGCATATCAAGCACATTGACGTGCGTGGGTGACTTGTTGTGTTTTGAGGCTTCTTTGGACCAGTCCCGCAGTGTCAAGGTTGATCCGAACATGATCGCATCAACGTCTTGGCTCATCACGGCATCCACCAGACCATTCCGCTGGAGCATAGCACATTCCGCTTCGGCCTCTCCTGGGGCTGTATGATGCGGAAACCGGAATGCCTGGATGAGTTTCTTGGAAGTCTCGTTTGAGATGCATGACCCGTACCTCGAGACGGTCTTGCCTCGCTTGGTGAGAGGTTTATTCTTGCCATCGTATACAAACACCGGATCAATTGGCAAAGCAAGTAGTTTCAACAGACGGTAAAAGAGTGTTCGAAGGGCAGGATTCTTTCCACCTTGGCCGGCCTGGGTCTGAAAGTTCCATATTGCTGCATCGATGGCTATGCGCAACGGTCGGTGTGAGCGTTCAAGATGCTCAATGGCCAACTTTGCTAACGCCACCCGCTCGCCCTTACCGATCTCTTTTAGGATGCTTCACGAGGAAGTCAGTACATTGTACTTTGTAAGCGTGGATGACACTGGCATACCCTGGAATCCCCATGGCTACAATTCTGGATGTGCCATGATATTGACGCTGATAGCAATACCGTAGCGGCCGCCTTGCCAACACTGGTCAAGTCTCAAAGTTGTTTGTTGACGCGTAGATGAAGTCAAGCGGCTCTTCTTCGGCGGCACGTAGGCACGTGATGAGATTTATCGATATGGCAAGCACATTCACGACCGCGAGAGCACCGTCGAGCCCAATGTCGCTGCAACATTGTCACTTTCGTTCGTAAGTTCAGGTGTAAGACCTTAAAGAGCGTGAGGTTGGTTGGGGCGAGAGGGGGCGACATGCTGCTACGACCAGAGCCATGACATCTGCAGTCGCATCTGCCATTCGACCTGGGCTACGCGATAGACAGCAATCCGGCTCTCCACATACTCCTAGTCGATACATATCCTCCGTCCAGTCTTCGCCAGGCTCGTCCTTCTTCCGCGCGGAGGAAGACCCGATTATCATCGAACTCGATCCGCGTGGACTCAGCGCAGGCTTTCAAGGAGAGAGCGGGCCTCAATGCACGATCCTCTTTACTCCGCAGACTTCCAGACGGGTCGGCGACCACCGCACGTATCTGCCAGACTACAAGAGGCGGAAGGATGACCTCCAACCCAGGAGCAATGACTTCGAACTATGGAGAAGTGATGTCAAAGATTTGGATCTAGGTCTGCTGGAAGACAAGCTAGAACGAGCAGTACGGGAGGCATATAACAAACATCTGCTGGTCGATGCTGGATTGGCCCGTCTGATCCTGGTCTTGCCGTCCCTTGTGCCGCATCCTGTGCTATCGACGGTCCTTACGCTCTTGTTTGAGCGATGGAAGTTTGCGTCTATCACTCTTCTGCCCTCGCCCACCATGACAGTTGTTGCGGCAGGCTTGCGTTCAGGGTTGGTTGTCGATGTCGGTTGGGAGGAGACAACCATCACCGCCATCTACGAATATCGAGAGATCCTGGTTCAACGCACCGTTCGTGCCATGAGGGCACTCACTTTGAAGGTCGGGGCACTTCTGGAAGAGATCAGGAAACAGCAAGATGCATCCATTGGAGACTCCCTAGTCTTGGATTTTGACTTCGTGGAGGAGTTCATCGACCGTACTGGGACATGTCATGGACTTTTACCAGATTCAGAAGATGACTTGACTGCAAAAACAGACGCCTTGGACCTTGATGATCACCCAGCCGACAATACCACGAATGCACCAGCTACTGATATCGTGATCGAGTGGCCTACTCTCACATCAACTCGCCCTGTGTCAATTTCTCGAGCAGCACTGCAAGATGCTTGTCGCCGAACTCTCGTAGGAACGACAGATGAAGACCAACTGGACGACCACGAACACTCCATCAGTCAGGTGCTCTACCGAGCTCTTCTCTTTGTCTCAGCAGATGTACGCAGCCTCTGTATGTCTAGGATCGTCTTCTCTGGGCGTGGGCTGAGAATTGCTGGTCTACCAAAGTCCATCCTTGACAGAACCAATAACATCATCGAAGAATATGGCTGGACCGCTGTTCGGGGCAAAAACTTCAATTCTAAAAGAAATGGACTGAAAGAGCTTGCTCGGGCCAGAGCTGAGCCAGTGGATGCCCGACATGACACCACACGACCTGGCGTCGGTGATTTTGTGGAGGAGAGACTTCACAAACAAAAGTCAAAAGACACGAACCCTTCAATATTGGCGAGCCTTCGACAGGTGGACACTTTGGGACCTTGGGCTGGAGCAAGCCTTGTGTCCAGCCTGAGAGTAAGGCCGTTTGTTGAGATCGAGAGGGAGAAGTTCCTTTCCCATGGTCTGGCAGGGGCACATCGTGATCTGGATTTACCCGTTACTTCTCAACGACCAGCGGCCGCAAAGCAAGGCGAACGGACGAGCTGGACTCTGGCTGGTTGGGGCTGATCAGCAGGATATAAGCACAGTGCCTGCAATAACCACCTTCTCCTGTAAGCCTACAATCTCAACGGCTGGGTGTGAGCTCAGAATGCCACCGTCCGTGAGAACAAGAATTAGGAGAGTTTCTCGTTGTGCTCGTTGTGGTCTCATTGCCGCGGCGATGTGCCTGACTTGAGAATCCATGCACTAAATAGGTCACCTCATTCGCTCTGCACATATTCTACCCCTGGCCCCATCTTGTACCTATGGCATCCTTGGATCATTGTGTTCATCTCAATTGTTTGCACCTCACAGCAGGATGGCACGTGACAAAGGACAAACCTCTCACATGGGCAACATTGTCATGGACGGGCTTGTGATTCCTAATGTGTGTTTGTGGCGGAGGGACAACAAGGAGGACGACAAACTCATACGTCCAGCCACACCGCGTTGCTGTAGGAGGGTGACCGTGTTGGAAACCGATGACGATGAAGCATCATTCTTCACTTCTTCAGCCCGCCGCACCCATGAATACACTGCTGACCCAGTGATTCTACTTTTTGAAATAGAAGAGGACAACACAGACGCGAAGAATTTTACTGCGGGACACTTCCACAAAGCCATACCTCCGAATCTCTGGAGAGCTATCCAGGCTACCCTCACCTTGCGTCGAATTCCTTAATTTCTGAAGAGTCAAACGCCAGAATGGACGACGGCGTCAGCAAGAACCCAACAATGCCTACCATGCGTTCCGTCAGTGAACCTCAGCGCACCAACTCGATGACGGACAATATCAAAAGCATGTTCTCAAACTTGAAGAAAGCAGCCTCAGTCGGCGGCAACAGCAAACCATACAATGCAGACCCTCTCGCCATGGACGACGACCCTCTTCCTGACTGTCCACGTATACTCGAAGGCCGCCTCAACCAGCACCTAGGCCAGCTCGATCGTCTTCGCCGGGCTGTGAAGTGGCGAAACAAAGAGATCAAAGAGGTCTACGACGAAGCGGCTTACGAACGACGTGTCAATCCCAACGGCACTACTCTGGTGAACCAGATGATGGCGGAGATTGAGTTCCTTCGTGCTAATCGCAACAACTACGCGAGGTTCGTCGAGGCCCAGCACTATCAGATCCAACGCATTGCGGATAAGAGGGCGGAGATCGACAAGAAACAGGGTCAGGAGTGTACTGTGTACGAGATGTATATGAGTCTGAAGCGCAGAGATGAATGGGCGGAGCTGTTCTCGTTTTAGGACTGCAATGTTGGCAGGGTGGTCCTGTTCGGCCTGGATTCACGGTGCATAAGGGGTTGAGTCGAGACATGAACGTTTGAGGGTAGAAGAGCATGGCAGGAGAACATTGTCGATGGACTTGGAAGTTGTGTGCCCTGCACGTCCCAACGCCTGGATACTTGAGACAGAAAGTTGCAGTGTACCTAGGTACTACTATGACATTATTTCTGCCAACTTATATTTTTTAGACCTATGCCTCCGTCAGACGTCGATTCCCAAGCTCCTACACCTCGCTCTGAAATCGTCCATACCAACGTAGGCACCACAAACCCTACGCTTGCCCTCAAACCCGAGCCTACCGTGCAGGACTCGCCAGTTGTCGAAGATGACAGGTTCCCCCGGTTGCAACTTGACGGTAATGAGGAATTCAGGACTCTCCAGGATACGAGCCCACTCGCGTGCTGCAGCGTACCAACTCTTTAGCGCGGTGTGGCTGGGGAAACTCGGCGTCGTCGGCGCCATGCGGTCCAAGTTGTTCCATCGGATCTGCACAAGATTTGAAGGCGATGGATTGGGTACGCTCCCGCCCGGCGAAGAGTGGTTCAGCACTGGGTAGCCCTGCATGCTGCTCGCTGTGTTGTAAAATGAGCCTTCGGGCGCGCCCAACGCGGCTGATGTGATTGGGATTGTGGCCAGGTAGCGGTAATGCTGCGGGAAGTGCTTGTGCAGGTGGGCTGCGGCGGCAAAGCCGTCGACGAAGGTCGATTCGCCGCCCTGACCGGGCTGGGTGGTGTCGTGGACGGATGTGTGTGAGAGCAGGTGGAAGAATTGTAGGCCGGCTGGGTCGGTGAAGTACGTATTGTCCGTATGTGGAGGGAGTGGATCGTTCGTGTAGGCTGTGTCGATCGGGTTGACTTCGCTTGTGAAATCCCAGAAGCCGCCGTAGTGGGTGGCGCGGATGTGGGATATACGTTCGATGAGGTATTGGGTGGCACTCGGGTTTGGCGGAGTGGATGGGATGAAGCAGAGGCCATTGTTGTGGATGGCGGAAAGGAAGGAGGTTAGGCCTGAGGTGTCTGAGGTGTCCATTATGGTTGGGAAAGGGACTTGTGGGAGTGTCGAGGAGGGGAGCGAAGGAGTCCATTGTCGGGTTGGTGGAGGGCGGACTGCGCGTTTGGAGGAGGACTGAGTGAAAGGTGGGTGTGTTGAGAGCCACGACCAAGAGTATAGGCTCGTGTGGTTGTTTGGCCATGTTATTTGTAGGCCAGACGGGGTGGATTCGGCACTTGAGACTTTGATCTCAGGGTCGACGGTGAAGGTGTCGAGTTGGCGTTGGTGAGTGGAAGGGTGTTGGCATTCCGAGCAGGGGCAGTGGTCTCGCAGCCAGAATGATGGATACCGAAAGGCTGTGCCGTCGAAGTCGACTAGAACTTCTTGGTTGGCCATGTCATTGACCATGATCTGGGGAACTGATGAGGTGGTGGATAATGACCGTGGGAGTGGCGGGTTCGATTGCCATGGTGAAGATATGAGTCGGCGGCGCAGAGATGGACTTCTCTTTAGAGACGAGGCGATTTTGGTTGGCTTCTTTTCAGTACATCTTTGAGTGTTGAAGCTTCTCAAGGCTTGCATTCTCCATTGACATTGTATTTTATGTCCAGGCCGGACGAGAGCTCTGGAAGACTGGGGCTTCATCTTCTTTGTTTGTCAAGACACACGGTATGAGGGAGTAGACCCTGCCGTTGATTTTATTGAACAGCAGAACAGGCCTTGATCATCTGAAATACCATTATTGAATACACAGAATACAATGATACCGCAAAGCATAGGACGAAGTCGGAGGCCAAGAAACTCGATGGAGACTTACGTAATACACGCGAGGAAACCTAAACCACTTCTACTCGCCGCACCATCATCTCTTATCCTTGCAACAGTCTCGATGATATCAAAAGACCCATGCTTCCACGACCTTATACTGATGGACGTAAATCTTGTGCTAAATGCACTTCTGCAAAAGTCCGGAGAGAGAGCGAGGAACCTCCTGGAGATACACGACCAGGAACCACCATGAAGTCTCGCTGATTGGTCACATTGGCAGCAACCATCTTCTTGACTCATCTCCAAGTCGATCATACCAAAAGACGACTCCGCGGCTTGAAGGCACACTAACCTAACTTAGGCGGCCAGTGATACAACATAAGATGGACGGGTGACCCCTCAGTTATCGCGAACCAAACTACCCAAGATTCATCCACCCAGTTCAACACTGAAATACCTAAAGTACCTCCCACAAACATGTACGACACCGAACATAGCCGCTGGCAAGCTGTCCAAGGCCGTTGCAAGGCCGCTGACTCGGCCTTCGTCTACGCTGTCATCACCACCAAAATCTTCTGCAGACCGACGTGTCCTGCTCGCCTGGCTCGCCGAGCCAACGTGAAATTCTACGACTCTTCAGTCAATGCATTGAAGTCGGGCTTCAGACCGTGCAAACGCTGCAAGCCTGATCAGTTTCACCTCGTGGGCACCGACATCACGAAACCTCAGAAAGAAGTGGTGAAGAAAGCTTGCACCTATATTCAAGAGATGAAAGGCGAAACCACGCTTAAGAAGATCGCTCAGCACGTTGGTATCTCAGCGAGATATCTTCACGGTGTATTCAAAGAGATCACAGGGTCGACACCAGCCGTTTATGCGGCAAGGTTCAAGAGTGAGGATAGCTCTGCCGCCGCTTCACATGGATCCTCTCCTTCCCTGGACAGTGCTGGAACTACACTACAAGCAACGACAAGCAACTCCGATATCATTGATGATGAGGGGTGTGAAACTCCTAACATGGACTTTGCATTCTACACCTCTATCGAATCTTATGAAGCCGCCGAGGAGCAGCTGAGAGTTCTCTACGATCAGCAGGCCGCACTGATGTGGGACTGCGAGGCGATCATGGCGAACCCTACAGAACCTGTGGCATTCGACTGGGAGAAATGCTACAATTCCTCGGATTGGATCGAGTCACCTTCACCGGGTGACCAGCGAGTTGACTCTACAGAGATGGATGCCATGTTATTGCCCATTGAAAACGCAGTCACATGGCCAGGGGTAGATGTGGGAACCATCGAGGACTGGCCTTTTCTTGACTTCGGGCTGAACCCGTCTATGCAGGTTTGGTCGTTGAAAGTTAGTCAATGAAGTTTGCCGGATATTTCCAGTCCGCTACATTTCTTCCACCGTCTTCCAAAGTCGGCACAGGGAGAGATGGTCATGGTCCACACCATCATCAATGATGAAAATCGCAGAGATTGCCCCTGAGCGGGAGGTAAATGTGTCGGCCTTCGCATGATTGTAGCGATAGGGGAGACACCTAAGTTGAAGTGTGCGGATATGAGCGGTGCATTGAGGCCTCGTCCTGGGTGGAGTGGAGGGAATGTTTTTCCAGTTTGCACCATCGCCTAATTCGACTAGTTCATGCTCGAACAGAAACCCCCGGTGACGCCCATACTTTTGCTTTAAGTTACCCAGCATTTCGACGGTCTTTCACGCGGACAATCATCGACGAAATTGTCGACCTGCGCATATCTTGTAATCACCCTTATCTTTTTCTCGAGCGGGCTTGTCCGTGAAGGCTATCACGATATATGAAGATGAGTCTCCTTCAGGTCGTGTAGATATCCGGATACCTAGACACCTGCCTCAGTGCTGTTGAGCTGTGGCCATGGATAGCGAAAAGAGCGCAGAGTTCCCAGGGGCGCTTGCCCCTGATACAGCACCAGCCTCAACAAGCGTACCACACCGGAGTCGCTCCGTAGTAGCGCAAGATGTCACGGATGCCGACCTCATCAATGTCTCTGGTCACAAGCAGGAACTTGACCGTCTATTCGACAGATTCAGCGTCATCTCGACCGCCATAACAACTGGCAATGTCTGGATTGCGCTGGCCGGAACCATCACCGTGGCAATCTATAATGGCGGACCTACCGGTATACTCTACGAGTTCATCGTCGTTTCTTTCTTGTACTGGTTCATCGCGGCCTCCATTGCTGAGCTTGCCTCTGCCATACCTTCATCTGGAGGAGTGTATCACTGGGCGACCATCACAGCAGGTCGCCATGGACGTATTTGCGGATACCTGGCCGGATGGTGGAACTTCTTCGCTTGGATCTTCGCGACCGCTGTCACGCTGGAGATTGTTGGGGCGATTATCATCACCATGGCACAACTGAACGCGCCCTCGTACGACTATCAGCGCTGGCAGGTCTTTCTGGTGTTCATCGTTTGCGCATGGCTTTTTGCTGCCATCGTGCTCTTCTTCAACAACGCTATCCCACGGATCGAACAGGTTGGAGGATTCTTCATCCTGGCTGGTTTCCTGATCACGGTGATTGTGTCTGCTGTCATGCGGCACTCTCAAGGACGTCCTTATGCTACATCTCATCAGGTGTGGAACGATTTCACCAACCTGACGGGATACTCAAGTTCCGGATTTGCTTTCATCTTGGGCATGCTCAACGGGGCTTTCGCCGTTGGCGTGCCGGACCTGACGAGCCACCTTGCCGAAGAGATGGAGAACCCAGGGAAGAACATTCCAATTGCGATACTTTCCCAATATGTCGTCGGATTTCTGACGGCACTCTTCTATCTCGTCGCCATGTTCTACGCCTTGACCGACCTTGACAGTCTGTTCGATACTCCCTATGTCTTTCCCTTGGGCGAGATATATCGACAAGTCACTGGAAATGCAGCAGGGGCGACCGGGCTACTGTTCCTTGTTCTGGCACCCAGTGTCATTGCTTGTCTTGGTTGTTATCTGACTGCGTCTAGAGTAAGTGACATTCGCGGAAGTGCTGCTCGTCACCAATCTTGCTAATCCTTGACTAGATCTTTTGGACACTGGCGCGCGACAAAGCCACACCTTTCGCTGGAGTGTTCTCGAAGATCTCACCTCGCCTGAGAGTTCCTGCGGCTTCAATCGTCCTGTGTGCGGTCATCTGTACGATTCTTAGCTGCATCTACGTGGGCAACCTGACTGCTTTCAACGCTTTCACCAGCTCATTTGTTGTTTTGTCGATGGCATCATATCTTGCCGCGATCCTCCCTCACCTTCTTTCCAGACGAAAGAAGGTCGTGCCAGGATATTTCTGGATGAAAGGCCCCATTGGTTTCGTGGTAAACACAGTAGCGTGCGTGTTTATGCTTGCCTTCATCGTTATCTTCTGCTTTCCGTTCGCGTTGCCGGTGGATGCGGAGACCATGAACTACACGTGTCTCATCTTTGGTGGTCTCACTTTCATTATGTTGTCGATTTATATGTTCCTGCGCAAAGGCTATACTGGACCTCAAGTGATCATGCTAGGACCGAAGGTTGAGATGACTGCACAAGAGTATCGGAATTCGATCGTGGCGGACATGCATTGAGAATGTTCGAGCATCGCTTAGTCAAGACAATGTACACTATTCTGCCTCACCGCACACAGAGTATCCTACCGCCTAGTTCGTTCGATCAAAAAGTGAAATACATCCCTCGTGAGTTGAACCTCACTTCGCAAACACTGTCTGCACCTAGGCCACTCACCCGAAAAAAAAACAAAAACTCAAACCCGAAGGGCTGAGGAAACCCCTTATGGGATTTATTACAATTTGAACTCTTCTCTCCGACTTCACTGCTGGGCTCAGCTCTACCAATGGTAGATGAACAGTGAGAGGTCGAATACTGGAAGGGAGTTCCAGGAATCGTTATATCGAACTCCAACCGCTCTCTGAACACTTGCAAGCTACCCTGTTTAAGCCGAGGAAATCAGGCCGGCAAATCTTGCCCAAGTGGGATGGTTCAGATACTGGAAGAGGCAGGGTTCGATATAGGACAGAATCCTGTTAACGCACTCGTCTCTCTGACTTCACTCTCCCACTCAATGGGTGGAGAGCCGAGTGAGAGGTCAGATACTGGAAGGGAGATTGTTGAGCAGTTTTCTGGAACTTTGGCCTATAAAGAATCAATTAATTCGGGATTCATGTGACCTGTGACCGCGGCTAGAGGAGGGTGCGGTAGATGACGGGTTTGCTATGCCAAGGGGTCGTGGTGAGTGCGAAACACAGGTGGTGTATGTGTTGCTGCAAATGTTGATAAAGTGTGATACTGCGTTATAAATTTGCACATCGGCACATCGACACATCATGGATTGCTTCGTGACTGTTTTAAGAATGTTGATAGAGCCTCGTCCGTGTGGGTTCCACCAATCATCGATCGCGTCTCCAAGCTTTGATTGACTTTCTCGACTACCTTGATAACTTCCAACCCTGCAACAGCTACCGCGACTTGTGTCTTTGCTTATGCTCGCGCGCAATAGGCTGATCATTCAGCAGTGCTGTTGTAGTATCAGGAGGGCATTCCACTGCCCGCAGCCTTGCGCCTTCTTGATCGGATGATTCTTCCGAGCGCCTCGCGACGCTTTCAGAGAAAACAAAGACCTCTACTCCTGGTGAACACACGCATCTGGCGCAACATGTTCGGTGAAAACTCTCGCATGACGCTGTCAGTGTCAGCGTTAGATGACACGGTTGAGTGAGTTCGGTATCAGCTTCAAAGGAGAAGGGGTCTGCTCGTCACGCCTGCTGTAGGATTAACTTACCCCGTTGATGCTATTACATCACTTGAAGCAGCTATGATGTCAACTTGCATTCCTGGTACTACTTGTACTGATAGACCAGCTTCTAGCTGCGTCTCTACTTGACCTGACTACCTGACTATTTGCAACATCTTCTTTCTCAGAGAAACGTTGACTATACACCGTCTTTCTAGCATCAAGAAACCGTTCTCTACGACACGATACGAACAACAGTCAATCAAAATGTCCTCCTCACTATTTCTCCGCCGGTCCCTCTTGCGCCCATCTACTTTCTCTCCTGCACGAACACCAGCGATTCGAGCCTCCCTCCGTCAAACCTATGCCACCACCACCAAAGGAGACAGCAAGTCCGCCACGAGCCTGGGTACATCTTCCCCAAAACCCAGCGACAGCGAGGCCGAGGGCGATGTCAAGTCGAGTCGGTCTCTGGACGGAAAGAAGCAGGAAAGTGGCAGCAGCGTTCAGCAGCCAGTTAGTGAAACTGGGGAAACATGGGACGAGGAAGGAAGCGCCGCAGGCACGAAAGACCCGAACAAGCCTGCGGGCCAGAAGAGAGAGGAGATCCTGAAGGAGGGACAGAAGCCTCTTGATTCGGCGGATAAGCCTGTTGAGGGTTCACGATCATGAGTGCTAGCCGAGGAAGGGTGTTCACTATGCCATAATGCGGAGCTATGAGAGCAGACAGGTGCCAAAATATCAATAAGAGTGGAATACTTGCGCGGTGATCGTACAAATGCTCCTGCCTTGAATCTACTGCTTCCAGATCGACATGCTACATCGCTGATATATCATGATATACTGAAAGCCCCCTCGTGCGTTCTCATCTGCCTGTGATGCAGTCTTTTACCCAACTGGCCGTACCCATCCTGGATTTGACACCAGGTCATGCTTTGTCTCGTCAATGCCAGACAAAGAACCTCATGGCCAATGGACTCGCAGTTTCAACTTTCATAGACATTACGATTGTGCCAACAATGAATGTTTCCTTTGTTGCCATGAATAGGTCCCCCAATGCTATTAATGTCATACCCAAGTCGAGGCAGTATGGGATTGCTGGCCGTCCCACAAGGCAAAATTTCTCTTCGAGATACAATCCACGTTACGACCAAGTGCAAAAGCATCGAGCTGGTATCGAGTCATAATGAGTGCGTCGTCGCCAATATCTCCGCTGTTAGCGGACATCGAAATACTTCCGGTGCGCAACAATTCCTACTTTGACCTTAGAGCCAAGGCAGCGTCATCGAGCAAGGTGTCGCGGATGAACCCCATTCCGGAAGAACTAGTCGAGTTGAAGCCGGAGCCTGAAGACGACTTAATTCGCTGTGAGTCATGTGAGGGCGAGCAGCAGTCGGAGCAAGTCCTCGAGTACGTCGCGAAAATACGGGAGGCCATAGCATTGCAGGGCCAGAGAGTGAGAAAGGAGACCCTCGCTAAAGCCGACGAGGCAAAGCAGCAGGCGTACGAACAGGAGACGGCGGAGGTCGCGAACCACATCTCAGGAAAGAAACGGGAGAGTTTGCTCCGAGTTTTGTCCACCAAGACCAAAGATGGATTGACCGAGATCAGGTCAGAAGGACGGAGATTGTCGATGCTGTTGTCGAAGAAAGGAGAAGATAAGCAGGACTTACAGCTCAAGATCAGCAGCACAATACCCTCGCCTACCTCTCATGCTAGCGACGAAGTTGCAGAGGGCGAAGACGTCGCTCTTCTCTCGACCAGAGCTTCCAGTTCGACGTTGTCGCTCACGGCGAACACTGAATGCGAGTATCGTCCACTTGCGCAGACATACCGACCTCGAAGTGAAGGCGGCTATAGGCGCGTGAAGTCGAGCTTCCGAAAGAGAATTGATTCCGCCAATAGTGCAGCAAGGCATGTGAAATATGCTGCCATCAATTTATTGAGCGTGCGGCGGAAAACAAACGGTTGGTCCAGGCTGGATTGATAAGTGGGAGTCAACTCTGGTCTTGTATGATGGCGGAGGACATTGCTGGTCGGTGTTGAGAATCTGTAGGGTATACTCTACTGCTCGTTGTTGAGCTGTGTGAGATTAGATGGCATTTCTGCAAGTCTGTGTACGATTAGTGTATCATCAATGCTTGATGTTGTCCAAATGTCGACATATCGGGATCGAATCAAGGTCTGCAGGTGTTTCAAGGCTGTTATTGACGTTTACCCAATCTTTCCCACACAGACTCGATTGCATCATTGATTTTGAAAAGGGTTCAAGAAAAAGAAGTCCGGGGAAACGTACGGGGATCTCCGACCCGATGGATTCAACTCCCGAAGAGGTTCTCCCACTACCTAGGTACGAGTAGGCGTGGTAGGTAAGTAAGTATGATTTTAGGAGAGACTTCTCATGATCTCACCATCTGTGCCACCATATCCATCAACTCATAAAAACTTACAACATCAAAGAATGGCGGTTAAAGTGTTCATGTAGGACAGTCGTGCAATATGCAGTATGCGTTCAACAAGCTGATCGTGGTCTAGCACAGGGGTCACGGGGTACATTGGTGGTGACACATTATATGCGTTGAATCAAAAACACCCACAATGGGAATACTGTGAGTTTGAAGACTCCAGATTGCCTATTTGCCTGTAAGGGATTGGATTTTCATCTCGTTCCAACAGTCCTGGCGTGGCAGTTCATGTTTCTGTGGTTGACACAAGAACCACCATGGCATTCAAATCGTGTTGCGCGTTCTGGCTGCTGACATCGTCTAGCTGCTCTGATTAGAACGCAGGCAAAGGCAGACCAAGTTAAGCAGCAATATCCTAAACTTCGCATCGTTGTGGGAGACCTGGACGACTCTGCGCTGCTCAAGGGGGAAAGCGCAAAGGCCGATATCGTGTTGCGTAGGTTTCAGTGTCCGATATTCGGGTCGGTTGGTTTTCTGACCGGTTTGCACATCAAACAGACACTGCAGATGCATCGGACCACGAAGGCGCAGCCAAAGCCATCGCATCCGGTCTCGCCGAGGGACACACGCCTTCCAACCCGGGATTCTGGCTCCATACCGGTGGTACTGGAATACTGACGTATGAAGACTCCAAGAACAATCGCTTGGGAGAGTGGTCGACCAAGGAATATAACGACCTGAGCGGAATTGACGAGCTGACCCACCTTCCTGATGATGCATTCCATCGCAATGTCGACAAGATCGTACTCGAAGCGGGAACGAAATATGCCGATAGGGTCAAGACGGCGCTGGTTTGTCCGCCCACTATTTACGGTATGTCTTTGAAGAGCCAGGCAGCTACCTACTGCCATTACATCTTCTAGGAGTAGGCGTAGTACACTGCCAGTTTGCTGATGTTCCGGTTTAGGTGACGGTCGTGGCCCCGTCTCCCCACGCTCTCGCCAGGCCTACGAAATGGCCAAGCTCATCTTAGAGAAGAGAATCACACCCATTGTAGGCGGAGGAAAGGCGAGATGGAACCACGTCCACGTGCACGATCTGGCCGCTGCCTTTGTTCTCCTGGCTGAAGCGGCGGTGGCCAAGAACATGTCGGATGAGATATGGGGCGCTAGAGGCTATCATCTCTGCGAGAACGGCGAACATGTTTGGGCCGACTTGGCCAGAAGAATGTCCGCGATCGCAGCGGAAAAGGGTTACATTTCCCCGAACCCCGCTGAGAAGCAACTCGGTAAAGATGAGGCTCTCGAGGCGGCAGGATTCGAGGCAGTAAGTTGGGGTTGGAATTCGCGTGGAAAGGCCGAACGGTTGGGGAAATTTCTAGCTTGGGAGCCGAAAGAGAAGAGCATTGACGAAGAGGCGGGCCGTATAGTCGAGGCAGAGAAATCAAGGTTGCAGGGCAAGGTGCCATCGTCTTGACGAAATGGCGTTTGAATCTCGATTGAGAAATGTGAATATCGTGCAATAGTTCGACGAGATGTCGATATCTTCCGAACTTGAATCGAATACTGTGTAAGCCAAGTCCATCGATCCATAGGCCATCAATGGCCTAGTCAGTTTCTCACTCTTTGCACTGAATCGACCATCGATGCCGATGAACTAGGAGAGAAGCATGCAACGCCAACGGAAAAGCTTTACAAAAGCTTAAGTTAGCTGTCGTCTGGACCGGATTCATTGTCGGTAGTAAGATGTCTTTCATGAAAAGAGCACTTTCTTGCCCCCCAACATCCACGACCAATCTATCGACAACTCGTGGCGCCGTTCGTACAGAACTGGGAATTTGGCTGACACGGAAGTGCGGGGGTCATGCATCCGGTCCTAAGCAGCGAAAAGGTGTCAGGAAAGGAAACGCGTATCTTCGCAAGGCCGTCTTGAGTGGCCGTCAGGCCATCAGCCTGAGCCAAGGGTCGATGACCAACAGATAAGTCGAGCCATGCACACGAGATGACAGGCATGCGAAGAAGCCAGGAGAAAAGGAGGAGCACGAAGGTGAAGTTGAAATATGATGTAGTTCAGGTTGATGGCGATGAGAAAGAAGGAAGGATGGGCCGATGGGTAATCAGGGGCGTCCAGATTGGGTTTCTGCACCGGACTTGGCGGCAGTCGTGCTGAGACCGTTTTTGGCCATCGTTGCTTCTCTTTCTCTCCTAGTCCTTGTTCCAAGACTGCATTGCAGAGAGCCAAAGCGTTAGACGCAGTGTCTGGTGTCGACGGTCTGTCCATTCGGATGTCTAGTGATTCAGGTCTGGGATCTTCTGATACCTTCAGGATAGTCATGATGCGACATCATTCCAGGAGGATGATCCAGTCAAATACCAATCGTCCACCACTGAGTTATTCTGCCCATGGTATGATATGGAAACGATCACTGGTATGACCACAACTTCGTGGTGGCAACGATGGAAAAGAAGCACGAGAGCAAGCCTTATCAGGGACCATTTCTATTCATCAACAGCACCGCCGAGAAACCCACGACAAGCAAGAATGATAGCTTTACAATATCGTCCCATGTGTCGAAGACACACCGTAACTGGCTAAAGGCTCAGAGATTGAAGAGATTGCAGGCATCTGTGGGCAAGGCTGTGGCGCACAGGTCTATCCTTGCTGCAGATCCTATAATATCCGAAGGCGGCCCCCTACCATTGGGGTCACCTTACGGTGTTGGGTCTTCATCTATGACGGAGCCCATTCAAGTACGCGTCAACAATGACGAAGTTTTGGCCGGAAGTCAAACGAGATATGTCTTGGACTCGTCGAAGACAGGCGGCTTCGATTGCTTACTCGGCATTGCCACTAGTCAGCGTGTTTTCCCTTTCGAGGCCAGCCAAGAGCGTGGTGATCATCAAGGCTTGCATGAGAAATCATGGATAAAGCACGACCGTCAAGCCATGAGACCACTCCTAGCCATATGGAAAGGTAGTGCAGACCCCTTTTCGGCCGCTGCTGTACACCTCACACCCAGGGATCATGAGATCATCTGCCTAGCCCAGCGGTTCTTGGTATTTGCAGCATGGCCAGAGAAAGCTAGTGCAGTGTTCAGGACCCCAATAGCCGATACAACGAACTCGCACATACAGCTGCAGCAGACTATAACGGATGAAGCCGAGATCCATGCAATCCTTGCCTCGGGATATCATGTGGCCGTAGACCTCTCGACGGAAGATTCCCAAGTCGCAGTTGCAAGACGGTTGGCACACAAGTCCAGGGCCGTGATGTTGCTAAGGCAGAAACTGTCGAGGTCGGGTTCTTCGAAGAGTGTAGCCACATTGATTCGACTGCTCATCTCGTTGGACTTCCAGGCTGGTGATTTTACCGCTTCTCTGGTGCATTTACGCGGGCTGTGGTCGATATCATTGTCCGTTCCCGGCATGCTAGCTGACACGCAAGAGCTTTTGATTGTCAGCGACGTATGGATCGCGCTTTCGCTACTCAAAAGACCGGAGATATCACCAGCACGATACGATCCGGGTCCGCGACTGGCACAGTCATTCGACGTTGAACTTCGAGATTTGGAGAACCATTTTCCACATTCGCTCTCTCGATGCACGACATCTTCTGGCACCACTGTGCTTGATCTATCAGTATTGTCTTTGCTGAATGCTGCTTCCGAGATAGTGAATACGAAAGCGGTCATGGCCAAGCTTGAAGATCCTGGATTGCAGCAAGACGTCGTCTGGTGGATGCATCGACGTGCCACGGCCGTGTCAGGCCGACTGATGACGGGTTACGTTGAGGCCATGGAAGCTGCAATTTCTCCGGCGTCGGACCAAGTCACGACCACCAGAAACATGATGAACAGAATTGCATGTTTATGCGCGATTCTATTCATGAACCTGAGGTTCGTGGATTCTCCCAGCAACTACAATTTCAGCACTACATTTCAGGCTATCGAACCAGCCCTGCGCAGTGTTGCCCGCTACATGGATGACATGCCCAAGGAGTTTGATAAAGCCTATCTATGGACACTCTTCATGTGTGCTATGGGAAACGACGTCTATGCTGCAAGAGGAGATATCCTTTACTCGCCTTGGCCAGTTCCGGAGTTCTTTCGTGTTTGCAAGAGGATGGATTTGACGGAAAGGGATGCTGTTATCAACATTCTCAGTCAGTTTCAGTACTATCCACAAATGGACGAATTCCTCAGCGAAGTGCTGCATGGCGCACAAAGCATACCAGTCACCAACATGATCCCTTGGACCAGATGGTGTTTTGCTCTGGATCATTATATTGGCTGAAAGGGAACAGTATGGGCTCGATCATAACTCTTACGTGCTACAAGCTTTACATGTTCGATCTTCAATTTCAATCTTACGAACTCGCCATACTTGTGCATGCCTTGCTGGCCCGATGTCCGCGGTTATGCCTGTTCAACTGTCTAGGCAACTGACAGCACCACTCCCAATCTGCAATCAATCTACATCTTATCCTGCCATTAAAAGGTGCTCATACGGTACTTGCTGTCACCGTCGTACTGCGACAGCTCTTCCAACGCTTGACGGCCTTCCCGGTCTATCGTCTCCTTGATTTCCGGGCTTCTTGGTATGATGCGGCATTCGAAAGGTTCAGGGCGCATGTTCAACCCATTCCTGCGAAGTGATGTCAGTACACAATCTCAATCTCCTTTGGGCCCATGTGCCACAACTTACGTGTACTTGAAGATGTCCACAGGGATCTCATTGCCATTCTTGTCCAAAGCTTTCTGGATATTGAAACCCCACAGGATTCTTGCCACACTCAAGAACGTGCCTTGCTCGGCCAGACCTTGGCCACTGCAGACTCGCCTGCCCCAGCCAAAAGTCATATAACCCTTCTCGTTAGGGAATGGGCGATGTAGCGGGTGGTCCTCGAAATATCGTTCTGGGCAGAATCTGTCTGGCTCGGGGAAATCCTTCTCGTTTCGGTGAATCGCCCAAACGTTGCCCTGAACCCAGGTGTTCTTTGGGATGTACCACCCCTGGAATATGGTTAGCACAAACCCCTTCGCTCCTGCGACTTTAATCATCTCACATTGTACACATCATCCTGGATAGGTGCGTGGGGTTGACCTCCAATAATGGCAACTGATCGCCACCTGAAGACTTCCTTCATAAATGCACGAATGTAAGGAAGGTCGTCGTCCAAGCTGGGACTGCGGTGTGAGCCGACAACTCGATCGAGCTCTTCCCAAGCCTTAGGTAGGACTTCGGGGAAAGCACAACACGCCAGGATAAAAGTGATGAGTGTCGAGCTGGAGGTGTCGCTACCAGCACCGAAGAGGTTTCCGTTCAACGAAGCAATCTCCATTTCGGACAATCCATACTTTGGCGCCTCGTCGAAGACCTTCTTCGCGTAACAATTACCAGCATTCTCCTTGTTGGCCGCTTCCTCGGCGAGCGCGTAGTAGAAGGATCGACCACGGCCCTTGCCACCACCAAGACCGTGTTTCCATGGAGCCATCCAGTTGGGGAACTTCGAGAGCCCTGCGATATTGGTCAGCGCGTGGAAAGTTGGGTTGTTGCCCAGAACTTACATGGGAACGTCTCCATCAGCATGGGGAACGTCTTTCCCGGCACATTCAGCTCAGCTGCTTTCTGCATGATGGCAATGACATCGGTAATGATTGGGTCGTGCTTGCTGCTAATCCGGCGGTTGAAACCAATGATACTGACGACCGACGCCGCATAACGCTCGAAATGCATGACATAGTCTTCAGGATCCTTGGCCAGGTCCAACGCCACGACTTTGCTCTCATTGTTCTGGAAACCGCTGTAGCTTCGGACGTGCTGCAGGCCGACGCCCATATGGGTCAACTTGCGATGCAATCGCCATCGGTCGCCGTAGTACATGGACACGAGGTTGGACTGACCCATGCTCAATTCGCCGAAGACGACCATTCGAGGTCGGGATGAGTAGATGGCCGCTCGCTTGTCCAACATCTCTGAGGCAGCCCAGGCGTCGCAGATCCAGACGGTCGGGCTTCGGCCGATCCAGTACGTGATGACGGGAGTCTTGTATCGTTTGGATAGTTCCTCGAAGTAAATCCATGGCTTGACGTCGGGTAGCTGGAATGTGTTTCCTATGATCGGCAATGGTAAAGGACCAGGAGGCTGTGTGACTGTCAGCGCTTTCACTTGCCAGCAGGGTGGAAGGCGGATTTATCATACCATTTTACTTCGCAAGACAAGCATTCGTACATAGTCGGCGACCAGGGCGATAACACCTAGAATTGCCAGTTCGATAGCTAACTTGCTGGCACTAGGCGCCGCGTTCTGGATTTGCAGCATGGCACCCATGGTTGCTGTCGTTCCCCTGAAGGTTCGATTCTACTTGGGATCTGATCTCTCACACCACGATTCAACAAAGGGACCAAGAGGCTGAAGGAGAGGTTATGAAATGTTTAGACGTTACCCCTCGTACAAACCTTGGGACGACGTGGGCGTTGACGGTGCGAAATGGCTCGGCATTTGGGCCTTTAAACTCTTCTCTCGTGCCTTCCACTGGCCGCATTGGTATAGGCTATGTTGGATTGGGAGAATGGACTCTGCCCGTGGGCGTGGGGCTTTCGACTATGAAGAAGAGCTCTTTTGCACGTGCGAGCCCCATGTCTTGGTGCTGTGCCGCCATGTCTGCGGAGGCCTGACACTGGGGAATACTCGTCTCCGACTCCCCGTACCAAGGTCCTCCGCACGATTTTCCGGGCAAAAAGGAGGGGTAGTTGGAGTCAAGAGGTGTCCTTTATGAGATTGTACATCTCGAGCCGCATCTGAAAGACCACAGAAAAGGACTTGTTGGTCCTTTAACGGCGTGTTGGCCACCTTCCCATTGGGTTGCAGCCCATTGTATGTCGGCAGCTACAATACTACCTAGCAGGTAACCTGGCACCACGAGAGGTAGAGAGGCCGAGGCCAAATATCTCCAACGACCCATCCTGGCCGGGGATCTGCCTAGGGAACTGGCCGTACCTTCTCGGCACAATTACGAGAGGTTGAACGCTGATCGCCTACTGCATTACTAATATAGTATTTTGTACAAAACACAAGGCGGGTTGTCAACCCACCATGAGGCAGACGGTATTGTACGGAGTAAGAAGTACAAATTGACCTTGTCCCACGGACGTCGGCTAGATCTTGCCGTGTCAGCCTTATCGTGGGTTTTACGACATGGAGCGTCAACAAATGTGGTATAACATTACGGGCGAGAACTCAGCCTTGTCAAAGCTGAGCATCACAAAGACTTTTGTTCCTTGCGTTCAGGTTGTGATCGATCGAACTCGGCGACTGTCCAGGTGGGAGATCTTGATATTTTCGCACCCCGCGAACTTAGCAATGACCCGATTTCTCATTCGGGCAGGGTTAATGCCGGGGTACCTGAACAGATGACATTCTGATTTGCTGTGCCCCAGTCACTGCCACACGCCAGTCTCCCTGTGAGGCTTGCAGAACGCCACAAAGGTAGGTGATACCGTCATGTGGAAGTGTTGATGCCCAATCCCTTCAACACCCATGTCCAAGCCACACTGTTTTCCAGCTCAGCTTGATGAAGCTGTTTCAACACAAGTAAGAGACGAACAGAATTTACCGCGCCTGAACAGTCCTGCGACCCGGGAGCCACAGTACGCCAATTGTTCGTCCCTACCTGTCGACACTCCCTTGTCGCAATGGACGACGACATCTTCGAGATATACATCAGCGATTTGAAGTTCACGGAGCCAGCGAGAATACTGCGATACAGCACCAAAGCAGAAACAGTCGTGGAGCACGTAGAGCCTGTGCAGGTGCAGGAGCTTCTGACGCTATTGGTGAGCCTATGTCAACTTCGGCTGCCCTGTTTCCTCGCTGAGAAATGTAAAAGCGGTCCAAAGATCAGCAACAGCCAAGGATCAAGACTGAGGATACACTATATGGAAATCTTTTGTAAGTACTTCGCTTGGATGTGGAAGTCATGTACGTTGCTGAAGTCGCTACTGATATCTGGGTCCAGGGTCATTGAAGGTGTCGGCGCGGAGGAATTGCCCATACGGATGGAGCGAGCGGTCTTTCTGGACTTGCTGGCTCACATGCAGATTCCACGAATATTCGTAAGATCCATGACCGACCATGGTGGCCATTACTCGACATTCATCAATCACGAAGAGCGAGATGGCCAACTTCGGCCAGAGTCAATATGTAGGTTTTGCGGCAGGTCCGTTGAGCTAGCTGACATATTAACAGATTTCATAGTTGCCACACCAGTTGCAAAGTGGCGGATGTTCTCGTGTTGTTTGAGAATCCACCTTGTGAACAGCGAGGTATCTGGAATTATCTTGCATAGCAATGTTGGTGCGATAAAGCGTGTGCCACGTTTGTTTCAGGGCCGACAAAAGGATCTCGCAATGTCACCAGTATCATTCCTAGTGTTCCTGCTCGAGATGTTTGGGCTTGAAACTACCCTCCACAGTACTTACCTGGCCGAGGACATCCGGAAAGCAGAGGAAAAGACAGGATTCTGGGAAGACATGAACTCAACCATAGTCGCTTCGAAGTACGAGCAGCTGAACAAAGACGTATATTCATGCAGATTGAGACTGTCCAGTTTGCGGCGGTTCACCGACTTCCAACAGGAGTTTGGACAATTCCTGCACAAATTCTTTGATCTCATTGACCAGTTGCGTACTGAATGTGGGCTGGGTCCAGAATCCAAATGGAAGCGAATCGCGGTGGTGCAGGACCTGGACTATCAAGTGACAACATGCCGGCGTTTGCAGGCCGAGTGGGAAAAAATGCACGAACGCATCCAGATACAAATTGATGTTGTAAGTGCTGCCATCACCTACGAATATACTACCAGCTGCTAACCTTTTATGTTCACGATGCGTGGATTCATCGCTCAACGAGATGCTCAAGCTAGTATCTCCCTTGCTGCCACGGCGCAACAGGACAGCGGAGCCATGAGGACTATTGCGGTTGTCACTCTCTTTTTCCTGCCAGCAACGCTGGTCTCGGTGAGACGGTTTTGGCTTGTGCCGCCTTGTCGTTGGGAGTCCAGAGCTAACTTAAAGCTTCGAATGCAGGCCATATCCAGTTCGGGCGTGATTGTTTCAGCGCCGAAATTGTGGTGGGTGTTTATGCTTGCCGTGGTCCTTTCGACGCTCGGCGTGTTCTCTTTGTGGTATTTGTACATGCGTTATCGTGCCAGGACTGCTGATAGAATGGTCTCCCATGGGCAATCGGGAAAAAATATCCACGATGAAGAGAAGTCGGTAGAAAAAGAAGAATAGAAGGGTCGAACTCGAGCCGGCGTTTTGCACTAAGGTGCTCGATTGGAAGTCACCAGTCACCTGGGTTAGGCCCCCTACTGACGGACTAAGCGATGATGTACTCAATCAAGCTCGACTTCACCTCCTCAACATCATCTGCTCTTCACCGAATGTTCCACTGTCCGTTGGCGCCAGTTGTGTGTCTTTAACACTGTTGACTTACGATCACTCCTACCCGATCAACGAGAGTGATGGTAAGAGGACGTCCGGACGGCATAGCAAACCGCCACATATCCGGTTTCGAAAGATGGAAAGTCACTACATTACATCCCACCAGCCAGCACTTCAAGTCGTGCTAGTCGGATGTTTTTGATAAGCCCTTTCCTCGGATCGACATCCGATTCAGAGGTACGCACGGCGTCGCCTCTTCCATCTCGAGCCCATGTTCCGGCCTCTACGACTCCGCAAAGTGAACCCAAACCCACCACCTCATCCATGTGAAGCCCTCCTCCACGCTTCCGAAATGCTTATTGCGCTCCTGCATCATCTCGTCTTCGCGCTTCTCAGTCCAAACATGCTCCGCCATGACCACATGTACTTCCACATCCCGTATCTTCTCTTTCCAGTCGCCTTGTACAATGGCCTCCTTCCACATTTCTCTCCAGCTGTCTTCGTTATGCCGAAATCTGGTGCCTCCACCAGATCTCCTAGGAAACTCTGAGGGTTTGAGATTCCCTACCTGGCTTCCACACATCAGGACCCTTTTCCTCTTCGGATCGAGCAGTTTCAGGCATCGCTGGGCCATGATTTTCTGTTGCGAGAGATCGAAGAGGTGGAATACTGCGGAAGCCTGCAAGATACCGACTGTCCCATCGCATTTCCGGCTCAACTCGGTGTCCGAAGAAAGGTCAAAGACATCTGCGGGCGCGATGAAATGGTCTCGCGGAAGTTTGTCCTCGTCGCGGAACAATGCATAACCGATGTCGATGAATTCGGGTTTCAAATCAGCCCCATATAGTCGCGACAGATCTGCCCCGTCGAAGGCAAGCTTTCGCACATCTTGGGCGAGACAACATCCGAGATCGAGGAATTTCCATGGTGCCTGTCCGCCATTGTTGCCCGATTTCAAGGCAGGCAAGATATCGCTGTGGTAAAGTGGGTGGTCGGCGAGGTCGAGCTCGAGGAACCGCCAGCGCCCGAGACAAGGGTATGGGTGAGATTCGTATGCCCGGTCACGGATTGTCTTGATGTGTTCCTTTTGCTGGTCGATTGGAATATGAGAGTACTCTGACAGCAGGTTCGAGATGGAGGCAGGTACACGCTTTAATTCAGCCAGGTACATTTCGATAGGCACTCCCTTTCTCATCTCTTCCTGGGTGGACGCCATTTTTGGAAAGTACCCCTCGGCGGTGTTCGAATGGTGAGGACTATGAATGGTAAACACGATTCTGGATGATAAAGTGCAGAAACAAACCTGGGGCAGTGATTGTCAACCTGCCTGTTAAGTCTGTTACTGACCTATTTGGATATTTGAGTATCGGTGTGCGTACTGGACAAATGCCGACAAGCTTCATATATTCATATAATGCAGCGGAGGCACAGTTCGACATGCGACCATTAATGCAACGTGATTGGCGTTTACGTGGTAACTCCGACGACGTTGCATATGCAGGGAGCAGCAGTTCAATGCACGGTCCACCGAAGATAAAGGTACAGTCAAGACCTCAATGGCAGCACCAACGAGTACGCAATGCTCTGGAGGAGTAAATTGGTGACAGCCTAATGGCGGCGATAGCAGAGAACGCCGAGATTCGGTTTCTGGGCCGAAGATCCGGCCAGGCTGTTGCCTCCAGTACGGACTTTAGCTATCTCAACCCACGGTAAATACTCCTACGAGGGTGGCGATAGTACATCTCTTGAGAGTCTCTACATGCTGTCCAAGGATTCGAGCAGGTCAACTTCCTCAGTCAAGCACCCACATCTGACTTCTTCCACTAGACCCATTGGACCATGTGATATCAATATCCAACGACCTCTCTTGACCTTGCTTCTTCAGGTATGTAATACGCCCACCAACCTCAGCTCCTGCTTGAACCTCCTCCCCTGCTCCGGGATTCTCGATCAAAAAGACTCCTTGCTGCCAATGCGTTGCATCGGAGAACGGCCCCGTCGAAAAGGCAATGAGGCCTTTCTCTTTCGCTTGAGCAGCTGTCATGCTTGCGTCGACGCTCTTGCTCTTCGAAGTCGAGAAGATAATGTCAAACCATACGACAAATCCTTCCAGAACTTTGAAACCCTGGTTCCACTTCAAGTTGAATTCCTTGGTGAAGGTCAAATCTTCGACTTTGGTGGTATGCAGATCAAGTTCGAGGAACGGCACGCTGTCGGCCGCTAACTCGTTCTTGTCCAATATGCGCGCGATGACTTCCTCGTGCGCCTTTTCCAGCATAGGGGTCATGTCGAAGCCATATATATCGCGCCAGAAGTCGATGTGTGAGGCCTTCAAGTCCGAGTCTGCGAGCGGGGCGATCCGTAGCGTCGAGTGTGATGGCACCATAAGCCCATCTGGAGCTAGATACTTGTCACGCGCGAACAGGACGGAATCTAACATCGACTCGTACAAAAGACAGTAGCCCATCCACTCGCTGACAATGATGTCGACTTTGTCCACAGGAAGTGGGACTTCCTCGATCTTGCCGCGCAAGCACTTGACGGTATCTTGGAGACCGTTCTTGTAAACGTTTTCGCGGGTCTTGTTGATAATGTCCGAGTTGTCGACGGCGATGACGAGTTTGGCGCCAGCTTTGGCGGCGAACATCGACAGAATGCCTGTGCCGCATCCGACGTCTAGAACGACTTTGTCCTGAAATAGCGCTTTGTTGTCGTAGATGAAGTCTCGGTAAGCGTCGGTGCGAACGCGGTCCTTGATCATAATCTCGTGAATCGAGTTGTACGAGTAAGAGTGGAAGTAGTCCTTGTCGTAGGTCTCTGCGGCTTGCTTGCTGGTTGATGCGCTTGACGACGAAGGGCCGGCCTTTGAGTCAGACGCTGTCGATTCGTCTAGACGGTCTAGAAGTGCGGTTTGCACTTGTTCTCGGTACGCGGCGAACTGGGATTGCAAAGCCTCGAGCTGTTCGCGGAGCTGCTCGACTTCGTTGGCTGGTGCTGTGACGCCGCCGGCGCCGGTGTCATCCTCAAAGACGTCGTCGAGACTGAACAGGAGAGCGTCTTCTTGAAGTACTGGCTTGAGGTACTTGTCGTCCTCAAAGACGGACTTGGATGAGATGTCTGGCCGGGTATTACCGGCTTTCACTTCGGAGCGGATGTAGTTGACTAGTTTGACGAGACCGAGGAAGTCGAGCACTACGTGAATGTTAGAATTGACAGTCCTCAGACTTATGAGCAGAGGTAGATGAGCGTACCAAACTGTTGTCTCAGTCGCCAGATGTCGAAATCGTGGTTGTCTCGGCAATAGGTAAGCATGCTTGCGGCGTCGGGGAAGGTCCGCTTGTCGAATAGCGATACCACCGTGATTGACTCCTCATCTGGCTCGACATCTTCCCATCCCTCGTCGTTTCTAGTGTCGAGAGGATCTGAAGCTGAGGACGAGTCACTGACGTCGTCTCGCTCAATGTGATTCGAGGCCATATTGCACAGCTAGTTTTCCAAGAGCGAAGGCGGGAAGCAGTATGGGAAATGAATCTAGAATAACCCTCTGATACAGCAACGGCAACCTCTTGTATGAATTCGTCTTCAAGTGCGCTGGTTTTCGTACTGAGCGATTGTTGATATTGGAAGTTTTTCTGCTTTACAATCGTGAAAAATCATTTAAAGTTTACCCCGTATCAAATGCCGCCAAGCCTTTGACATTCGACGCATGTAGATGCGACATGTCATTAGCTACCTAGGTACGGACATACCTGCTATTAATATATCTCTCAAAGGTGATACTGGGAGGGAGATTCTCCAGACTCGATATAGATCATCATGCCGATTCTACAGAGACACTCTTGACCCAATTGTCCACATCGGCCTTGAAATCCGGCGCATAAAGCCAAGTCAGGTCAAACTGTTGCCGAGCGATACCCTCGGCAGCAAGGCCAGTGAGCTGATCCTGGGGCAACCTCCTCAGATCAATCTGCTTATTCAAGTCGAGCACCCGCTTCACTCGGTCCTGTCGGTAACGTTGCCAGAAAGCCAATGCGTCCTCGACCTTGACGTTCCCGCCTTTAGCCGCAGCCAGGAGTAAGGCGAAGATATAGACATCTTCGAATGCCTGGTTGATGCCCTGCCCAGCCGATGGAGGGATAGCGTGTGCGCTGTCCCCGAGAATGACGACCCGTCGTTTCGCGGATGCCCATTTATCGAGTTCGGGAATCACGTAGAACGGCCAGACGTTCATCTTCTTCGGGTCGATGTGTTGTGTGGCTGTGATCGCGACTTCACCAAAGGCTTCGGCATCCTCTTGCATGAATTTTATGAGAGACTCTCTGTCAGCGGAGAAATTGTCCCAGCCTTCGCGGTCTAGCTCGTCGATTCGTCTTTGCTTACCGATCAGCATCTCGGAGCCATCGACTTTCTGCGGGGCGACGACAAATGCCCCCTTGCCTTCGGAGATGATGGTCAGAGGCTTGGTGATAGGTTTGCCATGGTGTCGGGCTGGCGCGGTGGGTACAGCGGCAGTGATGCCTGCCATGCGTGTGAAACGTGGGACGAGGTCTGGGTATAGATATTTTCGGACAGTCGAGTGGATGCCATCGGCGCCCACGAGCCAGGATGCTGTGTGTTGCTCTCCGTCTGCGCACTCCCAGATGACGTGCTCATTAGTCTCTTCGACGACGCGGGTATACTTGCGGCCGAAGACGACTGGGACGCCTTCGGCCTTGATCTTCGAGAGTATGATGTCGATGAGCTCGAAGCGGTAGATGCGATTGCCGGGGTATCCGTATTTTTGTTTACTACCGAACTCGTAGGTTTCGAGGAGCTCGCCGTCGACTTTTTGCAGCTCGAGTTCCTCGAAGTTGAAGCCCTTGGACCGGACTTCTTGGTATACACCTAGGGCGTCGAGTACCTTGAGAGCATTGGGTGAGAGCATAACGGCGCCTCCGATATTGAGAGGGGCCGGGCGTGACTCGTATATCGTGGCTTTAATACCTTGCTGTTGCAGGGCGAGGGCAAGGGCCAGGCCGGAGAGGCCAGCGCCAATGATTGCGACCTCGTCGGCCATGTTGATGGTTCGATGTCGTGTTGGCAGTAGCTCTTGGATGCTTCTCCGAGATGCAATGGAGGTGTTTGCTTGGGTCTCGTACTATATTAGGATTCGAGTGGTTTCAGGGCTTCGTGAGAAGTAGAAGCATACGGGCTCATATGGTATATCAACGCAAGGACAAACCCTATGGCTAGGCGCCCCATTGTTGCCGACTTGCCATCCGAACGAGGCCTGCTCGGTCTGAATGTCGGCGTGAGCAAACTCTGAATGGTCTATCACCGGCACTAACGCAGGCACAGATGCAGTGTATATCACTATACAAACAACGTTAGTGGGTGCAAGGATGCGAGGAGGACACAAAATGCGGGAGGTTGATTCGGGCATGTTTGTCAGCTCCAGCTTCGGTCATGAAAAATGCATCGTAGGACCGCGGGCTTCCAAGCGAACCGCATGACGTTACAGACGAGCAAATTGCGGTCTATTGATGATTCCAGATTTGTGGATGAGTTCAAGAGTTCACATTGGGTGAGAAAAGTTGGAAAAGTGTTACAAACTGTCGCTCATAACAGTGTTGACATTCTGGCCGACTTAGCTAATCTCCGCTACAAGCGATACGAGCGAAAATACGAGCGAACGGAACTCGTAAGGCCGATAAACGAGGCCGAAGGTCACATAACGACAAAAGTTACGAGGGTATCCAGCCTTGTCAGGCCTCATGCTCTTCCTTTTCCACGATATATATCTGCTTCAAGTGCCAGGAGTCCATCATGGCTCTCAAGTACAGCATATCCATCAGCGAGCAAGTGAAGAAGACTCGAAACAGAACTTGCACGCCAGTCAAGAAGCATTATCATCCCTCAATACTACCAGCAAACCACACCCATCGCTGAGACTCTAGTCACGCAAGCAACACACTTTGGTAAAGACGACCAGCTTACCACCTCAATACCCAGAAATGCTTCCTCAGATATTCGTGATCGGCGCCACCGGCAGAACAGGCCAATTAGTCGTCGACGAAGCCCTGAAAAGAGGCCACCCCGTCACGGCCCTTGTTCGCAAACCCACCAGCACCCTCCCGCAGCATGACAACCTCACCATCACAACAGGAGACCCATGCAGAGCATTAGACGTGGAGACAGCACTACGAAGCTTGAAGCCATCCAACCCAGTCGTGATCATCAGCACTTTAGGCCAAACCCGGACATCGGGCAACCCCTGGGCAGCAGCCACATCACCACCCCGCTTCATGGACGCATCAGCCAGGGCAGTGTTGGCGGCGTGTCAAGCAGTCCGAGACTCCGTCACCGTACAGAAGATAGTGCTCATGTCTCTATTCGGCGCGGGCGATTCATTCGCACAGCTCAATTTCCTCATGCGGTTTATCATGCGGCATTCAAACATGGCTCAGACGCTAGAGGACCAAAACCTCGTGGATCAGACGATCAGGAAGAACGGGAATGTGCCGTTCGTCCTGGTCAGGCCTGCCATGTTGACGAATGGGGAGGTTGCGCCGGTCAAAGTGCATGGGACCCAGGGGAAGGGTGCCGGCTTCATGCCCAGCGTTAGTGCGAGCAGCGTTGCCAGGTTCATGCTCGATGCTACTGCGACCAAGGACTTTGATAATAAGGCGGTCGTTGTGTCGAATTGATTTTGGACGTCGGGTGGTGGACTCGAGCGCATTTCTCTCCATTGGTATGATATGATAAACATGCGAATCAACATCAAACCATTTTTGGAGGAGTGCGGGTTGAGATATCGACAGATATGGTTAGATTATACGAGCATTGCATCTTGTAGACATGATGTGAGTGAGAGGACATCAAGTTGCTGTTGGTTGGTTGAGGCTATGAGTGTTGCGGCAATCCGGCACTTCTGTAGTGCACAATGGGCACGCGTCGCACTAATTGAGCATTTTGCAGACTGATCAGCATGACAACGGACAAGTGATACAGTCGCTCTGGACAGGTGTGATGCCTTTCAGTTCTTTCATTGACGGCCAATAATCTCGCAATTGTTGATCTGGAAACAATATCTAAGAACATTGAGGCGCGGCCATCTTTGAAGCTGCTCACCACAACCAGCACGGCATGATGTCCTAGAATCAAGACTTTGACCGTCTTCAGCACGCCTACTGTGTATCAACATGTCCACAGGGTTCTCCGGTGTCGAGGCATGCATCTTATCCCATTTCGCTGACAGGCCCGTGGGTCTCCATCTTCAAGGTTTTGAACAAATCGTGCCTAGCCCACCAACTCCTCATTCGTTTGCCGTAAATATACACCGGAACGGCCATGAGACACAGGAAGACCGAGGTTCCACCGAAGACATACATAATCTGTGAAGGACCGTCCGCGGCGACCCAGTTGTTTGCAAAGTTCGACAGGCCATAAAACATGAAGTTCTGGTAAAGTCACATCTCATGTTAGCGTTGTTTCTCTCCATCGACTGGAGGGTTTGCAGCCTCCGAAGTAGGTGCTTACCTTAAAGAGCATGTTCATGACGAAGATCTCGTTACTCTGGTTTCGGAAAGAATCAAGACCGTACGACAGGGATGAAAAGATACCAATCAGGACGCCGAACATCATGACGCCCTGGAAAAACGCACACAATTCTGACGGAGAGCCCTTTTGCATGGTGTAACCGAAGAAAAACATGCCTATACCACAGCCAATGCACGCTGGGAGCATGAAGACCAAGCGGAATTCAGGCTCGTATGTGCCCTTGTTCTTCTTGGTGATGTACTTGATGACATGATCGCCGAAAAATCCGGTGACGAGGGAGCCCACGAGGCCACCAAGAAAGGGGCCTGCACCGAGGTAGCCAATTTCGGCGGCGTTATAAACCCACGGCTTGCCGGAGAAGACGCCCGACAGAATGATCGCCGAACCAACGTACCTAGTATGTGAATTAGCAAGTTTTGATGATCCTAACCGAGCAGTATCACACGTACCAGCTGTTCAAGAGGCCAGAAGCGATGACAGCATAACAAGCAGCAGGGTTGAGCAAGGTAAGGAAAGGCCCAAGAAGGTACTTGAAGACGTTGTCGGGCGAATAGACGCCCGTCCAGACCGCAAGTTCTTGGACGAACGTTTTCTTCTTGGGAACGATCGTCTGGTCCGCCGTAGCCCCTGGCTCGGCGACGTGTTCCTTATGTGAGTGCTCAATGGTTGCCAGCTCTGTCAATTTCTCGTCCCTGTTTCGCGTAAGATCCGTTTCGTAGCGAACATCTCGAATATATGTCGTTTCCGGGCAGAAGAGGAACATGAGGACAAATTGGAGCACCAAGAATATCTGAAACATGTGGAATAGCCAGAGATAGCCAAGGCTCTGATAGACTTGGCCACAGATGATTGATGCGAGACTGGATGCGGCGTTCAGGATGAAATTGATGAGAGAAATGCGGAGACCTCGCTGGTGCACAAAATACATATCACCAACGGTGGAGACAATAAGAGATTCGAAAGCTGATGTCGAGAAGCCTTGAACAATACGAGCGGCAAGCAGATACTTGTAGCTAACGTTCGCCTCGCCGATTGCGGTGCCGATAATGTCGAAGAGCGTCGAAACCAGGAAGACGGGTCGTTTGCCATATTTGCGGCTGAACGCACAGACTAATCGATGATCAGTAAGTATCATCACTGTGAGTGGATAGATATTCCTTGATGGACGTACCAAAAGGACCGGAGCAACCCGCTGCGAGGAGGTTATAACCTGACACGAGTACGGCCGTTGTCAATGGAGTTTTAATTTGTTCCGCAATCTCGAAATACGAGGCATTCAGGAATGGGCCCTTATGATAGTCAGCCATGTCTGCGACGGGTATGCCAACATAGCAAAGGCCTTCGACTAACATTGGTTCCGGCATTAAGCATGGCGCCGAGACACAAAATGGCGGTGATGACCTCTTTCTTCCACAGTGGCCAATTGAGAGGATCATTGGGGTCTTCGCTAGGCTGGGGTGAGAGGACAATATGGGCATCACGACCCTTGCCGTGCTTCAGGCCCTCGGTGATGGCCTCTGAGTGCGCTGCCTCGTCGTTGAGCAGTACCGTTCCAGGGACGTGGTCCAGCTTCTTGTCTGCGTTAAGGTCAGTCCATGCCCGATTGACAGTCTAAGAGCGTGTGTCTTGCCTTCTTGAACGCCGAGCCCCATCTTGGAAACGATTGTGGGAGCTGAGCGAAATGCTAGGGCTGTTGAGTTGGTCCTGAGGACGTTAGTCACAAGTGCTGTAAGAAGAACCGAAGCGCGCCTTGTGTCGAGAGACGGCAAAGCTCCTTTTAAGTTGAAACTTCCAGGCCTTGTCCGAGTAGTGTCGCTCCCCGCATCAACGCTTGTTGGCTATCTTCTCAACTTCCTGGTCGAATGTGAGGAACTTTAAGATCCAGTCTTGAGGTCGAGATAGGGCGCTTCTCCAATTGTGTTGCCCCATGGGGTCTTGGAGCGCCCATTACGGAGATGCCCCATCTCCCCCTGTTTACTGAAGCAAGACTAGGCGCGACTTGGCCGGCAGTTGCTTAGGGAAAAAATTGCCGTCATAAGAACTGTCGCCTATCAGACTCTTTCCCAGTTGATGGCTCTGCAAGACGCAGTCACGTTGCATGGGTAAAAAGCTGAGTTTGATTACCCCACAGAAGGAGAGTTTATCACACCCACTTGAGGGCAACAGTGCCAGTATCCGTGACAATCCGTGGAATCGGAGGCCTTACAGCTCTCTTTGAGCCTGTACTGGTAGCATCAAAGGGAAAAGGCCTTGGAAGTCGACACTACTGTATCCGTGATGTCAGCTAACCTCGCGTGAGAAAAGCGCAGTCTCGCTTCACCCCATCAAGCAGGGGTTGGTGTTTCGTCTTGTTGTTGGCGCCCAGACCCTCACAAAACATTGGCTCCATCGGTCCGGTACCTTCTCGCCATCGATCTGCCGCTTGGATACCTACCAATAATGGGTGAATCCCGTAAACGTGGTCCAGACTGTCCAGAACCATACCGCCGGCGTAGGGGCGCGGCCAAGTCCCGAAAGCAGGAGATATCCTAACTATTTGGTAGTCTTTGTAGGGAAACGAATATGACGGTTCATTCGTGTTCGGGGATATAAGTGAGAAATCCGCAAGCACTACCCTGCACTATCAAAGCCAGGTGTCGCCACATGCTCTTAGACAATAGTCATGCACGGCTGCAAAAGCCCTTGATTGTGAGGACCGAGGCAAGTCTTCCGGAGTGTCGACCTATGGCATCTCAATGCATCATGGGCGCGAGGAAGGTCGTTGCCGATCAAAGTACTCTGGATATGAGTCTCTGAAACCAAATATCACTGTGCCCGCCCAGGCGGCGAAGAAATTGAGCAATAATCCCAATGGCTTTGCGATGAACTTTGGACCTGGTAATGCAAGGACGACGTTGGCCCTATAGTTGAACATTAGAACCTGACACAGGTTGCGCGGGATCCCCGCCTTTCGGCAATCGTCTCGATACGTCTGCGTGTTCCCTGGAAAGCCGAAACGTGTGCATTAGTGATTGTCATTATTGCTGCTGAACAGTATAAAAAGCCAAGAACGCACTGAAGAACTCCTCGTCTCTCTCCTTGTGGCGGGGCTCCAGGACGAACTCGACCACTAAATCATCTTTGGGGCTAGCATTACGGAAGGTGTGGTACACTCCACCAGGAATCTCAACTACCTCTCCAGCTGTAGCAATATGTTTTCGATCTTCCAGGTAAAAAGCTGCCTTGCCGTGAAGGACGTGGAAGAATTCGTCCTGCCTGGAGTGCCAGTGTAATGGAGGGTTCAAAGCACAATTGGGTGAACTGGGGCCCTCAATGCCATGCTTATCAGTCGAAGCTTCCTCCTGTGGCGCCGGTGGAAGTCGATTAATGACCAAGTACTGATCGGAAGGCGCTTTGAACTCAATGCAAGACCGACCATCATCAAACGCGATCTTGTTCAAATGGGCAACTCGAGTACGTTGTGGAGGTTTGACCAAAAAAGAAAGCATTCTCACGGTATGTCAGACGCAGGAATGAAGACAATCTCCCGAATCATTAACGAGAATGCGACGTGTTCTTACCGCCGAGGCCGACACCGTTGTGGAGAGATGTCAGCCCCGGAAAAAGCCCCCGTCACTTGCTGCTCTTTCGCTTCGACAAACGAGTCACTTATTGGACGTGCCCTGATATCGGGAAGCCTGGATATGGAGGACGATGACAGTGCTGTCATTTAGATCGATCCGCTACCATCCCGTCAGTCAGCGAGAGGCACATATCAACTCATTGCACAAGGAAAGTCCTCCCGACTTTGCGCTTTACCACGTCATACATTGTGCCATACACAAAGACTTCTTCACTTTCCGGCATCCAACAGAAATCAGACTATCAATACGGCGTATTGCCTCCTGCGATAACAGCGATAGCTGAACTTGGATGGCGGGGTCGCCTCTACAAAAATCATGTCCCAGATTGCCAGCCCGTGATGCCTAGATGCACCCAACGCAAAGGTCCTCCTGCACGTGGCATCGAGGAAAGAGACGCTGCGTCTCCTCACAGCCCTGATATGGCTGATTTCCGCCTACAATGGCTCGACGTAACCCGTCGTCGCACAACCGGCGTTGGCTTGGTATCTTGATTTATCCTTTTCGTTATCTGCCTATCGTACCCGTTGACAAGGAGCCGAGGCAACTATTCTACAACAGGAAAACAGATAGGATTGTCCGAATATCGCCAGAAAGGACATCAGCTCTTAAGTTGACGCTATCAACATAGTGTGGAATGCTTTGCTGCTTTCGGCAGAACCGTCCTTCGAGACTTGGACAGGGCCGCGAGGTCCCAAGAACATGGTCTTTGCGAAGCGCACGTTCTCCGTTAGTGAAAGGTCTAGGCGATTATACCTGCCCGATCAAGCGTCCTGGTGCAAGCCACTCTGAGAGCACAAAATCTGGACGATCAACGAACAGCGATTTGTAACACAGGCATGCAGCACGTCCACGCACATGCCCCTGTCAGTACCCTGTTCCCGGCACTCAGCCCGTCAGAGCGCAGAGCCGAAGGAACCCGGTGCACGGTGGTGCTAACCCTGCGGCGACTTTGTTTGGTCGAAAGTCTAGGTGCATGATAATGCCGTCATTCTGTGTACTCGATCAACATCGATAGCTCCTCTTTTGGAGCTACAAGCTGCATCCTCTTCCTCCCCGCACCGTTATCTTTCTGCCTGCCACCAATCCACGTTTCTGTTTCTTTGGACAACATTGACCAGGTACCATCGGGTTCCCTTGGCATGCCTAATGAGTATACCACTATTGGGCAACACAGCAAGATCCTCGTTGCAGCTATGCGATCCTAAGCTTTTAGCGAAGCACTGCGAAGCTTTCGCGACAGCTTCGAGCGGGTCGAGAAAGCATGGCGACCTGCAGCTTTCCCAAAATCTCACAGCTACAAAAAGCAAACATGGCTGCGCCCTCCCATGCCCGACTCCTTCTCTCCTCTTGTTGTGTAGGTAGCCAACTTGCAACTGTAACCTCCTGTCAAGATGAAGGTCCAGGCTCTTGCTCTTTTGTCCTTTGCGACGGCCGCGGCAGCCAAATGGACCGCCAACTTGAACTACCGAAGTCCTTCGGAGCATCACCCTTTCATGGGTATTGCTATCCACAAGGTCGTCCGCCGTAGCGACCTCAGCAAACGCTTCGACCCTTCCCAGCTCAACTTTACTCACAGTGTTGCCTCTGGTGACCCATACCCGAACTCCGTCATTCTGGTAAATGAAACAAACGTTCTACTAGCAAGAGACAACTAACGGAAGCAGTGGACTAGAATTGCTCCGCAAATTGCTGATGACCCAAGCAACATAACCGTTGAGGGTACTGTTCCATATGTGAGTCACCCAGTGTGTCGGTCGAGGGGCTGTTTAGCCTGACTCGAACCGCTCGACGAGACTATGCCACAGTCGCCGTTTGGACTCAGGACGAGGACATGCCTGCGACAACCCTGTTCGATCATGGAGTTCTGGAATGCTTGGATTATACTGACTTGTCATTCTCACAGTTCAACCATGAGACCGCATCATACGTTGCGGTCTCTGTTGCTCCTATCTGCGTCACCTACGCTGTTGCGACCGATGCGGGCTTGAAGAACGTTGTTTCCAAGGGTACTGCCTACACCTCATCTGACATTGATTATACGGTCAAGGTCGAGGCCACTGGTCTGTCAGCCTTCACACAATACTACTACCAATTCACCGTGTGCAACTCCACAAACTCCAGCCCAATTGGTAAGACCAAGACCACTCCCAACCCGAACGACCCAGTTGCTGCTGTCAACTTGGCCGTCTATTCTTGCTCCAACTACAACTTCGGTTTCTTCACCTCCTTTGGCAACCCTGCTCGCAAGCAGTCCGTGGACTTCGTCATCCACTTGGGTGATTTCATCTACGAATATGCTGAGGGTGCCTACGGTTGGGGTTGGTCAATTGGCCGTATTCCCAAGCCCAATGCCGAAATTCGATCGCTGCTTGATTACCGTACAAGGCACAACAGCTACCGTATCGATCCCGACTCCATTGCCAGCTTCCAGAACTTTGCATGGATCCCGGTCTGGGATGATCATGAAGGCGAGTTTGCACCTCAGCTATTTCTTGAGCCTGCATCTGACAATGACATACAGTCGCGGACAACGCGTACCGTGATGGTGTTGCAGATCAGAACAACACCGAAGCCTCTTTTATCCAGTATGATATCGAGTATGGTGGTGAATATATCTCCTTCGACCAGCGCAAGATGAACGCTGTCAGAGCTTATTTCGAGTGGATGCCGTGAGTGACCCGTACCTCAATCTATCGTGCGGGACGCTGACACTTGATCGACAGGATCCGACAAGTCGATATGGACGACAACCTCCGAGTTTGGAGATCCTTCTCCATCGGTACTCTGTTTGACTTGAGTAGGTTCTCACGTGGCTTGTCTACGACAGAGTGACCACTAACAAGCTATTACAGTCATGCTGGACACTCGTAACTACGACCGTTCTATCACCGATCTGTACTGGAACACCGACTACATCCACCAGATTTCCAACGACGCTGGACGTTCGATGATGGGCAGTCGCCAGGAGAACTGGTTCTACAATCAACTGTCTGAATCGCAACAGCGAGGTGCCACCTGGCGTGTCATCGGCTCCCAGACTGTCTTCTCTCGTCAGAACGAGTCCCTTGCCTATGGCAACGCCGATCCTCTTGACTACGATGCATGGGATGGTTATCAGGCAAACCGAAACCGAACCTTCCAGCATCTCTACAACAACAACATCACCAACAACATCGTTTTGTCCGGTGACTCCCACATGTCGTGGGTGTCTGACCTGATTTGGTTGGACAACGAGTCTTATGACCCAACCACCGGCGCGGGCTCTATCGGTGTCGAGTTTGCCGGCTCTGCTGTCTCGTCACCATGCCCTTACGGCCAGAACATTACTCAGGCCACGGCCAACAACTATTCCAACTGGCTCGTCCACGCCAACCCCGAGCTTCAGTGGCAAGACGTATACTTCCGTGGCTACTATGAGCTTGAAGTCAGCACCAAGGCCGTTCAAGCCAAATACTTTGGTACTCCAACGCTTGTCCAGCGCGTTCCCTACGAGATCTCCATCGCTAACTTCACCGTCCCTATCAATGCCAACGCTCTTCAGAGACCTGTTGGTGGCGGTATCGTCGAGTCCGGTGCTCTCAAGAATGGTCAGACCGTCATGACCAACATCACCAACAACACTCTCACTGGCCAATATTTCGTGTCCAACCTCGAAACATTCGGCTACGGACAAGGTCCCTACGGAGGCAACTTGACATATTGATTGGAGACAACGATCGGTGCGGCAAAAACGAACGAGTACATGTAATGATGATAAAATGAAAGATGAAGATAGGTACTGACTGCAGTACATGCCGTAACAGCCTCCGGGCTTAGCTCAATTGGTAATCGATCCTTAGCCACCACAGTAGAACCCGATTCTGTAACACATTCCCAGACTCGATCTCCTCGCTAATCAAGTAACCGGTGTCCATCGACTCGACAACAAACTGCTGATCGCTATTGCATTTGAAATCGAAGATTCAGTTTCTCGCGTAAGTCTACTCCACATGCGCAGATATGCAATGGCCGCATTTGGCCTTATCGGCGTGGTGCAGATTGCTCTTTCGATTGGACGCCATTACCAACGTTGGTCTGCCGCTCCGGTAAGGTTGAAGCTTGCATGCGCCAGGGACACCCCACCACATCGAAGTACATTTCCGGATTGAAGCTTGACCGAAAGCTTGCCATGAAGGTCCAGATCTAGCACAGCTTGATGAGAAGGTGTTTTGGCTGGTCTTCCTCGGCCGGGCACGCACGTGCGATACAACTATTGACGTCTTCCGAGTGAAGCTGTTAAGAATGCCTGATTCAACGGTGAGAATGATGTCCTAGAGACACCCACGCTCGTGCCATCAAGGCCTTGACTCCGGCAAGATGTGGCCGTTCAGCAAGTCTGGGTCGAACAAGTCCTATCAACCCGTCAAGACCGATGATCTCGAGGACGACAACATTTCATTCGACCTCGACGACGGGCAATACTCAGCACCAAAGACGAAGCGAAAAGGCCTGGTTACCACCTTTACCGGGTTCATTGGATTCGCTCTTATCGTATTGTTCCTGATCGGCTTTGGCATCTTCATTACGTCGCACAAGGACCGCTCGCAAACATCGACCGAGAACACTGCGACGGAGCCATCGTCGCCGTCGACTGACAACCCGTCCAGCTCGGCTCCGTCATCAAACTCAAACTCTTCTCATTGTACCCTCCGTCGCGAGTGGCGAACGCTCGAAATTCCAGAGAAGCACGAATACATTCGAGCCGTGCAATGCCTTTTACAGCAACCGTCCCAGCTCCAACCTCCTCATACCTTGACAGCAAATTCGACCTTGTACACCGACTTCCCTTTCATCCACGCCCACATCGGCTACCGCACGCACAATTCTGCGCCGTTCCTCCCTTGGCATCGGTACTTTCTGCACCTGTACGAGACTGCTCTGCGCGAGAAGTGCGGGTTCACTGGTGGCCTGGTGTACTGGGACTGGACGCTCGATGCCGCTGACTTGACCAAATCGCCTGTCTTTGATCCGGAGACTGGGTTTGGCGGAGATGGAGACCCGGATCTGCCAGTTACTCTGGGACGGAGTGGTCGGTGTGTGACGAATGGTCCTTTCGGAGCCGGACCCGACGGCGTGGGAGTCTGGGGACAGTTCTACGATGTCAAGTTCCTGCCGCATTGTCTTTCGCGAGGATTTCGGGATGACGAAGGCAATCTTGGGACTATCGATGGTAGTACGGTGACGGCAGAAAGCATTGGGGAGGTTTTGGATATTGAGGGCTACGAGGACTTTGTCAAGACGCTGGAAGGCAGAGTGCATGATGCGATTCCATTTGGAGTTGCGGGTGATTTCGAGACGTTTACCGCGCCTTATGGTAAGTACCGACGCTGCCCCATGACATTGCTGGGATATACAGTGCATGTGTGGCTAACGAGACTGATTTTGTAGATCCGCTGTTCTATCTGCACCACACACAGCTTGACCGGCTGTGGTATATTTGGCAGCAACGGAAAGCGGAGCGCGTGATGGAGTACAGTGGTCATGAGGCCCGTCATTCGATTGAGTCGGCGAAATTGACTGATAAGATCACGATGGGAGGGTGGGCAGAAGAGATTGAGGTCCGGCAGGTCATGGACACGGAGGGAGCAAGTAAGAGTGATGATGAGCAGGCGTTGTTATGTTATCGCTACTGATGGCCGACTACTCTAAAGAAATAATGAAGTATATGAAATCTCTTACTTGTATGTGCTGCTTACCTGCGCTTTCCAACCAGTGGTGTACGACGCACCTCATTCGCACCACTACTCATGAACACGCATATACTCACCTCAGTTACCGTCACGAGTCTTCTCTTTCGCCTGTTCGAGTCGTTCCTCTGCGAATGTGACCCGGTCTGCAGCAAGAGCCATGGTCGACTGTGCCAACTTCAGTCGGTTCTCAGCCAAGACCACCTGTGACATTGACAACTCCAGACGGTTCCGAGCCAGGATGACTTGATTCCTCAAATGTGGTATGTTGTCCTTTGATGTCTTGCTACCTGTTGCTCCGTCTCGAACGTTTGGGATGTCTTGAATCTGCGTGCAAAAAGTTCGGGGAATGTCAAACTCAACTTTTGCAAAACGATCATCAGCCAGACTGTAGAGTGACTTGGTGACTGTCAGCAACTGGTCAGTGAGCAGAAGCACGCTGTCAGTCAGATCTGGATTCGACTCATTGGTAGTGACACGACTACCGCTGGCTGACTTTGGCTTTGGCGTGGATTCATCGTTCGCATCAGTAACCACTATTGTGGGGTGCAAGGACATACCCGAGAGACTCTCTTGAACATGGTTCATTGCATCGCCGACATCGTCCATTTCCTCCGCAATTGGCGTGAGACAAGTTCCGCAACTAAGAGAAGAATCTGGGGAGTCAGAACTATCCTTGGCAGGAAGACGCTGGTATGGGTGTTGTGAGTCTTCCGCAATGGGTGACAGAGCAAGTGGTGAGATAGGCTCCATTGTGGGCAAGCTGGCGAGACAGAGGAGATTCAATTGTAAAGGGTGATGTGATGAATGAACTTTGTGAGCGTGAACCGAAATAGACGTCCACAATTTGCTTGTGTCTCGACGCTGGAAACCGAAGCCAAGTGTACAATGCAAAGATATTGCTAACTGGACAGTCTTGACAATTAGCAAGACGAGGCAGTACAAACTTCTCCCTAACAATCAAATGTACCACAACAAAGAAAAACACAACGCTGAAAGAATTGTGCAGCGAAACCTTTGCACAAAGGAATTGAAGCACTCTTTGTTATCTGCCAACAATGGAAATTATTCCAGGCCTTCCTGAGCTGAGTTGAGTCGAGGGCTTTTGTTGGTGGTTGTCGAAAAGTTCTGCTGAGAAATGGTTTCAATACATCAGTTCAGGGCTGCGGCGATTTGTTTAACAGCATTTGTCAATCCGTTAGTAATGCCGTTCGTTACCCCGTTTGTCGCCCCATTTGTTGACCCATTTGTCAATCCTGCTCCTATATAGCCATTAGTTACCCTGATGAAAGACTACCACTTCGACTTACCACGGAGTCCCAACTCTTTGATGAAGATATCCGCAGCCTTCTCGCCGACCAAGAAAGCTGTATTGTTGGTGTTGGCACCGACGTTTTCAGGCACGATGCTCAGATCGGCAATCTTGAGCCCTTTCAGCCCATACACGCTCAGCGACGCATCGACGACACCTTTCTGATCCCTGGGCGCCATCTTTGCAGTGCCGAGTGAATGCCATGTTGTGGAAACGGTCTCACGGACATGCTGTTCGATAGCTTTGTCGTCCTCGGCAGTGTACTCGATGCGCTTGGTGTCGTCCGGAACAGGGCCATCTGCCTTCTCGACGACGGCGGCTTTAGATCCAGGTGGGAATTTTGGATGGCTTGAGGCCAGCTCACCACGGTAAATGCCCATGTGGCGGAACATCTCGCGTTGAGTTTTGTAGGCCCAGATATGCTTCTTCACGTCGACTCCATTGACGTCCTTGAGGTAGCCGACGTCAAAGTCAATAGGGTCAGTCAGCTCAGGACCGGTGGCGTGAATGTGGCCGCGCGAATAGGGGTACGCGGTCCAGTTGGCCATCGAGACGTACTCGGCGTCGCCTGGCAGTGTCGAGTGATCACCAAAGAAACTGAAATTCGTAAGCATAGCAGTTGACGACGGGCTCTGGACGGTACTCACCTCAGATACATGGCAATAATCATCAAAGGCCTGTTGGGAGCGTTCTTGAAGTCACGATCCCAGGCTTCCTTGAAGTCCGGTCCAAGTGCTTCAACCTCAGCCTCGGTCGGACGGAACTTGCCTGAGGCATCCATAGAATTCCAACCCAACAGCTCATCATTCTTCTTGATCATCTCTTGAACGTTGAAGCGGCCATCCGCAAAGGAGTTGATGGTCTCTCGTGGTGAAAGGCTGGTACGGTAAGCATACAAGGTTAAGTGGTGATCTTGGTAGTCATTGCCGACACCAGGCAAGTTCTCCACAAGTTCGGCTCCAGTTCGCTTGACATATTCCAGGTCGCCAACTCCAGATCGTTCCAGAATAAGTGGTGTTGCATTGGCACCTGATGAGAGTACAACCATCTTCGAGGCATGCATCGTACGACGGGTAGATTGGCTGGCCGTCTCAAACATGGGATTGGCCTGGTACTCCACCCCAACGGCTCGCTTCTCTTCGTTGAACAAGACACGGACAACCTGGTTCTGCACGAGGACATGTAAATTGGGATAGTCACCACTCTCCAGTTTAGGGTGGAGGTATCTATGGGCAGCATCCTGGCGTTTCCCGTCCGGACTGACGTAGCGTAGCCAGCGTTCTGTTCCGTTGTTTGTGTCAAGGTTCTGAAGGTCCTTCAGCTCGTTATAGCCCATTTTAGCGGCAGCCTCAATGAAATCATTCTCAGCTGCTTTAGCACGGAATGTGCCGCTGGACACATGGATGGGCCCATCGTGGCCGTGGTGTTCCTTTTCGCCCTGGCCGTGATATGTTTCAAACTATCAAAATGGTCAGTCACCAAGCAAGACTGCACCGAGACATGGAAATCCTGTACCTTCTTCAAAAATGGATACAAGTCATTGGCGGACCATCCGGGTGTCTTCCAGGAATCGAGATCATCTCTTTGGGCTCGAGTGTACACCATCCAGTTGATGGATGAGCCACCACCCAATATGCCTCCGGAGGGTACGATCGGCTCGCGGTTCGCCAATTTCTCCGACTTGTTTCCCTTCCAGAACAATGCCGTCTTGCTATCGGTGAGAATGTTCGAGGGAAACAGCGCAGGGTGAACGACCTCGGGCCGATTGTGATTGTTCATACCCTGCTCGATGACTAGAATGCGTAGCTTGGGATCAGCTTCCGCCAATCGTGCAGAGACTGTACATCCCGTCGTGCCTCCTGAGATGATTTGTGAGTAAGCAGACGTGACATGTGTGCTCCATTGAATTACCTCCGACTACGACCACATCCACGTCATTGAAGTCTTCTGGAAGTTGTGTATGGATGGGCATCTTGAGGTTGGATCAAAGTTCACTATGTGAGCGTTCAAGTGTATAAAGAAGGGGAAGGTGTGGGAAGTAGTGTCTGGATTAAGCTGAAAGAGATGGAGGCAACACAGAACAGGGAGGAGTTGTCCTTCGAGAGCACTTAAGGACCTGGCGAGGGGATCAGGCCAAGAGTGGCATTTCCCAGTCCATCCTACCTTTGTCCAAACCGGTGTCTGTCGGATCGGTGTCCGCAGGTCAGAAGACGCAGTCCAGTCTATCTCGAAACGACACTTTCGAGAAGCGTACAGCCGAAAAGGCCAATGACAACCAAGTCTCGCAACTCATCAACACCAACCAGGAGACCGGATCGCTTAGCTGCGGAGAGGAAGTTGCAATTCATTGCTGACCCCGCGTAGTTGGTAAGGAGTCCTCGGAACCGCAAGGTGTTCGAGATGGCGAAGCGAAAAGCAATGATAGGTTTGCGACGACTTCTCATCAATCCCTCTCCATACAACTCTCCACAGTGCTCCGCGTTGATACGAAACCCCTCTTCTCGTCAGCCTTAGCGGGCGATCATAGGTGAATGCTATCACCGATTGAGGCTGGTTAAATCAGGGATGTAAGCGGACGCGGAGAAGTGACGTATGTCGTTGTACCATAGTCTTGAGAGTCCAGGAGAATATCCATGTATAAGTTGGATTGGTACACATAGTATCTCAAGCAACACCGCCTGGAATGAAGACCTGCGAATATTCCTTTTGTATTCACATGACGGGAGGTATTTGATAGAAGTCGATGTCTTGTTGACAGATGTCTATTTGCAGCTGATGCATATTTTGAGTTCATGACTAAGCTCAAGTCACGTGTATAGGACTGATTGGCTAGATCCTAACCCCTCACTTCACCAACATGGCACCTTTGTCCGCTCGAGATGCCTTTGACCTGCAGCCTAAGACATCTTCCTCATCTTCGTCTCATTTTCGCCCACACCAACCAGCCAAGTTTTCGTCGCTACCATGCTACCAAATCGAGCTGCCACGGCAGTCCGAGTATGCACGCCACTACCCCAAAGTCAAGCCATAACCGAGGGAGTCTCCGACTTTTCAAGAGGTCAGACATGAGGAATGCTGGGTGACTTACTCGGACTCCTGGCGATGCCTAGTGGGAGTCGAGTGCCAGGTCTCCAGATAAGGGCATCACCTGTAGGTGAACACGATGCTTGCTTCCGAAACAACCTCAACGTGTCCAATATCCTCAGGGTGTCGCTGCAACCTCTTTTCAAAGATATGGACTATGACAGTGCCGAGCTCGATAAAGAGGGCATCTACGTCGTTGAAAGCGCCCGGCGTACTAGGCATCCGCTCATATAAGGCTACGGGAGCAAATCTATCACGTCCGATGAACTTGAAATACATCCTTTCAAGATCTCCGCACAACACTGTCTACATACACCAAGAGTTTCTCATGTGGAGGTTGATGTCCGAACGGAGATGTGAGTCCCGTATGATTGGATGCTCACCAAATCCCAGCCTCGGTAATGCGGCTTCGTTACCATAGTGTATCCCCGCATTCTCTTATCAGGTATATCGATCTATTTCACCTTGGACCATTTTATCGCTCGGATCAGAGGTTTACCATGAACTAACATCTATCATTGCATCAATTATAGTGCCCATGTGGCTTGCCTGCCAACTTTTGATTGACACTGTAATACCTCTCTCTTCTGCTCATTAGGACTTTCTCGCAACATCATCGACGCTTGCGATGCCTCTTAAGAAAGATATCAGCAATGTGACGCCGTTTTATCAGAATGGACATAGTGGTCCTAGTGAACAGGATACCGTTATCAATGGCCATGGCAATGAGAGTGACGCACTTGATATGGTGATTGTGGGAGCCGGATTTGTAAGTCGTCCTTTGCGCTGCCCATCGGATCGAAGATATGCTGATAACATTTTCTGACCACAGGCCGGCGTATACCTGCTGCATCAATTGAGGAAACGGGGGTTCAAGGCCAAGATTGTTGAGGCTGGTTCAGACTTGGGTGGTATTTGGTACTGGAATCGATATCCTGGTGCCAGAGTGGATAGTCAATATCCAGTCTATGCTCTCTCGATACCTGAAGTCTATCGTGATTGGACATGGTCATCGCACTATCCCGACCATGCAGAACTGCGCGAGTACTTCGAACATATCGACCGTGTTCTTCACGTCAAAAAAGACTGCGTTTTCAACACGAAAGTCGTTGCAGCAGAATGGGACGACACAACGTGCCTGTGGACGATCAAGACCGAGACAGGCCAGATTTTCACAACCAAGTTCTGGACAGCCTGCACGGGGTTTGCAGCGAAACGATATTTCCCGGATTGGGAAGGCTTGGACAACTACAAGGGCGTGATACACCATTCCAGCTTCTGGCCTAAGGAAGGCGTCGATGTCAGAGGACAAAGGGTTGCAGTCATCGGCACAGGTGCCACTGGTGTTCAAATTACCCAGGAGTGGTGCAAAGAGATTGGCGAGGATGGACATCTTGAAATGTGGCAACGCACTCCGAACTTTGCATGCGCCATGAACCAGGTCTACATGACCAAAGACGAGCAGGAGAAAATTCGAGATACTCTTGCCGAGAGATTTGCGGATCGGAACAACTATTACAATGGCTTCCTTTACCAATGGCGGGACAACTTGACGTATGACCACGATGCCAAAGAAAGAGAAGAGTTTTACTGGACGCTCTGGAAGATGGTAAGCCTATCGTACCTTTCACGGTATGCTGGACTCCTTGCTAAATGTTGCAATGCAGGGAGGTTTCCGCTTTCTGATGAACAACTACTACGATATGACTCGCGAGAACACTGCAAATCAAGAAGCTTACAGTTTCTGGCGAGACCGTGTGAGGGACCGCGTCAAGGACCCAAGAAAAGCGGAACTTCTCGCGCCTACGGAACGTCCTCATCTCTTTGGTGGCAAACGTCTGTCCCTCGAGCAGGACTTCTATGATCACTTTAACAAGGTATGTCCTGCACATCATATATATTTTCCCGATGGCGGTACTGACCTTCACAAGCCCAATGTCGACGTGGTTGATGTTCGGAACAATCCCATCAAAAGATTCGTTGAGGACGGAATCATCCAAGAGGATGGCACTTACCACAAGCTTGATATTATCGCGCTGGCGACTGGCTTCGACTCCATCACGGGCGGTCTGAAGGACATGAAGATCACCGGCGTGGGTGGCGAGATACTGTCCGACAAATGGGCCCAAGGAACTTGGACGTACATGGGCATAACAACGGCCAAATTTCCCAATTTCTTCTTGTAAGTTCGTCACTGTCTGCCGTGACTTCAACGGTCGCCCCTCAGGAGCACATATACTGATATTCTCTTAGTACATATGGTCCTCAAGCACCCACTGCATTCTCAAACGGTCCGTCGTGTATCGAGATACAGGGCGACTGGATTGCTGATGTTTTGAGCGACCTGCGAGAGAAAGGCAAGAAGAAGATCGATGCGGACAGAAAAGCAGAGGAAGACTGGAGGGCACTCGTCTTCGAACTTATCAGTGATACACCTCGAGGAAAGGTGGATTCATGGTATAACGGAGCGAATATTCCGGGAAAGCCTCGTGAGCATTTGAACTATGCTGGTGGCATCCCGAGGTATAAGAAGACCCTTGAACAGGTCAGGAGGGATGGCTTTGAAGGATTTACCTTGTCATGATCATCGGTGGTCCTGTGCGAGTGTTCCGTTGTGCGCAAGAACAGCTTGAAACGTCTGCACATGCTTCTGTCTGGTGATGCCGCCCTCATCGACGGCTGAAGGTGTGGAGGGAAACAATATCGTATCATTGGGCGTCCTGTCTTTCTTTGGACCCTATCCGTGATCGTGGCGGTGAAGGCGTGGTATGGAAAGTGCAGAATGCTAGAATAGTCAAGATCTCAGATACCAGCACGCCGCACCGTAGTCACTGCTTATTTGCAAATGATGACCGATTTGGCTGATAGCGGGAATGCACGTTCAATGCTGCTTCGGCTGCGTACGAAGAAGTCTTGTACAACCCCTCTCCTATCCAATGTCAAACGGGCCTTGGCAGGGACTTCACCTCTGCACCACCTCGTCACCGTCGTTGCATCTCCCCAGGTCCTTGCTTTTCTCCTGATATAGAACATCGTGATTGCTGTTTATTCTTACATCCATCGTGCTCTCACTCCTGCTTGCGAGTCGGGCGCAGCTTCGCCCGAGTGTCCTTACTGCCTGCCCGATCGAACGGATCAGTGGATGCGGACGCCGCCAGTACCAATGGCTCGACAAGGATCGACGGCACACATGCGCAGAGGAATCTTCCTCTCTTTCGACTCTGTTCATCTTTCTCACAGCCTGAGGTGACAATCGCTTGTCAAGCCTTTCCTCCGAGTCTGCGATCTCGTCGCATCCCAACATCAAGCACAATCGAAACATTCGGATGGCTCCCCCTCCATACAGGGCAGAGCCTGGCCATTGGTTCCTCCGAGGCGTCCAGTCCGCCATATTCTACTACGTTGCCTGCACACCATGTCTCGAATATCAACACAAGCGGAAGAGGAGGCAAGAGGCCAGGGCAGTACAAGCCGCGCAAGCAGAAATTGTCACAACCCAACCAGGCATTATAAGACAACCCGGCCCCTTTCAGACAAATGAGACATGGGCCGAAGAGATGATGCTGGGTCCTGGACCACCCAAAGGCTGGAAAAGCGATAAGTTGCTAGAGACTCTGCGAAAGAAGACTTCAAAAGAGCCACAAGAATTGGGTGGGGTGCCGATATCTCCTGAAACAACACAACTACCAACCCATCTTGCAGCTTCTCCGGGACGCTCTACGCAAGTAATACCTCCTTCGCCAGCAACAACAACCTCTTCATCCAGTAATACGGACTCTGCCACATCCGAAACCCATTCTTCAAACCATGATAAACCTACCACCGCCCCAGTCAGGCCGCGAGCAGCAGAGCGGTCATTGTCGAATGCAATGGAGAACATCAAAGACTCCTTAAGGTCGACTCTACATCCGGAGAAGTGGAATTGGAAAAGATATGACCGTGAAGATGAGATTCTAACGGGCTTCGGCGAGAAAGTGACTAGGATGTGGAATCGAGCAACCTCAGGACCATATCATGAAGGTGTCGAAGTCCCAGAACCCTCCTATCAGAGGAAACGTGCTGCTACGAATGAGACCGATCGATATGACTATAGTCGAGCAAGACATCCGGAGGTCAACGACATGCATCCTCCAATAGTGTCACAACTACCTGCTACACGGGAAGAGGTGGCTTGGATGTTGCTGCCAGCTCCAAGTGCAGCGGTCATGGCAGGGAAGAAGAGGCCAGGAGCAGAGACAGAAATGCGACGGCCTCTATGTGTCATTGGCACACCGGAGAAGCGCCCTCAACTTAAGATGTCGATGTCGATGACTCGATCTACCCAACAAGTTGACGAACAAGATTTCTTTATGAGTGATGCAGGAAGTGTGGAGAGCATAGAGGTGGAGGATGACATACCTTATCAACGCGAAAACAGCATCAGCACAGCCGGCGCCTCACGCATGAAACATCACTCGGACCCAATTAGCATGCCATCACCACTACATCCACGGACGTCGATTGCAGGTGATCTGTTCATGCCCAAGAGACGAGATTCATGGCAATTCCAGCAGTTTCACTATGTCGTTCCTCCAACTCCAAATCAGACAATGTGCTGAAGAGACATGCCACCCTTTTTTCAAGCACGACCCGATCTTTTTCTTCTTGACGACTTTTCACGAATTCACGTCCTCAGCTTTTGACTTGGCTTTGGTACTAGAGTGAGCGTTCGATGCTTTGCGACAATGAGTTTTTGCTGCCGGCACATATTTGGGTTCTATTCTGGCAAGGAGTTCTGGCTGGTGCGACAGCGATGAGTTTGGAGTTTTTTCTTTTTGGTTTGATAAGCTTGGTTTTGTTGAAGTGATCGACCGGCAAAGCTGTTGTATACAGACCATGTGATGCAGGCGGTCAAGGGAGATGGTTTGCACCGAATAGCTTGTACAGAAAGTTGTGCGAATCAACCAGAGTCGCTATAAGCAATACCTGCATTTCGCTTATAGGCGGTGTAGTCTGTGATACGTTCTTGCTGGCGATACCTGGTGCCTATCAGGGTCAAATGGTGAACTATTCGCAGGTGGTTTGATGCCCATGGGTGACGCTGACGATCATCCGGATGGCAATGCAAGGTCCTATGCAGGCACCGCTTATTTTTTGGAATGAGAAATCTACTTTGCGGTTCGGCTCAAGGACATCTCATTGGATCCTAGGGGTGAAACATCATATACGCGAGATGCGGAGGTGGAGGGGAGATTGAATGCTGGTCAAATTTCAGATTTCTATAGCCGATCAGAGGATGGATGAACGCCCATAACGTTAGTGTTTAGGGCACCCCGCCAGGCGCATTCTTACGCTCTCCATTTACCACAGTACCTTCCTAGGTAAGGTTATAAGTTATGGCAGTGAAGGGAGCGCCGTGGAAAGTCTCGTCAAGGGTGAAACAACACAACCAATTCCGACCACGGACCCAACCAAAATGATGACGGTGAAACAGACTGAATTCACTGGCAACTTCGATCACTGGCAACTTCGATCACTGTCACGCTTTTCTCTTGTTGACAACCATTCCATCCTCTTCCTTTCTTTTGTTGATCCGCGACCCTTCGTACCATTCCTGACGACCTTCCTAAAACACCAATACGCGAGACACACTCGTCGCAGGCGCAGTCTGCACATACGTTACTCCACTGTGCCGTCTTCCCAGAACCCTCGTCAATTACGCGGCGGAGACGTCCATGCACGACTTGAAGGTGTCCTGATTGAACCTGGGAGCTCACCGTGGGTCCCTCTGGTTCGTTCGCTTCGACATTTGATCCATCTAACTTATGTGCCCGCTCAGGTCACGTTCTTGCATCCTGCCCACTGCGTGCTTGCCGTACGTCGTACGTTACCTCAATCATCGAACCGGGCCAAACTCCTGAGACATTTCGACTTAGGTCTTCTATACATCTTCCCTTTCTGTACCAACGACTATCGAACCAATCCCCCAGCAACCTCTCCCTAAGATCCTGCACCCTGTATCCCTTCCAAGGAACGCCTAGACTCTGAGACCTGACAAGCTGCTTGGCTCGTCACTCGACAAGGCCATCCCTTGCTTGGCTGCGGCCGTCTACTTTGTGCACAATCTCAGCGAAGCGAACTGCGCACTCTGAACATACTCTCTTCGTTTGGTACAAAAGAATTACACTCAATATCTGCTTCGCTTGTCGAGGACTGCCTATTCTCTAGGACCGGCATCGTCATCCAAGATGTGGTCGACCGCCGCCTCTTGGGTCGCCTTGCTTGCGGTCACTGCAGCCCTTACCAGATATTATAACCCTGATCTGTTCAACAAACTCACCCCAGTTACACGTGTGAGTGTGAGACCAGAACCGGCGACCTCTGACAAAGGGGTGGCTAAGAAACAGAAAACCAAGCGGACACACGCCGGGCGACTCGATGCCACTGGTAGTGGTACCTCCACTCCAACAAGTGCTACAGAGGGCCAATCCAATAAGAAGAGAAAGCTGGTGTCCGCGCCAATCGATAAAAACGTCGTCATTCAGACTACAACTGGCAAGGAAGTAAGCTTGCCACGAGATGAAAAGCAAGAATTGAGTAACAAACAATTCGCTCAACAACTCGCCAAAGCCCAGGCAGGCACAAAGTTGGAGTCATCCAAATCACAAGGACCGACAAAGAAGGACCGTCGCGCAGCTCGAAAAGGCACAGAGTCTCAACAGAATGGCGTTGAGACTTCTGGTATCTCTACCGAGACTTCCTCCACCACTGGTCGTGATGCAGATGACGACCTATCACCAGCTGGTTCTCCTGCGTCCGGCCCAGTCTCGACCGCTCCTACTTCGAGAGCCGGGGATGTCTCAGACATGTTGGAAGCACCAGCTGCGAAACCTACCACTCTTCGACTGACCGATCTGACGGAGACCATCAAAAAGAATGTTCCCAAATCAGTCGCCAAGGCGTTCGAACCTGTCATGACCAAGAAACAGCGACAGCGACAAGCGAAACAAGCCGAGCAGAAAGCGCTGAGGGAAGACGCAGACCGCCAGCATGATGCCAAGAAACAGGCTCAACTTCGAGCCGCACGAATGGCGGAAGGGACCTCAAATCAGACCAAAGCGAATTCGTTCACATCCAAGCCGAACGCTTGGCAGCAAGGAAAGCCAGCCTCCGAGGAATTGAAGAAGAAAGAATCGCACACTGCGGTCGCCCCCTTGTTGGACACCTTTGATAAGGAAGATGTTACGTCAGTCGATGTCAGTGGGGCAGTAAACTCTCAGCCACTGTCCGACGTGACCAACTCGGTGCCGGCGACTGCCAACGTCAACGAGGTGAAACAACAGGAAGGTGACAACAAGACGGCGGCCCTGGGCGCTTCGAATCGTGAGAAGGTTTCACGACCCACATTGGGAACTCAGCCAAGCTGGGCTGATGAAGTTAACGATGAAGAGCAGGACAAATGGGCAAGTGAGCTCACCGGAGAGGAGAGATGGGAGTCTGTGACATCTAAGAAGGGTAAGAAGAAGGGCAAAAAGGACAATGAGACCAGCAGCGAAGCGAGTTCCTCGGTTACACGACCAGCGACCTCGACTCACAACTCCGTCACAGTAAATGGCGCAAGTCAGAAGAACGTTCAACCACGAAAGGAGTATGTCAATCGATTCCAGTCCATTGAGGCGTTGCCAGATTCTTCTTTCAAAGACGCTGAATGGGAAGCTTAACGGACTAGCACGAAGCATTACAGCATCTGTCGACCAGCCAGCGATTCTGGTTTAGGGGCGGCGGACAATTGGCCCTCACTTTTGCATTTCTTTTCAGGTTGTCAGTCCAGGCATGGTGCATCTTTTTCTGTTCACGCACGACCGATCATTGAAGATCCATGATCAGGTCTTTGTCTAAGTATCACAGCATATTTCAGGTTTCATGCAAGCACAAAAATCCAGGAGACAGTCTGAGGGGGATTTTCCAGAGCGTTGAACCAGACTGATAGAGCAGTTCTTTCCCGGACAGGAATGATCTCAGAAAGAAAATGCAAAACACCATTTCACCATATCTTTTACCTAACGTAGCTATTCCTGCACTCTCACTGTGCAAGTTACATTGTGATGACATTGACACAATCCTTGTGGTGCTTGGGTGGTAGTTTGCTTGGTGGTAGTTTTGGCATCTGAGGGCGGAAAGTGGCTGTAGAGGGTGGAAAAGGGGCGCGATTTCAGGGGAGAAGCACATTTGATTGGAGGCTTGACCTTTAGCTAATACTCCGGTACGGCCAGCGTGTTAAGAAAATAGAAATGACCCGTGCCACAGTGAGAGAGCCAGTGCCAGTGTCCTCCTCAGGTCCTCCCGCAGCCGAAAAGTGAAATGCGCGCCCGCCCACTTAAAGCCGTACTTATTATTGTGAGATTTGTTCATGCCACTCACGAGTCACGACTGGGAGAGTACACATATACGCTGCAGTAATCTCACACTTGTAGACATTTGACAGCATTCAACAACCAAAGTCTCGACCCACACAATCTCTCTCTGTTTTGCTTCTCTTTCCTCTTAATCAACACATCTCTTCTCCTCTTCCCTCATCCAAAGCAACAGGACTCTTTTCGACGGACCGAACCGACCCCTACTCATCCTCCACAACACGAAGTGGTCATCATGGCGCAAATAAGAGGGACTGCAGGCTATAATCTGGGGCTGAACAACCAGTTCGCGTCTCAACGCAGTAACGATGCTACCAGCGACCCAAGCCCCCTGGATCAAATAAGAGAACAAACCAGCAAGATCGAGGACTGGCTAAACACGCTGGGCGAGCCTCTGAAACCGTGAGTACACCTCGAGTCCGAAGCCCAAAGGAGCTTGTATGAGGCTTTCAACAGACGGGATTGACTCGAGTTCTACACAGGTACCTTCCTGCAATCGGACGATTCCTCATCGTCGTCACGTTCATCGAAGATGCCATCAGAATCATCACGCAGTGGAACGATCAACTTACCTACCTGAGCGACTTCAGACACAGTGAGTGGAAAAGCAAGCGGAGTCAGATGGGACACGTGCTCACATGATGAATAGTTCCCTGGGGTATCACACATCTGTTCCTGATATTCAACGTTGTGGTCATGTCGGTCTGCTCTACCCTTGTCATCATCCGCCGTTACGGAGAATACGCAGTCGGTGGCCTTCTGTCGGTCGTGGTGGTTCAAGCTCTCGGTTATGGCCTCATCTTCGACCTCAACTTCTTCCTCCGAAACTTGTCGGTTATTGGTGGCCTGCTCATGGTGCTTGGAGACGGCTTTGTCAAGAAGACCAGAGTCTTTGCTGGACTGCCCTCGATCGACGAAAAGGACAAGAAGATGTACATCCAGCTTGGAGGAAGAGTGCTGCTCATCTTCCTCTTCATCGGCTTCGTGTTTGCTGGTGAATGGAGCGTCTGGAGAATCCTTGTCAGTCTCATCGGATTCGTGGCTTGTGTCATGGTGGTTGTTGGTTTCAAGGCCAAGCTCAGTGCCATCATTCTGGTGCTTCTCCTGAGCATCTTCAACGTCTTGGTCAACAATTTCTGGACGGTAAGCAAAACAACACTCCGGTCTTTACGATCCAATTGCTAACGTGGATATCAGCTGCATAAGAATCATCCCCACAAGGACTTTGCCAAGTACGATTTCTTCCAGATCCTCTCGATCATGGGTGGCCTGTTGCTATTGGTGAACATGGGACCGGGTCAGTTGAGCGTGGATGAGAAAAAGAAGGTATACTAGGAGACTTCATTTCTTGCAGGGGGGGTATGGCGGCAGGGAAAATTACTCGCGAGCATATAATGATGCGTACGACATCACGCAGAATACGAGCATTAAAGCCAGACATCTGGATGGGAGACTTGTCTGCTGAACATTGCCAGGGGAAGTATGGACGTTGAGAATCAAAAAGCTTGCGGTATGGATGTTACTATTTGCATAAAATGAGCGTTCATGGGAATTGAGCGCCTTTTTTGAGAGAAAACTGTTCCAGTTGTCCAGTTTTGTGTACAAACAGATTAGGGACAAATAGAGAAGAAGTGACACCACTTGAAGCTATTCTGAGCAGTTCAATATTCCGCACAATACCGCCTTGTTGATATGTGTCTACATAGAGAAGTGAGATCGGAGTCGCCCGCCCGGATATGAAGATCACCGGTCCACTCCCGTTAGTTACCTGGTAGTGATTCCGTAACACATTCTTTGTTCAAGGTGACATTGTCAAACGTTCAACAGGCAGACTTTTGTTTGCTTCTTCGGCACTGATCTCGTGTTACTAGTAGTCTGAGTTACTAACTTCCTGGACATCTTGACAAGCTTCTCTGGAAGACTGCAAACGATACCCGAGCAACTCATTCTCACGTTGTCGTCCATTGCACAAGCACACGAAATGGCCCCCAAGAATCGTATCATAATTGACACCGATCCTGGCGTCGACGATGTCCTGGCAATGCTACTGGCCTTTGCAGCCAAAGCCGAAGATCTGGAGGTCGTACTTGTTTCCTTGACCTTCGGCAACGTCGATGTTCGAAGCTGTCTACGCAACGTGGTCGCCATCTTCCACATCCTGGAGAAAGAACTGAAATGGCGAGAAGAACAGGGTCAAACACTCGGCTTCGAGGGTATAACCAAGTACAAGCCCCTCGTGGCGATTGGCGCCGACGAGCCCCTACAAGACACGATCGAGAGCGCCGACTACTTCCACGGTATCGACGGTCTGGCCGGAACGCACACTACTCACCCTCACTTCTCGCCCGAAGAGAACTGGAGACACCTATTCGAAGAGCCGCCGCCCGAAGACGATCTGACCAAGAAAGCCAAAGCGCAGACCAATATCGAGGATGTGCCCACGCAATCGTTCACGCCCAGCCTCGTGCCCGCGCACAAGGAGATTTTGCGGCTCCTACGAGAGAACGAGCCAGACACTATCACGCTCATCGCCATTGGACCCCTGACGAACTTCGCCCTAGCTGCGGCCGAGGACCCAGAGACGTTCCTACGCTGCAAGGAGGTCGTCACCATGGGCGGTACGGTCGATGGCATCGGCAATGTCACGCCCGTAGCGGAATTCAATGTCTACGCCGATCCATACGCCGCAGCGCGTGTGTACGCTCTATCCTCGCCGATTCCGTCGTCAACGATGCCGATCCCAACGGAAGGCGGGCGCTCCGTACATATGGCTACGTACCCTCCCCAACTGTCAAAACAGCTCAAATTGACGCTCATGTCCCTTGACATCACGGAACACCATATGCTTAGCCGCGGGGACTTTAATGCTCATGCATCGAGCCTGGCCGTCCAGGGCAGTCCGTTGGCGGAGTGGATGACGGCGTTTATGACACCTATGCTCGACAAGATGGAACGGTTACATCATGGGCATGAGGGCGAAGGTGCGGCACTGGCTCTGCATGACCCTTTGTGTGTATGGTACGTTCTTACGCAGGAGGATAAGCGGTGGAAGCCTAGCGCCGGGAGTCCAGAGGACATAAGGATCGAGACGGCGGGGCAGTGGACAAGGGGTATGACGGTTGGGGATAAGAGGAGCAGAAAGCGACGGAATAGTGATGGTGAGGTACCGCACGACAGAGGAAATTGGTTGGGCAATCGCTCGGGAAATAGGGTCTATAGGATGCTGGAGAGTCCGGGGAGGGATGTGGCTGCTACGTATCTGCTCGATGCGGTGTTTGGGCCAAAGTGAGATGGACCAGACCTTCGTGAGCAGGAAGAACAGAGAATGGTGAGCGAGTATGTGGAAAGAGGTACCCGCCAGTTTGACGGGGTGGAGGTCCATACGGCGTTGCTGGCAAGGCGTACAGCATCTAGGCCAGACTTCAACAGTCAAAAAGGTCGTAGGGAGTGCTCGACTACGTCGAAAGGACCAGGTTTGAATGTCCTTCCGGGGCTCATTCTTGCCTCCGAGATCATGGTAAGGGGCGTTTTTAGAACCGAGCATTCTCACGTAGCGAAAGGGAAAGTTCATTATGTACTTGCTGAGCACATTCACACCAGACACTTCGTGTAAGTCGTCTTCTCCCGAGGGTACCATCTTGTGACTTAAGCCTTTGCCTTGACCTTCCCAACGCCCATCTGCCTCTCCATATCCGCCAATGCCGGAAACATCTCAGGACCCTCCGCACTCAACGCCCGATCGATATCCATCCCCGGATCCCCCTTACTCATCGCCTTCCGATACACTTCCCTCTTCCCCACGCGCTGCAAGTACTCCAACAGCGCCGGATACGGACTCAAATCAACAGGCACGAAATTCCGCATCGTAGTAAAACACCATACGCTCATGATATCCGCGGCCGTGAACTCGTCGCCGGCCAACCACGCTTTCGTTTCAGAGAGTCTGGCCTCCACGGCACCCAGACATTTAGCGATCGCGGCGTCGGCGGCATGTTGATACGGAGAGTCCAAGCCAGGGTTCGATAGGCGGGCGATCATTTTGCGACCCAGTGTTGGTTGAAGCGTGCCGTTGGCGAAGTGTAGCCAGAACAGGTATTCCGGGTAATTGGGGGCAGAGGCGGGCAGGGTCAGACGGTTGTCGCCGTAGATAGTGATGATGTACTCTGCTATGGCACCGGACTCAGATATGGTGAATTCCCGGCCTTGATGGGTGTCGGTGAGGACGGGGGCGGATTTGGCGGGTGTGAGTGCTGCGAGGGCTGGAGGGGATAGGAGGGGTGAGCGCTGGTGGAGTTTGAGGGTGTAAGGGACGCTGAGTTCTTCGAGGAGCCAGACTATGCGTTCGGATTGGGAGACTTGGAGGTGGTGGACTGTTGGGGCCATGGTTGCTCAAAGAGTAGATGGCTGGTCACGGGTTGGGATTGATCTTTATCTTGTAGTGAAGGAACGCTTGGTACAGTATAGCAGGTGTCCTGGAAGTGATTGAAGGGCTGTTCAATGAAGCTGGCAAGCGAAGGGGCTCAAGGAACGATGCTGGTATTGTTGGGAGGTATGGTATGTTTGCTTTTCAAGGAGCAAGGAGCGGTGTCTACTTCCTTCGAGGTTGAACCTACCTTATGTACCATCCAGACCATAGCGAGCGTCGACGTCGACAATTACGGAGTCAGAAGGAACAAAGTTTCACGCCAGTACTCAGATTGCACTTTCAATCGACGTCACAAATGCGGAGCAGTGGTCTCAGATCGACGACCGACCTCGGCATATAGATAAGCAGGATGAACTTATGAATGCGTTTGGAGAGTATTAAACCTCGATATTCGTTGCTCATAAAAGGGAATTGTGCTCAAAGGCAAACCACTTTGGTGTGTCAAACCCGACGTTGTCGTCTTTCGTACAATTTAATCCGTCAACGTACTGCTGAGCTGCTCTCCGACTGCAATGTCTCGTTTGGTTTCGGCATCCGAGGCCTCCGGAGCTTGTTGCTGCACTCTACCCTGCATCAAGGCATACATGAAAATCTGCATCCTCGCACCATGAACCTTCATCTCCCACACATCTTGACTCACTCCAGGCTCTCTCAGCGATTCCAACGCTGCGTGATATGCTCTCCAGCCCGCATACCGTCGGGGTCCCCAAGGGTAAGACTTGCTCTCCTCTTCATCCTGGGCGACAGTCTTGACGGTCCATCCCTGGAGGTCGTCACAGACAGCGATCTTTGCTTGCGTCTCGTCTTCGTCAACCAAGTACTCATCCCACGGCTGCTTGCCATGAGCGAATGTGATCCAACGCCTTGCCGTTTCGCACGCTTGCTTCGCCAGCCAGTTGTCCCGGTGCTTGGGGTACCGGTCGAGTAAGGTGAGGAAGATGAATAAGATCTCCACGAAATGGTGACCTGTAACGAAACTGTGGTCAGACCCTGGGAATGGGTTTGACAGGCCGAAGGCGTAGCGGTAGATTTTTCTCTGCTTGCCGCTATCATGCTGTCCGAGCATGTTGCATAGCATGTCATATGGGGCTGAGAACATGATGTCTCCGATCACATACGTGAGATTGCCGAAGAAGAGGTTCGGGTCCATCTCCCAGGCTGCTTCGACCGTAGTAGGTATGTCGTATGCTTCGAGCAGTCCAACAGCTTGCGGTTCGGGAAGTGATGCTTTGACTACTCCAACAAACCCTGCGGCAGGTACTGCTCGAAGAGATTCCCTCAAGGCATACCCCTCTAAGAAATCGTCGCCGAGGATGATGTCCTCGAGCCACTCGCAGGATTGGATGAGAGACATCTGGCTTGTGTATGTGACCGGGCCTCGTGCGAAGAGAGGCTGGGGGATCTTTACACCTGGAGCATCTTCGGCGACGAGCAATATATGCGCGCCGGGATATTGCACGAGTGCTTCAGCAGGGATTTGTCTGAGTTTTTCCAGTCTTTCGCTCGCAGTCGCGCCTGTAATCTTGAATTGTTTCAAGAGACCCTGGTACTCGGCCTCTTTCTCTTGAAGAGACATATGGCCCATGACGACTCCGGACAGGAGAATGGCTCTTTTGAAAAGAGGCTCTGTGGATCCGCAGATATGGTACACTAGCAGCATACTTCCCGCCGACTCGCCAAACGCTGTGATATTCGATGCATCTCCGCCGAAGCCGCCGATGAACTTTTGTATCCAGGAGAAGGCTGTGCGCTGGTCCTGGATGTAATGGTTGAACGGACCATGAGGAGATGTCCCAGGGTCGGCAGGGTACTCTTCCAGTATGTCCTGACAGGCTAGGCTGCCCAGCCAGTTCAGACGGTAGCCGATGTTGATGGTGATGACCGGTAGGGAGATGGAGGCTGCGTATGCGGCCAGGGGTGCGTTTGAATGGAGACCATCCACGTGTCCGACGCCTTCTTGTGCCCCGCCGCCGTAGAGGTACAGAAGTATTGGAAGAGATGGCGGATTGTCGCCGTTGGCTAATGCGGCGAGGTGTGGCTCCGGTACAGAAATGGTCATGGTCAAACAGGTGAATTCGTTGAACTCAATGCCATGGTCATCGTCCAATTTGCCGCCATATGCTTCAAACCAACGTGCGGTCGTCCCGCCAATTTGAGGACATGCTGCTCCGAACTGGGTAAAGTTGCGATGTGGTCGGCCATCAAAATCGGATGGGATGGTGGTCAATGGCTCGCAAGGGGCGAAGCGTTTGGGCACTGAGGCAAATGGGATCGAGCAGAACTGGACGGTCGTTGACTCTTTGAAATGCTTGCTGCTTACCAGACGGCCCGTCAATGATCCAAGCTGAGGGTGAGTGTATGTATGAGTTGGACCAGTATATGTCGTCCTCGTCGGGGTAGATGAGGAAGCAGTGGACGCCATCTTGGTTCTGGCAAATGCTTTACAGCAACGTCGTAACACTTGCTTCACCTAGAGTGAATGGTGGTCGAACAGAGTTGCTCTAATTCCTGGCATTGAACTCTACGCTCATGATCATTAAGAATGTAAGATTGGAGGTCACAGCTGCAGGTTGGAGGTCCCAAGCTGCCGTTCGCATACTAGTTCAATCAGGCTTACCACCATTGTAATCGTAAACCATGTTGAAGGAGCCCAAAGATATGCAAACACAATCCGGTTATGTCGACCCTGCACCTCGGTCCTAGGTTTTAAACCAATAGCAGATCTATGGTCTGCATACTGCAGGGTAGGAGGACGTTGGCTTCGGATGCTGGAGTTCGCTCCTCGTATTGCGTGTCCTTCGGGATTCGCCGCCGGAGGAATATTCTGCCGGGCAGACGACAAGGCTGAAATGGCCAGGAGATCAAGCCTTGAGAGCGACGCGACCGCCATGGACAAACTTAGATAGAGCATAGATCGAGAGAGGTAACCGGAGGTCATCGACGGTGGTAAAGTGAGCTTAGTCTGGCATGCGTTCAAAAGGCATGAGCACTGCCTTGCCCATATTCATGACGATGACTGCGAACACTCCACTTGGTTCGTCCCATCTCACGACAATATGACAGATTGTCAGGTGCCGCTGGAGGCTTCTCAAAGGTAGACTCGTGGAAGATATGCAGACAGCGATTTGCTAGGGACAAACCAGGACATGGCGCCTTCTTCATACCAAGTCAAACCATTCTTGTTCTTTCAACTCACCTTTCATAGCTTCTCCATCCATCAGTCCTTGAACCCAAGGAGCGCTTCCTATCAACTGCCATTGCTCGCTCGGCTAAACTCGTCTTATCACGAATGGAGTCGCCGCGCCATAGAACACCACGATTTCGTCTCCTTCTTTCGTTTCCGCGGGCCCAACCCCTATCTTCGAGTCCCGGGTTATGAAAAGGCTCTTGTTGTTGCAAGTCAGCGCCATGGCGTACAAGTACCTCATCATATCACCCCTTGGAAGTTGTTGCAAAACTGGGCTGCGGTCAAGACAAGCTGCAGCCTCCTTCTCAGCTCGGTTCAACTCCTCGAGATCGCCTCGTAAGGCCTCGACGAGTTGGCGCGAGGCAATCGTCGCGTCAGCATCAGTCGAGATGAAATCCAAATATGCTTGTAAATACGCGCGGAAGTCGGCAAGGATAATTCTGCCATCGCGGGAGTACCGATTGAGAAACCTCGTGCAGCGGTACTTCATCGTGGTGCATGTTGCGAAAGCGTCCGCAATTCCACGCTTGTCGGTCGTCGAGTGAGGAAGACGGCACAGTCTCGCGAATATGCGTGCTGCGGGCCACCCAAGCCACTTCCACATTCGGAAAGGGTCGGTACGAGCCTGGGCGAAGCCTGCGGGGCAAAGGGTATCACTTTGGCAATTTTGAACTGGTGTTTTATGCCGAGGAGGGAGAGGACGCGATGCTGGCCGGTCTCCCTCAGACAGGGCTCTGTCCCAGGCGAAGCATGTGGTCTGCCAGAAATTTTGCTCAGATCAGGTGTCCAAGCTTCACGCTCGGGATGGGAAGCGAAATCGTCTGCTTTGCCATCGAACCGGGGCACCCAAGACGGAAAGGAAGGGTCTGGAGGGAAGAAGATTTTCGTGATGCTGAGCACGTATAAGGATCTGGAGGCTTTTATTATGCCTCGAATAGCTTCTCCGCATACAAACCAGGAGGGGCGCCTGTAGTCCACCTCGAAATGGTGTTTAATGGCGTTCGACATATCGAAGATGCCTTGAGTTGCAAAGAACTTGTCTCGCGGATCGGAGCTCTCGCTGAACCATGCGGTGTCGAAGAACGCCTGGGACGCAGCTCCCTTTTCTTGAAATTGTTGACGCAAGGCGCGGAGATAGAGAACTCTCCCGGCACCGAGTCTTGTAAACTCGACACTATGTTCAAGCAATTGCCGTAAAGCAATATACGATAGCCACCACGCCGCAGCAAACACGACTTCAAAGTCGAACGAAGGTAAGGCACCACAAAGAACGTGTATTTCTCGCGCAACGATAATCTCCTGGACGACCCACGCTCTTCTGAAATAAGGGCGGCCATAGAAGGCTTTCAAGATCGCCCTCTTCTCTTGAGTAGTTTCTTCAGCAGTCGTCCCACAAACTCGACAGGAGTATCGGAATCATGATGCTTGATGTTGTTGGAAAGCATTTCCATGGACATTTTGGGGTCATTGCAAGGATCCGCCCATTTGGTTATTAAATGGATCGCTCTGTGGAGAGTACCATCATCGGGACCGAGCCACGAGAAGACCTGCCGTGCACCCCTGAAGATGCGAGTCATCAGACGAACTTGCTGGTTACGTTCCTCAATGTCAATTTGATTGATGCTAATTGCATCAATCCAAAACGGACCGGGGATTCCGTCCTTCAGGACTCGATTGAGAGCATCTGTCAAGTTTCTGGCGATAGGCAGGTAGATGTCCAGGTCGGGTAGATGTACCTGCGATACCGCTGTCATGTCTCCACAATGGTATGACAAAGCATCGTAAGAGCTTCGAGTGTCGATGTCCAGATCGACGACTTCCAGCGATGCCACGAAGTTTGAGCTTGAGGAACCGTGCTGGATGTGGACAAGTCTTGTTTGAGAACCGGTAAGCAGTTTTGGATATGCAACGCGAGTTTCTGACAATGACATTACAGTTGGTCGAGGCTCTGACGCACCAATGCTGTGTACAGACATGGTCGTGCCTGGTGTGCAGTGGCTTCTGACCGCGATGTCTTCAAGAAGTCATTCACACCGTGAGGCTGAGCAGGTGGTTTCAGGTGCACTAAGACCAGTATGGCTTAGTCATGATTCAGGGGGGCGCCCAGGCTCCAACGCCTTGTCGATAACAGCCTGTTTGTTTGTCTTCCAAGATTGACGATACCCAACGGCGTACGACAAGGTTGTCAACACTGGGTAGGGCGTAGATCGAGAGGGAGGGAGACAGGAGGTCAACGAGGTTGCAGAGTGCGCTTACTCCGGCGTACGCTCAAACGGCATCAACACTGCCCAATTGTTGGGCTGCAGAAAATCAACTTTGATAAAGAGTGAGTACCCTGGATGGCAAAGGCAGGCAGCAGAGGTACATAGCTTCAAAATGAGCGGAATGCCGTTAGGGTGGGCGCCAACGGCAGGTGCTTTAGAAGGCCTCATTGTCTCAGGTGGTCGCCCATGACCCAACTGCTTGTCAAAAAACAGCCGGTCTGTTTTCCGGTTCACAAAGACCATAGCCCAACGGCGTACGACATGATGTTCAATGGGTATGTATCACCGAGCTTCTCGCTGTCGTGCGCCGTGCACATGCTGCACAATTTACCCCTTTTCGGCCCAGCCTCGCGCCCTTCAGCCATGTGTTCTGCACGACAGATGCAACGTTTATGCCACCAGCTCTTCGCCGCGGCGATGAGAACAACAGAACGCTGCGGAAACGGACAGTGACACTTCTGAAGACAATGTCTCATCACCAACCGCTTTGTTGTTCTCTTATCTTCCTCTTTCCATCCACAAACACCATCACACTTCTTTTCCTGCAGCAATCAAAGCAAACCTGACGCCAACAACCGCTTACCATGGACCAGCCATTGCAAGCTCCCCTACCTCAAGGACAAGTCAAAGTGGCTCTGCCACCGAATGAGCGAGAGGCGATGTACAATGCCTTCGTGCATTTCGTAGATCGCGACAACCAGAAGAGAGAGGAGTTCCTTCGGTTGTTCCAGAGCGAGCAACCAGCCCTGATCGAGAAGTTCTGGGGGCCTGAGCAGATCCAAGCACAAGACCTGTCCGATGAAGTCGTTCGAGGAATCAGCCAGATAATCTATGAACGCGACACCGCTAAAGATGTCGACATCGAAGTTCCACAGCAGCAAGTCACCAGAGAAATGCAAGAGTTCAATGATGCCTATGTCGGCAAGCTACTACCTGCCAGGCTGTACCAGCTGCAAGATCTCATCAAGGCCTCGGTACCAAGCACGCAAATGAGGGAAGGAGAATGGCTCAAGACCCTACCACCTAGCAGACTCCCCGAGAACGAGCAAATCTTCCTCAATAAGTTCTTGAAAGCTCACCTTCCAGACGAGGTCAAGGGAGCGATTGAGCAAGGAGAATCAGTACCAGACGAGCAATCTCAGGGGATCGAAGACCTCAACATGGAGTACCAGGCGTACATAGATGGAGGATGGATGTTTGATGGAAATCTGGAGCCAGTTGAGCCCGAGGAAGAGTCCGAGGAAGAATCCGAGGAAGAATGATTGGGACGAAGAATGGACGACAATGCTCGACATGACTGGTAATGACAACGATGATGATTATCAAAACTGTCTTGTGGACGTCGAATAGTCAGTCCGAGAAGGTGTTCTTAAGCCGGGCCTGTGTGGACCTCAGGGTCTGTGTCGGTTGTACCTTTTTCCAGGCGAATTGGAACAGTCCAGGCCAATAAATGCATATTCGGGCTTCTGTTCCTGTCGCTTACAAGTCCGTGCCCTCTTCCCCCAATTCAGCCTTTCCCAGAGCCTCCCACATCCTATTTGTGCCACCTCGACGCCCCCCGTTTCTCATTCGGCCCCCCAAAGATCAAATTTGCTAAAAAGTTTTTCATTATTGTTGACACGGTCTTGTTGCGAGGAAATACTGTAGCCCACATCCCCAAACGCGTGGAGCAGGCAGATTGAAATCTCTTTCCTGGGACGTGATGGCGTCGTCGACTATTGCTCGATTTCCTTCTTTCTGTTCCAGATCTTCATCTTCTTCATCTACTACTCCGTTATCGCATCTTTGGATCTCTGTTTCCACAGTTTCTACGCCCGGAGTTTCCCCCGCACCTCTCCTGCACCGGCGACCTCTGCATCTCTCACGGACCCTTACAAAATCATTGAACTCCCCCACACACGTCAAGCTGGCTCCCTCACGGTCATCACCATCCACTCGTCTGAGTCTCATCTCTAGACACCTGGAAGACCACCATCAGTCCTCCTACCCTCCCATAAACACTCCATATACCATTGAGCGAGACTCAGTACCTGCTTCCGCCGACGATCTTCCCTACACACGACCACTCTCACGATCACCTTCTCAAACACAAAAGAGACAGCTATCGACATCATCAGCCGCCAGAATGTCTGCACAACCTCCCCATCCTACCCTCCTGATCCCAGGACCTATCGAGATCAGCGATGAAGTCTCACAGTCCATGAGCCACTATGCGCAATCGCATGTTGGACAGCCTTTCGTCAACGTCTTCGGCGAGACGTTGACTATGCTCCGCGATCTCTTCCAGACCAAGAACCCGAACTCTCAACCATTCATCATCGCCGGCAGCGGCACTCTCGGTTGGGACCTCACGGCCGCCAACCTGGTAGAGCCCGGTGAGGACGTATTGGTGCTACATTCCGGCTACTTCGCAGACTCTTTCGCCGAGTGCTTCTCCATCTACGGCGCAAAGCCCAAGCAATTGAAAGCTCCCATTGGAGACAGACCACAGCTCCCGGAAATCGAAGCCGCTCTGAAAGAGAAGAAATACAAGGCTATCACAGTGACACATGTAGACACCTCGACCGGCGTCCTGTCGCAGATCCAAGCACTGTCCGACCTCGTTCGCAAGGTGTCCCCAGACACCCTACTGGTGGTGGACGGCGTCTGTTCCGTTGGAGGAGAAGAGCTCCACTTCGATAACATGGGCATCGACGTGGCCCTGACCGCCTCCCAGAAAGCCATTGGCTGCCCTCCCGGCCTGTCCATCATGATGGTGTCAGAAAAGGCCATGAACGTGTTCAAGTCGCGGAAGTCACCACCAGGAAGCTACTACGCCAGCTTCAAGAACTGGCTTCCCATCATGCAGAACTATGAGGCAAAGAAGCCTTCCTACTTCGCAACACCACCAACGCAGTTGGTTCAAGCACTCAACACTGCCCTGAAACAGCTTCTATCTCAACCTCTTGAAGCCCGCTTCGCTCAGCACCAGAAGATCAGCAAGTACGTCAAGTCCGAACTCACTAAGATGGGTCTCAAGCAATTACCTACGGATCCTGCCAACGCTGCCAACACCATGACTGCAATCTACCTGCCCGAGGGTCTGACGCCTCCTGAGATTCTGCCCAAGTTGATGGCGCAGGGTGTTGTGTTTGCCGGTGGTCTGCACAAGGAGATTGCCGCAAGATACATTCGGTTCGGACATATGGGCGTGAGCTCCATGGACGAGGCAAGAGGAGATATCGATAAGGCACTAAATGCTCTGAAGCAGGGACTCGCAGAGGTCGAGAAGGCTAAGAAATAGAGCTCAAAGGATACTATTACGGTTGTATTTGACGTGGAAGGAGACTGAGTCTAGGTGCATACATATTGCATATGGCGGCATGTCGGACGCCGCCAGCGCATGGGATGATTAGGACGTAGAGAAAAAGTATATGTGGTTTTTATACGAGGATGATGCTTCGAAGGTTTTCGTCGCATCGAGAATGAATATATGAGTTCAATCCGTACCCGGTTCCACAATATCTTGACATTGCAATGCCCAACAGGTTTCCATGCTCATGGTGTCGCTTGCCTCGAATATGAAAAATAGCACTCGCTCAAGGCTCCAGATTAATTGAAGTACATCTCACGCGCTAATTACGACCTTCGCAATGACCCAATCACGACAACGAAGCAAGGATCATGAGATCAAAGACGACTCTCTCATTCATTCGTCATTGGTGAAGTTGCTTCTCGCCCGGATCTTCTTGCCGTACTTGAAGAACAGGAATGGCATTGGTAGACATGCCAGCGACAGGAAAGCAAGCAGAGAGGAGGCCCACTGGTATCCCAAGTTTTCATACATCTGCGTTCCGAACAAGGGGAATGATGCTGCTGCAATGAGCCTGACCAGAACATTGGCCGCGACTGCGCTGGCAGCGACCTTGGCATAAGCATCCACAAGGAACGTGAGAACGCCAGTAAAGGCGAGGAAGACTCCCATGCCGAAGAAGCCACTTCCGATTATGGGCACGATCCAATGGACACTTTTGTATGTTGTCCAGCCGAACCAGAAGAGACCGATGGGCACCAAGATGGCGCCCAGCATGGCGGGAGGCAGGCGAAACTCTGGCGGAGGTTTGATCCCCTTTTGGCCCGTCTCTGCTTCCAGCTTTGCGACCATGCGGGCGAAGTTCTTGTTCCAGTAGGGATTGGTCATGGCGCCTATAATGATGCCCACTCCTAGACCGCAGAACGTCAGACCGACTTGGTACAGGCTGAAGCCGTGATTGTTGATGAAAACCAGAGGGAAGGCGCCGAAGAACAAGTAGACTATGCCTAGTAGGATGGCAGAGTAGAGGCATAGGAATAGACACATTGGTTCCAGGATCAGCAGTTTGCATGGCGTGATGCAGGAGTGCAGGACCGTATGCAGTACGGACGCGTCGTTCTTCTCGATCGGCGCCCACCAGCGCACGTTGCCTGTGTCTTTGCGCTTCTTGACCGCTTTCTGTTTGAGCAGAACTTTCTGAAACGTCTCTGGGACAAGGAAGATGACTGCTGCGGTTAGGATGCCCGACCAGATGAGTAGCGTGTAAAATGTCCAGCGCCACGATGCGAATTGGTTGATGAAGTCCCCAATAATTGGACCCGCCGCCGGACCCAGGAATGGTGAGGCTGTATAGATCATCATGGGAAAGGCGATTTGGCTGGGTTCGAAGAGATCGACGATGGAGCCGGCAGCGACGGCGAGGAATGCACTTCCTGCAAACCCGTCGAAAAAACGACCCACAATCATGGTCGCCATGCCTTGAGCAACAGCTTCCGGTATCAGCCAGATGGTGAACATGATCATCGAAATGATGTAGATCGGTCTTCGGCCGTAGAACTCGGATAAGGGAGCCAGAAACATAGGTCCCAGTGCTAGACCGATGACAAAGGAGGAAAGACCCAGTGTAGCGACTTCCCGTGATGTGTGGAAATGATCAATGAGTTGATCATAGGTGATTGTGTAGATTGACGATGCGCAAGTTACCAGGAATGAAGAGAACGAAAGAATGCCCGTAATGAGCCACTTTCTTGCCAGGCTCATATTGCGTGGTGACATTGGATCGTTCTTGCCATCCCAGCGGACCTCATATGCATCCGTCGGAGTGCGTTTCATGGCCAATGCATTGTCTCCTTCGTCCTCTTCGTCGCCGTTGTCCACATTATATACACCATAGCCATCGCTCACGGAGGCTCCTGTGCGGGTTTTGGTGATCGTGGGTCGGGTGACTGTGCGTCCATTAGATGTTGTGGTTGTGATGGGAATGTATGTCCTGTCGGCGGCGGTTTCGGCCTTTTCGAGCCGGAGTTCTGATTCTGCGGTGGTGGTGGATGAAGCGTAGTCGATTGGGTCTAGGGTTGACTGGTGGTGACCCTGGGCTTTCTCGACGTCGGCCATGGTGTTGGCGTTCTCAGGATGTTCCATGTGCGAAAGGAATGGCCACCAAGCGACAACAAGCTTTGATAATGCAGACTAGCAGGACTGAAACAATTGGATCTAATATGATTTTTCGCCTGTAACTCACTTCCGGGGTATCGTCAAACTAGTATGCCATCAATGACGGCGGGTACGTCATTATATAGAAGTCTCTGGATGTACATGTTTTTGTTGACTCTTTGTTGAGCTTTTGTAGACTTTGTGTAAAGCCTTTTCGATCCCGGCGGACATAGCATGGTATAGTCAGCAACATTGTTCTCTCTTAGGAATCATGCAACGGACATAACAGTTGGACACCAAACTGCGAACTTTAGTCCGTACAAGCTTTTGGAAGTCTGACGGCTGGTGCGGGTGATGCGGCCGATATGGCTACAACGGGCTGGTCAGTGGCCACCGCCAGGCTAGGGTTCGTTGTACAGTTGTACGAGGCTGTTATCAGTCTGGAGAGTCCACAGCCGCTTTATCCGCAGGTCTCAAGCGTTGCAAATCGTCTGGTCAACATTGCGTCATTTTCATGCTTCTCGCATCCTCGTACAACTCCTGGCCCAGATTAAGACCGGATTCGCCCGTCGATTACTTAAGTATTGGCGACTGCTCTCGGAAGGACCACCATGTTCACTCTCTAGTAGGGCTTCAACCCCTGTCGATCATTCAATGTCTGTGTGCCACGCAGAAACACTGATGTCGGACAGTCCTGCCCAGGATAAAAGCGGAGAGACGAACATGCGTATCGATGGCCCCTGGGATATCACCCGTGTAGGTCTTTGACCGTGATTCTGCAACAGTAGTGTCCAGGACGGGAGAATGTTATACTTCATCTCATTCGCTTCTCAGGCTAAATCACCACCTGAGGTAGCAGTTCATCCATGACAAATGGCCGAGCAAGCGGACTGAAGGAGCTTGAAATGAGCCAATCGCCTCCCACAGATCCTAAGCACCTCGCTGAATAAGCTGTGGCGGTAAGAACTAAGAAGTCCAGCCTTTGATGTTGCACGTTGCGACTCCCGCGAGGTTTGAAAGTGCGAGTGATAGAGTGCTTACTGCATTACGCCGACCAACTGCCGCCGGTCGATACTTGTATCAATTTAATATTGCACACAAATTCAAAACATATCCGCGGTGATACCATGGAGCCTCAATCCCATACCACTGGTGAGGTGGGAGAGCCTATACGCAAGAAGCGCAACAGGGTGGCCTTCAGCTGCACTAATTGTCGTCACAGCAAGCAAAGAGTGAGTAGCCGTCGCCGTCCTCTTACCTGCTCAGCTGATGAATCATCAGTGTAATCGAGGAAGCCCATGCATGACCTGTGTACTCCGCGGCAAGCAAGATAGCTGTCGCTACACAGACGACAAGTCCGGGTGAGTTCTTCAACCTTATTCCTGTGGAATTGACGCTCTGGATCCTGACACCCATAGTCGGGCCTGGCAGGATGAGAACTCCGAACCCAAAGGAAGGTCTAGCTCTCCAGAGTCTTCCCCGCCAAAACAAGACAATCCCGATCTTTCTAGCTTTGGATACTCCGATGTCAATGCGCACAATGTTCTCGGAATCGTCAAGAAGCTGGAACATCTCGAGACAGGAAACACTCACACGCCGCGCCGCAAGACCAACACGGTTTCACTGAGCCACGCGTCCTCGGAAACATACCGAGCACTCATCAAGCGACTACCCTGCCGAACATGTGTCGAACACCTAGTTCAAGTCTTTTTCACCGAAGTGAATTGGCAATTTGCTATCGTCGACCGAAACATCTTCGATGATCAGCTAACGGAGTATTATCGATATCAGAGCGCCTCCATACTCGAGCCACAAGATCAGATACCCACAGACCAATTGACTTTTCCTGCTTTGCTATTTCAGGTCATCGGTCTGGCTGTCCAATTCTTACCCGCCCAAGCTGGCCAAGGCCTACACTCTGCTTGTCTGCGGGGCATTCCTCGTGATGGAAAGTACGACCTGCAGGGCTGCCACACTATGCAACTGCTGAATCTGGTGGGTAAGAACGCGATGAATCTGACCTATATCCAAGCAGAATTCCTCCGGATTTCCTGGTTGAAGAATTGTGGTTTCATTGCTGAAGCATGGCATGCCCTGGCACAGACCATAATGGATGCTCAAGACATCGGTCTCCATCGAGATGATTTCAAAGTTGACGCCAGCGATGCCGAGGAGGTGTGCGAGCAATTATGGCAGATATTGTTGCGGCGTCGAACCATGATGAATCTGTATCTATGGGACAGGTGAGTACAACTAGGCGGATCTGAGGACTTTAGCTGATGTTGGTTAAGTGAGATGGGCATCGTCTTAGGGAAGAGCTTTACTATTACTTTGAGTGACTGCAACATAGTCCCACCAACGGATTGTGATATTCCCACGAATCGAAGATCTACAGCGCCATTGCCACGAGCACTCGACGAAAAGCCAAACGAATTCACTTTACGCTTCCTGGAGTCTCGATTGACATCAAACCTACATGAGGTCAAAGCATTGGAGGCTGAAGGGCCATATCCTCGTGACTACAGCAAAGTTGAACGCCTACACCAACAGGCTATAGGCTACATCGACAGCATGCCGGCCATCTACCGTTCTGAATTTTCCGATACCTCTTATGACCTGGAATGCCCCTGGCTTCCTGCACAACGCGAGTATCTGTGTTCAGGGGGATGGCTCTTCGTCCTGTTAATCCACCGGACATACCTCTTCTCAATACCTAAGAGCCGTGAAGCAATAATGAGAGCCGGGATTGAAGCCCTCCGCGCTCAACAAAGGTTCTTCATTCTTCTCCAGCCGCATCACCACAAATTGTTCACACTCACATATCTGAGCGCTGAGCCGGCAATCTCTATGCTGGCCGTGTTGATCACTTTTCCGGAAGAGCATGGAGATTTGGTTGAGGAAGCATTTCGATGTATCAGAGAAGCCCTTTGGAGGCTCAACCAGATCCGTGGTACCAACAATATCGCAGGACCTGGCGCAAACGTAATTCAGAATCTCCTCGGCCGAGCTGAGCTGAAGCATAAGCATATACTGACAGGGAATGCGGAAAGTCTCACTACTGGCACGAGATCGTCAGACCTGTCTTCCGTGACACAAAGTCCACACCAGGAGAGCCTCCAAGGGTCGTCCCTAACCTCTGAGAATGCGGACCAACAAGCACAATATCGTGCTCCTCAATTCCTGAACATGGCGGATTGGTCCTCGCTCTCTACATTTCAGCAGGCGAACACAACAGCACAGCCAGCCGGCAATACCAACTATGCCTTGAATGAGTCCCCACTGCGACCACTCGTTGATCTAGCATATCACGATCTTACGACAAGCCATCCATTTGAGCTGGGCAGCCAAGGGACTGGGTCGGTATTCGATGTTTCAATGGGTTCGCAGCAGATGGCAGCGCAATTTCAGGGAACTTTTGATGACAATTCGTTCTGGAACTTTATGAATACGAATACACTGACGTTCCCGACATAAAGTCTTGACGAAGAAGAAGCACATCTTCAGCGGGACAGCTCATACGACAATCGACAGATGCTTCGGGATCAGGAATCTACTCGGAAAAGACCACAGCTCTGACGCAATGTGAGTGTGACTGCTTGAACGAGTCAAATAATTCATCGACCGGTTCATCTAGAAGACAGCTTTGTTTCCAGGCGTATACTACTGTGGCAAAGTCTGTCTTACTCTGGCGGGGCATTCAACAACCACCACCGCCTCCGCCTCCGCCGCCTCCACCGCCTCCACCACCAGAACTTGCACCAGCAGTGGCACTCGAAACAGCAGCAGCGGTTGCTGATGCGCCAGCATTCGAAGCAAACAGAGCATGTTTGTTGGCCGAATGTGCTGTACCATTCTTCCTGCCCCCTTTGCGCTTCTCTGTGTGTGGCTGGGGTCCGGGCCCCATGTCCTTGTCGTCCGAGAAGCACATGGTGCGAGCGGACGTCAATGTATGAGTCTGATGTTATTAGGGCTTTCCTCCTTGTCGATGGTGATACACTGCTCTTGAAGTGTAATAGCGGACAAACTGTCTGACTGATGAGGTTGATCGCCGAAGTGCTTGGAATGTCAAGACAAGGCTTTTTGATAATGTGACTAGCAAGTTCACAGTCAACAAGCAACAGACACTGAACAATTTTATATCCATCTATGAGATGACTTCTCCAGTGTCCCTCCCCATCAAGCTGGCCACAGCCACAACTGAAGTACACTACGTCGTATGAGGCTCCAAGACGCGGCAAGGCTGGCGATCCCTATACTTTAATTGACGTACTGATGGGGCCAGCGAGGCTAACTCGTCGCTGCGCCATGTCAAGCCAACCAATGGGGCTGCCGTTGCAAGATATGTGGTTGCACTGGGGGCCTCGAATACATTCTTGATCGCCAGAGTGTGCCTGATCGACATGGAAGACAGAGTGAATCGACGTATGGACATTCTTCAACAGCGCGATAACATCTTACCTAGGATGCCTGAACTCTGCTATCCGGAGTATCATCATTGCAAGTCAGCCATTCATCAGTCATGCGGCCCTCGAATCCAAGGTGTTGTTGTCCTTGAAACTAATAAGGGGCTTGGCCTGAGCCTCGGTCTTGCTCCAGCAGCCACTCGTTACTGCCATCATATTGTCTTCCTGCCTAGTTCCACAGTACAGTATGTGTTTATTGTGGCTTGATGCGTCACCTCCAAGCAAAGTAAGCTAACACAGACAACCTCATGCTTGCAGAATAATGATATATATGTGCACATCAATTGGTCTGACCTCTCTTGCAACATCTACTCAATCCTTCCAGCGCTCCTTCCAGCGCAACGCTACCTCCCGACCTTGCCATATTGCAAGACACCCTCGAATGTCCAGACAGATTTACGTCTTCCACTTAGCAATCGTCAGCCACACATCCGCCGCACGTGAAGCGAGCGAGGCAGTCCGCCGATCAGGCGGTAAGATCGGCTCGCAGCGTCTTATTCAAGTCGAGCCCACCAAGTCCTTGATCTTGACGAAGAGCAAACAGCCAACGGGGGTTGACAACGTGCTAAGTCAGGAAGAGATGGCCGATGCCTCGCGAAAGACAATGCCGTTTGGGGCAACGTGGACTGACCCTCCTGGCAAGCGATGCGATGGAGCACGTCCACTGACTAGGCAATGCTTGTGACCTCTCGGACAGCATACTCGTACAGCCACCATGACTTGTTCCGCAGCTGAGTTCTTGTGCAGATCTCGCCAAGTTCTACCCACAATGGAAGTTGGCTTGACACATTGTTACTCGTAAGTTGCATAATTGCAGGTACTGAGACAACTTCTGTGGGCATCCTGACTACGCATTCACGAAGTAAGCCACCCGAACTCCCCCATGATGCCTTCTTCATCCACATGGTGAGGTTTCATCCTCGGTCCTCAATGATTCCGTTACTGTCCCCCGCAGCGGCCATATTCCGCGAGCCTTACCAAGCGTGCAGTGCCTGGAGGATTGTGAAGATGGACTTGTAACAAGCATTGCCAATTCGCATCGGATCTGCGCCAGCGTTGGGCTTAATTCTCGACCCATTGGTCGCTAAAGAAAAGGGGGCCCCGGCTTCCCCTCAAATCGATCCATGTTTCCATGCTTTTTAGCTCACCATGGGCACTTTATGCAATCATTATGTCAACCCTCAACGACTACCGAAATGAATTCATGCATGATCAGCAATGCGATGAAACCTGGGGGACAGTGCATGACGATGAACAGTGGCTCCAGCATGCTCCAGCTACATAAGCTGGTGCAACCCCGGAACTGGCGGCAACCTGCCATCCCAACTTGATTCTCGAGATTGAAGGTGTGATATCCTGCTGTCTCGAAAAACCCCTGCTTGACCAGGACTTGTTTGTATTTGATCGGCGAGAACAATACCGCTTGAGAGACCTGGCCATGGCAGACAAAGGGTCTCCAATGAACAACTTGAACTCGCGAGACGACGTGCTCCGCCGTGTCCAGACGGCAGACAGCGTCTTCCTACCTCGCGAGGTTTTTGAGGCTCTTTACCTCAATCCAGAACGCAATGTTCCCAACGATCTGCGCAAGAGGGTATGCTGATCTCCTTTGCACACAAGAATACTGATCATGACTCCGGCTAGCTCGGCAACCCTACGCCTGCCGCTTTGATCGGCTTCGTGATGGCATCGACGCCTTATGCCTGCGCCAACATGGGCTGGCGAGGTGCAGGTGGCTTGGGAGGTGCTTTGATGTGAGTACTCACCCACCTGCTTTGTATCCACGACGGCTCTGCTAGTATGAGTCAACTTTGCTAACTCGGCTACCCATGACAGTCCAGTCATGATCTTTTTCGGAGGCATTCTTCAAATCGTCGGCGCAATGATGGAATGGGTTTTGGGGAACACCTTCTCCATGTGCCTCTTCTTCACCTACGGAACCTTCTGGCTCGTCGCTGGCACGCAGCTAGTCCCCTGGTTCGGCGTGGGCATTCACTACTCTGCCACAGGAGATAGTCTGGCTGGCATGGCGGAACCCGCATATTATGCTACATTTGGTGTGTTCACCCATTGTCCGAGACCCTCCACCGAAGCAAGCTAATGGATGAGCAGGATTCTACTACCTCACGCTAGCCATGATCACGACGGTCTTCATGATCTGTAGCTTGCGCACGAACATCGTCTTCTTCTCGGCATTGTTCACTTTGATCTTCGCATTCGCTTGTGCGGCTGGAGCATTCTGGAACTTGGCACTGGGTAATGTCCAGGCTGGAGAGAACTTGACTGTTGTACGTATACGTCCCCCTTCGATATCAACGACAACCTTTGGAGCTTCGGCTGACATGATGGCGGATTCAGGCCGCCGGAGCATTCACATTCGCATTGACCATGATGATATGGTACCTTCTCATCGTGCAGCTGCTCGAGTCGGTCGATTTTCCGATCACGTTACCTGTCGGCGACCTCTCACAGAAGATCAGGGGGAAGAAAGAGAGGCTGGCGATGAAGGGAGGCGTCAACGTTGCTGAGCCTGAGCAACTGCGAGAATAATAGCCAGATCAGCCAGATCAGTCAGGGATGTCGGTGGTCTGTTCTGCAGAGTATAGTCCTGCCCTATGTCCCGACAGGATAAGGAAGGGTATAAGTTGAAAAGTCAAACCTCATACGGAAATTGTCTGACTGAAGGGTCAGAGGTTCGGATAGTAACAACTGCTTGATGATCTAATCCAGAATTGCTGTCAACCCTTCCTGTTGAACACCCTTTTGCCCATGCTCCCCACCAGTGATTCTGCTCTCAGCCTTGCCGTGCCGCTTGCTCAGCCGCCGCAGATCAAATGGCAATCGTGCTTCGCGTCTCAAGAAGCCTTCAAAGGCATCGCCACTCTTGACAGCTACTCGTCACACAAATGCCATATAATCGCGAATATGCACAATAAATGAAGAACGCACCAATAGTCCTGCCGTTCCTCCAGATAGGGACGAGTCGATACTCCAATACAGTCTCACCACTCTCCAATTCACAAGGCTCTCAAAGACCTTGGAATTCATCATTCCATCTTGCAGGAGTTTGTTCACGACTCGAGTTTGTACCCACGGAAATGGAACAGGCAGATTCTCATGCTACTGGCCCTGGCCAAACACACACTTAGGTACGTATTATGGAGCCATACACACCTAGGTAGACTCTCATGTCGACTTCGTTTGATCGTCCCAGCATATATATACTCTGCTTGCCCATAATCCACACTATATATGTACTCCCATCATAATATCTATACACCAAGTCAACCACTTACAGTACAATGCTCAAAAGCCATACACAGATGCAATGCTCATGAACTAAGCAGATCCCTCACACTCATACCCTTGCCTCTATCATCTCCCCCTGCACCAGCACCAGTGGGAGCACCAGCACCTCGTCCCGCGCCACCTCTCCAATCGTTCGTCAGCATCATCAACGCCGCACTGGCAGTCGCCTCCGCTGTGCCTGACGCATCACTCTGCGCACCCGGAGACTTGCTATGTGCGTCTCTCTCCGCAGGCGCACCGAATGGCTGGGGTAGTTTGAGATTCGTCGAGGGATGAGGAGGCAGAGGCATATTGATAGCCGCTTTCGGCGAGGGCAGAGGCTGCATATTTGGACTGGGATTAGACGTCGGGTTGACGGTGGTCCATGATCCGGACGTCGAGGGAGCGGCCAAAGATCCGCTGCCTGTAAATTTGCCCATATTGCTATTCGTCTGGATGCGGGTAAGGTCCGGCGAGAAATGGATCGAGTTGAACGCAGGGCTGAGTAAAGTCGGCGTAGAAGTCGCAGATGTGACGTTCGTCGAGATCTGAGATGGTGATGCCGAAAATGATCCTATGCCTGCAGGCAGAATCGGGCGTTTTCTTTGACCGGCCTGGTCGTCTGCATGACTCTGTGTTTGAGACAAGATATGGGGAGAGGGATGAGCCGAACTGCTCAACGAGGCGATCGAAGACCGAGAGTCCCTCATAGACCACTCATTCGGGACCGATGTGTTGTAACGTTTGGCGGGTGGTGCAGGCTCAGGTTGCTCTTGAGCCATCTCGTCTTCGTCTTCATCTTCATCATCGTCGTCAAAGTCATCCTCTTCCTGGTCGTCAATCTGCATCCGCGATGTTGGTTGTATCTTCAGTTGCTTGTCATTTTCGCCTTTGAGTTGTGCAACACATCCTTCGAGGTAGCGCACGTACTCAATACCGGCCTGCAGAATGGCCAGCTTATGCATCTCCACACCTTCACAGGCGGGGATCATATCTTTGAGCACTCCAAACTCTTCATTCATCTTACTCCGCCTGCGTCGCTCGATGATGCTGTGTGCGGTTTTACGAGCAATCTTCCTGCCAGCGGCGCTGGTGGCAGAGGGTTGTTTCCGCTTGGAGTTTGAAGATGTGCTGGCAGCTTTGGGAACGGCGGCTGAAGGAGCAGCAGCCGCAGCAGCTGGCGGTGGTTGGTAACTGCCATCGCTGTCCGGGGAAGGTGCGGATTTGGGCTTCATCTGGATGATCTTTCGAGCGCGACTGGGTGGTGGAGGAAGGGCGTAGGACGAATTCGAGGGTTCGCTAGGTGGAGGTTCAGTGTTTGAAGTCGTTTTGACCAGGCCGGATGCCGTCCTTTTGTGTCGAGGACTGGATGCGAGGGGTTTGTCCTGCGGTGAGATGGGTGGTGTGCTCTGAGTATAGCTGCTGGAATTGTCTCGAGTACTTGTTTTCGTCTGGTTATTCTGAGTAGATGTCTCGATGGATTTCAACGCTGGCGGCGGTAGCGTAAACATTGATTCCATATCTGTGGCTTGCGAAACCCTGTCCGAGGCTTTCAGGTCGGTTGATCCAGTAGGGGTAGGAGGAGGTTTTGGCCGGGGCATAGTTGAATCACACCGAGGGGATGTAGGAAGGTGAGACGGTGAACCTGTTGGATCTTCTGGGCAGGATGTGCTCCTGATTGGAGGGTCGTAGGGAAACAGTGATAAGATGGAGGGACACGAGGGTGTTGCTTTAGCGAAGGATGGTGTTAGAACAGGATAGACAATGTCGAGTCGGCCTTTGGTAGCATGTCACACATGACGACTGGCAAGAGAGCATGAAAGGAAGGACAAGAGACGACGAGCAGGACAGTTATGAAGACTAAGTTAGCAAGATCGGGATCAGGAGTGAGTAGCGAGAGAGTCTTCGAAAAGATTGAAATGGTCGTTCGAGACAGTCGGGCGTGGGCACGTGTATGAGCACACGACACCAGCGAGCAAGCCAACGGAACCCTCGTGTGGCCTTGATGGTTGGTGATAGGATGTGAGACCCATTCATTTCTGAACTCAGCATCAAGAAGTGTGAAGGTGGTGGTGGGATGCGGCGCGCAAGTGGCTTTGACAGGAAAACGGACGACATGGGCGCAACTGGAAGAGCACGTGTGCATATTGAAGGGACATGATTGGAGTGACGGAGAGAAACAGGCCTTTTTCCCAAACGACCCTCGAGTCCCTTCCAAGGTTCTTCCCCCGCTTCATCTTGCGAGTAGTTGCTCCATGCGCTCATTTACTGTACATAGTAATGGAATCAACAAGCTTGCATGTGTGAAATACAGAGGTGCGAGTGGTACGTTGGTTGGCTTGCGTATTCTTTGGATTCATTCAGACAGCGTTGACTACCACTATCACCACCAAGGACTACCATCTGTGGAAATACATCCCATATCCATCTCCAGTCATTCATTCATTCTCTCTCAAAGATCGTGAACGCTACTCAGATCCTTTTGAGCGACACCATTCTTCTTCTCACCATTGCTAACCCCTCGCGACGAGTCAGGTCGCTTGAAGTGTACCTTCAACGGTCCCCAAGAATGAGCATTATACGTCTGTGCACATGTCAGTATCGCCATTTCGTAAATAGCTACTAGATCGAAACTCACCTCTTGCACCTTTTGGCAAGTCTTCAATCCCCATTCGGTCACTCCCAACATCAAGCATGTCTCAAACATGAACGCCATACTACCCTCGCCAATCTTGGTCGGCGGTAGATCCATCGTTGAAGCCTTTTCATACGTTGGCATGTCTGGTCCATGCCCACTCATTGTATTATGTAAACTGGCTCCAGCCGGCTGGAACCCTCCCTTGCCAGCCCCTTTGGCATCATAGTTGCCCATGATCAATCCCATGAACTCGGACATGGTGTTGCGATGGTACCACGGTGGTCGGAAAGTGTTCTCGGCAACCAGCCATCGAGGTGGGAAAATGACAAAATCCGCCACCGCCGTACCGTCGCCATGTGGGATGGATGGAGCAGTGAGAACGGTGAAGATAGAAGGATCAGGATGATCAAAAGAAATACTGCCGATGGCATTGAATCGACCCAGGTCGTACTTGTACGGATAGAAAGTCCCCTGCCAAGCGACAATATCAAAGGGAGTGTGCGACTGTTTGGCCGCGAACAAATTGCCGCCAAATTTGCCGTACAGCGTCCATTCGGTGTTTTCGTAATCCTCGATGAAGTCTGCAACCGGGGTCTGGAAGTCACGCGCGTTGGCCAGACCGTTGGAGCCAATGGGACCCAATTCGGGCAGTCTGAAGTGGCCTTGGTAGAGCTCAAGGATATAACCCCGCGCCGGCTCGTTGTCGTGCAGTGTAACGTGGTAGCGAATACCGCGGGGAATGACGCAGATCTCGTTCGGTCGCACAAGTATCTTACCGAATTCGGTTCGGATGTCGAGGACACCGTGCTGTGCAACGATGAGGAATTCTCCATCCGCGCTGTAGAAGGCCGTCTTCTCGGGCATGCTTGTGCCGGTAGCGTAGATGTAGATGCCCAGGCCCTGTTTCATGGTCGGGTCGCCTGCTCCTGCCACCAAGTGGAGCGAGTGTATCCACGACGCTTCCTTGTCAAAATCAAAAGGATCCCATCGTAACTGATTGGGGATCGCATTGAAATGCTTTCCAAAACTTGGTGTGACCGAAGTAAGGGATTCAGAGGATGATTCTGGGACGGGTTCGAAGTTCTGGTGGGCTGCGGACGGAAGGATGCGATACAGCCATGATTGCTGATTGTCGTTTCGCGGAGCAGTGAATGCTGTGCCCGAGAATTTCTCATTGTAGAGCCCGAGAGGGCATTTTTGGGGAGAGTTTGCCGCCAGCGGCAGAGCGCCTTCTACCGCTTCACTCCTGCAGATTCCTGGTCAGTACCGCCTTTGCCGAGCGCAGTATTGGTTCATACTCTTTGAATCCCCCGAACCCATTCAGATATTCGTAGGTATCGGTCACAGCGAACTGGGTTACAGGCATCGTCGATGGCTTGCTCGTCGGTAAAGGTGTTGACGTTGCGGACTGTGGTGGCAGGTCAGTTAGTACCCGGTGCGCGAGGTGGAGTAAAGAGGAGGGAAAGTCGGCACTTACTGGTGAGGGGTGTTTTGTACTTGATATTAATCTCCTTGCTCTCACGGTGCCGTTCAATGGCTTCTTGTAAACGTTTGAGGCCCTGCATGGAGGGCAATGTTGTCGCTTGATCACCTGAACGGCTTGGTGGTTAGAGACGGAGTGCGGAATCTCGACGAGGAACTCTGGAAAACGAGGGACTGATTCCGTGGGCAGGAATATGAAGGAAAAGACGCCCCATCATCAACACTGCAACCGCAGGCCAAATGAGCAAAAAGGTGGACATCATGGTTGCAGTCAGTGGGCCGGACTCCGAGGCAAGAGCGAGCGAGTGGGCTGTATCATCATGGAGCCGTGATCGGAAAGTGGAAAGGCCCCATTCAAGCGAGGAGGGAGGGCGCAGTTCCTGAGTGGTTCAGGGCAGCGCAATTGCGGAATGAGGCGTAAGTTCGCAGAATCGCAGCAAGGAAAGCACGGGATGTCTGCTTGATAGCCCTCAACCATGATTTGTTAGGCCACAAAGGCCTACACCTAGAAAACCGGGGCGATCGTCCAGGGCGAATTGGGAGCAGACACCACCCAGTGCCGACCTTGCCGCTACTGCAGATGAGGGATTGTTAAGCCTGGAGAATGTGCCGGCTCACAAAAAGCACATACTGTGGGATGCAAATGTAGTATGCAGGACACAAAGTGAGGGGTCTGTCAGGTTCACACTGTTGCAGCTGACAATAGTAACACAAAGGCCTCCCTGATGCTGTTGCTGTTTCCGTCTCCGTTTCAGAGTGCTGGGGAAGATAATCATAGAACCTGGCCGAGGGCAGTGTTGCAGGATGCGAAGCGTAGACGCTCAATTTCCAGGTGGGCAGTGGTGGCCGGTGGCTGATTTCCGGGGGCGGTAATCCAAGGCCGAGGAGGCTTATCAGGCTGAGGAACAGCCTAGAATAAAGTGCCTGGATGAGCCTGAAAATCAGCCTAGGGAGCCCTGGACGCCCACTGGAATCTTCCTCCAGTTAGACTGGTTGAAGGTCATGAACTCATCCTCGAATGAGCACCTGCGTCTCTTCTGCGAAATGACGCTGTCGACCTCATGGGCTAAACCATTTCATCAAACTATTGTGAGCACTGACCACTCCATGTTACCTTCCGAGTCCCGAGAAGAACAGCAGTTCAGCCAGATTGATTGAACGCTGACAAGCGATGACGCCAGCTGATCGTCACTTGATCGCCACATGGTTGGTGTCCTTCTCGAAGTCGTCGGCAGGCACGTTGCCGAATTGATCGAGATTGATCGTCCCTCGAGGAGCCTTAGAAGAACAGGCCAAAAGCCCTTTTGTGCAAGTTTTCCTAGACCTTGCTGTCGACTCGACCCTTGGTGCCGAGGCGGCGACGTGGGCCAAGAGTGTTTGTTCCAACGAAACCAGGACCATCGCGATCTCGCGACGATTTCCAGCGCGAAAGAAGCCGACCATGGCCGACCTGTACGATGACTGACGATCAGCCCCCTCCCTGTCACTTTGTCACGGCACGTCCCCCGGTTGATGCCGAATCTCATGTCAGCTCGATCTTGAGGCGTCACGCCTCTCAAAGCTCGATATCACGGCACGAGATGTATGCATTTCCAGTATGGGTGTGGCATGCGGCTTTTCCCTCATAATCACCGATCGAAAATATGCGGAAAGATCACAAGTTCATTTTGCTCTGCACTCACCTTGTTCGCTTCTCAATTTGTCTCTCTTCCGCTCTTCCAATGTCTCCTTGGTCGCCTGTATGATTTGGTTTCGCTGCCACCAGTGCACATGTTGAATGACTGGGTCACTCTTCTGACTAGGCATGGTGGATTGGGACAATATTGTCGCTCGATATATCGAATCGTAGGTAGGAGTATGTCCGATTGTCCGTTTGCCGAGCATCAATGCGCAGGTCAATCTGTATAGGTAAGATGAGGTTTTCGAAAATGAGGGCGTGTTTGCGAGTGCGTTTGTGGTCGGATGAGCATGGCGGCAGAAGGAATAAGACTCGTGGATAAAGATATACTACTTGTTGATCATGAGGTCCTCAAGACTCAAGACCATTCAAGCATTCACGTTGATGCCTAGAGACAAACAGGTTGTTTGGTAGATCCATTCAAATGCGAAGGAGCGATCAAGAACCATAATCTTCCACTTTAAACAGGAAAGCCTTTTCAGATTGCCCTGTAGCAAACACAAATGACAAGACTGTTGTATATCACTGATCATGCAAAGTATCGTCATTCTTGTCTTCAACCCACCGAGCCACGAACCGCTGCACGCTGTGCTATAATACACACTTGCCCGTCATTCATCACAAATCCTTGGTCCTCGCGTCGCTCTCCTGGATCCACCGATCAAGCGAAGCCTTGTTCCTAATTCTGAAGCCCACCTTGAACGGTTTTGGCTCGGTCGTCAACGCCGTGGGGATTGAGTTACATTCCAGAGCATCCAAGATCGGCCAGTCTGTCTGGTTCTTGGCCGGCACCAACTCAAACGCGACGATCATCCGCAGAAATGCAGTATAGATCTCGCGGTTCGCCAAGTGCGAGCCCACGCACATCCTGCTGCCCGCCCCATATCCATAGTGCGGTGTGCCACTGCCTTCTTGGTCGTCCAAATACCGTTCTGGTATGAACCTCGCGGGGTCTTTGAAGTGGGTGTCGTCGTAATCCGCCGCCCAAGCATTCATGTAGAACACCGAACCTGCTGGGATGACCGCATCGTTGTACTTGATGTCCTTGATGCTGGTTCTCGGTAGGCAGACAGGAATGACGGTAAAGAAGCGGAGGATCTCCTTGACCAAGGCTGTAACGTATGGCACCTTTTCTTCCAGAAGGGACTTCTCCCAGGCTTCGCCGTCGTTCGGGTACACTTTCATGATCTCCTCATAAGCCTTTTGTTGAATGTGTTGACCTTCAGGCGACGCTAGATATCCCAAGCCCATAATCATGTTGCCGGGGACGGTATCGATACCGGCCGAGACCATAGTCAAGCAAATGGACTTGATTTCGGCGTCGTTAAGGGTCTCTTCAGGGTCCTTGAGGATGTTGCCAGTGATGCAGGGTCGGTCCGTTCCCTTGGCGATGCGATCCTTGAGCATGTCGAGGAAAGTGGTAAGGTATTTGTCACGTCGCTCTCGATATTCAACTGCCGATTTGTTCTGTCGAGAGATGAGTGGCAGTCGCAGCAGAGGAATGTAGTCCTGCCAGTTATTGGATGTGCTCCGAAAGTTGGACACCACTCGTTCGACGTGGACAACTACGATCATGGTCAGCTTGGGCTTGCTTGCAGGCTTCTGGCGATATGCTTACCTTCTCGGAGCAGTTCCTGGTCAATACCACCATCGATGCGAATACCATAGTTCAAGGTCAAGCTGGTATTCAGCGCAAAACGGTGAAAGTACTTGCGCGGATCCAGATCGACTGTCCCATCTTTGCTGTCCTTGTACATGTCCTTGATAGCCACGCAGCTCTCAAGGTCAATGAAAGGCATGTAACTCTGCACAGCCGGCCTGTTCAAGGCGGTGGCAGCCACCTTGCGGCGTTTCTTGCAGGACTCGTCCCATGGTGACGTACCAATCGTGAATCCCTGGCTGCTGGAAACGACACTGTGGAAAGTGTACAGCGTTGGTCGCGAGATCAAAGATGACTGATTGGTGATCCAGAAGTGTTTGACTGAATCGAAAGTGTTGGCCCAAATGATACGGCGGTTGCCGAGTCGACTTTGGAAGACAGGCCAATTGTATTTCTTTGCCAAAGCCCCAGTCACTCGTGCATGATCCTGGCCGAGTTGGAGGAGGTTGCCGAACAGCGGAATGCCAGGGATTTCTGGTAAGCCCTTGATCTTGGACTGGTCGGTGGAGTTGAGATACCGGATCAAGAAGTAGCCTAGCGTGAGGAAGACGAACGATAGCGTCGTGGGCGATAGTGCTTCAAGCATAGTGCCGGAAAAGTTTCGCGAGACTTCCTGAGACAATCAAGATCGTGCTGTCTCAACAGCGAATATATATGACTCCTCGGTTGTATCTTGCTGACTGTTCTCATGGAATGCTTAAAGCATTTATCACGCTGCTCTCGATCCCGAGTCTCAAAGCAGCGCTCTGACTAAGACGCCGAGACGATCAATATGCGGTGCTCGTAGTCAATCCTTCTCTGGAAAAGGATTTGTAGGAAGTCTCAAGTCATGTAGTCAGCGGTAGGATGGACAGTCGAGGTTATCTTCTTTAAATCAGTCCTGGTGGTCTGGACGAAACTCGGGTGAAGCGGCTTCCATAGTTTGTGCCAACGCTTACTGTCGGTGCCGCCCAGTGCGCGACGTATCGATGTCGCAGGGATTGTCATCGCGATGAGGGGCATCTCCGGAAACACCCAGACGACGATAGGCGGAGGAGGACGACACTGCATTGCAGTGCGGAAAAATGCCGTCAATTCTTTCATTCGCGGCACAAAGGAGGCGGGGAATGTGGCTGTTAGTCGAATCTGGGGAAGTTTGGAATCCAGAATACCATCATGCTGATTGGATAGACAGAAACACACTCTAAGAGCGGAATTGGTGCCTCGGTCCCATTCCTGAGAACAGTGCCTAACAACCTAGTCCTGTTATGTGTGATATATGCAGCTTTTAGAAGGTATAGGATACAGGAGTCATCACAGCTTAGGAGCTGGTAGAATCGTGCCCGAACATTCACCGAAGCCCACCAGTCCCGTCTCCTCCGTGCCACAGACGCCGTACATAGTAATGGTATCTCCATCCTGGAGGAATTTCCGCTCAACTCCGCCATTCAACTTGATCGTCTCCTTACCACCCTTGCTGACCTCAAGCATACTGCCTTCCGAGCCTTTCTCGGATCCACTAATGGTACCAGAGCCCAGCAAATCTCCTACCGCCATGGGACATCCGCTAATAGTGTGATGGGCAAGCATCTGCGGGAACGAGAACAGCAGGTTCTTTCCATTCGAGTTCAAGATTCTCGTAGTTTCATGACCCTCGGCTATGTATATCATGTCAGCATTGATATGTCAACCACAAAGCGCCAATCCAGACTTACGTGTGATGTCGACCTGCAGCCGAATATCATAGACATTCTTTTCCTCCTTCTCTTGCAGGTAGGGCAATAGTTGCGTTTCATTCGGAATCCCACTGGTCCTGAACGGCTCCAGTGCATCGGTCAGAACCACCCATGGGCTGATGGTGGACCCAAAGTTCTTGGCCAAGAAAGGTCCCAGAGGAACATACTCCCAAGCCTGGATGTCGCGCGCTGACCAGTCATTGAGCAGGACGAAGCCAAAGATATGATCTGCCGCTTCTGATATAGGGACAGGTTTACCCATGTCGTTGCTCTTGCACAGGAAAGCGCCCAATTCCAACTCGATATCAAGTCGTTTACAGGCACTAAAGGTCGGCACCTTGGGTGTGGCTGCTGGGTTTTCTAGAATTTGTCCATTGGGTCTCGTGATAGGCGTCCCTGAGACAACAATTGATGATGCTCGTCCATGATATCCTACCGGCAAATGCGTGTAGTTGGGTTGGAGAGCATTGTCCGGTCCTCTGAAAAGACAGCCAACATTGAAGGCGTGGTTCCTGCCAGCGTAGAAATCGGTATAGTCACCAATATCCATCGGCAAGTGCAGCTTGACTTGATCACGGGGAAGCAGGCATTTCTTTTGGAGGCTCTCGTCACTTTGCAAAGTCTTTGCATGAGGGCCGCCCTCGGCGAACACCTCCTGGAGAAATTTCCTGACTGATCGATGGACTGGTCTGCCCAAAGCCGCAAAGTCGTTGAGAGTAGGCTTGGAGAAGACGGACGCGTCAATGCCGAGAGTCGAAAATGCTCCAGATGATGAGAACTCCTGCAGATCTAGGCAATGGTCACCTATTGCCACGGCTGCTCGAGGTGTTGACTTTGATGAGGTCGAGATAATGCCAAAAGGCAAGTTGGCCAGAGAGAAGTGACTGCTCTTGGGGATGGGGAACCATGATTTCAGCGACGACGCCATGTTGTTGTTTTGGTTTATGTCGGTGACTTCACGTTTTCAGCAGGCAAGATTGTCGTCTTCAAATGTTTGCTTTTAACCAGTTTAGTAGTATTCAAGAAGGACGACGTGACTGGAGCACACTGAGGGGCACCGGCATATGCTTTGCCCATCTCGGGACCAATTCCGTCGTGCGCGGCACCCTAAAAACTGTTTCCGAGGCGGCTGTAAGCGGTCAACATATGGGAAACCTCCCGCATTTCCTGCCTTGTCAGTGCGTCTTGAGATATACTCAAAGGCCTGAAGATTCCAGCTGCATGGCGAGTGATGGCATGAGAGAGTATGAGAATGTCATCGACGCGCGTGTCAACAGCAAACACTGGCCAACACGTGCCATTACCCAGATGTTCCCAACCCAACAGAAACAGTGCGTGACAGGCTGGCTCCTCACATTTTCATCGTGCAAGGGCTACCGTTTTGAGTCCACATGTATGTCCGATTCAACACATCCGCAAGTACCATCGGGCTTCAGTATCTACAAGCCATCTCGAAGAACAAAATGATAAAGAGACAGATGACGATCATCGAAAAGACTTCCCTCCCTGGAGATGACGACATTTGGCGGCGGAGATTCTTTCGCTACAATTCTCACCTCACATGTACATCATATACATACAGAAAAATGGATAATCGATGATCGAGAGATTTTGGAGCAAGGCGGTAAGGTAGACAGGTCTGTATCTCATTCTCACGTTCATTCCTTGACCTTCCCTTCGTTTTGGCTTGTAGCAACAACAGACCCTTGCAACACAGCACAGCATGTCAAAACCCTCAACCTACACGACGCCGAAATGGTGGAAAGAAGCCGTCATCTACCAAATCTACCCATCCTCCTTTCAAGACACCAACGATGATGGCTGGGGCGACGTCAAAGGCATAACCTCCCGAGTCGACTACCTCAAGCAGCTCGGCATCGACGTCGTATGGACCTCCCCAATCTACAAATCCCCCCAAGCAGACATGGGCTACGACATCGCCGACTACAAAGTCATCGACCCGATCTACGGCTCGGTCGGGGACGTTGACAACCTGATCTCCGAACTCAAGAAACGTGAAATGAAATTGATGATGGACCTCGTGGTCAACCACACGTCCAACGAGCATGACTGGTTTCTGGAGAGTCGGTCATCCAAAACCAATCCCAAGCGAAACTGGTACATCTGGAAACCTCCCAAGTCCGTCAGTGAAGCGGGCGTGCCCGAACCACCAACCAACTGGGCCCAAATTCTGGGCGAGGCCAACTCAGCATGGGTCTACGACAGCGAGACAGGGGAGTACTATCTCTCCGTCTTCACACCCGAACAACCCGACCTCAACTGGGAGAACCCTGAAGTCCGCGAAGCGGTCTGGGACGTGATGAAGTTCTGGCTCGACCGCGGCGTAGCAGGATTCCGAATGGACGTCATCAATATGATATCCAAAGATCCCTCGTACCCAGATGCACCAGAGATATTGGATCCGAAAACCCACCAGTATCAGCCAGGCACGCAGTTCTTCGTGAACGGTCCAAAACTGCACGACTACCTCCGCGAGATGCACGACCAAGTCCTGTCCAAATACGACACCATCACCGTCGGCGAAATGCCCGGCGTTTCCGACGAGAACGAGATCCTGCGCACAGTCGGCGCCAACGCGCGAGAGCTCAACATGATTTTCATATTCGACATAGTCGACATCGACAAGCCCAATGTCCGCATGGCCCTGAAACCATGGGACGTCAAGGAGATGAAGTCGATCATCACGCGCTGGCAACGCTGCATGATCGACCGCGACGGCTGGAACTCCGTCTTCATCGAGAACCACGACAACCCGCGCAGCATAAGCCGGTACGCGGACGACAGCGATGCATTCCGCGACAAGAGCGCCAAACTGCTAGCCTTGATGCAGACCACCTTGGGAGGCACCCTGTTCGTATACCAGGGCGAGGAGATTGGCATACGTAATGCCCCAACAGAATGGGACATTGACGCAGAGTACAAGGACATCGAGACCATAAATTACTGGAAGAAATGTAAGCAGATATACAAGAATGACCCAGAACAGCTCGAGCATGGCCGGAAGATCATCCAAATGAAAGCGAGAGACCATGCACGTACGCCGATGCAGTGGAACAACAAAGACAACGCCGGCTTCTGCCGCTCCGGTGTCAAGCCCTGGATGCGCGTCATGGACGACTACAAGCAGGGCATCAACGCCGAGACACAGATGAATGGTGGCGATGAGAAGGAGCTGTCTACCTGGCAGTTCTGGCAACGAGGCATCCATGATCGCAAGGAACATGCCGATGTCTTTGTGTATGGCGACTATCAAGAAATCTCGCCGGAAGACCCAGACATCCTTGCGTATGGCCGGACAAGCAAGTCTGGAGAGAGGTGGTTGGTAATTTTGAACTTCTCGGGTAAGGATGTTGAATATACTTTGCCAGAGAGCTTGAGTGTAGAGTTCTGGGCTTGCAGTACATACGTCAAGGGTCGACCGGAGAAGCCACAGAAGGGGAGCATTCCACTCAAACCGTGGGAGGGCATCCTTGCCAAATGCAAGATAGACTAGATGGAGCTCAACCCGGTTTTCCAGATTGAAAAAGGATTGAGTTGTCCAAAAACTGTGTGACACGAAGGTCCGTGATAAAATGTAGTGGCACGCTGCCGACCGGGCGTCTGGGCCTCAAGCAGCTTCCTGAAGCTCTGCGACAGGCTTGATGTTGGCACCCGGAGGCTGAAGGATATATTGTGCAACGGCTAAGCCAGTGTAATGTTGACTGCTGTCTGGGCTCTGCACTCTTCGTCTGCGATGACGGTCATTGCTGCGGTACCCTTCACGGCCATGACTCCTGCCTTCTTGCGGCGCTCAAGCATTTAGAGTGCTTCGAATGTCATTGTGATCAGAGTTCGGTTGATAACCATCCGGGCCGCATCAGTTTCGGGTGCTTGCAGACTTCCAGCACGTTGGGATTGCCACCCTTCCGAAGTTATATATTTTGATAGCCAGCCAGCACCTGAGGTTGCTGAATCAATCTGGAACGGAAAGAGTTCTGCAGCCACCTTCCATGAGCAGGTAATCGATCCAGTCTTCTTCGAAGGGTTTGTAGACGAAAGTGGGATGAGATGAAACCTGCTGTGATTGGTCGACTACCCACAAGGGCAGACCGCGGCCTCAATTCCCCTCGAATTCCGCACATCTTTCTCCTCAACAGCAAGATAATTTACCGTGTCTCGTTGGACGCATCCCACGCACTACTGGCTTGTATCCTTGCATCGGCTATCGTCTAAAGACTTGGCCATTGTCAAGATTCGAGACGCACCTCTTGCAAAGTGCGGAGTTGCTTGTGGGTGCCCCAGACAGTGGGCCCCGGACCGCGCACCCTGGACTTTATCAATTTCGTTCGCGGCTGGCCAGGGCTCCTTCACCCAATGTCGCACAAATATGTTTGGCATGTCCCGTCAGCCTTGAACGGGCGGCTGCAGACAGAGTGACGGCACCGTTCTTGTAATTGCCGACTTGCTCGTTCTGCTGGCTTGCTTCAAGTTGAGTGCTGCTCATAATTGACGAATTCCTGACTCGACTTGGGAAGACTTCGACTGGTTGCCGAGCCTCTGCAGACGCCGAGAGGTCCTGGACCCCGCAAATCAAGACCTGGCTCACGGCGTTCCCAGCAACAGGGGCACACGCAGCGCAGGACTATTGGACGTTGGCCAGCGGAATGACGATGGGGCCATTCCTCACGGGAGCCATTCTCGGCAGGGGGTGTCTCTTGCTGATAGTTGAGCCGACAATGTGATCAAAGGATTAAATACCCAGCTGGTCCTCCGGTCCTTGATTGAGGTGCCATTTGCCTCACAATTTTGACCTCTACTCATTGTTACCTGGCCTGTATAAATCCTAACATCTCCCAGCACATAGGTTGTGGTCGCAGCGTCCCTTCTTCGACAATGGTAGACAAGATAGTCGAGCGGTCCGAGATCGAAAACCTCCCTATGGACAAAGAACTTGCTGAGATGCAAGGCGTCAGCCTCAAAGACGATGCTCCCGAGATTGATCCTGTCCTGGAGAAGAAGCTCTTGCGGAAGACTGACCTCAATCTCATCCCCATCACGTTCATGCTCTTTCTCTGTGCTTTCATCGATCGGTAAGACTCGCCCTCTGCCCATGGACTGAGCCCCGAACACTGACAGCGCTTGTCTCATAGTATCAACATCGGCAATGCGCGTATTCAGGGTCTTGAGAAAGACCTTGATATGCATGGTTCCGACTACAACATTGCGCTCTTCATGTTCTTCATTCCATATATCCTGCTCGAGGTACCTTGCAATCTCATCCTGAAGCGAGTCCGACCATCAATATTCATCCCAACCATTATGGCTCTGTGGGGCGTTGTCACAGTTTGCCAAGGGGTCACAGGTTCATTTGCTGGCCTGGTCATTTGTCGAGTCATCATTGGCGCCCTCGAAGCAGGTTTCTTTCCAGGTTGTCTTTACCTCATTTCCATGTATGTCACTCCATGTTCTTCCGCAATTCACCTCTGATGAGACGGGCAGGTACTACAAGCGCCACGAACTTCAATGGCGATTCAACCTGTTCTTTTCAGCCTCAATCATTGCGGGTTCCTTCAGCGGTCTCCTAGCATATGCTATTGCACATATGGCAGGGATAGCAGGTTATGAGGGTTGGCGCTGGATCTTTATTCTTGAGGGCATTTTCACCTGCTTGGTTGCAGTCGTTTCATACTGGATCGTCCCGGATTGGCCAGAGACAGCGAAATTCTTGAAGCCAGAAGAGCGGGCGCTGTTGATCCGTCGTCTCAGAATGGATGTCGAAGATGCCAGAATGGACCATTGGGGAAAGCACACCGCGAAACGCGTGTTTGGTGATGTTAAAATCTATCTCGGGTCAGGAATGTCCTTTTTTGGTCTAATACTAAACTGACCTCGATAGCATTTTGATGTACCTCGGAGTCGTGACTACCTCGTACTCGGGTGCCCTGTTCACCCCGACCATCCTCAAACAGTTGGGATGGACGTCAATCCATGCCCAAGTCATGAGCATTCCCATCTTCGCCGTAGCGACTGTCTTTGCTCTCACAGTGGCGGTGATTAGCGATAGACTGCACCATCGATTCGGCTTCATCATCGCTGGCTGTCTTCTGGCGACCATGGGATATATTATCTTGTTGAACATGCATCGGGTCCAAGTTGGCGTCCGCTATTTCGCCTTGTACGCCGTCATAAGTGGCGGGTACATCGCTCAACCTGTTACGCTCGTATGGGTCAACAACAACATGTCGGGACACTATAAGAGAGCTGTAGCATCTGCCATGATGCCAGGAATAGGCAACATTGGCGGGATCATTGCATCGTAAGTCGCCTAGGTGGTTGCGGAAAGAAAGACGCTACTGACCTGTTTTCAGCAATATGTTTCTTACCAGCCAGGCACCTACCTACCCGCTCGGCTACGGTCTCGGATTGGGTCTGTTGTGGCTGTGTATACTGAGTGCGACGATCCATTTCTTGTTCGTTAGAAGAGAGAATAGACTGCGGAATGAGGGTCGGAGAGACGACAGGTATCAGTTGCCGGAGGACGAGAAGGGTAACCTCGGCGATGATCATCCAGCATTCCGCTTCACTTATTGATGGCGCCGGTGGTTCGAGGATCAAGAAGAATGCTGATTCCGCAACAGAGGGGGAATGAAATGGATAGTAAGGCGATTCAGTCTGGCTTAGCCGCGGGCAAGCGGAAACGTATATAAATTGACGATCGAGAATGATGGTTTCTTGCGGTGGACATGACATCCCGGCCTCGCAGCTTCCTGCACGCTGCTCATGCCGAGCCCATCAAGGTCGCCTGGTCCTTGTCGCGTGCATGTTCGCCAATAATCTTGAGCCAACTTGGTGAAGTTGTTGGAGAATAGAAAGCTGGTTGAGCCGCTCTTGGCTGCCAATTTTTGCCGTCCCGAGAGTGTTGTGTATTGATTCAAGAGGCCATCTTTGCATAGCTCACGGGCTATATGGCCTTGGACGACCCTCCACATGTCAACGAAGAGCCAAGCAATGAGAGAGTTGCACATACTCTCTGTCTGAGTCCTTCAGCATTCGTGTGGCCTTGGTGTGGTTCTCTATTATCCTGAGGCCTCATCCTCCAGGCTTGTGAGCCACACTCGCAACGCGTGCTGCCGTCCCCGGGACCAGGAGATTGTTATGTTGGAGATGCGCGATTCGTCTTCCTGCGAAGACAGTTCTTAATCTGTCTCACACGTGTTTCGTTGTCCCAATGACTTCTCCTCTCACTTTTTCCCAGTCAATGCTATTGTCCAGCTCTTGGTCTACCAGTCCAACAATGGTAATGTTGTCGCCTCGCACCAGGTAGAGGCCATGGCTGACTTCTGAGCTTGGTTCGGGGTCATCTGCTGGGCGTATGATGCGCTCGACAGTGTCGTTCAGGACGATGTTGGTGACTTGGTCGCATGATAGCAGGGTTCCAACCAGAGTGCGACCATCGACTGTAATGACCAGGACCTTTTCTACATAATGCCAGTGATTAGCCTAGAGTGAACGCGAAGATGACATGCTCAAGACTTACGGTCAATGTAGGATGTGAGAGACATGATGAGTTCGAGTGGTCGGGTGTGGGATGGAAGGCGCGACCCCAAATGGAATGGAAGGATAGAGCAGCAGCTCGGCGCGTTGACGGCGACTGCTGTGCTCGACGATCAAGGACAAATCATTCATACAATCCTCCAGTCAACAAGGATTGCATTGTTTTCGCAAATAGGCCGACAGTCAACAGCTGCTCACGGGAAAAAAAGTGACTCCAATCAATTCCATACGAATTTCGAGCTCCACAACAATTTCAACCTGCTGCTTTTTGCATCGCGATGTCATTCCTTTCTCGGGCCAACACACGGGCATTCACGGGTTTCATCACCATAGTAGGTTACGCCACGATTCATCCCTATTGTTACCCTGAGTCCCTGGGACACACGCCTTTCCAACGTCCATCTGCCCCATGGGGTACATTAGCTTCATGAACCATGCCGATCGTGACTAAAAGAAATCGACGTTGAGAACTATGCTGGTACATATCTGCTACCCTCCTGCTCCCTGATGCGCTGTCCGGTCAGAGTGCTTGTTAGAAAACGATGGACCAGAAGTCCTCCCCAAGTCTGGAGTCTCTGGTTGCACTCTGGCCGGTAGCGACTACTCTGAGCGAGCACCTTCCAGTGGGAGATTTGATCAGTCTTGCGAGACTAAGTGTCACTCTTCGCGCACTTCTTCATGGGTTCGGTCAGCCTCAGGATCTCTCTGTGCCTCCAGACCCTCGCCTGGTCCGGAAAGAATTGTTTCTTGGCGACCATGGTACACCATACTGGGAGAGGTTGAAAAGTCAAGCTCCTTTCGAGTGCTCATCTAAGGCACACACTAAAGGTGCAAATCCGAGACCTTGCCGTTACTGCTCAAGGCCCATTTGTTCGGCATGCATCGTCCGGTCGTCTTTTGCCAGAGGTCACGAGAACACCTTCCAGAACCGAACTCGATATCTTTGCAAGGACTGCTGGGACTCTGGAAGTCAGAGCCGTAACCATCGGTTTCCCCTTCATCCTTCATCACATTCCACGCACAAAAGGCAGTGGCAGGATCCGGACGGTAGCACCAAAGACTATTGTACTTGTACCCTCAAGGATGACGGCTGGCTCTGTCTCGACTGCAAAGATATGCAGAACTGGGAAGCAATCTCCACAGGGGAGACGCATTGCCACGGTCGTGGCTGTGGAGCAAGTCTTGACGCCGACAAAGAGCGGAGGAGAATTTGCCTATGGTGTGACAAAGCTCTCCCCAGACAAATCGGCGGCACGACCCGTCATCATTGGAACAACAAGCTGATCGAAGCTCGAGCTCGGAACGCCGCGTCGCGTCAAGCAGATATGGAAGAATACAACAAAAAGCGCCAAAAACTATTGACAATGTCTCGCAGAGATATGCGAGGGAATGATGCAGTCAAAGACGACCCAGATGCTGATCTTCCACAGTTTGTGAGACACCTCGACACGCTCAACTACCGCAGCTACATGGAAGAGTCCGCCGCCCCCAGCGGCGACAGTGTCTACGACTCAAAGCGTGGCTATTGGAGGTACAGCGCGCAATTCATTTTAGCAATGAGAGCTCGCTGTGATAAAGTACCAGCACCACCCGAGCTGGCTACCTTCAATCAAAAGGATGATACAGCACTCTGCTTTGCGCGGACCAATTCAGAGAAGTTGGAAGACGTCTTCTTACTTACAAGCATGGCTCCCTCTATGTCGGAAGAGCGTCTGAACGACTGGTGCAACCTCAAGGCCTTAATTCTTGAGCTTCTCCTCGTACAGAAGATGACTTATGAAACAACACAAAAGACCATGGGAGAAGAATATGATTTCTGGGCCAACACCAAGGGATATCGAAAGGTTCTCCATTTGTGGTACTCTCAAGGCCAGATTAGCAAGTATCGAAGAGGATCATCAGTCGACCGCGATGGCGACAAAGGTAGTCCTGGACCCTCCGACAACGATGACAGAGGTCTGAAGAGGATACCCACGATCGACAGTGATCTCGCTTCCATCTCCGAAGAGCCCAACCTGCGGCGAACAACGACCGCCTCGTCATTCTCCTCAACTTTTACAGATGCGGCCAAAGACGCTTTCGGTCTCAAGAGGCAGCGAGAACGGCGGTCAGTCTCTTCAATACCCGCCCCGGTCGACCAAACCAGTTCGGGCCGACCAGGACAGCTCATCCAAGCAACCACTCATTCTGCCACTGATATACAACCTAGTGACACGATCGCCGAGCCCGAGATCAACCCTCCTGCAGCCGATGAGGAGAACCCTCCACCATACTCACCAGATGGATGGATCTGGCCGTAAAAGCTTGATACCTAGGTAGTCAACAATACCAAAATAGTCTACAAGCACTTACGACCGACTGCTGAATTCAGGTCGAGTTGAGGGATCAAGTAGAACGAGAAGAAGGCAAGGCATGTGAGATTGCCGAGCCCATAAACAGCTTAAGACCTGATCCAAGAACTTGACGCAAACGCCATATGTATGTAGTGGGCAATTTATATTCCCTAACCCTTATTCGACGTACAGACGTGGGAGGGGGCAGGGCAGGCAGGCAGGCGACAACGACTCTCAATGAACCCAACAATATCTGACACGCTCTCCAATGTACTACCTTGTTTCACCTGTGCCTTTACCATCTCGACAGGGCTCCCTGTCCTTCTCAAACTTTCACCTCACCAGTCGCGAGCTGCAGGACTATTGACTCTGCTCGTCCAAGATGCTAGTGTCTGTGATCAACCACCCGCCTCTCCCGCAGTCCTGAACTGTCGTAGCGACACGAGACGCATCGCGATTTCGGCGATTCTTTGCACAACACAGCCACCATCGTATGCCGATTGCACCAAGACCAGCACAAATGGGCTGGACAATACTATCCTGACCCATCTATTCTTGGCCGAAACCCAGCGTCTCCTCGACAGCCGTCGACATCTTCGAGTTAAGAGCCTCGTACGTCTTATATGGAGGAAGATCAAGGCGATTGAAGCTGCAAACTCATTAGTGGACAAAACTTGTGGCAGATAGGGAATGAACGTACCAGGTATGACTCTTGGGAAGAGCGTTGATCTCGCCGGCCTTTTCGATAGTGAATCTTCTCGGCCCATCACTACCCTGCAGATCCTTGAAGCCGTTGACCGGAATTCTGCTCGTACCGGTTGCGAATTGCAACAGACGACTCTTCTGCTCCGCATCCCACGTCCGGACGACCTTCCAGAAGTTTTGGATAACTTCGTCTTGCTCTTGGTAACCACGGTAATCGGTGTGTTTTTTCCAGTCTTCAACGTCAATATCAGCGATACCCCCGATAAGCAGCTCGAGCTCGCGTTCGTCAAACACATTTACGAGATCGGCTGGAATCAGCTCGTTGAAACCTGTTATGAAAGCATTGAACTGTTCTTCGACTCGTTTGACAATCTTCCACTCGGTGACAAGCCTGGGTAAAGTCAGCATGGCGCTTGTCAAGGGTCAGAACGACGGTCACTCACTCAACGTATTCTCTCTTGTTTTCGTTTGTAACCGGAATATCGCGTCCACCGGGTTTCAAATCAATCGTTTTGGTCTCGCCAAACTGTTCGTCTTCAAGAGAGAAAGTTTGGTCAAGGATGTCAGTGATGTCGTTCTCCAAAGTCCACGTCAAATTCTTGTGATACTCTTCGTCGACACCCTCCATGTCGGCGATGTTGACTTTCTTCCGCAACATCATCTTGTAAAACGCTCCAATAAAGAACGAATCCAAGAAACGGCGGTGGAAAATGGCGAGTCCGACCACACGGCCAATAAATTTGAAGTAGTTGAGATGTTCTGGGTTGATACCAGAGTGAGGGTTGATTTGCAGGGTGTAGTTGTCGTGAGCTGAGTATTCGAACAAGCAATAGAAGGGGTTGAACATTTCGTGCGAGAGCAAGAAGAAAAATTCACTATATCATCGTCAGTATAAGTAGTAAGAGCGCTTCTGCAGCTGTACTCACCGAGAAAGCCCCCCATAGTCAAGACCGTCTTCGCCATCAAACTTGATCATTAACCGCTTCTTGAGATCCGTAGCGCTTTGTCTCATAATCTCAGCATACGAATCTTCGAAGATGGCACCACGTCGGACTTTGATGTGACACTGGCCCGATAGGATACGCAAAGCAGGTTGTGAGCGGAAGTAGATCAGTTTTCGACGGAAATCGCGCTTGTACTGTGGTACACCTTGGTCGAGGGAAGATGGCAGTCTCGGATCGTCCCAGGTCGTGGTCTTTGTATTGTGATCAACGAAGTAAACACGAGCCGTATTGGTCAATCGCATTTCCCAGCCACTAGGTAGCGGGCCGAGTTGTGAGACCGGCTGCTGTTGGATAGTGGTATTGTTTCCAGTCGGGTTGTTGCCATACATGCGGATGTACTGCTGTCTTCTTGGATCGACCCAAGTCGTGGTTCTGGTATTGTGGTCGACGAAGTAAGCTCTACCTTCCGGAGTATGTCTCATTTCCCAACCAGCAGGAAGTTCACCGGTTCCTGCGGTGGTCGCACCAGTGGCCATCATCGCTACCGCATTTCCTTGCTGAGGGGAGCCTTGACGGGACTCCTGAAGACTTGGAGAGTTGGCCCCAGTACGGTCTTCCGGCAGCATACGATTTTGGTGGCGTTGTCGCTCAATCTGCATGTTTGCTTCCACGCGTGTGCGTGCTTCGCTTTCGCTCAAGTGATTGGATGGCCTGGTCCAGGTAGTAGTTCTGGTATTGTGGTCAACGTAGTATGTTCTGCCTAGATTGTCCTCCCTGCGTTCCCATCCTGCGGGAAGACGTCCTTGACTGTCCTCAAATGAGCTGAAGCCGCCTGGCCTTGAGGGCCCAGCTGGCGGCGGTTGAAGACCTGCGCCATTCAGGGCAGTCGTGGAGGCCCTTGCCTCACCTGATCCGGTGGTGGCAGTCCGTGACGGAGCCGGGCTTCTATTCCGGACAGGAAGGGTCTGATTGACATTCGTCGAGCTCGAAAAAGGATTTGGGGGGCCGTTGGTGCTGGTTGCGGTACTTGGAGGAGGTCGATTTTGAGGATTGGGTGGCGGAGCACTGAGATTAGTGGATAGATTGACGATCAGCTTCCCGTGAACGACGAGATTATCGGTGGACTTCTTAAGGTCGCGGGTCAGCATCTCTGCGAAATCATCAGTATCAGTAGTCCCATGACTTCATCACAATCAGCGTACCATCTCCGCCCATGTCCAGGTCCATGACATCGCCAAGGCGAATGTTGATGACACCGAGGAATCCTTGATCCTTCTTCTTAAACTTCTTTTGGTCGAAGATCTGAATGGCTAAAATACTGTCCTCAGTGACTCGCCTGTGTCAAAAGGTCAGTATATGTCCCGCCTCTTCCCGGAGCATATATCACTAACATGTCAAAGGACTCATTCCAGTATGGATTAAGTGTTTTTCTGATGACTGACGTAGTCTTCGTCTGTTCGCCCGAGATTGTCGCAACAGCGAACGGGTCAGGAAATCCTTCAAGTCTGTCAATATGTGATTTTCGCAAGTCCATACACTTGTAACTCACTGAAGACATCTCTTTTGTATAAGCCGTCAGCAGCGATGACTAAACGAGGCCATGTTAGTATCGAGAAGACCGGTGAAGATTAGACGATTGACGCACTCGTAACTCGCAGATTGGGCTCTCTGTAGCACAGAAGTTAGTATCATTCCATAACCTCAAGTTCACGAAGGCCACGTACGCAGGCATGTTCGCTTCAGGCATCCTGGGTTGTTGACCACCCGAAGGCGGCTCGAAGATGCAGCCTGCGGCACCTCTTGCGGCGGGGTACAGATACTGCGTCGGTGCTGATGATGCGAGGAAACGTTCTCTTCTCTGGCGATGAGGGACGCCGGTGGGTATGTACTCGTCGACCTTATCACTGAGTGTTTTTAAACAAACGCGGCGTCGTATTCGCAAGGAGCCAGTCAGTGACGGAGGTCCCGCTCGAAGAGGCGCAGCTTGACAACTTTGAGGCGCTAAGGAGTTTGCGGGAAGGTTACGACGGCAGTACGGAGTCCAGGTTTTCTGTTTTCTGCCGTGAGGGACAGGCTCATGTCATGATCGCGTAATAACGATAAATAATGACAGTGCCGCCGCTTTCGTGTAGGATTTGAAAGACTCGACTACAATCGATTGTAGACGGTGGTGGAGGTTGGAATCAGACACTAGTTGAATAAGATCAGACCGAGACTTCGGGCTCCAAGCGTTCTTTCTATCGAGTCGCTTACATCATACCAAAGTACACGATTACGGTTGCAAAGAAGTGCGCGATAATGTCGCCAGCTTGATTATTTTATTTGATTGCAGCTCACAAAGTGTTCATTTGGTGAGAGATATTACATTCTGGTGGCAGTTACCTTTTGATATCCCAATGCTCTAGATTGGTCTGGCATCATTTCACCCTGTCGGTGATGGCATCCTCGCTGCTTGCCTGGAGAGATCCTTGCACCCTGGATATCTTCTCCCCTTCAGATGCATATGTTGGTATGCGCAGCACCCTCGAACCAGCTTGTATCGCCGCGTCCGCCTGAATTTAGTGCCCAAGCAAAATTCGTACCCATTGCTGCTTCAGGCTCGTCTGCATGGCGAGCTCTGTGACCTCAAATGTGTCACGTGCTTGCTGTATTGATGTTGTCGCAAGGCATGGCGGTAGCCCATCAATAAGGGGCGTATCCGCGGCCTCGACCTCGGAAGCCACCTCGGGGACTGCCTCGCGGTCCACCAAAACCACCGCCGTAGCCACCTCCCATGCCGCCTCGGCCTCCGAAGCCTCCGCGACCACCACCACGCACAGGGCCTCCTCGACCGCCTCCGCCGCCACGACCCCGACCCATGCCAGGAAGGTTGGTACGTTTCGGAACGACCTGCAGATAACTTGTCAGTCGACTTTCGTAATAGACAATGAAAGCACACCGACCTTGAGATTGCGGCCTTTGAAGACGCTCTCGTTGAGCACTAACGCCTGCGACACAAGTGCCGATTCTGAGAATTCCACATATGCATACCTGCGCGAAATCCATTAGCGATCCAGCTCTTGCCAGGTAGCATGAAGTGATTCAAGTTTGTAAAACAGCATCCCGCTCTTCAACAAGCCATATGCATAACAGTGCTTGGATTTTAGACCCACCCCTTTGGATGACCGGTGAACTTGTCCAACAGTATGGTGACTCGATTTATCGTGCCCGGTCCGCTTGCGAAATGTGCTTGGATCTCCTCAGGTGTAGCACTGTAGTCGACGTTGCCAACGAAGATACTTCTACCATCCACATCCTCTCGGTCTTCTCTTGGACCTGTCTCTGCTTGTGATTCAAGCTGACTCTGCATCTCTCGAAGCTTGGCCGCTTCCGACTCCATTTCTGCTACGCGCCGCTTCATGGCCGCGATCTCTTCCTATCATCAACATCAGAACAAGCTCTTTCTGTAAAGCCGTGACATGCGCCTTGCGCCAACTCGGACAGTGCCAGCGAGCAGCGACGACGACGAGTAAAGCTTACTTCTTCTTCTTCACCAACATCCTCCTGAGCCTCGACACGGTCGTCGCGCACGTCAAGTTCGTCAGGCATGTTGAAGGTTTGTGTGTGATAATGGTAGGTGGTGGAAGGTAAGGATTCGACGTGAAGGGGTTGAGCAGATGTAGTTATGAGGCCAACTCGACAGGGTGATGTGTTGTTCTTTGAATAGGTCTGAATGAAGTAGGTGAGATGCGATTAACAAAGGACAGAAGAATGTCTCAAATGAGGTGATGGTATTGTCCAGGCTGAAAGTGAGGTTTACAAGAGTGAAGACGATGTCGCCAACGGCACTTTTAATTCGGCTGGTCACGGTTGCTGTAGCCTGTAGCCTGGTAGCCTGCATTTAGCTCCAAGAGCCGCAAGCGGTTCCTGCCAAGGCCGAACAAAGGTAAAGACAGCCCCGGATGTGGAGTCCTCCCCTGGGAACGACTAGACACGCTTTTCACCGTCGAAACTCTGGGTTGATATTGTTCACGCACTCCATACGCGTTGCTTATGGCTCAACGAGGCAAACCGGTAAGCGGATGTCTTTCCACCCATATAATGGCTGCGATTCCTGGTACAGTCATCGACAAAGTTGTGGAAGGTGATATACATGTCAATCTATCAGCTACCTAACAAGCCTGTGGCCGGAAGAAGTGGCACACCAAAATATATCATTCACTATTGTGACCCGGTAGTCCGCCGCTCATAGGGCAAGGGCACCAGCTCTAGCATCCAGGCGTCCTAGCTTGCAGTCAAGGTATCCGTCGTTGCGAACCTGCTGGACGTACTTCATGTCAGACGGTGCCACTTTCCTGAAAACAGCATCGCTAATATCCTCTTGCACGTGAGAGCCTTCAAGAAACCGAACCCGAATTATCGGAGCAGTCAAAGATCTTCGAGATCAATCCATCAGCGAACGCCTCCTTGATGGCTTCAGAAACGCCATAGCTACGAGCGTGTTAGCTTTGAAACAACGATTCATCATCAAGATATGACTTACGTTCCGCCCACCACCATAAACAGTCCAATTATGACGATAAGAATGTGCGCACCATAGGTCAGCATCTGAGAGGTTGTGCCCTTTCGATACATCTTGTAATCGTACATCCAAAGCATCGCAGGGAATATCAGACTGAATGGCGCAAAGCAGAGCGACCCTGCCAGGCCGAGCAAGTAGTTGAGGATCGGGACTGCTTCAGCAACAATGAAGCCGAGAACTCCGAGAATCAAGTTGCTCCCAAGCCAAGTTGTCCAGTGAACGGCGGTATTGGCCTGCAGATGGCTCGAATTACGCAGAATGCGCACAAAGATGAGTTTGGCTGCGACGTGCTGGTAGATGCCAACCCCAATTACCAAGCCCGGGAGAGCGATCCCATATGAGATCTTCTTGAAGAGAGTTCCAGCACTACCGAAGGCAGGAGTGGCCAGCCACTGACCACACCAACGGTAGATGACCAACGAGAAAGTCAAATACATGGCTCCGACGAGGATGCCTGCCACAATGCAGGCCTTGCGATAGTCCCGTGGCTTCCGCATTTCCGAAATGACAGGCAAATACATCTGAGATCCACTGCCACTAATGAAGATGTTTGCGCTGGCGGTTATCCCAGCGACGAAGCCAGGATACGCAATCGCCGTGTACCCGAGGTCGAAATCGCCCGTCTGCGGCGCGGCGGCAGGTCTCGCCTGCTGTGTCACCGCAACCACGAAGATGAATACAGCAATAAAGAACGTCGTGAAGCCCAGCCAAGTGAGCCAACCGAGGCGTGAAAACGTGCGGACGGACGAGAAGATGGTTATCAGCACGGCGGACACGAAGCTGAAGACCACCGTGCAAGCGCCATGGTTCGACAGCGCATTGAAAGCCGTGGAGCACGACACGATGCCGGCCGCCGTGATAAGGATCTGAGCCACGAGAATCTGAAGAGTCACCAACTCTTTACCAATGCGACCCCACATAAGACCGCACATATCTGCAAGAGCTGTTCGTCGTGTCAGACAGAGAAGCACCACAAGCCAGGCTAGAGCTTTACTTACTATGACATTCAGGATGATTGTTGCGAAAGTCACCTAGGATCACCGCCGTATCTGCACTTCCAGTCAGAGCCAGTATCGCACTGTGAAGACATGAAATACTCACAGGTATTCAGGACTTCCCATCCCACGATGGACAGCGCACCTCCGACGGCTCCCAGTGTTGCCATCGCACCAGGCACAGCCAGGATACTCATGGCAAACTGGATCTTGAGAAAGATGATTGTGGCCCGCTGCCAGCTCACAGTCCGGAATTTGACGCCCTCGCTGTCATCGTGGAAGATCTCACGCGCCTCTAGAGCGTTCACTTTCTCCACGGGTGCAATATCATCTGACGTAGCCCTGCCAATGGCATCGTTGTCGATTGCAGCTGCGTTCTTCTCGTAAGTCGCCATCTTTGTTAGCCGTTGCTCGTTGCTTGACCAAGAGGAACGAAAGCAGGAAGAAATTGAGACTACACTACTGACGTGGTGGGTTACGGGGTAGATATATTTCCACTTTTTCTATCGACGCCAGACATACAAGCTCGGTACTCCGTTGGCGCTATCAAGACCCCTACTAATTTTCGGACATATCCCCTAGAGTTTACCAGTATCTCTATCGCAACAGGTGCAGCCCATAATCAGTCGCCCATGATAAGCGGAAGAGCTGATCCGCTGCACCTATCTATCCGCAGGAGGCGGCTAGTGCACCGTCTGGATGCGATTTGCGAAAGTCGATTGAACATCCCGAGCAAGAAATGGGCCAGCCCGGTGGTTGTCGATCAGTCAAAACCTATTGCAAACCACCTGCTTGAATAGGTAAGACTGTGCGTGATTGTGGTAAGTATACAGAACTCAAAGCGGGGCTTGCCATGCCTGCCAATGCTTGAGACAGAACTCCAGTTGGTTTCAGGCTCGTGGTTCAGAGCCCAGAGAACTGCCGATAACGAAATTCAACACCGAAAACAAGTCCACTCTTGATTTCTTGATATAAACCACAACCACAGGCTACAGTGTCGTGCAGTGTCAATATTCTTATCAGTCGACCTTGGCAATGCAAATCTATTTCGCTAAAGTCTACGCCTGGTAGATATCACGGGCACTCTTAGCACATGTCGACGCTGAGGTACCAAATCCCAAATGCAAAGTCACTGCGAGTCAACCCTGCGGAAGTGCAAGTCATACAGAATCATCAGTCATAAAGAGTTTGTGACAAACCTAGATAAATGTTTCAGTAGCACCCTATGGAAGTTAGATAACCCTGAGCGAGGCATTTGCTTGAGATCCGTAACATCGCTACGAGGCCACTGCCGCGAGCTTCAACCGTGAAGCATTGCTCTTCCCACCAGGCAATTCAGATGCAGCCCTTAAAACCGCGCGTAAAATGCTATACCGATGCCGAGACATACCACGCTATGCAAGATATGAAAATCAAACCTTAGCATTCCACTTCCATTTCCATCCCAAACAAGCCCAGCGACTCAGACTGAACGTAACCAGTACCAGCCCCAAGACAGCACACATGAACCCAACCATGACCTGTGGTCCAACAGTCTCAACCAGTTCACCACTGATGGGCACACAGACGAGCGTGGCCAGCGAGGCAATGAAGTACATCGTACCATAGTACCTGCCGAACTGCTCCGCCTCGCACAATTGGCCAATGCAAGCGGGCGTCAATGCCATCCAGGACCCGGTACCAAACCCGAACAAGGCGCAAAAAGCGTACAATGCCGCAAGGCTGGTCTCGCCGAAAGGCAACCACAGAGCCAACATCAAAATCAACGTAAAAACAATCATGATCAAAAGTGTATTGAAACGCCCAATGATGTCCGAGACGTAACCCGGGATAATGCGCCCAATGCAAGAGACGCCATTCATGACCGCAATGATGTAAAAGCCGGTGTCGACGGGGTACTTGCCGCTGTAGTTGGCGTACGTGGGCAGAATGCCGAGGGCGCCAAACAGCACAATCTCAAAGCCAAAGACGGTGATGGTGAAAAAGGTAAACTTCAGGTCGCCGAACAGCTCCAGCGAAATGATTTTTGCCTTCTTCGCAGCTGGCGATGGCGGCAGTCTAGGCTTCATGAGGATGTTGCTGAGTATGAGGCACCCCATGATCATAAACGCGAGGATTCGCATTGACCATGCGTAGCCGTACTTGGGAAAGCTGCTCCTCAAGACCAGCGGATATGCTATTCCGCCAAAACTCGATCCACACATTGCAATGCCGACGGCGAGTCCTCTTCTCCTTTTGAACCAGTGACTCACCACTGCCATGCTGGTCGTGGTCAACGTGGCCCCAGCAATCCCACCCAGGAAGCCCAAGCACAGCAAGAACTGCCAATAGGTCTTGCACTCTGCCAGCAAGAACATCATGGCGGTGTAAGCGACGCTGCCGATCAAAGCCAGCCAACGGGGCCCATAGCGGTCAAAGAGCGGTCCGACCCAAATTCCCAGGCCGAGTGCAAGATAGACAAAGACTGATGGTATCCAGCCAATGTCCCGTGATGTGTAGTGCGAAAGCTGATGCTGTTGAAGGAACTCCTGAATTGTGCCGATGGCGACCATGAAACCAAACGAAACAAACAGCGCGAGGAAGGAGCCTGCTAGCACAAGCCAAGCCTCCAAGCCACCTTCAGGAAAGTCGTCGTCTGGAGCGACTGCACTCGACCTCTCAACGTCGATAGGGATGCCTTCTTGTCCATGGTTTTCGGTTTCTGGTTGATCTTTGGCCTCGGTCGGCTCAGAAGCACAATGACTGGATCTGGTTTCCCGTGCTGGAGGCTGTGCATCAGCTGCTACCTCGTGCTTTCCTTCATGATCTGTCACAATGGGTGGTACCGCTGACGAGGCAACTGCATCCATTGAGCGAAACGAGTGGAAAGAGAATATGCAAAAGGAATGATGGAAGGATGCTGAAGAGCTGTGACAGCAGTCAAGAGAAAAGTCGTTTGTTAATATTGATCGTCATGCACGCCCTTCACAAGAGACTAGCACATCAAAAATCGGCTTTCGCTTACCCCATTTGTGGGAGTTTTCGGTGGAAAAGTGGAGAGACAAACACACCCTCGACAAATGTGTGGAGGGCTGCAGCCGCTCTTCTCCGTAGGCAAACATGGCAATTTGTGATGTGTTCGACCACCAACACTGGAACCAACACTGGCTATCATAGGAATGGTAATGGCCCGTTCGAACACAGCAGCACGTTTGGCTGGGGAAGCAAATGGTCGGCCTGATCTCTCGCTCGATCATGTTCTGACATGAGCCCCTATTCTCTGGCTCAGACTTGCCTTTTTCACAACTTCACTGGTCGACTCGGCGGTTGCAGTTCATGATGAAGCTGCATCCAGCACGTGTCTTCTTACCTCAGAAGTATCTGTGACTTGTCATCATTGCCATGATTGGGGTCGTATGGGAAGCCCAGCACAAGCGGGAGCCCACTGAGTCCTTCTTCAACAAGTGCACGACGCGACATGCCTAGCCGTCCGGCAGTAGGACGTCGGTGCCCTTCGTCCGTCCTTTGCCGACGTCCATCTTGGCCGTGCGTGCACCGAATTGGATGGCTCTTTTCCGTTCGGTTGCAGCCGTTGTGACACCAAGTTCCCATAAGGCTAGTCGCAGCAACATTTTGGCGGGTTCAAGGTCCTCAGGCTTATGCACTTTGCCAGCCGTTTCGTAATGCTTTGGGACAGGCTTACCATCTCGGAAACCAGTCTTTTCCCAAACAGGTAGACCCAAGGAGAATTCTACAAAATCCTCATCCAGGTAGGGATAGCGGATCTCTTTGCCCCAATGACTCATGACGCGGTCGTCACGACCAAGATTCCGAGAGCCAATGCGATTGAAGTCAAGCTCGAGCTCGTTTGCAAGCTCAGCATAACCTCCACGGGCGAAAGCAGCTGCATGTCGAGAGTATCCAGCATATAGTTCATCGGCACCCAACCCCGAAAGCAGAACTCGAGCCGTCGAGATAGAATGTTGTGTCTTCTGAACGGGCGGTTGATTCTCTGCAAGCTTTCCGAAGCCGCGTGAGGCAAAGTAAAGTGCCATGGCAATAGACAGGTCCATTTCAGTATTGTGCGGGTGCATGAGCTTGATGATTGTGTTCTTGTGGGCAAGCGACTCCAAGTACGGGACGTCAATGGCCACGAATCTCCATGTTCTCTCGGGGCAGACACGGCAAATTTCTGCAAAACTAGAGCGCCCTGTAGTTCGGTCAGGGCAGAGCTCATAAGCCGTGTCGACGCTGGTGCCATTCGCGGCAATAGAGCGTGGATTTTCGAATGCCACATTGAGCAGATCTATCACTTCAGTACATGGCAAGATGTCGTGGATTAGCCGAGCGATGAGCGTACAGTCTAGGCCGCCCGAGAACAATATGGCCACTTTGGCTGAGTCGAGCTGTAAATGTGAAGGGCGATGCTCTGGGATGTCGTTCACTCTCAGGGCTACAGCATTCCGCAAATGGTCGATGAGTTGTCGGACACTTGCAGTAGAAGGGATCATTGATGGAGATTCGACAGGTAAAGCCTTGTTCATTGTGGGTGGAACGTCTAGCCATGGCAACTGTCCCAATGTGATTTGGCCATTCTTGAGGGTGAGATAATGGATTGCGTCGGTAGACACTTCTTCGAATGTCGTCCTGCGACCCGGAGTACTGATACTAGACAGGGTCAGCGAGCCAGCGTCAGATCGATCGACGAGGAGAGACCGGCGTCCTAGCCTGTCTCGCCCATAATAAACGGTATGACTGGGCGCGTCATAAAATACAAACGAAAAAGGGCCTGCTATGCTTGCAAGAACCTCGGAAATGTGCTGGTGACGTTCATCCTCGTGAGTTCGACTAGCCTGACGGAGCAGATTCCAAATGTATGCAGAATCATTGCCTTGCACTTCGAGGCTACCTGTTTTCCAGGCCTCACCGTTCCAGCAGAAGTGGGAGCCGGAGGATGAATCAACTAAAGGCTGGACTTGAACTTGATCTCCGCGCAGTGCCAGTACAGAAGAGACGAATGTCAAGTAAATATTCGCTTCGCGATCATCTGAGTCAGAAGCATGCAGAATCTTGTAGCTGTCTGGACCTCGTGCCTGCAGTGCGTCCGTAGTCTCCTGATCTGGCAACCGCGGGCGGACTTTCGCTGCAGAGAAGAAGATGCCACACATTCAGCTGGTAGCACCAGTCCAAGCGTTTGCTGCGCGGAATGTACGATAAGTCGGTATGGTGGGAAATTCCAGACGTCAAAAGAGGTGAATGAAGACCAGAGGCTGATGCCAAGAGCGACCAGTCGCGGAAGCAATTCGGCCGCTACTGTGGTCCTTACCAGGGCTGATCACGCGGCGTCGACTGGCGTCATGCGCTCCCTGCTTTTGATGGGCGGCCTCGTTGCAGTCTGACATCCGAAGCCTCAGTGTTATGCAGGGGTTCTTGTGCCTATCTTGTACAGCAACGGAATCATTGATTGACACCACGGCCTCCTCGTCGTCCTTATCAGTCTCCCAACAAATCGACACATTGCCTATCTCCAACACAGCGATCCCTCAGATTACGTCTCCTTGTATACAGTGTACCGATAGTCCAGTGATGCGCTTGGAACAACACTAAACAGATCAAGGACCACAAGCCTGCCATTTGGAGCATGAAGGTTTAGCGGCGTCTCGAGAAGCATCGTATCCTGTACTTTCGATGTCATCGGACGGCAACCATGCCATGGATGCCAAACAGGAAACCCTTTCGGCGGAAAGCGGTGGAAATCTAATCGATCTCGACGACGAGTCTCATGGCGACAGCGTCAGTCAAAGAAATGCGCAGGGCGCATCAGATATCAGAAAAGAGGGAGCAACTCCCAATATCACCATGAAACTACAAGGTCTCAGCCTGGACCCCAACAAAGCCATTTCAGAAGATGCCTCTCAGCCGAACAAAGTTCTCCAGCCGACTCCTCCGATCTCAGGCCCATCCTCAGCCAGTGAGAAACAATATCTCGACCCTACGCCGAAAACGCCTACGGTCTCGAGACACCCCTCGGTGCGCGCTGCTACCGAAGAGTACAACGAGAAAGATCCGGCGTATGCTCAAGACCCCCAAGATGGCACACTGGACGTTCCGCATCAGGGCGCTGGTAGAGATAATGAAGTGGAATCGACGTCCGAAATACAGAGTATCATGGACCAATTTGACGATGCTTCTATAGCTCCGTCGAAAGAAGATATCATGTCCCCTAGGCAGGACATGGCTGGACCTATCCTTGGAACACCACAACATCATCCGCCTCGAAGGTCTAGTCTCGATCATCTCCTGTCAAGAGATCTGGACGCTATTGCGTCCTCGCCTGTGGCATCTCAATCTGAGAAACCTTTACCTTCTCCGCCATTAGTGTCTCCGACTAGCGAGGACAAGACTCTAAGAAGACCTTCCCTCAAAGGGCCGACAGCAGCCTCAACGACTTCGTTGATTCATCAACCACCCCCGCCTGAACCGGATCCTGAACTGCCTTTCGACTTCCATAGATTTTTGGAGCAACTGCGACACAAATCGGCAGATCCCGTGGCCAAATTTCTGCGGTCCTTCCTGACAGAATTCGGCAAGAAGCAGTGGATGGTGCATGAACAAGTCAAAATTATAGGAGATTTCCTCGCTTTCATCACAAACAAGATGGCTCTATGCGACGTATGGCGGGAAGTGTCAGACAATGAATTTGAAAATGCCAAAGAAGGAATGGAAAAGCTTGTCATGAACAGATTATATTCGCAAACATTTTCGCCCGCGATTCCACCGCCACCCACTCAGGCATCACGATCGCGCTCGAGGGGAAGACGGAAGGAGCAAGAGAAAAATCCTTTGCCCGGAAGACGCGGTCAACATCAGGAAGATGTGGAACGCGATGACATCCTTGCTCAAAAGATACGTATTTACAGCTGGATCCGTGAAGAACACCTGGATCTGGAACCCGTCGGCCCGAATGGAGAAAGATTTCTGAGGCTTGCCCAGCAAGAGCTACTGAAGATCAAGGGGTATCGAGCTCCAAGAGACAAAGTTATTTGTGTTCTGAATTGTTGCAAGGTGATCTTTGGATTGTTGAAGAATGCAAAGAGCTCGGATACTTCGGCTGATGCATTTGTGCCACTTCTCATTTACGTCGTCCTCCAAGCCAATCCAGAGAATCTTGTGTCGAATGTACAGTATATTCTGCGGTTCCGGAACCAAGACAAACTCGGAGGGGAGGCTGGCTACTATCTCTCGTCTCTGTCCGGGGCTATCCAGTTCATCGAGAATTTGGATCGTACGACTTTGACCGTCAGCGACGAAGACTTTGAGCGCCACGTCGAGCTGGCTGTTTCAGAGATTGCCGCGCAAAATCGCGAGGCCGAGGCGCTAAGTCCGCGTTCCTTCCGAGAGAAATCGAGCATCGCCGAGCCAGAATTGACGCCCAGAAACTCCATGGACGTGGTTTCTAGTAGCCCCCAGCGCAGAGAGCCGAGCCGACTGAACAGCAGCTCGGAAGTCGGCTCGGAAGATGGCGTTACTGGAATTCTACGATCGATTCAGAAACCTCTGTCTTCAATTGGGCGCATTTTCTCCGACCAGGATACCTCTCAAGAACACAGGTCTATTCCACTGCCAGTACCACAGACGGGTGCACGGTTAAGTCCATCAGTGTTCCAGCCTCCACCTGATGGAGGAGCCCCATCGTACGATGCCCAAGAAGCAGCAGCAAGGCAGGCGAGCGCAGAAGCTGCAGAGGCACGACGTATCCAGAGACAAGAGCACAGGACTGTGGTTGAGACATTGTGCGGGATGTTTCCAAACCTTGATAAAGAAGTCATCGATGATGTTGTGCGGCAAAAAGAAGGCAGGGTTGGTCTGGCGGTGGACGCATGCTTGTCTTTGACCGCTGGTGGCTAGAAGCCGAGACACAATTGCGACATACCGTGATCGTGCGTCACAACAACGAAAGATTGGGGGTTCGTACTCGCCAGAGTCCAGTGATAGAGCTGACGACTCGATGAGGACCCTCGACCATTGCTTCAAGCTATGATCTTTGTCTACCGTCCGCATACCATTGCTCTCTTGACCAGCAGTGTGCGGACCGGAGGCGGTGTCGTAGGCTTCGGCCACGACGGGCCAGTTTCAGTCGCTGGCTAGTGGCCGACAAGACTGCACTCAGCTTGCGGCACCTGCCCGAAGTGATGGAGATGGAGACAAAATACTCGCAACCACGGGTGCCTGAAGATGGGGTGAGGTTGTTCCATGACGGCTTGCGCCCGTAGCAATCTCTGTCAGCCTCGTATAACAGTCTTGCTTGTAGGTCATATTTGATAAATGAGGGAGCACATATACGGCCGAATCACACTTAGAGGATTAGGACTCATGCACATTTGCTCTGCCCTTGCAATAATCAGAACTTGACGTTTCTCGTTACCCGTCTTGATCGTCGATCACCAGCATCACAGGGCACGGAGATCTGATTGCCATTTCATACAGTGTTGAGCCGGAGAGTAGGGCGGATTTGATTTATATCAATGCACTGCAGCCATTGGCTACGAGAACGAGTAAGTGTCCATTGCAAGACGTGTCCCGGGCATCTCCCCGGAAGAAGTCGGGACAAGGCTGCCCCTTCTATTGTTCTTTCCTTTCCACCAGAAGCTCCATGTCTCTTAAAGACCGGTACCATCCTGTCATGCGTGCCCAGTTATGAATTTATGGTCAGTCCGGAGTCCTGCCTGGGACAGGCCGTGCCCACAATACACCGCTTCTTACAGTATCATTTCGGCCGGAGATGCTTTGTCCGAGGAACTCCGACCTACTGAACAGTGATTCGGCGTTGGACATATTTTGCGGTGGGGAGCCGAAAAGGTGTTCTTTGGCGCCCTTGCCCGTAAGGCGGCTCGGAAGCCTTTACAGTAGTGGTCACGGGCTGGTTCGTTGGCCATAGCCACGGCTAGAACACCTGTGACCCGAGGGCATCGGATCCGAATGACAAGACCATATTTGCGAATCACGTTGACGCACGGTAGCCGAGGGCCTGGCGTTAGGTTCTCCCCAGTGTGGTGAGATTTTATCCTGCATGATCATATGCTTACCTCTGCAAGAGTGTTATGATTGTGAGACTGAGACTCGCACGTATGGGAAACAATGTCACACTCCAGGACTGCGTTACTTGTGTGTGTCACAGGCAGAGCCATAGTGAGTGCCACGGTTGGTAGGGGACTGTGTGCAATCCGGGCAATCAATACTGCAGTCCAGTGCCAGAGCGGGCAGAAGATGAATGAGGAGCACCGGCTGACAATTTCCGGGCGATGTGAGCAACCTATGGTCCATCCATTGGTGCAAGGTAAACGATTTGGGCGCTGTGTTTTGCTTGGAGTTTTAGGTGGGCACAGGCGGCTGAACCTCTCACAACGTGATTGCTGGGGGTGCAATATCCGGGTGGTAGAGGGGTAGATCTAGGTTCATTCATTTGGGTCCCCGCCATGCACAGCGAGTGACACAGAGAGCATCAGACCAGTTCATTCAAGGGATGCAGATGGCATGAAAAGGAGTACTGGTAGGGAAGTTCCCGAGTCGAATATAGCAATCACTGAGCCCTGTTTTCCACACTTCACTACTGTGTACCTGCCCAACGCCGCGCTGATAGCATTCATGTACATGGTCTCATAACGTCAATGGTGACAGAGCTGACGCCGCCTCTTCCAGGTCGAAAAAGTCATCCACGCTGAGAGGATCGTTCGCAGGCATAACAATGCCAGCTGGGCTCTCGTCCTCTTCTTCCAGGAAAACCGGACTCAACCCAGAAGAATGTACGTCGCTTTCCCGAGTAGCTTCGATATTCGAAACATATTCGTACCCTGAGGGCAGGATTGTTTCCTTGACAAAAGGTGGGAACATCTTCTCGAGCAGACTCTGGTCAATGGTGTAGAAGTCGTCCGGCACAATCTCCACATCCAAGTCTGTTGGCGCTTTCCGTTTTTGGCCGGGTGCTGCAGTCGAGATAGGAATCGGCTCTGGTGTAGGCTTCAATAGGTCTTGCATGAGATCGCGCTCGTGGTCGGTCAGCCGCAAACCGTCGATCAAATGACTGAACGGACCGGATCGTAATTGCGCGTAAATTCCTGGAGGAGGTGTTTGGCAAGTGTCTCCTAGCGACGCTGGGGATGCGGAGTCGCTGGTCAGGGATCCAGGAGAGAACGCAACATACTCTTCGTGCTGGATGTGCGTCGCGTGCTTCGTCTCGTGTGGTTGGCTGTCAGCCTTGGGGCTGGTAGGAACTGAGTATCGAGGTCGATCCTTCGGATGGAGGTTTTGTAGGTAGACCTTGAGTATGGATGGCTCGATAAACGTTGGTAGGCATGACTTTGCTGTAGGATTGCTGTTGATGTTTGGTGTTGGTCTGGTCGGGCGAGCAGCCATGGAATCTGTGTTGGCTCTCTTCAACGTGCTTGTCGGCTTGTTGACATGCGCTAGAGCAGACGGCCTGCCATGTTGACTGGAGAGTGAAAAACGATGACTTCTTGGATCTATCGAAACAGACTGACTGTGTTGTCTTCTTGAAGGTTGCTGTTGTTGACTTTGAGTCTGGGTCTGGTTGATACTAGAGTCCAACTTCCTCCTCTTGTTGGCTGACTCGGGCCATTTGTTACCAAGAGCCTCAAGCTGTTCCAGAGGGAACAGACGGTCGATGAATGACGCCATGGTGTTCGACGTATATGCGCAGCCTTGCTGAAGACCTATATGGAAGAAACACCAAAGTGCCAGACGTCGGATGTGGGAGACGGCAATCGGCGAAAGGAATAGGAAGTTGAAGTGGAGGACGGAAGAAGGTATATAGCAAGAAAGCGAGGACTGGGCAAAGCAAACAATCAATATTACCTGTGCCAATTCGGGACCCTGAAGTCTGGCTATGCTGTTCCATTACGGCCGGTGGAAGGGCATCCGACTGCTGACCCATACTGGACCATTTTCCGGCCCGAGTCGACCAAAGAGAGAGAGAGCTTGTGCTTCGACCATATTGTGGGCTATGAGAGTTTGGCTCCATCGGAAAGGGGACAAACATGTTCTTGGTCTGACCATTTCTATGGTCGGCTTTCTCAGCACGCTCCACGTCAGATCGAACGGTGAGAGTAGCTTGACACGAAGCCAGGGTCGAGCAAGTTGTAAGCTGACGAATAAGAGAATGCGTAGGACGGCAGGCGAGGACGAAGATGGGAAAGCTGCAGAAGAAAGCATGGGCGGTGATGGTTCGGGGCCTATGCTTCCAAGAGTTTGGAGACTCCGTACCTCTCCATAATTGTCTGTCAAATCCACAAACAATTCAATCCTGTAATCTGGAGCTGGGGCATCCGCACGGGGGTGGCAAGGACACGGCAGGCAAAGTCTGTTCTGTTCGTGATCGTCCTATATGTACTCCAGAGGCAGGAGCTTGTCTTTCAACAGAGGAAAGACATAAGGATGGAATGGTCGTCAAGATATCGAGCTTTATGCAACTCATCAGCACGATAAACCCGGATTTGGCGCGTCTTCAAAATGGCCAAAAGATCCAGTTGTCTCTTCGAGGATGAGAAACAAATACTCCAGACTGACTGACGCTTTGATCAATCCGATCTCCGGACAGGGGGTGATTTTGATTTCTGGTAACTTTCGCATGGTTGCGGTTGTGGTGCGACCCTGACTATCGGATCCGACGCAAGCCGCACAGTGACAGCATGTGCCTAGAACCCCTGTTTGTTGTCACCGATCTTGTACCCCGCGGGTCCGAATGATGGGCGCTGCTGACCAGGGTCGTATCCGAACCATTAGGCGGGGTCCAACGGGCTTCTAACACGGGCAACGAGTTCCAAGTCCTTATCGAGTTGTTGAAATATAGCAGAGCGCAGACTCGTTCAACTCCATGACTTACTTGTCATGTGTGATTCCTCTCTGTGGCCCTTGACCAGCATGTCTCATGATATCATACAAGGCACATGGCCCCTGTTAGAAAATCAGGGCAATTGAGGCCAGATCGACAAAGAGGCTCTGGGCCAGCCGAGTGATGCCCGACCTCAATGCTCGTTCACAAGATCTCAATTACGAATACAGCAAGGCTATATGACCGGTTACTTGAGACAGCAGCCAAGGCACTGCCTGAATGCCACCGCAGGGCATGATGTCTATCACCAGAATGACAGGATTTTCTTGCGCTGTTCTGGAATACCGGTGGGAAATTGCCATTCTTGTTTCATTTCCAGTACTCAACCATCACTGTGTGTGCCGAAGTCTGAGTGACTCCATAATGCGTGGCTCTTGCGTATTAGACGACTGGTCTGAAGAAGATAGAGGTACAACATCTTTCAATGTCAGAAGATAGGGGACCAATGTCAGAAACTAGGCACAATTATTAATAATGAGGGGTTGCTGACCGGCCACGGGGACTTACCGATGCCTAAACTCCGATCAACTCTCCACCATTCTTTCCATTGATCATCAACAGCACCACTCTATGGATTGTTGGAAGGGATGACACTCCAATAAAGCTCATGTGCAAGTGGTGGAGCTTGTCTTCAGCGACCTACTCACAATGGGGAGGGCGCAGGTCGAAGATAATGACTGGTATGGAGTGCAAGACCCTCGCAAGCGCAAGCAGATCCAAGACAGACTGGCACAGAGGGCGCGACGTATGAGGTATCCCAATCGATATTGCATCTTCTCTACTGACATTCCATCAGGGAAACGTCTAGCAGACTCGAAGATCCCCAATGAGGGTACTTCAGTTACGAGAGACACGGCGAGTACTTCGCCAGAATCCGGCAGCAACGACCGTGACAAGAATGAAGAGTCGCTGCGTCCACTCACTCTTTCGATACCTCGCAGTCCTAGCTCATATCCGGCTTTCGTTTCTCCATCGGCTAAACCAGATACCTGCATGCCAGTGTACCTGAATGGCTCCGTCTTCACGGCGTTGTTTCAGAATGGTGCAATGATGGGTCTCTTATGCTCAAGCACTTTTGCACACAAGTCAACGCCCTTTGGGTCTGAAATACCTACAACCATACGCCCTACCACACTCCAAATCACCAGAGTCCATCCTTCATGGATTGACCGCTTTCCTTTCCCAAAGATGAGAGATAACATGATTACTCTGCTGAGCGTGATTGACGAAGAAGAATTTCTGGCCGACTTATTCTGCATGACCAGCTTCACGGTCGATGACGGTGGCGCGTCATGGGATCCCAGAGCCTGGAAGATTGGCAAAGACTTTTCAGCGAAATGGGGCTATCTCTTCTATTGACCTGTTCTGACGTGCCCTGCTCCAGAACCCAACCTTCGGTAACAAGACTATCGCTGCAGCCCGTCTTCACCGCTGCTGTAATTGCATCTGCGACAAGGTCAGGCGCGCTGCTGTTGGGACAGTGTCCAGTTTTGATGTTGTGGACATCAACTTTGTTTCCACTCTCCTTCTCGATCATCTCGATGCACGCACGCTGGAAGTCCGGAGGCAAGATGAGATCGTCTTCGGCAAATATCCACGATACAGGTAGATACTTATATCCAGGATAGGTGAGCTTGTCCTGGAAGCTAGGCGTCGAGTGATATGTCATCTTCTTGACCATCTCAACGCCTTTCTCGGGTGGGAGGTCCGAAAACATCAGTCTTGCGGCTTCGTCGAAATCGACATGTTTCATGAAGTCTCCCTGCGAACGACAACTCAGTACGTACGGTACAAACGCGGTCGTCGAAGTACCTACGTCTACCTTGAAAAATATTGGCAGCGCTCATCCCATCAGGTCCCCGATCGACTTTCCAGGGGTCGCGACCGCCGAAGTCAAGTATACGAGTCTGACGAGCCCGCCTTCCTTACCAGCCTCTTTCCTTTCTCTCTTGGAAATGCCCTTGGCGGCTTCGGTGCCGACCATCCTTCCCCTCATCGGCCAGTTTCTCCACGATATCGTGGAAGACGGCTGCATCCTCCTGCATCGTTGCGGCTTTTTGCGGGGGCTTTCTGCTCGCTGAGGGGAGCTCCTCGACGAGCGCCTCGAATCCATCATGGCGAAGCTTGTCAACGATGTCGGAGTAAAAGTATGCGGGTGAAAACGAGCCGGGAACAATGACGATGGAAGGCTTCGGGGCTACCATGACTGAGATAGGTCTTCGTACCGACGTCAATAACACCACAAGAAGGTAGCGTGATAGCTGTTGGTAGAGGCACCTGTGATATGCTCGATGAAAATGAGGAGAGGTCAAGCAACCAAGTATTATGCAATGATATTCTCATTCAGCAGACCAAGGAGCACGTCTGACCAATTTCTTCCTCGGAACCGTGCTGCCCTCCGTTCTGACACAATGGAAGGATCTGGAGAAGTCTGCCCAACATCGTGGGGAAATCGGCAGTTTATACATCCTCGGAATCAGAATATAGGGCATGAGAAAGTCAGAAATTAAGGTTGATTCAATGGTGAATTCGTCGAGATATGGTCCAGGTACTCTCCAGGTTTCAGGGTTTCGGCTCTAAACCTAACCCCAGACACTGACTCGACTCGGTCAATGCGGTCAACGACGGTATACCCATTTAGTACAGCCGAACCCGAATATTCGCCGCGTCCCTGTGAGGAAGAGAGCCTTGACACCTATAGACCAGAGACAAAAATGGTCCCTTTCTATGTTTACATTTGGCTCGACTAGCAGTACTGGTACTATCCCTTCACCTGCCAACCCATTCCACTGCAAACTCATTCCACTGCCAACGATACAGAACAGAATGAAAAACGCGTCAAGTCAACGCCCAAATTAGAACCTCAGATTTTTCACGATCCGATATTGCCATGGATAAAAGTCGGCCGCACAATCAACTTCTCGTCCCACGGAGCGGAAACGCCCCGATCTTTCTGCACCATCATCGCGTCCGTCATGCTTGGGTCGATCTCAATGTCGTAGAGCTGGTACAGCCGGGTAAGAGTCAAGTGAAGCCCAATGTCTGCTAAATGTTTCCCGATGCAATTTCGGGGACCATAGCTAAACGGCCGAGACATGTTCTTCATATCAGTCGTGGCGTTCAACCACCGTTCCGGAATGTACTCATTAGGATTGGGGAAGACCTTCGGGTCACGTCCTGTCACGTACGCTGGAGTCGCTACTTGGACGCCCGCAGGGATGAAATGGTCGCCGATGACTTTGCCTGGCGATACGCGCGGGAAGCCGGCACTGAGGGGCCCCCAGATGCGAAGTGTCTCCTCGATGCACGCGTTCAAGTACTCCTAGAGAACCACGTTAGCTTATCAAGATACCCGTGACGGCCCGCCTGGCTATCATCGATGGTAGTCAGCACTTACCAGTTTGGTGGTCTCCTCGTAGGTAGGTTCGTGCTTGGGGTCCGGAAACGTTGTACGAATTTCGTCCAGGAGCTTCTTTCTCACATCAGGTCTCTTGCCGATTTCCCAGATCGTGTATAGAGTTGTCACCGCGGTCGTATCACTTCCTGCGACGAGGAAAAGGATAGAATGTTCGACAAGTTCGGGGCCGGTCAGCTTGCTGCCCGTTTCGGGGTCGACAGCATCTACCAGATTCCTTAGGAAAGTACCTCGGGCATAATCGTCCCCGTTCTTGTTGATCTTGTCGTAGAAGTCCTTGACGGAATTTTCCGCAAACTTGATCAACCTGTCCAAGGCCTTGTAAGCATCCTGGATCTTTTTGAGAGGCACCCGTCGTAGCTGCGGGAAGAAGGCTTGAAGCGGCACAGTTTGCATGAAAGCATCCAAGTCATCGTGGTTGAGGGTACCTTTGCCGGACACGCAGTCGAAGGATTGCCCAAAACTCAAGTACGTGGTGATATCGAGATAGTGATCCAACGTCTTTTGGAAAATGTCCACTGATCCTTTATTTGCGGCCGCCGGAGCAAAGACGACGTCCAGGAGCGTCTTCACTTTCTGGTGAATCATGGGCTCGTCCTGCAGAAGTCCTTTCAAGGAGAAAGCATGGGATACCAGGCGTCTCAGGCGGGCGTGAGCAGCCTTGTTTCTTTCGTTGAGCAAGCTCACTGCCCCCGTTGCAGTAAACATGTCGTAAAAGACCTTCTCCTTTGGACATGGGTTGGACGACTGCCCGTAGATGTCCTGCCACGATTTCATGTTTGAGAAATAAAGCTCATTTGTTCCGACACGTACTGGACTGCCGTACTTCTCGAGCATTTCGTGCTGCCATCGAATTCGATTCATCTTGACCATTGACGTTAGGGGGTATATGGAGGTGAACTTGGCGAAGAATGGTCCCGGAAATTTTGCTAGAGGGTGAAAGTAGATATTGTATACGATCTTGCCGACCAGATACAGCAAGGGCAGGGTCCACAAGGCTGTGAACCAAGGGAGGTTCTGCAGCTGAATCATGGTCGCTGAGGTAGTCATGGTGAGGTGCGAAGGGTGAATGGGGAGAACTCGTGTTTTGCCCTTGTGTGTTGTTGTTCTCAATGGGAACTGCTAGGATCAATGCTGGGGCTGAAGCATTCAGGGTATATCACTATGGCAGTATCTCGGAACAGGGCCACTGGCCGGAGCAGGTATGGTAGATTGGGGCACGCCGGGAGAATCTGGGGAAGCCACGAATGCTTGTTGTGATGCTCTCCAGATAGACAGCGGACCTTCGGAGCAAAAGGAACCATTGTTCGGCCCGGAGACCGCCTTCAACAATGAAAAGGACATTCATGGTCAGGATGGTGGCAGACTCTTAGCCATTTACATGGCCAGTTTGAGTCTTACATCGTTGTATCTGCGCGGGGTACGAGAAGCCGTGAAGGCTTTATGGAAGTATCCCTGAATACACAAATATACCCGTAAAACTCATGGCTCACCGCCCGCTCTGAACCTCACGAGACTCTGTGAAAGATGACGGGATCGAAAGATGGCATTGATGAAGGCCACGATTCCAAAGGCTTCGAACGAGGAAGATCAGGATACTCTGTGCTAGGCGTAGCCCCGAAAGTCGTTGTCACTGTGACCCTATTGCACATTGCAAGTGGTAAACCGCTGCTGCAGAGGGCAATAGCCAGATTCACATCCGGTTCAGGCGCTGCAGAACTTTCCATACAGGTGGAATTAATCTATCTGGAGCTCTAATCTTCTCAGGAGGAGGTGAGGTGATGTTGCACCCTTCCCAGCCTTGGCGCCTAGACCGTTGTAAATGAAGGGTCTTGCCTTCTCCGTAATCTTACGACCCTATCACATTGAAAACATCTACCTTACCTATTGAACCTCTACGACGATGACAGACTTGGTGCTCCCCCAAGCGGCGAAAATTCCACATCATGAACTCTAGGACAAATGCTCCAGACTGAAACTTCTCCAGGCATGAAAGTTGTAAGTGTCAGCATAAAAGATGGAATGCGTTCAGGCTGCTCGGGGCCCGGAATTAGTCACGGAAAGAACCTGCCTTCGGATCCAGGTTGACTTCCGTCCCTGTGAACCCGAAAGTCCAGCCGCAAATGTCGATTTGGATTCCAGTTTCATTCCAGGTTTGTGTCCTACAACTGTCCGTGCTGATCCACCCCTGCAATCGAAGTGATATTATGCGGCTATTGCTTGACCCGAGATCTGGAGCATTGGTTCCAGCCAACCTTGTCTTCCTGGGGCCGCCACTTCGAAGCTCCTAGATCCGGTCAAGGTGTGACACGGACAAAGCGAGGCTTGTGCCCCGGACCATTACTATTCACTCAGATCTCAGACATAAGAAGATTGGGGTCTCAGCTTGCAGTTTTGTTGGCAGCCACAGTGACATCTTTTGCACACGTTATCAAAACTTTTGTTGGTCAAGATGGCACCATGCGCAACCAACGACACTGCCCATTCAGGGTCCTCATACAAGCCCAAGCACATTGAGGATAAGCTTTTCATCGATGGAGAGTTCGTGCCATCTGTGTCCGGCAAGAAACTCGACGTGTACAACCCTACGACCGAGAAGCTAGCCGCATCAGTGTACGAAGCCGGCGTCGAAGATGTTGATCTCGCTGTCAAGGCTGCGAAAGAAGCGTTCCCTGCGTGGTCTGCGCTATCCGCCGCTGAGCGAAATGGCTATCTGAACAAACTTGCGGACGCTATCGAGCGCAATGGCGAAGAAATTGCCTATCTTGAGGCCATTACCATGGGCAAGCCATCTGTTGATGATTGTGAGCTCGCTTCCCAACCTTCCCAAAGCTTGGCGCCCACAGCTAACATGTTGTCTCACACCAGTCTCGATCAAATTCTCCGTGCAGTTCCTGCGGTATTTCGCAGGTAAAGCACTCGACGTAGCTGGGGATTCGAGCATCAACACAACGGGCATGGTGACTCTTTCATTACGACAGCCATTCGGCGTCTGCGGTGCCATTACGCCATGGAATGTGCCACTGCTCATGCTGGTCAATAAGCTTGGGCCAGCTCTCGCTACGGGCAATACGCTGGTTGTCAAGTCTTCCGAGAAATCGCCTCTTTCCTCCCTCGTCATTGGTCGCCTGGCTCAAGAGATTGGCTTACCGCGAGGTGTCCTCAATATTCTATCTGGCTATGGTCGACCCTGTGGCGAGGCAATTGCGAAACACATGGATATCCGGAAGATCAGCTTCACGGGCAGTGTCATCGCAGGACGCGCGGTCAAAAAGGCTGCCGCCGAGTCCAATCTCAAGAATGTCACGCTTGAGCTTGGCGGCAAGTCTCCGCTCATCGTCTTTGAGGACGCCGATCTCGCCAGAGCCGTTCCTGCGGCCACATTCAGCATCCTCGTGAACAGCGGGCAGTCCTGTGTCGCTACCTCGCGCGTCTATGTACACGAGTCTATCGCCACGAAGTTCATTGATGCTATGAAGACAGCTATGGTGGAGATGTTACCAGCCGACGACCCGCTAATAGCAGGCACGCGTCGTGGTCCGCAAGTCGATAAGGCGCAGTTTGATCGCGTTATATCCTACCTTGACTATGCAAAGGAGAACAACATCAGTATCCCGGTAGGTGGTGGCCGGCAAGGGACAACCGGGTATTTCGTCGAGCCTACCATATTCGAAAATCCGCCTGAGGACTCCAGGGTAATGAAGGAGGAGATCTTTGGGCCGGTCTTGTGCGTCAATACCTTTACTGACGAGGCGGGGGTGCTGAAGCGTGCAAATGATACCGAGTTCGGTCTGTACGCCAGTGTGTTCACAAAGGATATCAGCCGCGCATTGAGAGTGGTGAAGGCGCTCGAGGCGGGAAGTGTGGGTGTTAACTGCTCCTCACCAAGTATGGCTGTCGATATGCCATTTGGTGGGTGGAAGCAGAGTGGTGATGGGCGGGAGTTGTCCAAACATTGTACTGACTATTGGACGGAGTTGAAGAGCGTTTTCATCGCGTTGTAGAGGTTGTTGGAGGCTTTGAAATGCACATAGGGGAAAATGTCATGGAATTAGTGCTACAATAGTCTTCTGTTCCAATGTGCTCGATGCTTGCTGTCTATGGAATCTTGAAGAGCACCCAACCTACAGCTGGTAACACCCTGTGGCAGCGCCCATGTGCTTACTAATCATGTGAACCTGCCAAGAGGCAAGGTCTAACGCTATGATCACAATAGAGCTCCAGCATCTCAATCTTCCCCATCAAGAGTCGCCCGCTTCCCCAACAAGCTCGAGGTGAAAGTTCGGAGCTTCGGAGGCAAAGATGGAGTTGCGAGACCTGTTCTGCGCCGGTTTTGCTCGAAGTGGGTGGGTCGGCCTGACCGTGGATGCTTTTCGTGATTCTATTCCGTTGATCGTTCCGGCCGAAGCCTCGTCGCGGCATCTCGGGTCTCAAGATGACCCTAGCGTCAAATTTGTGCCCAACGGTCCAATGTCAATAACATCAGTCAAAGCATTTGCACTGGTTATTTGAAAGGGTTGTGCAATCGCCTTAGAGTCCTGAAAAACACGAAATCTCCCGGAGGTCGACGGCTACGCAAATTTGAAAGGGGACCAAATCATGGGCTCGTTGTCGGAAACACCCATAACTACCAAAGCACTTGTTGTTGAAAAGCCTGGTGCACCGTTCGTCGTGGAGGACGTTGTCTTGGACAAACTACGCGACAATGAGCTTCTTGTCGACATCAAATACGCTGGACTATGCCACACTGTGAGCTTCACCCCCTAAGGAAGGATTTCAAACCTTACCACTCTCTCAGGACCTTGTGATACAACATGGGAAGATGCCAATCGGGGGATTTCCGGTCGTGGCCGGACATGAGGGTGCTGGAATCATCGTCGAGCTCGGCCGTGGGCTGGGGAGCTCAGGGCTGAAAGTAGGTGATCGGGTGTTGCTTGGTTTCGCCTCCTGCATGAGCTGTAGAGGATGTGAGGACGGTAGCAAAGGAGCCTGCGACAATATCGCTCTAACCAACTTCGGAGGGACGAGAGGACTTGAGGATACTTCTATCCGCCGTCCCAATGGCGCATTTATCAGAGGCTCTGTATTTGGTCAGTCGTCTTTCTCCAAGCTGGCGGTTTGCGATGTCAGAGCTGCGGTCAAGTATCCTGGTCCGGTCGAAGATTTGGCATTTTTGGCTCCGCTGGGATGCGGTTTCATGACAGGCGCGGGTACATTGCTCGATGTGTTGAAACCGAAGACGAGCAATAGTGTCGCCATTCTCGGGCTGGGTGCCGTCGGCCTTACCGCTCTCATGGCGGCAAAAAGCCTGAATGTTGCTGAAATTATCGCGATTGATATTGTCGAATCAAGGCTGGAGCTGGCGAAATCCCTGGGAGCAACCCACGCATTGAATGGAAAGAGCTACAAGGATGTTGAAGCTGCCATTCGAGAGACCGCCGCACGTGGTGTCGATTTCATAGTTGATACCACGGGAGCCACCTCAATGATCAACAGTGGCATCAAAGCGCTTGCTCAACAGGGCACATTTGCCATTGTCGGAACCCCTGTGCCTGGGGAGCATCTCAGTGTTGAGGCGATGGATATGCTTATTCACTGCAAGAAAATCATCGGAGTCACTGGGGCCTATGCTAACCCACAAGAGGTAAGCATCTCCTCTTTTTCGAGCGAGGGTGGGATGTTGACAACTCCTCAGCTTATACCGCGGCTTGTGAAAATGCATCAGGATGGATTGTTGCCTATCGAAGGCTTGTGCAAGTCCTATCCTCCAACGGACATCGACCAGGCAATCAACGACATGAAATCGGGAAAGGTACGATTCGTGCTCCCTCCTCCTTTTGCAACTGTTTCTCATACTGCTCAGGTAATCAAGCCAGTATTGGCTTGGTAGAACTGTCCTCGAGCAACGCCTTTGCATGCTACATGATTGAACTTACGCCACGGCAAAGCGGTGTAGTGCTCTGCACCGCCCGTCGAACGTTGCTTATACAGGTGGTCAACAGCAGCTGGGAGCCTGCTTTGGGTCCGGTGATAGCCGTACTAAACCTGCTCTAATCCAGCTACTACTGTCGCGAGGCAGTCACTCAAGCCTACACTTGCGCTAAGATGACCCTAGCATATCACCACAAATTGGTTCTCGCTACCCGAAATGCTGCCAGCACAACATGAGTAAGATAACAATGGCGATTGGAGGGTTGGCGAATACCATGCAGGTCCACGCCTACCGTCACAGAGATTATCGGCCTCCTATACTACAAAATATTTACCCTTGCGGTTACCCCAGACTTTCCAAGACCTTTCGATCCCGGTACGAGTAGGGGTATCTTCAGTAATACAAGCGAGATCCCTTATTCTCGAAGCTTGGCCAGGAGTCCAGGACGGGCTACCAACGGAACAGAATTCGGAATGAGGAAACTAGTCGCAGACTTCGTCGGCCCAAGCGCCACTCGCTTCCTCGAAGTGGTGGGAACGCCCCACAAACCCCGGACTAACGTCAAATATTGGATCTGGACTTCTACCCTCCTTGACCTGGAGTGCCTGGGGACCCGGGGTCCAAGCAATATACCCCATCCGGAGAACATTGACACTCACGAACATGGATTATTAAGGTGTGTTGATCCCCAGGAGCAAGTTCTCTGCAAAGTCCATGAAATCGACGTTCATCGATCAAGAGTGCCTTACACCACACCTACGCGTTCTACAGACTTAAAATGGACAAGTCTCGAGACGACTTTCAGCAGCCTGCTCCAGCCATGGAACCGCTTGACGAGGAGATCATCGTCTGGAATCATAAAAAGGAATTTGCTCTCCTTTTGGTCGGTGTGCCCCCTTGTGGCAAATGAGCATTGGCTTATAATCAATGACAGGCTCTGTGCTCTCAGTACTTCTGTCAGATGCTGTTCATTATCGGGGCCGGAGTCTACGCCAGGTCTATCGCTGCTGTTGTCGGCGGAGAAGCAATTGACTCTTGGTTGGTCTCATCAATTGTTGCAGAGTGAGCACGCACTTACAAACGAAGGCCGGCGATCTCAATCAATATTTTGACTGCTGCGACAATTCCTCCTATTGCACGAGCTGCGGATCTGTGGGGACGAAAATGGTTCTTGGTTGTGCCGACTTCCTTGGGCTTTGTTGGCAGTATTATCGTTTCCAGAGCATCATCCATGCAAATGGCGATAGTCGGCTTTGTGGTAGGCGGCGCCTCGTTCGGTGCTCAGCCACTTGTCCACGCTGTCGCCTCGGAGACCATGCCCCGCAAATACCGGTCTTTTGCTCAAGGTGCCTGCAACGCTGCCATTGCTTGTGGATCTCTCTTCAGCTTGCTTGTCGGTGGAGCGATAACGAACAACAACCCTGAAGGATTCCGGACCTACTGGTATATCTGTGCGGCGATATATGCGCTGTCGACCCTCATGTTAGCGACCCTCTACAACCCGCCGCCCAGAGAGTTGCAACTGTCCTTGACCCTCGGCGAGAAGATCCGCACCCTGGACTGGATCGGATTCTTCTTGTACATCGCAGGCCTGGTACTCTTCTGTCTGGGTCTCTCATACTCTCAGAATCCATTCAGCTGGCCCGATGCCCACATCCTGGCTGCTTTCCTCATCGGAGTGGTTTTCATACTCATTCTCATCGGCTACGAGTGGAAGATCAAGAAGGACGGACTTTTTCATCATGGACTCTTCCAGAACCGGAACTTTCCCATTGCCTTGGTGGCGGTCTTTATCGAGGGGTACGTCTTCATGTCGGCCAACATTTACTTCCCGTATGCCATGGAGATTGTCGTCACGGGAATTTCATCATTCAGGGTATTGGTTTGTTATTCGATTGCCTTCATCTGCCTCTTGGCCATGTCTTTCCTCATTGGAGGTTACATTTATCGGACCAAGACTGTTCGACCTACAGCCATATTCTCCAATGTAGCATTTCTGATCTACGCCGCTCTTATGGCTTCAGTCACCGCCAGCACATCTGAGTCTCACTTCTGGGGCTATGTCACATTTTATGGCTCTGGTCTAGGATGTGGTGTCATCACGCTTTACACGACCGCGCAGCTCTCAACTCCACCAGAGCTTATTGCCGTCACGTCAGGTCTTATGGGCTCTATCAGAAGTACAGGTGGCTCCGTCGCTGTTGCCATCTACGGCGCTCTGTTTAGTCAGGGACTCTCGAAGAACCTTTTCCCGAAGGTGGCTAACGCCGTCATCCCCTTGGGTGTTTCCGAGGAGACCGTCGGTCCTCTCATTGCCGATCTGAGCGCTGGTGCAACCGAAGCTGCACTGAAGCTGCCCGGCGTCACTCTCCAGGCTTTGGAGGCGGCAGGCGCAGCTCTGAAGTCTGCCTATGTGATCGGCTTCCGTGATGTTTACATTTGTGCTTGCGCATTTGCAGCCCTTGGTGTTGCGGGTAAGCTTCCCCGATTTCCCTTGTTGGCTGTTACACCTTGACTAACACGCAACAGCTACGATCTTCCTGAAAGATCCAAAGCAAGAATTCAATGCCAAGATCGATGCACCTCTTGATCGCATCGAGGTAAAGACTGTCGAAGCGGAAATGGCTGGAGAGGCGAAACATGTGGAGGCAACTACTCTTGAAGCATAGACTGAAGTGATGGAGATGCTGAGTCAAGACTGCTCTTTTTTGTACATGATGTGTCATTAGTCTTCAGCCATATTGTATTCAGACAAGACTGGCTCTGCCTGAATGCAGGGAGCTCGTTAGCTTCACTAAGGCCTGGTCACTCGTTGTCGATCCGGAGCCCTCATGTAATTTCATGACGCTAGGCATTGTCGCGTGAAAGGCCACTAGCTCTATCAGTATAGTCTCAGTCCTTCTGCTGTGGGAAGACCACATGCTCAAGGCTGCCGGAAGCTGGAGCTATATGCTAGGTGCGCTCTCCGTCAAAACATGCCTACAGACGAACGTCTCCCTGGGAACCGCCTTGCCGTCTCCTTCCCAGCCAGGCATCAAAATTCCGCTCGGCGTCAGCTAGAGAATCAAACCCCAGCAAGCTCTTTTGGTACGGCGCGTCCCCCCAGTTGAAATTGCACGGGCCTTCCCAATTCGATGCAGGAAGCTCAGCCAGCTCCTGGTCTCGCCTGATCTGCTCATTTCCATCGGACAAGTGGTAGTAATGGCGTGTGTCCAAGGCCCCAGCCACGTTGACCTCTGTCCTCTTCTTCCGCAGATCCTCGTACAATCGTAGAACGTCCGTCAACTGTGCATACCTCTCTTCAGGGTCCGAGGCTATACCGCTATTCTGCAATTTGGATAGGAGCAGTCCGAGAATGGCACCGTCCTGGTAGATCAGTATCCCCTATGAGATGCGACAATATCGAGAGCACTTACTTCCACAGCCATCGCAGCTCCTTGGCCCTGATATGGCAAAGTAGGGTGAGAAGCGTCACCGAGCAGTGCAACTGTGCCCTGTGTCTTGCGATCAGCCTAAGGGGCCTCCGTTTCGGCGTCTCGAAACGTACCTTTGTCCATTGATCAAGCTCCTGGAAATGAAGAAGCTTCCACTTTAGGGCAGACTTGAGGCACGAGATGATCAGGTTCAAGCTATAAGGTCAGTTGCAACGACAAAAGATGTACACGGGGGAAATATCATACGCAGGATCCCACCCTTCGAAGTTGGCGGCCATTTCATCCAGATTTCCTTGTGCAGTACGCATTCCCGGCGGAAGATCGTCAGCAACACTGTGACCTTCGTAAGCTTACCATTCGACCACGGTGACCGATAACTCACAGCAAGACCAGGTTGTACTCTGTCTTGTCTCTCAAGGGGTAGAACACTGCATGCCTGTTCGAACCCAGCCAGACTTGCACGTTTGCGGCTTCCATTATCTCGTCGACTCTTTTGTTCTTGAATGCCTTGAGTTGTTCTCGAGTGAATGTTCCCCGATATGCAAGGTCACCAGTTTCTAGTGGCGGCTTGGGGAAGCCCAGGACGTACTCGCGCAACCCAGACCAGAGTCCATCGGCGCCCACGACGACGTCTGCCGTTATAGGATCTTTGCTCTTTATCAGAACAATCTGCTTTCCTGAAGATTCTCCAGTACCCTCCTCGACGCCAACAACGTCTGCGTCAAGAAGAACCTGAGCCCCGTTCTTGCGAGCAGAACCCAACAAAACATTCTGGTAGTCTCCTCTATGAATGGCTCTGCTTCTGTCAGGCTCTGCTATGGGGGTGAGAACGTGTTATTGCACACTTACAACCATTCTGCCCCATACTCAGTCTCCATTCTATCTCCCATCGGCTTTTCAGCAAGGACACGCCCATCCTCGTATCGTCGTAAGGTGAAGCCTTCCACAGAATATGCTTGGGCTTTCTTCAATTCTTCGACCAGGCCGAGATGTTTGACGATCCGACAGGCATTCGGAGGGATGTGAATACCGGCTCCGATAGCCAGGATCTCTGGGGCTCGCTCAAGGACCGTAACCTCCAGTGGTGGATTTGATCGTCGACATGCGATTGCGCAAGCGAGACCACCAATTCCAGCTCCTACGACGACAACGTGGACCGGATAAAGCGCCTGTTTCTGGAGCATGCGGTTAGTAATCTTTCCGCAAGACGCTGAGTCCGGTGCTCTTACGAGGCTTTCTGGGCTATAGGATCCCATCTGATACAGACTTTTCTATATAACCTTGAGGCGGTTGAAACAGTATCCGTGCTCTCTTGCGACTTCCTTTGTCTCAACAACTTTCTTGGGGTCGAACTCGGATATGTGATGACTGCCACAGCCTTTCCTCCCAGGAACCCTTAACGAGGATGGCTATAAAATGGTCACCCATACTGTCCATGTCACATGCGGAAGGCCGTTGCGCGAGCACTGGACGAGGAGACGATGTCTCGTTCCGTGGCCGCATTCCGTTGAGCTTTTTCCAGCCAAGAGTACTCCATTCGCTAGTGGGTTGCTATACGAAGGTTCCCCGACACGCAACCTGGTCGGATAAGGCTGCCTTGCTCCTGGCCCCCGCCTGATGTTGGGGGACCCCGCTAATGCCTGCTTTATGTGCGGAGTTCACGGAGACTTGTTGTTACGCCGAGGACCCGGAACGAACATTCTTATTACTACCGTTCCTTTTACCCCAGACCGCCTTCCGCAGAAACACTTTATTCCACAGCAACAATGCTTGGGGCAAGCGCTGAACAGTCACCTTCCTCTGGACGTTCCGAAAGCAGAAGTAGTCAGTTTTCTGCACCCAGACGCTCTCGCGCCAAACACCCCGGCGCCCGGAAGAGGGCGGTCTATGTGGAGGAGGCATGCGTATCTTGCAAAAGCCGAAAGATTCGCTGTGACGGTAGACTGCCCTGCACGCCATGCGACCGGCGGTCATTTGATTGTCGATATGCCAAAAGTCATGATCAGGATCCACGTGGCGTCAATGGGCAGTCGAGCGCAACATCAGAACGCCGGAATCCGAAATCTTCAAGCCAAGTGTGAGGTATTCATCCACGGCCAATGACGCTCTTCCTAATTTGTCGACAGTGGGCTCTCCGAGCTAATAGGCATTGTTACTCAGCTGCAGAGGAAGATTGCTGTCCTTGAACAGCAGCAGCATGAGTCGGCCAGCGAGGAAACCACCGAACAACACTTCGTTGAAGACGGGAGTGGACCCAGTCAGAACAATCAAAGCATCATTCAAATGCCATCGCCTGTTTTTGCAGGTCCTACCAGCGCAGATTTCAGCTTCCGCGTTGCCCAAATTTTTCTTCAGCAAGAGAGTGGCACTCAGCCAGAAAGATCATGGGGAAATGCAGAGTTGGCAGCATCAGTCAGCTCTAATGACGATGGAGACAACTCTGCACAACTGCCACTCACGGCAGTCTCGTCATCTTTACATGGGCTGAAACTGCAAGATACCCTTCGACTGATTCAAATTTACCACGAATCGGTGGAAATGTTGCATCCGCTGGTAGATACAGAGTCCTTACAGCGGATGGCCACCTCGCTCTTCGCGGTTGAGAGCCATACTGCATCCACTGAATTGTCAGCAGCCATAGATATTGCGCATCTGAAGATGGCTATTTCAATCGGCTTGCTCGCCGAAGGCGGAGGTAGCAGCGCTGTAGCCAGAAAAATCCACAACGATCTGATCCCTGTCATCACCAACCATATAGTAGGAAGTACTTTCACCTTGGGAGGCCAAATCCTTTTCCTTCTCACAGTGAGTGTGTCCGAGTGGCTCTCGACTTGGCTTCGAAGCTAACGAACAAGGCATTCTATCATCTATTTCAGGACGATTCTCGCCTCGCCTCTCGTTATGTGGTCGTTGCGTCACGCATAATGGTCGAATCTGGGTTACACTTGAAAGACATACGCCGTCAATACTTTCCTTCAGAACCTGAACACGCAAGAGTACTTGTTGTACTTTGCACCTGCATCTACCTCGATCGTCAACTGAACTTCAACGCCGGTCTGCCTTTAAGTCTGAAGGACACTGAGATTGACATCCCTGAAATGGTATGTTGCCTTGGATTGACCCCGGAAATGCTATACTTACAAGGTGATCGAAGGATACGATGCCTCCATATTTGAAAGCAATGACCACTTACATGAGGATGGGTCCAAGAGCTTGGGCTGCTGTGACAGATGAGCGTGGCCAACTAAAAGGCAGGATCAACAATGAAGATTACGAATTCGTAAACTGGCAAGTATCCCGCTGGGAGGAGAGTCTACCCAGGGAACTTCGCATCCGACGAGACAGCCCCGTGGTCGACCAGATCGACCCTCAAGCGCCGCTGGATCGAGGCCCTCTGCTGCTACAATTCGTGCTGTACTTGCGTGCGAATCAGTTCAGGATTGTCATTATGCGACCGCTGTTATTTTCCACGCAAACATTCAACACAAACGTTGCACAGGTGAAGGATATGACTCGGCTGGCAAACGATACCATCGAGATGATAGTCACAGCAGACGGGACATACGGGTTGTACGCTACCCAGCAGCCACTTTTCAACCTCTTTCTGTCATCCGCACTATCTACACTTCTCCTTATCTACGTTCACGGTTCTCCGGCTCATGGGCCGGCGCCAGATCTCGACTGTCTCCCTGCAATGGACAAGACCGTGCAACAAGGGATAGAAAAGGGTCTGAAACTGCTGCGAGAATACTCGCTGTCGCGCTCATCGCAGCGCCTGTCTAAGAAAATCGCCAGCTTATTACAACGCCTCGGGTTCTCGTTATCAGGGTTTGACAAGCCTACCAGAATCAGAGACACGCATTTTGATCCCTTGCTGGGAGACAATCGTGTCGTGATGAACTCTGAACAGCCGTCACAAGACATATGCCCTCCACAGGACTTTTCTGGCTGGAATTGGACCAGTGTAACTGGGTACGATGGCGTGACCAGTGGTGGCCCATTTCAATATCCGGGCTCCAACAATCATGGTTTCTCGGCTCTTGCGCCCGCGGATCTGAATCAGCTGCCTTTCTCGCAAGGAGCAAACCAGTTCAACAGCGATATACTCCTGAGCTTCATGAATGATTTTTCGAATTGACAGCACGGTGGTGGCGGCGGCCACTGCGAAAAAGTGGCATTGCCTGACTGTTGGCGCTCTTCAGCCTCGACTGAATAGAACCATGTAATGTTCACTGGGAGATTTACGTGTACAAGGATTGACCTTAAATTTATGATCCACTGACACTCAGAAGGCTATCAGGGCGATCACTCTAGGGCTCGCGATTGCTGGGGGGCACCCACTGCCATCAATGTTCTTCGGTTGTAGATACTCTTCGCCAAATGCTGCCACCGTTTCGGGAAGAGGCTCGCATCTCACGTAGACACCTAGTCTGCGACCTCTCGTGAGCGCAGCGTAACATTCAGTCCTGTCTGGTGGACAAAAACACTGTGCACATCAGCTTCTCGAGTAGAAGTCTTGGTGGGACATAGCTACTTACTAGCAAACTTCTTGCCAGCCAGTCTCCGCGTCAGCGAATGCGACTACGAAATTCCGCAGAAGAGTTGCGAGCACCTGGTAATAGATAAGCGTCTGTCCATCTTCAGAGTCGAAAGGATGGTGTGCCTACTTTGGACATCTCCATCCAGCTGATGTCTGTCGCAGCCCTCGTCAGCCAATCTTGGTCTTCTCATGAGGTCGGTCGGTCAGCTCGGACTTACTTTTGCCAATGCACAGCCTTGAAGCGCCGCCGAACGCAAGATACCCGGACCCTGTGTGGTGAAAAGGTCAGGCAACAACTCACGCCCCGGAAGAATCGTACGTACAAAGATCGTACTTGTCTCCATCTTCGAGCCATCTTTCTGGACGGAACTTCTTCGCATCAGGTCCGTAGATGCCTTCAGATCGGCCTAGAACATAGGGGCTTGTTCCTGTTATGGTCTGGACCTGGTTAGTAGATAAAAGGAACGAGGACAGACTAGACATACGCCACTCGGAATGTGATACTCCCCTATCTGAATCCCGTCCCTAGGGACTACTCGCTGCATACTGTGGCCTACAATGGAGTGTATACGTAGAGCCTCGTTCATGACAGCCTGGAGATATGGCATTTTGTTAGCCTGCTCATATGTTACGACAGTATCGCAGGGTATTCCCCTCGTTTCCTCATCGATCTCGGTGACAAGCTTCTTCAGACAGTGAGGGTTCTTGAGGAGGTAGTATATCATCGAACGAAGAGATATAGCCGTGGTGTCGCTGCCTGCGGCGATGTTGCTGGCGGTCATGGAAACAAGAGCAGCCTCATCGAACTCGAGGGGCTTGGCCTTGTTGATCTCGACAAATCTCCCCAGCATATCACGGTGGTCACTTCCACGTAGGATCCGTGAGTGGACTTGGTCCATAGCGAACTGGCGAAGGCTGCCGTTGCGCGCAGTCAACGCCAGGCGATTGCCGATGACTGGCCGTAAGCGCTGGTGTATCTTGTAGACCCAAGGCACCTGACCCACCCAAGACGTGGACCTTAGGACCTTTTTGATCTGCTTCAATGCTTCAGACTCCCTTGCTGCATCCATCAGGCCAAATCGCTGTGAGAAGGTCACTTCACCAATGACATCTGGATTTGCGTTAGCTTGTCGCCGTGGGCTACTATGGATGGAGTATACCGAAGGCGAAAAGCTGGAGCCATAGTCCAAAGTCTATGCGTTGACCCTGGACATCGTGCAAGGTTGTCATGAAATAGGCAATGGCGCTGTCCATGTACGGTTCCAGCTCCATTAACGAACTGGTGGCATAGGCATTGTTCACGAGCCGGCGGTGATTCCGGTGGATAATGATGTCTCTCTCGGCGAACAGGTCGAACTTCCGCTCGCCTTGTTGAGGGAGATACCACTCGCTCTTTCGAAATTGAGAACCAGCGCCTGAAAAGGTGAACATCAACACGGGTGTTCATTCCAATTTTATTGAAGAAGCTCACCGTATATCTTCTTGACCGCCTCTGGAGAGATGGTGACGACTTCGTTGGGCCCGATACGTACGACATCTCCATATTGCTCATGCAGGCTTGTCAAGAGCTCGTGAAAGTCTCCTTTCCACCCATGGTATGCGAGCCACCATCTACTAAACCTGGCGATGAACGGACCTGGCACTTTGGCGAGTGGTGACGAGAGATGCAGATAAAGCGAACGACATAGCAGACCGACCACGGCGGCCAGGAACAGCCACGTCGTGAGTGGGAAGCCCATTGTCAGCGCAAGCATGTTGTGGTGGGCAAACGAGTCACCTCCTGAATGCCGCATCTTGCTCGGGCCAGACTCGAGCTGTTGCTTTAAAGCACTTCTTTTGAAGACGAGGCAAGATGGGTACTCCTTTCAATCTGCACTGCAGCCTTCTGTGAACAATGCCGTATACCCGACAGCACTTCCTCATTCCGATGCACCCCGGGAATGCTCCGTGCACCACATGCACTGTTGAAACTGCGGTGCACAATCTGCATTTGCATAACTAGCAATTAAGACTTACCTTTGAACACGGGAACTGGGTATTTACCCCAGATCCACACGTCCGAAGTGACCGTGGCATCGACTTAGCTTGGGGAGTAGAAGCCATGGTGGTTTGGGGAAGGCGCAAGGGTTGTTGTCAAACAGTGTGAATAATATGATACATTGATCGCTCTGTCCCCCTACAACTATCTGTGCATCTACCACGTACTTATAGGCCTATACGGCATCATTTTGCCTACCTGGTCAGGAGAACCTCGTCGACGCCTCCAAGGGATAAGTGTAACACCATACAAGGTTGAAACCGTGGTGCGGAGCGCCACCAATCCTGCGTGCTGTCTGACAGTTGTGTACTTGCCCTCCCTTGCCAAGCTGCACATGTTCAGGCTCCGGATGCGGTGGATGCACCTTGCTTGAGGTCCTGTGCTTGAAACCAGTAGTCACCGCTCTCACCTGTGCAAGTGCTGCTCGGACGGCAAGATTCATTTCGACTCTTGGAAACGCAGTGCTACCGATTCAACAGCAGTGACAAAGGTCGACCGCCTTGCAGACTAAATTAATCATCTGGTTCAAAGGAAGAATGAAAGTATGAATCAACGACCTCCAAAAACTCTCTACCCCTCCCTCCCACAGACCTCCCATGCACTACCACCACCCCAATCCCTCCGGAGCCCGGAGCATTGGCCGGAGCTTCGGCAAAAACCTGGAAATTCAAAGCTCCAAACCCTGGGAACGATGAACGTCCACACCTGGACAATGCCAATCAGCAGGTCAGTGGCTCAAGCCTAGTTTAAATCCAGGAGGTCGACCAATCGCAAAGATCGAAAAGGTGATTTGTACGGAGACAGTAGCGATAGTCGCACATCCTTGGTTTGAGGGCCATAGCGTGCGCCAACCATGCCGGCACCCCAGAAGTGAACCCCAGATTCACACGCGAGGACACATACCCCAATGTTTTCCCACCAGCGTCTGCCATTTGTCCTCCATCTTGCATGAGGCTCACTGCGTGGCTAGGCCGCGCGAAACGCCTCTGCAAATCAAACAGACTTGGCTCCAAGTCGACTTCCGAAGGAAGGCACCAATCTTGCAGACAGTACCATATTAACACCCAAATTGGGTCGTGGCGAGAACCCTGATACAGCGGGAAACTCCCCGAGCTTTGTCAGACTCGACCATGCAGGAACCACAGAACGATGCTGCGCAAGCCCCTGTGCCACCAAAAAGGGCTACTGCTTGCGATTTCTGCAGGACGAAGAAAATACGTTGTGTTGGCGACGATCCGTGCAGCAATTGCATCGAGCATAGAGTTGAGTGTGTGTTCAGCCCACGACAGCGACGGCAGAAAAGAAGTCGCGAAGGTTTGCCTTCATTGGCACGTAGGCTGGCTCGTTTCAAGGACCTGTTGGAAGCGGCAAGGACATCTACCGACGATTACAAGCAGCTCTCGGACATTCTCGGCGCGAAAACAAGAGATCATCCTCTGCACTCAACACTGGGCATCGATCAGCCACAACAAAGTGCTCCCGAGATGAGTCAACAACAACTCCAATCTACACTCGATGTCGGCGAGCGCCATATAGTCTCCGGTGAAGCAGTCGAGTCCTATCAGCATTACGTAGAACCGCCACCACGGAGCCAATTGCCACGTCCTGTGATCGAGACGCCATCACACATTAGCACCAACGAGGCGCCGTGGGAACGCCTGGAGAGCCCCAACCTATCAACATCCATGGATGATCGTGAAGACGTGGGCGGCTATCACACGTTTCAAGACGACATCGTCTATTGGGGTCGAAGTAGCATGGCAATCTGCTCACAAGCAGGTATAGCCTGGGTCAAGGACAGGGTGAAACAGCCTGATTTCAAACCAACTGCGAACCGGTTCACTCAGGATGTCGCACGACGACTAAAGATGGAGAAGAAGCCAGCCAAGGCGCGGAAAGAGGAACCGGGTCTTGAGGACGCCCTCAAATTCACCCAGGCATATTTTGAAGAAGCCACGGAGGCCGCCCTTGGGATAGTGAGACGCTCGTGCTTTGAGACCAGGCTCCGGTCATCCTATCTCAGTTCAACAAGCGACGATGACCCGTCATGGTACGCCCTGCGCAATGTCATTTTTGCATCGGGATGTCGATTGATGCGATCTCGTGATAAAGGATATACCGAGGCCCACCAAGAGTCATGGTCTTATTTCGAGAATGCACTCTCCGTGCATGCCGAGTTGCTCTACTTTCGCACCTCGGTAGTGGGCGTACAGGCTTTGACTCTGATGGCCTACTTTTCCGAGGCGGTTTCCTGCCGAATGTTGCAGTATATGCTCGTTGCCAATGCATATCGTCTTGCATGCGGGCAAGGATTGCATGTACAACCTGTGCCTTCCTGGAATCTATCGGAGGAAGAGAAGTCTTTGCGACAATGCGTATTTTGGGCCATCTACTGCCTCGATAAACAAATCGCCTGTCGCTCCGGGCGTCCTGGTTTAATTGATGACGAAGAAATCAACTGCCAGCTTCCAACATCTGGACGATCAGATGACTCAGTCAATGTTAGGTACACGCAAGCGTGCATAGAAATCAACCATCTTGCCTCAAGAATCCGGAAAATGCTCTTCACGGCATCCGCGTGGCGCCAGGCGCCGGAAAATCTGGTCAACAACGTTACGATGCTTCAAATGAAGCTCGATGCACTTCGAGCCAACCTGAAAGCTCAATGCCAGATCGACCTTCCGTTGAAGATCACGAAACCACCAGCCGGCCTCGATATGCAGCAAGCTTTATCGATACAGTTTCTTTACTACAACTTGGTATGGGATATACATACAACTCTGGCACATCCGTGGTTCCGCGGTACCGGACTTGATCGACATCCAGATTTTCAGCTCCAGATCGCTCAGTCTTGCTCGATTGTAGCAGAGACATCAAGGGCAGCGATCCTTGATTGCAGGTTCATTCAGCTCGATGCGAGTTGTCCAATGCCGTAAGTAGATGCCCGGCTGTTTGACAAGGATCATGGACTGACACATTCTAGGGTTGCATACTATACTCCTTTGTATGCCGTTATCAACGTCTTCATCAACATCCTTTCCGATCCTCCTTCCGCTTCGGCCCAGTCGGACCTCCGTTTAATGGACGTCGCCACTGGTTATTTCGCTCGTCTGGAATACGTCACAAACTCACAATGGTCAGTACCGCTCGTCAAGGATATTGCGACAATCGCCAGAAAAGCTGCAGAGGGATACAGTGGGCACACTGGCCAAATCGTGGAGCAGGATCGGAGCAGATCGGAAATGGATCATGCACTTTCGAGCCTAACCCCAGTCTGCGAGCCGGTGACGGAGGAAAATACTGACCAAGTAAGGCGAAAAGTACTGCTTTAATGAAAACGATTGACGCTAACATTCTGCTACTAGTGGCTCGAGTCCAATCTGCCTGATGACCTGAATCTGGACACGTGGGGAATTTGGCAACCAGGTTCGGGTGGAGAGAGTTATATGACAGATCTCTGCCCTTGGAATTCTTGAGAACAATATTCAGCTCGCACTCGGGCTTGAAAAAGCTCCTCCGAGAGCACCTACGTACGCCCGTCATTCAATGTCTGTCCCCAAGGGGTTCGGAGTGACCAGAAGGCTGGTCCAAGACTCAACACGAATGAGAGGGCCTGTGGGGGCCTGTGGCAGGCTCGTTCTGCTGTATCGCACAAGAGCCAGGCATGTGACTTGGTGGATTACCATATGGGTCCGGCAAATCCAGCACTCTTCCCGATCACTTACTCACTTCAGGTGCTTCTCGTTGACCAACACATATCTGTACCTAGCCTTTCCAGCATCCATATCCACCACAGCCTTGTTGGCCTCTGACATGGGCACATTCACGTTCCACGTGTGGACACCCTTCTCGACGAACAACTTCAACATGTCCTTGATCTCTTGTGGCGAACCAATCAAACTTCCGCCAATGGACACCCGCTTGGAGATCAATTGAAACATATTAATCGGAGGCACAACATCCTCTGGTGCGCCCACCTGGACGAACTTGCCTTTCAGTCGGAGAAGCTGGAGGTACTGTTGCAGGGGCATCTTGGGCGATGAAACTGTGCGATCGGTGTTAGCTAAAGCCCTTCAGTTGCGATCACTCTTTACTTACCAGTCGATACAACGAGATCGAGCGATCCGGCATGTTTGGTTGCCCAATCCTCCTCCTCATCTGTGGCGATAAATCCAGTGGCACCCATCTTCAAAGCGTCTTCCTTCTTCGACGACGATCGCGAGATCGCAATGATCTCAGTGCAGCCCAAAGCCTTGGCACCCATGATGCCGAAATGTCCAAGCCCACCGACGCCGATGATACCGACTTTCTTGCCTGGTCCAGCGCCGTTCTGTGTCAAGGGGCTGAACGCAGTGATTGCACCACACAGCATAGGTGCGGCCTCATCTGAAGGAAGTCCGTCGGGAATGGGAATGACAAGGTCAGACTGTCCACGCCAGTAGTCGGCATAACCACCATACGACTTTGCTCCGCTTGGCCACTTGTCGTTGTATGTCTGAACCATGTGGGGGCAATGTTGTTGGAGGCCGTCGGCGCAAGCTTCGCAATCGCCCTTCTGGTTCATACAGGCGCCAGACTGGGCGCCGACGCCAACTCTGTCACCAACTTTGATGCCCTTGACCTTGGATCCCACCTTGACGGCATGGCCAACGATCTCATGTCCCACGCATGCTGGGTAATTTGTGGGAGCCCAGCCAGAGCGCAAAGTATGGATATCCGAACCACAAACACCGCAATGTGTGATCTTGATGTCGACATCATTCTCATCAAACTCCTTCGGTTCGTACTCCTTCCATACCATTTTACCCTTGACGCAGTCAGGGTCGAGGCCCAACCATCCTTGGAACTTGTAATCTGTCGACATGGTGGTGTTGTTGGAGTGTGTAAGTTATGAGAGGCAGCAACAGGTATGCGACAAAGGTCTTTTGGATTGAGAAGAAATTGCGACAATGACGTGGCGAACAATGCACAATATATATCCTTTACACTAACATCACGACGGACTTACCAGACAACAATCTCGAAAGTCCACGTATGACTTCATGGGTACTGGATATCATCCATAACAGTCGGTAGTCGACGTCGACCCAGAATATTCGACGCGCAAAACCAATGGCCCACTTGCGGCCGCACCGCTTCTTTGTGTGAAATGTATGATCCGGGTTCAAGGTCACTGCCAGAGATTGTTGCGGAAGAATGGATCCTCGCAAAGCTAACCAGCCAGCCAGCTTCGACGTCTGTCCTCAACGTGGTCGATCTTTTCGTTGTTACAAATCATGCTGTGGATCTCAAGATATCAGCAGTCCGAGCTTGCGTTGGGGGCCCACGAGTGACGGGGAGCCATCTCAAAATTTTTCGAGATAAGGAATGCCCATGTTGGCGTCGTGGCGTCATGTATCAAATATGAAAGATGTGGAACTTCACATGTTACCAACTTAGCAGCAGAAATATTTAGCCGCTCTTGGCAGACTTTAAGCTGGGAAGCGGCTACTAGTTAGTATCTCAGATACTGTCAGAGGCCGAACAAGTCTGGCGATTGTACGGAGTACGGAGGTGTGGAATGCCAGGACATCTTAACATCTAAAGGTGACATACTGTGACTTAAAATCACTTTTCGTCGCCACACCTCTACTCGATAAAATTGAGGCGAAGCACTCAAGCTATTAGAGGTCATATCTCCGAGATATCAACGACATGACAGGCTCTATTGCGTCACTACAAGGCTGTACGTGCGGATATTGGATTTCCGCTAGACTTTTCACGGATTTCCCATCCATCTTGCATGAAGATCCATCTCCCGAAAACCTGACTTAGTGTTAATGTAAGCAACCACGAATGAGTGGGCACTGGACACCAGTACCTGGCAGCACAGCGGATAGATATATGCGCTTGTTTGCACCGATAGGTACCAACGCTTGTTCTAGTTCTACTTTTCGTAGTGGTAACCCCTCGAGCCGCGCTCATTTCCGACCTTTTTCGCGTTGTCTTTTATTAATCAGCGCACGACTACGGACGAGCTTTGATTGCAGTGCATCCGCCCCCCAGGGAGGATTCATCGAACCTCCCAAGGAAAATAGCTGGCCGTGGAGCGAAACCATGACCTGCCCGCCCGATGCTGGAGGGCGGCCGCCTGACCCGCACCCGGACTAGAGAATCATTATGATATACAGTTGAACAGTTCTCCATGAGGAGATCAACCACACATTGGTGGAAGTGGTAATAACCACAAGTGGTCTCTATGGCGAGAACCAGTGTACTGTACCAGCCGCAGACATGAGGACGTTGGGGCCGTCGACGACTCGACGTAGAACTGTGGTGGAGAATCCCTTTACACAGCGCATACCCTAGAACGCGTTTCACGAAAGGAAAAGCGCTACAGAACTGGTACCGTAGAGTAAACACGAGCACGTAATCTGCTCTGACTTTCATTATACAAGTCCGACCTCCTGAAGAGGCCGGAACCCCGAAACCACATCTCTGGCCTTTCGTTTCCGTATGTACAAATAACATCATACTCAATCCGTCAATCGTTTATCTTTACCATTCCCCATGCCATGCGTGGAACGCCCACGGAAAGCAAAGAGCCCAATGCGAAGAATCGCGCCATCCCATTTTTAGACACCAAGGAGAAGAAACAGTATTCCACCATGCTGACAAAAACAACCCCACAAACATTCAACCCCAACGATCATCTCCGGTAGCTTGTCTTCGAGCTGTCGTCCGCCGAGCGACGGTCACTTCGACCTGCGATTGACCCTGCCCCGGACCCTGCCGAGAACTCGGACGGACTCCGGCCCCAGTACTGCTCAAACTAGCGCTATGACCGTGTCGAGCTTCTCTGCGGACTCTTGCTTCTTGGACTGGAGTCAGAGCAGCAGGTGTGCTACCTCCACTGCTATTGTTTTGATGTGGTCGCTTTGACGACTCCTTTTCAATCGAGCTGGCTGTTGGTGCCCTTGCCGAACTGATCATGTTCTCGCGAGTACTTTGTCTCGACAGCCGATGTTGACCACTCACTGTACTACCCACAGTCGATTGACGTGGTAAACGACTCTTGTTGATCGTCATCTCCGTAACTGTACTGGCAGTGTTCGCTCGCGTCAGGGTCGGCATGGCAAATGCTGGCGAATTGTCCCGAACATATGACGACCCATCCCGACTGGCCGGCCGTATCGCGCTTGTTCCATTGACATAGACACCATTGCGCTGGCGTCGAGGCGTTTGAGCCACTGGCGGATCGTACATGCTCATACTTGCTCGTTCAGAACGACTCAGTTGAGGGGAAGCAGGCATATTCATCTGACGATCAAGCAGGTGAGGTGGAGTGGTGGAGCTAGTTCGTCGTTGGAAACCTGGTTTACGTCGACCGCCACTCGATGCTGAATTCCCGCCCTGACCACTCTTGATACTGGCATTATCACTCTCTTCACGCGCACGAATCAGGTCGCCTGCCATGCTGCGAACCAAGACAGCCGAATCCGAGTATGAAAGTTCCCGGACCACGTCGGTGAGGTCATATTGATCAAGAAGGAAGCCACCTTCTTCAGTTGAGTCGCAGATACTGCCGATGATACGGAGTAAGTTGAGGCGGATAGCCGGCTTGTTGTGGCCAAGTTTCTGACCCAAAGTCCCAAACAGTTCAGGACTTCTCGCCATGGAAGCAGCAAGTGGTGGGGACAGTCTTAGCAACTTCTGTAAAGGTTCCAGGAGGTTCTCAAAGGAGGTTGATTTACTGCTAGTCAGGGCTGAAATGATAGCTGAGGTGAAATTCTGGTTTTCCAGAAGTTGGTCCTCAACACGAGCAGTCTCTTCCTGAAGCCAGGTGAAGATCGCATCGAGTGCGGTCACCTGCCAGTATGGATCTGACAGCAAGGAGACATAGAAGCCCAGGCCCTTGTTTTGCCAGAGCTCTCGTCGAGCTGCGCGCGTTGAGTGGGCCATGTCGCACAAGATTGGTAACGCAAACTCTTTCACAGGAGTTTTCTCTTGTTTGACGATCTTGATGAGGATAGGAATGATGCCGACCAATGCTGCGTCCTCCTGTCGTCGTTTCGACAATCGGCATAGATTGTAGATGGTATTCAAAATCTGATTCGACATCTCCCTAAAATGTGGCTGATTCATGTTGTTGCTGAGCAATTCAGCTAGCACATCGATGGCGTTAGAGTTGTGCAAGGCGTCCAAGGTGTTCGAAAGCATCGACAAGTTCTTGATGAACTTCAACATGGTCACCTGGTGTGATGGTACCATCCGCTTGAGGTTCTTAAGAACTCGATGTAAAACTGTTCTTTCCGCTACCAGCTCTTTGACATAATTCTCAGCCTGTGAGAAAACGTAGAAGATGCTGGCAATCCGCCCTTCACACAAGGCTGCCAACTCTTTCTGATCTCCCGAATCGGAGGGTTCGATCAAAACTCTGTTGAGGACTAGCGACAAAGGCTCTAGTACAGAGTTGCGTGAGAGAATCCTGCAAAAATCGTTCCGTGGAGTCGACCCTTGTAATTCAAACACGCTCCAGATACCGTTGACCCCAATAAGGACCAATTCCCGATCGTCATCATAATCGTCTTCAAGGAAATCGACAAGGATTGTGAGCCCGCCGGCGCTCACGAACATTTGTAAGATGAGGGTAGATGTCTGATACATTTGTCGTACAAAAGCTGCAGCTTCAAGGCGAATCTCCCGAGGGAACTTCTTGGACGCAAACTTGTTGATTTTGGGTATCCCACCAACAAAGCACAGATTCTCCTGAACCTCTTCGTCGTTAAAGATAATGGCGTTGACGATCTTCAACAGATTCAAAACAATATCGAGACGCATGCAGTCCTCTAGAATTTCGAGAATAGGAAGCATACCATGTGCGCTGACAATGACACTTTTGGTTTCCGAAAACAAGTCAAAGAAATTCATGAGGTCTTCCGAAATCTGCAGTAAAGCGTCGTCGTCCTGCAGAATCTTGAGTTGACCCACCAGAGCCTCCACTTCCGTCCTCAGTCGAGCATGTTTGTCCCTGGCTATATTGGACTCAAGATCCAGTTCTGGTAACCCTTCTTCAAGTTGTGCAAACGGGTCATCCTCGTCCTCGGCATCGTGAAGCCAAGATAAGCTTGACATCTTCGAGTTTAGCATGAGTTCGGAGCCATCTTCGCTGTCGGGCTTCTCGAAGATCGAGCCGGGCTGGGCAAAAACATCGGAGAAGTCTTCATCTTCCTCGTTCTCGGCAAACCGTTGAATCTCAATAGACGACCTCGTCCTTCGCACTGCTAGCTTATTCCTGGGTGCAGCGGCCCGCCTGAGACTACCGGCGGTATTCGAAGGTCTCATGCTTTGCATCAGGTCTGTGACGCTTGGGGAATCCAGGATCTTTGATGGTGCTTCATTTTGCAGTCGCATCATCCCAAGCTTGGTATCCAATGCGAGCTCATTACCATTGACAATATCCGAGAAGTCTTCGATCGAATTTTCCCGGTATCGTCGAGTCGGAGGTTCATTAGCCGTGGTCCTCGACGGTGGAGGTTTGCTCTTCGACAGGTTTGTGTTTTGGTGTGCAGACGGCAGGGAAACTTTCCGAGGTGTTGGTGTAGGCTTGCTTTTCGTTTTCGAGGGGGCTTCCGACTTGTGACGAGCATGGGTCTGTTGGGGCTTCTTTTGTGGTGCTGGCCGGACGGTCTTGTAGTTATCCACATCTGGTGCGGAGGAGGCCTTCAGCGTAGAGTCTTTGTCTTGGATAAGAGCTTCATTCTCCTTGCCCATTGCCGAGTCAATGGTTGCGTAAGCTTTCAGCTTATCGGACGATAGCATGCCTCTAAAGTTATCGTAGGGTCTCAAGTGAGGCAGTTCAAAAGTGCGGGGGGATATGGTAGTGGCGAAGTCATTGTCCCAATTGTCGTCGTCCTCTATTGAGCGGAACTTGATCGTGCTATCATCCTTATTGAGCGCCGCAATGGGAGATTTGACTTGACTTCTGAGAGGCCGAAGCAAGTCTCTCGTTGCGGGTGTCGGACTGGCTGTCGAGGCAGCAGAGTCCTTTCGTATTGAGTTGCCATTGGGAGGGGAGTCTTTCAATGCCTCGTTCCATTCTTGCACACTCTTGACAGCCTCAGTATATTCCGTGGCGACCTGTGGTTTCACTGAATCAGTCCTTCGAGCGTTCGCTACCCAAGGATGTTTCAGAAGTTTCTTGGCCGACACCCTCAGATTTGGGTCCTTCTGGAAACATTGCATCAGAAAGTCTAGCACACCTGGCGAAGCGCCCTGTGGCAAAGGAGGGTGGTCGTCATTGACGATGCGAAACAGTGCCGGCATGGGTTGGAGTTGATGGTACGGAGGTTTACCATCCAGCAGCTCGATTACCGTGCAACCTAAACTCCAGATGTCTGATGAGGTGGATGCTCCTGTAAGCTCGATGACCTCTGGGGCCATCCAGTACGGAGTGCCCACGACACTAGACTCATGTAAACCACTGGTACGACTGGCGACACCAAAATCCGCCAGTTTAACTAGACCCTGTTTCGTCGTAAGAATATTGGCGCCCTTGATGTCCCGATGTATGACACCCTGCTCATGTAAGTAGACCAAACCTTGAAGCACCTGGGACATGTAGAGAGCCACCAAGTTCTCCGGAAACCGCCCAAAGTTCTTGGAGATTGAGTGGAGGGACCCATTTTCACAGTATTCCAGAATAATGTTCAAAGTTTCGGGGGTCTTGACGGATCCGTGGTACTTGACGATGTTTGGATGATCGAGATTCTTCAGCAGGTCAATCTCCAGCATGATCACTCTGAGTTCACTTTTGGGCAGGTCTGCCAATTTGATCTGCTTCACTGCCACCGTTTCGCCAGTACCCCAATTTAAGGCTCGGTATACTGAACCGAAAGCGCCCTTCCCCAGGCAATCGCCTAATTGGTAGTCTTTCAACTCTGCTACATCTTGTGCCTTGGTCCTTTCTTCTCTTTTGGTGGGGCTGCCAGGTGCTTTGGTTGCTCTGATCCTGGAGCCCATCTCCTCGATCGAAACCGTGGAGGAAGTATCATCGTGAGGATCGTTGGTGCGAGAGGGCATGTTGAAGGTTGGCAAGGTGAAGAGTTATGGGTTTCGACAGGACCTTGGACTTTTTCATCATATGCTAGCTTTAGCTGCAGTCCTGTTGCAAATCGCGGCAGGAACCCATTCGCGGTTGGTAGAGGAACCGACGTGAGATACCGCAGGTTGGTTTGCACTGCGACTGTCCTTGCTGCATCAAGGGAGGTCAAGGTGAGTGCCCGGATGGGTAAGACACTTGAAACGCTGCTCAATGGGGCCGGACAGCTTCGACCTTTGTGGCATGAGTAAATGCAGCTTCAAGACATCAAATTCGTCCTGAATCAACAATGTACCGCAGTGACAAGCGCATTGAGAGGCACGGGGATTGGCTTGGCTGCAGTTGTTTTGTGACCGGGCAAATCTCCGGCTATTTCTTACTGTATTGTGTCGGACTACGCGTCAAGCAGCACGCGACAATCCATGTCTTTCATCTACATGAAATGCTACAGATCTGACTGGTGACCTCCCTGCAGGTGCCTTGCTTGACCGCTAATCTGATCGTCTCTGCAGGAGTGGATGTCCAATGCTACATGAATGGATGAAATCAGAAACTTGAGACCAACAGCGACTTGCCATGTGGTGTTGTCAACACAAATGGTCAGCACAGACAAAAACCCCACCATGTCATCCTGAATCCAGCGAAACACACGGACCATGATGCTGAATTTGGCCACGAACAGATGTACTCTATGTCGTGCATAGCCAAAAGCGGCTCACATGGAGGCCCTTGCCGGCAGAACGAAGCTTGACATGAGCATGTACACTGCTAGGCATGAATGAACAGCTGCGGTGGAAAATGCCGGCAGGTCATGGAATTGATGAGAGTCGAATTGATATCGTTGCAGCAAGACCACTTACAATGTGCTCCTTGATCAGCGAGTTCAATCCATCAGCTTATCAAGTCTTCGATCGTGTTGGCATGTTTGGTTGCATCGTGGAGATAAAGATCTAAAGCTTCAGAAGACCTGGAGTTTTCATAGCATAGCCTTGCCTGATGAAACGGCTCACGGTTGATGGCCATGGAAATGAAATCCGTGCGATTCGCCACTGGCAAAGGCTGTGCGACGTAGGTACGTAGCACTCGTACAGGTCCAGACATGCTGAGCAAGGCGAGGAGGCCATGATGACCTGTTCCAGGACGGACTGGCAATCCTTCGATCAGAGAGTAAATTTTCTGGTTTGTCTCCCTCTCAAGATCCCGCGAGGCGTATCATTGATGTCTGTGAGCGTCCAAACACGAAGGTAGCAGATGAGTAGGTCAAAATTGCCAGTACTAACATTGTCTCGGCTGAGGTGTGAACACTAGTTGCGGTCTATTGATATTTCGCCGTACATGAGCGGCAGGAAACTCATCCTCGATTGAGATATGCTGTGGCCGTCTGTCATGCATTGCTTGACGAGAGATGTCTTGCAAACCTCCTGCCAGGCAACGGAGAGATGCCATTCGCCGCCAAGCATTTTACAATGGTTTTGAGGCTAGTGACAATCCAGAGTCCAGATCTAGGCGGCGAGGCCCTTATTTCAGTACTGTAGCAATGTGTGAGGCTGGCGGCTCCCTGATTTTTGGCGTGGCTCACTTCCCCCAGGCTGCTCCTGCCACACTCCCTCCCTCCCCTTTACGATTATCCCTTCCGCGACTTCCCCCAGACCCATCCAGCCTTACACTTTTTTTCATCACCAAACACCAATGCATCAACAATCTCACCTCAATTAAATCATCGGCCGCGCTACTCTTTTCTCTTCGTTTGTCGCGTCTTTTCCTTCGTGGTCACGTTTACGACTCTCCCCTCTTATATCATTGCTTTCAGATTCAGACGCGGCAATTTGCGCGCTGCGACACCATGGGTTTGCCGTAAGTTTGCTCTCCTCATCCATCTTCCGCCCCAGTTGCAGCTTTCCGCGCTTGCGCCTGGACGGCGTTCGGCATCAAATTTATTCCATACCGAACGCGCAATATCCCGTCTATTCGCTAACACAATGCCCTGACTAGTATGTTCCGCGAACCGGAAGAAATCCCTTCAGATCAGCCTGCCGCGAAACTCGAACAGATCGCAGCGACACGACGCTCCACCATCAGACGCGAATCTACCGTACGACCTGGTCGCACATACTCATCCCGATTACTCCTAGAAAGAATACGAGACCACCGCGGTATAGCAGGACATGAGGCGGAACAGAGAAATAGCCCACTTCCTTCACGGATATCTGAGCGCGAAATCAATGATCTAGACGCGGAACTGAATCGTCTTCGCTCGATACGGCGCCAACGCCGCTCGCGGCCACATCAATCGGAACGGGAACTTTCAAACGGTCCAAACCGTGTTCCAGCTCGCCATGAACCGGAACAGCGGCGTAACATGGATCTTGATGCTCTTACGGACGCCGGCATTGAGGTCTTTTTCTCTGATGGGGATGGAAACCTCACGCAGCACCTACCGCGCCCTTCGCGTGAATCAAACCTGAGGTTCGAGGTAGCCGCAAATGCTCAGTCGCAATCAGATCAGCCGCGCCGGACACGATTTTATAGCGCTCGTGCTAGTCGAGGCTCCAGCCCATCCGGAAGGCGCGCTGGCGCAGTTGGGTTGCCATGGTCTGTACGTGCAGGATTTGATGATGGTGACGACAATGGAGGTGGCAATGCGACACTGACCCCGGGTTTCGCGCCTGCTCAAGGTCCCTTCCGTGCCGGCTTAGAAGGCGCCAGCGCTGCACTTCGCGTCATAGATGACTTGATGGATACACCCCCGCCAGAAGGCTTGGAAGCATCCTACCCGCCTCTGCGACGTGTCAACCATATGTCACCGCGCCCTGCTGGTGCATCAACGTCGCGGATGGATGGCCTTGGTGACCGACTTCGCAGCCCAAGTCCCAGTTCCGATGCGCACGAGGAGGAGAACTGGTCCAATCTCCAAGCCACCATGGACCCTGGACGATCAAGTACGGCAACATCATTCATGTCTTCGCGCTCGGATTCGCAGACTGTTTCCAATCGCTCTTCGCAAACTACTGCGACAAGTTTTGGCGAGATTTACGGAGACGATTCATGTGAATTGGACTTGCCTTCAGGTATCACGGAAGAGGATGTGCGGGAGATCCGGGCACGTCATGGTAGACTACGAAGACACTTGCCCCTACCCGACGATCTGTCTCATTCTGCTCGACAACACATACCTGGAGGAAATGAGTGGGTGTCTGAGCTTGAAGTATTTGGTGTCATTCTGGACCGGATGCAGAGAAGAGAAGAGATACCAGATGAATGGTGGGCCGCCGTTGGATTATCACCAGATGTTGTCCGAGGTGGTGGCTCTTGAACAGGAGTTGTGCTGAGATGGTCGTGAACGGAGGTCGAATGCTTGACTGCACCTTCGACTTCCGTTCGCATGTATTGACTTTATAATCTGCAATGGCGGATCTGTGAGCAATAGGACTTGGTGCTTTTTGGCATGTTTGGGCGTGCTGGAAAAGCTATGATGTGTGATTGACAAAAGTCGAGCGCTTGCTGGAAGGCCTGAAACGTGCTTGGGTCAAGAGCACCAAAATATATGTTGGAGTACTATGATTGAGCAGGTGACAGGCATATCGCGGGACCGATATCTTGTCAGCCTACTACTGGATCAATCAACGTACGATGGGTAATGGCGGTATGGCACCAAATGAACAAAAGACTGTTTTGATGCTATCTAGCCGTTTCTTGGTGCACTGTGGTCTTGTGATTCCCTCGCTCATCGGTGGTTCTATGGATTGCAGTTTTGGTTTGGTTTGGTTTGGTTTCTATCCTGCCCCAAAGCATCAGAACCAAGGCTAAGGAGGCTCATGATACTGTCTCGCAGAGAAGATGCAGTCGCTACATTCCGACCCCATCAGCCGCCAACTCAGCAATACTATCCATCCTCATCATCTGCTGGCGTTTGACCTCTTCCGCGTTGGCCTCGTTGTCAGCCTGCGTCTGGCTTCTTTCCAACTCGTTTTCGACTTGCACAACTTCCTCGCTTCGCCAGCTCTCGTCCTCGACACTAGGAATGACTTGATCAACATGTAATCGGTGGTCCAAGATATCCCTTGCATTCCGCATATCAGACTCCTTCGTCCTGGCTAAACTCTCCTCGAACGTCTTGGTAATGCCAGCACCGAAATTGCGTTTCGCCACACGCTGGGTTGCCGTCTCGATGTCCGTCTCCACGAACCACATTTCGTCCATGAGAGCGTGAGCGTCGCGCCATCCCTCTTCGTCTAACGCTGTGTAGAGGCCTTCGAACACAATGATCCTTGCAGTGGGCGGGACAGCAATGTCGTTACTCACCGGGTCCTTTACAGCGTGATCGAAGCTGGGCGCGTAGATGGTCGGTGTCTCGGGCATGATTGGTCTGCGTAGTTTCTCGACTAATTCGAGATACGATTGCGCGTCGAATGTGAAGGCCGCGCCGCGGCGGAATATGGCTTCCTCGGCGTTGGGCAGAGCGGCGAGTTGCTTGCGTGTGAGGTGGTAGCCGTCTAGGGGCACGACGAAGGCGATGTCCGGGCTTGATGGGCCGGATTCGGGACTGTTGGGGAAGAGCGTGTGGCGTGAGTCGTGGTGTTTCTTGTTGAGGGAGTGGACGACACTGGACGCGAGTGTCGTTTTGCCGGAGCCTGGGATGCCGGAGATGGCGATCAATAGGCGCTGGGAGAGGTCGTAGGTTGAGAACTTCTCTGTATGCATGTTAGGAGGGGATGTGCACAGGTCATCCACATGCAGGTGGAGGTGAACGTACCCCATGTGTGCTCGACGAGCTGTTGGACTTGTGAATCCATGACGTGCTGTAGGTAGTATGTTGAGTCGAAGTCCCGAGTGAGCTCTGTGATGGGATGGCTCTAATGGCCTTCAAGATTGGTGCTGGGCTTGTTCGATCTGCCTGCCTAGCAGGTGGTGTGCTTGGACTCTATAAGAGTGCAATGGACGTTCTGTGCCGCCAGCCTCGTCTCACGTTTCCGTTCAGGAACCCTTAACAAAGCAACCGGCGTTCGTCACTGCTATCGTCATAACGGCTAAAGATCAAAAATCAGAGACTGGAGGATGAAAGCGTATGTGTTGGATATGTCCTAATGAAGCTCGAGAATGTGTCATTTGTTTATCTTCGTAAGAGATAACGTTTTTGACCACCTCCTGGTTTCCGACCCCCTCCTGGGGCTAGTCGTGATAAAAAGTGTCAACGGATCGTGCCTTGCATTCCACCACAACAATAGAAAAGTATTGCGATATTAGTATGCGATCGTAGGTCTCGTCAAGGGCTACTAGTGTATACTAATATTGCAATTACTTTCGTAAAGAGTTAAAAGTGCGAAGATAATTTTAAATCGTACTTTTAACAACTTTTTACGAAGATAATAGTAAACGAATCGTACCTTACGTTTTACTATAATAATAAAAAAGTATTGCGATATTAGTATATAAATATAGATCTCGTCGAGAGCTATTAGCGTATACTAATATTATAATTACTTTCGTAAAGAGTTAAAAGTACGAAGATAATTCTAAATCGTACTTTTTCGAGATTTTAAGTATAAAAATTAAAGATCTCGATACTTTATTTCTATAGTCACGTAAATAGATTCTCGAATTAATCGTAAAAAGGTCCTTAAAAGTTCTTAAAAGTCCTTAAAAGTCTATTCAAAATATAGTTCTTATTTTTAATTCCTTACGATAATACTTACAATATTAGTATAAGCTGATAGCCCTTAACGAGGCCTACGATCGCATACTAATATCGCAATACTTTTCTATTATTGTGGTGGAATGCAAGGCACGATCCGTTGACGCTTTTTATCACGACTAGCCCCAGGAGGGGGTCGGAAACCAGGAGGTGGTCAAAAACGTTAGAAACGATATGCACTATTACGCAAATCCGTGTATCAGACCGAGCTCACCCTTGACCACGGCACGTTTCTGCCGGCGGGTCGTTGGTCGGGGATCCCCCCACGAGCACAAGCCACAGTTGTCAGTCAGGGGTCTTTTGAGCCCCAATGCATTGTGGCTTTGGCCAGCGCTTTGGGGAAAGGGCCCATCGCGTTTCTGGGGCTAAGGGCGTCATTTCTCCATATCTGGATTAATCGAATTATCGCGATTTCCAGGGGGCCATTTCAGTCGCATCGCATCGTCTTTTTCGAAATTCACACACTCTCTCTCTCCACTCATTGTCGTCGCACACATACCACAGCAGGGCGCCGTGCCTTGCGCAACGTTCCTTATTCAGTCACTCCTTTACTGACGACGTGCTTGTTTGTTTTTCAGCGTCTGGTGTGCTCCGCCCTTCACGACTCTCACATCCCTTGTGTTCACGCCGAAACCTGACCAAACCTGACCAAATATCGTACAACTGCTCAAAGCTCACTCGCTCACCATGAAGTCAATATCATCGTCTTTGTTGCTTGCGATCTTCACCTTTATCCTCAGTGCAGTTGCAGATCAGCTAGTGCTCGCAGACACACCTCCAGCATGTCTCCTTCAAGCTCTCAACACTCAATCCAAACCTTCCAATCTCTCTGCCATCTGCGGTAACGAGGCGACGGACATTCAGCTGGCTATTGCAAGCTTGTGTGAACCCATGCAGTTAGCGGCGCAGTCTGCGTTCATCGCTACGTGCTCCTCTGCGGGTTCTTCAGTCGGTATGTTGGACAAGAACCTGTGTCCCAAGATGACACTGACACGTCCATAGCTCCCTACATCTCAGCCTCCTCAACCTCCCGAACGACCGCCGATCCTTCCTCCAGCGCCTACATCTACACTACAACCATTGACGGCAGCACCATCCTTACTTCGACCGCGGGTGCGACTGCGACAAAAGGCGGTTCTGCACCTTCAGGTACGATGTCCGCGGGCGGAACTTCAGCGACGGGAAATGCTGCGGCAGATGTCAAACAGGTGGGCAGTTTTGCTGCAGCGGTAATCGCTATTGCAGGTGTGGTGGCTATTCTGTGAAGCGACACTCTATGAAAAAGCTGTGTTGATGCAATGGGCGCCTTCCCGGAAGCCAACGAGGGTCTGTTTACCTCATTATCATGTCTTCTCTGCGAGGGCCTTCAGACGCAAGTTAGCACAATAAAAAGGGAGGGGAACCTTGGGCACATACCTGTTCCGATCCACTTGATCGGGATACCCACCTCGCGCTCAATGTACTCCACATACTCCCTAGCCTGCTGTGGAAGACTTTCGAATGTTTTGCAGCCCGTCGTACTCGTCTGCCATCCCTTGAATGTCTTGTACACGATCTCCACCCGCTCTAGGGCGTCCAAGTCTGCTGGGAAGACATCTTGATCCTGGCCGTCTATCTTGTAGGCCGTGGCCACGCGAATCTCCTCGAAGTCGTCCAACACATCAAGTTTGGTCAAGTTGATTTGCGTATAGCAATTGACCGCCGTTGAATACTTGACAAGCACCAGATCCATCCAGCCGCAGCGTCGTTTTCTGCCGGTGGTCACCCCGAACTCACGTCCGATGCGCTGTAACCGTTCGCCATAATCTGCATCAACCTCTGAGATGCTCGGATCGAGCTCTGTAGGGAATGGACCCGAGCCGACTCTTGTGGTGTACGCCTTGACCACGCCAACGATGTTGCTTCCAGGAGCCGCCAGGGCACGAGGGCTCAGGCCTGCCAGACCCGTGAACACGCCTCCCAGGCCAGTATTGCTGGAGGTGACGTATGGATAAGTGCCGTGGTCGATGTCAAGGAGGAGCGCGTTGGCACCTTCGATCAGGACATTTGGCCCAGGGCGGGCGGCATCGCCATTGGAGGTTGCCGTTGCGATACCTTGTCCGCCGACCGCCTGCGCAAGCAATGGGGTTTGACTGACCACGTATTGCTGTAGCTCGGTTCGGTAGTCGCGCAGCTTCTTGATTTCATCCTCGACATCGTATCCTTGTAGCGCTGCATCGCCGTAGAGCTTGCGGTAGCCAGCTTCAAGATCGCGCAGGCGTTTCTGCCATCGTTGCTCTTCGTTCACAAGCATCCAGAAGGTGACGCCGCGGCGAGCGACCTTATCACTGTAGCATGGTCCGATACCCTTACGAGTAGTACCAATCATGCCTTTGCCGCCTTCAATGGTCTTGCTCTTGTCCTCTGCGACACCATCGACCACGCCGTGCAAGTCGAAGCAAACATGCGCGCGGTCGCTGATGAGGATGCGTTCCCGGACACCTTGTAGACCCTTCTCTTCTAGCGCCTTGAGTTCCTTGAAGAAGCTGGGGATATGCACGACGCAGCCGGTTCCAATGAGGTTGATCTTGCAGGATGGGTTGATCAGGCCCGAGGGAAGAATGTGGAAGTCATAGGTGGTGCCGTTGACGACGATGGTGTGTCCTGCGTTATTACCACCGGCGGCGCGGCAGACCATGGAGGCCGACGAGGCGAGGATGTCGACGAGCTTGCCTTTGCCCTCGTCGCCCCATTGGGAGCCCAGTACTAGTGTCACAGGCATGTTGTGAGGAAATGATGATCAAAATAAATTCAAGGGTGCGATATCGGAGAGGAAGTTGTCATGACCGAAAGGGAATTGATTTCGGTGGAAGGTGAAGTTCAGGTGCCTGCCATGGTGAATTAAATAACAAAAGGCAAGTGAGTTTGGTTTGAGTCACAAAGGCAAGAGTGAGGTGTTTGCAGTTTGACTCTGGAGTTCTCTTTGAACGCAAATGGAGGGGATCCTCAATTGCGTCTCTGGTGGGCTTCCAAGCCAGAAAATTGAGTAATGAAAAAATCTCCAAATCGGCACAGCTTCATATTGATTGGTCCATTTCACAGGTACTAAGTAATAGAACTGCGCGCTTTAACAGTCCCTCTGGGCGTGCCCCAGGTTTGAATCTATTGTAGTTTACATGAAACGCGCGCATGCTTTCCTAGACCTCCCGACATACGTTTTCTTCCGCATAGTCAAGATACCTCCCGAGCAAGTCCGTCGAAGTGACTTCTCCTTGAAAGAAGAAACTGAGATGCGCGCCCAGAGCTTGTGTATCGACAGCCACACTCTTGCCGATAGATCTGGGAAGCGTCACAGTTAGCCACTCCTCATCAACCACATCGGATGGGATCGGCAAGTGGCTCAAGATCTCGGTCGAGTTGATGGCAATGAAGTTGATGCTCAATCTGTCGTAGTCCGTTATCCAGGGTTTTGCATCAGCAGCGAACTTGTACAGTTGCAGGTCAGCGTTGTACAGATTCTCGAGGAAAGAATAATGGTGTTGGGCTGCAATGGCCCACGACTGAAGCCCGGTTCCCCAGGTGTCATAGGTGATATCGACGACAGGGGTGCGACGAAGTTGTGCTGTGGAGGCCGGTGTCTCAGGTAGTCTCAACCATCTGTGTCCTTCTCTAGGAGCTTTCTCGTCATGAAGAAAAACAAACTCATCTGGACCTTGCCAGAGAGGATGGTCTATGTGTTTCCATGACACACGATGGACGTCGGCTTCATAGGACTGCGTCTGCGCATGTATGGTTGCCGGTGTGTCTTCCGGTGACATTTCTGGTAAGTAGGGATGGACAGCGCCTGCGCGGTAGTGAAGCCATCCCATGAGAGGTGAATTGACCATGTTCGCAGAAACAAGGAGATACTCTGGGTGCTGGATTTTTGTGGTGACTATTCTCGGTATTGCATCGTCCGCCATCCATACCACATCATCATCAATCTTGACATAGATGTTGCCTGGTTCCAGCTTGGACCATGCATCGCTATATCCCTCATCTTTTGTTCTTTCCTGGAACAATTGCTTGTACCGGTCGCTATATGTTAGAAGTCGATCCAGGTACTCGAGGTCTTGTTGGTCATCAGTGTTCCGGATCCAGTGTACTTCATCCAGCCAACCTCCTTGGTCGACAAGGTTACGCATCAAAAAGCAATGCAGTATCTGAGTCCGATCTCTCCGTCCATAAAAGACCATTGCAATCACTTTTAGACCTGGAGGCTTGACCAGCTCGTGGTGCAACCCGGTAGTACCATATCCCGGTCGGCATGATCCTGCCGAGGCGGATAGGGGACTTTTGAAGTCGTAGTCAACGCGAGTCAGGGTTGTGAAGATGGTATAGGAGAATAGGATTGCCGCGAGGATAAACAATAAGGGTCGCCATTGGACGTTGATGCATCGATTTGATGATGGTGATGACATGGATCCCCTTGTGTACCCCGGATGTAGCAGCCACAGGCCGCGGGGGCGTTATGGCACGTTTTTGACAGGGAAGAGGGGCGCGAGAGGGCAGCTTGAGATGATCTTCAGATAACGGAGGGAGGGATATGCAAGAAATTGCGGAGACCTCGAGATCTTGTGAGATCTACTCGTAAGAAGATGCTCTTTTCTGGCGTTTCATATTTTTGTTTCTTCGAATTTTGTTCGCTTGTCCATTTTCGTTCGAAGACGATGAGAGTGAGTCCAACAATTAAGCCCGTGTTTTGAGTACCAGGTAATAATCCTGCAGCCAAGTTACCAACTGGACAGGCTCTTTAACTTTAACAATACCTAATAATGGCACTCACTGGCACCTTCCCGTCCAGTGCTGGAGCTGCCCGCTTGGCGACAGAAACGGCAGGGAACGTGCGCCTGTCATCGCAACGGCACTGGTGGACCACCTTTGGCACCTGGACCTTTGCCCTCCACATCATGCACAGACATCCGACTAGCTGGGTTCACAGGGTTTAATGGAAAGCCAAACCAGGCCATTTACTTGGTCAGGTAGTATTACATCCTACGCCACTGCCTTCAGCTTCCTCTTCAGACTCAGTCGCCGTGACTGACGCACGACCAGAGCTTCCATAGCTTCTCCCCGGGACAGGATCGACTTGGATGCCTTCCCCACGAGCAGCGACCGTCCAGACGATGATACTGGAGTGCTCCAAACCCGAAGATGCAAACGGCGGGCTTGAGTAAAGAGCGGACTAATATAAGGGTCGTGGCTGGGTAGGCACGGGATAGATTGACTTTCGGGGTGACAGGCACCATTCAAACATCAACGAGCCTTTACCTGCATTGAGTTACGCAGATCCGGAGCAAAGCAATATATCCAAGGCAACATTCTGTCCACCTACGTATTTATCCGAACCTTTCAACACCGCCGAGGCTGGTCAACAGCTTCAAAGCTTTATGCGAGAGACAACCGTCTAAGAACCGTGGCTGCGATGCCCAACACCGCATCACCGTTCAAGATGCATCGCCTGAGTCGGACACATCTGGTCGTCGGCGCCGTCATTTTGGTGGCCTTATACCAGTCACTGTCCTACATGCGGTCCAGTTATGTTGCTGAACCTCAGAACGGCAGAGATGCAGGCCTCCTGTACCATTTCCTAGGCTCTAACACTACCCAACCGACGCAGCCGCTAAAGTATGTATCCTCGTCTGCAGACCTACGCAAAAGCAGTGGTATAACCGTCGACTCGATCGGCCAGCTCATCGCAAACGCAAATACAACCTTTGAAGATCTCATGGCCAAGAAGTCCACAAGTTTGAACGAGGCTGCAAATACATACCGTATCAAACGTGGCCGACATCCGCCTCCAGGCTTCGATCAATGGTACGAATACGCAATTTCTAACGATGCCATCATCATCGAAGACTTTTTTGACCAGATCTACCACGATTTGGAGCCGTTCTGGGCTCTTAGTGCTCGGGACATCCGAGATAGGGCTCGCAATCTCGGTATGCACGTGAGTATTCTTAATGCCACCGCCGAAGCCAATACTGGCTGGTTCTGGCATGTCATCTGGGCCAGCATGATCAATGAGGTCGCTTACATGTTGCCGAACATGGTTATTCCACTCAATGCAATGGATGAGCCAAGACTCATGGTTCCATTTGAGGACATCACTACCTTCGTCGCCGAAGCGCACAACCACCGAGTCGTACCACATCCTGAGCAGGTTACAGATACCATCACTGGATGGACCGACAACGTTGAGCCAGATCAACCATACTTAGATATCGAGTGGTCCCAGTCTGCACCACTGTCATTCGCCCGGGCGGCATGCGCACCAGATAGCCCTCTACGGTCGGAGCCTACAGCTTTACATCTCAATATGGCAGTCCAACCCGAACACGAGCAGCAGCTGAACTTTATGTTAGACGGCTTCATTCGCAACTTCACGCTTGCTTCCGATGTATGTCAAGATGCTAGTATTGCTGCCTATCATGGAGCACTCACCAGCCCTCTCACCGCCTCGACCAGCCGAGACTTACTTCCCCTATTCGGAGGCTCCAAATTTGCGGTGAATAATGACATCCTCATACCCGCTCCAATGTACTGGAATGGAGAGGAGAGATTCGATGTTCAGGACGAGAACCCGTGGTCATCAAAAACCAATAGAGCGACCTGGCGAGGCACAGCTACTGGTGGGCGGCATAACGCGCTCAACTGGCCCAACTTCCATCGCCATCGATTCGTGGCTTTGACCAACGGCACGAAATACTCTCTTGCAGATGAGACTAGTGATCGCATCTTCACGTCGCTTCAGCAACGATCTGCTCTATCTCCGCTTCCTGCCAATTTGCAGAAGAATATGAGTTTATGGATCACCAAGCATAATGATATTGCATTTACAGACATGTTCTGCGATATACCTTCCGAAGAGAGCCAGTGTTGGTACCTGTCAAACGAGTATGCTGTTACTGAGAGCATGAGTCTATCTGATCAGTACTCTTCAAAATTCCTTCCGGACATCGATGGCAACTCCTTTTCGGGCCGATATCGTTCGTTCTTACAGAGCAACTCTGTACCCATCAAGGCCACCTTGTATCGTGAGTGGCATGACTCTAGGTTGATCTCTTGGAAACATTTCGTCCCTATGAACAACCGATTCACGGACTACTACGCAATCTTGAGCTACTTCGTGGGCTGCGACGAGGATCTCTGTGGGAGCGATGGGAAATATGATGGGCATGATTCCGAGGGTGAAGAAATTGCACGAGCTGGCAGGGAGTGGGCGGAGAAGGTGCTTAGAAAGGTCGACATGCAGATCTATGCTGCGCGACTTCTTCTAGAGTATGGCCGTCTTACGGACGACAACAGAGATTCACTGGGCTGGGTCGAGGATCTCAAATACGAAGATCTCAAGTCTGTTAATCAGACGACAGACGTTGCTGACCCCTGAGCACCAAACGACCACGTATTTGAAGTGTATGCGCCTGAGTATGCACAGCTCTCTCCGAGCAGCTCTTCGATCATCTGGCTCATCCCTCCCTACTCGACTTGTCCAGCAAGGATGGCAACCACCTGGCCCATCGCAAAAGAAGCGTCGCCATCCAACAGTCGGTCTTTTGATTGATCAACGAGTCACCCTTCAGGTTGGACTCGACGGCCTCCAGGTTTCAAAAGCTGTGAATGTCGATAACTTTGAATCCGGCCTCCCAGTGAGCAACTTTGACGTGATGGTACATGTCGAGGGGAATTGAGGCCCCGACTTTTGGTCAACTGCATGTCGATTTCATCTTCGGGCTTCGATTATGGACACACTATGTTCCGGGCATTGCCATCACCACTTCGATTTGAGGAATGCTGTCGTTCTGCATGATATCTCATGCAGGCTCTTGGACGCGACTAAGCAACTAGAGGTCTGTTTTCAAGAACTCCGCGGCAACATTTCGGTCAGTCGCTTGAATCTTGTCAATGAATCTTGATGTCCGCGGATTTCCAGCGAAGGAATAGTGACGTGGCGGGGGATCCCTTTGCGAAGATTACAGCCATCTCTATGAGATTTCAATGAGAACTACCACCATTAGTGAGATCGTTTTCCACTTGACATCGATCCTGTCTTTGCTGTCAGGATTTCGCAACCAAGTCAATTGGTCAATATGGAAGGCATCAACTGCGGCGAAGAGCAAACACGCAGTTAGGGAACTCACCACGTAAGGACTTTGGCATGTTATGGAAGGGCTTCAGTCAAGGGAGATGCTTGTTCTCAGATCTCAGGCCACCCTTCCATTGTTACGCCAAAAGTGATGTCAAGAGTCAACTTCTTTTTCGTCTCTTCTCTAGACCATAGTCACGTGCTCGGCCAAATATGGTTTTCGGGCCAAGACACATGGGATGCCTGAGGCTCGGCGATCTGAGGCTGTGCACTCTAGATACGAATTATGCCATACAGTAGTCAGGAACACTTCTCCCCCTCCCGGCCCTACACCGTCTCCAAGCGCGAGGCGGAGTCGGGAGGCCTCATTTATGGTTTGACTCCTGACGACATTTCCTTTCACCTGGGGGGTTTTAATGACAAAAACCATGTAGGCAAGACAATGGCTCACACAACTGCAGAATGTTTGTGCTCATATTTCGTGGGGATTTTGTCAACAAGAAACGGATGATCAGACATGTCGTGCAGGGGACAATGGCTTCTAGAAACAGGACAGGTGATTGTGCCTGAACATCGTTTGCTCACCCTGTTCCGATGGCCAAAAACCCTTCATACCTTTTGTTCGTTCTCTGGCACAAAGTGACAATGTCTGAGGGGGTAAGTATGGCCCTTTTGTCAAACACCACTGCCTACAGTACGGTGAGTCAATACAAATGGCTGTGCTCGTCACCAATGCAAGTTGAGTCTTCACCCAACACCTTCACACCATCTCGTTTACAAGACCGACACTGCCTCACCCAGTGATACACGTCTTTGCAGGCTGCAACACCACGACAACCATCTATAAATTTCGACCAGACAATCCATTAAACAACCTTCTTACAACCGTACTCATCTCAACCCCATCCATCCCAAATCAATTCAGGATCCTCATTGAAACCTATCCATCACATCCCTCCACAATGGCCGGCAGCCCACGTCGCATCGTCATCAACAACAACGTCTTTCACCAACACGCACACAACCACAGCGACAATGACCTCAAGAAAGCTCAACAGAACCTTGACGCGGCAAAGACTACACTATCGATCCTGCAGGACAAGAAGGCCGGCTTGGAACGACAGCTTCGTGATCTGAAGGGGTCGTTGGGAAAGGCCGAGCGGGATGTTCATAACGCCAGGGTTGCAAGGGATGCGTGCGCGGAGAGGGAACGGGACGCACAGAGACAGAGACAGAGACAACGAGAACGTGAGCAGGCAAAGAAGAGTGATAAGGTCGTTTGGATTCCCGTGCGCAGATGATTGTGGCGTTTCTGGAAGGATCATCTGGGAAGGTGTCCGAATATAGTGCTGATCACGGGTTATGGTGTCTCATGGTGTCTTTTAATTGCGGCAAGGATCTTTTCAGCAACAAGGTCTTGGTGTTGCAGCAGGGTGTTCAGGTGTAACAGGTCCTATCCATGCAGCAAGTGTTCAAAGCGAAACAGGATGACAGTTCACGGGCATAGGGCGTCATTGCAGTGTCAAAGGGCAAATGGTTCAAAGGTGCAAGACTATCATGTCAAGGGTTCACACTGGAGGCCGAAAGTGCAAGCAAAGTGGCATCATATCGAACGTGAAGGGCAAAGGCAATCGTTGGCTCTGCGAAACATTACCACTACCATAGAAGTAGGCAATATGATAAAGCATTAAACATTCATCAAGTATATATCGTCTCGTCTAGGTCGTCAAAAAGTCCCCGTATATCCAGATCTCGTGTCTCAAAATTCAAAACGCCGATATTCCTCCCCTGCCGAACGCTGACCATCAATCGCAGCCAGCGGTCGCCGCTGGTTCTGTCGTGAGAGTCCCAGGTGACTGTGTCCACACATCTAATCGTGATAAAATGTACAAGCACATGAATAGTCGTTACCATTACCATTAGGGTGTGCCGAACCGTCGGCTTATAAAGGTATTCCTCGATCAAGAATGTATTGATCGAGACCGCAGAGAGAGTCGTGTGAGCCATCTGATAAAGTCACTGTTAGTCTTTTGACACAAGAAAAAAGTGTAGGACAGAAACTCACCCATCATTATCCGCGGCACGACGGGGCGAGCATGGGGCTCGAAGCCATCGACGTCCCGGCCATGGTGGGCCGTCCTGCCATGTACAGGGTGCGGTTGAGGTTGTCGATTTGCCGTTGCTGGCGGCGTAGAAGAAATCGCCCAGAACTGCTCCCGGTCGTGGTCGTCGTCTTCGCTTTCCCAACTGCCGCGGCTGCGATAGGCAGGTTGGATTGGTGCTGGTAAGGTTGCGGGCTGTGGCTGTGCCGATATTGAGGCGCGAGGGGTGTGTGAGGGTAGATGGCATTGAGAGTTCGAGCTTGCTCGGGAACGCAGCGGCGTGGTGCTTTCGGAGTGTTTGTGGGCTGGTTTATGGGCGGTATGGTCTTTGGATTGTGGTCTGGGTGGTGATGTTGTGCTGGGACCCATTCCGGCGGCCGCAGCCGGTCGGCCAGGCCAGGAGGGCGACTGTTTAGTATGGAGTGATGTCGTTCGGGGTGGGGATGTAAAGTTGTTGATTGGCGTCGTCATAGGGTTTTGGGGCATTGGTGTGTCGAAATGGAAGGACTTGAGGTCTTCGACGTCGCCGCCGCGCTGTGGACTTAGTGGGCCCTCGACCATGGTCGTTGCGAAACTCGAAACAGTGTTGCTACGAGACTTGCCATTCGGGTTTGGAGGAGACTCGGGAGGCGTCATTTGCGTGGGCGGACCTCCGGTTGCGGCTCCGGGAGGACCGCCTGGAGGACCACCTGGAGGACCTTTCGGCGGCAGAGGCGTGGGGTGAAGAATGGATTTGACCACGAAGGCGATGCAGACGATGATGCCGAGTCCGCCGAGTCCGACGCCCATGAACCAGCCACCCCGGATGCCGGCCATGGGGCTGCGGCCGTGGTTGTTCGTATGGACTTCCACGGTTGAGGCTATGCCGAGCCCCAACGAAATGGAGTAATTGATGGTGGTGCTGATGAGACTGCCGGCGATGCCCTGTTGCTGGGGAGGGAAGAAGTTGGACATGATAAAAGTGGCAGCAGGCATGCTCATGTCCATGCCGAGTGGCATAATGAGTAATGAGCAGAACGTCCAGCTCCAGTATGTCGTGCTTGCAACATTCGGATCGATCGCCAAAAGCAGAGGGCCTGCCGTAAATGCGACAAGTGCCCAGAACAGAGTCCAAGCGGGTCGAAGCGCCCGCATCATCCATGCAGTCAAGATTGAAGCGATCAATGCCACGGGGACGATAGGTACAACGTGGATAGCCGCATCGAGAGGAGCATCCTGTTTGACACCCAGAAGGTATTTCCACAGGAACCAGGTCCAGATGCCAAAGGTTGCCCAACCACAGGCGACAGCTCCCAAAACAAAGCCAACGTCTGCTTTGAGCATCTTGAAGGGAACGAGCGGCTGCTCGGCAATCTTCAATTCGGTGATGATGAAGAAGACGATAAGGAGGACGCCGATGATGAGCAGCATGAAGATATATTGAGTGCTCCACCCGGCTGCCGGTGCCGAGACGAGGGCGACCTGCACACAGATCAGACCGCCAATACCTGTTACGGCACCGAGCCAGTCAATATCTCGAAGCTGCTCTCTGACCGGTCGCAGTTGTTTTGGTGTCGGTGGGGGAGAGATCAGCACGAAATGTGCCGAGACAGCCAGGAGGCCACAAACGATGGCTAAGGTGAAGAAGCTCCACTGCCACGAGGCGAACTTGGTGAACAACGCACCAAAGAGCATCCCCAGATATGCGCCAATTGGAGCACATCCGCCGAAAATCGTGAAGGAGATGACTTTCTGTTTCGAGCCGGGAGGGTACGTTCGTCCTAAAAGGGCCAATCCGTTCGGTACCATCAGACTGGCTCCAAGACCTTGAAAAGCCCTGGCGATGAAGAACAATTCGTAGCCAGCATAGTGGCTTAGACCGACAACGACACTCCAGAAACCGAGGAAAGCGTATCCGGTCATCACCATGGTCTTGTGTCCGAAGATATCGCCAAGTCTGCCGCTAATGAGGATAAAGGTACCAAAGCATGCGGCGTAGGCAGCGACGAGCCACGGCAGGATCGAGGGATCTTTTATTGCGAACGACTGTGCAATTTCTCTGCTGACGGGGAAGACGGTTGTCAGGGTCGACTGAGGAATGAGCTGAAGGAATGCCACCATGATGTTGAAGAGTATCTCCTGTGGTCTCGACATTCGTTGACAAAGCCAGCCTCCTGGAGGTCCGGGAGCGCCGCCAGGAGGGCCACCCAGCGGACCTGAGGGCTTCATGGGAGGTTGAATGCCCTTCTCCATGTCTCTGGACTGGCTGCTGTCTGAACTCCGTGGACTCTGGTTTTGCTGGGAGTCGCGTGGAGGGACGGTCACTGTCAATCCATGAGCAGGCTTCGAATCCATTTTGAATTACCACCGCATCGACGCGATTTAGGTATCGGGTAACAACCGAAAGTCACAGGTTGACAAGTTTCTGGGGAAAACGTGTAGCGAGGACTGGCGGCGATTTTAGTGATATACCGGATACATGTCTAAGGCAGACAATCATATGGATACTGACGCACGGGGGACCAGTCGAGCCCCATGCTTGTACTCGATCATTGAGGATCGCAATAACCGGCGCCGACTTACCGTGGGTCACTTACGAGGTAGCTTTCTCGAGGCCATGTTTCCGTCTCAAGAGGGATACAATCTGCAGTGGACCGTCTATGCGATAGCAGATTTGGCCCGTGGAAGGGTGATGTTGTATAGTGGAGACTGCCGGAAGTCTATCGGAGGTGTGGAAATAGGACGAGGAACGGTTGACAGCAGCCACGAAGAAGCCACGACCAGGGCTCTAAAGCTGAATTCAGAGCCTCGATTGGTGAGCACGGCACAAAAGACGTTTGGCAGAAGATGTCCTTCGTTGGGCGTCCAACAAGCTATTTGGCACTGACAAGGATAATGTGTACTGCACTATGAGCGCATTGGGCTCGATCGGAATTTCCCCAAAGGATATCCGAGTGATCTTCACTCTTTACAATCTTGCGTCAGGAACCAGGTACAGCTGCTAGTCAGCGATAGTGGGAAGGCCTGTGAGTCCGGTAGACAGCTGGTCTACCAACGTGATGGTCGCTGTACTTTCGTGTTCGTGAGGGGTTTTCAGGGGAAATCCCATAGGGCAAACAATTGCATATAGGAGACATGGTAAGCGAGCGAGATGACCCGGAGAGGATGGGTTAGCGAATGATCCAGTGCCTGAATCCGGGCAAACAGTGTGAATCTGATGCGAGAAGGTCAATATGGCGCTATCGCAGGGTGAAACAAGGCCGGCGAACAACAAGAAGATCGGAGAGTCGGCAGGGCTGGAGAAGCCTCAGAAGGATGAGACTCTCATCAGGAGAGGAAATTGAGGTCAAACAAAAGGATCCCCGGAGATTAAGCAACTAAACCTCGTTGGCTCTAGTGGTTGATCTTTTAATGCTTTATGCATTCCTGCTAACTTTTGTCCTCGTTCCTATCTTTGAAGTTCACTCATGATTTCATCTTCCTTTGCCGACTATAGTACTTCCTAGACCCCCTGTCAAACCTGTCGCTCGCATCAAATCAATCAGGCGGCAAGTCATTTCTGCATCCACTCCGTCAGTGGACCAACCCTCTTGGCATGCCGGTGCTACTTTAAACAGACTTTCCGCCATCCCTATACGCGTGAGTTAGACGCGTTTTTACAACTATGTGATGGCAAAGAAACGCGTCGAAAAACAGGGCCTGGGACTCGATTGACTATGCTTTGAAATGCAGCACATGCGATTCTCCTGTACACCTGACAATTCCTAACCAGCTGCCCCCTCTGCGTCGGGTGTCCATACTACCAACTCTTGTTTGGAGGCATGCGACACCCTTGCCTGAACGAGACATTCTGGAAGTACACTTCCATTGTCACATTTGGGCCTGATCGACGCGGGCACCGTTGAGATAGTCTGTGGTCGACCGGAGCAAAAATGTCACAACATATACTATTATAGTGGTATAGTATATGGTACAAGAAGTCTGACAACTGAGCCAATGAGGGCAGGTTATCGAGGCCGTTGGTTCGTGTCGGGGTCTTCCGACGACTAGAGATGTTGGCTCACGTCAAGACATCTTAGGAACCACAACATGTCTCGATAAGCCCTGTCGATCTCTTCAAACCGAACTGAGACAATCAGACTGCTTCTTTCTTGACAGGTCTGGCAGGTACGACTTATTCATTCAATTCGCTGGCTTGGACTTGCACGCAGTGTGACAATGCGTTCCAAGCCATGTTTGCAACGACACGCTCTTCGTCGCAGGTGGTACATACGCCGTTGGAGGCTGACGACCAGGCTGTGCTACCATATGGTGGCTGGGGATTGAGCAGGGTCGCACCAAGCCATGCGCTCCCTCAGGACGACCGCGGAACCTGGAGTTCTTTGCCCATCTAACAGCATTGTATCTGCCGTGTACCGGATACAGCAACCTGCACGGCTCAGAGACACAAAGTTACGGACTTTTGATGCAGGACATGCCTTCCGCAGGTGGGTCTGTGGGACCTGTACAACTATGAATACCTGGTTCTCTGGCCAACTCCGCGACGATCAGGTTCTATGCTCCAGCCTCGTCCAACAACTTCTGCAGTGAATCAAAGGCTTGCTTTGCGAATGGCTTCATGTCGTCACCATATCTCTCCGGATCCTTGCCGTCGAAAACTTCCATGGAAAGCCAGCCACGGAACCCAGTCGCAAGTACAGCTTTGGTGAAATCTTCAATGGGCAGATATCCGCCGTTATATGGAATTGGGCGGTAGTCATGACTCCATTGCCCTCGAGGTCTGAGGCCGCTCTCATCGGGCTTGTCTTCCAGGGGCGGTTGCATTTTGTAGGCATCAGAAATCTGCAGGAAAAAGATCTTCTCTGGAGGAACCGTTTTGGAGAGCTCTTCACAACTGGCCTTCCACCTCTTGTCCAACTCGCTCTTGTCCACGTCCTCGATCAACCCAGATTTTGTCGTTGGGCTTCCCCATTCACCTCCCGCGCTCTGAAATGTGTCGAGGCATAGGCCCAGGTTGGGTCGGTCAGCTTTTTCCACGATCTCCCATACATCTTTCCAGGTGGGTGCATGTGTAGCCCAACACCAATTCTCATAGGCGATACGAAAGCCTTTTTCTGCAAAGATGTCCGCCAATTCAGCCAAATCGGAAGCCAGATAGTCAAAGCTCGAGGATATCCCCTCGGCGTCAGAGGAACCGATCTGGAAGTCTTTGTCAACAAAGGATACCAAAAGGTGTACGTAAGGTATGATTATTTACCTGCATCATATCTGTGCCAGCTGCCTCCATGATACTCATCCATCCCCTGGCTCGATCAAAGGCATCTTGCCTTTCTGGACTGCCTTTGGGCCAACCTTCGAAATTGGCAAACGGCTGCAGGATCAATATTTTCAGGCCTTCTTTCTTGCATAACTCGCCAATTTTCTGTGCAACTGACCGCAGCGTGGCGTAGTCTTTTGGATCGATTTCCTTCTTGCTTTCAGATATTTGTTGGCCATATGTCAGAATGTCTGGCATAGCAAGCTCGATCGCATCGAAACCTGCACTAGCAAAAGCCTTGAGCTTTTCTGGAAGTGTATGCTTATCGCTGTGACCTATCGAACAGGATGCATAGCATATTGGGATCTTCTGGCCCTTGAAATGCGCCATAATTGCCGAGGTTTTGATGGTAGTGCCTGGTCTTGTTTCGTTTTTCTCAATCGCGAATTCCGGCAACTGATATTGGTTCAATAGTGATGCTTCTTCGACGCCCTAAACAAAGTATGACCATCCGGACCACGTTATGCTGTCGTGTCGAATTCATTTGAATGACAATCCCGACGTTGAACGTGACGTCAGATGCACGTCAGAAGGCAGTAACGACGACGAAACGTTCAACGTTGATGCGGAACAACGGATGCAAATACTTCATCATTACTAGGTAAGGACATACATCCTACGGTGAAGATAAGTGTGCCTCACTCTACTGTCCTTTTCTTGAGCAGAGTTATTGCTTCTACAAGTCTTACTTCCGTCACTCGGGCATTCACTGCAGACTTAGGTACAGACAAGCAAATCATTACCGTCCAGCAATATGGGCCAAGATGGTGGACCCGAATTCAAAAAGGTACGTCTCAGAAAGAAACACCGGATGCCACTTATGGGTTTCGTGGGCCTTCCAACATGTGGCACAAGCCTCGTGGCGGAGATCGTCAAGCGGACTGACACCCTTATAGCTTGGCATGTGTGGCACGGGAAGCATGGGTGGAATGATGTCTCTCCTCTATGCCGAGAATGGTGTTGATGTTTACTACTTCGATCCCGGTGTGACTCCAGCCGATCCTTGGACTATCAGATCGCAATGCTGACGATGCCGCACGCCAGATGAGACGAATGTTTCCAAATTACAGGGCGAGGCCAAAGCAGTCGGCCTTGACAAGTCTATCCACTCTCAGAAAGACTACAAGGAGATGTGCAAGAGCCTGGAGTCTGAAAACGAACCCAAACTGTTTGTGTACAGCATACCGCATGGAGGACCCGGTGACGCTGTACTCAAAGAACTACGCCCGAACCTAAAAAAGGGCGACATCATCCTCGACTGCTCAAACGAGTACTGGAAAAATACAGAACGACGACAAAAAGAACTCGACCCAGATGGCATCCACTACATCGGCTGTGGTGTCAGCGGTGGCTACCAGAGCGCGAGAAGCGGGCCGTCCATGTCCCCGGGCGGCGACGCAGATACACTGAAGAAGATACTGCCCTTCTTGGAAAGGGTCGCAGCAAAGGATGGCAAAGGACGACCATGTGTGACACCCATAGGACCACACGGAAGCGGACACTACGTCAAGATGCTTCACAATGGCATCGAGCAGGGCATGATGTCTTCGATCGCCGAGATCTGGTTCATCATGCACAAATGTCTGGGTATGGAGTTCGACCAGATCGCCGACGTCTTTGAGTCATGGAACAAGGATGGGCCTTTGCACGACAACTTCCTCGTTTCGATCGGAATCGACATCAACCGAACGAAGAAAGACGACGGAAGTTTCGTGCTTTCCGAGGTTCTCGACAAGGTCGTCCAAGACGCCGACAACTCGGAAGGGACCGGTATCTGGACCTGCGAAGAAGCCATCCGTCTGCATGTCCCGGCTCCTACCATCTTGTCTGCACACATGTTCCGCCTCGGCTCCTCAGATGCCGCAAGACGACTTGAAGTCAACAGAGTCTTCGACGGTGGCGTGGAGCCTCGCACATTCAAGATCGAGATCGAAGAGTTGCAGCTCGCCCTCTACGCTGCCTTCCTGCTCGCCTTCATCCAGGGTCTGCAAATCATCAAGGCAATGGATCGCCAGGAGGGCTGGAAGCTCGACTACCGCAAGATTGTCCAGATCTGGCGCGGCGGCTGCATCATCCAATCGGACCACATATCCGACGTGCTGGACTCCATGCTCGGACGTGATGACCACAACGACGACATCCTCCTCGCCAACCGTGAGATCGCGAGTGAACTGTCGAAAGCTTACAAGCCGCTCAAGAACGTGGTGCTCAAGGCAATCGAGGCCGACGCTTATGTGCCTGCGCTCAGCGCCTCGCTCGAATACTACAAGTACTCGAGCTCGACACTGCTGCCGACGCAGTTCATGGAGGCGGAGCTTGATTATTTTGGCGAGCATATGTATGAGAAGTGGAGCGAGTATCCAGGCGAGCCCGCGAAGAAGGGCCCACATCATTACGAGTGGAAGCGTGCAACGGGAAAAGTGGATAAGAAGAACGAGAACAAATCGTGATGAACTCTGTGATTCTTCTTGAAAATCCTCTTCTAGAAGGCGGTCACATACCGTCTAGTCTATTCTGGTGTGTTCTATTATACCGGCGTCCAAAGAGCATACAATATCAGTATACAGGAAATATAATCAAGCTCTTCATGATAGTGTTCGGTTCGACATGCTCTCATAAATCCTAGGCGACGGTATACGATACTCGACTAGTCCCCTTACTCCTGCTGATCTTCTTGACGCCGACCTTGCCACACTGGTCCGTGGTGTCGACATGTGTGCCTCCACAGGGGTAAACTTCCGCGCCGATGATTTTCACCACGCGATACTTCTCGGAGGGCGCAAGCTTGACGCCCTCACCGCTGGGGATCAGCCTCTCGAGACCGTTTGTGCGGAAGTCGTCTTCACTCCAGAAATCAATCTCCACGGGCATTGAGGCCCCAATGTACTCGTCGACCTTGCCTTGGATGTCTCCTTTCCACTTCCCCTCGATCAGGCCTGCGAACTCACATGCCGCGCTGTCTGGGAAATGGCTGGCCTTTAGCTCGTCGAACCCGGGGACCTGCTTTTCGAGAAGATGTCGGACTGCGGCGCCTAGGACGTGTCCGGCTGTGTGTAGGCGTGAGTATAATAGTCGCTTTTCGACGTCTATGCTTTGCGTGACGGTCTCGCCGATTGAGAAGGGGTTGGCTGTGTCGGCGAAACGGCCTAGATGTAGGACTTGGCCTTCTTCTGTGGCGGACATGCGTACTGAAGAGACGGCGAACGTTTTGCCAGGTGAGGACATTGATCCTTCGTCGGTGGGTTGTCCGCCGCCTTGAGGATGGAAAATGGTTTCTTTTGTTACGACGACTGAGTCATCGTCTGTGGCACTCTTGAAGAGTTGGCGGTTGGGTTCGGCGAGAGATGGAAATGGTGTGATTGCTAGTACTGAGGTGGGTAGGGTGTAGAGCTTTGCATTGTGCTGGAATGTGAGTACCGTGCGTGCTATAGAGTTGGACATCTTGGGAATTGTGTCCCCTGGGTGATAGATGTTGGTGTTACAGGATGTTTTGATATTTATATCTGGTGGTTTTGGTGTATCATGCTTAGGGTTGCTCCGGGCGTCTTTATTGCTGTTCAGATGCCGATGACTCAATGCTTTTCTTGCGAGACGTGTCAATATGAGTCGTAGTACTCCTTTACAATAATACGAACATAGAAGCAGGAGGAAGGCAATGGAGTTCAGAATGATATGACCGAAGGGCGTTGAAATTTTGGATACACCTTCCGGATTAGGCAAGATGGGATACAGTACGATCTTGCAGGAGGCCTCTCACCACCGTCTCAAGCTGCTAATTGATTTGATACCAGCTAGTCGAAGAATGTGCCTCGTTCATATGTAGATTTAAACGGCGCAGTATGAGACACATCGAGCCGTATGGGTTGACCAAATTAATGAGATCTGGAGCGTTGACGATAATCCAGACGCGTTTGAAGATGGTCTGAATGGAGTAGGTCTGCCGGGTGTTTCCATGTAGACGCAACGCCTGCACCTTTTGCTGTAGAGACACATTTACAACATGTCGCCCGTTTGACCCCAGCTTTTTTCTGATCACTTGTAGCTTCACTTCTGTCTGGATTTTGCCTCACATCATTTTGTCCGAGTATTCACCTTCACAATGGATGGTGACCCAGATACCCCGGCGTCGGGGTCACCCTTGTCTGATATCGATTCAGACGAGTTCCCCGAGGATGTCAAATTTCAGCCGCGATCGCACTCCCATTCACGAGGATCGACTCTTTCTGGCTCAGACGACGATATCGCGTCTCCCATGAGTACCGCGGCCAGAGCTCCCGGCATGCCTCCTGCCAAACGCCGCAAGACCGGCGCATCAAGCTACGACCATGCCACTCCTCAATCAGGCTCGACCGTTATTCCTCCTCGATCGCCCACAGGGTCAATTAGTAGCGACACTTCCGGATCCGTGCCTACATCACCTTCATTCGCCCACCTCGGCCCGACACACCCCCTCTCTACTGCCTACGCGGCTGCTCAGGCCAACCCTGAAAACCCCGAGCTGGCGGACTACGTCCAGGTGACGAAATGCCTATGGGAGGGTTGTACAGATCCAGAACAAGGCAACATGGACAAGCTGGTGGCGCATATTAACGACGTGCATATCGTGCCACGTCAGAAAAAGTACTACTGTGAGTGGGATGGTTGCGCTAGGAAGGGCCAGCCTCACACCAGTGCCTACGCGTTGAAAGCACACATGCGCAGTCACACCAAGGAGAAGCCTTTCATGTGTTCGTTGCCCGAATGCGACCGAAGCTTTACAAGATCCGACGCACTGGCAAAGCATATGAGGACGGTTCATGAGACAGAGGCGCTCCGCCCTAGTGACCCTGTGCCACGAGGTCATACGGGAGGAATTTCCAACGGAGGAGTATCAGCTGGTGGGATCAAAAGACTAAAGCTCACCATCGGTGGAAAGCAAAATGGCGACAAGAAAGCTTCGTTGGTGGGAGAACTCCCACCGCTGCCGACGAGTTATACGGTGGCCGCTATGGGTCTGAATCCCGAGGACGTGGAGATGGCGGACGGAGAGGGGTCTGAAGAACTGGCGGACGCAGTTGATGTGGACAGTGTACCAATGACTCTGCCCCTGAACCCAGAGTACTACCCGACGGACATCTGGAGCGACATGGACGAGTACGAACGGAATCTGCCTCCTTCACAGTACTTCCGGCTTCTGCGCCGACAAATCCACTGGGCCGAGCAGGAAGGACGCGATTTACAGAGAGATCTTGAAGATTTATGGTCCACCGTGGAGGATGCTAGAGGCGACTTGGTCAAAAGGGGAGGTGGTGATGAGAAGGTTGCTGACGACCATCGTAGAGCAGAATGGCAGCAGACGGAGGAGATACTGGATGGTGTCTTGCGCGCGGAGACCAGTCATGTATTCGAGATGTTTACTGGAGAGAAACCTGGGGATAGTCAACAGAACCCGTGGGAGATGATCAAGGCTCTGGAAGGTGTGACACAAGTATCTTCAGCGTGAGGAAGGTTCATATAGGTATCCCAATCTGAGAATATCTTCAGCTCACTGAGTGGTCTACATCTGCGCAAAGTCTGCTTTGATCATGAGGGGTTGAACATCTTTCATTACATGCTGTCTTGTGATCGAGGGCCACGGCCTTGCCCGATCGTAGGGTACAAGGCCGTGTGGCTGATGCAACAAGAGAAGTTGCTGTAATGAACCCAGACATGCACTTCCTTTTCCACGGCGGGGGGTTGGCCTGCAGGGACCGGTGTCTGGGACTTCCTGCGGAAAGGATGCAAGATACTCCCACCTTGCTACGACACGAACTGTCTACATGAAAGCCTCAGGAGATCCGGATGTGTGTGGAACTGCATAGCCTGGTTCTAGCCATGAAGAACCATCGAGGACACCGATCTGGTCTCCTCCATATGCATCGTGACGTGCCTCGACTGTTTCATATCTGAATGCAGAAGAAAATGAGGAAGTGTGATAGGATGGAATAAGACGCATATTTCGGCGATGGCATTGCAGCGCATGTGCATCATGCAGTAAAGTGAAAACGGGGAAAGCGTTGCGCGGAGAGTAAAGACAGGCAGTGCTATGCAAGTATCTTGTCTGTAGCAGAGTACTCCGTATGGAGTAGTAACGCTGGAGCACCGCCTCTTCTGTACGCACTGCGGATGACGAGTGGCTGTTGCTTACACAGTCTCCGTACATGAGTTAGCTCCGCTGGTCTCGTGGGGTGGGTTGCATTTTCCGTGTCGAATTCACTGCGATTGGATATATCTAGTGCTGGATATTTCCACAGCATGCAGGGTTCGTCTTTGTGAGTCATATTGATAAAAGTGACGGACCAAGTACTCCGAGTGTACGCGCATGCCAGAGCGGTACGTTTGATGTAAAGTGAAGAGACTGAAGGTCAGTTTCATTCAATCGAAGACGTTGCTCTGAGAGAAGCGATGGAGTGCCATCCGTTTGGTCTGGCATGAGGAATGGGAAAAGCCGTGGTTCCCCCCATGCAGTTGTAAAAGGGCGTGCCTGGTGGGAAAAAAGTGGTCGGCACGGACAGCCCAAAGAGGTGAAGGGAGATTGATTGGTTAGGCGGTTCTGTGTCCATTTTGTCCAGTGGTCCACAGCCTGCATGGCACCTAGAGACACCCACAAGACACCCGGACTTTTGGTAACAGGGAACTTTGGACTTCACAGAATAGGACCAGAGCAGCAGATAACATCCTCTCCGGGCACGGACAACGTCAGTCGATAGCAGAGTGTCAGTGAGATTGGATTAAACATGACATGGACGCGGAACAATTCACGTAAATAGGTATCCAGATAGTTGTGTGTCTGAAGGATGGGCTTTATGGTTATCTCCAGAGTTAAAGAGGCCGCCCACAATTCTTCAACCCGAGTACGAATGTCACCAGAGACCAAACCACCGTTACTTACTCGTAGACACTCTCTCAAGATGATTCCATGTATGAGATTCGGTTCGCATTGCACAGCAGCGGGTTTCGCATATCATTCATATCATTCTTGACTTCCTCATCTCGTTCGTCTCAATTCAAATTGAATTGCACTGGTCGTCACTGTCACTGGGAAAAGACTCACAATTATGAGTCACAATCCGTTTCCGTTCTTTTGAATTTGGGAGGCCCCAAGACCTCGTTTCATGGTCCAGTCAGAGGTGCAGAAGCCAAGCCCAAAAAGCCCCTCCTTAGCCGCGTCTAACCTATCTTTACCTAGTCATTCCTTCCTAATCCGCCAAGGCTGACCACCGCAACTGGCCGCCGATGCCTGCACCACCCACAGCCTAACTCTTAAACTTCTTTTCTCCCACCCAACTGCTGCCTGAATCTCTTCCTTCTTCTCTACCTCTCCACATACAATCACATCTAGCAGACATCATTAAGACTTCATCAGGATATGGAGTCATTCTGATCTCTTTCGTTTCCGCCACTTCTATCTAGCTCACCGGCAAGATAGACTCAGTCACCGACACAGTCACCCAACCCAAACCATCTCAACTCACTCCTCGTTTACAGTCTCCACCCGGAGTCCCTGTGAACCTGCAAGACCTCGTCGCTCTCAGCGTTTCGACCTCTTCAATCCCAACCGCAACCATTAACGCGTTGGATTTCACCCCCTTCACCACGGATCATCAGCAACCATGGCGTTCTTCAACCCCAAGTACATCGACTGCACCGCAGCACCGCAACCAACACAGCTTCGATCAGGACTTTCTGCTCTTCGCGAACCCAGAGACCGGACATCCAGTCTCGACTCCAGCCTCGCGTGCGCAGGCGACCTTGTGTACAGGCCCTAATCAAAGACTCTTGCAATCCCGACATCTCTCCATCAACCACGGAGTGTCGCCTGTTCAGTCTTCTCTGTCTCCGTCGCTAGCCCATTACGATCATCGGTCTTTCTCAAGTCCAGCTTTGCAACAACCACAACTCAAGCAACAGAATTTGCACCAGCTCGCTCATTTGCAGCGCCTACCGCCTGTTCCATTGTTTGATCCATCCACCACGTCTGTTACTCAACGTAGAAACCCCTCGACTCAAAACATCCCACAAGGTATTTACCGCGATCACCAGGTCACAACCTCCAGACCACTAATCTTATATCCAGGTCCCATAATGTCGACCGCATTTGATTCCCTCTTCCTCTCGGGAGGTGACATGCTCGCATCCCAGGACGACTTCTTCAACTTTGAAGCCAACTATCAGCCTGCTAATTTCACTGCTGTCAATTCTGGAGCATATGTCAAGGACGGCACCGTCTCGCCCACCGAATTGTTCAAGGATGATTCCATGGTCATGTCGGCCCCGCCATCGACAGCCTTCCCCTACCTAAGCACTCCAGAATCCGGCTACCTCGAGTCACCAGCCATGCCCAGCAGCGGTTTGAACACCTCTCCGCTGGATGATGGTTTGCTCGATGGTCAGTTAAACTTCTCCGAGCTCGACAGCATGGCTCCATTGTTTCCTCAAGACAGTTTTGATCAATTTGCTCAACCGCTTATGACTGCCGCTCCTACGAAGCATCATATGCCGACCAAGACATCCCCGCCTGCGACCATGGTTCGACAGAAGTCTTCTCCTGGTCGCCCGCCCTCCGTGCCATTCAGTCACGGACGCAAGCACTCGGATGCCCACGGTATCAGCAAGTCTTCCAAATCGCGCAAGGCTTTGGAAGAGATCACAATTGACAGTGAGGATGACAAGGAGACGGCGAAGAGGAAAAAGAATACTGCTGCCGCGAGGAAGTCTCGGCAGCGGAAGCAGCAGCACGTGGAGATCGCCGAGGCTGAAATCCAGCGCCTGCGGGCTATGGTCTACCGTCTTGGTGGTAATCCTGACGATGGGTTTGAGGAGTGATGTGGATCCCTTTTCTTCAACATTGGTTCTTGTTCGCAAACGCATTGGACGACAATCGACGCTGTGACCCATCCTTTGGGTGGTGTCTCATGCAGCTACATGACGCTTGGGGTTGGGGATATTTTTAAAAGGCTTAAGCCAGGTGGGCTGCCTCCCAACTGCCACGTCGCATTTCTTTTTACATGGTCATTGTTTTTATCAGCTTCGGCAAGCCATCATCGGAGTTGATGAGTTCTCACGAAGAGACTCAGGCTTCTCCAAGCTGTTACAGCATTTATGGCTACGATTGTTTTTCAAACCCAACTCACCTTCTCGACTGCGTAAAAGTGGTGGAGTCTGCTTGGTTGGGAAAATGTTGATTTTGTTATGACACATGGCCGGTTCTGACTGTCTCCCTCTTGCATGCTAGCATGCCTGATGGATTGACTCGTGGCCTTGAGTTTACTTGCTTTTATATCCAACTGTGGTCATGGCGTCCTCTCCGGGACAAGTTGCGATGACCCAGCCACAGTCTTTTTCATAGAACTCGTTGCGAGCATGAAAATGACTTGCACACCTCCATCCTCATATGAGTGTTTTGGAGAAAATTGAACACAGATCAATCCCTTGTAATCTTTCTTCCTGCTTCTAGTGATAACCATCGGCCTGCGTTTTGTGCATTATCGCGTACCAGATATCTGTAGGCACCTCGTAATTTATTGGTTACAACAGCTTTGCGTTCGAGAGCGAGTACTCTTTCTCGAGGTGGTTTTGGTTGTCTCAGTTCTCAGACCCATGAGGCTCACATGACAGTGCATACGCACTAATCCTTTTCGGAGAAAAGTCCTTCGCTAGAAGGGTCTGAGCTCCAATACGTATAATTAGGCTATCTTCGCGTCCGCGTCAAGCAAAATAATATTGGTTTTCATCGTATTTTCTAGTTCTTCTATATTATCTTAATATCGTGTACGATACCCTCCTAAGTTAGTTAACGCTTCGCCAAATGAAAACTTTGGACGGAATAGATTCCCGAATCCCACATGCGACAGAGCTGCTATCTTCGCCTTCATCATCACATGCTTTTTATGCTTGATCATGTTTATGGCGGACCCGCCGATTCCCAACAGAATATCGCGCTTTATGTAGAGTGCTTATCTACGACCTATCCTAAAACTGAAGATAAACCTTAGATCCAGATCTTGGGACGTTCTCATCAAACCTAGGACTCAGATCCTTGGAAAGTAATGACGTTCTGCTTACAGATCTGCCAACCCGGTATAGTGAGCCAAATAATTACTGCACCATGATCGGAACATCGACTTTCGACTATATATGGGTCAGGTCATGGGTTTTCATACTGCATTCGATTGCACCGATCTGCGTTACCTATTGCGTTTCGACGCTGTGCATGCCGACTACCTACAGACTTTCAATCTTCGTCGAATATTGGGCCTTGGCAGAGACCATCTTCTGTCTCGTTTTCTATCTCTATCAAAGACATAAACTCCAGCGTCCAGCCCTACATCCTCCTGCCCCGTCGAAAGAGGAGCGACAGAAACTCTTCCGACTCTGTCATGAGAGTACGCAGGACCCCGTCCGATACTTGTCGGGCTGGTTCTTCCACGCGCCTCTGACCGCCGTGAAGCGCGAGAACGTCAAAGAGTTCTTTCGATGGGCATTTTTTAACACGGACCTGAACGATCCCTCCTACGACGATGAAGTGGAAGGATATGTGAAGAGCATCGAACATGGCACCGGATTGAATTTCGAGCACGGACGTGCCGATGTCAAGTGTCTACGGTTGACCTTGGACAAAGTCGATGCACTCCATCGAAGTCTAGTGTGGTACTCAGTAAGCTTCTCCTTCTGTTCTCGAATTGCTAGTGTTAACGTTCTTGTTGTGTATCTTCGTCGTCGACATCCTCACGCATGCCTACATGCGCCTCCACCACTTCCGCCACTACCGTGCTTCAATCACCCACTTTTTCGACGTCTTCCCCCTGCGGCCGCAATCACTCCTGGAAATCCACCGTTCTCCAGCCCAAAATCTGACATACTGGTATCGCGCTCATACTTCTCGGGCGGAGTTACCGATTCTGTTCCTCCATGGTATCGGAGTTGGCCTGTACCCTTACATGGAATTCCTGAAAGAATTGAATCAAGGACGCCGGGCCGAGGATGGCATCATCGGGATCCTTGCAGTTGAGATGCTGTCCATCTCGTCTCGAATCACGTCACCTTTGCCACGGAAGCGAGAAATGTGTCGACAGCTTCGGACCATTTTACAGCACCATGGGTTTGAGCGGTACATATTGGTGTCACACTCGTATGTCTGTCCATTACTATCGAAGATCCATTACTAACGTCACCCGAAGATATGGCTCAGTAATCTCCACACATCTTTTGAAGACGCCCGAACTAGCAAGCATGGTCGCCTCGGTTATTCTCGTCGACCCTGTCTCCATCCTACTTCATCAACCGGATGTTGCCTATAACTTTGTAAGACAGTTCCTCATACATATCTTGCAAGAATGAACCGCGTGGCTGACACTGAGACCAGATTGTACGCAGACCCAAGCTCGCCAACGAATGGCTTTTATGGTACTTTGGCTCTAAGGATATGGGAGTAGCGCACACACTCTCCCGCACATTCTTCTGGTCTGAGAACATCTTGTGGAAGAACGACCTTCGGAACCATCACGCCACTGTCTTCCTGGCCGGCAAAGACTCGATCATCAACGCCCCTCTCGTTTATGAATATTTGCAAGCAACTGGTGGAGGCGAGGGTAATAAGACCAAACGTGTCAGCTTTCACAGCGATGACATTCCGGCAGACTATGATTCCGAAAAGGCCGTGCCAGAAAAAGACCATAGCGGCGATGACAGGCTGAACGTGGTGTGGTGCCCGAACCTCGATCATGGCCAGATATTTGATCTGCCGCCCTGGAGGAAACAGCTTGTGGAAGAGATTCTTGCGCACGCGAGAGGTGACTTGCCCGTGCCACACAAGGGACGTTAGACGTTTAGGTTAGGGTGTAACTGTAAGATGAGTTGACCTCAAGGCCGTCATGGGTTTTTATATCTTAAGCTGCTAAAACTTGTCTTGTCTGAGACCCTCGACTTCTTTGTCTATCGCATTTCATGCTGGATTCCTGGATCTACCTAACCCAACCATACCGTCACTTTGGTACCCGGTGCGCTTGACGGTGTGGTTCCCACTGCTATCCGACCACCCAATCGAGGCACTGATAGGAGTAATGGATATCCGACAGCAGGCGTCCCAGGCGGTGTGCCATCTCTCGACGACGCGAGTTTCAATGTGTGTGCTGGGTCTTGGGCAGACTAGGACATTGTGTACCTGGACACATTGCTAGTGGGAGCCAGAAACTTACCTGTCTATGCGTCATCAATGGACGCAAGCCGGGGAGATACAGAACGTCTGAGTCTGGAGAACAAAAGTTATGAAGGTCCTCCAGAGCGGCCCACATCTCTCGTCTGTTGTAAAAGGATAGGTAGCTGCCATTTTCTTGGCCAGTCGTCCTCACTCGGAAAACAACTTATAGATACTCGGGGCCACTTCCGTCAATGAATGATCTTTAGCCAACTCTTTCCCTCAGGTCAGGAGTTTCCGGCCTCGGCGCTCCTGACCTTAAGTCTACACAGGCGAAGTGCAGATCACTGGAGGACACGACCCCATGTCTGAACACACCAACATCACGATTAGTTACTAGAGGTCTGGAGCGTGTTAGTAATGCAGATACATAGCGGAAAGATGAACGATGATTGTTCTTTTTGACATTGACTAGTCATCGTGTTTCACAACCTCGTACGAGTACCAATCCATGGTTATGCAGCTCACAAAATTCGAGGCTTCGAGCAATACTTCATGTGGAGAGAGTCAAGGTGAGGTTGATATATTCGCTTCCACCATGGTCGACCGGCCTCTTTGTATGGAACTTGCAGCTTGCTGTCAATAAGTGGCCCAGATTCCATGACTTGAAAAGGGACTGTGCGTGTCATGCCGAGAGGGTGACTGGCATGAAGAAGCGAAGTCGTCGTGCTGCAGCTTCTCAAAGTTGGGCAAGATATTGCGGATATAACGGGGAAAGGACGTGTCAACGAGTCTTTCTGTTCTTGTCGCCGGAGAAATGCCAAGTCTCGCAAGGGTTGCTCCTTAAGAGGCCTAGCCTCGTCTGCCTCACCTCTTTCGATGTCGACGGATTCCTAGTAACTCCGTATATCAGACATTGTGCTTGAACATGTATAAAATACTCTACTGATCATGCCTCGCATATCAAGTAGGTAAGGAAGTTTCCATTCGCCTCAATTTCCCTTTTAGACCCTTTCCGCTCCTATCAGCAAGACAAGGCAAAGCCATTGTTGTCGTGTTCATCATGTCTCAGTCCCCTCGTGTCGTCCTCATAACCGGCGCGAACAGTGGCGTGGGCCTCGCCGCGACCAAAGTCCTCATAACAGCTGCCGAAGAATTTCACGTCATCATGACTGGCCGGTCTCTCGAGAAAGTACTCGCCGCGAAAAACGAGATATCGTCATCAAATCCAGAAAGTGCATCTCGTCTGTCAACTATTCAGTTGGACGTCACCGATTCCTTGTCCGTCGAGGCCGCTGCCAAGCAAGTCCATGAGACATGGGGCCATCTCGATGCCTTGATCAACAATGCCGCCGTCGGCAACATTCAGTCGCCGGACGTTCGGGTGCGGTTCCAGACGTGCCTTGAGACCAACGTGACTGGCGCGGCGGCTGTCGCTGATGCGTTCCGACCTTTACTGCTCAAGGCTTCTGGCAAGCCGTATAGTATCTTTGTGTCCAGTGGTGCGGGGTCTGTAGGTGCTCTTCCTTTCTCTTTCTCCGCCTCTGTCCACCTATGGAGCGGGAAATCGTCTCCTTGCGGTCTGAAAAAGTCGATGCCAGATACACACTATCACTACCGTAAACTTAAAGGAAGTGCTAAGGGCATGGTCACAGCGCCGACTGACTTGTTATCGCAGTTCTCACGCACGTCGGCACGTCTTTTCGCGCCCAACACGCCGAATTTCCCGTCGCCCCCGAATCCGACTGCTTACCACGCGTCCAAGGCGGCGTTGAACATGGTGGCTCTATTCGAACATGCCGACTATGGGAATGAGATCAAGGTATTCGCTATGAGCCCAGGGTTCGTCGTGAGCAATTTGCGAGGCACGACCGAGGAGTTGCGGAGTGGATGGGGTCTGGCAGGAGCTCCGATAACAGCCGGGGAGACGTTGCTGGCCATCCTCAAGGGGGAAAGGGATGCGGATGTGGGTAGATTGATCCATAAAGATGGTGTGTATGATTGGTAGACCTTTGGTCCCATGAGAAGTTCTTCGAGACAGAAATCAAATTGGAACATCTATGCAATTTTTCGACTCATTATTAGCTATTACTATCCTAACTAGGTCTGCCTATGTGCTTGGCTTTTTCATGGTCATGCTTGGACAACGAATCCTCGAAGATTTGAAGTCATGCCAATGGATATCACCAATGACATACCAACAAAGTCCACCAACTGCTGAAGCTATTGAAGAAGAGCTGCGTCCCAACCAAGACCAACTCAATGCCATTTTGCACCGGAAAGCCACAAAGGACTAATAAGCCTTCTGCTTTCCTTAGGCAGATCCTTCTCCCTTGTTATCCAGTAGACACTTGTATTCGACGGGGTATCTCTTCGTAAGAACAAGACTTGCTGAGTTGGGGTATCTGGTACTTGAAAAACAAACAAACCAAAAAACAACGATGACCATCTCCATCTAGTAGTGGTGGGGTATCCTGAAAAGCAAGGCAAAACAAAACGAAAATGAGCGATGTCCGAGTTTGTCGTCAGTCCCAAAAAGATCTGAGATGAAAACCAAAATCAGACGTGAACCATGTCAGGCTACCTCAAACGCCGAGGCCAGAGGGACGAGAAGGGCTGCGAGGAGGTAGCGATGGAGTGCTGTAGTTGTTCTCATCCCACCACTTCTCAAACTCAACTGGACTTTGAGCGCGAGGCAGTCCCGCTGGATGAGACAGAGATGTGCGTGGAGTTTTGTCCCTGACCTCGGAGGCCCTTCAAGCCGTGGCTTGGACCTCTCGAGCAGCGGGGACCACAGGCTCGGGGTTGGTGATAGCAGGTTCTTCTGGGATGGCTTCGGTCTTGGTGTGGGTCTCCTCGGCTTCGGGGACAACGGCTGGGGTTTCCGAAGTCGCGGTCTCAGCAGTCGCAGCTGATTCGGTGGTAGTCTTCTCCTTTGATCCGTCCGATTTCACCGCCTTGCTAGCACGTCGTACAAGGTTGCCAATGAATTTGCCGGGGGCAGGGGATTTCTCCCGCTTGGACCCCTCAACACCATCCTTGGTTTCGCTGGCATCGGTTCGCTTCTTGTTGAAGAAGAAGGAGCTGCGGCGCTCCTCGTTACGAGCAGGTCGCTCTTCCTTGACAGCAGGAGTCTCAACAGCAGCGGTCTCGGTTGGGGCACCAACAACAGCAGGTTCGGTTGCTTCTGTGCTGGCGGCGGCAACAGGGTCTTTGGCAATGGCTTCGGTGCCCTTGTCCTCTGAAGTCGTCTCCTTGGGAGCTTCCTTGGCCTCCTCCTTGTGCTCTTTCTTTCCTTCCAACTTAGCCTCTGTCTTCTTGATGAAGCCCAAGAAGCCGCCCTTCTTCTCGGTCTTGGGGGCACTCGTAGGCTCGGTTGTAGCAGGTGTGGTGGTTGCCTCTGCGATAGGCTCCGCAGCAGTAGGAGTCTCAACGGTATCAACAGGTGCGGTGACTGCGGCAGTGTCGATGGGCTTGTTCTCGATTGGCTCCTCGAGCTTTGGCGCTGTCTCGGAGACAGGTGGCAGGTTGAGGGCTGCGCTGGCTTCCTCTTCCGACTTCTCCGCAGTTGGGCTAGTGACACGCTTGTAGAAGCTTCCAAAGACAGAGCCACGCTTGTTCTTCTTCTCAGTAGCTGGAGTAATTGGCTCCTTGTCGGTCTTGCTGTCAGTAGGGCTAGCAACAGTGGGAACACCAGCGACGCCAGCAGCCTCAGTGGCCTCAATGGCCTTGCTGGGCTCCTCGGTAGTCTGGTCAGCTTCGGCCTTCTTCTCCTCCTTCACCTCTTTCTTGTGCTCGGCCTTCTCTTCCTTCTTGGCATCATGTTCTTCCTTCTTGCCAATCAGACCGCCGAAGATGCTGCCACGCTTGCGAGATTGAGAACGATCCTTGTTCTCCTTCTTGACCTCCTCTTTCTTGACTTCGTCAGCGCTAGTGGCAGAGGTGCTTGCAGTTTCAGGTACCGCAGCCGCAGAGGCGGCAGTGCTAGCATCGAGAGATTTCTTGGGTTCCTTTGACTTGGAACGGGTGGTCGCGGGGACGGTGGTAGCAACAACGGCAGGTTTAGCTAGAGCGGCATTAGTCGCCGATCATTGGCGGGTCCAGAATCGGTGACGAAAGATGAAAACTTACCGTAGTCGTCGATGTTTTTCTTGTAGCTTTCACGTTCTCTAACATCTTCCTTCAGTACCTTGGCTTCTTCAATACCCTTTTCAATCGCAACAACCCAGCTGTCACGTTCTCTGGGCCCAACAGCCTCGAAGCGGTGTTGGTGGGTGCCGGCCTTGAAAGAGAAATTGCTGAAACCTTCCTTGGTGACGTTTGAGGCATCAGCCTGAACAATGTCAGATTATGGCAGTCCACAAAGAAGTTCGACATACGTACCAGGTTGATGATGCCAGCAGGGGTCGCCTTATCCTCAGCACGCTTGGAGAAGAACAACAAGCCCTTTCCGGTCTCACGTGCCCAGGCCGCAGAATAGTGCTTCGCGTCGTCCTTCTCAGATCGCAGGAAAGTAGAAAGGGATTCGGCCGTCAATGGTTCCTCGGAGAACCAGAAGTAGTGCTTTGAGTAGAAGAATCTCCTGTAAGTCATTAATCAGCTATTGTGTCCCCAAAGTCAGTAAGGGGTGCAATGGACATACTTCAACAGAGTTGGCTCCTTGTATCCCAGGATTCCTTCTGAAATAGGAACAGCCGAGACGGCCACTTCATCCTTCTTCAAGTCATCCTTGGCGGGGACTGCAGGCTCCTCAGTAGTCGCGGGGGCAGTCTCTGTGGTTGGTTCAACAAGGGGAGCAACAGCAGTTTCCTCGACTGGTGCAGCTGGTGCCTCAGGCTGTTCAGGTACAGTCTTGGTATGCTCCACAGCAGGCGTCTCCTCGACAGGCTTTGGTGCTTCGACAGACATCTTGATCAACGCTGACTGAGGCTATGTGGTATTGGGAACGAAGGTTGGTGAAGGGAGGGAGTATCGAGAGATGGCAAGAAAGAGATATTACAATGTAAGTATGTCTGAATGCCGTCAGGACCAGACGCAAGGGATGTTTACAATGGCAACCACGGTCTGTGTAACGTGGAGGTCAAGGGAATGGATTGAAGAGCAATTAAGATTGAGGAGGTGAGAAAAAGAGCAGGTAGCAAGAAGATAGATGGATGCTCTTGGAAATTAGAAGATGTTTGAGCAAGGAGAGAAAGGATTGGATGTGGGAGGGATTTCGCGAGATTATACCAGAAAAAGGGCGTGATGAGACAAGACTTTCTCGCCTGGCCGCCGCCTCCTGGTGAGTGTGTCGTGGGTTTTTTTGTTTTGACCTGCCAGCCTGGGGCTCCGTTGTCCAGTCAAGATGATGGCGGTTGGAAGCCTAGGGAGATTTGGAGGCTTGCCAAAATGGCGCGCTAGGCCTCAAGTTCTAGCAATTGTCCAGTTAAAAGAAAGACTCTCACGTACACTAAAGACGGTCCACAGCTTTAACTAAAACTGGACCTCAAACATTTCAAGAACGGGCCCAATCCGATTTTAAAGAACTCCACCGCCAAAGAATTCCCTAGCCTTGGCTTCAGGATCGTCTATAGACTCTAGGGCAATGGAATGCAAATGGCAGGTCGCTTGCTTACAAGACTAACTCACTCGGTGCAATATGTTAGTCACCTAACTTCGAGTCAAGTGTCCTTGAGGAACCTTGACACATGGAGGTATGTCTCTGCCCGTCTTGTCTTCCTTGGGTGTCAGGGTGGTACGTATGGTGCAAATTTGCCTTGCACCCATACAACTATCGTTTCTCTTATCGTGGACACTGGTCTTATGACCATGTCTTGGCCAATCTTGATATGGTGATACGGTCAGACTGATGCTATGTTATGCATAGTATACGTGACAGGTATCTCTCCTTCTAGAAAGGATCCGCTAGTCATGCCTCAGCACCAGGTCATCAATCGTTTTCGAGAGCGATCGCCAATGCGATGCAATTGAAGTCGAGGGCTAGGAAAGTCAGTGGTCGACTTCCTCCATTGATCAGATGTTCTTAATGCACGACTTGCAGGACTGACTGCATCCCCTAGGTTTCGGATATCATCAGACCACGAAAAGATATCGCAAAGGGTTGGTGGTCATGCGACCATTCAAAAATCGCTCTGCAGAATGACGTGCTCCTACATTCCTTGCCACCAGTCGCAAGCCGGCCACTGCTTCGTGAAGGATAGTATCCCGAAGATGTAGTCAAGCAAGCGCAACAAGAAGCATGTGCTAGCTGAGCATATTTAGCCAGGGCCGTAAGCCCATTAGGTTGGGATGTAGTTAGCATACTTCACAGTAGCGCATAGACGGAGCATTCTGCTGCGTCTTCCATGTCGGTCACCTTCTCTTGTCACTTACCGCCATTCCAGTGTTGCAAGCTCGAAAGTACCATGTAGGATGATCGGGGTTGTGCAGGGGAGTGGTATATATGGTCGTAGGTGATGCAGAACAGGGCCATCACTTGCCTATCATTCCCAAGGCCCATTGTGTTGACGGAACATTTTTTCATGCACAGCGGTATCCCACTCACACTCCACCTTTGCATGCGCCGTCGATCCTCAAAAGGTCGAAAATTTCCTCTCTTCAGATTTCGCTCGACTCAATATCACCTGATGTTCAATATACAACAATCTTGAGCTCTTGCGAGGAGTGCTCCGTACAGAATGTTGGATCGTCCATGGCCAACACGACCTGGACAATTTATTCCCGCGACAATGTAGATGTGCAAGGACATTGAAATTCCTGGCTTCCAAAATTGCTCAAAAGATAGGACTCCGCTCATTTCAAGGGTCAAATCATCAAGCTGAGACTGTGGGACGGATGGCTTGCAGAAAAGCTCGGACCCTCCTTGGGGCCCTCTCACTTACAGGAATCAGGCATGGTGTCATACCAAGGTGGCCCTGCACTTGTCGCCCTGAGATTGCAGAGATCGATGCTGCAGTACTTCCGTGAAAATCGCTCCGTGATCGCGCTGCACTTGACAAGAAACACATGACTCTACAACGATCGCAGTGAGCCTCCAAGTTTCTGAGTTGGGAGCAAAACTCGATGGAGAAGAAAGGAAAGTTCCATGTAGAAAGAAAAAGTTTTTTGGGCCTGACGGAGAATTACTTACCTTATGGCGAAGATCCGCCTGACACCTGCCACCAAGGCTAAGGAAGCAAGGGAACTCCCGCCCGCCAGACATGTGATAAGAATACGGAGTACTCCGACTCGTATGATCGAGGGCGGACAATAATAATAACAAGTGGCATGCTTTTATCTAACTGACCAAAACATACATTTTTGAGCCTCGTAGCCAGGACTCTATGCTTACACACCTGGGTAATCCTTTTCCAAACCATCATCGGAGCTGCATTGAATAGAGCCAGCCGTATCAGCCCGCCGTCGTCAAGATATACGACGTGATGGCGTCCATCCTCTCTTTCGTCAATTTAAGACTGATAACAAGCAATTCTTGAGCAACATCCGGATCGTGCGTCTGCATCTCGTGCCACCTGTTGTCATCAAGTAACCACGTCACACAGTCTTTCTCCGCCACCGTTGTTGCTGTTCGTGGCGTATGCGAGAAAAATGGCAGTTCCCCGCATGGCCGACCTGCCACGATCAACTCGGAATATTTGCCCTGCGGCAGGTCATAGTCCGCACGCAAGATGCCTTCCTCAAGCAGATAGAAGCCGTTGGGGTCGTCGCCAACCCGGAACAGAACGGATCCTTGGGGGAACGTGACTCTTTCGAAATAGTGAGTTGCCCGGTACCAAAAATCTTCGTTCTTATCAGAACAATCCGCAAACACTTGAAGTAGAAGAGGGAGCGGCTGCTTGAAGGAATGCCACTTGGTGACGCTCGATGTGTCTTCATCAAGTGTGCTCTGTGCCACCTGGTGAAGCAGATTGCGGCGCGGAGAGCTGCCCATGAACTCAGCCTTGTACGACTGTGGCATTTCTTGACTTCCTCGATTGCGAGGTACATCCAGGTGAGGCGCCGCCACGCGTTTCGCCCGTCGATGTTCCTGTTGCCTGTATAATGCGGTCAACAACTTGTTCTCGCAATGCTCGAGGGCGTCATTGAGATCCGCGAAAATCTGTACTTCCGAGTCCTCGGCGAACAGTCCAACGTTACGCAAAGCTTGCCCAATTTCGTCATCGACATTCATGCCGCTGATCACCAGTCCTACTTTGCGCTTTTGCAGTAATCGGTTGATTCTTGTGAAAGCCTCGGCAGCCGAGAAGTCGATGCCGTTGATATGAGCCATGTCCAGTACCAGAAATCTCAGAGGCCTGTCCGCGAAGGCGTCTTCTTCCAAGAGCGCCCGTATCCGATTCTCGACGCCAACAATCGTACCGAAAAACAGGAACCCGGCCAATTTGATGAGGAAGATCTGGTGGCCCGTCTCTTTCAGGAAGTTCAGCTGTACCGGAGGTCTTCTGACCAGTGACTTGGCAATGTCTCCAGAATAAGTCACCCTGATGGCCGTCCTGCGTGAGGTCTGCACAACAAAGCTCACCGCAGCGAGGACAATGCCAACCAAGATGCCAATGACGAAATCCCAGACACCCATAGTGACGACAATGATGACAATCGTGGCATACTCAAGTCTGTGCACTTTACCCCAGGTTCCAACAAGGGCCTCTTCGAGAAGCTCGATTCCGAGAAGGAAGATCAAAGCGCCCACCACCATGATAGGAATGAATCCTATAATAGTAGGTCCGGCTAACAAAATGCCAAAGGTCGCTGCTGCGAGTAGTAGACCCGCGAGGCGATCATCACCGCCGCTATCCATAAATAGTAAGCTGTTTGTATAGACCAGGTAATTCTGAACACTTCCGAAAAGCCCACTCAGGCAATTCGAAACACCGTGCGCAACGAGCTCGCGGTCAACGTTCAGATTGTCCTCGCCTGTGGAAATGCCCAGCGCAGGGACGTTGATGGGAACATGCAGCACTCCGAAAAATGTCAAAGCGAACATGGCCGGAATAGTGTCTGCCAATGCGCCCCAATGAACCGCCTTGAAGTCGTATAGCGTATAGAAGTGGTACCAAGGATTTCCAGCCGGTGGTGGATCGAAAACCCAGCCCTTCGAATGAAGCGTGTCCATTTGGATCCCCAAAGCAAACTTGAAAAAGTAGAAGATGGCACCCACGGATATAAAATAGCCACCGACCAAGAGATTTGATTTCACATGGCGTTGTATGATGATGAGAGTGACTGCGAGCAAAAGTGGGACGATCCAGAGTGCAATGGTGTCTCCTCGAAAGAGCTGCTTGAGCGTGTGGAAGTTATATTCGAGGTTCCCAGGAAGTCGAGCTGAGACTTCGACACCAGTGGCAACAAGAAACCAGCCGACACCTCCAATACATCCAATGAGAATATGCCGCGGAAAGAAGCCAATCAAAGATCCCAATTTGCACGCTCCCATGAGGAAAAAGACGACACCGGTAAGTAAAGCACTGATTGAGAAGGACAGTATGGTCGTGGCTAAGACGGCCTTACTGTTCTCCTCTCCGACCTTGTTCAGAATGGTGAAAGCCATCTTGTGAAAGAACGGCACCACTTCGATCATTTCTGACCCAATGCCACCCCGAAAGACTGACCCGCCAGATGAGTAGACCAGCTGAGCCATGATAGTGCTGACATAGAACATGGCAATGCCATCGGAACCTAGATTGTCGAAGACGGCATTGCCGAGGGGGAACAGAATCATGCCATAGGAAAGGGCGTCCAAGATATTTAGGAGCAGGCCTAGAAAGACAGCGGGGAAAAGACTGACGGGGTGTATAACAACCTCCTTGTAGATCGTGCGTCGGTCCCAGGTCTTGGGGTGAGAAAGAGTATAGAGGCATGACTGGACCTTCTTAGTTGATGCCCGCCACTTTGAAGAGGAGCTATTGTTGTCTGACACTTGCCCTTCGACGTCGCCTAACTGGCCATACTGAACAGAAGTTTTGCGGTCACCCAGGAGAGCCGACCTTTCGTCTGGCACAGATTGCTCCGCCACGTCAGAAGACGTCGGAGTTTCATAAGTGCTTCTATGGTGTCCATTATGGCTTGTATTCAGGTTCTGGCCCTCCTCTTGTTCGGAATAGCTCTGTATCATCATGGCCAGCTCGGACTGTACGGGCTCGTCAGCAGGCTCGTGGTCCTGGCTTTCCGGTGATACGGGCTCGGATACCTCTAGGATCGGATCGGGTAGGCCGTCGTCGGAAGAGGAAGAGGGGCTCCGCGGCTCGCTGTCTAGGTGGGAGGCATTGTCAGACACAGCCAACGAAGCGAGATCCGCCGTTTGATCCCGTAGTTCTGCGGATGAAGAGTATTGGGCAGGATCTAGTTGACCGTGGAAGGACCGGCGGAAGAAGGACCTGGCTGGCGTCCTGGCGGCCGCTTGACTAGATGTAGAACTTGCTCGAGTCCTGCGTGAAGTGTGAGGACGGTCTCCGACAGCGAGTGTGTTACTGTCATCTGTGCTGCGGTCACCTTGAGATCTTCTGGAAGGAGAGGCAGGTAGGCCAGCTGGACGGGCTTTTGAGGCGTTAGAGGTATGGCGAGCATGTTGCTTGCCCGGGACACTGGTCGACATTTGGGCGTTTTATGAGATAGCCATCGCCCCGCAGATAGATAAACACAAACTCGCGTCTTTTACTGGTGAGTGACGAACACTGAAAAGCCTTGAAGGTTCCTATTCGTGCCAGACCATGAGTATGCTTTGGTTGCGCCAGAGGTGCAGGACATGAGCAAGATGCAAGTGGAGAGACCTCAGGACAGAACAGGAACGAGTCTTGCGACGTTTGAAACAATTCCTCTTCTTTCTCGATATTGCCAGTTATCTATGTGTCTTCCACGTAGCTCCAGTCGTATCCACATTCGTGTCGAGGGTCGTCGTGTGTTGGGAGGAAGTCATGGTACCATTTTGATGCGGAGGAAATTTTTGCCTGCAGGTGAGTGGAATGATGCGGATTCGCGGATCGAGATGTCGGCACTCGTTTTAGGGTCACCAACCAGTGACAAAAAGACGTTGCACGTTGTAAAAAATCTGTTGCTGCTGGTGATCAAGGCATAATGCAGCAGAATAGTGCAGCAGTGGCCATGGTCGTGCCACTAAAGATAACAAACGACTGGGGGAGAGTTTACGCTTAGCGACGAAAAAACGTAAGGTAACGCAGGATCGTCGTGCAGATGCAAAAGCAATGGAGCTGCATGCAATTCCCCGCTTTACCTGAAGAGCCACAGTTGCAAGGCCTGGTCCCCAATAACCGATTTATCGAAGAAGAGAGTCACGGCTCGCGAATAGTGCATATGTCTTAGGCATTGGGGACGACAAAAGCATGAACAGTACTAAGAGTAAGCAGGTGATGACTACATTTCGGACAACCATAACAGCATATACCAGGTCATTCATGCTTCAACCCTTCCAGCCAGACCACCATCCTCTTTTTGATGATAACCCCAACCAGTTTGCCAGTACCTTCTTCTGTCACACACAGATGTCTCAAACCCAACTTACCAAACATCTCAGCCGCATACTCCATGGGGGCTTTGGCGTTGATCGTCAGCGGGGTCTTGTCCACAAAGTGTGACATGTCAAGCTCTCCCTCGTGCTCAATTAGCACAATGCTAGAGGACGCGGGCAACAACCGGACTAAGCAGCCTTCGGAATACGTCTGACCCAAGGTTTCGAGGCCGAATACCAGTTCGCCCTCAGCAAGATAACCCTGCAGCATATCTCTCTGAACAAGAACTAGTCCGGCGTCCATGAGCCCTCGGCGTCGAAGCTGCTGCAACTTTTCGTTCAACAGTGCTCGAGGAACCACACCATTCTGAGGGATGTCGACTGTGATCTCGCGCATCGTCTGAGGTGGCGGAATTAGCTCCTCAACGAGGTGAGGCTCCTTCTGAACCAATTTCATAGCGTGGTCAAGGTCAAGGAACGGGTGCCCCAGGACGCTCTGTGCAAGGTCGTAAACCCCTTCACGCTCAAGAGCGTCTGCCACCCACTTAGCCACCATGATACCAATCATATTCGGCACAATAAACTCGAGTTCACCCGTCAATTCGAACATGATCACGGCGAGTGAGATTGTCATCCGGCTGACACCAGCCAAGAATGCCCCGGCGCCCACCATGGCGAAGATACCAGGCGAGATCGTTTGTGCCAGAAATGGAAGTTGACCCACCAACCTTCCGAAGAAAGCACCTCCATCAAGTGCAGGGATGATAACGCCGGAAGGAACTTTGATCCCGAACGTAATGATGATCAGGACGAGTTTTACAAGAGTGCCATATACAAGCCAGCCAAGGTACTTCGCGGTGGGTGCCGCTTGTCCTTCTTGTGTACACACGTAGTCCGTCCTCGACTCGTCCCTGCAATCCACCAGAAGGTTTTTGATGATGACATCGCCAGGCTCTCTTGTGAGTGGGTTGGGGTATTGTAAGAGTGCGGTCGCCAGGACCACCAAGAAGACCTCAAAGACGGGATGATTCTTGATGATGCTGTACTTGCGGAAGTTGCGGGACCAGAAGAAGTTTGCCTTGCAAAAGATACCTCCGAATAAACCTCCCGCAATACCCAGAACAACGAACACCGGATAGTGGTAGGGCTGGTAACTTGTGCCATAGCCAGTCTCGAACAACACCAGTCGCCCAGTACCAGTTGGATTCAGAGCTTTGAGGGTCATCGCAGCGAAGAGAGAGCAGATGAACGCTCTCCACAAAACCTTTCGGGGAAAGTAGGTCGATATTTCTTCGTACGCGAATAGCACACCCCCGATCGGTGCTCCGAAGGCAACGGACAAACCACTTGAGCATCCGGCGGAAAGAATTTCTCGAAGTTTGCGGCCATTCTCACGATACTTGGGGAAGCGCATACCCACCAGGTATGCCACACATGTTGAGATGTGGACGAAGGGGCCTTCCTTACCCAAGGTCATGCCTGTAGATACCGCGAACACAGAGCCAACAGCCTTGACCACCAACACATTCAAGTCGAGGAAATGTGGAATCACGAACCCTGACAGGATAGTTTTGATCTCCGGAATGCCACTGCCAGCTGCCATGTACATGGACTTGCCAGACGGGGTGGACTTTGCAGTAGTGTCATTGCTCTCCCCCGTGCGTTTTTGCAAAGGCCCTTTGTCCCCCGATCCTGGCGCGGTAGCTGGTAGAGCTCTTTTTGTGGTCAAGGTAACAGTACCGGCGATGATCCCATACACCAACGCGAATCCCACGTATATGCAGAAACCAGACCAGTAGCTATCAGTCCAATATGTCCACTCCGAGCATGTTTCCCCGGTATCAGCAGTCGAGTTTAATGGCGATCGTCCCGTACAGCAAGATTCCTTGCTTGAGAATGGGTTGGTCTTGCAGTATCCTGTTTTCCAATCGCTGACAGTGGCCACCGAGACGTCCACCAGGAAGGCTACGATTGCTGTCAAGGTGCCAATGAGCGCTGCAGCAATCCATCCTTCGCACGAATCGAACGCAGACAAGAGGCTATTTCGGAGTCCTTTCTGGCCGTGAATCGAACGGTAGCGAAAGGAATCTTTGACCTGCAAGTGGTTAGTATGCCCTGTTGAGCTACACAAGTCGCTACTCACTAGATCGTGCAACCAGTCGATGGTGGTATAGTCGTTGTATGGTAGACGTTCGCCAACCGCAGTTTCACCCAAAACTTGCTCCTCTTTACTGACGTGGGACGAGATCACGGAGGCAGCGTCTACGCTGCCACGTGGCAGCAACTGCGACCTCTCGTCAGCGTGTTCTTCGTCTTGAGCCATCCTGTGTAAGATGCGACATCCACACTGCGCATGGGGAAATGGCTTTACCAGAAGTCATCTTGCTCAAAGTTCAGAAGATATCCATGAGGGCTGTGGCGTCACAGCAGAGGAGACCACAATCTTCCGGTGTGCAACTCCGGGGAAATAGGCTCTTCACTTTGCTTGGAAGAGCCTCAGAGGCCATAGATAAGGACACCACAAATGAGGGATTAGAAGCGCGAACATGGGCAAGAGATAACAGGCTTCACGACAGGGCAAAGCACGTCTTATCAGAGGTCGATTGAGCCGACCGATAAGAGAAACGCGAAGTCACGTGGCTGTTCGGCATACTTGCCAGTTGAACATTTGCGCAAATACTACGTACCTAGGTAGACAACTCAGTTGGAGAGTGCGTCCTGACCCATAACGCAAGTGTCGTCGCACTTAAACCGACACAGTCGACGGACACGGAATAGCAGCTGGACTAGGACGAGCTGCCTCCCTCCTCCTAGACGGAGATCTGAGCATGCGGGGAAGCAGCTGATCTGCAGGTCCAACCTACAAGGTAGTTGGGGTTCCGTCTCCTCGGATGAGTCTGCGGAGTAGGTAGGTTCGAACGTTGCCATCGATGTAGCAGCCATGGTCGCTTCGAGGACAACTAGTAGATCTCTTCAATCCCCAATCTCATAGACAAGCCCATCAAGTGAAACATTGTTGACCTCTCGATCACCCTTTGTCGCTCGAAGCTCGGGAGCCCGTCCGCAGCGAAAGCCAACATCATGTCCTTGAAAGGCCAGACTGCCTATGTAACAGGTACTTGAGCCCGGACCATACCAGGAGCGTTGCTAACACATGAAGGCGGTGCCAGCGGCATTGGCCGCGCCGTGACTGCCATGCTTGTTGAGAAGGGGTACTAGCCTCCGTCTCCATCTCACTCTGGCCCCGGCTAACAAAAGATCAGCATCAAAGTCTATATCGCCGATTTGAACAAGCAGGGCGCAGAGAGCGTCGCCAAAGAGCTAAACGACAAAGCTGGCAGCCAAGTGGCATGGTCAGTCGGGGTTGACGTAACGGACTGGGACTCTCAAGTCGCAGGCTTCGAAGCCGCAATCAAAGACTTGGGCGGGCGCATCGACTATGTTTATCCCATCGCCGGCATCGCTGAAGTGAGCTGGCTGCCGAACCGGCCGAATCAGAAGGGCTTCGTGAAACCGAATCTTAGCGTCTGGGACGTTGATGGTACCGGTGTGCTCTACACCTGTGCTATAGCAATCCAGCAATTCCGCCGACAGGAGCCGAACAACTTCGGCTCTCGAGGCAAAATCGCGGCCGTCTCTTCAGTTCGCGGTCTTTACGCATGTCCTGCTATGCCTGTGTATAGCGCGGCCAAGTTCGGGGTTGTCGGCTTCGTGCGGGCCTTTGGAAAATTCCTGCCTCGAGAGAAGATTTCCATCAACGCCATCTGCCCTGCTATCGTGAAGACCGGTATCAATATTGGTCGCAGCAATTGGTATGAGGAAGCTGAGAAGTTGGACCTTGTTGTGAAGATGGAGTCGCTCATCAATGCGTTTGAGTCTTTGCTTGGAGGTTCCGACGTTTCGGGAGAGTGCATTGAGATTCCTGCTGGTAAGACCGATGCTCCAAATGGATGGATCTTGAAACCGCAAAATGATTTTACCACCTCTGAAAGCGAGGTCCATGTCAATTATTCCAATAGTCAATTTGCGCATCAACATGATCCGCAGCAATGAGAACTTGACAACTGAAGTTGATATATACGAAGTCAATTCGCCAAAGTCCGCTCAATTGCTCCATCGGTTGTTTTCGTTGCTTTCTTCTTTCGTTTGTTGAAAGCAAAGTTTTTCTTTCAAGTACTCAAGCTCATCTCGTCTGCCGCCCTCTGACGAATGTCTTTGTTGCTTGTTCAACCCCTAGCTTTTCTCGTATCCGGCGGAGGATTGCACCAGCCGACTGCTTCTGATCTGGTCTTGTTGGGTTGAAGAAGACCACAAGTCGTAGTGGCCATAGCAGACGAAGCGCATCCACCCAATATCTTGGCCTCCTGTTCCTGCCTTGATCTGTATCATCATCTGAACAAAACACATTCGGTACACTCGCTAGCAGTTCATCAGCTACCGTCTGAACCTGCAGTGTATGTCGCTGAAGTCGTTGTTCAACCAATTCCACTTCAAGCTCCGGGAAAACAGCCTGAGTTTTCGCTAGAAGCTCCCAGAGGCAAAGGTGGAGTTTCAGTCTGAAGGCACAGTAGGATGTTCGACTGGTAATGGCCCGCAGATCAGGCACTGGGTTGTCGTTTAGCCTCTCTGGGGTATGCCTTTCATAAGTGACCGGGCGTGGGATGGAAGAATCATACACATCGGCATCGAGGCGGTCGGCTTCCTCGCACACTGAGACTGCAAGCGTGGGTAAATCGATTTTGTCTGCCTCGAGCATGTCTCGAATCCTTGCACATAGCGCAGCGACATGATAGCCATAGATGGCTACCTCGAGCGAGGGCAAATCCTCATCTGCAAGATCTTTCTCCAGTTCGCGAAACCATGTTAACGACTCCGGCGGACATTCAGAGCCAACGATCAGACATCGGACTTGCTATTGTCAGGAGTTGTCAGCCTTCTATCGATCGAGGTTTCCAGGGGCGATAAACTCACGATGGAACTGTACACCAGCCAGAACAGGTTGCGCCCGGCAACAGAATTGAAACGCATATGACCTCTAAGTCGCAGCAAACTCGTAAGACCTTGCGTATGCAAGTTCCAGGTGGCGGGACCAACATGGAGCTGTGTGGTCGATGAACCCACAAGCAACTAGGACAAACCGTTAGTTTAGAGATGTTAGATCGACGAAAAGTGCTGGAGCGTGTAGGCTCTAGAGGCCTTAGGACAGCGGCGAATCGCTAATGAAGTCTTACCTCGTAGAGACTCAACAACCAAACGGACGCAAGCGTATCGTCTCGAGCCTGCAGGGACGGGTCCCGGAGCGCGACGTTGGTCATAGTCAATGCTTGGCCGTATGTCATTGTACGCTTCGACACAGCTTCCGGGGCCCTTGTCCTGTTGGTCAGGAAAGCCCAGGATATTGCCTGGCAAGCCAGTCCAACAGGAGAGTCTCGTCCCAGTTCTACTACCATGTCAGGCAGAAAGCCCAGAAAATAGAGCTGTGTCTGCGGTCTGCGTTGCATCAAGTTGTCGAAGCAAAAGGGCATCATGTCGGTATCCCAGGATTCGATCAGTGGTTGAGGCGGCAATACAAGTGATGCCGACGCTACCACTGAATCCGCCAGCTGCATAGCTAGATCCGCCTTGGGGGGAGATGATTCTGGCGTGCCTTGACCATGAGAGCTTGATCCATACAAGGTCACTTGGCCCTGCGGTGCAATCGACGTTCCCAAGTCGGATGTGTTGGCTGGCGACTTTGAAGTATGGCGGCTGGAGGACTGCTTCGTATTTGCTCCACGTCTTCGACGGCGATCGCGACTGACACCTTCGGCGAAGGAAGTTGGGTCTTCGACACGAAACATAAAATCGAATTCATCTCGATACCCTGGACACCTTCTACCCAGTTTGATGCATCTTTCACACTCTGGCTGGCGCAGATCACACTAGGTAAAATGGTTAATGCAGCCACTCTCGGCAAAAGCCCTCGAAGAGATTGCTTACTTTGACTCGGCGCTGCCTACAAAGGTGGCAGTCACGGCTGGGCCTCCCAACGTTCGGCATCTCAATGCTTGATGGTGGTTTTGTTCTTCAATGGATTATTCGAAATTTGACACACTCCACTGTTTCAACCGCGACAGAGAGCCATTTATTGCCATCCATCATCACCCAAGAAACACCACACGAACTTCTGATGTCGAAGGATCTTAAGGACGCCCGCAAGGAATCGCACACTGCAATCCGGTCGTTAAGGCATCACCGCGACATAGGGATGGGGCTGAGACTGATGTAGACCCGCACAAGGCTACTGGCGACAAGGGTAGTCCATGGACCAGAAGGTCTTTGACTTTACGATACGGTGATATGTTTTTCCCTACCTTTTTTTGGACATTGGAGATGCTTGAATGGCTCGGTGCAACAATTTTTGATGTCTGTGGAACCATGACGCCAAGCTGCAGGCACTTCGCCCCTTAAGGTCGGCACATCTGCCGCAAGCCATACCATTTCAGGCATCTTGCTCGAGGCTTGCGCCCATGCCGAACGCCGCTGGGGAGTTGTGATTGGGGCAGTCGTCGTACCCTTCAGACCGGATGAGTACCATTCGCGAGGCTGGAGAGGCTTAGACCTCAGGGACATTCAGGGTGTAAGGGCCTGTTCCATGCCTCGTGTTACCTGCCCTGAATCTTCCCACCGCCATCACACACACCCTTGGTAGCTTCTTCCCATCATTGCGCATTCGGATCTTTCCACCTCTCATGGAGCTCTTCGCTATCGTCATCGCTATACAATAGCAGTCCTTTTGATCAGGCCTCCTAACAGCTTCATTAAAACTCAGCCTCCGTGCCGATCTGCGACGGTCATTGACTCCAGCTAATGTGATTCTACAGGCACTCAGCCCAGGCACTCGCAGTGTTGACCAAACATGGTAAGCGGATGGCCTAAATCACTCCTTTGATGTCGTGGTATGTACCATGTTGGCGTAAAGTAGGTCGTGCAGGTAGATATATATCTCTGTTGTTCATATCTGCTTCATGTCAATTCATCACGCACCATTCTCTTTACTGCATCATACGCGAAACATCACAGGAAGTCGTCCGAAGTGAAGAACGCCAACCCGCTCCGACAAGATGGGCATCTTCGACAGCAGCAGCAACCATACCTGCAATATGCCATCGAGCTTTACCGCCGATGCGCCAGATCCTATAGTCGGCAACTTGTCATTCCACCAGCTCAACATGGCAATCTCGGGAGGGTGCGCCGCGTTCTCTACCCTCTCCATCTCTATCCTCATGTTCCGCCATGCCACCCATTTCAGCAGGCCAAATGAGCAGAGCAAGTGAGTCGACCCATTTTATTTGATGCACATCGGCAGCAGATACTCATATCTCGACAGAATCCTGAAAATCTGCGCCCTGATCCCCATCTACTCGATACTATCGTTCCTCAGCATAGCCTTCCCCAATACCTACATCTACCTCGATCCTTGGATCGAGTTCTTCCAGGGTATCGCTTTGGGCAGTTTCTTCCTCCTGCTCTGCGAGTTTGTCTCTCCGAGCGCCTCCTCGCGAGATGTCTTCTTTGCCGCTTTGCAAGTTCCTAAGAGCCGCTTGAGCCGTGGCGGCAAGCAGCCTGTAGACGGTCTGGAATGGTACAGGAAGAAGTGGTTCGCCGTCTTCCAATATCCTATCATAGCCCTGGGCGTGGCGATTGCAACCGACATCACACAAGCCGCCAGTGTCTACTGCTTGGAGAGTAGTAGCATCCATTACTCTCATCTCTGGCTCGAGATCGCAAGCAACGTCTCACTCTCCTTCGCCATTACCAGTGTCGTCAAATTTTACGCCGCCCTCAAAAAGGGCCTGAAACACCACAAGCCACTCGCCAAGTTCCTCGCATTCAAGCTCATCATATTCCTCACATTTCTCCAGAGCATCATCTTCTGGATCCTACGCTCCACTCACACCCTCAAAGGAACCAACCAGCTTACGTGGGCGGACGTCAACTTCGGCATTCAAACGATGATTGTATGTATCGAGATGGTGCCCTTTTCAATCTTCTTCCACTGGGCGTACGATGTCGCGCCGTACGATCTGTCCAAGGCTCGTCCGCTGCCTTTAGCGCAGATGGGCGGTCAGGGCGGTACCAGCAGTCCTCATGATCCGGAGACTGGGTCCCAAGGTGTGGATCAGTACCGGATGGAACAGCAGAAGATGCAGCACGACTACTATAATCAGCCTGGTGGATATTACGGCGGATTCATGGGCAGTAGGGCTTTGTTGACCGTTGTCAATCCTATGGAGATTGTGAGAGCGATTATGTTTGGCTTCTCGATGAGATCGGAGTCGAAGACGATGAACGACAGATATGTTGGCGGCGTACCTCCTGTTTATCAGGGCGGACCGAATGAATACTGACGACATTATATCCAGGACTGGATCGATAGAGAAAAGGTCATGACATCCATATTGTTTACTTCCATTACTAGTTTGTACGCTCGGTAAGCACGCCGGCCAGAATATTCATAAAATAACATCTGAAGTGTGAGATCTTTTTTGCAACGCAACCTGGAACCCAGGTCTGAAATTATAACACTTGGAAGCGACTTTTCATCTTCAGGGCACCGGTGCACCCTGAATATCTCGCCCTGCCTCGAGATCGCGTTCGCCTCTGATGGGCCGTGTTAGGGTCCTCTCGTCGCTGGCTCGGGTAGTAAGATCATGTGCGGGAGCTCCACCCCCGGTCAAGGTGCCGGCCCCAGCGCTGGCAGCACTTGGCTGACCGTTCCGAGAATTGTACAAATGCGATGGGCCTTCGGGATCAACCTTCTCCTCTTCGCCAGTCTCTGGGTCGAACATCATTCCTTCTTGCCCGCTAGAGTCCTGTTCGGGGTTGACAGTCTCGTATTCCAGGGCTTTGACCAGCATGTAGAACCCGCTGGCGAGCAGGGAACCTAGTATAGGTCCGACCCAGTAGATCCAATGATAGGAGTAGAAAGAATGCAGTACGACACAGGGGCCGAAAGAGCGTGCCGGATTCAGACTGCCTCCTGTGTAGTACACGCCAAAGAGTTCGGCGATGAAGAGAGAAAGACCGATGCCGACAGGGGCGATGAACGTTGCGCGGTGTTTTTCGGCAGCGAGCATGAAGATGGTGAAAACGAGTTGGGCGGTAAGAAACATCTGTTAAACCGGGTCAATATCGAGGTGCGTGGATGGATGATAGGTGAATTACCTCAATAAAAAGTCCCTGTACCACCGATGTGCCTCCACCAAGAGATGTGCGTACATTGAGCGGTCCCGGTAGGAGACATGACACCACGGCAGCGGCGGCGATGCCGCCTAGGAGCTGTGAAATGATAACGAGGCAGCCACGTACATAAGGAACTGCTCCGACAATCATCATGCCGAGGGAAACCTGCTCATGTGTCAGTATGAGTTCGTTGTTTTATTTCAATGAAGAGACTGACCGCAGGATTGAAGAGACCGCCACTGATCCGGAAGAACACCCATGCATTGACAGCCAGGGACATCCCGAAACACAAAGAAATGAAAAGCAACTTGGCTGGATCGGCAGCAGCTAGGGACCCATCCGCTGGTGCTGTGTTGACCACGTTCGTGCCACCAAGTGCAAACAACAGGAAGAGGAATGTCCCTGTGAACTCGGCCATCATGGCTACGAAATGGTTCTTGACCGCAAGAGGTAGGAAGCCGAGCAGAGGAACTCGGCGCGAGACCGTGGTCTCTTCTTCATTGGGAAGGATGTCATTTCGGTTTTTCCAGGGCATGCGTATGCGACGGGCAGGGCGGTCGACGTTCATGATTGCGGCGGTGTTCGTACAGAACCTGGGGTAGTTGTCAGGTAAGATGAGGTCTGGATACCTGGGTCAGAAGAGACATCGTCCCGAGAGGTCGTGTTTATTCCATTGGGAGTTCCAGAAAGTTTTCGAGCGCCCGTGACGGCATGATCCCAGCACCAAGTTGTGCAACGATGTAGGCCAACCCTTGCCTGGCCTTAGGGTCACTGCGTCCGGGGGTCCTAATGCAGAAAAACATGTCATACGTATGCCTGCAAGCGGAGTCTCCAGGACGAGATCAGACAGTCGGCTCGCCACAAGCACTGCGTCCTCTGGCCAACCGCCTCCGGGCTCTCGGGCCAGCCACATCAGAAAAGGTAGGAGCGTGCTCAGAAAGGTTTGGCGGCGATGATCTCATCAGGGATCTTTAGGTCATGGATCTGGGTTTCCTTGTCAGTCAGCCGCTAGCATGGATATAATATCCCGTGGCAGACGTCCAGTTCGTGTGGGTGAGACCAGAACATTGCATGTGGAAGGCTTTGGAGACTGCATTTTTCTGTATGCACAACAATCACACAGTCCTTGCAAGTAGAGGCTGTTGGTCGTAATGTACTACTACCAACATGTACCTCGCCGTTTCTCGGGGCAGCACTTGCCCGTGGACAGGACGACCGGAGATGTTTTTTGCACATGGCGCGTAGTGCAACCAAAGTGGGATTCCTACGAAGATCTGACAGTAACTTTTTTCATGATTTGCGAAAACGAAAAAAGATCTGCCCCACACAAGTGGTGACGTCGAAGCGATTTGGTTGAGATTGGAGTGCCGCAATGCCGCGACTGGCGCCACGCTTCAGGCACTGACGATCCAGAATATGAAAATAAACATGTTTGATAGATCTCAAGGGAAATAGACAGTAGGAATTCCGCTGATTCGAAACTCAATACAGCGTATGGAGGATATGCCGACGAACCGTGGAGTGTTTGGGAGAGGGATATATTGTCCATTCTGACCCTCAAGCCTGTGCTTGAGTATAGTGACACCTCGGGAAATTGCAGAAGGCATTTCACGAGAGCATGGCCAATAATGCGTATGGTACAATCATCACTGTGATGGACGATTTTGTCACTGCATGGCTGGTAGTGGTCTTCGCTGGAGGAGAACACCGCAGCGCACTCGTTGCGCAGGGAAGACTTACTCGGAAACAGCCACTAAAGTATCTTGTCAAGATGGACCGGATGCTGTTGAAGTATTGCACAGTGCTCAAACCCATTCCATTCGATGAGAGGATGGCCCTCGTGGGGAGAAGCAAGGCGTGGGACGGTCTCCTGGGAAAGGCACCCTGCTGAAGTTTGACAGCTAACGCTCGCAAACCCTTGTTTGTGAGACAATGTCGACAAAATACTGAATGGTACTCATTTACGAGCCGCTTGCCCTGGAGCTTGCGTTACGAAGTCCTCGGAGAAGACGAAACTTTCTCTCAAATCAGTCGATGTGTTCGAATCTGCCTTTGACGTAAAATCCGAGAACTTTGAGCTCACGTGAACTTCAGTCACGTGAAATGCCCAGACCCCAAAACCCGGGGAAAATCGACTGCCTCGAACCCCGGCATAAGCTGCAGAAAGCACCGAGGCATTTGTCGGCAACCTCAGTCTCACTATTGGCATCGACAATACCTCCATGCTTGCCCCAAAACATGTTTCATGAACATATAAGATCCTTGCATCACTCAAACTGCTCTACTACTGCTAAAAGGTAATCATTGCTTGAGTCTTCCTCAATACTGACGCGAAGGCACGATCACACTCATTTGAATATTCCGCCTGTGCCCATCAATCATCCTTATCGCCAGTATGGCTTCCTCCACAAACCTCGTTCCCTTTTCTGAGCCAACCTGGCTCGCCGGCTTCCCATCTCCATACTACAAGGGCACTCATAAGAAATGGCAGAAAGCATGTCGTGCCTTTATCGAGGAACATCTACTCCCCTATGCTATGGACTGGGAGAGGGAGGAGACTGTGCCCGACCACCTGTTTCAGACCTTTGCCAAACACAACATGCTGATACCCAATTTACCTGCACCTTTGCCTATTGAGTGGTTGAAGAAAGTGGGCATCAATGATATCCTAGGCACACCTGTGGAAGAGTGGGATTATTTCCACACCGGGATCTATCTGGATGAAATGGCCAGAACCGGACTCGGTGGCCCCAGCGGCTCTATGACCGCAGGCCATGCATTTGGTGAGCCAGTCAGATTTTATGAGTATTCATCATGCTGACAAGGTCAAGGGATACCCCCCATAATCAAGTTCGGAAGCAAAGCGCTCCACGAAAAGCTCCTGCCTGATCTCCTTCCTGGCAAAAAGCGCGCATGTATTGCAATCACCGAACCGGGCGCCGGCAGCGATGTTGCCAACATTGCCACGACCGCTGTCAAGTCTGCTGACGGAAAGCACTATATTCTGAATGGCGAGAAGAAGTGGATTACAAATGGGGTTTGGTCTGAATATGCTGCGATGGCGGTGAGGACGGGCGGCCCAGGAGCCGGTGGTCTGAGCATGATCGTATGCCCTTTGAAGGGTTACCCCGGGGTCAACATGCGTCGGCTTAAAGTGGCAGGCCAAGTGAGCGCAGGCACAACCTACATTGAGCTCGACGATGTAAAGGTCCCGGTCGAGAATCTGATTGGCGAGGAGGGTATGGGTATGCGCTATATCATGACCAACTTCAATCACGAACGATTGACCATTGCGGTGTCTGTGGCCCGGCAGTCCCGCGTCGCTCTGTCATCCGCTTTTGCCTATGTGATGAAGCGTGAGGCTTTTGGCAAACAGCTTATCGAGCAACCAGTGGTACGACACCGACTGGCTAAGGCTGGCGCCGAGCTCGAAACGCTACAAGCATGGGTCGAGCAGTTCCTATACCACATGACACAGTTTACGAAAGCTGAAGCAGACATCAAACTTGGCGGCCTCACTGCACTCGCCAAAGCAAAGGCCGGAATTGTGCTCAATGAGTGCGCACAGACAGCGGTGCTTTTGTTCGGCGGCAACGGATACACCCGTACAGGCCAGGGTGAGATCGCAGAACGCATCTATAGGGAAGTGCCCGGTGCGAGGATCCCTGGTGGTAGTGAGGATGTCATGCTTGACCTGGCGATTCGGCAACTTGTCAAGAACTACAGGAATGCAACCAAGGCCATGGAACGGCCCCAGGGTAGCAGTAAGCTGTGAGGCTAAGATGATGGTGATGGCTATAGATTTGTGTCCTTTGAATGCAGTAATCTCGCCCACAATGCGGCGAAGAGCGGCTTCTAAGCCGTTGTGGGCTTCATCTGATTCCGTCCCCATCTCCATCTTCATCGCTTCTCGGCGTAGAAGGCAGCGAACAGCCTCCCCCACCACTGGTTTCACAGGTACATCTTTCTCCGAATCGGCGTGTGCTACCCCGCGCTCTCGTGTAATTGCCATTATTTTGTCGCGGGCAACCCTCGCCGAACAACGGCCAACATTGATACTTATACTCTTTTTGTGTCCAGTCACGCACTGCGAAGATTGATCCTTGCTCTACGTTCCTGACTTTCCTGTTTTGATCCGTTCTCAGCACAGTCTTCAAATCCTAACAAAGTCCTCTGTAGCTGACTACTGCATCTTGCCTTGTCCCCTCTACTCCTCTGCTTCCTAAGCTCAAGGACTGCACCGTTAACAGGCCTGGCAACAGTCCGACAACATGGCGACGATCATGAAGAACTCCAACTCCTTGCGGAAAGCGCTACATACGGGTTCCGGCCTGTCCTTCGGCGCCTGGCAGATGCTACCAGGTGCCTACCTTTCTCGAACAATTGCTAGATCAGGATATGACTGGATTTGCATTGACTGCGAGCACGGCAACATTGCTGGTACGTTTGACCGCTGTAACTCCAATATCCAGGCTGAAATTGATACTGACGATTTGTCTAGATAATGAGATGCACGAGTCCGTCCACGCCATCTCCTCCTGCAACGTAAGCCCTATCGTTCGAATCCCGGCGAACGAAGGGTGGATGGTAAAACGTGCCCTCGATTCTGGTGCACACGGCATTATTGTGCCACTGTTGACCAGTGTCGATGATGCAAAGAGATTGGTACAGAGTGCGAAGTTCCCGCCGTACGGCAGGAGAGGGTTTGGCAGTCCTTTCTCCATGGGCTCTTTCGATATCCACGGCAATCTATCCGGATTCGATTACATGAAGAATGCCAATGAGAACCTCTTGACGATTGTACAGATCGAAACCAAGGAGGCTCTGGAATGTGTGCGTAGTAGATGTCTACCGAGAAGCTGTGGACGAGTGCTGACAATGACCAGGTTGAGCAAATAGCCCAAGTCGACGGAATCGACGTCCTCTTCATCGGACCTTGGGATCTCGGAAACAACATCGGACATCCTGTAACCGGAGCATTTGATCCTGAATTGGAGGAGGCCATAGCAAGGGTTTTGAAGGCCGCCCAAACCGCTGGTAAAAAGTCCGGAATATATTGCCCGTCTGGAGATGTTGCGAGAAAATATGCCGATCAGGGGTTCCAGATGGTGAGTCTTGGGTCCTGTGAGGAATGTTCACCGGATACTGACGTTGCATCCCAGATCTCCGTGGTCAACGATATGACAGCCATCCCGACATTCTTCGCCGAGTCACTTTCCAAAGCAAAGGGCACATATGGTCATGCCGCCGCCCAAGCCGTAAAGGGTGCTGCTTATGGTGCCGTCAAATTGGCGACACAGAATAGAGATGAGAAGTAATAAAATCAAGTGCCGACCTCGTCGACAGCCGCTTCCACTTCCTCGACCGTAAAGCGATGCATGAGCTTCTTTGCCGCGTCGAGTGAGGTGATACTGCCATTGGATTGTGGCTGTGTAGACTTGTCGATGTGCAAAACAGGCACGTCATAGTCGTAGACGCTTTTCCACTGCCCTTGACCCGCAGCGTCAATATCAATCTCGGAATAGTCGACCGTTCGTCGCTTTTGGACCTCTATGAGTCTCAATTTAGCTGTGTCGCAGAGACCACAATTTGGGCGTGTAAATAGCGTGAGGCGCGCTGAGGCCGCGCGAAGGGTTAACGACGCTCTCATGTCGACCCAAATGTCTGCTGAGAATGCGTGTGGATGCGTCTACCGCTTGCGTGACTCGATAATGGAGAATAAAGGACTCTACAGGAATTCGTCGAATATCAATGTGTTGAAGATGTATACTTGTTGATTGATTGGATGATTAATTCATACATTAAACGGCAGCTAGCCAATGCGGGTCAAAGCCTGATGCTGGCGTGTTCGGCTAGGGGTCCTCCTTATCCCGGTCCTAAGTCGTCATGCTACCTAGGCACCACCCCAGCCATGCTGTCGCTGCCTCATCAGGTCTTTCCGCCCTCCAAGCTCCTCTCCATCCGTACCTTTCCGCCCCTCTGTTCCTCGCTCCACACAGACTGTGCCAGTAAAGGTAAACTCGCCCCTGTTGACGAATCAGGAAGGCGCTAAGCTGATAAAGGAACCATCCCACGAGGCGGGGTGGCCTAGGACCAGTTGATCTTGACGATTATGGGACGGCCTATGGCCTCCTTGGTTGCAATGCTGGAACACTGACGCCGATGTATATTCCCCACGTTACTGCGGCTGTGTTTGGGTTGACATTACCGCCTGGGATGATATTCAAGTCTGCTGCACGAATCCTCAAAGCATGCTCCAATATTGCCATATCTATATAAACAACGACATCTACCGCCAACCTACAGGGGACCCAGCAGCCGAGAATTCGAGCAAGGAGCAGTGAGGTTCTGCCGTGATATGCAGCGGCAGGAAATATAATGGCCGGAGATCCAATAGCAGAAGATGCAAAGGCAGGAGAAAGCACAGCACCGCCTCCGTACTCTGAAGCTCCTCTGCAACTACGACAGCCTGTTCCGCTGCCTTGTGTGATCCCTCGTAAGTATACTGACAGCCTCTCCAATGCGAACATGACCTTACGTTCGCACAGAAACTTCAAAGTCCTTCCGGGGCGCCTTCTTCTCGCCGTTCGTGAGAGCCTATGTTCCCGAGCTTGCCAATCATGGTATCGGACAGGAAGAATTTCTGGCCTTTATTGATGGCCTCAACGAAGCATTCGTCGCCCATCCTCTGTTCCAAGGTCTTGGCGCTGCCGGTATGGCCATGACTTTTGCTCATGGTGTGGCTCCGGTGCAATGGGCGGGCATGGGACTGCAGTTGACCTCGGGTCTGACGAGTGCAGCGACATCGTATCTTCGCACTCGAGCCTACATCAAATGCCAGAATGCTCAATTCTTTCATCCAGTAGGACTCCAGGTCAACATCATGTCGACCAAAAACATGATGAAGAAGGTTAAATATCCTAACGATGGCCTGCAGCTTCCGCCGATGAACAACCTTGTGGACATTGAAACCTCCGTTCCTGCCAGCGATCTCGACGGATCAATAACACAGCCCTTTGATATCTGTCCCGACGACCCACGCATGCGCCGGATCCGTGCTCTAGAAGGCTATGTGATGCCTCTTGATCTCAATGTCCCACCTGCCGTCATACCCGACAATGCTTTCCGCAAGATGGGTGCTGCGCAATCCCAAAGATTAGCACGCAAACAAGGCGAGAAAGCCGGAAAGAAACGCCGCGAAGCCGACGAGAAGTACGACGAAAAATTTCGCGAAGCGGATAAGAAGCGGCGCGAGGGCGACAAGAAGATCGAGAAGTGCGTGAGCAAGGCGGAGAAGGAGCGGACCAAGATGGAGCGCAAGCTGGCCAAAGAGAGCGACCCTCGAAAGCGCGACGAGATCATGCACGAATTCGAAAGGGAGAGTCGCAAGCGTGATCGCAGCATTGAGAAGGAAACCGCCAAAAGAGACGAGGATGTGGCGAAGGAGATGCGAGATGCAAACAACGAGGTCGACAAAGTCGAGAAAAAGGAGGCCAAAACGGCCATGAAAATCCGGTGGTTGGTCATATCGAGGCGCGAGGGTGAAGATGACGAGACAGATATCGTTGAATCCGACGCTGAGGATTCAGAGACCCGTGGTCGGTCTTGATTTGACCCACTATCGCCGTATACTGCGCTGGAGAGCATGTACATATGACCACAACTAGCTTGGAGAAGCTACCAATACTATTTGCCCGGATGGTCGACCATTCAATTAAGTCAGCCTTGTCCATACAGCCTTCACAGCCTTGCATGAACCGTTGGCTGTGACGTCAGATTTGTTTGGGACTTTCGCTAAACAAAGTTCAGTCTCTTCGAAACCAAGTTTGATATCTTTTCTTCTACAATCCCGCGACAGCGCGAGACGACACTCCTTGCGGTCGAACATTCAAGAGACTGATGGCGACAACCGAGGGTGTCCCTAACCGCCGCGAGAAGAAGATAGGACGTACCATACTTCGTGCGCTCCTGTACGATGACGAGGCTGACAAGCAACCCCGGCTATGGCGCCCGATAAAGACGTTTTTCAAGCTCTACGGCATCATCTTGACCAGAACGAGACCGGAACTCTTTCGCAAACTGCGCAATCAGTCCTGGGGCATGTCAGAAGATGACTACACATCCAGTTTCAGGGACGACGATTCTCTCGTTCCTAAAGCTGATATGGGCTACTCTGGTTCCGTAAGTTCACGTTCTCAGCAGCACACAGAACCCCGGAACATTCACTAACAGCCGACTTCTTGGGTTCTAGACATTCTTCGTGACAAAAGATAACAAGTACCTCATCAAGTCCATCCCACGACAATTCGAGCACTCGTTCTTCCGCGATGACCTGCTCGTCCCGTACGTCGAGCACATGGAGGCCCACCCCGATTCCCTACTCGTCCGGATCACAGACTTTCTAGGCTGGCGATTCCGAAGCCTAGGAGGGCTCCTGGGCACCGCGCCGGCATACCATCTCGTCATGGAGAACCTGTTGCATGGCCAGGAGGAAAACTCCAAATGGCAGACCTTCGACCTCAAACCCATGTCCTATTTCTTTCCCGAGCGAGACATTGCCGGCGGCAAGCTAGCGTCGCAGGCGACCAAGTCGAAACTTGCGGACGAGTTCCATGACAAGCTCGTCCTGACAAAAGAACAAGCCGACGATTTCTTTCACAGCCTAGAAGCCGACACGGAACTTCTAGCCAGCCACAATGCAGTCGACTACAGTCTGATGCTTGTCCGTATACCCCGACCGACTCATGTCGAGGTGGACGAAGACCCATTCAAAGACCCTCCAAATTGGCGGACGGGCGTACCCTCACAGGACAACAAGTGGTTATTTCGCGCGACAATTCTCGACTTCTTCTGGGCCAAACACAAGATACATGCGATGGCGATGACGTTCCTCATCAACGCGTGGAACTTGATTGATCGGCAGGGTCCGATGAGCATCACCACTGAGGCCCCAGAGTATCGAGGACGGTTCCTGGAGATGTGCAGGGAAATGGTCGAGGTTCGGGACTCATGATCTCGTTTATTTGGGACGTCTATCTGGTCGTTTCATTTTTGCACAGCGTGCATCGTTAGTCTAGCGTTCGAGCCCGTTATTTCTGTAGTATAGCGTGTAACTTGGAGTGTCTCGATCTACACGTCTCTTTCAAAGTAGCTTTGGACCATTCCCTCTAACGTCGGCTCATACTCGACCAATCTTACATCACCTGTTTCCTCATTCAACACCGTATTGGCCTGAACGAAGACCTTTCTGGGCGTCTTCTTTTTCAAGACTATTGGTCTCGCTTTCTCAGCCCACCACGAATCCACACTCGTAACATCATCATATAATTTCTTGCCTGCAGCAAAATCGGCAGTAGCCTTGTAAATGTGAAGTTTCTGGAGCAGGTCCTCCACTGCTGGCCGACCATGCGACAGGATCTTAGTCCGGTCCAGATGGATCTCAAGGTCATCAGGGTCGTTGATGGAGCCGTTGAGAGCCTTGATCTCGCAGAAGTTTCCGCCAGCATCAATGAATGCCCGCAGAATGGCAAATCGTGCTTGCATGTGGATTTGCCCCCATTTCTGCGACTTAGGATCCCAATATTCCAGGGCAGCGACACCAGCTCGTGCCATTGACAGGTATGCGGCGTACAGTACATCCCCTGCTTCGTTGCTGGCTTCTCGTTTACCGTCGCCAAAGCCGAATATTTTCAGGATCTCAAAGTCGCAAGAGAGTGCCATGGCCACACACTCTGCTCTACACTCCTCGTATGATGATGCAATTGCGCCAAACACGCTTCCCCAGCTCTGACCTGGTTTGTACCAGGAGGTGATGGGCTTCTTGGTAATGGGACTGACTGGAGGATTCTTCACATCGAAGTTGTATTCGCCTGGCGCCGTTTCTTGCAGCAACTTGCCGCAGCCGTGGCCGAGAAGCTCGTGAATGCCGACCTGTACCTCGAACGCTGGGTCGCGGTATGTGCGGTACAACTCGTCGTCTTCTTCCCGAATGAAGGGTATCGGCTCTTTGGGAGCTTTCGCACTCAGTACATTACCAAGCGAAACATTTTTGAACCCCTCATTTTGACGGATAAAATCGTAGTTAGGGATGTTGATGCCAGCCGGGATACCGCTACCAGCAAAGCTCAACACTTCTAGGGAGGTGAAGTCTGGACTTAGGAAGTTATCTTTCTCGAATTCGCTGCTCCATGGCAACTTCGGGATCATTTTTGGAGCAGCGTCGACCAGTTTACCGAAAGCACGAGTGCGTTCCTGGTTGACCATCGCAACGAAGCCTTCCCATTCTCCACGCACACCGTGAGGGTCACGATAGGTTTCGACAAAGCCTATGTCGGTCTCGATCACAGGGTTCTTGTTCTTGATCCAATATCGTTGAGATTCCACAAACCCTTGGATACTGCCAGTGCCAAAAGATCGGGCATATTCGTCAAGCATTTTCTCTTCAATTTCGTTGGCAGCCTCCTTCCTTGCCTTCTTGATCTCCAGCGCGATCTTGGCCATTTCGTTCAAGTAGTCGCCGTAGACCAGAGTAAGCGTCTTGCCTGCAAGCTTGCCTTTCAGGTCGATTACCGAGTCATCACCAAGGTCTCTTGCCTCAACCGGAGGATTGGCGATACCCGATGCTATTAGCACCTCGAAATCACCGGAGCCCATCTTTCGTAGTCTGGTATTTTCTATTAGGAGTTTCTTCTCTTCAAGGACCTCTCCCACGATTGAGATCTCTTCTTTTGTGATAGTTGGTGAATCGGGATAATACGTCGACATGTGGCCATCTTCAGGATATCCAAAATGCATCAGAGCGACATCTTTTGTCTCGTAGATGCCTCCTCCTGTTTCGGTGGCTCTGGCATACAGGTCGTTACATTCACTATTCACCGAGCAGATTTTCTCGAGTGTCTCTGAGGAGACCTTCGGAATGAACTTGACATCGCCAAAGCCCTTGTAGTTTCCACAGTTGCCTAGAAACTGTGCAGCGTACTGTAACCACAGTGTTATCTCGGACGCAGGGACCGAAGTATGCTCAGCGATCTTCTTATAATCACCGTCGCAAGCGCGGTGTAAGGCTAGGATGAGATCGTAGACGACGGGGGATTCTGGTGAGACCTGGGCTAACGTAACGCGGGTACCATTGAATGAAGCACGACTCAGGTGATGAGCGTAACGTTTTTGTTTTGGTGAGAGTGCAGCGAAGTGAGGAGCGATCTCCAATCGAACGACAGTAGGAGGATGGTCGGCAAGGTAGTGGGAGCGAAGGGCGGGGTCCATGGTGTATCCGGACTCTTGCGTTCGCACCGCCTGATTGGCAAGTTGGGAGAGCCTACGGATGAATTTCGAAGGTGATGAAATCTGCTGAGATGAACGTGGCATAAAAAAGGGATCTGGTCGTCAGGTACACGCAGGCACAAGCACAAGTTACCCCTCGCCGTGAGAGCGACGGGGCAACGAGGCTGTTGATATGACGCCGACAAGGCTGAGAACATCAAACATAGCAAACACACCAAGTGCTGGGGTGGGTCCTTCCCCTTGTAGGATCAGCCTCCAAACATCTAGAAGCTGAACCGGCATTTCCCATCATTATCAATGGCAGGATCTCGATTGCCAACATCTCTTTCGATCCGATACGAAACGGAGCGACAAGTCACAACCTTTGCCAGTTCGTTGCTACATCGTGGAGATAAAAACTAAATTGCCGTTCAACGTTATATGTGCACCTGTCCAATCAATGTTGATCTAGGCGGCCATGTTCTCGTCCGCTTTCAAGTCTTTTACATCAAACATCAGCTCCAACTATGAAATCTCCAAACAGTCATCTGCTACGGTCGGTGCGTGGACTGTTTTCGACGCGAAAAAGAAGAGCACTGGCATTCAAGCGTCAGTATTTGTCTTCGACCGAAAGTCTTTAGATATCAACACTAGTGGGTTCGGAGCACGTGCCACGAGTTCTACCTCACTCCGGAAAATCCAAGATGAAGTTGTCGAGCGCTTAAAGAGGGAAGCCAGCAGTTTGGCTCGCCTTCGTCACCCGTCAGTTCTTCAACTCGTCGAGCCTGTCGAAGAAACACGAAATGGCGGCTTGATGTTCGCAACCGAACCCGTTTTGTGTTCCCTCTCCGCCGCTTTGGCCCAGAAAGATCGCGCTGGGTCGAGAAGCGGTCGTGGCCTGTCAAGGTCCGTTTCCGATGAGGGCGGCGTATCTAAAGCATCCGAAGATGTGGAGGTTGACGAACTAGAAATCCAGAAGGGACTCTTACAGGTTGCTAAAGGCTTGGAGTTCTTGCACGATTCTGCCAAGCTGGTGCATGGAAATCTCAACCCAGATGCAATCATGATCAATGCGAAATCAGACTGGAAGATTTCAGGACTTGGCTTTGCTGGACCACCTGACGGCGCCGAAGGACATCAGGCTGTGGCTCAGATATCACTTTCTGAAGTATTGCACCACGATTCTCGGATACCTCGATTCGTCCAACTCGATCTTGATTACACATCTCCAGACTTTGTGCTCGACTCAAATATCAATTCTTCAGCAGATATCTTCTCCCTGGGCCTTGTCATTCTGGCTTGCTACAGACAGCCCCATCGCTCTCCTATCGAGACGCACGGAAATCAGTCGACGTACAAAAAGATATTCAGCAATGCTTCTACGGTCCCCATAAGCTCAAACAACTATCTTTCCCAGGGAGCACTGCCCCGGGAATTGAATGTCACACTACCGAGGATGTTGGCCAGAAGACCGGCTCAACGTCTAACTGCGAGCGAGTTCCAGCAGTCTGAATACTTCGATAACATATTAGTCAACACCATGAGATTTTTGGACGCATTCCCAGCCAAGACACATGTCGAGAAGTCACAATTCATGAAAGGACTCGGTCGTGTGATGCCGCAATTTCCTCCGTCGGTGCTCGGCAAGAAGATCCTTAGCGTACTCTTGGACGAAATGAAGGATCGTGACCTGTTGCCCTTGATCATGCAGAATATCTTTCATATTGTCAAAGTCATCCCGACAAGCAAAGACGTAGTCTCCAACAAGGTCCTTCCACGAATGACGGAGATCTTCTTGACCAAATCAAAGTCAGAAGAAAGAGACAGCAGCAAGGAAGCTGCACTGCTTGTTGTACTCAACAACATTCAACTCATTGCCGACAATTGTTCGGCGAAGCAATTCAAAGATGACGTCCTACCTATCGTGCACGTCGCAATGGAGTCAACTACACACTCTCTGACCGAGGCTGCCCTCCAGAGCCTGCCAGTCGTGCTGCCTCTGATCGATTTCTCTACCGTCAAGCACGATCTCTTTCCAGTTGTTGCAAGTGTCTTCAGTAAAACCAGCAGCTTGAGTATCAAGATCCGTGGCCTTGAAGCACTCGCAGTTTTGTGTGGTGTATCAGTTCACAAGATGAATAGTCGCAACGACGATTTCGGCGGTACGTCACAGCAGGAGAAGCCAGACAAGAACGTCTCCAGTCTCGACAAGTTCACAATGCAGGAAAAGGTAGTACCCTTATTGAAAGGCATCAAAACCAAGGAGCCAGCTGTCATGATGGCTGCTCTCAAGGTCTTTCGACAAATTAGTACTGTTGCTGATACGGACTTTTTGGCCAGCGAGGTGATGCCGATTCTATGGAATTTTAGTCTCGGTCCATTGTTGGATCTCACACAGTTTCAAGCATTCATGGATGTAATAAAGACTGTCACGGCAAAGATCGAACGCGAGCAAATTCGCAAGTTGCAGGAGCTTTCGGGCAGTAGATCGAGCGATTCTCGAGCAGCGCCACTCTCTCAGACGACGGCAAGCAATGGCACTCAGCGTGGATCAGCAAACGCCCCCGAGGAGGACTTCGAAAAGCTCATATTGGGAAACAAAAATGCCGAAAAGAACGATGTATTTGCTGGTGCTCTTTCGGAAGGTGAAAAGTTGACGCCGAATCCGCCGTCATTCTCGTGGTCTCCTGCAGCTGGGCAAAACAGGTCTGCAGCATCAACTCCATCATTCTCGACGCTCCCTGTTCTTCAACCACAGCAAGCCTCGCGGTCTATTACACCGGACGTCAGTATGTCAGCGTTCCCGAGCCTACATCCCCAGGCGTCTTCGTCTGCTTCTATCTGGGGAGCGTCCTCACCACCTCCTATGGCGATGCAAAGCCAGCAGCCGGTACTCCATCCGACCAGTTATGTCGGGAGTCCTACAAACGTTATCCCTTCGCGGCCACCGCCACCGCCGTCAACGAATTCCTGGCAACTTCCACCGCCACCTGGGCCACGGACAGTCCCAAGTCCAGCTTTCATAGCAAGCATTGCGCCGCCGCAGCAGAGCCCTATGCTCAAGAATACCTGGCAGCCTACTTCTGGTATGACATCACAGCCTGGATTTGCTGGTCCCCTGAACGTGTTACAACCACAGACCAAACCCCAGCAACCTGCACAACCAAAGAAGACAGGGTTGGATAAGTACGAGTCACTCATATAGAACTGGTCTCCACGCTGGACAGAGACGTCCCAGGTGGTATGGAGGCATAATCATCTGGTGATCAATCTCTGGGAGTAGATTTTGGACTACTATACCTCATAATAATATAGTCTTGCATCTCTCTTAGCATTCTGCGCAGTCATGCGTCCGTTCATGTCCATCAGTGATCATACAAGCGGCCTGTTCCAGAGCGGGTGAGGCAGATTGTGTCTCTCGCCAAGAGTATCTTGTAGGGCCGAGTGAGTGAATATCAGCCCATCAGCGCCCACACAGTCGGGCGGTAGAGAAATCAATTTCGAATGCAGTCGGAAAAAAAGCAAAAACTCAGTCAACCCGTTTTGAGGGTTGAACACGAGAAAACCAATTTGGTTTATTAGGTTTATACAATTGTAGGTTTCGAACTGCCTGGCGGAACCTCTCTCTGAACACTTGCAAGCTACCCTGTTTAAGCCGAAGAATTCAGCCGGCATATCTTGCCCAAGTGGGATGGTTCAGATACTGGAAGAGATGCAGACCAGTCTAGAGATGTTTCTGGATCCCAGTGCCTCGTATAAATTTCATTCACAGGTCGTTACCAGAGCCAGACACTTAGTCTCTACCTACTAGTAGATAGAAACAAGATTTACCCTGGAATTTGTCTCGGTGCCCTGTTATGAGCTTAGTGACGAGTCGATGCTGAGCCAAATACTGAAGATATGGTCTTGCAAGGCAGTCTTCCACCTTAATTGTTGAGCAATTTTGATTGAGTTAGATATATGAAGGCTGAATATTGAGATCGAGTGAAGTGAAGTGGTCTCGTGACCTGGATGGCGGTGAAGATGAACGGGCGTGCTCTTTCTTCGATGCTGCCACACCGCGCGGCGGATGGTTTGATGCATGGACTGCAGTCTAGCGGTGTGAGGAACAGTATCCTGGACAGAACAACCTCACGTGTTGACGATCATGGGCCTACATGTCAGTACGCAATGCACCAACGGAATAGACGTCGCTGTCGAAGCTGACCTAGGTCAATTCCGAGTGGAGGCGAGGCCTAACGTCAAATGGTACACTGGTACAGGTATGTTTGCTCCCATAGCCGAATGCAATGATGGTGCAGGTAAGGAAGAGTCATGGCCATCGCAGTCTGGCTAGACTCTTCGGGGACCCGTGGCACACTCCGGCAAGATATCAAAGGAAGGTGAGTTGATGTTGGAGAACTCCAGCTTTGGAAACGGTTATCTCGGTCATTGTCCCTGCCAAGCTCCCGAGCTCCGATCCCGGTCGTGGGATTTTGTAGTTGGACTCATCACTCGCATAACATCGCTGACCATTGCCAATGCACTTGTCCTTCTGCATACAAGACAGACGCCCTTCAGTCAACATCTCTGTCGCGCGGCTTGACCGAGGGTCTTCTCATATCTTCCTCCTCCCCTCTTGCTTTCTCCCTTCGGACCTCGACACACTCACCTTCCACAGCAACACGAAATGTCGCTCCCTCGGCTACTTCGCACGCCCTGCGCACGCGCTCTCACGAAATCCACATTCAGACAAGAACATGTGCGGCTACTACCCTCATATAGATCCTTCTCGACATCTTGGAGGAGACGGGAGGAATTGACTATCGATGATGACCTTCACTCCAAGCTCCCCGGCATCGATCCGTCCCGGCTAGAGGTCACGGATACAATCACTCCCAAAAGCCTCGTGGCCAACCAGGAGCTTGTCTTTGGAAGAACATTTACAGGTGAGCACCCATACTCGTTAGATGCCATGAGCACCTGTCACTAATACACGACAATTCAGACCACATGCTCTCAATCGAGTGGACAGCCTCCCAAGGCTGGCTGGCACCTCGAATAACACCCTACCAAAATCTGTCACTCGACCCCGCGACCTGCGTATTCCACTACGCCTTCGAGTGCTTCGAAGGAATGAAAGCATATAAAAGTGTAAAGGACGGCTCATTACGGCTGTTCCGACCGGACAAGAACATGGCTCGAATGAACAAGTCCTCTGCGCGCATCGCGCTGCCCACATTCAATGGGGAGGAGCTAATAGAATTGATCGGCAAGCTATGCAAGATGGACGAGCGATTCATCCCCTTGGAGAAGGGATACTCATTATACATTCGACCTACAATGATCGGCACACAGCGGACGTTGGGCGTCGGCCCACCCGGGTCGGCGCTGCTATACGTGATCGCATCACCAGTAGGACCATACTACCCGACTGGCTTCAAGGCCATATCACTAGAAGCCACCGACTACGCGGTGCGCGCGTGGCCCGGTGGTGTCGGAGACAAGAAGCTTGGAGCCAACTATGCTCCCTGCATTGTCCCGCAGCTCAAGGCCGCGAAGAGAGGTCATCACCAGAACCTCTGGCTGTTCGGTGAGGAGGAGAAGATCACTGAGGTCGGCACGATGAACTTGTTTGTTTGCATCAAGAACAAGGAGACGGGACAGAAGGAGTTACTGACGGCACCTCTGGACGGGACCATCCTCGAAGGCGTGACGCGGGATTCCGTGCTAAGCCTTGCACGGGACCGACTCGAGCCCGAGGGCTGGAAGGTGCTCGAGCGATACGTGAAGATGCAGGAGTTGGCAGATGCGGAAGCAGACGGCCGTCTGATCGAGGTGTTCGGTGCCGGTACCGCGGCGATCGTGGCGCCTGTGAGAACGATCGCGTGGAGAGATCGCAGCTTGAACTGTGGTCTCAAACCCAATGTGGAGGCTGGCGAGATCGCATTGAAGATGAAGAATTGGATCGAGGCGATCCAGTATGGTGACGAGGATCACCCATGGAGTGTCAAAATTACTTGAGCGGCAGATACTCACCTTTTGCGGACGGCATGTGCAACGGCAGGTTAAGCTCTGATTTCATCCCGAAGTGCTAGATGATGAACTTGTACAGCGATCATTGCCATCATTCTGGAGAATATCATCTGTTCACTCGGTCTTGATGTCTTTTGTTGTACGACAACATGATAATGAACTTGTTCTTCGCCAGATTTGAGAATCGGTGGTTTCGCATCGACGCCGACTGGTTTGCATGCAGGACACGCAAGGCTCAGTGACTCGAATGCAGATCGCATGGTCAAGCCAGTCCAAGTCTTGCAACCAGCCTCATATTCAGCCAGCCTGCCCCTTCAGCTACATCTCAGCCCTGCTCCGTTTCTGCAGCATGCTACTCCTACCTACCAGTATCTGGCCTTCAGCTGTAATCATAGACTTGTTAGCTTTTCGAGATACGACATCAACAGCCCTCCGCGAGCCGATCTAATCTGCTAGTACCAAAGTCAATAGAGTCCCCTCTCGAGGTTACTAGATTTCCGAACCTTGATCTTCGGCCCATCCGTGAAGCGATAAGGATATTCAGGCCGGGAGTAGTACACATGATCGCGAATGCGAATGCGAATGCATCGACTCCACTCACTTATCTTTCTAGAAGGAATCGCGATGGCGAGTATCGTGCACGGGAAAAAAAAAAGGGCCTGTAGACCCAGCGTCAGGCCAGCCTCGTCCCGTCCTGCTAGTGCCCCTTGAGGTCGTCAATTGCACAATTTGAAATCCGCATTAGAGATAATGCCTCCAAGCCCCTTGCCCCAGGCAGCAGGAAATCCGAATCCGAAGCGTCGACTGGAAAAGAAAAGAAAGCTTTGCGCGGAGTGCATCGGATCGTGTCGTAACCGTGTCCAGGTAGGTGGTGGCACGCGCAACTACTACCACATCCGGGGGGGTTGTGGCCGCTTTTTCACGACCAATAATCGCTGGGGCCTTGCGACGGCCGTAGGCCACCAGCGAAACGCAAGAATGCAAGCGCATACGACTAAGTTATTGAGGCCACCTCAGAGCGCTACTCTACGAATAGGTCCACCCGTGTTTCGCGATCAGTGACAACCTCTCTCGTTGAGCGTGACGTGTCTGCTTGTCGCTGGCACATTGGTCATTGGACCCTAGGAGCGAAAGATGGTACGCCGCGCCGCTGGCTCTCTGACGCATTCAGGTCGCCGCAGAATTCAAAATTCCTGAGAGAGACCTTGTAGTGAATCCGTCGGGGTCCGAAGGGCGAATGAAGTTGACTGGAGCCTTGTTTCAGGCAAGTGTCCTCCTTCTCTCGGGAGTTTGTTTCGGCGACGCTTGAAGAAGATGAGCATGGTTGAAGGCGATGTGTTGGACGAGTAGTTGTACCGTGAAGTCAAACGATACTTACAATGCTTGAGACATATTTTGTTTATATGTCCAAGGTACACTTCAGGTAGACGTCGATTCACAGTGCACACGTCAGATTCTTGAAACGCCCAACTGGCGAGAGCCGAATTCTCTAAGTGCAGCTTTTGCGGGATCCGGAGTATTAGGGCTGTATTTGGTGGATGGCTGAAGTGACTCACTACCGGCAGACTGCAGCGAGTGACGCGCCTTCTCACCAATCGAGACAGCATGGGTGCATTGCCTGGGGAAGTCCTGCAATGTGTGCATGGCTACGGCTTTCGGGTTGATCGTTATGCCGTGGGTGCACCGTTTTCCTGGGGATTCGTTCAGGTTTAGCCGTTTACTGTCAAAATGACGAAGCTGCGCGATGCATAAGGCCCTCTGTACAAGTAACGGATGCAATAGGAAAATGTTCCTGGAACCAGTCAACAACCACGACTGAGATAATTGACGCAAAGTCAAAGCAGTGCCTGAATAACAAGGTCTGCCTGGTGAAGCATTCGACTAGGGTGAGCAAAGGCTGAGGCCCCTAAGCCCACCTGTAACCTGAAACTCTCCGGGGAACGAGCGGTGCAAGGAACCACGTGATTTTGTAGTTGCAGCGCTGGTGGAGGATTTGTCTTGATCACCGATCCAACATAGGTCCAAGCAGTGGTTGGTCGGCCTTCTTGAGAGTAATGGGCCCTCCATGTGCTGTTTCCTCAACATTCAACCAGATCGTAGGGTGTGTTGCGAGAATGAATACGGTGTGACATTCATTATTGGCGCAGACTTTGTTTTTTGGTGCCGAGGCACCTATAGAAGCTAAAGTTTGAGACGCCAACCCGCCCAAGCCATTAGGCTTGCGGCGTCCCATTATGACATCGATTGTTGCGCTGGAATTTGCTCATGGTATGCCTCATCGACAGCGCAGCTCGGTCTTCTTCTGAGGTAGCCGGCCCGGCATTAGGGCGTCTGCGGATTTCCAAGCATTTGATTTGATTGTGCATGTTGTGACGGGTTCGGCAGCATATGTAATCAGTCCAGCGCGTGCTTAACATTATGTCCCCATATTCCATGACAGCCCTGCGCGGCTGTAGTGACGATGTCCGAGCCGTGGTCGTTCATACAGGTACCAGCACTCCGCAAGCAAGCCGTCAAAGATAGGGCGGTTCAACCGGGTCAGGGAACACCGTTGTCGAAGTGTTGATGTCTGTGTGGCTGATAATCCCTGCCAGCTCGGTATGTTTGGTATGGTAACGGTACTAGCACCATATGATCACAGATCGCGCTTGAACGAGGCAAAGGCCGGCCTTAGTTACATGCACTGTGCCTTCCGAAGAGACAACTCAATGCGAGAAAGAAGCCTCGTGGTTGATGCATAAAGTATTCCGCGCGCACCTGGAAGTGAATTGGCATACGCAGCCCTGCAGGGCCCTAACTTAGTCAAATGACTCGAATGCGTCGAAACATATCGGGGTTCTAGACATGATGCTGTAGCAGCCAGGCTTGCGCACACAGCCTTTCCTTCAGGGTCAGGACGAGCCTGATGAGGCATTTTGTCACGCAGATGCATGTCCAGATATTTCGGAGAGGAATCGCCACGATCCGTGTCCTTTCCACAACGTGCGGACATAACTTTGGTCGTTGGGAAAGTTCGTCGGGGTCATGTATAGTCTTTCGGGGACCATTACTAATGGTGCGTCCCGGCCGATGTTACCGCCATTGTTCAGGGTTAGAAGCCTCCTGCGGACGATGCCACATACGCAGACACCTGCACCTTTAACCATGATGCTTCAGCCTATTAACAGCTGTTTGGGATTACCCTTTTTGGCAACTTCGAACGAGCCGTTCTGATATTGCAAAAAGGCTGAACAGTGTATGCAACTCTGCAACGAAAACTCCGGACGACTTCATCCCAACATGAAAGTATAACGTTATCACCACTGCAATGTCCTTTTGTTGTGGTCGTCATTCGACTTGTATGATGACCTTACTCAGCCATCTGTCGTACTCAGTACGGTTGTGTTGGATGAGACAATTCAATTGGACGGTGAGCACTGGCTGTAGACTGAGGCGACAGTTGACAAAGATTAATGAGTAAAATTGCCGTGACCCGACCTGACTGGTTCGGTATTGAGCCCTGCTCGAGCTTCGTCGTCGACGCGTTTTGTCTGGGCAGAGGTCCATGGAACATGCCGAATGCAAGTCCGATGTGTGATGATTGCAGCCTGCACACGAATCGCCCCAGATTGTAATCATGCAGACGGTTCATCGCCTTCCGTACAAATTGCCGCAAAGCCAATTCCATGTTGATACGAACCAGGTGGCAAAGCCATCTCTCGAGTCACGACTACCCATGGTAGCATCGTTCGTAGCCGGTAGGGCGGGTTTATCTTGTGGATGAGTGAAGGGCGTGGACAACTCCGTTGCGTTCGGTGAGCAGAAGGCTGTGATGGAGACCAAATGTAGTCGAAAGTCGCCCTGTTGAGAGCCAAAGAAGCTATTCTGTCCGTCAGCACTGACCAGGACCTTCATCGACCAACCAGCGAACCTTCTGATCATGATACTGATCCTCTTGATGCCCCTCAAATCTAGACCCTTCGTGTCATCGCACGGTTTGCCACGGTAGGTGGGTTTGAAATGTTGCCACGGCATGAAGATGGAGGCAGTAGTGGAGGCGGACCCAAGACGATTTGTGCCATGGCAATTCGACGTTGAGAAATCGAATTCCCAGGAGACGGTAGACTGTTCGCGGCCATTGTCGGGATTTGGGGGAAGAATGTGGTCTTTGAGAATCAGCGTGTAGACATTGTGGTCAGACTGCGAAGGATCGATCGAGACCTCGATACCGTCGAGGGGGGACAAGTCCCAGTGCCGATCGTCACCGAGAGTGCGCTGCGACGCAAATCCAGCCCCGCCTAGGGTGTCGATGTCGAGATGACCATGGAAAGCTACCCCTGTGGGACTTGGATCTAAAGAGGACTGTTTTTCCACATCACTTCGTGTTAGCAGCCATGAGGAAATGGTTCAGCGACTTTCTTGAAGCTCCCCAAGGATATTTCGAGGGTACCCCATCAGCCGTAAAAGCGAGCACAGCCAGCATCGTACCTTTGAGTTACCGCCTCGCACTCTATCATCGCTAGAGGTCCATTGATCCAAATCCCAGCCACTAAGCCATGTGTCCTGATTAGTGCCATTGCGCCACGCGAGACCGAGGAGGATGACCAAGGACAGGGGTGAACCAATGGCGAAAATAACAACAGCTTACATATTCTCCCCAAACAGCGGTCGACGCTGGCTAATCTCGTCCATAGAGCAACACCTGCAGATTTGACACGAGCTTGCGGCTGATGTACCGGCAGTTGCTGCCACAGCCGTAATCCTCAACGTTGGTCTTTTGTTCTAGACTTTGGAAATGGGGCTCATTCTGCAGGATCGTGATAGTCAACCACGGCACGGTAGAGTGCAAGATGGATGCGCTGTCGGTATGACTAGGTGAGGCAATGGAAAATTGACTAGTTCGGGAAGACGGTTGTTAGAAATTCAATTGGTTTTAATTTGTTGCAGATCGGCAGTACCGCGGTTAGCGAGGTACAGTAATTACTAGGTACTTCCATCCACGCAGGGTCAGCTCCTGCCAATATAGGTCTATGCACACTTGGGAGCTGGACCTCAACCCTGCTCACGCCCTTTTCAGTCAGCCCTACCAGCTGAACATCAATCACACACTTCGAAGTCGGTGAGTTCATATAAACTGTTATCACAAGGTACCAGGGTTGGAAGAAGCCTATTGGCAATTGATCTGGTCGCTGCCATGCATTCACATTCGGTGCGGCCCATACTGAACTGCTGAGTTTCAATCATACAAAGTTTCCAAATCGTAAAGCATTCCAAATATACTATCCTCAGGCCACTTGAGCAGGGTATAATTCTCCAAATCACTGCAGAAGCCACCCTTTGTCCTAGGCTGTGACAGACCAATCCCGCTCGTTGAAGAGCTTCCCCCTCCGTCTAAGTACTCCCGGACCACAGACACAACCACGTATCGCGGATCGCCCCTTCCAGTATCTAGACTCCGTGGCGCCTCCCCTGGTTGTCTCCAAATACTCCGCAGACACAGTACCCTCAAGTCTGGGCTACGAAACGCTAATTGCCAGCCTCTCTAGACTTGCTGCTCACATGCAGCCGATGTCGAACCACTGAATGTTGGGACTTGCGGTTCTCGACACTGGTGTGAGCGGTACATCGAAGTAGTTGGGCGAATTGTGCGCCGAGTCGAGTGAGTATGGATCTGTGAGCGGTGGTGTCTAGCCAGAGGAAGTCAGCATTCGAGCTGCTAATGCAAGTCGATGATTGGGAGGGGAGTCCGGACGCCCGAGCTGGCACATGAATGTCTTTTTTGCTGCTGCTCAAAAGTGCGGGCTAGAATATGAACGAGTGAAGAAAGCGGTGGGATTTACATGAGAACTTGCCCCCGTGTAGGCGTGGTTTGAAGGCATCTCTAGGCCGGCTAGAGAGGCATAGTTCATGCTGAACGGATTCAGCACGTCGTCGTCCGCAAAGAGATGGTCTTGTTTCCCGTATGCCGAAGGAAGCATCGCCGGTAACGTGGGCGGTAGGCTGGATGATGTGACATCAACTGGGTACTGGTAGCTTGAGTAGTAGCTCGGCGTGCTGTCGTAGACTGATTGCTGCTGATGCTCGTACTGTAGATAAGACGTTGTAGGCGGGTACGAAGAGAAGGTGAAAGCCGGAGGAGAGTTCATTGAGAGATGACGAGCTGCCGGAGTGTCGAATATTGAAGAGTGGTCGTCTAGGGGTAAGATCTCTGGCGATGCTCGCTGAGCGTCCTGCGTACTCGACCGGGAGTTTTGGCGAGCCATACTTTGAGGTTGTTTGGATTCCTTAGCCGGAGTGCTGGTCACTAATTCTGAGTGGGACTGTTCTGGAGAAGTGGAGGAAGAACCAGCGCGGCGTTCCAGGTCCTCGAGTCTTCTCTTGAGCTTCTTGCGGTAGTTTCGCTATGCATTCATTAGACTACCGGATGTGGATGAAGAAGAGCCACGTACCTGAGCGATCCGGTTTTGTATCCGTCTTCGTTCAGCTAGGTCAGAGATCTTGGTCCAGTCCTCGTTGGGGTTGGCAGAGGCACTGAAAGCAGAGCTGGTGGCATGCGTAGACGCGTATCTAGAGTGTCCGACCATAGCGGTCTGAGGGTAGGTGTAGCTGTGACTCCGTTGCATGGTGACCACGCAAGAACCTTGATATATCTGAGGTGATGCTTAGGTGTTATGCGACCCAATCTCCTTTCGTCGACTTTGACAATTGAGTAAATGGAAGAAGGAAGCCTAGGATCAAGAAGTAGATGGGAAGGTCCAGGGCCTTATTAGTAGGTCTTGCTTGAGAAGAAAGCTATGGTCGAATCACAGGAACTGATCAACGGGAGGCCGAACATGAGATCCCTTGATATATAAGTACAAGTAACAGCCTAGAAACGGGAATTACCGCTTGTCCCAATGTGTGATAGTGGTAACAGCAGTGGCTCGGAGGCATAAAGTGAGCGGATGCAAAAGTTCAACCGGGGAGAGCCACGAGCGTTGGACCACATGTCCACTCTGGGATGCCCTCCATCACAAAAGGTGGTGCCCTGCCTGAGGCGGCGCCGGAGGGTAGGGATACGAGTGTGGATCTCGAAAAAAGAATACGGATGAGCAGGGGATGTCTTGACCGCCCAGGGTGGTGACAGGGGCCACCCCGACAAAAGTAGCGTGAGCCACGTTCTATGCCAGCACTCAGGATATTGCAGGGGGCCGTGAAGCTGGCAGACGAACGAGAACGGAAATAGAGGGCAAAATGCATATTTGGGAGCGAAATCAGTGGTTGCTGCAACGTCGTAAGGCGCTGCGCCCTCTACCGCGAGTCTAACCATAAGCAAATTAGTGCCTTGCTGCCCTGAACAGACTGGCGGTCTGCCTGAGATGCCAAACAGCGACCTTGAGGTTTCCGTCGCTCTTCATCCGCCTCTCTGTCGACATCGTGGCCCGTATTGCCAGTCTGGTTGCCGCAATCGTGTCCATCCTCTTGAGCGGAGAAATGCACGTATCCATACTCGTGTCATTTACTTCTACCGTCAACTATCACCGGTTCAATCGCACAGACACTTGCTCCCTTTGCAAATGCACAGGTTCCGCTCTGTGTTCGTCAAGTCTCTCCTCGTCTGGTCTGCTTGTCCTGGTCCTGCCCTCTTCAGCCTCGGGCTGCTTTTCATAGGTCATCATCATGCCCTTTGGTCACGAATTTCTCCTTCAAGACGCCTGCAAGGCCGCGCTAAAGAACGAGCTTGGCGAGCCGCAGACGGTAGGCCCCAGCGAGACCCTCCCCTTGTTACCCTCGTTCCGACTTCTATTCATAATCCGTCATATTAAATTGTATTCATGTTAGTTAGTTACCTTTTTTATTCCAACCTAAAGTGCTTCCTGTCAACGGCTCAAGCGTTCTCTTACCAGTCAACTCTACGGACCCCACTTTGGATGCTGTCAACGAGCATTGTCCTTTCGTTCTCCAGGGCTGAAATGAAACGATCTGGTACCTCGCAGCCTGTGGTGTGTTTCATACACCGTCCCCACCTAGCACTTTCTCAATCCGGGATTCCACGATCCAGCATGATAACATCAGTGCCGGTGAATTCCGGTATACGGACTCTACTTGGTTCCGGCGTGCTTAACGGTTCTATCGGCCGTTACAATTCTTGTACCCGACCTTCGCGCTCGGCACAAGCACGGTGCTGCCGGATATTTGAGAACCCAGACCGACGATTGATTCGTAGTTAGTCATGATGTGATTACCTCCTTCTGCGGCCGCTGTGATTGCTTCCTTGTCCCTTCCTGGGTTCAACCGTGTTATCGGGTCTAAGAGAAAGCTTGGTTGATGATCACCAACATCATGGAGTCATGGGCGCAGATGGCGTGAAGCCACAAAATGTCAGGTTATGTTAGCGGCAACCAGCCCTGTGCTGCGGATACTTTTTGGGGCCCCCCTCACTTTATGAATACACCCTCCACAAGGTTTCGCTGCAGCCGTCAATATCCTACTTGGGTTTGGGCCCGCCAAAGATCGCCTACACGAGATTAACGCCAAACGTGTCGAACCTTCTCTTTATTCTGCCGAAGATTTGGCATGATCTCTGCAACAATATGGTACTCCGGCGAACAACAGTGACTATTCCCCGGTCTTTCGGACTTCAAAGTACGTTCTGCCCCCGACGTGTGTGGCTATCCTGCATATTGCTCTAGAAATAATCACTTGGCCAAGATAACCGTGACATTGGACAAGGTGAAATCCCAGGAGGCATGGCCTGCATATTTGCCAGCCACGTCCAGTTTCATGTTTCGAGATCCTTCGACGCCATGTTTGGTTGCTCTTTTGGCTTGTACCATAGTATGGTACACGGGACCTGTCAAGGGAACCCTAGCATACCGCGCCCCCGGGAATGATCAAATCAAAAACTGGACCTTCAGGGCGTAGGATTCTTCGTCGTTCTCGAACTGAATGCTGCCTAATCTCGTCGCCATGGTGACTTGCACATCTAGGTACACGGTGTAGAGCCAAGGGGAGAAAGATTGTGTAAGCAGCACGACTTTATCCCTCAAGCTTACCCCCAGGGTTGCTCCTCCAGACCCCTTGATCATTGTTGATTGGTTCCCAGCCAAATGGGACACAACTCAAATGGCTGCACATGGAGGTGGGGTCTACAAAAGGACAATTGCAGAAAGCGGTACTCAGTACCTCAACCATGACTGGCTTTTTTCTATCAGCTTCAGAATGAGAGATCCGTGTCATCGCGGGACTGCATCAGTACTCTAGGTACCGGATGGTCGAATACCATTGCAAGTCGTGCGGCATTTCTAGCAGTGGACAGGGCTTCACTTGCGTCAACCCCGGGACTTGATCACGTTCTCGGCCGTACAGGTCGGAACGGCTCAGGCATGGGAGCCTCGGCATAGCGAATTGTTCCGCGGTGCATTACTGTCGGATCCGCCATGATTGTCGCTAAAGTGAAGCTGGAGTGGATGTGAGACGAGGCTCGTCACCACGAAACTCCACGAAAATCATCAAGCAGGCAGCATTATTGGGAGGGAAGCTGCGAACTTCCCGAAGTTGCGGAGGTTACGATTCGATTCCACGCACCATCCCCGGCTCCGCAAAATGATTCCAATCTTCTGCTTTCAGTAGAGCGTTCCCAGGACAATCGCCTATCGCTTGTCCGCCAATGACCATATGCATTTTCCGTTCAGCCCTAGGGGCCCGAAAGTCAGGAGTGTAGGATCATTAAGCGTCAGCGCCTCCAACGGCCCCTGTTCAGGTGCCCAAGCCTGGTACCAACGCCAGCATGTTTCTGGTATATTATCAGCGAGGCCACTAAGCTGCTCTAGGCTATTCACAAGAGGGTAGTGCGGGAGGCTTGCATCTGCTTCCACTGTCGCGCCAACGCACCGATCTGCCTATTCTTCTAAAGATGACAAAGATTGGCACCAAAAATATCCGGCTACCCTGCGGTCCAACCAGGATTCGCCATCATCTACTGCTTGTAATCACGGTCACCGATGGTCGTACCCGAGCAATGCGCCTTGCATGCCATGAACAAAGTAAGTGGTCACGCAGCCAACAGGAGCATTTCATTTCCTAGCCCTGACTAAACCAGGTCACGGAGGGTTGCTCTTTCCCATCTATCATTACCTCACAAGTCCCTACTCTTCGCCTCACCACGGTTGTCCCGAATAGAAGCGGCACGTATCTATCAGCCATGGCGTCAGGCACATCAGTCTTAACACCATCTTGCCGCTGGTAGAACGTCGGTACTTGTGCTCCACTCCCACAATGGTGCATATGTGCTGATGGACGAACATCAGGTAATCATACGGAGCGTCCGTCCACCAAACGCCATGGGCATCGCTCCCCCGTCTTCCCTCGAGAGACGTCAAACCTTTTTTGGTAGCAGGAGATACCATTCCCATTTGTTCGTTCTTTAGCGCGTTCCACACATACAGTACTGCGTCGCTGTCTATCCCCTGCGGCTTTAGGATCAGGGATTTGAGAGATCTCCGGCATTAGTGCTTCAGTTCATTGATGGGTCAAACTTGCACCACAGCCCTTTGGTACCAGGCCTATAATGCATACTAAATTACATCCGATTAGCTTTGTGCGAACTTGAGCGAAACGATACATGCGACCGTGAGCCATTGCAGTCGTTCTTGGATGACAATTTCCTCACCATCTGACCCATCGTTCTCGCTGCGCGCGGAGCAAGAGGCGTGTGGGCTTCCAGCACTTCTGACCCGCTCAGTGTGGTTCTCGAACGCTGAACGGCCGCTGCTGTTGTCCACCAGTCACCTTCGTCCATTGCCGTCACCGCTGCCTAGGAAGCTGCGCTTGACCTTTAGTCCTGGTGTGATCGGACCACTGCGGCTCCTTCCCATTGAGGAATGTTACCAGATGCCTTGCGTACCTGGGCATTCTCTCTCTACACGCTCTGGTCTACCAGGTTCGATTGTATCGTGTCTTTGACTGCGCCCACTTTCAATCGTCGGTTCATGGGTCGAATGAAACCCAAGCCGGGCACTGTCCGTGCAGACGTCGACATCACGTCCTTGACCCAAGCTCCGAGAGGCCAAACGTGTTGACCTGACCTAAAACTCGCAACTCAGGACTTTGGACTCGGGTAGGCACGGTCGTTCATGCTGCCAATGTCACCCCGAGCTTCAGCTCAATGACCGCGTCCCCACACTCTGATATGAGGTATTATCACGGTATCTTACACCAGATGTACACCGTATTAGATGATTACCTGCTGAAGGACAACATTGGGGTCCAGCTCGATGTCGAATTTGTCAAAACACGCAAGAGGCTGCCCATATGCTGTTGACTGATACGATGATGCAGCCCACTACTCCATTCGGAATTCCTGGGGAGATTGTGGCCCGAAGGATTCTGTCCCTTGTTTCCAGGGTGAGGCTGATCGCCACGATGCAAGCAGTACCCACCAATCAGTATCCAAAGCCCGCCGCACCTCCTACGTCCGTAGAGATGCAGGCAGGGTGGCTGTTGGCCCGGTATGTTGGTTCTCTGACATAATCAGCCCTGGGAGACTTGATCCACTGGACACGGGAGAGTATGCAGCGTGCATCCTTCCAACTTCATGAGAGAAAGACCCTGTCGTATTCTTCGTGTCTCTGCTGACTCGTCAGTGACCTACAAGGAATGCCCATGGCTAACCGCCAACCCCAGGACTGGTGCTGGATCAGAAGCTGCAATGATGGTCGATGTTCGCGAGCCGCCCTGTCATGTCTGAAATGATCCTTCACCACGCAGAGGACCATGGGATTATTCGCTCCCGTTTTCAGGGAGGTCATGTGGGGACGATTGATGGTAGCTTGGCCAGCGTTCTAGACTCGAGGCATCCCAGGATGCGTATTCCGCTCTGACATGCTCGGGACTCCGTACCTCCGTACTTCGTACCAAAGTCAATCATCGCCCTATCAGGGGCACCACACAAAGGAGATGAGCACCTGGCTCCCATGCCTGGGACGCCTGGACATGGAGAAACCCATTGGCCCTCAGACAGGGAGCAGGATGAACATTCTAACGATCCTTCCGTGCCAAATTCGTCCTGGTGTCTCGCAGCATATATCTCCCGATTTGCTTGCCGGTGGGACTCCTTGTCTTAATCGCGAGATCAACAACAGGACTTCGAGAACTGATGTTAGAATGCGGTTTGTGCTCTTTTGGCGAAAGGATTTGGCCCCAATACGTGGGCACGCCTGTATCCTGATGTGTCTCATGAGCTGCAGCTGGTGCTGCTTCCTTCCACCATCAGAACAGTTCCTAGGTTCCGGTCATGCATAGGAATGTGCTCGGCTAAACTCAGGCTTCAGAAAGTCGGGACATGAAGAGAGCCATTCTTGAGAGGATCTGCGAGACAAAGGTGGTGATCGTTCGTGTTCGTGTCGGCGACGTTGTCGAACGTTCTACCTTCTCAGGAATTTGAGCAGAGGACCCCGTTGTCTCCTGTGATACACGGTGGTCTTCAATCACATCCCTCGGCAATACTTTTGGAGGGCGAAACAACTGGGACATGTCTTTTGCGACGGATTTTGGGGCTTTACCCCCTTTCCTCGCAGCCTGCACTCACGGCTGCGACAAGGATAACTGTCGAGGCCAGGGATCCATGCCACCTCGATTGTTCAGCATGCCAATACATTCAATCATGAGGTCTCTTAGGAGTATTCATACAATACGCGCGATACTGACCATGTCCCTGAGACTTCTGGCTGCAGGGCTGCTCGTCTGCGAATTAGCACCAATCCTCGCGGATAATGATCCTACCTGGCGCTTCAGGAGCAAGAAACAACAAGTATCGTTCTGACGCGATGCTGCATTGGCCAGGAAGAAAGACTGTGCAATCCACACAGGAGTTCAGTGGAATTGGGGGCCGTTGATTCCAAATCGTATATCGCACTGTGTTGCTCCTGACCATTACATCTCCATCGACAGGGCACTTCTTTTTCACACGATACCAACTAGGTGTTTATTATTAGCTCTTGCGTCCGCGGGAACGATCGCTCCCCGTCACAACGGGTTGTTGCAGGCTGTGACAAGCAATCCTCCTTGCGTTTCGTTCCGCTCCCGACTCTTCGCCTCGACGTCCGTGTGCAATTCCACGTGTCGATTGTGCAGCAGGACCCTGGTCAATCCGGGTCTCGTCGACGTGTTGTTAGGTAAGGAGCTGCCGTGGCTATCCGACGCATAGCTTGGTGATCAAGGACCATATCGGGATAAGCATTATTGGTCTTGTACTTCTGCTTGGACGTGGAGATCTTGGGCCAGCCAGATTTCGTGTCATAAGAACAAGCTTCGCCCACCAACACATATACATATATACAGGCCTTTGGGTACGGTGAGTGAGACGACAACGAAGCAAAGTAGGCTCGTCTCTAGGAGCTGTTTCCATGGCCAGATATCGAGTAATGAGTAACGATCACTCAGCTAATCAGAGGGCGAGGGAAGTAATAGCGTGCTAACCCCCCCCACATCCCTCCGCAAAACCAACTCCGAGTCCTTCCTGCACCTGTCCAGGCCCCCGAAAATCCGCAGCTTTCTTCTCCCCCGCCCTCCTCTCGGGCTTGTTCCTCTGTGCTTTTTCCACCTTAAGTCGTCAACAGCGGAAATATTCCTCCCACGGTCAGTCCACGCAGGACTTGCGCCATTCCTCCCCGTTGTTGACATTTCCTCCAGGCGACATGGTCTCCAGTCTGACACCCTCAGAATCCTCTCCTGTGCCCAATGGGCATGGCGAGAAGCGCAAGGCAGATGGTGACGCAGGAAGCGACAGGCAAACACATACTCGGTCGAAGAGAAATAGATACATTTCAATTGCATGGTAAATCTCGCGAGCATAGCCTGATCGATTCTGTCCAAAACAAGACCCTCTGCTTACACGTGCGCCTGGTATAGCAATGAATGTAAGCGGCGCAAGATCAAATGCAATGGGCAGGCACCGTGCCAGCGATGCGGAAATCTGTCGCTCGAATGTGTCTACGCGCCAAATTGCTGCACCAATTCTCTAAAGGACTCGGCGTAAGTACTTGCATAAGACAGCCACAGGTCGACTAACGCCTGCGAAAGGGAATTCAACCAGATGCGCGACGAAATTACCACGCTGCAGATGCAAGTCAATGAGCTGTTCACCAGTCTTAGCGAACTTCGATCCCGACCCGAGACTGCCTACCCACCTCCGATCGATCCTCTCGTCTCCCAAGATGCCTCGAACCGCTCGCTCCCAATGTCGGTTTCCCGAACACTTCCTCCACTCATTTCGCCGAAGAGAGCCCCATCGAGGGCTTTACCCCAGTTTCATGGCCCTACGAGCACATTGTATGGTATCGATGTCGCTAAGTCATCACTGCAGACAATGGGGATCACACAAAATGCGGCGGACGATGGAATGATTTCACGAGATCGAAGTCGCGCGGCATCACCTGTGTTTCCAGTTACGCCACATCCATCCAAAGATCCTCTTTGGCTGATAGACCACGCCGAGGTCATCCGCTTGTTGCGTGTCTATGAGGAAGAAATTGGCATCATGTATCCCGTGGTCGATATTGAAAAGGTAATCAAGCATGCAGATTCGCTTTACAAATTCATCCAAGCGTCTCTTCGAGCTGGGTTCGGCAATCTTGCACTACCTGGCGCTGACGCCATTGACGACGAGGAGACTACCGTGCTAAAGATGATCCTTGCTGTCACCATGACTGTTGAAGGCCATGGGCGCAGCGACTTTGGTCAGAGGTTCTTTGATGCCGCTAAGCCAGCAGTCGACTTGAAGCTGGTCACAGCTTTGGACACCAAGTCGGTGGTTTTGGTTGTGTTGACGGTAAGTACCTCCAGAAAGTGTGCGACATCATCAGCTGACATGGTATGCAGGCTACCTTCTACTTTCAGAAGGACGAGGAGGCACAGGCGTGGCGTTTCATTGGTATAGCCGCGCGTATGTGTATCGAAATGGGCCTACACAGGAAAGACTCTCTAGTCAAAACTTTTACCAATGAAGCCGAATATCAACAAGCTGTCAGGATTTTCTGGACAGTCTACGCCCTCGATCGTCGCTGGAGTTTTGGTACTGGAATGCCGTTTGCTCTACAAGATGCAGATATTGATTCCAATCTGCCGGAACCTGTATGTTCACTGCCAAACCCATGCGTTACAGCTACTAATATGGACCAGGACGAGAGTCACCTCTATCTAAGACACATTACCAAATACAACCAGATTGCGACCAAAGTATGGTATCACAACTTGGCGTACGAAGCAGGTCAGAACACCAAGAAGGATGAGATTGGGTTTCTCGATTATCAAATCCTGCAGTGGTATCAGCAACTCCCGGAACCATTGCAATTTAACAGTCGAGATCTTGTTGCTGAGAATGAAGTACCTGGACGTGGTGTCCGACGACTACGTTTGCTTATGTACCTGCGGAGGAACCAGGCACGGATCTCAATTTATCGACCAATCCTCCATTCGGCAACGAGCATCATGGAGAACAGACACTACGCTCAGAATGTCGCGGACGTGGCCAAAGACACCATCAATACTTTGACTGGAGTCAACCAGATCTCGGACATTTACAAGACACAACAAGTCATGTACAATTACTTCCTCGTACAGGCTTTGGCGGTGCTCTTCCTGTCCGTTGCACATGCTCCAGCCGTCTTTTGCTCGCAAACAAGACAAGAATTCTACGCCGCGATTGAAATGGTCAAGGGCTTCAGCACCAAGTCTCATGTGTCCAAGCGGATTTGGAAGACTATCCGAGGTCTCAAGGAGATGGGTGACAAGATTGGCCTTCTGGCGCGTGGAAATAACACCCTGAACGACGCCGAGCAGGACGCTCACTCGGATGCCGCGGTCGCAATGGCTGGACTTGCAGGACATCAAGTCGAGTATTCATCCTTTGCGAATCAACCACAGGGCGGCGAGCTTGGAGTGAGTCCGGACGACGCTCTCCAGATTACGAATGAGCTGTCTAGCTTGTTTGAATTGGCGGGTGGGTACGGTGCTACGACTCCAATTCCAGACACGTTCAACTTCAATGGAGATCTGAATTTGGGAGAAGGGTTTAACGCCTTTGGGAACGAGCCGGAATTGTCCAGGATTATGAATGAACTGTTTTGATGAGAGCAATATAACGAATGTAGAGGCTGGAAATGGTCACGAGACATGATACGGACTGCATATCGGATGCCTCCCAATGAAAACGATCAACTGACATGATCTCGAGAATATGACCTGAGAATGAGCTGTTCTTGCAGCAAGGCTGCAATCCCAAAGATTTTCACGTGATCTCGTGCCAAGCTTGCGCATTGCGTCCCTTCCCAGTATCAATCCATCTGGCCCGCCTTCTAAAAGTGCAATTGACTGTATCCAGGCACGACCCTTTTCAAGTTTGTTCTTGAAGGTCATTCTAGCCGCTTGTCTGTGCTGTCAGATACAGAGACTTCAGTTCCCTTGCCGAGCTACGATCTTTTGACCATAGATACTCCGGCACACCTGGAACCACCCCTACGAACCTTACCACTACATAGAGTGTGATATCCACGTCCTTGCGACTCCCACTGCCTTCCTACACGTGTCGCACCGTTGTTCAGTACGATCGTCTCCAACGGACACTGTGTTGGTCGATAGCCTCATGTCTTTATTGACATAGCCTCTTCTGCCTCTCCCAGCCCACCACTCAATTACTCGAGATCCCTCCATTGCGGCCTACGACGATATCCGCCCCACAGGAGCACTGCGCCGGCATTCTGTGCAGGCCAACATCTAACCCAATCTGTCTGCAGAACAAGCCTCAGGTCTGGCCACAGGCCTGGACAGGCTCAACATTGAATCCGACTATTCAGAGTCTCTCTACTACCACCAATTCACCACTTCCTCCGCCACGATTTCCGAAATGTCGCAGACATCTTCTCAAAGTCCAGATAGCTGGATAGGTCAATTCTGCAACCTGGTTGGGCATGAATATTTTGCTGAAGTCAGCGAGGACTTTATTGAGGATGATTTCAACCTGACAGGTCTACAAGCACAAGTACCCATGTACAAAGATGCCCTGGAGATGATCCTGGATGTCGAACCTTCAGAAACAAACTCCTCTGAGCTGTCCGAGGAGGAGGAGGAAGAGGAAGAAGAGGAGGACGATGGGCTACTGGGAGACGAGCTGGACGAGCCAGCACAGAATGGTGGTCCGACACGGCAGCCCGGTCTTTCAGCAAGCGGCAGGCGGCACGGTCGGTCTTCGTCGGACACTTCGGTGATTGAGTCGTCTGCGGAGCTCCTTTACGGCCTGATCCACTCACGGTACATAACCTCAAGACCGGGCATTCAACAAATGATGGAAAAATACGAGTTGACACATTTCGGTTATTGTCCACGCGTGTATTGCGCAGGAACGAAGGTGTTACCCGTGGGGTTGACCGACACTCCTGGTCAACAGACGGTCAAGCTTTTCTGCCCAAGTTGTCTGGATGTCTATACGCCTCCCAACTCTCGGTTTCAGGCTGTTGACGGAGCGTTCTTTGGAACGACATTCCCTTACTTGTTCTTGATGTCTTATCCTGATCTGGAAATTGCGCCATTGAAGAAGCGAGCACCGCGCGATTCATCTGGCCAAGGAAACGACGATGTGGAGAGCACTCTCAGTCCAACCGAAAACGCTTCGCGTGGAGGCATGACTGCTAGCCGGAGTTCGAGTCTCACATTACCACAGCCTCCTGCTATTCCCGGCGTGACACCCACCAAGGACGAGAAACCACTGGTTCCCAACAACGCCATGCTCAACCTGCCACCTCAACCTGCGACGATCAACGGAGTAGCAACAAACAACCTTGCGCCTGGTACGGGCAAAGGCAAGATTTATGAGCCCAAAATTTATGGTTTCCGCGTTTCAGAGCGAGCAAAGAGTGGTCCCAGAATGAAGTGGTTACGGTCGAAACCTGCTGACGTCAATGAGCTCGATGAAGCCAGGATATGGCATGAGAGGTATGGAGGAACCGTGGATGGGGATCCGGACGAGGAACCTGGGGCCACGTCTGGGGAGATGGAGGAGGAGGACGCAGAAGATGAGCTTGCCGATGCTGATGGAGACGCCATTATGGGCAGTCAAAGTCAAAACAATGGCAAAGGGAGATCGAAACGTGGCGACGCGAGCGGTATTACGCAAGGCCCCAGTCGAGGTAAAGCAAAACGGAAAAGTGCGCAACAACAAGCTGGACAGCAGGAAAGTGAAAACTGGATATGAAATGACTCGATGAGATTCTATGAGGACCCATGGCAATATTGCTCTATGAACAGAGCCTGGAGTTGGTCTTTCTTAACGATCCAGCCATTCGGACGCTTTGGAACAGCCCTCAAAACAACTCACAGCATTGAGCGACATGAACGCGTAAGCTCATGCCAGGCAAAGACACCATGCAGTCTTTTCAGGCTTGTTGGTATACAAGGTTAATAGCTTCAAGAGGAGCCGCAGTGGACGACAATGCGTACATGACAGCCACAGACTGAGAGACGAGCACTGGGTACCAGTCGTCACTGTTTGAAGCCGTGGGAGGCGGGGGAATAACATACGGGCTCTACGCATGACCAGTCGGACGAAGTCCACATGGACACTAAACGGTCCTGGATCAAATACAGCTGACTGTATGACGAACCTAAGAGAGTTCTGCTCGTTTGTACTGCGCTTTTCTCGCTCGAAACGGCTTGCTGGAAGTTGCATGGACACTGGGCACAGCAGAGGATCGTCTCGCAACAAATGGGATGGATTGATCAATGGCCAATTTGCGGAATGACACAGGGAGCTAGGTTCGGCGCTTTCTGCGTTCGAAAAAGGCTAGGGCAGGGTCGGGGGCATCTGTTTCTGGCGGCGGTGTTTCTCTTTCAGACATTAAGTGCAAGGACCAAAGCAGTGGGGTTGCGGGTGATGTTGTGGTGGGAGCTCTGAAGAGGTGCCTCTCGACTCTATGGCGGTGCCACTTCGAAGAAAGGAAACAATAAGATTAGTGCTTCTCACTCATAGTGCTGCGATCTCCTGCCTCCCCAAATAGATCAAAATCAAAATCACTATCAGCGAAACCACCAATTCACGCTGGCCGTGATACCCTCTCCGACACCCTTGACACTATGCCACCATCCTTTCGGAATGAAGAGAGCGTCACCCAATTCGACTTCTGTCTCGAGAGAGTATGTGGCAAGGACATCGGCGTAGCGATTGACGCTGGGATCGTCTGTCCAGATCGCCTCGTGCTGGGCGAGTTTCTCTGGACCGGCCATCATCTCGTCACCTCTGATATTTGCTGAAGCGTGGTTGTGGTCTAGATGATTCTGGACGTCCTCAAAGACAGCGTTACCGATCTCGGGTGGGAGGAGGCGCAGAAGTTTCCGGCCCGCGAGCTGCATGAATAGATTGGGGTTGGGGTCACGGTGGAGAGGGGTGTATGTGGGTGGACGGCCTAGCCAGAGAGATGAAGCGTAGATGTCGCCTTTGATGGCGGACGAGGGCTGGAGCAGCGACGGCGTGGGGATGTCGTCTGTGATAGACCGGGGGAGGGATGACAGGTCACATTGCGCCAGGTAGATTGAGTGCTGGGGTGTGCTGGGGCTGTTGCTGGAGAGGTACGTTAGGAGTAATTTCAGGGGAGCATCCTCGACACGGTTGAAGGATTCCCCGCGGTCGGGAGTGGTTGATGTGAGTTCTAATGGGACGGTGATGGATTCATGCTGGGACCAGAATGAGGTGCGAAGCTCGGAGGAACGAGGGGTGAGGATGGTGTGGTCTTTATCATTGATGATATTGAGTCTGTGGTTGGCGTCGTGGATGAACCATTTTGAACTCGCTGGTGCGATCTGTGTCGCTGAACGTGGGAGCCGTGCGGGCAGGGCTGGAATGTATGCTTTCTTTTCGAATTCAGGTTTATACCATGATGAGAGCTGTGGGACTTGTTTGAGGCGTAGATGGGATGGCGAGGTGCTGAAGAGGCGGGTTGAAATGTGAGCCAGGGAATTGATTCTGTCAAGAGCTCGTGTGCTCCTTGTCCGTAGTACGAGACATTGCATTGACTCTTGACTCCTTGCGGGCAGGGGTTTTGTGGTCAGAAGGGATCACAGAAGAGGAAGAAGAAAAATAATCGTATATCGTATTGATGGTTTGTGATATAAGCACTCGGTAAGGTCTTCGTATTTGGTTTATGCACATGCCACTGGAGATGCTTTGATGGTTTCTTTTCCTTCATGTCTGACACTACCATCATGGGCACCTTCCACTCATTCTCCCGCCGTCGTCTTTTCATCGGGGTCGTCGGACACTGAGATATTGTTCTCCAGGTTCTTCTTCGCCCCCTCCAGCACGGGTCCAATCCCGCATGTGGTCGATCGTCGCCCACAATGCACAGCATACCTCGGCGGTTCCGCGACCCGTCTTCCTAGAAGATATCGGGTATCAAGCGCGTACTCGTCGCTTGAACAAGGCCCTGTTCCACATGGCGTACATGCATCTATCTCTACATAATACTTCAAGCTGGGGAAGCCTAAAAGATACAACTGTCGGGCCTCCCCTTTCTTCTTTTCCTTCATCCTTTTTCGCGTTCACCACTCTGTGATTGTTCGTTTCCTATCTGTTGTCTTAGCCTTCAACTCCATTCGCCATGACTTCCAAAGTAGACCGCATCCGCCGTGTCGGCGACTGGGAGAAGTCGGCATACACCTACTATCCCATTGCAATCATTGGTGCTGGAGAATCAGGAATCGCCATGGGCTGCAGACTACGTTCGGAGCTAGGGTTCGATCAATTCCGCATCTTTGAGCGAAAGTCGGGTCTTGGAGGCACCTGGTTCACGAATGTAAGGCTCCATTTAGATAAGCGATCTCATATCACTGACGACGTGGACATTATAGCAATATCCCGGTATCGCCTGCGACGTGTAAGTATCCTGCATACTACCTCCTTATTGCGCTCCAAGACTGACAACATTCAGGCCGGCAATTTTGTACTCTTACTCCTTCAACCAGAATCCGCACTGGACGAGCTTCTTTCCCGGCGGAAAGGAGATCGTTCGCTACCTCTACGATACATGCGAGAAATATCAGATCCTAGACAAGATCCAATTAGACACCTCGGTCAAGAGCCTCCGGTGGCTAGACGATGTGGAGGAGTGGGAAATCATCCTCGAGCATCTGGCGCCTGGCGTGGGCGACTTGTCGACGCAAGAACGAAAAGACCTAGAGAAAGAGAAGGGACCAGAATCCGCCGTTTCATACACAGAAACCATCCACGCCAAAATCGTCTGCAGCGCTGTAGGAGGTCTCGTGGAGCCCAAGCCCTCCCTGAAAGTCCCAGGCATCGAAAGCTTCGAAGGCGAGATCGTCCACACAGCGAGATGGGACCCCAACCTGAACTTGCAGGGCAAAGAAGTCGTTGTCATCGGCACCGGGTGCAGTGGTGGTCAAGTCGTGCCCCAGCTGATCAAGCCCGAGTATGGTGCAAAACACGTCACACAGCTCATGCGTTCCCCTCCATGGGCAGTTCAGGCAATGCCTCCCAAAGCCCGCGAGGCCTGGAATGCAAGAGTCCCCTGGCTATGCGAACATATTCCTGGCTTTCAAAACACTCTGCGGAAATTCCTCTTCGCTGGTCTTGAAGCCGAGTTCGTCAGCCTCTTCACACCGAGCGAAGCGGCCCGTCAGCGGCGACAGAAAAAGGCCGGAGAACTCCTGGCCTACATGCGCGAGATGGTGCCGGAGGAATACCACGAGATCCTGACGCCCGACTACGAGGTCTTCTGCAAACGCCGCGTCGTCGATGAAGGCTGGTTCAGAAGTCTGCGAGAGCCCAATGTCGACATTACTACTTTGCCACTGACTTCCGTCCAGCCTCGTTCTGTAACGCTAGGGCCCGGACGACACTACCCGCCCATGTCCAAGAGCGACTCCAAGGTGCCGACCGAGAAGCGTGAGATCCCCGCGGACGTCATCATCATGGCCAACGGCTATGAAACGAATCAGTGGCTGCACCCGCTCGACGTGACAGGCCGCAATGGCCGGTCCTTGTACAAGACGTGGGAAGAACGGGGTGGCGCCCAAGCGTATTTGGGGACTGCCATGGACGGATTCCCGAATTTCTTCATAATCTTTGGGCCCAACACCGCGACGGGGCACAGCAGCGTTATCCTCGCGAGTGAAAACATGGTCAATTACGCGCTCAGGTTCATTGAGCCGATTATCAACCGCGATGTCGACACGTATGAGGTCAAAGAGTCCGCAGAACGTAAGTGGACTTCGGACTTACAAAGTGAATTGAAGAACAGCGTCTTCCAGTCCGGCGGATGTAAGTCGTGGTACGTCGAGGACAATGGCTGGAACGCCACGGTGTATCCACGCACTCAGATCGATTTTACGCTGCGGTGTATGTTCCCAAGGTGGGACCACTGGAACGCCAAGTATACGAGGAAAGGGCTTGTCAAGTTGCAGCTCGGCCGGATCTTGAAGTTATTCGGGGTGCTTGTGGCGGTTTGGGGTGTCGTGTTCACGGCGAGGAATGGTCTGCGCAGTACAAGGGAGGTCGCTAGACATTTCCTTGCGCGAGGTGTGGAGGGTGTTAGAGGCTTGGTGGCTAGAATAAGAGTGTAGATCGTGCAGCAACTTCAGGGAGAGTACATATGTAATATCTGGTATAATGCGGAATTGGTGAAGATTGAGGGAGGATGCAGTGAATGCTCCTCGTCTAGTTAGCTGACGGCGCAATGATTCGTTGTTTGAGGAGAAATACTGATAGCACAGTGATGACATTAGGAACGTATATGAAGGACTAGGCATCAAAATCAGCCCTTCTTTACAGGGTCAAACAGAACCCCAACGATCTCATCCAAGATAGTAAACACCAAATGCTGATTCAGCCTTGCGTTATTCATCGTCGCCGAAATCCTCCTGGCGGCAGCAGTCGCATTCGCTCTTCCAACCACATTGCCCGCCAGATCGGGCACGAGAGTAGCGAGCATCATCGACGCTTCAGACCTGGACTTCTTTTTCTCAGCCCCAGTCCTTGGTGTGGCTACTCTCATGGGCCCGCCACCAGGCCACATCATCTCCTTGACCATGTCAATGTATTTGAGCAGTGAGTCTTCCTCGGTGAAACTCTTAACAATCTCACGAATCTTGCGCTCAATCGTACCTCCGAGTAATTGATGAAGCACGACAATCACAGCTCGACCACGTAGCCAGTTGTTGCCGCGGTTGAGCTCGAACGTCTCGAGGAAGATATCACAAATTGGCTTGACGAACGGTTCCAGTTCTTTGTCTTCGAAAGCCGACAGCTCTGCTTCCGCCTCGGCGACCGGACCCGGGTCAAGGGGAACAATATCTCCTTGGCTCATGCCGAGCTGATTGGTGGCCGCGGTGATCAGGTTCTGACCTGCTACAGACAATTGATCCAGCACCGAGACATTGCCTAGAAACTCGTCCATGCCATCAGTCACCGAGTTGTAAATCCGGCTGACAATATCCTGTGCGTTTGAAACGCTGTTTGTTTCTTGCTGAGACATGATGCTCTGTTGCGATAAGAACGATCTCAATTCCCGGCTCCGACACACATCCGGCATCTGAAGCAACTGCTGCAAGTAGTGCTCTAGGGCAATACGTCGATTTTGAAGGAATTGCTTCTGTAGTTTCATCACTACCCTCCGTCTTGGGAACTCGAGACTCCTCGTGGAAGGGTATCTTCGACGTAGTCTTTGGTGGAGATCATGGAACTCGGAATAGCGGCGTGGTACAGCCCAGACTGCCGCGGCCATCTGGTCTCCAGCCTGCCTGTGAACCTCAACGACATACAAGGCAAACTCTCGTCCGTCCTCCTCTTTACCAACAACGACTGACTTGATAGAAATGTTGGACCGACCGTATAAGCTGTTGTCGCTCTCTTGTACAATATATTGTTGGCGTTGAAGCTCTTTCCGGCGTATCTCTCGTTGTAAGCTCGCCTTGGACTTGCCGAGTATTCGCAGCTCGGCGACATTGTTGGTTAATTCTGCTTTTCTGGTCAAGGTATCAACCACTGATTCTTGAGTCACAAGACGTTCGATGTCGTTGGTGAGGGCGGTGATTGCCTCGGCAAGACCTAGGTCCCCAGGTGCTGCTTGATGAATTTCGTCTTCCTCCGCCGAATCATTCTGTTTCCCATCGTCATTGTCCACGTACTCGTCTTCCAGAAACTTCTTCTCATCTGGGAAAAGATCGTTGTCAGCAAAGACGCCGATTCGTGAAGATGTGTTGACCAAACCCAGAGTTGCTAGACTGGGCTTTGGCTTGTTGGCGTTATCGTTGCTTTGAAAGTCAAGTGACCCTCTCGGTGACTCCGCATTCTTGAACGACTTCGAACCGGACACGGGTGACGTGAAGAGAGCATCATCATCATATATTGTGCCATCCTCCATTGGGCTATCTGTCATGATGTTATTCATGGCTGCTTCCATGTTCTCGATGACTCGACGCTGTTCAAGAGAATCACCATTCAACGACTCCTGGCCAAGGCTTTGGATAGAATGCGCTAAAGGGTCGGTATCGTATCCATCGTCAAAGAGCGGTGCTGACGGTGAGGTACGCTTCGCAGCTTCTGTATCATCGAAGAGTTTGGAAGATCCTAGACTTCGGACATCAGTCGAAGAGACGGCTGCTCTTCTCAAGTCTCTGGCTCGGTAAGCAGGCTGAACGGAAGTGGTTCTAGCAATAGGAGGTTGTTTCGGGCCCTTCGCCCCGGGTGACAGCGGTGTGTCGTTCGTTTCGGAACTGTTGCCAGTACTCTGGAGGCGCGGACGCGTCGCAGACGCCTCGCTCGAAGCAAGAAATTTGTAGTACAGGTCAGATTTCCGAAAAGTGGGCAGATGACGAGTCTCAAGCTCTTCCAATACTGCAGATTGTGCTGCAAGGATGGCAGTCCTTGCGGCTCGATATTGTTGCGGTGTTGCTTTACGGCCAGTGACCAGAAATGCCCTGATAACATCCTTAGTCTCTTGCGGAACATTCAGCTCTGGCTTCGAAATGTACGTTTCGCTGATCTGTGCAATGTCCATACGATCGGCGTCGGTCCAAGTCTGTTGACCCGTTGGGTTCAATTCCTCTCCGAAATCGTCTTCCAGAGGATTGCGAAACCCATCTACTACCACCCAAAACTGTACCAGAGGCATGCGATGCTGGCGATCCATAAACTCCATAAAATAGGAGAGGCCTGAGGCAGTATGCAAGATCTCGACCATTCTCCATTCGTGAGGTTTTTCGTTCGAGGCCGAAGGTGGACTTTGATGCTGCATTCCTGCTTTCCCTCCAGCTACGGTCTGACCGAGTTTGGCAATCTTCTGATCCAATACGCGCTTCGCCATTTCGAGCCTTCGGAGGTAGACAGGATCCTGGCCCTCGACCATGCTTTCGCGCTGAATCTGGCTCGCAATAGAATTTCTGAACCGGCGAGCATCGGACAAGTTTTTCGTCTTGCGAATAGCTCTAACAAATCGCTCAAAAGCCCTCTCGCTGTCATCCGGACCTAAACGTGGTAATTCCTGATCGGTCCGGCCTCGAGGCATAGGGGAAGTGTGTTGATCAAGAGCAGCTCTCATTCGACGGACGGTTTTCCGGTCTTGTAGAGTGGTCCGCCCATATGCCTCCACAAGCTGATTCCATGTGTCAGGATCGGACAGTAGTTGTAAGATTGGACACAAGACGGCACACGCAACTATCTCCTTGACTAGCACCAGCGTAGCCCGGCTGGCCATCATGGTGGGAGAAAGGACATCGGGTAGAATCCGCACCAAGAGCTTTCGGAGGTGATCCTGCTGGATAGTTTTGGTGTCGGAGAAGGCAAGCGAGGCTGCAGGGTGCAGTTTCCCATCTCGGTATTTCGCTGCAATGGCCATCTCAAGTTCTTCAGACTCAGTCACACTGCGGCTTAGACTGCGCCCCCGGACGATGCGCTCTGCCTGGTCGAACTCGCGCATGTGTGCGGTCACTATTGGCACGACCCTGGATATAATGACATTGACCATGTCTTCATTTAGAATGCGGTCCCGGACCTCAGCAAGAGCTACGCGGATATTCTTGTCCACTTCGTTGACAAATACCGAACTCTTTGTGATCTTCCCGTACCATGATGACGCGAAGTCTCTTAGCGCAAGCCCGATCAGGGCATCCAGCGCCTGAGAAACCACAAAAGACTTGTCATAGAGTTGTAAGGGTTTGTATTCGCAGGACGCTGCGTAGAGCGACAACTCCGCGCGCCATTTGTCAGGACGCAGGAATGTGGGAGCCTCTGCAGGCAGCGGGGACGGACCACCATAGGGGGCCCTGGGTCTACACACGATCACCGTGGCCGCAGTGATAGTGAGCAGGGTGAGTATACAACCGAGTATGAAGGCATATCCGAGATATCGTAGTACGGGCAGGCACCGTACAGCGAGCCCCCACGCAACGAATGCTGCAAAGGCGGCAGAAAGAACATGTTTTCGATCAAGGTACATTCTTGATACATATTTGGTGTTGTCAGCCTGGCTCAGCCGGAAGCCAGGCCGTGAGTCCTTAGACTAGACATTTATGCGATCGCATGCACCTGTGGTAGAGAAAGGGGACGATAGGAGTCGGCGAGAGAAGGAGTGTCCGCATCGACTAGGAGGTTGCTTGTTCGGCCAGAGTTGAGTGGGAGCGAATAGTTGACGCTGGAAGCAATATCACGGGCATGGGAGACTGGTGACGATGATTTGATGGATGGCTTTGGATGATTGATGGCAGTCTCCGAGAGTCGAGTGGGTGGGTGGGTGGGTTGGAGTTCGCAAGGGGCAGTTATCGCCTTACCTTCCCTTTCCCTAGGTGGGCTTTATGTCGGAAGGGCGCAGGCAGGCTGCGCCTACCTTCTCAAGCTAGGCCTTGTGTAACACGCCTTGAGGACATGCTTCGGAAACCATCAACACAAGGACGTATCTTCATCCTTCTTCTGCTTCGATTCCACTTCCCGACTGGCCAAACTATGAGGGAAGAGATCGGATACATCCGTCGTCAGCACCCGTAATACCGACATTGCCAGCCCTTGCCCTACCGTAAGGCAGCCCCCACAAGCCTACGTTCAGCGAGAGTCTCGTCGCACCCTCTTGCTATTTGAGAGATGCATTTGAATTAACGACGTGACATTTGGCTGCCGGAACTCTGTGCTGCCTGTCCATGACACGCCTGCAAAGAGCAAGGAGAATTCCGGCAGCTGACGGGCAAAGGCCTCGCCTTGTATGAGAGTCCAACTTCAGGCCAACAAAGCCTCCACGTAGGCGATACAAGCGGCCCCCAAGGACAACAACCTGGTCGCCTCAGCATGAATTAGTGGCGTCATGGAAGCCATGGACACGCGATGATTGCATAGCGAGCTTGAGAGATAACTGACCACCGTATTTTAGGAAGGTGCTTTTAGCCCTTGAAACTGCGGCCCCGACATTCTGCATGGTTTGCTATGGCATTGGAACCTTACAACGACTCCAAGCAGCCCGGAAATATGTTGCTGGACAGAAAAGACTGCTCGCCTTGATCAATCACTTGTTTACGTCAAGCAATCCATGTCTCCAGGGCAGCCCGTCTCGATGCCTCGTACAAAGGTTACGATGTACAGTGCCCAGTAGTTTGGTGGGATTGCTGCAGCTGAAGAAAGCAAAGGTCTGAAATATCAATTTATGCTCACGTCTCGATTGGTTCGACCGAGCAAGATAACGCACCACGGTGCTGCGAGCCGAAACTGCCATCTCAGCATGACGTTCGACTAGGCTGGCCGCATACAAAAATAAAGTCCGCACTCGCAAGAGCATCATCGACAGCACATAAGTGCGTGAGCAGGTACGTGCTTCACGCTTCTATTCGAGACGCGCTTTGGGTTTACCACTTGACGTATTATTCCGGTGCTCATATTAGCGGTTCGGAGACGACCAAACCGTTGAATTCTCGTACTTGGAGATTCGGCATAGCCCTATGATCTGACCTCAGACGGGTGTCCGGGCGGAAGCGCGGAAGGTATATGCCTATCTGCAAGGTTAACTGTACACCCGACCTCATTCAGACCGAAGTCTTTGCTGGGCGTCTGGCAGGTTCGACATCAAGACCTGGAACTATTTGAGCACCGTGGTTTTGGGGAGCGATCCCAAGGCACCGCGATGTGAATGCTCCAAACCTTCAGTTGCCTTGTGGACTCTCAAGCCGCGCTTTTGCCTTGCCAATGCTGCACCATTGCGTGGTGGTGCGCTCATGTGAAGCCCAGATGGTTCCTGTCGGGCGCAAAGCACACAAGTGTGAGCTTCAAGAACAGTTGATGTGCCAAAGTGCAACATCTTTCTGGCGGTGAACAAGAGCGACAGCCAATGACCAAGGATGAGATACCACTACGTAGGGTCATCAGGCATCAACATTGATAGTCCAGCTACCATTTGTGCCACCAATGCCTCGCCAGGGCGAACCCTGGTCTATGCAGGCACACCGGAAGTAAAAGTAAACAGGGCACATGCATGATGGGCGACAACCAGGTTGAGGTGATCGACGGCAGCACAAGAGAACATGGCTGCCACGACCCCGCCTCTATCAAAGTCAAAGTGATCCGCAGCCTGCTTCGACAGCAAAGCGATTGGATTCGCGTGTCGAAATGAAACGACAAATTGTATTTCAAGGCCTGACTCCGTGAATATGCATTACTTTGATGCTGATCCACATATACAAGGCAGCACTTGTCCAATTGCTTGTTAGTGCTGGCGGATTGGACTTGGGCACTGATCAACCCATCTGTCGAGCAACCAGCAATGTCTCAATTGGTGGAGTACGAGACAAGTCATCTTTCTTGTTGTTCATTTCACCGCCCGTTGAAAGAGCTGATCTCTGATCTCTCTACGGGCCTTGCAAAGTTCTACAAAGTTGATTGCAGTCGAAAAGCTACCAAGTCTACGGCGGACAGACACATGAGCTGGACGGGGAATGGAACCCTTGAATGTTAGATAGCCTCGGATGCTGGAACAGAATCGACACTGACAGCTAGGAAACCCAACCTGGAAGGCGCGGAATCCGGCCTCCCTTCCGGGGATGCAGCGTTGCCCGTCAACCCATCCTGCCCAATCCGACCAGCAACCTCCACAGGTGGGATGCATAGCAGGGGCCCTGGCTGATACGGGTTCCATCAAAACTGTCAAGTGCACCGAGGCGGGATGGACTTCCTCGATGCTGACTACATGACTTGTCGGGCCCTTTACCTAAGTTACAGACAGTATTCAACTGTCGGCATCTCTGACGAGGTCATTCTCCTACTGCACCATCCGAAATTCTGCTGCCTTGCACGCGGGCAGCTCAACAACCAGATGTCTCAACCCCTGTCTCATTGTCAAAGTTTTACGAGAAAAGACCCAATGGCCAAGGCAGGCCAATGTTGCGGCTAATTTCGTCCGTCTTCAAATTCAGCCGCTCTTTAAGACAAGTTACCTACTGACACCAGTGAGTGCCGTCTTTAAAGTTGAGGGTCCTTTGGCATGATCGCCACGACAGGATTGTTGCCACGAGCATGTCAATGCAGGTGCCGAAGAACTATTTCAGTTTCACAGAGAACACACTAGGTCGTTAAGGTTCGGCACGTCCAGCGGACTGTTCTCCAGACTCCAGAGGTTTGTTCCCAAAGTCAAAACTTACAAAAGCACTTCAGTTTCTCGAACCCCGGCTTCGGCTATCCCTGTTTGATAACTGTCTCGTTTCTTTTTTCAACACCAATCCACACACACTCTGACCTCCTCATGCATGCTTGGAGTGCTATCTTAGTGCACGATGTCAAGCAGAAGCTTCGGTTGCCTCCTTCAACCACGGTCATTGGTCGCTCTGCTTCCTAAAACACCAGCCCTCGAAGCGTGCTCACATTCTGTCCACTCCTAGGCACAATGCCACAGTACTAGGTGCTGCAGCATTCCTGGCCACCTTTTCCCAACCGGACCTTCCGCGCCCGCGCGCTCTCAGCTGACACAAGATCATGACGCAGCCTACGTCCTTCTTACCCCTGCCATCTTGAAGCTTCGGATGGATTGGAATCTTCTTCACCTGCCTATTCGTCGTATTTGCGGGATCAATCTGTTCGATACTGCAGGGCACTGTAGGTAATTGCAGGCTCTGTTCTGGTAAGCGCGAACTATATTCGTTGTACCAATAGGCCTGTTCAGCACGCGGCTGACTGCTTTGGGAGGACAGACCTTCAGGGTGCTACGACAGAGGCTTGTTGGCCAGTACGATGTAGTGGGTTCCTCATCATCGTTCGTCACTCCTAATCTTGCATGCTGCAGCTTCCCAGCACGCAGACCGCCCTGAGATATCGAGATTCATACCCTGGTCCTCCCTTCTACAATAATCGTCTTGCCACTGGGACTTTCCACCTCCCAATCGTCACGAACTTTGCTGCCTCACGCACCTGGCTGGAAGGGGCCGCACTAGTTGCACGAATAGAGTCACCTACTGTGACCTACATGGGTCTTCCCGCCCAGTACTCACGTCGGACGCATGCACTATTGATAACTTACACCCCACAGAGATCGACCCATACTCGCACATCCAACAGGCAAGGCAACCGGTGGCAGTTTCTCAATCTTGAACAATAGTCCGATATTCTCAATCGATCTCCCTGATCTCTACGCCGACTTCGTCTATTTAGCCCGATTTCTCAGGTTCTTCTCCTGGCTGAACTAGTCAATTGCAGTATGGCTGTCAATTAAGCACTTTCGTGCCGTGTCCGAAGGCATTGTGTCTGTAGGAAGCACCGAGCTGCCACGCTTTCATAGGTCTGTCATCAACCTGACCGTTTTGCCTGTTTGGGCTTCATCATTCACCGTCCGTTCATGAAACAATTCCTTCACGGCAAAGTGGACCTTGTTCCGAATTCAGGTTCTGCAGATAAGTGAGTATCACCAGACTCACGAGATATCAGCCACCGCACCACTTCAATAGAGGGTGCAGACCAACGAGAGTGTAGCAAGAGAAAGCAAACACTGCCTCGGTGACATTGACTGGGCAAGACTGGTGTTAGGGACTTCACTCTATTCACTTCAACTTCATTCACCGTCCAGGCAGTGTCGTCCTTAAAAGGCTATTTAGTCGCACCTTCTAACCATGCTCCTGCTTCATCGTTATGCACAAATACCACTCTGGCAAGAGCCCATGAAGCGACATCGATCTCTTGACACCAATCTTACACGCCAGTCTTGCTCTCAATCGGGTAAAAGCCATCCCTCAAGATCGGCTCACGTCCTTGCTGATAACGACCTTGACAACTCCACCTTTCACGGCGACGACTCCATGTCCAGCGCATCTCCCCTCTCAACCAGCCCGGGTAGTGACCCTGCCTCGCGGACCTCTTCAGATCTGGGCATGCACCGAGATGGAGGAGGGCACGCGGCGCCAAGAAGCAGCGAAGATCATGTAGACCTTGCAGATACCGGCCTCTTGCGTCTTCACCGCGAGAAGAGTGCACCCGGAACAGATGAACATGTCAAATGGCAGCACAGTATCAACCTTTCAAGCATCGAACACTGCATGCCCCGATCGTACATTCGGATCTGCCTTGCGTACCGACTGCCCAGCAGGGATATGCTCTTGGAAATTCAAATCAAGCTGAACAACTTCGTGAGAAAGACGGTCGATGCCAAGCCGTACTTGAGTGGATTTGTGGTTGCGGTAAAAGAGCCCAACAAGCAGGTCGGGGCCGTCAAGATCAAGTTTTCAGACCAGGACTTTCTTGAGTATCCAATGGTCAAAATTCGCCATCTCAGCCAACAAGAAGTCCCGTACACTTATGACCAACTCAACGAGATGGGCATGCCTCCCAGTGTGCTTAAGCCAGATCTGGTCTCGGCCTTGACTGAGTCAGCCGACGACGAGCGCGCCCCAGTGTTTCGAGTTCAGGCAAATGTGGTGGAAGGGGGGCTTATCGTCTCCATTTACCTGCATCATTGCATTTCTGACGGTACTGGGTTCGCCTTGCTCACTACAGGCAGTCTGCTCAACGACGACTTCACGTTCGAACGCCACTTGGACGGAAAGGGCCATGGGATGCCTAGTCTGTCAAGGAGACTGGACGCTTTTGCCCATCACCAGAGCATCGTCAGACAGGAGCTGTCGTATAACTCACCAAACCAGATCAACGATCGACACCTCAAATGCAAGGTGATCAAGCCAGCAGGTGAACTCAATGAAGGCAGCAAGGCTAAGGGTCGGGGCTGCATCATGTCCCTCTCTTTAGAGAAGCTGGCGGGACTGAAGTCAGCGCTCGAAGGTCATACCGACGGCAAGTTCATCACCCAGAATGATGCACTGTTGGCACTTCTCTGGCATAGCATGACAAAAGCTCGCATTCCTTCACTTGCATCAGGGCCATCACTGGTCACTGAGTCAAAACTGCTTATCCCAGTCAACATCCGGAACAAGCTCAAGAAGCCACTGTCGGAGTCGTATTTTGGTGCGGCTGTTGACTTCGCGTCGGCCAAGATGCGGCTGTCGGATCTGGCGCTATTCAGCAATGCTGCACTTGCGCTGTCGGCCATGGTAATTCGCGAAGCGATCAACAATGTGGATGAACCCTACATTCGACAGGCCATTGCCCTTGCTCGATATGTTGATCCTAAGGTCGACGTCCGGGACCTCCAAGCTAGTAACATGGACCGGTCCACTGGAGCCGACATGTATGTCACGAGCTGGGAGAAGCTGAGATGCTACGATGCCACCTTCGAGATGGGACTTGGACGGCCAGACTGGATCCGGAAGCCGTGGTCCAAAGATCCAGGATCTTGCATCGTGCTTCCTCGCGACGATCAGAAACCATATCTCGAGGTGGTGATTCAGATGACTGAGGGTGATATGGCACGACTTCTGGACGACAAGGATTTCATGAGCCATGTTTCGAGGGTGATCGACTAAACTTGGTAGACCCCGCCATGGCGCCTGCGTGAGAGGATACGATATATTCAGTGCTGTCAATGACTGACAAGGACTTCGACGGTTGCAACGCGGAAACTTTTACTGATATTGACGACCAACTGGAATTCTTAGGGCTGCATCATGAATCATGACACAACAGCATTGGCGCTGGTAAGGCTGAGGGATTGATGCCATTGACGGAAAGTGGCAGGAAATGTACTATTATGACATGACTGAGTTTCACAAAAGGGCTGAGCAGGACAGGGATGATACCCATTGGCAGGGTATGCGAGCTATAAAATTTCATAGTGTATCCAAAGGATGAACGATTCAGAAACCATGGCCGTAGTGTTGATGTCTTCGGACCTCGACGCGCAAAGATGATCACGTGAAGCCGTGTCTGATCTAAGCTCTATTTGGCCAAATGACTCTTTGGCGGGCGCGTCCGTCTGTCTTGCACGTGTCTTGCTCGCCACCTCAGATACTTCGTAAACACCGTCTTCAGGTTCTTCTGTACTTGCAATCAGAACAGACCGTGGCAGCTTCAAGATCCGCATCATTTTATACTCCCTAGTCTGCGATATCTTGACTCAGCCAGAATGACACAAACGGAGAATGTCGATGCTCCTCAGGATGATTACGAGGATATGCCTGGTGGACCAGGTGCCCCAATTCCAGTGTCACAATTAGTGGTGAGTACCCTGATGTTGACGACCGGATTTTCGCTGATAGATTCAGGGCCTTGCTGGCTTGACCGATCGAGATATCAAATTGGTGGTGGAAGGCGGCTTTCACACTGTTGAATCGATAGCATATACGTGAGTTCGCAGGCACAGGCACTGCACATAACTCTGATAGCGATGATGCAGACCACGTCGCGCTCTGGAACAGATCAAGGGTATCTCAGAAGCAAAAGCAAGCAAGTTGTTGAATGAGGGTAAATCGGACTTCCCGCGCAGGCACAGGCTTCCCTTGCTAACGTCCTTCAGCGATGAAACTTGTCCCAATGGGCTTTACCACTGCAACAGAAATGCACGCTCGAAGAAGTGAGCTCATCTCCATTACGACGGGCTCGAAGAACCTCGATCGATTACTAGGCGGCGGCGTCGAGACTGGTTCTATCACAGAGATCTTTGGGGAATTCAGAACGGGAAAGAGTCAGATTTGTCACACCCTGGCAGTTACATGCCAGTTGCCCTTTGACATGGGCGGAGGAGAAGGAAAATGTCTGTACATTGACACCGAAGGTACCTTCCGACCGGTCCGTCTGTTGTCAGTAGCGAATCGGTACGGTCTCGAAGGAGAAGAAGTCCTCGACAATGTGGCATATGCTCGAGCATACAACTCGGAACATCAACTGCAATTACTCCAGCAAGCGTCACAGATGATGTGCGAGACTCGATTTTCGTTGCTGATTGTCGACTCCGCCACGTCGCTGTACCGAACAGACTATAATGGCAGAGGAGAATTGTCGTCGAGGCAGTCACATATGGCCAAATTTCTGCGGATGCTCCAGAGATTGGCGGACGAGTTTGGAATTGCTGTGGTCATTACCAATCAAGTCGTCGCGCAGGTTGATGGCGGTCCCAGTGCCATGTACAACCCGGACCCCAAGAAGCCTATTGGTGGCAACATTATTGCTCATGCAAGTACGACACGGTTGAGCTTGAAGAAGGGTCGGGGTGAGACGCGAATTTGCAAGATTTATGACAGTCCTTGCTTGCCGGAGAGTGATACTCTGTTTGCGATCTATGAGCATGGTATTGGTGATCCTCAACCCAAGGATGACAAGGAATGAGTTGTTCTCAGCCCGAAGACGACAAGAATTGAGTTGGAGGCATGTGTATCAATGACGACAAAGAACGATTTTTGAAGCATGTATATCAGAGATGGTGACTCGAACAGCAGTGGTTATGGGATGCACAGCGTTTGGCGTCTAAGGAGCACGTTGCTGTTGTGTAATGGAAAATATCCATGTTCAGATCGCCCAGAGTTCGGCAGCCCAAGGGTCACTTGAGCGGATGCACATCATTTAGGGGTCCTTTGGGCCTATTCAGCGAATGAGAATTGACAATTTGCGGCGAGATTGTCCCAAATCAGGCGTTGGCTGGACACCGCGATGAAATGGTGAACACCATGCGGAAGGCACGTTGAATGAATGCGATTCTTTTTACTTCATCTTGCAAAGCCTTGATTCGGGTCACCTGCATCACCCTTGTAGACCATGTGCGACAGCGCCGAGACGTGGCTTTCTCGGTGCTCGGTCTTCCATTGATTGCCCAATTCCAGGGCGCAGGTGGTCCACGCTTACGATTCATGGGCGGAAGTGCCTTGGCGCCATCATTCAATCTGGGCAAGACTTCTCGGCGTGCCAGCCTCAGGCTTCCCACAGCAGTGGTATTCGTAAACCCTCGTCGCCCAAGGGGAGCCACTCTCGGCCACTGGCTTGTGATCACCTAATGCTGGGGTTGTTTGTGACTTCTTGTTTCCTGCGTGTTTCTGTCTTTGCAAACCACTTCCTGTTGTACCTCATTTCCCTTGCGCATCACTCGGCGTTCCGTGTTGAGGCGCCGAAGGTGTTTACCTGCTTACATTCCTCGCAGCGTCCGAGCAGTCTTCGGAGGCGGCCCTGCATTCGTTTTGATTCTATTCCTTAGCGTACTCGCAAACACTAGAATCCATACCAGCGTTGTTTGAAAGCCGGACAAACTTAGCAAGATGCAGGGTATACACATTTGAGGTTACACCGTGAGGATCCGGTGCTGACAACAAGCGCAGGGCAAGTAAATGGCAACGTCTTCCAAGGCGACCATCAGCATGTGCAAGCGGATCAGAATGGTCACGGCGCAGGCCCGCACATTATGACATCCTCCTCTGAATTTGAGATTCTGTGCGGCCCGTTACTCAACTACCAGCGCATGAGCGAGGAGGGCGCAAACGTGTTCTGGCATGGCTCCGTCCTCATTGTCACCAAGCCTGCGCAACAAACACCTATACTTGAGTTGAAATCCTTAGGCGCATGGAATCCTTCTCATACCAATATCAAAACTCCGGGAAGACAGACTATCGAAGGGCTCAAGCTCTACTCCGATCCCTACAAGACGTTCTGGCGGTTTACACTTCGGTTGCCGTTGGCAGAGGCTGAAGCAAAATGGCAGTACGCGATTCAAAACATACACTTCCTCACGAAAGTGAGCGAGCATTCTTCAAGGCAGTTTGTTGTCCCTTCTGTGAGCGAGTCGATGCGCATAATGTTTCATTCTTGCAATGGGTTCTCAGTTGGCACGGACGAAGACTTTTGGTCAGGTAGGCGGACTTGTTCGTGCCAGTCCCAGCGCTGTCTGACGAGCTCTAATAGGTCCTGTTCTATGGAATGGTGTCCTCAGGGTTCACCAAAAACGCCCTTTCCACGTCATGATTGGTGGAGGGGATCAGATATACAACGATTCTGTGCGGGTTGATGGTCCGTTGAAGGAGTGGACGTCCATCGGCAATCCTGTGAAGAGGCGCCATTATCCATTTGGTGAGAAGCTGAGGGCCGAATGCGACAAATATTACTTTGGAAATTACGCAAAATGGTACAGCACCGAGCCGTTCGCATCGGCGAACGCTCAGATTCCACAGATCAACATTTGGGATGATCACGACATAATCGATGGTTTCGGCTCATATACGGACGACTTCATGAAGTGTCCGGTGTTTCGAGGAATTGGGGGTGTCAGTTTCAAGTACTACTGCTTATTTCAGCATCACACGGCGCCACCTCTGTCTACATTCACAACAGATGCGCCTGCGACCATGGAAGCTGGGATGAATGGCAGTGCGAAAGCCGATGAGCTACAGATCAAGGATACTTATGTCTACAATCGAACCGCGGACGATCCAAGCTGGATAGTTGGGTCGCGGCCGGGACCTTATGTTGAGGAGAGATCGAGGAGTCTATATATGCGCCTAGGAAGACGAATCGCTTTCTGTGGCATCGATGCCCGTACCGAACGGACAAGGAGGCAGGTCAACTATCCTGAAACTTACGACCAGATCTTCAACCGGCTGGAGACTGAGCTGAAAGCCGCCCACGGCGAGATCAAGCATCTCATACTCCTTTTGGGCATTCCGATTGCTTATCCACGGATGGCGTGGCTGGAGAACATGCTCACATCCCCAATAGTAGCTCCCATACGCCTGCTGAACAAGCGATTTGGCTTTGCAGGTGGATTGTTCAATAAGTTCGACGGCGCCGTTGATTTGTTGGATGATCTGGACGATCATTACACGGCGCGAACTCACAAGCACGAACGGCGCGAACTCATTGTGCGTCTTCAGAAACTTTCGGTCGAGCATTCTATTCGAATCACTATTCTCAGCGGCGATGTACATCTGGGAGCTATAGGTCGGTTTTATTCCACGCCAGCTGACAATATAAACCCGATTGAAGATCCAAGGTACATGGTCAACATTGTGTCCTCGGCAATCACGAACAAGCCACCTCCCAAGGCCGTGGCAAATCTGCTGGCAAGGCGCAACAAGATCCACCACTTGACCGACGGAAACACAGACGAGACTTTGATGAAGCTATTCGACAAGCAACCTGGCGGCGTGATGAAGGGCGCAGACTGGAACCTTGTGACCATGCCAAGTCGAAATTACGCCTGTATCACAGAAGTCCCTGACGATGATTCGTACGGTCACGGGCCAGCCGCGAACGGTGTTCTCGATGGCACCGTTATAGCTTCTACAGGCCGAACAGGAAAGTCTCGCCCTCATACTGGTAATAACATCGATGGCCATAGTCCGCTACACGCGGGCGAAGAGGGCGCGGGCACGCAACATCCCGCTGCAAGTGGGATTAGCAGTGAAGGACCATTCAAGGGTGGTTTGAATGTTTCGATTAGAGTGGAGATTAATAGTCAGGATCGTGAAGGAAAGACTGAGGGATACGGAATGAGTAGTAAGTTCAGGGGTCACTTTTCACTTTCAAGAAATATTGCTAACTCTTCTGTAACAGTTCCTAAACTGGTTATTGCGTCGAAAGAGCAGGCGTCGATGCTGCCTCATCCTCAGCTTGATAGGACGACGGCTTAGTCCTCGCCTTTTGTCAATGCCCTGTTTCACATGCGCCTTCTGCTCTCATTGCCAGCCGATCAGCGTAGGGAGTATATGTACAGTACCATGACCCAGGGTGTTTCTCTTTGTGGGGTCCTTTCTTTGCTCTGCATTTCTGGCAGACCTTGCATAGTAGGTGTACAGGGAGATACCCGGACGTGTCATGCTCTTGCTGAGGGCTACGTTGTGCCGTCATTGAGACGGATGCTATTAATATAAAAGTATTCTTCTTCCCTGTCACACTATCTCAACCTTCAACGAGGCAATAACAGTACACGGGTTGGACTGGTCCTTCACAGACGTGAGGGGAACAGTGTCTTGAACGGCCTACATTTGAGCGCGGAAAGCACGGCAACGTAAGAACGATGGATGAGGTGCAGAAGAGACTTATGGTCCTATACCCATGAACCTCTCGTTATGCTGGAGCCCCGTATGGCGGGTCGGCACTGAACGTCCCCTAGAAATACTGTACATCTTGTGATCTCTGGTCGCTTATCTTCTGTCTTGATATCTGGACCGGATCTGGTTCTTTCCTGCTCTATCCGTTCGTAATTTCGTGAACATGCCCGCGCCGTGCGGGTTCCTCCAAACTTGCTCTCATATCCTTGACTCATACATGTAATTCAAAGTATTGCTTCTTTTCAACGTCATCCCATTGCCGTAGTAGTTGTCCGTATTGCCCGGGACGCCCGGCCCCATAGGCTGCCGCGGAGCGTTCATCCGCGCCCGACGGTCCTGTTCTTCTTTCTGCTTCTCCGCCTCTTCCTCATCCTTGAGCCGCTGCTGGGTGGCGATTTCTTCGGGCGTGAGCAGTCTGGGCCCGCTGATCTTGGCGACGGTCAAGTCGATGGCTTCGACATCCGTGCCTTCACGCCGGAAGGCTTCGCTGCGCACGTGCTCGGCGCAAGTGTACTCGCGGCGCGCGCACTCGATGAGAAACATCGTCATCAGGACCATGATCCACTGAGTAAAGTCCTTCACTGTGGCGAGGGTGGCCAGCGTGTTCGCCAGACTGGGTTGACCGCTATCCTTGAACCGCGATTGAGGACACCAGCGTGGCACGCGGCCCTCGGTGCCGGCGAGGATGGGCGCCAGTTCGCATGATGTGCAGAGGATGGATTGGAGAAGCCACATCAGGAAGTGGAGGATTGAGAAGAGGAGGATAACGAATGTGCTTGTGGCCGTGTAGTCGGTGTCGTATGGTGATGAGTGGGTCGTTTTGCGGGTGCCCGTACCAGTACCTTGTGGGATAGGGAGGATGTTGAATTGAAGGGCTGCCAGGTGCGCGGTCGTGTAGAGAAGAGAGAATAGCGGGATGGTGCCGATGTACAAGACTAGTGCGCTGTGGATGCCGTGATTAGATGGTGGTCCAATATGCAATGATCGCGGTTCATAACTTACAATGAATCGCCGGTTGCTGTGGTCATAACATGAGCCCATGCGGCATATTTGGACGCAGCGATGAGGATGAAGATGGCTAGAATGAGGGAAAAGACAAGCAGAATCACTTGAGCCGCTCGAGTATGCATTCCGGCATTTGAAGGAGCAGACCTTTGAGAAGCTGCTGGAACAAGATCGTGAGAGGCGAGATTGCCACCAGGTGTCAATGTGGAAGGCATCAGGTGCTGCGAGCGATGCACTGCGTCAAGCGAATGTAGTAATGTTGCAGGTGATGGCAGCGTCCAGCGCCCAGCACCAGCGCCAGCGGCGCAAGAGACGGAAAAGAGAGAAGCGAAACCGAAAGACAATGAAAGAACAAAGTCAGACCACCCACGTATATATGACCTAGGTGACTCACGAGGAAGAGACACAGAGCCGCATGGGCTGGGGGGAAGTGGTAGAAGGAAAATGTAGGCACGAGACGAGATAGGCGAACCACAAAATACCCACATACGATATGAATCCAACTGGTACTCAGGGAAGAGGTCTCCTGATCGGATCTGATGCATACTATATCCGAGTGTCAGAGTGGGTGAAGCTCCTTTGGAGTGGCAACCCCAGATCGGGCGGTTGATCAGGGTGTCATGGTCTCATGTGGCGTGCAACTTGCAACTTGCGTGCCGTGAAAGTGGCAGATTGCGTGGTCGGTGTGAATAAGAAGATCCTTTGACAGGGGTGTCTTCACATCTTCAAGTCAGGCTATTTCGGACCTGAAAAGCTTTTGTAGCAGGCTATCGCATTTGGCAGAAAACCGATTGGTGCGCAAATGCGCACTGGAGATGCATGGCCAGGCCAAGACAGTCAATGCGGCAGATAAAGCTTGACAACATGGGGCGAAAAGATGGAGATAGAAGATCTGGGAGCCGCTGACCCCTCAGGTTGGAACATGATGAGACTGGAAGGAGGTGGTTGTGTTTGAGACGTGCGATGTTGTCGTTCTGTTACAGATCCGAGACATGGCACTAGTCAATATACGGGAAGGTGGGATCGAGCATATTCATGACTAAGATTCAGCCTTGCATTCTGCATTGCATACTTAGCCCTCCAAGCCTTACCCCTAAAACTGGTGCGCAGTAGAGGTCTGATTACTCCTGGATCGATACTTAATACTTGATGACAATTTCACTCCGAATATTTTGCGATACTTCAATGCGACTACCTTGTCATGCTTTCACGTTCTGGAACCGCATCCTGCTTAAGTATTCGGCAGTACGGGACTTAACACTCGCTACGGTTATGACAAACACAGCCGACTCTTGCCCGACGATATACTGAGGGTCACGCAGTGTCACAAAGCAAATCCCAGACAAATCGCCCAACAAGATCACTCAGTATTCTTTGGAACCTCCTCTATCCGTGTGACTTGAGAGACGGTCTCATCCGAAAGTTCGCTTGGATTTCTCATGGTATCCATTTCCACGGGCCTCGAAGTTGCCAGCATCTCTGTCGGATATGCTTGTAGTGGAGGCGGCATTTCCAGCGGAAGTGCTGCAGAAGGAGTATAATACATCTGATATTGCCCAGAACTTGGATTCAACGTATAGGTTGGTGCTTGTGTTTGTTGCTGGTACTGTGAGTACTGTTGCTCAAATTGTTGTTGAAGTGCAGCCTTTTGATCGCTCTGCTGCAGTGCAGCATCTCTTTCTTGTTGGAGAATGCTGTAACCGTCCTTCAACGACTTTCGGCTTCGAAGAGAGTACCACAAGGCGAGCAGAGAAGCAATGAGTGCGGTTCCAAGTAGACCTCCAAGCACTCCTCCAATAACGGAACTCTTATCTCTCGGTGGCGTTTTATTGACCCCTGCAAGTCAGCAAACAAACATGAGACCGTTGAAGCTAACTTACAAGCGGCATAATCAGTTTTGCCATATGTCGTGTTGATCTGGTCAATGGTACCTGGTAAGTAGAGATGACCAATCGTTGTGTTGGCAACAAATGTATTGTCACCATCACAGCAGTCCTTTGTGTCATCTCCTGCGCGACAACAGAAAGTTCCAAGCTTGCCAGAGCATTGCTGGATATTGTACGTGGAAGCGGAAACGCTAGAGCAATATTGCGTAACGTTCGGGCAAGATTTATCTTGGAAAGTTGGATCTGCGATTAGGGCTGTCAGTATCAAGGAATCTGGGAGCTCGTAAACAAGGCTACAGACCCGTACACCCGTCCGCGAACAGGTAGGTAGCCCACCAGCCATCTGTCGATAAACACAGGCCCGAGTCCATGCAAAGGTCATTATAGTTAGGATCATTACCATCGAGCGCACAGCAGGCGCTGTGGACGCTAGCTCCAGCATTTGGATTGCATGGCTTGATCCGGTCTAAGACGTTCAGCGCGCTGATCCATTACGTTATGGCCTTTTCGAACATACTCTGGGTCCACGCAGTGCGGTTCATGTCATAGCACGTCGCCGTATCCGCAACCACCGAAGCCGTTAGGAGACCCATGGCAAGGATGAATGGGTACAGCATCCTCAATGGGCGAACTTTGCGTCAGAAGGGAATGTTTCGTGGGGAAAGAGTGAGACTGTCCGCCGCTGCTTGAATTCAGATATGTATTGAGAGCAGACGGGCAACGAAATCCTGTAGGTCAACGCAAACGTTTATTAAGGACAATATATATCTGCTCGTGGACTGGGGTACGGGTCGCATACCGACCAGTCTCGTGGCGATGGAGGGACACCGAAATAGCATTGAGCACAAGCAGCCGGCTGTGGCTTGAACACGAAGATGTGACCCCTGAGTGCGCTCCAAAACTGGTGCTCAGCCCTCCTCGCTGAAGGCCAAGGTCGAGACTTACCTATCAAATCACGGAGATTATTGTGGGTGGCTCGACCCAAAAGGTCTTCGCCCCGAGACAAGGCTGGAGGCGGCGGGCGTTGGTAAAGTGCGCATGGACCTCCTGGACATATTGGTCTTTGAGCAACGTATGTGAGCCTGCATATCGACTTGAGATTTCGGGCACGCCTGTTGTCTGCGCCAGGCCGTCCATATTGGACGGTGAGTGGATTGACCATGATGGGTGTACCGAAATTTCGCTCCAGGTTCGCAATACTCCCTGCTTCCGCCGTTCCTTACCAGCAAGCCTGAGGCTGCGGCTTGCATGCGGAGTATCCTTGCCTACTCCCGTAGTCTGCATGACTATGCAAGGGGCCAGTATTTGGACTGCTCCGTAAGGCTGAGTGGCCCGTGGACTTAAACCCGATGCCATTAGACAGCCCCCTTGGATAGATGGCGGCCAGACATTCTCAAAGCCCCTTGTCAATTCCAGAGCCACCTGCAACAATGCCAAGATGCTATATTCGGGTTGACAATTGGGCTACAGCTGTCGGGTCAGTTGGTCTGAGACTGTAGGCTTCTGGGCTATGGAATTGGTCGAGTTGCCCGGCAGCCTGATCGTCCTGCATGCTGAAATTGGCTCTTCGACGCAACTTATGTCATTCGTGAAGGTCTGATTGATTAGTCCTCGACTTATACCTAACGCTTGATCACAATTTTGCCTCCAGCATTATGAGAATCCAAAATCTCATGCGCCTTGCGAATGTCCTTCCAATCGAACACATATGTAGGCTTCGCGTCCCAAGCACCATTCTCGATCTTTCGCACAATGTCTTGTAATGGTATTGCCGACAATGGGAAGGTGGAGGTTCCCAAGACCTTGCTGTGGAATAAGCTGAAGTGCACACCGGACTCCATTTGCACCATTGGATTGAAATCCTTGACAGGTGCCAGCCCTCCAAGCCACCCAGCCTGCAACATACGACCTCCAGCACGGGTAAGGCTGATTGACTCCAGGAGAACACGGTTGCCGACCAAATTGAGGACTTTGTCGAACTTGGTTTCAGCAAGAAATTCTTTGGCCAAATCATCTTGTTCCACCTTGACATCCACAGCTCCCATTGTTTTCATCAGGTCAAATCGTTCACTCCGCCTGGTCGTGGTGGTGACTTTAGCGCCAGCGTCGACGGCCAACTTGACTGCTGCTTGACCGATCGTGGAAGTGGCGCCACGGATGAGCAATGACTCGCCTTCCTTCACATCCAGCACCGTGAAGACACAAGAGTGGGCGGTCGAGTAGACCTCAGGTATAGCAGCAAGCTCTTCCCATGGTAGGTTGGTCTCGATCTGGACGACGTTGCTTGCGGGCACATTCACGTACTCGCCATATGAGCCTGGTCGATTTCTGCCCATGCCACCCATGATGCCCATTACTTTGCTTCCGACGGAGAATTCGCCGCCAGGACATGCTTCGACCAACCCGACACACTCGAGACCGGTGATCGCATTCCACTCATCCCATTCACCTTTGCGCATATGCATCTCCGCATGGTTGAGGCCAAAAGCTTTTACTTTGAGAAGGACTTCGCCATCGATGGGTGCTGGCTTCAACACCTGTCGGTGCTCTAGGACTTCAGGTCCTCCGAATCGCGGAATTATGATGGCTTCCATCGTAGTCGACATGGTAGAGATGGGGTGCACGTGAATGTGCACGTGAATACGCACGAGAGCTCTGTGAGACAGTGGAAGAAGGCGTATGCTTGAATGCTTTCGAGTTGTCAAGGTGGTTCCTCTTGGGTGAGAGATTGAACTTCTAGCCATGGAGCGTTTGCTCACATAAATGCCCCAACGGTAAGCCTGGCTTTCTGGCCGGCTGGCCATGGTGAGCTTCTTTACCTCAGATTAGCAATCTTTCAGTGTCCCTTACAATGCAGCTAGCAGTATTTGAGATTCATCACATACCGGATTAGGGAGATCCCGATTTCATGATCGCAAGTTGCAAAGGGCATTTCAAGGATTCTCTCGCTGCTACAAGCAAAACGATGCCTGCTTGTGACGTTTGTCTCAGCTGAGTTGGACGGCGTGAGGCATCTGTGCCGCTTTAGATAAATTCATCACCGTAAGTGATATGACCCCCCTACGACAAACTGCCAGATACGACATGTTGCATCATACCTGGTTGTTGCAAATTGTGGTCAATGGTGTCGATGACTGAATGATGCATCAACAACTGCTGCCTCTTTAGCGCATTGCTGTTTTGAGGACCCATCTATGTCGCTTTTAGCGATACGTGGTGCTTGCGTCAGCATGTCTTCGCTGGATTGGACGAAATCCCAGGCGCACGAGTAAGAATGCAGGAAGTACCTGAAGGTAATTGAGGAATGATTAATCAATCAAGGAGCTACAGTAAGGCACGGAATACCCCCAACCTCAATGCGGGGTTGTGTCGTCGTTGCCCCTATCACGCCATGGCCCAGGGAGTCACGTCATTGCTGCAGCCCCCAATATTGCACACAGGCGTACTCGTGAGACCAACATTCCCTCAGTTTCCTTGAATCCCAGTCTTGATTCGTGATGAGGATCCGGTTGATCGAACCAATGAATCAAACAAAGCTCTAGATGCAGGATCATAGGTCGATGTTATCATAATGTTGACCCTGCTGTTATGGCTGCTCGCAGCCGTGATGGGTGCCAGGACGACCGCTACTTCGGACCAGGAAATCTTGAACTCAATTGCCCATCAGGCAAAGACGTCGAAATACAACATTGTCTTCGTGCTCACTGATGATCAGGATGCTGAGTTGGGTTCTCTCGACCACATGCCTTTCGTGGCGAAGCATCTTCTGGCCAGGGGAACCAACTATAAGAGACATTACGCTACTACTGCGGTATGCTGCCCTTCACGGGCTACGATCTGGACCGGATTGACCGCACATCGACACAACATCACGGACGTGAATCCGCCTTGGGGTTGGTTGTGGTGATTAAGATTTGGGCAATAGGTCAGCCGTGCTGACCGAGATACTAGGCGGCTATCCCAAATTTGCTGCACTGGGCCATAACGAGAACTACGTACCGGTCTGGCTTCAAGAAGCCGGAATCGGCATGTACTATACTGGGAAATTGTTCAATGTGCACACAGTGTCGAACTACGATTCGCCATACCCCGGAGGCTTCACGGGAACTGTCAGTAGTGCTGATCCGTTCGAAAAGGTTGCTAACAATTTGAGTCAGGATTTCCTCCTCGATCCCTACACTTATAACTATATGAATTCGACCTTCCAAAGTGGCACCGATAAACCTGTGAGCTATGAAGGCCACTATAGTACCGATGTGGTTGCCGAAAAAGGATTCGCCCTTCTCGACCAAGCTGTCGAAAGTCAGCAACAATTCTTCCTAACAATAGCGCCTATTGCTCCTCATTGCAATATCTACATGAACGGCTCCGTGCTGGCCGAGAATCACACTTTCGAATTCACCGCCCCAATTGCAGCAGAGCGCCATAAGCATCTTTTCTCGGATGTGAAGACGCCCCGAAGCGAAAACTTCAATCCTGATGAAGTAAGTCAGTCGTCAAGCCGAACCAGCTTGTTTCTGCCAGGAAGAGGAGTCGACTAATCATTGTTTAGCCGTCTGGAGTTAGCTGGGTACGCCAACTCCCAAAGATTAACGACACAGTGATAGAGTACCTGGACGACTTTTATCAGGCTCGACTTCAAGCTCTTCAAGCAGTGGACGAGTTGGTAGACGGACTATTCCAGCGCCTTGAATCCTACGAACTGCTGAATAACACATACGTCATCTACAGCAGCGACAACGGGTATCACATTGCCAACCATCGCTTGTTAGCAGGCAAGAGCACTTCATTCGAAGAGGACATCCACGTCCCACTCATTATTCGAGGACCTGGGGTGCCGGAAAATCACTCTACGAATCTGGTCACCACACATACAGACCTTGCACCGACGTTCTTCAATCTACTTGATGTTCCTCTTCGACCAGAATTTGATGGGAAACCTATTCCTGTCACGCAATCAGGGCTCGAAACAGCACTGCGGGAGAAGCACGAACACGTGAATGTCGAATACTGGGGGTTCGCAGGTGCCGAGGGGATATATAGCTGTATGACTCCTGCCAAGGTCCAGAGGCATGCTTTGCTGACTTTATGTCTAGATGAACCCAGCCTCATAGAGAACAACACGTTCAAAGCCCTCCGGATCATCTCGGAGGATTACGATCTATACTATTCCGTGTGGTGTAGCAACGAGCACGAGCTATATGACATGAGGGTAGGTATTTCATCCTATATGAAGGTTCCGACTGACCTTTTCTAGACGGACCCTGGGCAAATGCATAACTTGCTATTCGAGGAGGAAGTGTTATCCCCCACCAATCCTTCATTTCTGCTGGGCGTGCCTGTCCAAAAAATTGTAGCTCGCCTGGATGCCCTTCTGTTCGTCACAAAATCCTGTGCTAAAGAAAGCTGTGTGACGCCATGGTCGTCTCTTCATCCTTATGGAAACGTCTCGACCCTGGAAGATGCATTGAGCCCGCTGTACGATCACTTCTACGAGGTTGAACAGCGGCGCGTCGTCTTTGATCGCTGCGAAAACGGCTATATCATTGACGCTGAAGGGCCGCAATTCGAGCGTGATGGCATCATGTACAGGGATGGTTTGCCTTGGGACACCTGGGTGTAACGAGCTGTTAGCAATGAAGATGTCGAGGACGTTGGTTAAAGGACTGGTTCTCAGGCCTGGCGGTCTCATCCTCCACCGCAAGATGCTCGTGGTTTCCGGCTCCATGGGCTTGATTTTCTCTCAACACCAACAAGACGCATCGCGGTCCTGAGACGCGCGACTCCGGATGTCAATCTTGAATCAAATATCGCTTACTTCATAGTTCGTCCTTTCGGATCTGGTTGTCGGGAACAAGCCCGAACTAGACCGAGAGGATCATAGGGGATGGACTCCCCCGGAAAAATCACGCATTTAAGCTCCACCTTGAAGCAGACGGAATACGTCCGTACGGCGTATGAGTTGGCATATTCGCTTGGTTCTACTGTACCCTAACTTAATGGAAGCTTTGGTTAGTCTGAAATAAGGGCGTACCCATTGTCTACTTTCTGCAAGGGTTGCCCGCTTCTCCCGTAGATATTTGCCCTGCGCTTTTGACAGACATAACTCCATCTCCTCGATCTGCGCGAACTTGCGGCATCATTTGGCTTAGATGACACCCATATTGATGAATGAACTCGATTGATCGAGCGTGCACATCGCCAAGTTTTCGTTGCGTGGCCCCCTGCACAGGACCCTTCAACAGTCCCCCAAGGGTCCCATTTTGGCGGCGGTCAAGTGGCCCCCTAGTGGCCTGGGCACTCCGTTTCGAAGATAATCATTGATCAGATAAGATTAGCACTTCAATAACTTTTTCCCTAGTATCAATCTGATCACACCCTATCTCTTCCACACCTCTTTGTCTTTCTGGCATCGCTAACTTTTCGATTGTCATGGGGCACATTCACAGCTCCTGTCTCGAGCGCCGGTCTGTGCCGTTTGACACGCCTGGCCTGCCCTTCCGACTTCGGCTCAAATCAGACCACGATGATTCTGGTGGACACTGATGAAAAGTTTTCATCTTATCTGATCTGATCCATCTTAATTGGGACCCGAACGTATGTCTGGATATGTTCTGCGAGTAAGTGACTTGAGTGGTTGAGCACCAGGTAAAGCGGAGTGAAGATCCAAAAAGCACGCGAGCCTACCCACTGACCTCGTGGTTTGCATATTTGTTCTCATATTTCTTGCTGTTCTCAAGCTCTTCTTAAGCTTCTTTTCAGCACAAGCTTCTTGTCTTGGGTGTTAACATCCCTTCAATCCAGCTATCACTCCTTCCATCTTGCTCGTTCCCTTGAGAGAAGCATAAACAAGCATGGGACTCTTTAACAGGTTCCGACCGAATGCCAGGAGCTTGGATGACTCTACCGTCCACTCTTCAGATGCGGATGCGTCCGTGGCCATGGGCTCTGTCACACATGAGACCAAGGGCGTCGAGAGCGGACTGCCCAAGAGCGAACTTCAATCCAGCGTAACCGACCCGGAAGAAGCCCTGCCTGCTGAAGACGCACAGCGTGGTATCCAGGCTGTGGAAGCCACTACGCTGGTCTGGTCGAAGAAGTCACTTGTCGCCGTCTTCTGCTGCATGTGGCTCGTCTATTTGCTCAACGCATTCCAGAGCTCTACGATTGGCAACTTTGCACCCTACGTCACCAGCGCCTGGGAGTCACACTCCCTCTTAACCGTCATCAGCGTGGTTGCAAGCTCAATGACTGCCGCCGTCTTTATTCCGCTTGCCAAAGCCCTTGATGTTTGGGGTCGAGCCGAGGGTTATCTCATCATGGTCGCATTCGCCGAGCTAGGCCTAATTCTCATGGCCGTCAGCAAGAATCTCGCTACTTATTGTGCTGCGAATGTAAGTACAATGTCAGGAGAAGCATTACAGCATGCTGACAAAACTTCCCCACACCAGGTCTTTTACAGCGTCGGTTTCACAGGTCTCATCTACAGCATTGACGTCGTCACGGCCGATACCACCCAGCTAAAGAATCGAGCGCTGGCGTATGCATTCACCTCGTCTCCCTACATGATCTCGGCCTTCGCAGGATCGTATGCTTCGGACAAAATGCTCTACGACATCGGCTGGTCCTGGGGTTATGCTACCTATGCCTTCATCATGCCCTTTATCTGTCTTCCGCTGTACATACTGCTGAAACTGAATCTCCGCAAAGCCAAAAAGCAGGGGCTCTTGCAGAGGACGCCGAGCGGCAGGACTCTGACGCAGAGCGTTTGGTACTACCTGATCGAGTTTGATGGTAAGATGAGGTGTTCTTACAATTGTCAAGCACAGTGGCACTAACCAAGTCTTTCTTACCATAGTCCTTGGAATCTCCCTATTTGCCGCCGGCCTGATCATCTTCCTTCTCCCTTTCAACATTGCCTCAATCGCCCCCAATGGCTGGGCCACAGGTTACATCATCGCCATGATCATTGTTGGGTTCATACTACTGGTCGCATTCGCTCTGAACGAGCTCTATCTCGCCCCAGTGCCATTCTTGAAGTTCAGCTCCTTGACCGACCGAACTCTTGTCGGTGCCTGTCTCTTGGATTTCACCTATCAGATTTCCTACTACTGCTGGGACAGCTATTTTACCTCCTTCCTCCAGGTTGTCAACTACCTTACTGTCGCCGAGGCCGGTTACGTCAACAACACTTTCAGCGTGGTTTCTGGCTTCCTCCTTTTCGCGGTTGGCTATGGCATTCGCAAGACTGGATATTTCAAGTGGCTTCTGTGGATCGCCGTCCCACTGTACATTTTCGCCCAGGGACTAATGATCTACTTCCGCACACCTACCGGTTATGTCGGCTACCTCGTCATGACCCAGATCTTCATCTCAATCGGTGGCAGTGTTTTTATCATCTGCTGCCAGGTCGCTGTGCTTGCAGCCGTCGATCATCAATTTGTCGCTGCTGCCCTCGCGATGCTGAATGTCACTGGCACGGTCGGCGGCTCCATCGGTTATACTATTTCTGGGTCTATCTGGACCAACGTTTTCTACAAAGCTTTGGTCGAATATCTTCCAGAGTCCGCGCAGTCTAGTGTGGAAGATATCTATGACGATATTAACGTCCAGCTCAGCTATGCTAAGGGAACACCTGAACGTCTTGCCATTCAGAAGGCGTATGGCTACGCTCAAACCCGTATGCTTGCTGCTGGAACTGCCATCATGGCGTTGTCGTTCATCTGGGTTTTTATGATGAGGAATGTCAATGTGGCGAAGCTGAAACAGACAAAGGGCAACGTCTTCTAGAGCAAGCGTATTTCGGACCGCCAATTCAACACAAGTCGCTGACGCTCCGCGATTGAGACTTTGAATGAAAAATCAGGCTGAAGAGATCATACCCTGGGATTATTGTGCGAAAGAAAGATAGCTAAACATAACGTCTGACCTCATTACTGCCACATAGCTTTTGACTGAGCAGAACCTCCTGACATGTGCCTCATTCGCTCACTCACGGACTATTCTGCCACTCCCTTACAATGTCTGCACCTTACAATCCATGTGTCCTGAGGAAATTGTGAATATGCTCATATGCCCCAGGTGCTGCATAGTGGAGGTTCAATGCATGTCCAGCATCCGGCCCAATATACCAGCTGAAGTAGCTCGCAGCCGGGTAGTATGCATCCTTGACAGTAGTGAGTTTGTTGGACGGTATCAGACAGTTACCGTGACAGTTCGGCAAGTCGGATTCGCCGTTGACCACATCTACAGGCCCAGTGAAGTTACTGGCGACCGATTGACCATTGACGAAGAACTCGCCCCAAGTGATCCCCGCCTTGGTTTCCTCGGCGATATCAAGAACTGCAACGTCAAAGCCCGGCCATCGGAAGAAGAATGGTTGAGTACCCTCGATGGTAGGACCGGTAAGGTAACTATTTGATCGATCCGAAAACCGAAGAGGGTTAATCTGTGAGGCGATACTCAGACCGAACCCGGCGAAACCGGCTGCCATGCCACTATTGTCGGTCGAAAAGCCTGTCAAAACCGCTGCGTCAAGGTCATCTGGGTGTAGTGCCGTGAGTCTGTTGGTCTGGGAGCTGCCGAAAGAGTGTCCAACGCCTACGACGTACTCGAAGGTCTGATTGGCGATGCCACCGGTACGCAGAAGTTGGATGAGCTCGTGCGCGATCTCAACCTGAAGCGGAAGCTGTACGATCTGTGTCCCATCGGGATGATCTGAGAGACCCCAACCAAGACGATCGTAAAAGAAAGTCGTGTATCCTTGCTGGGCAGCATAGTCAACGTAGGAGTAGCCTGGCGCGGTGTTCCAGTAAGTTCGGTCGAGGCCGGCACCGTGTATGAGGAACTCAATGGTTGTAGCATTGATCGTGCCGGTGGCGGCAGGGAAGCAGAGCTGCGAGTATATCCCAAAAGTTCCATTGACAGGGTTGGGACCACCGAGGGCTTGCTGACCGAGCGTCGAGTTGACTTGAAGAAACTCGGCTATACGCTCGCTGACCTCGGTCTGATTTGTAGGGTCTGGAAGCTTGATTTGGATGTTGTTCGCAGACGCGGTGACGTCCACCATGCCTGATATACAAATGGCTTGGCCTCCGGCTGACGACTGTACGGTCGGATTCTTGAAGCCTTGCAGATAGCCTGTTGGAATGTCCACAAAGCTAAGTTGGCGTTTGGCGATCGTGCTCGTCGGAGCAGCAATTGCACCTGCGGCAAGCGCCATTGCGGCGAAGCTCATTGCCGAGCGCATCTTGATGGAAAGAGATATTGAGAAGCTGGTGATATCAGATGTAGCGAGTATTGTAGGACAAGAAGACTGGCCGTTGATATACTGAATCTGCGCAGGTGAACGGGACTTTTATAACTCTGCCTACCATGACTTCTGTGTCCTACGTCAGGACGATGTGGCTCCTTAATACCACCTCACTCTGACTCACCGGCTCACCGAATGTGGTCCACCGGTACTCAGCGCACTCTTCATCTGGTCGTAATTTCGTATGAAAAATTGGATGCAAGGCCACCTTTGGAAAGTACCATGACGTATCCATGTTTCCCCGGTCACCTAAACTGCAAGGGCGTCAACGTGTAGGTAAGTATCAAAATCAGTCTAGTCAGGGACTCAGCCTCACCCGCGGCGGCCACGGGGTTTTTGCAAGTCGTGAAAAGTATCCGTGGAAGTTACCTAACAGGCGCCGAAACCGATGTTGGGGTTAGACTCATTTTGATGCTTATTTGTAATGGTGCCCCTCCTCAGCCTTGCCGATAACCTACCTGGGTATCGGGTAGCATGCTCGTATTTCTCGTATTATTCCAAGCGGCCTTTGTGTCTACATATTTGTAATCATACGAGAGCGCCCCTGCGAAAGCGTGTCCCCCGGATGAGGCCACCAAGACATGATCTGTTTCTGTGACAATTGTCAACCTCCGCGAACAATGGCGCGCTTGCGAATCTGCGGACTTCACAGCCCAGCTCTTGACATGGCCCTACATCAGACTAACCGAGAAACCTGAAAGCTGAGACAAAGAGGCTGGCTTGCGCAGAGAGGTGTGACGATGAATGACATACATCCTGCGGCCAGCACCACGGTGCTCTCTTGCACATTGTCTCTCCCGCGACCATATATAATCCTCCGCTTCTCAAGGTTATTGGCAGATGATTGCATAGTTCCACAGACTTCAGGCGCATCGCATCTGCCTCACTGCACAAGGCATATACCGCAACCCCTTGACCATATATATCCAGAGATCATCGTGTCGGGACCCGAGCAGGTCGTCGAGCCCGCAACGTCAGCTTATCAAATTTCAGTTTCCACCAAAGCCTTATCGACAATGGGGAGAAGCAAGTCAAACAGCCCGTCCAAGTCAAGCTCAGCGACAGTCTTTCTCAGCGTCGATGATGGACTATCAACTAGTGTTGTCGAGAAGTCAGCAACCGTGCACACAGAAAGATCTGCAGGCTACGTGCACAGACCACGATTGCCTGTGATCATATGGCTAATTGTCAGCCTTCCGCTTATCGCTTGGGGCTCACTCTACGTGTTCTTACGTCCACACTCAATGCCTGGCGGAAGACTCCATGCGCCGTTGTGGACACCGTATGCGCTTTACGGTGACGTTGACTACGTTTACGGGTGGCCCGCTTGGAACAGTCACTCAGGATTCACTGCGGCTCAGAGCACGATGAACATGGCCGAAAGTGTTTTATACAGCTGGTATGTCTATGTCATAGGTTCAGAAGTCGTGGACTGGAGTTACAAGGGGATCAATCAGTTGGAAGTGAGGGGGAAGGGCATGAACTTAGCGGTACTGCTCGGTTTCTCAGGCGCAGTGATGACTGTGAGCAAGACGTTGCTCTATTGCAAGTATACCCCTTCAGAACCTTACGATAAAGTGCTCACTAATTGTCTGCAGGGCTCAACGAAGCTTTTTCCGGATTCGACAACATCGGACATAATTCGTTGTACCCGTTGATCGTGCTTTGGATCATTCCTAATGGTGCGTGGATTGTCGCTTCGAGCTATATGATATATGTGTTTGGAAAGGACATTCTTGAGTCGATGAGCGGAGAGCGGCAACAGGAGGAAGGATGCATCATTGCGGCTGAGAAATGTCGCGTTGAGTAGGGAGGTTCGGTGGTGTCCTCAGCCTTATACAGTACGCCCCCTTGCAACCTCAGCCTTGCGCACAGTGACGTGCTAGTGCCGTGCTGTGAGCTTACTGTGAGGTGCGGTCGTTGCATGCCCGCGCATTTTGGTCACCTGGTAGTTTAGATCTTCATTTGTATAATTGACCTGTATCTCGTTGAACAATTTCTGTTGGTCTGACTGCTAGTGGGTGTGCATCAAGATGATGGTCCGAGAGTACTCGAGCTAATTAACGAGGCCGACGGAAGCTCAATTATCAGCTACGGGCATAGGCTCCCTAGCCTTGGACATAGCTGCGCGTCAATGTGTAATAATTGACATTCTTGTCCGTACTTCCAGAAGCCACTAAGCATATACATCTCACGGCAGGGTGGTTTCTAGGCTCGTATTGAAGACCCCTAGAGTTGGATGCAACCCGCGCTGCCCCATCGCCAAGAACGCCGCAGCAACTCTTGGTAAGATGTTCCTGCCTGCTGATTCACTTCTTTGTCAACTCTGGAAATCTCATTCAAGTTATGCTACCTCTGTTCTTGACCAGATATTTTGTTACTTTCGAGAATGCCGAGAGCAGTCGCTTGCTCGATTTGTCGGCAGGATAAGGTGGGATCTCTCCACGACCTGTTGTTAATTTCTAAAGATTGGTCCAGGCCCGTTGTGATGCCTTCACCTCAGCCCCGGATCCATGTACCCGTTGTCGAACACGAGATCTGGATTGTATCATTGAACCCACGTTCAAAAGGACTTCCACAACAAGGTAGGTCCTGCAGTTGATCAGGCTAGGGCGCGTGCGCGAGCCTTTGAAGGCTGCAGACCTGGCTAACTCCTTGCTAGCCGCTCCAAACGTTCATCCCACGAGGTGCGGAATCCCAAAGAATCGCCTATCAGAACCACGAAAACCAGTCAAGATGCATCTGCTTCGCCATCTCAGAACGGCCTGAGAACGTCAGACCTTGCAGGATCAATCAATTCTGACCAGCAATCCTACAAAAGCACATTTTCCGTGAGCAGGGATGACCAAGTCTTGGTTCGGCTCGGAAACATTATCCTTGTGCATTCCGAAATCAATGACCTATTCCGAGAGTAAGTATGCGCAACCCACGAAATTCAAGTTCTGGCTCTGAGGTCGGATTCGTAGATACTTCCACCGCTATCACCCGCTTTTTCCAGTCCTACACCCTACCATTGCACCATCGTCTGTCCAGAGAGACTGTCCCACGCTATTTTGGGTGATCATAGTTACGGCGGCTCGGAGTAGTCGACCTGATCTTTACCCTGCACTGTGTGACCTTGTGCCACAGATGGTCTCGGGTAGCTTTCTGTTCCAAAGTCACTCTGCACAGCCATGTCAAGCAATCTTAATCTTATGCATGTTTCCTTTGCCAACGGTCAAGAGCCGCGAAGATGTGCGCTGGATGTATAGCGGGATGGCTATGCAAATGGCAACACTTGTTGGTTTACACAAGACCGGCTCGGATCACGAATATCGAAGTGCCGGTGCGTCCAGGTTGTCTGATAAGGATCGACAAGAGCTGACCCGAACCTGGTGCTGCTGTTGTTACGTGAATGCCACGTATGTATCAGACAGAGCTTGCCAGGAAACGACTGACGAAGAGTAGTTTGAGCACCGAGCTTGGACTTCCATCCTCGATCCCACCAGATGCTCCGAGTCTGGAAGAGTTGAGCAAAGCAGCACTCCCATCCGAGTTCGTATGTGCTACTAGGATAGCATTGGAAAGCGCGAAGATGAGCAAGTTGGTTGACCAGAACATATCTACTGACACAACTACGAGTACTGGTGCAGAAACGGCACGCTTTGGATTACTGAGGATGCTGGAATCAGACTTGAACGCCTTAGCAAAGTCAATGGGGATCAGAGAGACACTACCAAGCGGCATAGCCGAGCTTTCGCTACTGATGGCCAAAATCAATCTCTGCTCCTTCGAACTTAACCGAGCTACAAGGTTGAGGACATCTGATGCCGCACAACTGCGACTATCTGTTTTCGACTGTGCCACAAGTCTGATACAGTTGTTTGGTGGCACACATTTCGTCTCGGCACAAGCAGTGGGAAGCCTTACTACCTGGGGCCTACCTGTGCAGACATTCTACCCTCGAAACTATTGGTATGGACTTGTGTATGCCTGCCTGGTACTCATGAAGCTCAGTCTCACGAACACTCTACCTGAGGTCGAATCCGGCCGAAGCAAAGTTGCCATCCAACAAGCAGTAGACTTGTTGAACTCCTGCTCAGTGGTACCGGATGAGCTCTCTCGTGTGGCAAAGTTGATCGGTCTTCTTCGCCGAGAAGCTGTGCAAGAGATCATTCAGCCACGACACAAGGTGCATTCGCGAATGGGCGCATCCCTAATGTATGAAATCATTTTCTCAGTTCTATACTGGAAGAAGCGCAAGCAGAAGGGGCAGCAGCACGAGGACTCAACGATTTGGCCAAATTTTGACCACGAGACCAGAGATGCTTCACAGATGGATACGGGTTTAGCGATGCCTGACACGTCTTCACGAGGCATGGATGAATTGATCGCAAGCTCGGGCTATCTGATCGAGGGTTGGGGAACGAATACGTTTGATGCGAATCTATGGGACACATCCGCATTCGACCAGGTACGTCTCGCTGTGGGCACTGTTCTTTCTTCCTTTGTGTTCTGACCTCGCCTAGCTTTTTTCGATCCTTCCGTGTGCGTTCTGACCTGGCTTAGTATGTTGTATCTGACATCACAATTGTTGACTCCCTATACTGAGGGCATGCATCCTGGTCGAGAAGATTGGTTGGATAGCGATGTTCCTGGGGGAGCATGGCACTCACAATGACATATGTTCACCCATGGGACATACCGGAGACACAAAAGCATGGTGATAATGGCCGCTTGAAGGCTTTTGGCGGCTGGAAGAATGAATTGAACGCCATGTCCACTTCTCTGCGCAGACGTTAGCGAGGTCAAGGTAATACCTTGTTCTTGTTGATGTTTTGGCGCGTGATAGGTTCAAACTATGAGACGCTTGAGAGCTACGAATTCAGCAGCGCAATGACCATGCACACCGTCCAGTGTTCGAATCGCTTCTGGCGTTTCTGCCTCTCAGTCATGCGGTCGTGAAGTAGACACAGCGAGGATTGTTCCGGTGGCGAGAAGCTGCCGCTGTATATCGCGCGGGTAGCCTGACGCTCATGTTGGCCTTGAAGCGGCCGCCGGAGTGCAACCACACTGTGAATCAAGTCACAGCCTAACGCGACACTTATGACAACAAAGCCGCGGCAAGAGGAAGAAACGCTAATTGTGGTCGCTTATATGAAATGCTGTACTTAGTAAGCATGGAAAACTAGGCCTACCTAGAATTACGGCCTCGGAAGAAGAGGTAGACCTACCGAGGACGGGAACTAATCACACCTGATGACAGCGTAAACTAATGCTAACCGGGTCACCCTCGTATTAGGCGACCAGTCTAACCACAAACTCGGCCTGGGTGTGGAACAAGGCTCTAAACGATGTACCTCGTATACTATGTTGACAATTGATTTTGCGTCTTGCTGCTTTGAGCGGCTAGGACGTCTGATTTGCTCATCGTCAAGTATGTCGACAGGCATTTGGAATTCTGGGATGGGACAATCTAAGGACTCACAAATGGTGAGCCTCAATCAATATAAAAACGTACTAAATGATCCCCTTTGGCGCTGCGAGATGTCCATCCCATACACAACATCACAACTCTCGCGATGGACTACATCCTCACCTCCTTCCTGCTTTTCACGGCTGTAGTAAGAAGTACTCCCGTCCCCGCAACCTCATCCAGATCATGCAAAGACTACTCCGTTCCTCTCAACATCACGTCCCTCAACCTCCAATGGGGCATTGATCCTATCGAGACCAATGAAGACATGGCAGCCTTCAACGCTGAATGGGGACGACGTGATAGTGCATCGACATTCCATCCTGCTGTGCTCCCATCTAATAGCACCCCTGAAATGGCGGTCTACACAATATCCGGGACATACTGTGAGCCAACAAGCGGAGGAAATGGCACTGTCCTCCTGGCTACACATGGTGCGGGCTATGGCAGAAAGTACGCGTACACTCTGTGTACTGATGGCCAGACACTAATTGACTTGACTCGAATAGCTATTGGGATCCTGATATTCAACCAGAGAACTATAGCTTTGTGGACTATGCTCTTGCGGAAGGCTACTCCATCTTCTACTACGACAGACTTGGCGTGGGTGAGTCCGAAATGTGTGTCGATCCATTGTCTTGATCATGCTGAGTGTCTCTAAACATTGATTCCTGTGCAGTGTGTCCGGCTATGTCTCGCAAGTATCAAACCAAGCCGCTATCCTTACGGAGCTCGTCAAGCTCATCCGCTCCGGCACATTCTCCTCGCCTCCAGCGAAGGTCGTTCTCCTAGGCCACAGTTTCGGAAGTATCGTATCCAATGTCGCTCTGCACAATGATCCAGAGTTGGTCGACGCAGCGCTGCTCACTGGTCTAGCTTATGAGGCAACAGGGGTCATAGGTGCCATATCTAACCAGGCCAAACAAAATCGAGTTGCGAACCTGTACGAGCCAGAAAGGTTTGGCAAGTTGGATGGAGGATTCGCGGTCTGGGTTGACATTTATTCTGCCATTGAAAAGTATGACTCGTATCAATGAGCAGCTTGAAACGTTACTAACGACGTGCTCTAGCTTTTTCAAAGTCCCCTTCTTTGACGAGGAGGTCGTGCAGTGGGCTCAAGACAATCAACAGCCCGCGGCACTGTTGGAAAACCTGTCAATCGGGTTTGCCAATGTGTCTTCTCCTGCCTTCACTGGCCCCGTCATGGTGAGTCTTCCCATTCCGCAGCCATTGGCGACCACTTCGACTAACTACTTTCCTAGATCATGTGGTAGGCAATCTGTTTTCTATTCTGTCTGCTTCCGGCTAACGAGAATGTCGTTCAGTGGCGAATACGACTTTATAGCTTGTGGAGGCTACTGTCCAGGATTCATAGATGCGGATATTCACGAGGTATTCCCTGCATCGAAGAACGTGGTTGCTTACGTGCATCCAGACAGTGGACACGCAATCAATCTTTCGGTAAGATCTAACCTGTTTTGTTGCGGTGTCTGGACTTGAAACAAGAACTAATCTGTGGTGGATACATAGTTGAACGCAACAGGGGCTTTCCAAGTCCTGGGCAATTTCTTGAAAGAGAACGGCTTATAGAATATGCTTGGAGGGGACGTTTTTCAGCACACCTTGTGTTAATGTTGGCACCCCACAGTAGGGAGTTGCAGGTGTGGTGCCGAGCGGAATATTAATGGTAATGACGTGAAACATGGAAGGAGGAGCCGGGGACTATGATAGAGCAGATCGAAAGCTGCAAAACTCTCATTCACACTGACCAACTGCTATTATATTGTTGGATTTCGTTTTTAGATGCTGCCCACGTTTCAAATATACCGAGGGATATTATAAGTAGCGGCCTGGTTGCATTCCGTCATCTCAATCACCATTGGGCATGGAGGCGAAACTTCTCTCACGTCTTCACATGTCAAAGACTGGATACAAGAACACTAGGCCTCGATCCTCTTTGCAGGGAAAGTGGCACAGTTGATACCGAGTGCATCAGCGATGTAAGTCAAAGGTCCAGCAGCTTTGCTACACTAGGTACCTGGACTTCAAGCCAGTAGGACTATATCGTAGGAGCAACCGGCTTCACCGTGTCAGACTAACACTATGTTGCTGTGCGCGAAGGACTCCGGAATGACGACAAGGGACAATATTGATTTGGACCCGGGGAGCTATAGCGGTCAGACTAGTGCCACTCCTTCCTGGGAACAGCCTCGACGTCCAGACTCAGACCCTCAACCTTACAACTGCCCCACCTGTGGAAGTGGCAACTGCACCATCACTCTTACGTATGAGGTTGGAAATAACACTTTCAAGAAACCCATCCAGTCCGAGAGTCTGCGGCCCACCATTGAGGTTCACCATCCTGACGGCTCCATCGAGATGATGTCTCCACATGACGATGTTGCGAGTGGCCAGCTTGACTTGTCAGCATTGAGCGCCTCATGTTTGAGAATACTCAGTCCTTACCTCATCATATGCCAACATCACGGCCTTCGTGATGGTGGCATCGCCGAAGAATAGCTCGGTGGATATAGCCTCCCTTAAAGACCGTACGCATGCGAGCTTGTACTGGGCGGCGAGTTGCATGAAATGCTGCTGCTGCGATTGCTGACAATGGTCAAACAAGTGACGGCATGCGGCAAGTAAGAGAGCACATGTGAGTCCCTCATCAGTCAGCGCAAGAGGCACCCATGCTCTGGTCATGCGATCCACGTAATACGCTGCGAGGTCGTTGCAGCGCATGAGAGGAACGACCGCGGTCATATCTGCACGATGGGGGTCTACGTTAGTGCAACGATCACACAAGGTCTCTTCGTTGACGGAGACGTACAGTGGTCGAAGAGGAAATGCTCAAAAGGTTTGAAGGGACGGGCAAAGCTCGTGAACGGGTCGATGCGGCCAGCTGGGAGAAGCTTGAGTATTCGTGGAGCTGCCACCGAATCTTCGCCGTTGTCAGGTGTCGATAGCTTGTCAATTTCACTCTGCTCCTTCTGAACCTGGTACTGGATTGTCAAAAGGCGTCTGGCCTTAGCATGGGCAGCACGTGCGGCGTGCGAACGTGCGGCTCGCCGTTGCCGTTTTTCCGAGGCCGCGTCATATGAACGAGACAAGTCAACAAAGTGTAGTACACTCGAACTCATGAAGGAACGGTTCCTGTTGACTCATGAGCTATGAGTCGAGGACGGTCAAGATTGATGGGAAGCCTTGCGCACCTGAGAAGAACACGAATTGCTGATAAATCCGTGCCTAAGTTTTTCTGAAGCTGCTAGCCTTGCCGCGGGAATGGGGATCCCCGTTAGCCCACCCACCATCCATCATTCCCACGATCTCCAAGGACTGCTCTTGCCAAATACTGCATCGCTCAACGCCACAAGCGACGCACGGATGCTCAAAAGTGGAGGCATGGAGTAGCACTTGTCTCTTTCCAGTGTACTGTACTTATCTCTCTTACCAACGTCTCCCCCTACGCGGCAGTCAACAACCTTGCTGCATGTGAACTACACCTCAGACAATGCGACGTCAACCAGACAATACTGGATGTTTGCCAGTGGTGCCAGGTTCCACATCCTTACATCCAATTAGGCCACCCCTGGGGGACCGAGCAAGTTGTTGGTTTCGGCCGATATGAACAACTCTTATAAAAGGGCGAGATGCGCCTCGTGAAGGCCCATACTTCAGTTCTGACCAGAGCTTCAGCACCGATTCATCTCGTCTCTCTACCATGGCTGGCACGGTCCTGATCACCGGAGCCAATGGTACACTGGCCCTTGCATTTGTTCAAGCTCTTCTCACACTTCATCCTCAATACGCACTCGTAGCGACCGTGCGAAATGCGTCACCAGAAGCCGATCCCAACACAGCCGCGCTCATGCGCATCGTCGAAAAGCATCCTGGTGTCAAGGTACAGGTCGAAAGACTCGACCTTGGCAAGCTGGACGACGTGCGCCGCTTTGCGGATAGACTTTCGGACCAGATCGAGCGAGGGGAGCTCTCACGCATCTCGGCCATCGTGTGCAACGCATCCACCTGGTCACTGGAAGCAGGTCAGAAGTTCACATCGGATGGACTCGAGGCTACCTTCCAGGTCGCTCACCTGTCCCACTACCTCCTGGTCCTCAAGCTTCTTGGAAGTATGGACATGTCGTCTGGGCGCATCGTCATGCTTGGTTCGATCACACATTACCCAGAGAAACCGAATCCATTGTCGGCTTTCGGACCAGAGTTCCCGGCTGACATCGAGCACCTCGTCAAGCCACCGCCTGATCGTGCGGGAGAGGTGCACGACAGAGGATTCCAGCGATATGGAACAGCCAAGCTTTCAAATGTCACGTTCATGCACGACCTCAACAAAAGACTGGAAGCAGTGAGTCGAACCTGTCCTTACTGAGTCGAGTCGTGTGATCTAACCGTAGTTTTCGTGCACAGGATCCAAAATTATCGAAGGTGACAGTCACGGCCATGGACCCAGGCGGCCTCGCCGCTTCCAGAGCGCAGACTGAACAGAAAAGGTCGGTGAGGTGGATTATGGCTGCGATCAACTTCTGCATGCCCGTGTTGAGGTATTTCACGACTGCTTTCCGACCTGCGGCGGACTCGGCACGAGACCTTGTTGCTGTCAGTGTGGAGCCTCAATTCCATGGAAAGAGGGATTATTATGTCGGTCGGAAGCCAGAAGCGTCTGCTGAGATCAGCAGAGACGCTGCGGTCCAGGAAAGGCTCTGGACGGCGTGCTGGAAGTGGGCGGGCCTCTCCACTGAAGACACTATTCTCCAGAATTCAGCAGTGTGAGGACTACCAAAAGCTAGCCATTTCCAGTTCATCTAGCTCAACTCTGTGACCCGACCCATCACACCATCTGTGGAAATAGGCAGATAAAATATATACATGGAACGAACAGGCGTCGAATTGCGTAGTGTTTTGGACCAGAGCAGATCGACATGCTTCGTACGCTCCTCTCATATAGCTCGCCCTTCGACTCTCTCTGGAGTCTGGCAGCTTTAGTTCTTGGGCCACACACTTTGGGGCTCGGGCAACGGTGTTGAGTTTCCAGAGTCTTCATCAACTTCTGTGGAAGCCTTGACGCCCTTTTTACCACGGAGCACGATCCAGATCTGTTGCGCACCACCATCGATCAGAGGATAGAAGTTTGCAACTAGGAGTGTGAACCAAAGCCAGATCAAAGAAATGATGACCCAGGCGGTAAAGAACTAGAATCGGTCAGTGAAATCCATATTCAAAGGTTTTCATAACTCACAGGTTTCGAGAAGGTCATTTTAGCCCCGTACATGGGTAGGGGCCATAGCAGAAGGTGGCCGAGGAGGGTGAATGAAGCCCAAAAGGCAGCGTACCGACTCATTCTCTTCATGTACTTGACTCGCTCAGGAGAGAACCAGTTTGCTTGATCCTCACGATCCTGGAGGGACTCTCCATGCTCGGGTTTTACTCTTTCAATCTGGCCAAAGACCGAGAAGTCGAATATTTGAGGCCTTGCCAGCGAAATGGCGACGCTGACCGGCAAGGGAACTGTGAATGACGTGACCACTCCGAACAGGCATGGCATTGTGCCACCCAAGGAGTTAATGGTGATTGTCCCGTAGTAATGGTACGCCGTCCCAAACCACACAGCAAAACCACAGATTCCTCCGATTATTGGTGAAGCGATAGCTGCAGCCTTGGTCTGCCTCGTCCACAGAAGCGCAAAGCAGGTGGGGAAGACACCAGGACAAGCGATGATTCCCAGCATGTAAAGTAACCAGGTGAAGTTGATGTTCCCTTCATGGAAAGCTGTAGCTAGAGTGGACACAAACAAGGCTGAGAAGACGACGCCGATGTGAGACCAGCGAATCAATTGTTTGTTTGTTGGAGTTTTGTTGATGTATGTGCCGTAGATGTCGAATGAGATGATGGAGCTCATGGCAATCAATTGAGCCGAAGCAATCGACGTGCATGACTAGGACCGTCAGTAGATGTCTTGATGTAGCGTAGTCAGTGTAGTATCAACTCACCATGAAGATAGTGAGCAGAATAGCTCCAGCTCCAGCTTTGCCTGCCACTGCCTGGGCCACATATGGTAACACTAGGCCATTGGCCACTTCGTCAGCTGTCAACCTAGTTGGGTAGCCGGGCCAGATGGGCGTGACTTCCAATGCCAGACCGGCGAGGCCGACAATGGTACCGACACACCATGGCACTGAGAAGGAGGCAACCCCGCCAAGCACATATCCTGGTACGGCAGCAGCGACATCCGCCGAGAAGCCTTTCTGCCAAAAGCCAGTGTCCATGATGACACTTCCAAAGTTGGCCGTGATATGCAAAATGCCAAAGTAGAGACATTGCTGGCTTCTCATAGTCAGGTAAGACCCTTCATAGTTACCATCGACGGGATAGTCCTTTCCTGCTTGCACCACAGCATCGTAAAGTGCTCCAATGGATCCAATCTCTTTGACCGCGATGACCTTGATGGTGAACCAGACTAAGATAATCATAATGATGAAGGTATGGACGTAATCTGTGAGGAATGTAGCGCGGAGCCCGCCAAAATAGGTGTACACCGCCACGCCGAGGGGCAGCAGATATGTGCTGGCGATGATATTCATCCCAGTCAACGTGGTCACCGATCCGGCTGCTCCAACAATCATGGCAGAGAATGTGAACGAGTTGTTCAAAAGGCAGAGAAAGATCCAGAGTATGTGTGCTGCAGACCCGTACCGTGTTTTGACGATCTCCAGCATAGTATGCGCATTTGGTGCCTTTCGCTTTGCTTCAATGGAAAGGTAAGCCATCACACACACCATGGTGCTTGCTGAGGCTCCCCACCACACTCCTAATGCCAGTCCATATGAATACGTAAGGAGCGACGCGCCCAGAAGTGCGGAACTGTAGAGCCAGGAGGATATTACCGCCGATGCAGTAAGGCCGGTTCCGACGCTCCGATTAGCCACCATGAAGCTGTAGTTCAAGTCAGAAACGGCGTACAGGAACGGCTGTTAGCCGTGAGGAGACTTACGTCTCTGTAGACTTATTGTCTTCATTGAACGATTTCTTGATGGCTCTTGTCACCCAGACCATACCTACGCAATGTCAGTAGTGATTGAGCAGGAGCGAGTAGTGTAAGTTGACCTAGTGCGAATGTCACGCCGAGACCGACGACAACGCCATATCCTGCACCTTGGGACAAAGGGGGACTGGACGCCATGCTGAGCTTTCTGCTGGTAGGGTTCCGGAATTCCAGGAACTGTGCTGTTCGCGCGGAAGAAGAGGTGACAGGGGCGCTTTGGGAGCCATTTCTGGCAGCCTTATGTATTTCGCCATGCTTCTGAACATCAAAATATCCAATCGACACGCTACTTGAGTCGATATTGCGAATCCTAAGTTGACTTGAGGCTGCCGTTGCCGTTAGCCGAATTAGACCAGTCGGAGCTTACCATTAATGAGCATGTCGGCGCAGGTCCGATGGAATGGACAACGCCGCCTGCTTCTGGGGTTGAGAGAATGCAAGTGATAGGGTAAAAGAATCTTCAATGTATGATGTGCGATATACCAAAATGATGTGATCAGTGACAAGGACCCATAGGCGGCTCAAGGGACCCCGAACAATGCGCACTAATCCGCTGAACCAATAAGGACATGGAAATAGATCTACATGACCCAGCAAGGCCACCTATCACAGCCTAAACACCATTTGCGTCTTCAGGGTACAGACTACAATATGTTCCACGTTGATTGAGGTCCTCTTCACAACTCGCCGCTACCCGGCACACCGGCATGAAAATGCCTTCTTTTGGTGATTTCGGTCTCACCTCCGAAGATATTCTTCGCGAATTTCCTCGTTGCATCCCACTGCCCCCCGTCAGGTCAGGAACAACTACATCCCTAACTAGACGCTAATCAAAAGTGACTTTCTCGTAACGTGCAAGGAAATCATCTAAGTGTGCCGCAAAGGTGTACGTAGTGGAGACGTACACAAAAAGTCAAACAAGGCCTTCATTTGGAAGGAAAGAAGACACAATTTCTCGTCAAGTAGTCAAAGATTCGAACTGAGTTGGTCACCCAGACGAGTGAAGAAGGTCAGGCAAGGATAATTCATCCCTTGGATACCATCACAGAATTGGGTCCCTATCTTTGAGGTTCCGGCGCTTGAAGACACCATGGGCGACAGTCAAGGCCCCAAGCCGAAACAATGGATCTTGAATGCTTTCACAATGAGTACTCCCGGGCATTTAGCTGCAGGTAAGATGCATTCAACCTTATCAAAGGCAACATCCAACTGAGGATCCGTACAGGTCTATGGAGGCATCCAAGGAACCGAACTTCGCAGTACATTGATCTCGAATACTGGACGGATTTGGCAAAGATTCTAGAAGAAGGTAAATTTCATGGCCTTTTCATCGCTGACGTTCTCGGCCACTACGATATCTACAAAGGCAAGGGAAGTCTGGATGCGGGACTCCCAGGAGTTGCCCAATTCCCAATCACTGATCCGTCGTAAGCAAAGCTCTCTTCCTCCGTTTCACCAACAACGGGTCTCTGACCTACAAGACAAGTATCCCTATTTCAGCCATGGCTGCAGTGACCAAGCATCTCTCGTTTGGCGTCACGGCATCCACAACGTATGAGAATCCATTTCTCCTTGCAAGAAGGTTCGCAACCCTCGACCACTTGACAAAAGGCCGGATAGCTTGGAATGCTGTCACGAGCCATCTGGAGTCAGCGGCGAAGAATGTCGGTCTGGAGACTCAGGTTCCGCACGACAAACGATATGAAATGGCGGAGGAGTATCTGAACGTCATGTACAAGCTCTGGGAAAGCTCGTGGAGGGACGATGCCGTTGCCAAAGACGATAAACAATACACTGTCCCTGGACGCGTTCGACAGATCAACCATAGCGGGTAAGAACCTGAAAGCAATACGAAAACCGAGGAGTTTTAATTGACCATTCAATAGGGAGTACTTCAAATCAGCGGGACCCTTTATCACTGAACCTTCTATCCAACGCACACCATTCATTTTCCAGGCGGGCGCCAGCAGTGCAGGAAAGGCATTCGCAACCAAACATGCTGAATGTATGTTTTTGCCGGGTATGACAACAGAATCTGTCAAAAAGTCAGTGAATGAGATTCGAGCACTTGCCACCAAGAACGGCAGGGACCCCTCCCATCTCAAGCTGATTGTCGGCATTCACGTTATCGTGGACGAGACTGATGAGAAGGCCCAAGCCAAGTATGAAGAATATCTCTCGTACGCTGACATGGAAGGGTCCATGACCTTGTTTGGGGGTTGGACCGGGACAGATCTCTCGAAACTCGATGACGACGAAGACTTCCAGTTCTCAGGACCGCCAGGTATCCAAAGCATGATCTCGTCGTGGTCCGCAACGATTCCGGGCACAAATGGTGTGAAATGGACCAAGAGACGGGTGGCACAGGAGCTCGCACTGGGTGGTGCCCATGCCAAAGCCATAGGGTCAGCAAAAACTGTGGCTGACATTCTCCAGCGATGGGTTGAGGAGAGTGGTATCGATGGCTTCAACCTCTCCTACGCCGTCAATCCAGGCGACTTCGAAGACATGATCAAATGGTTACTGCCGGAGTTGCGGGCGAGAGGAGTCTTCTGGGATGACTATGTCGCGACAACCACCAGGGAGAATTACTTGCAGGATGGAAAGGGCCCGAGGCTGAGAGATGATCACCCCGGATCTCAATATAAATGGCGAGCGGAGTGATTTCTGGTGGTCATTGGATGTACGCTGTTGCCATACTGTTGAATACGTCAACATGGCGAGGCTGGCGCCAAAGTACGCGATTCGCTAGACTTCACGCAAGGTTGTGACCCCTGGCCATAGTCACAAGTGTATCTTCAAATTACCATTACTGTGATCTTCTTGTACACAATTTTGTAAGAACCTCGCAGGTACTTGGAAGCCGGTGAATGGACGTTTGATGTCTGGTAGTGTCGTCGTCGTCGACTCGCTACCACTCGATCCGATTCCCGCCACCGCCGCTGCAAAAGTTTTCCATCGCACGGATCCACCTCGATCAAAATGGCAAAAACAATCAACAGTACGGATTCGCTGCTCGTCACCGACGCAACTACTAACGTACCGGCATCAGGCTTAAGTACGGCTGAGCGGACGGGAAGCCCTGTTCTTCTGATCCTATGGTCGATTGTGGGAGAGAAGCGTACATGTTCATTATATATCCATAAAATACACGGCGAGAGACGCACATGTAAGGGAGAAACTACAGGACAATCAAGTTTCGAGATTCTATCGCTGTAGGGTCCTATGATCAAATTGCCCGTCTCACAGGACTCTTCGAGGTTGACGCCATGCACAGCTACCGGCGACTTCTACATGTTCAGCTTGATCAACCCTTCTACCCATTTCCTGGCATCAACCCCGACTCCCTCATTCATACCTCGCGCATTGGCTGACCCCATGTTACCTGAACCACCATAACCTGTAGCCTGCCCACTATTCGATCCGCTGACCTCCCGGCTGCGTGGCTGTTCCCGAAGCAGCCATCGCCCTGACGCGAAGCTTGCGCCAGAGGTCGATCGAGAACCGGAGACATCTCTGCTCTTAGCTATGCTCTCCTTGGACCTTCTGACCAAGATCGCTTCTTTTTCGACATGACCACTCTCCGATGTGCCTTGTGATGTAGACGTCTCGCTCTGAGGAATCCGCCCACCAGCATCTTGCGCCGACTTGCGCACCTTCATCCACACGACCCACCAGCCTCTGGCTGTTTTGACCGTTCTTTCCAATTCCTCGGATTGTGGCGCTGGCTGTCCATTATGACCTTTGCTGCACCGAGTCGACTCCCATATATTCAGGATATGCGTGTGGACACTCAATGCTTCCACACGAGTCCACTGACTTTGGACCAATATGGAAGGAGTCGAGGTTGGGGTTTCAGGCGCTGAGGCCGACGAGCCAATCGGTATCCCCAACGTATACCACGAGCCTGAAACTGTGATCAGGCGCGCTGGTTGTGTCCGGTGTAGTCCTTCTGCTGCAAGGCTGCCAGGGATGGGGATATTCGGTATCGATGTCCGTACTGTCAACTGTGCTGGATCATAGATGAGATCATAGATTTCCACGGGTTCTTTCGCCGTTGCATTCCGTTCTTGCTCCGAGCTCGGGTCAGGGTCAGTTTCCAAAGCTGCTTTCACGCGTTCTCTCCATCTCTCAGGATCGGTGCTCCTCAAAAGACTCTTTTGCAAAGGTCCCAGGGTGTGGTGAATGGCGCGGTAAAAGCTTGGCACGGTGAGGTTCGATGTACGCAGCTGAAATAAGAAGACAAAGATAAATGGCTGATGCACATATATGGCCACCTGTACCTTTTCATGTGTGACATTCGGTTTTTGTGCTCCATCTATGGATGCTGCAGCACTGGTTTTGCCTTTGGCAGATTCCGAGTCGTCGTTCACCTTTGAAGCTCGCCGTTCCGAAACAGTGATTTGTGACGCCCGTGAAGCAGACACCTCCACTGTCAGAGTACGCAGGAATATGCGATTAGCCTCTTTTGGCGATGACGGTTCTCTTCCACCCCCATGGCTGTTTGGATCGTCCTCAAATTCAGCATTCTCAAGGTCGCCAGACAGGCCAACAAGGAACTTGCCAATAGATTGTTCAAGCCTCTGGACGAAAGGAGGTTCGTCCTCGTCGCTAACTTCTGGTGTGGGATCAAGCTCCTGTAACAGCTCTTCGGGCGATGTCTCCTTCGCTTCAGATTTTGTCTCATTCCTTCCAGCGTCTGTAAGGCTGCTTGGTCCGTTGATGTCTCTGTCAGCACCGAAGCCCCTTGGGCTCAACGTCCAGCTTGAGCCGTAACCTAAACTGAGATACTTCATCATCTTCTCGGTTCCAAACAACGAGTTCCCGTGCTCGTCTTGCTTTTGGTTATTCGCAGATTCACTACTCTTTCCACCTTCGTCGGAAGTGTCGTTTGCACTAGCATTGGCTGTGGCATTGTCCAACGACTGTTCTACAGCGCTCACAAGTGGTGGTGGGATACCAGGTGGTGTTGCGTTGTTTTCCATAGCTTTACGGTGAAGGTTCGGAGCCTTGTCCCGGACGGATGCTGCGTGCTGTCCTCCGCTATGTTGTGGAAGAGTCCGATCCAGATTCCTCCGTGAAGTCTCCTCGTCAACTTTCCTTCTCTTTCTCCGATGCCTTGGGCGAGAAGCTGGATTGTCGCCGACACCATATGCAGCTTCACCATGGACGAATATAGCTTCCATCCACTTGGATACTGTAATGAGTGACCGTTTGGAAATGCCACCGATTCCAGAGAATATGATGCCGTCTTCAGCTCGGGGGTCTTCGCCGTTACCCAGCCAAGGCGCAGAGTGGATCGTGCCTACTTTGCCCTCCGCGTCCTTCCTCTGAACTCCGGCGGCACCTGCAGGAGCGTCGCCATACCGTCCGACAACGAGATCCAGGAGGCCTTCTGTCCGGGCTACAAACCCTTCTAAGACTTCCCTTTCACCACTGCCCTGATCTTCTTCACCGACACCGATACCAAGCTCGCCACCCCCAGCAAGCTTGACAGCGTCGTACAGATCTGTGGCAGGATTTCCATGCAACAAGACGTCCCAGTTCCAGATGAAGCGTTCCCAGTAGCGTTGTAGCAGATCACGGAACAGCTGTTTCCCACGTTCGTGCTTCTTCCATAGTTCGGCTAACGTTGACGAATGGTGCAGCATGAAAATGCGATGGGCTTGTGTGATCTGGGCAAGCAGTAGCGGCACCGACGCGACTTCGCGGGAGGAATACTCGACATCTCCTGAAGACTGCGACTCGATAATAGAGGATCGATTCGTGGATGCAGCACGCGTGTTCGAGGGAGGTAATTTTGTGAGATCAATGGCGGCAAGAATCCACCATCGAGGTTCAACCTCTTTCAGGACAATCCGCTGTTTTTCAGTTTCCACACACTCTAGCGGCGCATCATTTGAGAAGTTTCTGTAGAACAAACAAGATGTCAGAAAGCGTCACCCTGCATATGAGACGTCCTCGGTCATGAGCATTTCTAGGACTCGAATCACCGCTTTCCCTACGTACTGTACAAAGTTCACCATACCCTGCGCAAGACCGACCTGGCGCAGCCGTTCATTCTCCGCTACTTCGTCGTCATGCTGCTTATGCTGTTCCCTCTCTTGCTCCGATGGCTCTTCTTCTTTGCGACGTTCACGTTCATCTTCGAGCTTTTTGGAATAGTAAAAGACGATCTGGTCGCGAACGGTCTCGTCTGTTGGTCCCAGCGAGGGGTTGTAGATTGCAAAGTAGGAAAGCTGTGCCGGCGTAACACGCGACGTGTTCTTCAAAGAGGTAGACATGCCGAATACGCGCGGCGCTTCTGGCGCATACTTCCCGAGGAAGTCGGAGGCAGACTGCTGAAATGCATCGAGCTTGGAGGCTCAATATCAACGTAAATGTGCTTGCTAAACTGATTCTCGATCTTGCACAAGACGAATGGGCAACAGCATCATTGACTGCGACTGCGACTGCGTTCCGCAGACCATCCTTACCTATCGCCTATGAATGCAGTCGCTTCTACTACGTCAATTACTGGTCAGGGCACGTGACACAGATTTCGCTTATGGAGTCTTGGGGTCTTGGATTCTTGGTACGGAGTGCTTGGACACCTTTAAATAAACAATCACTGCTTAAATCAAACTACATTTCCTCTCTGGTCGAAAGACATTGCCGACTAGGTATCGATGCCGTCGAGCACCAGGCAGACGAAATCTCACCCTCGTGGCTTACAATGATCAGAGGGAGTCATGTCCCAGAACATGTGCGCAAGCGTTCAGGTTCTTCCCCGCCAGAGTACTCCTACAATGCAAAACTCACATGGAAAACATGATATCGGGTCTCTTATCTAGTTGTTACCACAGCACATTGGCTCACGCGCACAATTGCCCACCCCGCACTAGGTAAGATACTGTACAGGTCTATCGACAAGCTGAAAGATTAGGGTGAAGTCATGGCTGGGAACAGGGTTCGGAAGATTCCCCCAAGTTCCTCGATTTACTGGCCAAAATGACGTTGACGGCGATACCAATCCTGTTTCGAGGCTTCAGAGAAATTTCGTGTTGTTTCTTCCTGCTGCATATTTCAATAGCACTTTGTCGCGGAAGCCCATCTTGACCTTATTTCATCACACCCAAGTCTCATTGCCTTAGGAAAATAGTCACAGATCCAAACTACAGCTACAATGTCCAGGTTGGTCCTGAGCCTGTTCCCCTCCGCATTCAATCGCTAACAACTCATTTAGCGGAACCTCAGGCAGTGACGAGAAGATCTCGGCTAGCAAGATCGAGCCTCTCTCCTCCGAAGTCAAGACGAACACACCACACGATCAAGGCTCAAGAGGTGTTGCAGGCACAGATCACAGCATTGATCAGAGCCGGATCGAACCTCTGGGCGGTGCAGGTGGGTGGATGACTGGACACCTTACAATTTCCAACCCTGCTATACTTGTGCCCAACTCGATATCACAAGACTGACCCTTCGACTGTGCATAGGTCAATACCAACACCCGGCTCCACATGCTGATTCTCAGGGCGTAGTGGGCAGAGACGAGACAATTGAAGGAGCCAAATTGGAGCCTCTGGAGGGGAAGGGCAGCGAGCCAACGAGCAAATCCACAGGTCTGGATGATGAGCAGGTCGATGCCTCAAGAATCAACCCACTGGGCGAGGTGAGAGAGGAAACGTCTTGACAAACCGACACGAGAGAGGCAGAATGGACAAACAGAACATGAGTTGAACGAGTGAGAGTGAGACAGAATCGTGAGGGTTGTGCAACGAGCTGGCAATGAAAGATACGGAACAGACATGACAGCTATAGCCATGACGATCAACGTAATAGCGAATGACCTACTCCAGTGTGCAATTAGAACACTGTGCCTCACTGTTAACAACCGACATTGGGAGTATTTCGTTCCCGATTCGAATGTAACTATGGTGCTTGTGCCCCTTGAACAATTGTGATGATCGCCGCATCAAGACGGAGATGCCGAAGGGAAAACGGTAGAAGTCGGACTGTCGAGCCTCGTGACTCTTGTTGTTCTCGAACATTGCTAGAAAAGACTCATACAAAAGCAGAAATCGGAAATCATCGGCAAACAAGTTAAGCAGGACCCTGATGATGAAGAGAAGTGGGATGGCCCTGCCAATGTTGTTCCTCTCTCCCGTTCTACCGTTCCTGCCTGGCGTCACATCTACACAGTACTGTAATCCTTCTATTTGAGGGCCTGCACCATTGCTATCTCACTTTTCAAGGAGAGTGGGAAACACATGACTGAATTCTCCTGGTTGCATCACAAGAATGATTTACTACTATCAATATAACGACACGGCGACATCATCCTGCTGTTGACAAGAATTCAAAGGGCGCACCCCTAAGCCTAACCAAGACAGCACCGAAGCCATCCCTATCTCTATTGGTGTGGAATCTTCCATTTCTCGTGTTTACTGCTTCTGCCCAGCAGGCTGAAACGTTCTGCTGGCTTTCAAGCACCTGGCCAAGGGCGCAGAAGTACGCCCCGTTATCTGCCTCGTGCCTGACCGGCCATTCCCGACCTGGTCTCGTGGCACCTTTTCGCTTAAAGCCGCAGCCCTGGCTAACTTAGGGACGCTAGTCAGGTTAAGCCTATCTAGATTTAGGGGATATTACCCGGCGGGAAAAGCAGCTGGGCGGAAGACTAGTGAGGCTGTGCCCCTAATCGCTCCGATGGAAACATCAATATTCAAGCCTCCATTGAAACCTCTTTATAGCACATTGGCAACCTGAGGCTTCAACTCTTCTGTCTACAGCTATGACCAGACATGACTTCGGACAATAACAACAGTATCTCGGAGGACTCCCTCACAGACAATCAGTCACTTTCACCGTGGGACTTTGCTTCTGACTCCAGTATTATTGTCCCAGGCGATCACCGAAAACAACAGAAGACTCGCAAACTGACGCCAAACTTGACGCGCCGCTCCCACAAGAAGTCTCGAGGCGGCTGCATCAGCTGCAAAGGACGCAAGATAAAGTGCAATGAAGAGAAGCCCGTATGTCAGAGCTGTTCCGTTAAGGGTCTCACTTGTATATACCCTACGGAGCAGCCTACGCGGAAATCCAGTCTCCCACTATTGCGGCGCAACCCAGCTACGGCGCCCTCATTTCCCCAGGCCACCTTCTCGATACTGGACATGCGATTCTTCCACCATTTCCTAACTATCGCATATCCTCATTTACCCGTCGACAACGACCAGGTATGGGTTCACGACATACCCCAATTTGCCGAACAGCACGAGTATCTCATGCACGCCATTCTCTCTCTTGGGGCGTCCCACCTCAGTCGCCTTACGGGCGTCGACTACCGCAAAGAGTCCTTAGTCCACCGTGGACATGCGATCGCTGGCCTCAATCACGCTCTAAGCCAAACAGCCCGAACGTACGGCGAATCCGATGCGATGCTTGCATCATGCTACGCACTGACCTTCCAAGCATCGTACATGGGCGACGGATTGTCAGACTTTATCACCATGATTCGCGGCTGCGCCCTGACGACAGAGAAGATCCACCAGGAACAAGCGCTCACCGCGTTCAATCTTCAACCAGACACCCACATCAATTTCATGGCATCACGCTTGCAACACCTTCCACGAGTTGACCCCAGACTACTGGAAGACGCATACATTGCGCTTGAGGAGATAAGACCATACCTAGCGGATGACACCCATCTCGATTTCCACGACGCCCTCTTCGACGTTATCGTCTCTTTGCAGACCAGTCCAGCATCGGGTTATCTACGCTTCATTGATTTGTATGGAGTGTGGTACGAGCTCTGCAACGAGGCTTTCGGGACCTTCTTAGATGGGAACAATCTCGTTTCGCAGTTGCTGCTCGCTTACTTTGTAGGCATTCAGCTATTGATGGTGCCACTTGCAACGCAAGAGTCATCAAACCGAGCAGACGTTTCAAGGGTGCGCGTTCTGTACGGAATAATAGAGTGGGCAGAGAACATCTTCGAGCGCCTCGAAACATCAGACCTTGAAGCTCACTTGACATGGCCGCGCACAATCGTTGCGACAGCCGTGGCTGAAATCAATGGGGAGGTACTGCAGCTACCACCAGTGCTTCAGCTGCACTGGTCAAGCAGAGACATCACCCCGCAAACAACTATCCTCGATCCTCCCTGGGCGGAGATCGCAGTATCCTAAAATCCAGGCAATACATAGCCCAAGAGGGAGACAAAGAACATGACTGATGCGCTTCGGAACGCAGACGCGACGCAACACAAGGGAATCCTGCTTTTGGCGAATCTCACCTCCTGACTATGTCTCGATAGCCAATCTGCAACAGTAACGATATCATGACCGCACATGGCCCTATCGCCTTATGAGTGCCTGCACACCACGAAACTAGCGGCTTCATGTCACTAGGTATTCTTTTTATGGTCTCTCATAGCCATTTCTGCACACGCGCCCTCCAACGACTTCGATGTAGATATGTGCCGCTTCAATGGTGCCACAACCCCTGGATCTGGTGCAGGGTCAGATCAGAAGATGATATGACTAGCCCGAGGCCACGCGACATGTTTTCCTCCGGGATCCGTCTCTTCTTTGGCACGACATCTACTCGCGTTCGCCCGCGTTGAACCCTGTCTCGATCATCGCTCGACAGAAAAGAACGCGCCGTCGGTATCGAGGGGTGGTCGCAGCTTCAAGGGATGTCGTCGGCGGTGGCGCAGGCCGTACTGACCTCAAGAACGTTGAAATGTTCATTCAATTGATCATGTCGTGGTCGGTTTCCCCCTTGGGTGGGAAGAGTCATCGATACTATCCTGTTCAGATATCGTACCTCGAAGAAGGGCAAATAACCCAGTGCGTGCGATCGGACACAACTCGAATAACTCGAATAAATCGGGCCTTTTTTGGTAGGCTGGGAGCAAAGGGTATGGCTCTTGAGATGAGGCTCACGGCGGAGAAAACCCCTGAACGTGAATTCAGGCAGCAATGAAAGAAAGAGCCGAACTACTGCTCAGCATACTTTCTTACTATTTTACGCGCCACCATCGAAAACCGCAGCACAGACAGAAGGTTCAATACTGCAGAACGTCTGAAGGAGGGAGAAAGGGCAGCTTTGAGATTGTTGCAATTGCTATCGATCTCCTACGACGTATTCGGGTCAGCGGCCAATCACAGGTCTGGGAAGCGTATAGGCGAGGCTGACATCAACGGCACAGAAGGTGTCATTGTCGACTCAGTGACCACTGACCACTGACCACTGACCGACAACATACCAACTCGCAACTACACATGGCCATTTACGAGCATATATCGTGATTCAGACGAGCAGATGAGGCACACCCTTCAATAGGCTTGAGGCACGTGGAAGGCACAAAGTCAGGATTAAATCCGTCGAAAACAATGGAGGACAGAACAGTCTTTTTGAGCCATCAATGTCATAAATTCGTGTTTGCTATGTTATACAACTTTCCAATGAGTCCAAGTATCCAGCACTCAACCACCTATGCGGTTGCCTACGGCAGGAATCTAACCATAAACCAGCGCACGCACTTCAATGCTCTCACGTCCCTTGGCACCCTCAGGTGTCCTAGGGTCGACAAAAGCAGTGTGCGGCACTCTCTGGCCCACGCCATCCTTGCTGTCGTAGCACTTCAAGAACAGCCTTTCGTCGTTGTCCATGCCGGACCAGTAATAGAACTTCTGGTTGGAGTTATATCTGACGGCGGCTGTCTCACCAGTCCGGTGAGGGTACCGATGTTCGACGGGAACAAGATCATTATCCTCCACGGTGTCGGCAGAGGCAAAGCCCAGCGGATGCGCCTGGACAGTGCCGTTGATAGGCCGCCAAACGTTAATGATTCGATACCGACCCTTGAGAAGTTCGTCCGCCTCTTCGGGGTTGTGCAGCTTGACTCGCCAATCCGTCGATCGAGCTGTCTGGTCGACGTGGACTCTCGTAACGGGGGCGCGGGGTGCATCGGGGTTAGACCGACGGATGGTATGGTCGAAAAGAGTGACCTTGTGGGCGCCGGGGACGTGGTCCAACAGCAGTTTCTCTACTTCTGGGTAGTAGGTGTTCTTGATATGATCGTCATCGACGAAATCCTTCTCTTCTGACGGAATGTTCTTGATCGCCTGGAAGGCGTCTTTGTCCAGAGTGAATTCTTCTTCGCGACCGCGAACATCATTCATTTCGATGTCCACTACCGTTTCCCCGAAGTTGCGCTGGGGCTGGCCCTCGGGCGGTTGCTCGACGTAGTTATGGGGCTTTGACCCATCTGCAGGGTCTTTGAAGAAGTTCAACTTAGTCCGGACTGGTCCTCGAGGGACGTATGAGGAATCTTGGACGCCGGAGAGGGTTGTTGAGGTGGTGGTCTGCGTAGCGGTCGACGACATTGTTGTGGATGATATGAGACTGCTGGGTGTAGATGTGCTTGGGTATAACGCAAATGGACGGACACAGACCCCAATGGTAGTGTGGCGTCTTATATAACTTATGCGCAGGCGAGTCAAGCACGCAATTGCGGCTTATTAGAAATCCATTGAATGGCAACGTCATTCTGGGCCGAGGGTTTGCCGCTGGTTGTTTTTTCCCCATGAAAACTGCGCACACCCCCGCACCTGTCATTCGCCGCCCCTTTGGATCGAGGATTAGTCGTGCCTGTAAAAGTTTGATTAATTTATCAGCATCAGCATCAGCCTGGGCCCTCGGCAACACGTCGATACATCCAGGTCAGTGTAGTCTGCGCAGTGCCATTCACACTTCGCCTTCCTCACTACCGTAGTCGACCTTTTCTGCATCGTCTATCGCATCCACACCATTCTGTTTTTGCTCTGGGCGTGGGGGTTGAGACGCCCTGGCATCACTCTGAGCTGGAGGTACTCGACTGGTTGGCTTTGGAAGCTCGAACAGATCGCTTTGGTTGTAGACGCCATTGTCGCGACTGTCCGGACGGCTCTGCGGAGGCAACCGGTCTTGATGACCATTGCTGTACGAGGGCGGTGGTCCACTCCAGTTAGATGCGGACGAAGAATGCCTTCTCGTGGACGCTTGGGGGTTGGTAGGTTGGTTCGAAGGTCGCCGGGCCAGATGAGATGCAGGTCCTCCAGCACCTGAGGAGTTGCTAACAATCTCATCGATGCGTTTCTGAACGTCATCAACTCTTTGACCTGAATCGCCACGTATTCGATCATCCACATTTGGTGGTACTCTTTGCGATGGTCGCCCGGATTTGTCCCCATTCTCATCACGAGAGTCTCGACGTACTCTCTTCGATGATGGCTGTGATTGATTGTCTGTCGAAGGCCGTCTGGCGATAGTGCTGCCCCACTCGCCCGAGTTAGGGTCGTCTAAGGCATCCCTGTCTCGCTTGACTCCTTGGCTTCCGCTTCTTGCACTCCCAGCAGGTGATCGCTCGGGTTGTGGCGTGGCTACATGCCTCGTTCGATCGAAGATGGACAAATCCTCGTCCTTAACGTACGCATCTTTCTGGCCCTGTCTCGGCAATGTTGGGTTTTCGTACACGTCTGCCATCAGGTTGCAACCTCGCTGTACGTCTGACATATCCACGCTGACCTGCTCCCACCACGGCCTCCCATTTTCATCATCAGGCAATGTAATCTCCGCGAACTTGAGGCCCATGTATAAAGCGCTGCCAGCGATCGCACTTGGGGTCAGCTGCAAACACATGGTCGTGACCAGAGAGTCGTTGAGGAATGCCCAAGACGTGTTGCGCAACTGCTTGTTCTCCTGCACCCCGTAGACTCGTAGAAAGTCAAGCAGGATGCGATAGGGCTGCTCCAGCTGCAGGTCAAAACACAGTGCTTCGAGGAGGAGGTCCTCATTGTGAAGGATGGTGTCTCGCCATTTCCAGTATTCTTTGCTCTGTTCATCGACCACCAGGTTGGGTTGTTTCTGAGCCACACGGCAGCACGCCACTACCAGTTCTCTCATTTTACGATAATTCTCTTCCACCTTTGTCGCCAGAAACAGTGCAGTTGCTGCAACCGAGTAATGGTGTAAGCCTGGTTTATTGCTCTGTGCCATGGCGTGGCGCATGAAGAAGCGGTGCAGATAGATGGATGCGGTCGCAAGCGTCAACTGAGGTAACTTCAACATGATGCCAACTTGTGTGATGAAATTGACACCTTTTTGTCTGTTGGCCAATTCTTGCACAACGGGCATCCCTTCGAGGATACTTGGCGATAGGAGTAGCTCTACCGGAGTGAAGAGCCATTGCGACTGGGTTCGTTCGATGACAGGATTTGTTGAAAAGGAGGGAGAGACGTTGCCTGGAGATAGAGACATCTTCCGGATAGCGGGCATGGCCAGTATTTCGTGGGATGTCAGGATGGAGATTGTGACCAACAAAGGGTGGTAGTGGATTAGGGACAACCGCTGATCGTTTGCGAGCGAGGACGCGGCTGCAACATGGAATGAGCCTTCTTCTCCCCTCTCAGCCAGCGATAGGGAACATATCATGCATTCCCGGGATATGCCCGGATGTTGATGCAAGGATGAGACAGCTCGTGGCCGACTGAGGCTATACCATTGTAACAATGGATGCGGACGCGCTACGAGGAATAATTTGAGAAGGCCTAGTGACCCTTACCCTCGTAATGCAGGCCCTATGGCGTGCCTGGCAGGTATACCGAGGAGAGATATACCACTGTCAGACAAGACCTCTGAATGTCTTATCTGCCCAGAGAGTGCCAAAGTTATTGTTCCCGGCAACGTCAGACCGGGGTAGCATCACAGCCCGCTGACATCATTCCTTCTGCTAACTCCATGTCTCCAACTTCTTTCGCGCGTATGGAAAGCCACAACATATTGTGATAGGAGGATAACGTTTATACGACTTTTTGTGCATGATTGTTCCAAGTTAGCTTTGACTTCACTCTACCGATCTTCTGGACATCCGAGGCAAGTCAGTCCAATGGCGCTTACTGACGGAAAAACATGCTCTTCGAACGAACATACTTTCCACCTATGGTCGATGCTCTATCGTCCTTACCAATGTATCCGAATTCTGCATGTGAGTTGTTGTGATACCCGAGGGATTGTCGATTCGTTCGTGTCGAGATGGTGGCCGCATTTGTTACTGGAGAGTGCACTACTGCTAGTCGCTCGATTCGTCAGTCGGCAAAGTTAGGAAAGTGATTCCATATCATGAGGCTCTGATAGTCTACTGCACAATATCAACACCAAGGATGATCTACGCTGCGGGTCGATCTTCGATGCAAGATTGACTATCACAGATGGGGTCACATTTATGCATGTTGAGCATGGGTTTGATCCCGACATAACAGTATACTTCACCTGTAAAGATGCAGAGTTGGCTGCAACGCGCATGCCTGGTGCAACGGTTTCTGTCTTCGGATCCGTGGTTTTGTCAATGCTTCTTTACTTGACTTCAACAGCAGCAGAACCATTATTTCAAATCATACCCCTTGACAGCTTATACTCGTAGGACAGAGTGGTCGAGGGACATTCCTCGCAATGCTAGCAGCAATTGCTATTTGCGCAAAAGATTACTGATCTCTCTGCCTCACGCCTAGACTTTCTCGATTCTCAGGCAGTCTGTAGATGGCAAGTGGTGGTTTGGCATGGGCAAGTATGATTTCCTCAATTTGGCCTATACGGGCGGGGATATCAGGAGTATCTAAAGCTGGACGACAGAAAGACTTATGCATGTTGGTCATGGCGCAGGCACAATCTGCATATCAATGCCAGACACTTACGGGTGATAAATTTGTGGCTTGTAACCTGAGGGAAATGTCCCGGGATCAATATTGATTGGAAGTTGGTCATTATGCAAGGTGAGGTAAGGTGGTCGAGCAGTTTCTGTAAAGGATCGGTTATTGCTCTGGGCAAGTGCTCAATGCTGCCCTTGACTCTTGAGAGGCTCGGTCTGTCGACTCCCGTTGTACAGACGATTAGTGACCGGGATGCCGACCTCAGGTTGTTCATTGATTGGCCTCTCAGAAACTCTGGATGCACAATAGCGCGAGCTCTTCCGTCTCTGCGGCCGTACACCATGCCTAGGTACGAGCAATTGAACGCTAATGCAATGGAATGTTCCAAATGATGACACACTAAAGTCGCTCTGCTGCTGTCTTTCAATCCGCAAAGAGATCCTATCCTCCCCGGCTACGTCAACCTTAGATGTCAGGGCTACTAGACTATGAGGCGCTGCGTAATGGATTAAGGCCATTTTAATGGGCGTTGTACCTGCCAAGCGTCCGATCGGAGCCTGTCTTAGCCCGATGCCCCCTGTAGCTTCCCCTAGCCAAACCGAGCCTTCCATTCCCAGCTTTCCATCTACTACACCTTCGATATCCGTTCTTTCTCATCTCTTTCCCTCAGACCTCAAGCCTTCCATGCATCGAAGATTTTCTAGCGCATCATCATTACCGTTCGGATCAATGGCTAACCTCTCCGGTCCTCGTACAGCCGCTAGGTATGCGCCATATTCGTTGCATGCTTTGGCCCTTGCGCTAGCCTTGCAACTGTCCCCAGTCGTGAACATACATGTAAGTCACAGCCATGACAGGGCTCAAGGGCCTAGTGAGTATCTGAACGTCGGGGTATCTCGAAGGTGCTTTGCATATCGACCATCTTCTACACACAACCAACCGTATCCTGTTGCGCTGTGATTGCATCTGGCGTGGTGGCTGTGACAAGTGTACTTTCGTTGAGCACAACTAACGTGGTATACATACGCGTGTTATGCCCAGAGGCAATCTTGCATTCCTCCATCAGTACGGTCTTTCGCGGCACAAGCAACGTTTTCCAACGAAACATATTCTTCTCATTGACTCAGCCTTCCAGCTACGAAGGCCAAAGTCACGCATCGAAGCAAGGTATACAGGCTTATAAGGCTCTCGACGCCTCACCGTCAGCGACAATCTGCATCATAGTGGCGGCGGCACACCAGGAACAGCGCCAAACAAGCGAATACCTATCAGATCGCGGCTCCTCATTGCATGCAGCAGGGTCTCAAATATTCATGACATATTGGGCAGATGTATCAGCATTGATCTAAACTCAATCAGGAGAAAGCCACCCAAAGTCTCGGGCTACGCCTCTGCTCTTCCTGGCCACGAAGCTACGACATCCTTGATCGCCTTGCGCCATCACTGCTAACCCCAGGCCCACGTTTCTGCGCTGGACATTGGGTCACTGGGGCTATCCCCGGCTTGGGCTGGTTACCAAAGCAGCCTCGCCTTTTACCTAATCCGAGGTACTACCGTTTTACCCTCCTACGCTTGGCCTCCAGGCCTGCAATTCCACACATCTAGTCCGGTGCGATGCCCACCAAGCCAAAAAGATCGAAATCCCCGGACTCACAGTTCTTGTTTGTCAACGAAGATGCTTCGACTGTCACGAGAGCTACAAAGGACACTGAACTCGACAGAACCAAACAAAGCCATGTTCAACGCCAGAACTTCGCACGCAAACGTCGGCTTCGAGAGCAATCCATCTCGGGACCCTCGACAAGCACTCCCAGCTCTGTTTCTCCAAGCCCTGCGATCGCAGATCTTTCCACAGAATCAACTTCAGTCTCTCAAGGAGGGCCATCTCGTGGCAACGATTATATCGATGTTCTTCAGGGTATAGACTTTGGCGATGTCCAGTTTCAGGCGACCAGCCCGCCGGTATTCACGCAGGAGTTGCTGGATCCACGACTCTCGGCCATGTTCTCGAACCCGTTTGCTACAGCAGCTTCACCACTCGCACTCTCTCCAAGGACGACCAGCATGTTTGAGAGCTCTCACTCTTACCAGCCTGGTCACTACTTTGATATGGCCCCTCCGAATTACAACCTCACCCCGCCGCCAAGAGAGCCAACGAACATGCCTTCCCCTCCCATACCACTGAGTCGAGAATCCAGCCAGGTTGCGAATACTCAACGGATCCTGGAACTATGGGCGCCACCTTTGATCAGGCACTACAATATGGTATCACTGCCAGATAAGTTCTGGAGGGACATTCGGAAAGTACCGATGGGTCAAATGCGGCACGCATCAGCCATTCACGCAGATATGCAAGCATGCATGTCAGAACCTGCCCATATGTATGCCTTCCTCGCTGCAGCCGCGGTGCAGATGCTCTGGCGAGAGGGTCGACTGTTACTTCCAAATGTGTCGGAAGAAGACTATCACAGGGTGCCGACCTTCTTCAAGACCAAAGCCATCGAAGCGCTGCGCGCCAAACTCGCTGCTGGTCAATTGGATCATCATATTGCCGTTGATGTACATCGGCTTTACTGTACTGGGCTTTTCGCGGATAATGCTGAAGTGGCGGAGCCTCATTTTCAAGCCTTGCTTGCCATGATTGAAGCTTTGGGTGGCCTCAGCACATTCGATGACTATCAGATGGAGAAGCTCATGATCCTAGACAGCTTCGCTGCATTGATGTGGCATGGAGTACCGCGAATGATTGTGACATGGGACCCAGGTCATTTCATGGACGAGACACTGCGAAGTCTCGATACATGGGACCAACAGGACGCTCGGATTGGCGAGAGGATGGGGACCATGATTCGAACTCTCAATGCTGACCAGACAACAATGGATACGCTCGGAGACCTGCTCGAGCTGCTAAAGGTGTCCGCGTACCTGCACGATCTGCAACACTATATCCCAGAATCCTACAAATGGTTCGTCCGACGGGCGTTGGCCATTTTACACCGCCTGCTTTCAATACCCTTGCATTCCGAACTCGACGAAAAAGTAGACAGCTTGAGGATCGCTGCAACCTACTGGACGGGCATGGTTATATCACCTCAGCTTGGTCGAAGAGCCGCCTCTAGATCCACTCATCTCCTTCGACAAAAGCTTGAGCTCACCGATATAGACTTCCTTTGGGCCCCACATACAGATTGTCTACTATGGGTGGTGGTGTTGGGAGGCATGTGCGCAGACAAGGACGACGAGCTGCAGTGGTACCTCGACATTGCAAGAAAAGCAGCAAGGGAGCTTGGGTTGAGCAGTACGTCCGACATGGAGGAGCTGTTCTCAGAGCTGCTTTTTGATCCACCGTCCCAAAGAGGTTTGCTGTTGCAATTCGGAGTAAGGATGTGGCCTGTGGCAGAGTCATGAGTTGGGAGACGACAGGGCTGTGAAGATACGAAGGCCCACCATCCAAAATCGAAAGCACCTACCAGCTGTGGCATCTTGCACAAGGGATTGGTACCAGAGCGGGTTTCTCTGTGCACAGGTCAAACATGCAGCATTGGGTTCAGGCTGCGGGCCAGCATTGTCGCCGGACGGCTACCCATACAGCTGGCCTTCACGACGTCCTGTTGACGCTACCGGACCCGAACGACACTGCCCTCCCCAGTTCGTCAAGCTTTGTCTACGAGGCCGAGAGTGACAAGATCAGTCAGCCTTCCGGAAAGGGCTGGTGCCGCCTTCAACAAGACTCTGTCACGCTTCCACTGCTACCGTGTGCCTCGACGTGCGCAAAGCAGTGGGAAAGGGAAGGCTGGTCGTAGCTACCGGCCAATATCACGCCATGATCGGCAGGCAAAGGCAGACTATTCGCCCTCAATGTGTGGCCAGGCCTATCGATGCCAGATCTTCTCGACCGGTGAACAAGCTTAATCGATTGTGGGTTGGGTGTACTGGAGGTGAGGTTGGCCCAACCTCGGCCCCATCCGATGGGATTTTTGTGCTTCAGCGGTGGTACGGCAATGGGGTAACGATTGCAAGCTCGCTGATGTTCGGGCATGCTCTTTCAGATTTTGATGTGACACGAGACATACGCGCCATGATATCCAGCTTCTTGGACAGAAGACGATGCTTTCTGTTGAAGACCAACAAGGATTGGCCCACCGTCCGGGTGCGAGCATTGGGTGAAAAGCTTTCCTTTCGTAGTTTGCTATGCAGTATAGACAATGACGGCGTCCGTCGAGTTTTATGAAGAAGAAGATAGATCCGGCTCATGCATCATACGATCGTTTATGCTTACAAAAGTGTTCATGACCAGTTATACAATGACATATGACATTTTCATTTCATGCTGGAATATTTGGCGCTTCGAGTCCTTCCGCTTGCTTTTATGAAGGATGCTCTTCGGAGTGGAATCGTATAAAACACATGGGCTATATCTATAGCCGCGTCTGATCTCATGTTGACCTTCGTTTGTGCTCTCGCCACTTATCAAATGCGTCCTCCCAGGTACTGTTGACACCGTCGCATCGATCGGCAACGATCCCCCACGTCCTCGTCCTGACTATACCTTCCACCGCGGACTCATTGCGCAGTAGCGCAGCAAGTTGCTCCGTCCGCGCTTCTCGAGGGAAGAATCGTCCTGAGTACGGGTCCAGTCGCTCGTCTACTATCCTATCTGCTTCTTTTCTGTTCATGACTTCCCGCTCGATCACATCCGGGTCATCTGGGTCCGGGGACGTTGCTACTGATGTGCAGTACGATATAACTGTGGATCGTGAGTTCCAGGACGGGAAGAGTACGGATTCGAGGAATGTTTTGGATGTGTCTTTTGGTATGGGTTGGCGGGTGAGTGATGAGGGGAGGGATGGGTTGCGGATTGACGTTGAGGACGGGTCGAAGGGTGATGTTGTACTGGGCGTTATTAGAGCGTTGAGGTTCGTGGAGATGCTGTCGTCGATACTGGCGCGGGATAGACGTAGGAAGTCGCGCAGGACTCGGGTGTTGAAGCAGAATTGGGGGGTGAGTTCTGTCGGTGTTGAGGTGGGTTTGGACATGATCGGTCGTTTGCTGCCTGGCTGTGCAGGTCTGAAGGGCGAAGGCGAGGGTGAAGATGAGGGAGGTGATGTCCAGAACCAAGCCAGCTTGATTGGTGTGAGTGAATAGATGAGCTCGATGGCTGTTTAAAGGTGGCGACGAGGCCGATGATTCAACTTGATCTTTGGTGGAGATTGCGTTCAAGAACTGCTCCCCAGTTGTGTGTTGGTTCTGTAGGCGAAAGTAGTATGTTGGACTATTCACAAAGCGTTGATCATAATATCTGCAGAAGCGATGTATGGAGTAAGGTGATCGAACATCAACGGAACAATTGTAAAGGCGAGGCTGCAGGCTCCTTATGGTCACGTCATGGACAAGTTCCTCAGCAACCACTTTACGCGTCGATACGCGATCTCGTCTCAATTATCAAGCCGGCCCGTCTAGTTCGTACTTCCACCTATGTACCGCTTCGCTTTCTGTTTCAGCTTCTCCAAGACGATATCTCAATCAAGCAAACAAGGCGTGTTCTAGATTACAAGAACTTGTTGTTATAGAGTTGCCTGAGTGACAGTTACATTCTACCGAGCCATCAACATGCCTGAAATAGCCGAGGTCGCTCGAACAGTTCATTTCATCAAAAAGCTACTTGTTGGGAAAACGATATCCAAAGCCACAGCTACAGAAGATCTCAATGTCTTCGGCAAAGTGGGAACCTCAGCTGCTGAGATCCAGAAACACATGACTGGCAAACAAGTTGTTGACGCCGGTCAGCAAGGCAAATACTTCTGGATGATCATGTCTAGCCCGCCGCATCCGGTCATGCACTTTGGCATGTCTGGCTGGCTCAAAATCAAAGACGAGCATACCTACTACTACCGGCCGAAATCAGGGGAGGAAGAAGAACCCTGGCCACCAAAGTTCATGAAATTCCTGCTTGAGACAAAGCCGGAAAATGGCCAGGAGAAAGTGGAAGCCGCATTCGTCGACATGAGAAGGTTTGCAAGAGTACGACTGGTGGACTGTGAAGCTTCAGAGATTCGAAATGTTACACCTTTGAAAGAGAACGGACCGGACCCGGTCATTGACAAGGACGTTGTGACTGTCGCCTGGCTGAAAGAGAAGTGTAACGCAAAGAAAGTGCCTATCAAAGCTATGCTTCTAGATCAAGCCAACATCAGCGGTATCGGCAACTGGGTGGGAGACGAGATCATGTACAATGCGAAGATGCACCCTGAGCAATACGCCAACACATTATCGGACGAGCAGATCAGCCAGCTGCACAAGTCTATTCACTACGTTTGCAGTACTGCTGTCGACTTACTCGCCGAGTCGGAAAAATTTCCGGATGACTGGTTGTTCAAGCACCGGTGGGGAAAGGGCAAGAAAAACGCCTCAAACGCTCTCCCAAATGGAGAAAAGATTGCATTTCTGACTGTTGGTGGTCGGACAAGTGCTGTTGTTCCTTCCATACAAAAGAAGACTGGCCCTGTGGCCAAGGAGATGGATGAGGCGGAGGTGGTCGATGGAGAGGACGCACCGAAGAAAGCCAAAGGCAAGAAGCGAAAGGCTGTTGGCGAGGACGAGGAAGACGAGGTGGAGGTCAAGCCTAAGAAAGCTACTCCGAAAAGCAAGAAAGCCAAGGTCGAAGCGGAGCAGCATGATGAAGAGGCAGACGTCAAGTCCAAGAAGGCTACTCCAAGGAACAAGAAATCTCAAGTCAAAGAAGAGCAGCATGATGAAGTGGGGGTAGATGCGGGCAAGCAGGTCAATGTGACGAAAAAGGCCAAGAAGAATACAAAAGTGAAGGAGGAGCCAGCCAACGCGAAAGGCAAGGGTGTTAGTCGTGGCAAAGCTGTAAAAAGCGAACCAGTCAAGGTAGCTGCAGATGACGGCGGAAAGAGAAGATCTGGTCGGCTAAGCAGAGGATAGACTTTGGGATCTCTTCTTGGAAGGATGTCATTGTCTCCTAAGACTGCTGTCGTACTAATATCTGTACTACTACCACCTGAGAAGCGTAGCATAATCTGTATGTGCACATAAAAGTGCTTCTAACTTCTCTGTTTTTCTTCGAACAGAATTTCTGTGCTTCCTCGTACAGCACCTCAGTGCTTTCTCATAATTCATTTCTGTGCTTTTCAGGAAGCCTCTTTAGATCAATATATCAACTGTTGCACGCCTGCAACAAAAGTCACACCAGATCATCCTCACGCCCGGGCGGTCCCCCCATGCGTCCACGTGCAGCCGGTCCGTCGAATGTGGGCTCTATGCCCGTCAGAACAGCCTCTTTATGCTGTACTGATGCAGTCTCGGAAGAGGAGGGGCGATCTTGTGGCTTGACTTCCTCGGCACCATCAGCCAAACCGATTTCCGCGGTGTCGAGCGCTCTTTTGAACGAAGGGATCAAGTTCGTGGCCAGCGGGTATGTGAAGACCAGCACGAAGCATGCGGCAGTCAGCCACCAGGCCTTTGATATGCGGACCGCCTCGACCAGTTGAGCCATCAATGGAGGCTGCAGGGCTCCGCCGGAGATGCTGACGATCATCAAAGTCTCGCATGTCGGCGTCCACTCCTCGTACGATGCGGTCGCGCCCTCAAAGATCATCGGAAAAGACGGCGCTTCGAAGAACATGACCATAACCGCCACAGCAATGGCCGTCTTGCCAGTGACGGCGGTTCCGGCGGCGGTAGTCGCGATAGCACCAGCGATGAAGCATGCCAGAACCCACCGAGGTTTGAAAATCCTGGGGCATGTCACCAGTCCTGCAGCGACAAAGCGACCGATGACGAAAGCAACTTGGGCGATGGACATGCATGTGGCGGCCCAATTGTCGCTGGCGCAAGCGTTGACCTTCATGTGCTCGATAAAGAATTGTGCAAAGGTCACCTGGCAGCCGATATTGACGAAATTGGCAGCAACGCCCCACCAAATGCGAGCATACCGCCACGAGAACAGCGGGTGCTTCCATTTCTTCCAGCCGCAGGAGACGGGCGGCGAAGAGGGGACCTCGACCTCAGGGACCCAAGTTGTGCGGAAGAAGATGACGGCGATAAAGGCCATCAGACCAAAAATGCACCCGCCAAGAGCACGGTAGAAGACAATGACGCTACCGAGGTTGGCGCAGGAGGCATTCTTGTCCTCAGTCGGCATGAGGCATTTGCCCGGGCGGAGCGGGTCCGGTAACGGTGCGCGGGTGGATGTGTCTGGGTTGAAGACGAAGGCGTTGGCCAGGAAGGGTGCCACGACCGTACCGATGCCTGCCCAGGCCTGGGCGATCAAGATGCGTAGGGTCGCCTGAGTGCGTGGACCGCAGTTCACGGCGTATGGGTTGGCGGAACGCTCCAAGGTTGAAACACCAAGACCGATGACGAACATGGCGGCCACCATCCCGGCAAGACTGCAGTTCTGGGCGGCGACAGACATGAAGAGGTCGCCGAGAGCAAGGCCGAAAAGTCCAGCGACCATGGCAACCCTGTAGCCACAGGTTTTGACCAGAGGGCCGCCAATAAGAAGAGCGCCAGGGATATATGCCGCGTAGTAGCCGGCTGCGAGAATCGCGGCCTTCTGGCGGTCGATGCCCATCGCTACTTTAACGTGGTAATTCATGATGTCGAGGAGGCCGTAGGCCAGACCCCACATGCAGAATAGGGAGAGCGATGAAATGGCGATGGGGACAATGGTGTCCCTGCGCCGAATTTCCTTTTTGGGCTTACCATATTGGACGTCGAGCCGCTTGATGCGGTTGAGGAGGTTGTTCCAGGAGAAGTTGAACATTTTGAGTGATGGAGATGGTGCGATATCAGGTTGTATCAGGGCAGCAAAGAGCGTCGTGTATAACGAGGGTGTCAGAAAGAGTGGGAAAAGTGGAAAAGGTGCAAGGAAAACTGGGTTCATGAACATTCTGGAGGAAATTTTATACCTTTTGAACAGGCGGAGGAAGCGTTCATTCCTGTGGGAGCTCCATGGGGAGGACCTGTTGCCTTTTTTCTGCATGCCATAGAAGGTTCTTCGTTCCAATCATTCAGATGACGGCTAGCCACTCACGAGAAGTCCTGGACTCCAGTACCTTGGTTGCTTCAACACACTTGATGCAAGCTTGTCTTGGTTTGAGCAACGAGAGTGGTTATTTTCATCCATACCTGGGGACGACATGCACTTCCGCAAGAAATGGCGTTCATCCGAAGAAGAAGAGGCCATAGAGAAGACATTCCGTGCATCTTGATGCGTTCATGGTCTCTTTGCCTTGAAACGAGGAATGGTGCACAGTACAAACCATGTGTCAAGGAAATGCAGCCTGCACCATGGTATGACCAGTTGAGGCTGACTTAAGGATGATCGTAGGAGGCACAGATACCCTGGGTTGTAGAATGGGTTGAGGTGGTTAGAAGAGAGAAACGTGTTTGGGACACCCATCATGTTGTCGCTTGTAAGGCTTGGCGGCAAGTATCTCGTTTCGGAGGCGGAAGTTGTCATGGACTATCAAACGCTCTTGCTAGCCCAAGCAACCACGCGCTGTTGACGACTCTCTATCCGCGCGCACGAACATAGAATCTTTTTGTCCAGCTCATGAATAGACTTCGGCCCGGATATAGAGTCCTCAATTTTGCGTCAACGGCACCTATCTCAAAGGTGGCATCACTGCCCGCCAGAAATCTCTATATCATGCCTTCAGCCAAAGAATCAGATTCAGGCATGAAGATATTGATGCTGCACGGCTATACGCAAAGTGGTGCCCTTTTCCATGCCAAAACGCGAGCAACAGAAAAGCGCCTGCAGAAAGCCTTCCCCGGAATTTCCTTCAGCTACCCTACAGGGCCACTCCGCCTCAGGCCTAGTGATGTACCAGGTTTTGACCCAGCTTCGAGTGAAGATCCGGACAGCATCGAAGCTTATGGTTGGTGGCGACGTGCAGATACTGCGGATCCGCCAGAGTATGACGGACTTGAGGATGGGCTGCAGACGGTGGCCAAGGTGCTTGAATCGGAAGGCCCATTTGATGGGGTTATTGGGTTTTCGCAAGGAGCGGCTCTCGCAGCTATGGTTGCATCTTTACTAGAAGGAGAATCACGGAAGCAAGCATTCGAGAAGGCTAAGTCACGGTCACCACTCGCAATATCGTTCCCAGCATCATTTGAAAGACTGGACCACCCGCCTCTCAAATTCTGCGCGGCATACTGTGGATTTCGAGCTCCTGGAGAGCGATACCGAGGGTTTTATGAAGACCCTCATATACAGACACCCGTCTGTCACTTCATCGGCAGTCTTGACAGTGTGGTTGAGGAATCGAGAACACAAGCACTGGTCGACGCCACTGGCGGTCCGGAGAAGACACAGGTTGTGACTCATCCAGGTGGTCATTTTGTTCCCAGTGGGAAGCCGTATCTTGACGCTATTGCAGCATTCATCCAGCAGAAAATGTCATCACAAGACCAAAAGAAAGACCAGGAAGAGCGAGTAGAGGACATGGACGTCCCTTTCTGAGAAAGATGGTCATCACTTGTATATTTGGAAAGACTCTGATACCCGCTAGACAGTTCTAGAGCTAGAATTTTGCAAGCAATGTAAAGACTGACTCTTTTCACAATGACTCTCGCGACAATGTTGAGTCAAAAGAAAATCAGATTGTGATGAATTGATACGCAATCTAGAAGGTAGAGAATGATCTGGATCACGTGTGAAAAGTCGTGAGGAAAAGTAGTTTAGCGCGGTTGCCGCCAAGATTGCGCCAAAATCGAGTCTCTCTCGCACACTCCTGCAAGACGATTTCAACCGCCACTCGACCAGCAAGTCGCTCGACCATCACATCTTTATCCGTCTCCTCAGCATCAAGCAACAGCTCAATACACCCTAATCAGCCGATTCTGATTCGAACACACCGTCAAAATGGTACGCACACTTCGATACAATGCTGCAAAGTCCATGACTTCAAATTTGTTCCCCCTCTGCACCTGCTCAGCACACGATCAATTGCGACAACCATCAGCACCAATGCCATCAAGTTCAATCGAAGAATTATAGCTAACAAGCTCATCACAGGTTCTCGCAGTCGATCTCCTGAACCCAACGCCTCAGGCTGAGGCCCGCAAGCACAAGCTCAAGGTACGATCAGGGACATTGAGATGAGGAAAAGAGTCGAAAATCTAACATCCTCGGCAGACCCTTGTCCCAGCTCCTCGATCATTCTTCATGGACGTCAAGTGCCCCGGCTGCTTCACAATCACCACCGTTTTCTCACACGCACAAACCGTCGTTGTCTGCGCCGGCTGCTCAACGGTCCTCTGCCAGCCCACCGGTGGCAAAGCCAGACTCACAGAGGGCTGCTCATTCCGAAGAAAGTAGACGACTCAGCATGGTGTGATATTTGATGGCATATTTGCTTGATAGAAGATGGATTCCCAGGCTTATCACCGATATCACGATGATTCGGAGTTCCGGATATCTTGCAAAAAAGACTTGACACATGGCGGGGAAATGTCATTGTTTTTTTAACGACCAACAGCGTAAAGGATGCTTTTTGTCAACACGCATGGGGGTTACTTTACGAAAAAGTCTTTTCAGCTTGGGATGACGGGCAGAGGCAAAAAGAGTCTGCATGAACATACGCTTCGTTGTTATGTGAGGACGGCAGATCTTGATGTTGAGGAGGCCAACGACCTTGCGTTCAGGCTGGATCATGGTGCAAGATGGATAGTCATGTACTTGTAGTACAGCGGCAAGCAATAAAATCTTCAACAAAGCATATCAATGTTCTTCTCCAGCTATCGTGACTGTAAGCTACTGCAATCTCTTCCATATCATTACACCTGTAGACATTCCCACCGCCCTATTGACCTCGCACATGGCCATCAATGGCCGTCGCCAAATCTCCTGCTTCTCGTAGTCCACATTTCTCATGGGCATGAATCTCCACGCCAGGGCGGGATTGTCGTCCGAATAATGGCTGCTCCCAACTTGTGGACATCGTGGCTGGGCAATGCGCCCTCCAGGAGGACGGTAGACCTCAGCAAATCGTTTCGCCGCCACATAGCGACTTTCGTGTCTCTGCCGTCTGCCTCAGTAGCGAGATGTTAGTTATGTTGAATGATGGGCCGGTAATCCAACGCCTTTCATCCACGCTCCAGTTCGCCCATGATCCTGTTGACAAGCTTCTTCTGCTCTTTCTCCCGTAGTTCGTTCTCGTCCATCTCCCTCAGGCATCGCCCAACGGCACAAATCCCCTTCACGCCAGCCTCGGGACAGTCTACCCAGACTTTGCCATTCCTGCCAACAGCCACTTCAAATCCACCAGGCAGCCTTGATCCAAGGTCGTCCAAAGCTGACACCCCTTGCTTCTTCAACAATCTGTCTGCAAGCCCAGGGCTGACATCGAACACCATACCACCTGTAAGCGGACCTAAACCGTCTGGCTCCGACTTGCCTGTTGACGGATTCATACAACTCAGTTCGATGTCCATGTTTTTCTGCGCTGACACAACTTTGGCATACACAAGATCATTAGCTTTGAGTTGGGGTCTTGTCTTTTTGGTTGCGCCTTCGAATGCCAGTTGTGGTAATATCGCTTGTGGTGAATGTGAGTTGATGTAGAGATGGAAGAAGTCTGTTGATGATGCTTTAAACTGAGCAATCACAAGGTCACCCGCTTTGGGTATGTATCGAGCATCTGGGGTAGCTATTTGTGCGGTCTTCTTGCGGTAGTCAACTTCCAGCAGTCCACCGATGGTGGCTGTGAAGTCATTTGTAGCCGGATCTTGTCGAAGTCCGCGACCTATTTTGCGCTTCTGAGATGTCGGTACTTGATTTGTGGTGATATGATCTCCTGGAAGTAGAAGCTGCATCGTGGCCATTATGATTCAGTGTCGGCCGCTCTGAAAACCCAAGGATGAGGTGGTTTGATGTTTTGGTGTCTGTGAATGGTTGTTCTTGCATTCATTAAAGGAAAAAAAGTCTGGACCAATCGACGACGACAAGGCTGATCTCGGTTAACCTTCCCAATATCACAAATTCCTCCCGCAAGGCTTAAGAAAAAGTTCAGATGAGTTCTCTCAATCCCCCAAACGTGCCTTACACAGTGCACTGCTGTTCAGAGGTTTTTCTCGGCTGCTTAAGTCTTTATCGCGTCAATCCTTGGTGGCTACACGATCGTCGCACCCGAATTTATCTTTGGAACCAGCATGAGCGACGAAACCAATGGGTCCCAAACGGGCTCAACTGAGCATTATGCTATTGGTATCTCCTTCGGCAACTCGTACAGTTCAATAGCACACATCTCTGGTGAAGGCAAAGTTGAGGTCATTGCGAACGAGGAAGGAGACCGACAGATCCCCTCTATCCTTTCGTACATTGACGGAGAGGAATACCATGGCACACAAGCCAAATCGCAGCTGGTGCGAAACAACAAGAATACGATTGCATACTTCAGAGACTTCGTTGGAAAGGACTACAAGTCGATAGACCCTACACCTTGTCATGCCTCCGCACACCCTCTCGAGAGCGACGGTCAGATTGTCTTTTCAGTGCAAGAGAAGGAAGATGAGGAACAATCCAAAATCCCTGTCTCGGAGGTTACCACGCGGCACCTACGCAGGCTGCAAAACTCTGCGGCTGACTTCACTGGCAAGACCGTCAATGCGGCTGTTGTCGCCATCCCCACAGATACCAATGAAGAGCAAAAGGATGCATTAACAAAAGCTGCTGCCAACATCAAGGTGGAAATCCTGCAATTTATCCCTGAGCCTATTGCCGCTCTACTAGCATACGACTCTCGGTCAGAGGCTGCCACCACCGCCGATAAGACTGTGATCGTCGCCGACTTTGGTGGTACGCGATCTGATGTTGCGGTCATTGCTTCAAGAGGAGGAATGTACAGCATTCTTGCAACTGCGCATGACTATGAACTTGGTGGTGCACAATTGGATCAGGTCCTGGTCGACCACTTTGCAAAAGAGTTTGAGAAGAAAAACAAGACCGATCCCAGGAAGAATGAGAGAAGCCTGGCCAAGCTGAAGCTTGAGTCAGAGGCCGTCAAGAAGACCCTCAGTCAGAGCACCAGTGCAACATTCAGCGTGGAAAGTCTTGCAGACGGTATTGACTTCAGATCTACAATCAACAGAAGTCGTTATGAGATCATCGCGCTCAAGACATTCGGCCGCTTCGCTCGTCTGGTCGAGGAAGTCATCAAAAAGGCAGATCTTGACGTGCTCGACATTGACGAAGTCATTCTATCCGGCGGCAGTTCGCACACGCCGAAGATCGCTAGCAACATCGAGGCACTGTTCCCCGAGACGACGAAAGTTTTGGCACCCGCAACCACTCCTTCCGCACTTAACCCGTCCGAGTTGTCCGCAAGAGGAGCAGCTCTGCAAGCCTCTCTGATCCAAGAATTCGACAAGGAAGATATTGATCAGTCTACACACGAGATGGTTACTGTTACGCCACACCTGACAGCCGCCATCGGCTATCAATATACCGGCCAATCCTCCGACGCATTCACCGTCATCATCCCGCCAGCCACGGCAGTCCCCGCACGGAGAACCCAAGTCATCGAGGGTCTCCAGGGTGATGTTCTCATCCGCATCACTGAAGGTGAGCGTGAGATTAAAGTCACCAAAGAGGAGCCGAAGGCGAAACCGGATACAAACGGCACCAAGGAAGACGATGATGAGGACGAAGATGACGAGGATGATGAGGATGACGAGCCCGAGGAAATCCGTGAGAAGATCTGGAAAACCACGCAGCCGCTTGCAGAGTTCGTCCTCAAAGACCTCAAGAAGGGCTCGAAGGTGGAAGTCATGGTCAACGTCGATGCTGATATGTCTTTGTCAATTACGGCTCGACCTGTCAAAGGGCAAGGCGGTATCAGAGGAGAAATCAAGGCGAAGGCGACGACTCAGAACGGCAGTGCTTGAATCGCTTCTCGCTGAGTAGCATGGCGTGGCGTGATGATACTTGGTTTTTCCTTGCAGGCGGAATAAAAGAATGCACTGTTTTTGTATGGCTATGAACATAGACGGTCATGATACCTACGGATCAGGATCGGTGTGAGCTGCATTGGCTCAATTGCTCGAGAATACAATATCTCATACAATGTGCGTACAGTCTCTCATATCCCATCTTGCCTCTCAGTGATACCTTGACTGGATCGTTTTCGACCATCAATACTAACACACTCCGTTCTTGAATGCAACCACGCTTCCCCATTTCGAAAAATACAGTGTCGCGAGCTTCTTAAGCGCCTTGCCCTGATGCCCCAGCACCGGTCGCCGCCTGCTCAGGGTCAATTCGCTCAGCAACCCTCTCTTCACGACTCTTCCTCTCGGCAAAGAGTGCAAGCAATCCCAAATCATATGTTGCCTTCAGTGACCCAGCTGCAACGAACGCAACCCAGAAGAGATTATGAGTGCCGAGAATACCAGTGATGACGGGACCCAGACTCTGCGCGCACGTCTTGACCACGTTGATTGTACCCATAACAGCAGTCCGCTCATGCGGCAGAACGATAGCAGCCAGGAACGCGGATCGCGGCGCAACGTCCATGACCTGCGTACAGGCTCGACCGATCAGGAAGACAAGCGCGCCAGCTAGCGTCGAGGGAATGGGTATCAGAGCCAGACAAATCGCTGACGGGAGGTGGGTGAAAACCATGGTCTAGAAGCACCCATCAGGTCAGCATAACCCAAGCGTGACCAAGCCTAGAGCGCGAAGGCTTACCTTGACATTGCCAATCCTCTTGGAGATAGACGACGCGACGAGCATAGAGATGGCAGATATGACGCCGGTCACGGAGAAAATGGACCCGAGTCTCCCCTCGGACAGGTCGAATCTGCGCTTGAAGTAGAACGTCACCCAAGACCTGCTCGATGCGTCAGCTATACTCTGTCCGACAAAACGTATGCAGCAAGATGGTGGTGGTACTTACACCGGTGCAAGTCCGCTCGCAAAATTGTCGAACGCAAACAAAATACACAACTGCACAAGCACAACTTGACTCTCCTTGCTGATATCCGGCAACAATCTCCAGCGCTTATTCTTCTTCGCATCGTCTTTTCGTGGACCGTCTCCAAGCAGTGGCGCCGTCTCACTCGGATTAGCAGTCTTCGGCTGAGCATGAACCTCACATTCCTTGCTCAATAACAACGCAAGCCCCAACTTGACGATACCAACAGCTGTGTAAACGAAGTAAATGATCCGGTAAGCGCGTATGTCACTGAAATGCTTCTCGTCGCGCAGGAACGTGATGATCCAGCCTGACGCGATGAAGCCGAGTGCTGTACCGGCAGTTCCGATCAGAGAGTACCATGCGTAGATGTCGCTGCGGTCGCCGCTGGCGGTGAGATGGGCTAGGGTTGACTCTTCGATCGCTCGGAATGGGCCGATTTCATTGCCACTACAGGCTTCATTAGTCATGTCCCACTGCCTCCGGAGGCCTCATTTACTGGGTGGATTGAAGGGGATCCTCACCTAGGACTAATGACACCGACAATAGCACCAGCAAGTAAAATCCAGTAATTTCCGCTCAGGCCGAAGACGACGCCTGCAACGCTCATCAACGCTGCGCCCAACACCAGAATCCAACGACGGCCCAATTGGTCAGCAATCTGTGTCAGGGTCCAGCTGATGAAGACGTCGCCAACGAGCGTGAGTGTCATGAACAGCCCGATTCGCTCATCTGAGATGCCCAGGGCCGAGAGGTACGATGCCAGGATCAATGTTGAGCCGCCATACGCGAAGAGCCGGACAAACCGCTGCAGAATGAGGATCTTGGTGTCTGTTGATGCGTGGAACAGTGTGATCAATCCAAGTTCTCGCAGAAAGGCTTTGAACGGTCGAAGGATCTTTGAGGAAGTGCTGGTATTGCCCTCGCCCTCTTCCGCGTGAGTGTCCGCCATATTTGTCACTCGGCTTCTGCGCACAAGATTCTGTCAGTTGTCTGGATATTAGAGAACCCTAAATTCACGTACGGTGTATTCGGTGTATTTATGACAAAAGATGAGGAATCGTTTCAAGTTTACACGCTCGCTCGGTCATATCAGGTTGCTCGGCTTTATGTGAGCGTAAAAGTGGAGCGCACAGTGACATACATTTTAAAGACGACTGGATGAACAATCATATGTATTCATTCCTTGCTTATGCTCTTGTGGTCGTTCTCGTACACTTTCATGCTCTCACTATGCCCTTCTCATCCTCCTTTCGTTGACCCTATTCCTCCTCCAATTGGCACCCCGTATTCCTCCCCACGTAACCCGTATTCCTCCGTTGGTGACCCTGTTTGACTCCCTACTCAGACTCTTCGTCTCTAGCGTCGTCGGTGCTATACTCTCTCACAGCAGATTCTTCTGCATCCAATTCCTCGTACGCCCGGTCAAACGCCGCATCAAAGTCCGCGTCGTCTTGGTTTTCTTCGGACGACACCTGACCGTCTTCCGAGGCCTGCCTCGCTGCCCTGGCGGGGGCATTCATTGCCAGTTGGTGCAATTGTTCGACACTCAACGCAGCTACTTGACCTAGCGCTGTCGAAGTGAACCCAGCAGGCACTCCTGGCTGGACCGGGGCCGCCGCCGGGACAGTACCTGGTGCTGGTGCCGCATTGGCCGCCGCGTACGCCAGGTTTGGCACGTTCATGGGGGAGGGATTGACGGTTGGACCGCCACCAGCAGCGAGACCGGCAAAGGGGTTGACGCGGGCACCGCCACCAGCAGAGAAGACGGTGGGAGGATTGAGGCCTTCTGGCCGCCTCAGACGTGACTTTGGTTTTTTGAGTATTCGCTTGGGAAATTTAGGCAACGACTCGCCGTCTTCAGCAAAACCCAAGCCAGGAATCGACGCCGGAGGAGATGGTGGTGGTCGTGGGGCTGATGGGCCAGCTGCCGTGCTGTTGAACCCCACAACGCCATCAAGGACCCCTGCTGCGATCAAAGCGGCAGGGTCATATTCCTCTATCTCGGTGGCCGAGTACTCGTTTACAGGCTGATAAGCTCCCGCCCCTCCAGTCACCACCACGGCATCACTGTCATTGAGCAAGGTGTTCGTCTCATCGTTACCACCTCCGAGACCACTGATGGTGAGGTAGGCGTCGTCCAACTCGCCTCTGACCTGGTCCAGTTCTTGTCGAAGACCTTCATTGCGACGCCGATGGTCCTCAGTCGTTGCCTGGAGGACGCCGTTCATAGCGGTCTGGGCGCGCAACGTGGCCGTCTCGGTTTCGAGCTGTTGGATCCTGGCGTTCCCGTCGTTGGCATTCTGTCTCAATTGAGCCAATGCAGACTCCTGCTCATTGCGAGCTTGCTCGAGGCGTTGACTTCGAGTTCTCTCCTCCTCCAATGCCACCTGTGCCTCTCTGACACGAGCGCCTTCCTGGTTGACACCATTGACTGTCATGCTGTTGATGTTGGCATTCTGTTGCTGGATGACCTGTCTCTGGCGATCGATCTCTATGTCACGGTTCCCAACGTGTTGGTTGAGTTCTGCAATATGACGATCCTTGTTTTGCGTCGACGTAGTAAGTTCATTGACTTGAGACTGAAGATTACCAACGTGTTGATTGATTTCTGCAATCTGACGATCCTTGCCTTGCGTTGATGTGGTAAGCTCATTGATTTGAGACTGAAGATTACCAGCCTGTTGAATGAGTTCTGTGATTTGACGATCCTTGCCTTGGGTCGACGTGGTAAGTTCATTGATTCGAGATACCTGCCCTTCAAGGGCCGTCTGGTAGTCACGCAGTGTGTCCGAGCTTCGCTGTAGTTTCAATGATTGCTGTTGAATCGTGTTCTCAAGACCCAGCAGAGCAGTGTTTTCATCTGGAGTAACGCCTTGAGCAGTATTACCATCTGGAGTAACGCCTTGAGCAGTGTTCTGAGCTGGAGTAACGTCTTGAGAAGCGAGCAGTTCAAGCATGTGCTTCTTATGGATTCGCACAAGCTTAGCGTTACGAGCTGTACGCTGTTCTACTGACTTTCTGAATAGTTCTGCCGACTTTCTGAAAATGCTGACGCGTGGGTGGAGAGGTCGCACCGTCCTCAAACGTTCGGAGCGAGGCTTGTGTCCCTGAGTGTGCTTCCTAATAATGGTGACAGGTTTCTCTGTGACTGGTTTGGAGTCTTCGCCAGGGGATTTGAAATGTGTGATGACAGGTTCAGGCTTCTTGACGGCCACAGAAGCATACCTAGCTTCAAGTCGTTGCTGCTTCTCTTGTATGTCAATCAAGCCCGAGTGGACCTTGTCATTGATTTCCTGTTCGTTCTTTGCGCGCAATTCGGCGTCTTCACGTTTTGCCTGTTCGCGTTCCAGTTTCTTCTTCAGTGAGTGAACATCTTGACGGAGTGATTTGTTTTCTTGCTCGACGCGAAGATGGAGTTGGTGGTTCACCGGAGACAGATGTTGTGGATTCGGTGTTTGAAGCGTTCCACTACCGGGAGTATATGGCACCTGAAAGTTGTTGGGTTGAGCAGGGGTTGCCATGAGGTTGGGCGTAAAGCTGTTCAGTGAGGATGTTCCAGCGTCTGTTGGCATGCGGCTGTGGCTTCGTGTCTGTCGAGTTTTCAGAGTCGGTTTCTGAAATGCCATTTGGATAGGAGCGATGAATGCGTCTGCGAGAACAGGCCCAGCACAATCCTGGGCAAACCACCATAGGTAGTCTCGGAGAAAGCACACGACGGATGTGCAGAGCGTCGGCCAAACATGCTCGCCGAAAGGTTCGAGGACGTATTCCCGAGATGCTTGTGAGAGCCAGAAGAATGCACCGTGGAGGCAGCGATATGAAGAGATTGAGAAAGCCATAACTCCTGGTGCAATGATTGCAATGACTGCACAGATGCAATGCAGTGCAGAAATAGAGAAAGTGACGATCCTTGACACGAATCTGGAGATTGGTGGTGCAATGACTGCGTAGAGTTTCCCAAGAGCCGTCTTGAACTTCGTCCAGAGCGACATCTTCGTTTCGATGAGTATGTTCGTAAGAGGTATGAATTCATAATCTGGTTCACTGGAGAAGATGACGTGTCCGATGAATGAGAACAGAAGGCGTATAGCAAACAAGGTCCGAATCAACATTGTTGGAATGGACAGGACAAGTTCTTGGTTTCCTTTCCGACTCTTTCTTCCAGCCTTCATACGAAGTTGTCTTCTCTTATGTTGCCGTAGCCAGAGTGCGCAGGTCAAAAGGACGAAAAGAAATGTGAAGACAAAATACCCAAGCAGGAGCCAGCGCAACGGGCTTGTATCAACGAAGCTGTGGAATTGCACTTCTTCAGGAAATTCTCGGTATGGGCCGGTCATGGTGGGTGCTGTGATGTATTCCAGGGTCGTAGCTGGTGCTAGAATTGTGGTGACAGTCGTTGGTGTGGCTGTATGAGTCTTGTGGACTATTTTGGTGACATATTGAGTGACTGGAGGAGGCGCAGGAAGGGTCAAGGTTTCGCGGAAGAAGTGTGTTAAAGAAGTGAGTTTGAGATTGAGCAGAAACAAACAGTCGTCCGCCTTTTGCTGAACCAACAGCATGACCGCCGCAAGGGCACTGATCATGGTGTTGAAGCCTGCCATGGCGAATGTCTAGTAAGGAACTATGATCTCTCGAAGGTATGTTGTTCTGCAAGAGTGATGAGGAGGAGTGTAAGTTTGATGAGGAGGAAAGATGTGACATGATGGTTTTTGCCTCGCAGTGATTATACCGCAGGCAGGTATGCCCCTTGGCGGAGGAGACAAGGCGGTCGCTGGGGAATTTGAGGCAGTGAATTGGTTTCCCTCTCTGCTGTTCACGCTCTTCTCAGGCAGTGGTGCGGCAGAACTAGAGTATGCTTCGCCAAGTCACAACGCAAGATGCTGGCCGTTTCGCAGCCACAACAATATGTATACCAGAGCCTCGATAGGTGAGTCGACATTAAGCAGCGAGGTAACAGCTGCGCAACCAAGACGGTAAGTTTTCCATCTGTTTTTCGCTCCAGTAGGTGCCGCATTGTGGGGGTATTCTTTGTGGCTCCTTTGTGTACGAAGACAAAGAGGCAGTTTTGCTTTTGCCAATCTATGCTCGGATAGCGCATACGCTCCTGTGAAGATGAAAGGCTTTTGGGAGGTCGAGGATCCATTTTCGCCTTGGATCTGGCAGTAACGCAGCCAAAGACGCTTACTGGACTACCACCAAGTCTCGCATGCTGCAGAGGGTCCGCAGAAAACCAATCCAACGTCTGTTGAGGTGTGTAGCCAGAAAGAGCGATAAGATGTCCCCGAGCTTTTCTCATCATGATGGCAGCGCAGCGTCCTCGTGCCGACTCGGGTCCGGTGCTGGAATGGCCGCTGTGCGCAAGGCACAAGAGCCGCAGCACGACATCGTTGCACGCAGCCGAGGCTGACAGCCTGGGGGTAGACCAGCTCCCTGGTGGACACTCGAGCAAAGAAATTTGCTTGAGTCTATCCGCAGGCAATCCAAGCCATATCAAGCACCTCACGACCGAGTCCCAAGGGGGCAGACGCCGAGGGGATGGGTTCCATGGCTATCAGCCAGAGAGGCCGAGTCGACTACCAGTCAAGCACAACGGTCATCCACTCCACAGTTCGCACTGTAGCAGCGAGAGCTTCCATGACTTGCTGTTCTGTGTTGGCAATGAAGCACAGAGAGTGTTGTCAAGAGAAGGTGGCAGTTGTTGTGCCGGAGATGAGGTGAGTTGTGGAGAAGGCCTCTCACGTGATACCACGTGCGTGACCAGTACTTCAGCCTCGTCATCGACTACGAGTACATTCAAATCTGATCTTGGGCACTTGCGTTGTATTAAGATCTCAACTTACCATGAATGCAGACAGTTCTGGAAATGACGGACCAGATATGTCAAGAGTCTTTGCTACCCGCCCGAATCAGAGATTTGCTCGACGCCAACACCAGCACCACCCCAGGCGATGACCTAGACCTCTTTTTCCACTGCTGGACCAAACCACACTGTCCAGCATGCTTGTCATCTTCGAATCCGTATCCATGCTCATGGTGCGGGACATCACAGACGTGTGTGCCGAACACAGTCTTCCAGTATCCGTTCGGCATTCTCGTGCCAATCAAGACTGACGAGATATGCCCACTGGGCTGGCGCGAGCGATGGGAACTACGTGCCCGCCCCTTCAGTTGCCGGTGCTCAAGCATGACGTTTGTCAGCGTTGTCGTTGCTGTGCTGGGCACCCTCGTTGGTGTGTTGCTGATATGGTTGGCGGCCCTCCTCGGCAGATGGGCTGGACGGAGATGGAGAGCACGCCAGAAGGATTGGTGGAGAGTGCGGAGTCGGACTCCCAAGTGGATGCGGAGACGTCAGCGTCAAGAGGATGCTACAATGACGAGCGGTGCCTATCGGGCGCTACAGCGCAACATTCAGAACCGTAACGATGAGAGAGCGCCGTTGCTCGCCGGATCATGACTTTGAAGCCGGCCTGTCTATGGTCTAAGGCGTTGGATTGTTCCCGGGTACCCGCCACCCACGTCCTACAGGTTGTTACAACGACTACACCCTGGCTCTGGCGCACGCGAGTATCAAGCCGACCCTTCCTCAGCCAGGCCACTGCCCTTGCAAACCTGGCTAATTCGGTATTCAACCTTCAAGTCGCCCTCCTCAAGTACAAATCTTCCCGCGCCAACGAACACCCCCTGTTCTAGCGCCTTGTATCGCATCGACCCCGTCTCGAATGTCACATGGATAACTTCTGAGCGTTAGCGTTGGCACCAACAAGGAACACAGACTGTTATTGAAATCCTGCCATCTGCCGAGACACGGGGGATTGGGGTAAACGTACACGCGTGCCCATACTCCGTCGACCTCGCATTCTCACTCCGGCCGAGAATCCGACGCATATCAGCATTGATATCAACGATTCCCGTGTAATGCACGTGGATCGTCTATGCGCATCGACACAATCAGGTCAGTCCCAGTACCCATGCCAGACGGTTCAGCTTGACATACCTCCCCGTTGTCGTCCCTGTCAAGAGAAACACGATCAGCCTTACTTGTACCCGACTTAAGCAAACGGAAGCACAACCTACGCCATGACCAAGTCAGTCCGTAACCGCATCCTCCCGCCGTCCGGGTCGGTATGAACGTAATCAGCGCCGTTGCCTCTCATTGATGCGTCGACACGGACTGGGTACCCTGGCTCAGATACCAATGTCCCACCCACGAGTGGCACGACTGTTAAGGGCGTCCCTCGTGACAATGAGCCCACGACGGTTGGGGACCACGTGCCGACGCGTAGGTGCAAGGCTGGTTGCAGCGACGGGTAGTCTGTCGCCGTAGTTGTAACAGGCTCTGGGACTGTGGTAGATGAGGGAGGTTCATCAGCGGTATTAGTGGTTGCCATGATCGAACAATAACATGTTCCGCTACTCCAGGTACTCAGCGATGGGAGCCGCAACTTGTCATCTCGGCGATGCGCGAATTTCGGTGTTAAATCATGAATAGTACCATTGTAATATGGAGACACGACGGTGACTCTGCAAAGCATTTCGATCGAGAACTCGGTGTGCATCCCCCCGCAATGATCGACGGCTTGGAGGCTTCTATAGCTTACCCCGCAAGCACCTACAGTAGCCATTATACTCGTACTCATCAATGGGTAACAAGTGATATATAAGGCACAGAGAATGCCATTTAATTACCGTAAACCCTCATAGCATCGTTATATTAGCGTAAGTCGTGGAATGGTATACATGATCGGGCCACCCCCTCATCATCATCCAAAGTCCTGCTCAATATCCTCATCAGGTTTCGTATGCACGAAAGCACGCTTGATGAAAGTTTTCCATAGATGATTCTTCATCGTCTTCGACTTCCCTTTTTGGTGCCTCGTTAGCGTTGCAGGATCAGACTGCTCAACACTCAAGTCATCTTCGACGCTTTTCGTATCAGGACTGGCCAAGGTCTCCCGCCCTATCCTCTCCGCCAGATCTAGCCACGACCTGACTGTCAAGTCTTTCATTCCATAGATGTCGTCGTTGGTCGTATATTCCACGTGATATTCAAAATGTTTATCTGGGTCCGCTCCCTTCTTGTCCTTCCCGATCTGTTCATGTATTTTGGTCAAATTGGCATAGAGCTGCGTGTAAGAGATCATGGAAAGCGGTTGAGGCGAGTACCCTGGTCCCGGAGGTGATGATTTTGATGGTGGTTTCGGCACGTGGAAGCCGGGTTTCTTGGGCTTCTTCTTTTTACCTTTCTTTTTCTTTTTCTTCTTCATATCGTGCATCTCTCCCGATGATTCCTCTTCCAGTTCGGCTTCATCATCGTTTGAGAACACATCTTCAAGCGCATCCACCACGTCAAGATCCGCCATCTTAGCAGGCGTTCCTATCACACCAATGGCTGGATGATGATCCTCCAACCCGGTGATGTTGTACTCGACAATGCGGAGGGTAGGAAAGAAGTTTGGAACCACACTTGGCGACACCAGTGTGAGGCTGTACCGTTCTCCCCACTCCCCACCAATGGCTTTGAGGAATTTTCGATACTCTTTTTCGTCATCCTTCCGCTTCTTCCCTTTCTTTTTAACGTCAACTTCATCGTAAGACATTGACTGCCCGTATGTGTACCCATGAGGTGGACTCGGTAACTCGGACCATTCGTTTCGCAACTCGTTTAGATATGTTGCCTTGGCAGCCATGGTGAAGTTCTCAGCGTTGGTGTCGGGCACAGATGTTTCTGACCGCGTCACATCCTCGTTCATAATACGTTCGAACTTGAAATCGTATTTCAAGTCTTTCTCATCTTGAAACTTGAAATGATCAAGGTTCATGTGGCCAAACGTCGAAAATATCACAACGTCCCGATATTGCCGCAACCATAAAGTGTATTTTTGATAGCAACTCTCATCCCAACTCTGTTTACTTTCCGTCCTCGCAGGTGGTACGTGACCTGTCAGGATGGCTTTCATGCCTCGTTGCCGCAAGAATTGAAGTTGAATGCGCAGCCACTCCATATGCTCGTAGCCCGGTTCCGACTTCAGATCACAGCCATCGACCGCCGAATTCGAGTCGAAGAAGTACAACGTGTTGAGGCTGAAGACTGCCAATTTGCTTGGTATGACCTCCGTAAAAAACCACCCTCCTCTTGCGAAAGAGTGTCTCTGCGCTTCCGGCACAAATTTGTTCCAAATACTCCAGTACGCACGCGTCCACTTATTCGGGCCGGGAGTGAAGATGTTGTGAGGAAGGATGTCGTTGTTCCCAAAGGTTGGAACAATTGGAACGACAAAATCATTGGTAGGGTCAGGATCGTCGAGGTTGTCGGGCTTGCCAAAGACTTGGACAAATTTGTCCACCACAAATCTGTTCAGCTTGATGACCTGTTTATCCGACCGAGGGATCTCTTCATCGTTGTCGTGTCGAGCCGAGTCACCGGTCCATACAACAAAGTCAACCTGGTCTTTGAGATTCTCTTCGATCCAATTGAAGGTCGCGTTCACCAGTGTAAAGGGCGTGTCACACTCGGTCACCTCGGCACCATAGTAACCCGCTTGACCTTTGCCGTGGTGACAGGCCTCTCCAGGATCGGAGCCAACTTCGTAAAAGGGATCGGGGTGGATGTCTGCAGAATTTTTTTGTTAGTGTTGCGCGCAGGACCTCAAGCTCAGTCTTGTGTACCTGTAATGTGCAGAAATCTGCCCTGCAATTTTCTGGGTTTAGGCTGCGCTTTGGATGGCGGCTTTATGACAGCCTGTTGAGGGTAATGCTTGTTTGACAACAAGTCCGGAGGCGCTGCTGCTGTAAAGGCCGCAAACAACAGCAGGCCGCCGGTAAAGCGAACCATTTCAAGAAGGGGGTAGTTGCAGCATTGACAGCATGAGTAGTGACCCGACAACACGCAAGAAACCGTTTCACAGTACGGATTTGCGACTGGTAAAGACTGGCTGGTCGAACGAAAGAATGTGGGATGAGGCAGGCAGCACACTCAGCATGCGCAGTTTGGTGGCAGATGACGGCCCCGTAGGGTGAAGTCGATCGAATAGTCCTCAATCTGTGCACGAATGAGAAGCGATAATTTGCGGAGGGTTTTTCCGCAAGGATTTTCCAGGCACCTTCTTCGGGCCTTCGGCACCAGACGAGCGCCTAGAGACCAAAATCTGGAGCTTTTCCCCGACGAGGCAAAGGAAAGAGAAAACCCCCCACGATTTCAGGTCCAGCCGAGGTTTCTCCAATACCGCACACAGCACAGAACGAATTGCTGGTAGGATGCCAAAGCGAAAATACAAGGTCGAATATTGGGAGTATGAGGTCTCAACATTTGAGTCGATCTGTTGACAATACTCGTGTGACATCCTTATAGATAATTTGACTGCATCGTGCGTGCCCCATGGAACAAGCGCACAATCCACAAACTTGATCTTGCGATTCAACGCTGCCAAAGCCAATAAGCTTGGTCCAGTCCTACACGTGTGTCCTCAGATGACGGGACTGCCACCCTCCTTCAGCAGGGCTGACAGGCCACTTTGCCTATCAACGCTTGAGGACAAAGGACGATAATGGCTTGGTATGGGGGCCGGTGGCCTTTTGCATGGGATATATCGTTTTGTGGTGCCTTCCGACTAGATCCACGCGACGTCCGACACGCGACACATTGCAGAATCCATAACCAGACATCTCTTATAATAAATCCTCACTTCCGGCCACCAAAAAATTCGTAGCTCCGTCGTGGCAGAGAGCCTGGTGGCAGTGGGTAATTCGACCCCATGTGATATTCTTCCGGTGGTGTCAGCATTGGCTGAGATTGCTGGCCGTGCTGGCCCTTGAGGTCTTGCTTAATTGGAGGACTGGGAAGTTGAGGCAAGGCAGCGCCATCGTGTGTATACTGATTCGGGTTCGTCCACACGCCGACTCCAGTATTGTTATAACCCGTGTTGTTGTTGTTGCTGCTGGCGGTCGTGTTGGGTGTATTCGAGTATTGAACCGGCTTGACATCCATCTGTCGGCTTTTCAGACGTGAGAAGAGTACTGCTGACTCTTGTTCAAATTTCTCGCGCATCTGTGGCATAGCCCAGCGATGTCGAGCAAAGTCCAAGATCTCGATGATCTTGCGTAGGAAAATGGTTGCACGTTGTCCATTGTCCAACGGTACGTTGTTTGTAACGGGGGATCCTTCTCGAACGGAGTGCGACGTCTTCAACAGGCGGTCGAAATCCGACCACATCACCTCCACAAACTTTTGTCCAACGTACTTGGCCCGACAGATATCTGCGTAGGTCAAGTATGCATGCCATGTCACATCCTGTGTAATAGGCTGTAACAACTCTGCATATTGAGACGAGTATTCAAACACGAGCTCTTTGTTGAGGTCTGTCATATTACTGGCAGGGACCCTCTGATTGGGTGATACGACCAAAATCTGGCAATACAACCTCTCCAGGTTAAAGAGCATGACATGGCGCTGTGACAGATTGGGTGGAATCGTGGAGTACCATGCGTGTATGTCATTGGATACGGAACTAGCATACGTGGCTGCTGTTGCAAGGGGCCATTGGGTGCGCGAAGACCATCGCGTCGTCTGATAAAACGCGGATTGTACTCTGCGAATGTCGAATAGGAACAGTGACGGCCGGGTGGAGCGGAGGAAAAGATTGGATGGCGAACCATCTGTCGCCGACGTGGGAAGCGGTACTTCGGAAGCCGAGTCGTCGGTGAAGGAAAATGCTCGATCCAGAGACATACTGACCAAGCGGTCGAGGGCGTAGGTACAGTAGAATATTCTGCGTCGCAGATCCAATGCGCTCTTACTGATCTTCAACTCGGCTGGTGGTTCACAGTGAAGGCCCAAATCAACCATAAGGCGCGAAGCCATACCAGCAAGGTACCAGCTGTCAAAGTGAGCAGGGTCGACCAAAGCATATTGTACAAGCAGCAGAAGTGCTTGTAACCCGGCTATCGATCCCGGGTGAAGAACGTAGCCTGCCAAGCTACGAGCAGCCGTCATGTGCTGTAGGGCGGTCTTGTCGTTTTCGTCACCTCTTCGTTGAGAGCAAGCAGCGTAAGCGATGGCCAGGATGAGTCGCACATTCCAAACATCAAGAGGAGAGACAGACGACCCTCCGCCTGACGATTCATTGTAAATGCGCGAAAGGCTACTCATCAGCTCCGTCTCGGAGAAGAACGGAAAGAGGACGTAGATATTGTCCATATAGTGACTGATCATTGGTGTGATGGCATATCTCGGTGGGAGACCGCGTGTTTCGGTAGGAGGCAGTTCATCCCTTGTGGCGGCAGAAAGAAGCAACTTGGCGAAAGACACGGTAGAGGTGAAGCCGTGGAAGTCTCGAGAGGTAGCGTTGACCGTCAGAAATCCAAAATCGCTGACGAGTTCGTCTACGTCGGATGCCTCCTTGCGCCGTGTGCCACTGATCCTCCTGGGTGGTTGTTGCCTTTGCTGGCCCGGATATGAGGCTGACGAAGGCTTCTGACTGGCGATTTCGGCTCTGGCACGCTCTATTTTCTTCTGAAGTCTTTGAGCAGCGGCCTCCAGGGCAGCAACATAACTTCTTTCCTTGCCACGAGCAAATTCATCGTTGGCGCTTGTACAACTGCTGCCTTTGCCAGAACGCTCACAAGCGGAACAGGCGGGAAGTTTTCCATCACATTTTATCTTGGCTGAGCGACATCTCGCACACGCCGCAACAGGTCGAGAGACGCGTAATGAGGGCGCCAGAAGAGCCTCAACGGACTCCGTCTTCGCCATTGAATTCCGCGCACTTGAGCACCAGCGATTTCTTCACCGCACTGGGCGGCCTTTCACCTTGGTCGGACTACAGTTTTGCGCGACTCAATGCCGTTGCCGCATGACTGGGCCGCCGGGTAAACTCGCCACACAGTTAGCTGACTAAAAATGTCAACACCTCACCATTGACGAAGACGGGGAACTAGCAGCAATTCTGTTCTGGTGATGGAGTCTGGGAAATGCCAAACACTTGTGTCTTTGTGATGAAACAAGTCGGCTTTGATTGATACCAGTCAGCGAAGCGAAGGTTTTGCCTCGCTTTCGATCGGCCGGCAGATCCCACCATCAGCAGAGGAGAGAGAGGGCTGAGAGGGGTACGCAAACTTCATCGGCGTGTTCGGCGTGCTTCCTTGGATGATCGGCGGTCAAGCTAAGTGCAGACGACAACGATCCCGGGCACTCGACATGATGTGCTTGAACTTGAAAGGGTGCGCGTTGTGAGACCCATGTTGCAAGATCCAATGATGAGAGAGCCTAGAGCCGTTACTTACAGTAGCTTATCCGGTTTCTTTCGTGAAGCCTAAAACGCCATCGTAAACGCCGCCACTGAAGTTCAAGTACCTTGCCTTGGTAGGTTGCCCCTCTGTGCCCTCCCAGAGTACCTATTGGATACTCGTCGTTCAACTTGCTTTCCTGATCAGCGCTCACCTGAACAAGCCTTTTCCGTTGCCCAAGTTGAGCAGGATCTAGAAGCAGGACAGCCCCGGCCCAGAGTCCACCACCACCACAGATTACGCGCAGTCTTTAGCTTGGCCATCCACGGCCGTCAAATGCAAATTCTCCTGTCTCTCTAAGTTACTCCATACGGCCGCTTACGCTTCACACGCTTCACTCTTCCGAAGCTTCTTCGGCTGACGGACGCTTAGTCTCTGTTCGCCATTTACTTTTTCCGCGGTTAAGCCCTTGCAGATCCCATTCAAGACATGCCTCAACCAAATCCAATGCATGACGACTACTGACCTTCCCCACGCTGGGCTGCCTCGGCCATGCTGCAGACGATGAAGAGATTCATTACCTCAGTCACTACTGCCAGTCCTTAAAGCCATTGAGGATCCTTACGACCATACGGCTGGCCTTGATGGCAGACGTTGGAAATGCCACAATGGCTGATTCGCCGGAGACGGTGAAATCACGAGACAAAGTCCATCATACTGTGACCGCTTGCGTGAGATGTAGACAAGTGTGTTTGTCCCGTCGCACTCTCAAATCGTTATATCTAACAACGAGTAGAGGAAGACACGATGCGACCCGACCCTGCCCCGCTGCGAGCCCTGCGAGAGAAGTAACGCCCATTGCGAATATTACGACTCGGCCAAAAATCGGACCATACCGCGGACATACATCACCTCTTTGCAAGAGACGGTCCGTCGACTGAATGAGGAGTACAAGGCACTGGAGAAAGAGGACGACTACGAACCTGACCATGAGTCCATGGCGCGGGCCGCAGGTCTGGTGAGATTCACTGAGAAGGATGAGTGTCGATTCTTGGGCCCATCTAGCGGCATTGCCATCACGCGCTTCGTGATGGAGTTTGCGAAACAGAACTCGTCCCGGAGAATGATCAAGGATGTCGTACCACATCATGCCGCCCAAGAGATCAAAGACAAGTTCGACGCTGAGAGCAGTAAGCCCACCTCCAAGGTGTATCCTCTCATTAGTTCGGTGGCCGCACCTGATCTCCCAAACCGAGAACTCATGGAACGCTTGGTTTCAATATACATGGTCAAGGCCCAGTACATGTTGCCGCTCCTCCACGAGCCTTCGTTCCGTCGAGACCTCGAGACCGTATACAACGGCACGGCTGATACGACCCTCAACTTTCAAGTCCGTCTAGTCGTCGCGATCAGTATGCAAAAGCTCGATAAACAATACGCTGGTCTTGCCGACAGTTACTACCTGGCGGCGCTACCTTTTATGCCGGGTGCTGTTGAGAAAATGGACCTGTCTACCTTACAATGCTTTGCGCTTATTGCGCAATACTCATTGCTAACCCCCACAAGGACAGCCGCATACTGGGTTGTAGGAGTCGCGGCAAAGCTATGTCAGGATCTTGGTCTTTGTGAAGAGGAAACAATCCACAGACCGCCAAACGGGTCGCGACCGAATGCCCTTGAAATCGATATGCGCCGGAGACTTTTCTGGATCATCACGTCCATGGAGTACGGTTTGTCTCACAGCTTGGGAAGGCCGAGCGCATTCGGCGTGACCGTCGATAATATCAACGTCAACTTTTTCGAGCTTTGCGACGATCGCTTCATCAGCGCGGATGGGTTGCTGCCTGGACATCACCCAATCATGAAGAAATGTATTTCCATTCACTTTCTCAAGATGAGACTGCTCCAAGCGGAGATCAGACGGACCTTATACCTTCGAAAGCGAGATACACCGACCTCAGATACGGATCCTTGGTTCCATCAAATGCTCAAAAAGATCGACGACTGGGTCCGAGACTGTCCCAAAAATGACGAAGGGTCCGGCCTGAGTGAAACTTGGTTTATTGGTCGCAAGAACACAATGATCGTCTTCATGTATCGACCCTCACCCCAAATACCTACTCCATCCCTCGAAGCAGCCCAGAAATGCTACTCAGCGGCTATCTTCAATATCCAGATGCAGAAGCGCCAAGCCGAAGCAAACCTGATAGACATCACCTGGATTTTCACCCAGGCGATCTTCATGGCTCTCAATACCGTCCTATGGTGCCTGTCTTATCCAAGTATCAGACAGCAACATACTATCGAGGAAGCCCAAATGCACATTCAAGATGCTCTGACAGCGATCGATCTCTGCGCCGACCGGTGGCCTGGCGTCCGATCCGCACAGCAACTCTACGAGAACCTTGTGCTCGGCTGTCTCAAGGCTTACGACGCCGACAAAACAGGCGAATCCCCAGCTACGTCGGACTACGTAAGCACGACCACGCAGGACATCAGTTCCTCGGCATCAGGTTTTGCCAACAGCCCTGCCAGCACAGCAAACACCTCTCTATACGGTGCACAATCACCTCAATCGATTCACAGCGTCCACACAGCAGGCACCATCAATCAGACCTTCCAACCACAGCAGGCGTCAAGCGGTTACAATGACCAGTCAAAGCAACCACAATCGTACCAGCCAGAGAACGTCCATCAGACTTCTCAACCACAGAATCTAGACACACAATATATACCACACAACGTTCCCCGCTATGACGCACAGTCTATGATCTACAGTCTCCCAGGCTTCGATCCACATGCGGCTGCGAACTACATCAACACGACGCAAGGTGGTACCCCTTGGACGTCGGCGGCCATGGTACCAGGCGTGATCCCAGGTATCAATGGCTCCCCGGACACGAATTACGACGACTTGCCGTACCTAGCGCCCTTTGGCCAAGAGTACTCACGATACATGCACCAGTCATTCCCGCCTACATACCAGATGCAGTCGCTCAGCCGGCAGCAGCAGATGGAACTGATGGCCTCACTGGAACAAAGTCAATTGCCCGACGTTTCCAACTTGGTCAGCGATGCAACAACTTTCTACACGGCTGCATTGCCCTGATAACAGTATAACATGGGATTCCATGTCTCAGAAGTTCCCAATCGGTGGTATCCCCGGAATAAGCAGTATCCGGACCTCAGCCCTGTGGTAAGGCTCATTCCTTGAAACGGGCCTGACATATCTCCCCAAGTCGATTGATGTGGTATCACGGGGAAAAGATAGGTTGATGTAGCACCCGCGCATCTGTACCTGCTCCACGTCCTCCGGGCCAATATCTCATTCAAGCATGTCGAGCCGGCATTTTCGGCTAACAAAAGGGACACAAAAGTCGCTAATTGTCGAGTTCCCCGAATCGAGTTTCGCTTGCGACACACCCACCAAGTGGGCAAGGTGTCTGAACAAAAGGGACGATTGGAACCCAGGTGCTTTCCGAATCGGTGCATCTTCCTGCAGGCTTGGAAACCACTGACCCAGAGAATGAATCGTCTATCTCATACTGAAGTCACAGAACAGCGATTGTTGGTGACTCTTATCAACGGACATACCGAGCCGTTTCACTTGATAGGCCTGTTTAACTCAGAGCCGTTTGCCCATTGGATGGATTAGGGCACAGCCACCGGATTCTACCTGGTCACCGGTTCGGCATTTTTGGGTGTTTGCATATCGAGTGCTGATAGAGTCAGCCACAGCATGCCTGCCTGCTTGGATGCCTTGCATGATCAAAGTCACGGGGACAGCGGGGTGTCCGATAATAATATGCTCGATCGTCAGACCACCGGACGCTACTGTGCGAGCCAGCAAAAAGATGTGTACTATTCTTTACTACGTACGAGGCCCGAGGCACATTCGACAGTTTAATTGTCAGGAGCTCATCTGAGTCATGATAACGATTATGATTGATACGAAGGAAATATGATATTCTGTTTGGTGGATGAAAAAGATGTCATGGAATATCCCGCATTCCCTGGTCGCTGGTTCGACTGAGGTGCATCCCACCCAGTTTGGCAATGTTGGAGAAGATGGTCGAGCATACCCTATCGCCTATTTTTAAAAGATCTTTTCGTCTCCCAGTAACGATGAGAGGCTATGCAGACTTTCTCGGATGCATCTTCTCAATCGGTGCAAGACCCGATTGCATACCGCTTACCACTTGCCCGTTCAGCCTCTGTGCAGTGTACTTTTTGTGACGCCAATAGGTCTTCTGGGAAGATCTTGAGACGGCGCTTTCCACCTCGGTGATGTGCATATCCGTCATCAATAATCTGCGAACTCTCAACGCACATGTCTGCCTGCAAAGCTATGTCAGTGCACATAAGGGCGCTGCCAAACGGTTCGTCCTGATGCAGGTCCTCGGTTGACACATCCTATTAAGCCTGGTCCGCATGCAAGGCATGCAGGCACGAGTGCGAACGCTCGACAGGCTCGACCTCATATGAAGAGTTGCTGCTTCTTCAACCTACCGTGGCTTTCACACATATGCAACAATAGTGTTTCGTCTGCTGGTCCAGCTTTATTTCTCATTCGGCGCTTCTTCCTGCTTTCTCGTCGCTCTTGCAGGAGACTTTTTGTTTCTATCCTTCGAATGTTGCATTTCTCTCGAGCCTACGCCGCCGGTCGGTCTGATTGTGGATTGTTGCTGGTCGATTGATCTCGCGAAGAGCACAAGATCGAGAGATCCGTGCAGTAATCTCATCACACCGCTTGCACCAAACATGAACAGAAATCATCCTGGAATCTCGTGGTCAATGGACACGGACAATGGGCTGTCTCCCACATCATTCGAAGTGAATGGTGTTTCGCCTTTTGGGTATGACTCAGTGAGCCGTCATGCCGGTTCGAGCCTGCAGTCCACTCCGCCCGTCAACTGGATAAATCAAGCCTGCGCAGGCACAATGGGGCAGCAGTCCAATGTACCCGACGAGCCTACCAACACATACCAAGATCATCTGTTCAACCAACTTCTCGCCCGGATTACTCAGAACCCGGATATCGCTTGCCATCGAGACGCGGCCCGCAGATATCTTGCCCTCGAACAGGAGTTATGGGTGCCGCTGTTTCAACCACGCTGGCCGTCCGAGGCTCAGAAGATGCTAAGTCGATATCTTGCTCAAGAATACGGAGTTCTCCCGGCCAGTCTGTGGCAGTCTGTCCAGGCTGTTAGGAGAGATCCACATTTCGAGCTATTCCAAAAACCTTTCGTTGATGCTGTCTCGGGCTCGTCAATATCACAGACACATTCTAGATCCGGGTCCGAGATATCGGGGCATTGTGAGACTTTCCCGGAACTTTGGGCCGAAAAAGCAACCCTGAATCCATGGCCTTCGTGCGGGACAAGTGGTGCATCGCAACCGTCAGCAACAATAAAGGGATTTGGCATCGAATGGCAATCAAGTGCTCCTGCACCGTTTCCCACTGTTCGAAGTCGAAGAGCTTCGAGGAGCCCAAGAGCACCAGGAACACGCACGGCGGGCGGCAGGGCGCCTGCTGGATATAAGTACTTCTGTCCGGAGCCAGGCTGTCAACGTCCCGATTTCCGAAACGCAGGCAACTATCGTAATCACCTCCGGCTCTACCATCCAGACACACCCGAGCACGATCCGACAGACGCCCTGCGCCCGGATATTCCGTCAGAACAAGATGAATTGTCGTCTTCGGCTGCTCCCAGTTCAGGCGCTTCACCTCTGCACCATCGCATTCTGAACGATGATCTCCAACAGGCGGATATAGTGGCGCCAACCACCATCGGAGAGGCCTTCAACTTTGGCAGCCACGGAGGGTTCCCTAGCGGTCAAACAGAATTTTACTCGAACTTCGCATATGAAGATGCCATGTCCGAATCAGCCGTTGAGCAGGACACCATGTCAGCAGAGTATCGGACTCACTCATTCGCCGCAACCGACGGTGAGCAATATGTCGACTCGGAGCATGGCCTTGCGTCTGAGACAGCATTGTCCTTTGGCATGTTTCAGGAGAATCTGCAACAAAGTCATCTCGGATTTTTTTCAAATGGTAGACATCAATCGACATCAGAGTCAAATGATAGCAGACAGTGAGAAGAGAAGGAAATTGTGCAATGCTGGGGGGAAACCCTGTCGACAGGTACGAGGGACGAAATCGGAGGCTGGAGCAGGCACGAAAAGACCTCATAATATCACAAATGGGCAGGTACCTGTGATAGAGATCAAGCAAAGAGCTCGATTAAGAGCATTGATCTCGTCTGTCTTGCTCCGGAGAACGGAGCAAGTAGGACTCTGGTGGCCTCGACAGAGCGTTGAGCTCTTGAGTGGAAGGTATATCATAATGGGAGGAGAGATCGGTTTCCTTTGTCGTGGCCGCCGAGGAAATCTGGCCTGAGCTGGTCTCGGCTAGACACTGGATTTGAAGATCTTTGAATCCGCAGCTTTCAATATCATCACCACGCGGGAGACAACGTCCATGCGTTGACAAGTAACCAGTCATTTTCTTGCAACATTTCCTATAGGCCGCGTCGCAAGAGTCCGTACCTGCCTCTTGTTCGCAAGAAGAGGTATTGCCATTTTCCATTCGACGTTATCTGTATCTGAAACACACCTGTTAAGGCTGAAACGTTAAGGGATGCCCGCTTTATAAGGTGGGCAAGACGAGCAGAATGTTGTGGAGGTGTGGAGGGGTTGATCATGATCAGCGATGTAATGGTGGTATCAATTTCGGGAGTAGTGACGACCCAAAGTGGTTGCAAATACAAGGGCACCGGGAGGAAGGGACGTGGCATGGATCGATTGGCACGCGAATGTGAGCGGAAGTTGCGGACAATAATCGAGATCCAAGCTTGCGAGACACACTTGAGAGATGCTCGCATAAGTGTTGTCCCAATAGCTTAACCATGCTTGCTGATCGCTATGGTTGCGACTATGCACGTTTGCGTGCAAGGTCATGCACTTATGAGAGCAATAAGCTTTGTGCCTGACAGCATATGACCAAGATTTCGTGCTGGGTAACCAGTATGGTTTGGATCTTCTGTTCGTTTATGACGATGCAGGCCTGCGTCTGGGCAAGAGATGGCGTCCACGTCACCCTGGATTCATCTGACTTGTCCTGGAACCCAAGCGCACCAAGTACGTACCGAGGCATTTAGGTTCAACAGTTCTGCGAGGCAGACTGCCGGCGTGTGGCGCGCTTGAAAATGACGAATGAAATGGAAGACATGTGTTGATGGTAGAAATGGAAGATAGTCAACAGCGGTGGATAGCGTAGATCTTGTCCGTTTCGATTTGTGTCTGGTCTTCACGATCAAGGCTCAACTTTGCGCCATCGGGTGTCGAGATGGTCATGATTCCCAGTCAACAGCGCCTCCCTGCAGGATTGTTTCAGATCTGAAACGTCTTGCTGACTCCAGGTGCGGGCAGTTTTTGCGTATGAAGGTTTGTTGCATTCTGCATACTGTAGTAAGTGATAGGCAGGCGGCATGCACAGAGGTCCCTTGCTCGCCTGACTATTCGCAGAGGTGTGTTATGCGCAGTCTAACTTGCGTTCACTCCAACTAGGCTTTGCCCATCTGCACAATTGATCAGTGTTCGATCAGCACGGAAGGTATGCTTGGCCCAGGAACAGGCACCAGTGCTGCAAGAGACACTACGCCAGGCGCGCAACCACCGCCACATTTGCAGGCTAAATGAATGGTGTGGGTGGTCTTCGATGTCATGAGGCCTGTCTTGATGCGATGAATGGTACCAACGCCGATTGAGCGGTCAACCTTTCTCTTGTCCACCGAGCCGAGTATGCACAGGAATGAGATTCTGCATGGCAGGCCGTTGATCGCATGAGGACTGTCGCTGTCCTCGGCTCTTGCGTCGCATAGGGACTGGACGGAGGATCGGACCATGTTGTTGGCACTTGACCTCTGCGACTGCTCAATGCGCTTCACCGAGCAGATACAGTGAATGTCCGTGGTAAACGAGCAGGTATTGGGCGAACAAGTGTCAGCTAGAGACTTGTAGGGACCGGCCTGTGACGCCGTGCATGCATCGATGAAGCCAAGTTGGGGGGTGGTTGCATGATAGACGTAGAAGCGCAGTTGAAAGAGACTTTGATTGGGACGCCAAGGGCAGGGTGCGGGCGCCACCCTCGCCACTGCCCCCCCAAGGGGTGCCCGCAATGTTAGCACGGTTGGCAGGGTCCGGGGCCCAGAGAAGCGATTTCCAGGCCCTGGACCCACCGAACGGCACCGGAGAGGATGATGGCCACAGCACAAGCAGTTAGTCTTGGCGGGGCTGTGAACACTCGAAAACCTTTGATTCTTTTGGTTCTTCCTCTTACAATGTCATCTTGCAATACGCATCACTCTTGCAAGCAGTACACACAATGCTGATGGCATCTGGCGAGTATGCCTCGCCCTGAAACCGGTATTCATTACACTCTCTGTAGGTGTTCGGTACGTTGTACACCACATATAACGCCTGAGTCCGCATCCTGTTGCACTGCCCATCTCCCCTATCTCTCATACAGTTCCTGATATCCCATGAGCGAAAGTCTTTTACCCACTTGACCTTCCTGTCGTTGTCATTCTTCTTCACTTCTTTCGGGTAGGTAGGCTGCCGTCCTTACCGCTGCCACCTTTTGTGTAGGACAGGAGTCGTTCGCGGCAGCTTACTCGCTGTTTACTTCGATTCACAGCTTTCATTCTGCCTGACACGCAACAGCACCTAGCAAGATTCAGCCCAGGCACTGCTTTAATCAAATATTTCGCACACTCTTCTGGCACTATGTTCAATACTCCAGCGCACTACCGCAGTGGTCGGAGCAACTTGCCGACTCTTAATATTCCACAGCCTGGTCAGAACGAGCAAACCCCTCGATCCCATTCCGACATTGTGATCGGCATCGACGTTGAGACACTCCTCAATCAGCTACAACGCCATCCATACTTTGATCACTACTTGCCCGTTACCGAGGCATACCTCCGGGTCGACGATGAGGATTATAGAGTTGTTCTCTCTGTCATCCTCTATCTTCGCAATTTGCCCGGACGTCGGTTGGCATTTTGGCGCCACTACCACCCAACCATCTATTATACCCTACCTCCAGATCTCTTCGATATGATCACACAGATGCGGCAATGCAAGAGCTGGAACAGAGACAAAGGCAAGGTCATTGCTCTTCTCAACAGCGCTCGGACGCTGAATGATCCTGCTCAGGCCGTTACTGCAGATTCGCGGCGCGGAGATTGCGGCACACATCTTTCACCCGCCAGTGCTACTCGCTCACCTTCCCGAGAGTCTCTTCTCCGGCCTGCGTCTGCTCAATCCTCCTGGGAGTCCTCTGGTGTCAACCTCCATCAGTCACCCAGTTTTCAGGCCGAGTCGATTTGCAGCGGAGGTGAAGGCACGCCAGCATCAACTAACGCTGCCGGCCCGTCCAGGCATGGTTCGCGTAAAGCACCTCGGGGCTTCCGCTTTTGGTGTCCTTACTCCAACTGCAAAAAGCGCAAAAAGCACTACTTGCGACAGGGCGACTTCGAAAATCACCTGGAAAATGTCCATGGGCAGTTGGGAATACCAAATGTGCAGACCCACCTGCACCCTGCACCCGAGAATGACAATCGAAGTATTGACGCTTCAAATGAGCACGGCATGACTGCCATGCGCATGAACAACATGTCCTCCCGCATGCCTTATCCAGCCTTCTCCATGCCCAATCCTAGCACTCCAATTGGCACATCTCCTATGCTGGACCACCAACCTGACACTCCAACACCTGACTCTGTTGGCTCAGATGTTGTTCAAGCCGATGGACCAGGACGTGACTTGGACATGTTGGATCTCCCGAACGCGTGGCCAACAGCTCCCAACATGCCCTTGCATGACATCTCGTTCAAGTCTTCCGATAATCAGTCAGATTGGTTGTCCTATTCCAACTGGCAGTCATATTTTGGTCCCCACCAGCAATCGTATTCTTCAGATAGGCGACCGGACTAGCGTCAAAGGTACAGGCGAAGACAGTGATCATCACATCATACGTGATAACACTTCTTACTTTGTCTCGCTTTCATCAACTGCGCCTGATTCAGAAGGTGTTCAACATGACCACTTATTTCCCATCAGGTTGCTTTTGGAAGGATATCCCACTAATGCGCAACGGACAGAATGCATACTGGACAATGTCGTATGCGTTTCGACCACAGGAGCCACGATTTCCTTACTTTGATCAGACACATATCTGAGAGCTGTACGACGGCGTCTCTCAGGAGTTATGATGACGATTTTTGATACCGTATTGGAGCTCATCGAACTGGCGTACGGATGAGGTGTATGCACCTGACGGCCCTCGATGATGGTTCGAATGGCCATACCCGGGTATAAAACTCTCAATCTGTGCTTTTCGTATTTCAGCCCTTGTTGTGGCTGTCTTCATGGTTGCATTCATGTTACCAGGACATGAGCACCAGAAAGCTTCGCCGCATCCCGTTGGCATATGGAGTTGGATACTTGATTCTGTGGAAGAGATACCATGTACCAGTAGTTTCTTTATTCCCAAATACGAGAACAATAATGCATTGTACGTCCAGGTGTGCTCGTCCTATGGTCTATGGGAAGCCTCCATGGCCTTGGCCACCATTAGGACCGAGGGTACTTTACCATTCCCAACATGACTTAGTCACTCGGAGTTACGAATGCCGAAGGGGAAGTTCTGAGCCTCGGGACAAGGCATGGGATGTCTATTCAGGATGCGGGGGAAGTCCACCTGCTTTACCGGCGAGGCCGGGAAACATGTTGCGGAGTAATAAGTAATCAGTGAACCCGACTCTACAGTGGTGGTGTTCAGTACATCTATGAGTTGCTCTCCTTACGAATGATAGCTCCATTATTGTCGCTGAACACCGAAGAGACTGCAGTGCAAGGCACGTAGCATAGCACAATCTCTTCAACGTGATCTACAACATTCCCAAGTTACCTGAAGCATTTCCATACCATTGGCCATGTCCTCCCTCAACAACGCCTATGTGCTAGGTGTCGGGGTGACCAAGTTCATCAAGCCCCGCCAACTGAGAACATATCCTGAGTTGGGCTTCGAAGCCGGCACCAAAGCCCTGCTCGACGCACACATCACATACGACGATGTCCAGACAGGCATTGCATGCTACTGTTATGGTGACACCACGTCCGGACAAAGGATCTTCTATCAATTCGGCATGACCAATATCCCCATTTACAACACCAACAATGCATGCGCCACTGGCAGTACCGGGCTACAACTGGCACGCACGCTTGTGAGATCCGGTATTGTCGACGTCGTCATGGTCGTTGGCTTCGAGACCATGAAGCCAGGCAGCATCAAGAGCATCTGGGATGACCGTCCGAGTCCAATGGGCCTGGGAACGGCATTGATGGAGGAAACCCGAGGCAAGCATGGTAGCCCTCGAAATGCACAGTTCTTTGCCAATGCCGGCAGGGAATACATGGAAAAGTGAGCATTTATTCCATCCCGACTCCAACGACGCAATGTCCTGCTGTCCCTGCTACTATCAGCCGCAGAGAATTCATAGCCTGCCGCGTCGGTTTGTAGCGAGGCTGCTCCCCTTTTGTCAAAGCATCGCTCATATGGACACACCACGACTAACGTCTCCGTCCAGATACGGCGCCGAAGCCCGCGACTTCGCCGAAATCGCACGCGTCTCACACGAACACTCATCCCGCAACCCCTACGCCCAGTTCCAAAACGTCTACTCCCTCGAAGAAGTCGAGAAATCACCCATGATACACTTCCCACTCACCAAACTCCAATGCTCCCCGACCTCTGACGGCGCTGGGTCCGCGATCATCGTCTCACAGAAATTCCTCGACTCCCGCCCCGAACTCAAATCCCACGCCATCCTCATGGCAGGCCAGTCCCTGATGACCGACTCTCCGGCGCTCTTCAGCCGCAGCGCCATGGACTTAGTGGGTTACGACATGACCAAACGCGCAGCCAAAGCCGCTCTCGACGAGGCCGGCGTGTCGCCCCGCGACATCAAAGTGTGCGAACTCCACGACTGTTTCTCGGCCAACGAACTCATTTTGCTCGAGGGTCTCGGTTTCTGCGACGTGGGCAAAGCTCACGAGATGGTGCGCAACGGCGACATCACGTACGGCGGTAAAGGGCCTGTGATCAACCCTTCGGGCGGGTTGATCAGTAAGGGCCACCCGCTCGGCGCGACGGGCCTGGCCCAGTGCGCGGAACTCACGTGGCAGTTGAGAGGGTGGGCCAACAACGGCCGTCTCGTCAAGGACATTGACGTCGCGCTGCAGCATAATTTGGGTCTAGGCGGTGCCGTGGTGGTGACTGTGTATAAGCGTGCCGACGGCAAAAGGAACACGGATGTGAGCCTGAGCGATTCAGAGATAGCCAAATTGTCTGGGCTGGGGTATAATCCTGCTATCGAGGCGAAGGGTGTGACTCGCGAATTGGCAGACAGCGTCAGGAGTAAGGACCGTAGAAGTGACTATGCCCTGGGCGAGACGGCGGACAAGTTGCAGGCTAGATTGTAGTTCGTATAAAGTGATACTGGATGCAGGGCCTAAAGGACTGGAATTTTCCTTGTGACTTTTACGTACTCCCATACGACGGCCAGGCTGTTTCTCTAGAAGAGTCCACGAGCCCTGACGAGTGACGGCCTACAAGTTCATATCCCTCTTGACCGCCAAAAACGTCAGACTCCAAAGCTGTCTCACGTCGCTCTCCGTTCCAGCACCCACGCCCGGCGGAGGCGGCAAGTCGCCCAGCTGTGTAGTCACGAAGCCGGTCGAGTTACTGTACGTCCAACTCCACACTTCGCCCTGCAACTGCGCGGAGTTGGCCTCGATGCTATTCCAAAGCACGTTGTACGCCTTCTTAACGTTGTTATACACAGAAGGCATGGTGCACCATGTCGGAACGCTGCCGGTCGAATTGCACCGCCCAAGCTGCCTTTCGACGCCCTTGGCCATCATGGCGAGCTGGAACGACCAAATCACTGTTCCGTGGTAAGCGGCGTTGGTGAAATTAGCGATTAGCACGTCTGAGCCAGACATGGCCGGGTTGGCGACAACCATGCTCTGCGGCGTCATGAGTCCAGCTGGGAATGAACGAATCAGGCTATTGGCAGTAGAGTTGATGAAGCGCGTCTCCTGGGCTTGAGCTTCAGGCGTTGAAGCCGAGGCGTTTACGAAGAACACCCGGAAACTGGTGTCGCTGTGCATCACGTCCACTGAAGATAAGTTGTCGTAGCCCTGGAGCGAGATTGCATATGTGGTGATGTTGCCTGATGCGGGAAGAGATGATGCATTGGTCGGTCCGTCGTAGAATGTTGCTGTCTCGACGAAATGCTGCAGGCGGGATTTCGCTGTGGCAGACGTGACATTAGTCTCGAAGAAACGCAGGGTGTTTTCTTCCCATATTGTAGCACGGGAATCGGCTAGTGTGCGCCATGCGGTCACGTTGACTGACGTGTTGTTGGGAAACACTCCTGATGTACGTGCCAGTTGGCCGATGGCACGGAGGGCAGCAGGGACGAGTGCAGTGTTCACATCGAAAGGTATACGTCCACCTCCAATGCCATATGTCGAATCGCGCCATTGGCCGACGATTTGGTCGGACTTGAGATGGATCAGGTTTGCTGCCGTTTGCTTCTGTGCGAATGCTGCTGTCTGGTTCATGATCTTTTCGGCATTGATGAGTGTCAACTTGGCATAGGTCAGGTTGCGGTTCTGGACATCGATTGATCCTGCTTGACGGCTTAGCAAGGCACTGATGCGACCCGGCCTGCTGCTGAAATACTGCGCCATCAGGACTGGAAGATAGTAGTCCGTGTCGATCATTGGGTAAGTGAACCCTGGTGCGGTGCTCGTGATGTTATCTTGCAAATTGAGGTATGTGGCATAGTCGCCGATGGTCTCTTCGTGGCAGACCGAGCCATCGGTGCGGTTGATGCGCTCAAGCACAGCGCCAATAACGGCTTCTGTTGCTGATCCGTTGCCTTGGCTCAATACGGGTTCGAGAAGAAGGGCGCTGATCGTGCTGTCTCGACCAAAGTATGTCAAGAATCTCCATGCTCCAGCAAGCAGTTTCTCCGTGTAAGAGAGGAAGGATAGAGAAGTAGTCTCACTCGATGTGGCATTCTGCTGGGTGAGATTCTGGGAGGCCGTGTTGAGCACTTGAGCTGGTTCGAGTTGAGTCAGTTGCGGATAGTTGAAGCTGGCGGAGAAAGTGTAGTCTCCTGCACCAAAGCTAATGGTCTTATTCTGCTGGTGAATCGTGATGTTTGTGCCACTGTTTTGTTGTGGTACCAGGCTAAAGCTTGATACTGTGACGTTGTCGAGCCAGAGCCGCGACAGTGTCGCACCGGTCCCATTGGTTGTAGTGATGTTGATGGCATCCTGAATGATCGGCTGAAGAAGACTCGGGCCTTCTGTGAAGTCACGGATGGTTCTTACACTGCCCAAGATCGGGATCGTAAGTACCGCAGAGCTGTTGAAGGAGAGAACACCTTCGACTCCGACATAAGGGTACTGTGAACCTGTAACATTTTTATACACAGGGCTCAGAGGCCTCGCCAGTGCGATGCCAAGCGAGCCATTTCGACCGTTCTGGGGCTGGAAGAAAGTGCATATCCCACTGTTGCCGGCAGGCCATGCGACTATGAGTCTAGGGCCGATGATGGAGAGGTTTGAGTCCGGCAGAGGACTGGTAATGACGACTTGAGTGTCGCTGTGACAGTTGGAGTAGAAGTAGTTGTCGTATGGGGGAACGCTGATGTGTTGACTGACAGCCTGACAAGAACCAGAAGATTGGGACCATGCTGTCTGGAAAAAAAGCGCGGATAGCGTGATAAGATATGCCAACATGATGAGGGGAACTTGGACTGACACAGAATGACAAGGGAAAAAAATTACGACAAAGGAGTCGACCTACAGGATGAGGGTGGTAAAGCTTTTGAAATAGCAGGCACCATGAGGTCGTTGTCAGCAAGGACACAAGGTCAGTGCCCGCGACCGAGCACGATCCTGATGCTGAATCGATCGAAAATGACATCAATGGCTCACTGGGGTCCGGCTGCCAACGCGGAGAAGGCAGTCCTCTTACGAGAAGAGAATGTCAAAACGAGAATAGCAAAGTATCGAAGTCTGATGGAGGCGATGAAACCCTGGGGTTGTCCACATGATGCGGGGAGATTTTCCCGGGAGCACTGTAGAGGTGGCCTTCGAGCCAATCAGACAAACGTGCACACGCGGTCTGAATACTTCACCATAACGTACAGCGGAGCACTATATATTCCTGCGACCGGCGTCGAGCCTGAACCCAAATTTATGAGCAGCCAGTTCGGTCCACCAAACCTGGCTGGAAAAGGACTGACACAAAGTCAACGCTACCAAGAGTCGTTGTCGTGGTACCGTCGGACAGGGCGTACATGGACGCCATAAGTCCATGGTCAAGCAGTTTCGCGACAGGGAGTGCCCCGACTCCAAGCTAGTAGGATTACACGGTAGTGCTAATGACTTTCGCTCTTTCAACGATCAACCTATCTCGTTGTGTACGGGAAGCTTGGGCATAACAACAAGGAATGGTGTCTTGTTAAACCTGAGGAGCATCACCAGTCAGACAGTGCCCACGTTCCAGTAAATAGGCGTGGCGTCTTTTGTCGTCTTCACCACGACTGCTTCTGCCTTCTTCATCACTGCATCCCCACCGCTTTCCTAAACACCCTCGTAAAAGCCCATACATCATGGTATGAGTTGTACAACGGCACGGGTGCTACTCTGATCACGCCAGGCTTTCTCTGATCGACCACAATACCTGCCTTCTGCAGTTCCGAGCTCACACAATCAAGAAGACCAGATTCCAGAAGCAAGCACAGCTGCGCACCACGCTTCGACGGATCTAGTGGTGTGATGATCCGGAACTTCTGCTCTGCACCGCCCTTCAATAGGAGATACTGAAGATAAGCCGTCAACTTCAATGACTTCTTCCGCAGCTCTTCCATCGAGGTCTCTTCAAACACCGACAACGACGCGCATAAGGACGTCAAATCTATAGCCGAAGGGTTGGATATCTGGAAGCCTCCTGCTCCAGGAATCGGTCTGAACTCTACAAAATTTGTTCTCAGCAACCGACATCTCATACCACGAACCAGAGTACTTACTATTATCCATATTAAACCGTGAGGCCCTGTCACCACTGTACCATCCGGTAAGTCGATGACGAAACACCGGGGTATCGCAACCCTCGGGATACTCGACCTTTCCGTGCTTCTCGTGTACAAACAAGCCCGCAATCGCTCCTGGGCCAGCGTTCATGTACTTATACGTACACCAGGCTGCAAAGTCGACGCCCCAGTCATGAAGTTGTAGTGGCACATTGCCCGCCGCATGCGCCAGGTCCCAGCCAATCATCAGGCCTTTGGAATGGGCATACTCTGTGATCCTGGGGATGTCCAGGAACTGACCGCTGTAATACTGAACTCCGGGGAGCAATACCAGCGCAATCTCATCAGAGTACTCGTCGATGGTCGACAAAATCTTTTGTGTTGAAATGACATGATCCTCGTCAGGCTGGACCAGGATCATAGCCTCCTTCGGGTCGTACCCGTGCCACGAGATCTGCGATTCGATCGCATACTATTGTCCTCGGGTGTCAGTCTACAGCAACAACAAGATTGTGGAATGGGGGAAGCAAACTCCGCGTCAGCAAGAGAGACTACTTACGTGATCACTGGGGAACGCCTTCCACTCCAGAAGAACCTTGTTGCGCGTTGCCGTTGGTTGATAGAACGATGCCATCAACAAGTGGAGGTTGACGGTAAGTGTATTGGCGATGGCGACTTCCCCCGTCACCGCACCGACTAGCCGACAAGACTGCTCGGCGGCAAAATCAGCCATTGACTGCCACGGCTTCAACGGCGACTCTTCGAGTTCGGTGAAATGTCCTGCCACGCCGATGGACGACCACGTGTCGAGCTGTGCCTGGATATATCTGGACATACACTTTGGTTGGAGACCAAGTGAGTTGCCGCAGAAGTATATTCCATCTTGGTCGTTTTCGATTGCTGCAAGTGATTTCCTCTTCAACGACGCTTTCGAAGGGATTATGAATTTCTCGCGAAATGTGCGTAACGGATCCGATGAGTCGAGAGATCTGGCGTACTCCTCGCTGTCTGCATTGTCCGGGAAGGTGTGTTTCCCCGCGAGAGCCTGGTCAGAGGCAATCGTTGGAGGGTATATATCTTCGAGGATGCCTGGTGCCATTGTGATTGTGCTGGTGACTTGTGTCCTTGGGTATTCTGGGATCAATGCGTACGGATGGCGATTATTTCATTCATATTGCTGAGTCTGGGTAATGTCACTTTATCCCCCCAGGTCGTTCAGGCAAATGCAAATGCCGGCGGCCGGACACGGAGGTGCCACGAAAATTCGACATTCCCCAAGCGCTAACGCCACAAAGAGCCCGGACGCGATAGCCTGCGTGGTGAGGGCTTTTTGGTCAAGTCCGCCTCCGTCGGCATAAATTGGCACTGTCTGACAGAGACTACATCGACTACACAGTTCGAAATCCAGCAGGTTCGCGGCATAGGGTGCCTGAAGACAAGCCAGTTGGCCTGTACGGTGGAGCCGATGACCACCTCACAATCAAGCTTCACCCTGTAATGTTGTGTGTGAAAGCTTCCGTATTGACACGGAAGAACGAAATCTATTGAACATAAAACACGTGAGGCGGTCAGTCAGTACCACATTTTGCGGGACCCGTGTTGCCAGCTTCCGGCTCCACTCCACCACTTCACCGACGGTGAGGAGGATGTCCGTCAACGCCTTCCCATGAGGCGAGTGAGCGAAGAAGTCCGCTGATGGTGTGCGTCCTTGCGACACAGGTTCCCGCTCATGCTGGACTGGCATTCCTCAGTCTTCACGTCAGGTCTTTGGGAGACTGGGTTATGGCTTCGACATTTCTTGGTCGAGATCAGTCTCACATTGCGGCTCCCCAGGCTTCAGACCATCAGTACGCCATGTACAGTCTAAATCTATTCGTGCATAACTTGTATACTTCTATGCTCGCTAAAATCGATGCATCAACGTCATATGGCCACAGTGGCATCACGCGTCTCATCGCGAGTCCGTTTCAGGAATGGAATCAAATCCGTTCCTCCCGTTCCTTGCAGTTGTTTCTTCTCACAGCCCGAATTTTCCGGTTCTTGGCTCGTCGAAGAAGCCGTGGCCAGGTTAAGTGTCTTCTCCAGCACGATATAATGAGCAGGAGGGCTCCGAGAAGGCATAATAATGTAGCGCGTGACGATGCGGATGTGAATATCTCGCATATTGACCAGTGCGGCGACAGCTTCATTGTACGCCTCTCGAACGTCGTCGGATGTGGTCGGCCGCGACATATAGTCCTTGATATTGCTCAAGTTCTCAATTTGACTTAGGAATTCTCGGTGTATCCGTGGCATGTAGTTCCTCATTTCCTGCACCACATCAGTTTTGCCCCAAACTGGTCACGGTGGTATGAGACTCACCTGCATGAAAGGATTTGATTTTGAAGCCGAATGTTCTTGCGAGGGACTCCGATCTCCGGTCGCATGATGATCGACTTCGAGAAAAATGTCCAACAGCTGAATCAAAGAGCTTTGAGCGTTGCTTCCGCCACTGTGCTGTCGCCATTCCCCTTTCCCGTCTCCTTCATCGTAGAAAACGCCTCTGGGCAGGCCAGCTGCCGCCATGCCTTTGCTGCCTGCTAGCAATGGTCTGATATTATGGTAAAATACTTGCGGGTCACAATGCTCGTGCATTCGCTCCAGTAATCGCCCAAGGTCGTCAATACCTGCTGTGATGGATTGAAGACATGACAATACTGTCTTGCTGCCGTCGTGCCCAATGGCATGCAGGCACCTTAGCAGCTCCCATATGAAAATGGAGCCCGTCGCCTCCATAGACACCGATATCAGGTAAAACCACTCCTCATCCTTGGTGCCCGTGAAAGTGTGTAGTGAACGGAGGTTTCCTGGTTCGGTAAGGTCGCCGTCAGACTCTTTCGTAGCGAAATTCCACAAGTTGAGCGCTGCGTAAGTCGCAAGCGGTGGGAGACCGAAATGTTCAGAAGCCTGCAGGAGAGGACACGTGATTTGAGGTGGGAGGATCTAATCGCCATGTCAGAACTCCTGAGCAGCGGCCATCCATGATCTCAGTGACAAACCTCTGCTGGTCTTTCGCCTCCCCATATGTATGCATGAGTCAGGAAAACCAATAGTGAATATGCTCTCTGCCATTCAGGTTCTTCCTGCAAGTGCACTGTGTCAAGCGTAGGAAGACATTCGATCTTAGACCTGATCCGCCGACTTCTGATGAGATCAGGGAGGTGTTCAACCAGTTCTTCCCAGGGACCATAGTATGCCTGTGGCAGACGTTGCAGTGGCAGCTGCTCGGGCAGGAAACCATGCCTGGCTGTGGTGCTGTACCTCTTGAGGAAGTCTTCTGGTCTTTCTCTCATTGCAGCGAAATAATCAATTGCCAGCTATGCAAAGATGTGAAGCATCTGTCAAGGAAGGTGCATTGTCGGTAAGCCGCGGGCTTTGGAGGAGGCGGGTCAATTTCAATAACCAAGGATAAACTTCACTCAGTGGATGCGAGTGTCAGAGTGACATATTCCGGAACAACGTGGAGTTCGATATGGACGGAGCTCCGTTAGAGGCGGCACAGTCAAGGGACCGGAGCGCGGGGACACCCCATCAAGGTACCGAGCTCGGACCACATCTCAGCCGGTGTTTGCTTGAAACCACCAATCGTCCATGTTCCCAACGAAATCGTCTCCCTGAGCGAAAAAGCTCTGCGCCAGAATAGCCGCATCATTGTCCAGCGACGACACGAACTCAGAGCTTGCCAGCTGCATGGTGCTGTCACCCAGATCCTGAAAACTCGCTTGGCCGTGGGTGGCACCTGTGTCATTGATATGGGTCGGTTCCGGCAAGAGTCGGCTGCGAAGCACCTCGGCAGAATGCGAAGGCTGGCGATACATAGTGAGTGAAGACCCGAAATAGGATTCGGCGGTCTTCGGAAGGCCATCGATGGAAGTTGCTTCAATGATCTCCCAAAAGAGACTCAGATCGATAAGTACTCGTGATCCGGAAGTGGTTGGCGGTGCGGAATCGCGAAAGGATGCAGATACTACTCTCTCGAAAGCTTCTAGCTTTTGTGCCTGTACAAGTCAGTGGACGTCTCCAGTGGCAGGGAGCCCCGCCTAAATCGTCAAGCATGTTCCCCGGAAAGTGGCACTGTCTAACCGGTGTTGCTCTTCCGGTTCAAATCAATACCATACCTTGTTATCAGCACGGAGTCCATCGGACAGGACGACATAGTGTCAGCTCTTGACAACAGAGAGGCCGTTAGCTCTACCGCATACTCCTACTAGCTTGGAGTCAAGGCGCCTGTTGTCAAGAGCCTGCTGGAATTTCGGACTTATACCGTCGGTGCGCTCCATGTCAGACAGCGCCACTTTTCCTGGAACAGGCTTGCCGTAAAGTACCTACCAGGTATTTGACAAAAGGCCAATGGTCACCCAAGTCCTGAATGAATGAAAGACACTTCTGATATTGTTCCTGTTTTCTGCTCTGGACAGCTGGATCCTCGGCGTAGCTTTGCTGGAGGTAGATTGTTGCGGTCACAGCAGCCAAATGAGCCAGAGACGGGTCATGTAGTCTGAAGTTTTTCTGCTTGGACACGTCCAACAAGTGTATGATCCAATCCGTATGTGTCGCAGTGAGATATGCAGTGTGCTGCAGGAAGACTTCCGGCACCAACGTCATCTTGACGTTTCTCAGTGTTAGTGACATGAGCAGGGGATGGTTGAGCAGGCAAAGGATCGAGTGGTAGAGCATTTGCACAGTGAACCAGGCCGCCCAGAAATCAGCATGCTGTCGGAGCTGTTCTGGGTTGTGGTCCGCAATCTTTGCCGGGCGGAAGCGATATTTGTAGGCGAACTTGGTCTCAAAATCTGTCAAGTGCGCAAGGATCTGTGCATATTCAGATTGAGGTGACCAGGGTGGGAGAACACCAGCACGCTTGCCTCGTCGGTGTGCATATCTTAGAGCCTTGCGCCATATTTCACTGAGCTGGATCGCATAGGTGAAGATACCTAGGTCGGTCCCCTCGTCGGGATTATTTGATCCTCCAGGCTGCTCCAGCGAAGTATCGGTCATCTGAGAAGTAGTTTCGATTGGCGATACAGGGCTCTGGAGGGGTTTGGGAGTTTTGTCGTCCTGGATGAATGTGAAGAAGCCACTTGCAGAGCCATAAAGATATTTCAGGAGCACAACGCTCCAGTAGCATCGACGCCTTTCCTCGAGAGTATTCGACTGCCAATTTCCTGGATATTCTGCTGACAGCCCGGCCGAAAGAGCAAGCTCCATTGCTAGCGAACTGTACGTGCTGGCCAAGTGGGTGTTGCAGTCTGATTGTAGTGGTTAGCGTCTGTAGAATCAAGCCTGTCTCTCGAAGAAGTGGCATCGTCTGAGCGTTGTCGCCACTCAGGTTCAAACTGATACCCCATCTTATTGTCATTTAGGAGTCCTCTCCCCACATCGATAGCATCAGCTTCTGGCTGGGGGGAGGTCACCAGCTCTATCGCACAGCCCTACTAGCTTAGACTCGAGGCATCCGCTGTTGCAAAACCGCTGGGCCTTGTACTTGTATCGTCGGCGTGCTCCATACTAGACGGTGCCACTTTTCGGAAATAGGCTGATTGGATCTGGGGAGGACGTACTGTTAAACTCGAGTAGACTCAAGATGCACAAACTCTGTATTGTTGATAGTTCTACGGGCCCGTTGGCGATATGTTGCATAACCAGGCTTCGAGCTGATTGGCCGTAATCCTCGATTCTGTCAGTAGGATATATCGACGGTACTCCTGGCGAAGTCACAAAGCGGCCTGCAACTGCTAGTATGGCTAGTATGAGCTCATGACTTCGCTCTTTCAGTGTCGACAGGAGTATATCTGGAAGGAAGAGCGGTAGAGGGCGATAGTTGCAGTAGGTGAGGTAGGCCAGGACTGCCGCTTCTATCGTTTCCCACGTTGGTAGCCTGGTCAGTATCAGTAATGGGGGTAAAGCTTGAGTAGCGAGCCTGTTCCAGTAACGCTGGCACCGTCTGACAGGGAGTCCATCGGTGTCATCAGTTCATGGGCCACGGTTTCGCACGGGCGGGTGCCTTCACCCCAAGATACCCGTACATCGTTGTGTGTAAAAACTTCCTGGGAGGACAACAAGAATAGTATCTACTTGAACCTGACCGGCTCCAGCAGTCAGACTGTGCCACGTTTTCCGGAAACAGGACAGGCTTGACAGTTTGACTCAATTACCTAGTGGATTGCGTCGGACTTTTAGGACGACGGTCAGCATTGATGCGCGAAGACTCTGCCAGAGCAGGTGTAAGGGGCAAATTATTAGCCACAGTGCTGTTCTGGTTTCTTCGACCTTGTCAGCGCTTCTCTTGTGAATTATGCGTGCTAGTTCATACCTTAACGCCGCGCGCATTTCTAAGACCACTTCTTCGAGGTTATGCAACCTGTCTTCCTATAATTGACGGTCAACACAGAATCCTGACAGCATGCCGGAAAGGTCTTTCTGGGCATGCCTGGCTAGCAAGTCCGTTTCCAGACAAGGTGGCACCGGAAGACAGCGAGTACACCTGCCACGTAATCTGGTAATCCAAGGCGAGACTGACGGCGGGAACTTGGCATTCAATATGGTATAGCTATACCGATGGACATGGCGAAATCCTGAATACCAAACGCTGATTATTCAACGATGTATACGAAGGCCTCCGTAGCAATGTTGCGGACTTATGTCCATTTGAGCCAAACGGACTCCCACGGTCAGACTGTGCCACTATCTCTGGAAACAGGCTTGCTAGGGCTCGCTTACCATTCTTGGACCGTTCGAGGGCTGAGAGGGGCTCGTGATAGGTGCCGCCGTGAGGTTCACGTGTGATGAGCGAGGTGGGCTCATTGTGCTCCGAGCCGGAACAGTGGCTGATGCATAGGTACATTGTTGGCCCAGCCTGGCACACAGGGAGCATACTGGTCGCTCTGCCGGACATCTCGCCTTTTTGCGGCTAGAGTCCAATTAGTTCAAGAATGTAGAGGAGAGCCTATTCCCAGAAAGAGTGGCACTGTCTGAGACAACGATATAAGACATGGTCCGGCAGGTTCGCGACAGCGAGTGCCTCCACTCAAGGCTAGTATGGTTGTACGGAGAGCTGATGACCTTCCTCCTGCCAAGCACTAATGCGATATCGGTATATGCGGAGGGTTTGCCGACGACAAGAAGAAGGTATCTCTTTGAAGCGGAAGAGCAACAGCGGTCACACGGTGCCACTTTTTCTGGAAACAGGCTTGCCGCCAAGCCAACGCGCCCCCAACTTACCGGCAAGGCTCGCAAGCCGTACGCATACGCTTCTGTGGGCGTTCCGGCGTCTCCATAGCATGCGTGGAGGACGTGGAAGGAGAATGTGTGTGAGTGTGAAGTACGGAAGAAGTTTGACGGAGGTCGACGGAGCTTGACGTCCGTCAAAATGACAATGATGCTTTGAGTGATTTATGCTCGACGCTAAGGTACGGTGAAACATATGGCTGGTCCTTGTCAATGGATTATCGAGGATCGACGGATGCCAGTGTCATTGCAGTATTATTCATGACTCTAACAGAATAGCCATACATCGTAGTCGCCCTACTTAAGCCTCTTCTTTCTGAGGGTCTGCTGCCTTCTTCTTCTCTTTCCGAATATCCTTCCACCCCATCCCCCACCCAGTCAGGAAATCAGCGCATGAGCACGCAACTGCAAGGTAGAAGACGCGATCGATGCTCTTGCTGTATGCAACCAACACCCGCGCCAGCTCCGTCGGATCAGTGACTACCTTACTGATACCGGTCGCCCCCGCAGCGATAACCACCTCGGGATTCACACCTTTAGCGTACTTCGGAATTGTGTCTCGAAGGCTGGTGGTGAAGATCGTCTCACCACAGGTCAGCAGCAGTGCTCCGCCGAGTGTTTGCGTGAATGTCAACAAGGACATGGAGATCGAGACCATCGAAGCAGGGAGCGTGTTTCGTACGGCCACAAACGGCATCTGTAAGGCAAGCGCACGGCCGAATCCCACGATGACCTGGTATCCTATCCACTTCCCAGAGGAGCTCGTCGGAGACAGCGTGGAGAGCAAGCCGTGACCTATTGAGGCAAAGATAGTAGAGGCCACCACGAAGGGAAGATAATAACCCATCTTAGTCACTAGGAGGCCTCCGTCAGTAACGTAGAATTCGTCCTTGATGCGCATGGGGCACTAACCTGCTATACCCGAGATCAAGGTGCCCACAAATTGACTGAGGATATTGGGCAGCAAGTCCACCCCACTCATCATAGGAGATGCCCCTTTGGTCGACTGAAAGTAGATGGGCAAATAGTAGATTACCACTTGCATCGAAGAAAACAAGAAAAATGAAGTCACACAGCTGGACCAGACGCCTCTGACCTTCATCATAGATAGAGGAACCATTGCGGCATCCCCTTTGTAGTATTCCCACCCCAGGAAAATGATAAATGTGGCCCCAGCGCCACAAAAGAGTCCGATCACGGTGGCACTGTTCCAGGCGTCTTCGTTGCCACCATACTCTAGCGCGAGGAGAAGCTGGATCGTCGAGGGAGCAAACAGAGCAAATCCTATGAGATCGAGTTTGGTCCTGACAGTCTCCCAAACGGAAAGCTCGCGAGTCTGGCTGTTGCTGGGAAGGCGCACCAGTACGAGAAGGATTGCCACGACGCCACCGATTGGCAGGTTGATATAGAAGCCTATCAAATGAGCTGACGTCTGCAACACCCGGTAGGAGACTTAGACCATCGCCACGTCGTGTATTCGGTGAAAGCACCGCCAATGAGGGGCCCAATAACCACACCCATTTGGCCAACTGGAACATGCATGAGTGAAAAGGTCGACATGAAAGGGACAGAATACTTACAGCCCATCAAACCTCCAAGGTATGCTGGCCTTTTAGGTAGGGGTATACTATTCGAAAGGATTGTTAAGGCCCCGTTCACCAAGCCTGCACTTCCAATGCCAGCCGCAGCTCGTGAGACAACAAGCATCTTCGACGACGTCGAGACACCGCAAAGCAACGAACCAAGTTCGAAGAGGGCGAAAAATGAGAGGAAAATCCGCTGTTATTGTCAGAGGGCCATTTCCGATTAATCAATGGCTGAGAGAAACTCCCACCTTAGCCGCAAAGTGCGTATATAGCCTCCCTGCTAGCGGTTGAAGTGAGGCGTTAGCTAGCAGGTACGCACTACCATACCACCCAACATCTCCGAGTGAATGAAACTCGCTGGTGATCCTGGGAACAGCCTATATGTGGTTGAGGACCATGTCAGATCATACACTGTCTCGCTTCACAGGAGGACTTTAGGAATACTTGCTGTCGCAACTATCGCTATATCTAGAAGCTCTAGAAATGCCACAAGAGATAGCGACAGCATCACCAGAAGGAGCCGGATCCCAGTGATATAGTTGACCTCATCTGTGGTCTCTGTGCCTGTCTTTCCTGATTCATGCTTCTCGCTTCAGTTGGCCTGATCGAGTTCTTCACCGACTGAGCTGTTTTCATTCCCCCTCCCCTCCATTTGTGCCTCCTTCTCTGGCGACAGGCGAGTCTTGCCATTCGCGACTGTTCCTTCTTGTGCACTCGTGGGGTCACCGTTTGTGTGGTCGTTGTCCATCGTTGCCTGAGCGCCAGTAGTTCTGCTGAGTCGCATTCGTTCGAATTGGTCCAGTTCGAGTTTAGTCTAGGGTCAATCAGGCGAAGGGAAACGGACAAAAGGCGAAATCACCAGAATGTCGCTCTCTTCAAGTTCTTCCCACTTCCAGCCCAGTCCATGTAGGTAGCAAGACACGAGTTGCTGCAGCCAATGCGAGCCTCGCTTGGTGTAGCAACGTCTGCGTTCACGTGGTAAGTATGCACGACCTCGATGGGGCCGGATTTATGGGGTAGTAGATCCAGGTACTCGATTGGCGCGAGAAACATCAGTACATATACCATACTCGGCAGACTCACCACAGACTACACGAATCTCGCCATCGACGTCGCCAGGAGTGGACAAAAGCATCTTTCCTGTATCCCTCGGAAGTAAGAGACGGACGTAGCATGTGCCTCCGTCGCACAGGTATGGTGAATAGATGCGAATGGTTCTCGGAGGGTTCCCTCAGAAATTCCTCCGTCCCACTTTTCAGACGTTGCAGGAGGCTGATCCAATTGGGCCAGCTCCGAGTCTATCGGGTGACCTTGGGACCAACGAGACCACCATCTGAACACAGCAACGGCCGAGAATGTATCATCAATACCTAATTCCTCACCTTAACATGTACGTCAGAGCCTGCGGAAGTACCGGGCGCATCCGAACTGTAGAAGGACGATCTGGGAAGCTAGGGCCGATGTTGATGCATCAGGTAAGAGACTTAATTGTAACGGTCGCTCCTCCTTCCCAGAGGGATTTTTTTACCTCGACTGGGGGAAGAGCCATTCTCCCTCGTAAGTATACAAGCAGCCAACCCGAGCATTCCACTCGTTTGCGTGAGGCTGGACTGTTTGGTATCAATGGAGACATTAATGACGCTCACCCTTGGAGAAGCAAGTGAGGCAACGCACCGCTAAAGTACAAATGCTGGCAAGCTGCACGGTAATATAGACGACCGCTATATTACGCTCGTCTGATTTTAGTACGCGCAACGTCTCTCGTTACTCAACCCGGACCCATTTGGACCTGTGCCGGCTCATGAGACCAACACTTTGCTAGCAACTCACCCTTGTGCCAATCAGCTAGCACGACAAAGCCAGCGTCCAAAAGCTACTGCAGTTCTCGTTCCCAATCATTGATGGTTGCGTGCAATGGGAGCAATGCTATCGCCGTGAGGGACAATTGAGTGCTGCGAAGAAGAGGTCGTAGCAGCGTATGTATGACACCAGCAACCGCTACGTTCTGGCATAGGATAAATTTGTCCCTGAGGTAAGAACAGTGTCCCTGTCTCTCATGACCTCGAAGGGTTCATTGCCAAAAAGAAATACCCTGACTCCGATTCGTAAGGGAGGTTTGGACATTCGAAGCGCGAATGAGCTGCGATTCGGGCAACCTGCCTAATCGATCCACACGTCAATGCCAGGCAGTTGAGAAATGCAGAGCTTGACAGTAGTCGAGACGCTAAAGCTGCTGATAAGATCCAGGAAATACCATCCGAGACCACCTGTCTTCGCACATGAACTGATGAGCGTGGAAGGACCGTGAAAAAACAAAGGTCCCTGGGCCGAACATCGATAACGTCCATGGCCCCTATGTGTCAAACGGTTTTATGGCACCTGTCTGTGGCGCTGTCAGTCAATGGACATGGTATTTGACTGGAGGGCACAAGGCGACAGACTCAAGTACTGCGGGTATCTCGCCGGCCACCGTTGCCGCTGTTGTCATATCTGACCTTGCACTAACATTAGGTCACTACAATTGATGATTGCGTACCTCTACATGGTCAACCCACAGCGACGTCGATAGCTTACCATGTATTTCGTACAGTACCTTGCAAAGACTGCTTAGGCTGTGGTGAGACCGTCCTCGGATTTTCGATTTCAAGGGACCTCGAAACGCTTCGTTGTGATCTCATCAGTGGTGGTCAGTCGTCGTCAGCATTCTCTTTGAGTCGCCGCAAAAATCAACAAAATGCCCAATCCACCTATCGCAGACGCGACTCGTGCAGTCCCACATAGTTCCCATGTGTCAGTCTCGGCATTCACCATCCCAGGGATCTCAGGGGACTGACAGCCAAAACGCCTGCCACGGGCTTCTGGACCTTGGGATCGCTTGAAGTACTATAGGTAGGCACTGGCAAATATTTACATCCTGTTTGGCGTGCTCGTCTGCTGCCGCCGCGGAAGCTCGAAGATTTGACAGGAGTTCGCGCACACGCTCTGGTCACTGACACAAAGGGGATATGTCTCAAAGGTACAGGAGGCATGATGCTTTGGCCTTTGAATATTACACTCGATGGTACACCGCAACCTGCAATTCGATCTATTGTTGGCCTCCATGAGTTTTCTAAGGCTCACAGTCTTTCCTTGAGCCTTCAATACCTCTTCCTGCGGAATTCAATCTGATTCACCTGGCTGGCCATCGTGACCTATCGTCAGCATGTTCGCCTCAACCAAATCCGGCGGGCAGACTCTGCTTCTCTTACCAGCATACGTCCTTCTCGAAACCATTCGCGCTATCCTGACCTACACTGCCATTCATTCACATGTCCCAGTCTCATCGACGTGCATCACATTTGGGTACTTGAACTTCACAGTGCTGGACGGTTCGATGACTAACCCAACCCATGCAGATCTGAGTTGGGCAAGCTTACAGTGACCACGATTTTCCTATGCCGCTGGATTCGCAAGGAGGATAGACATCTCTCAGTATGGAGTTTCCTCGCTGAGATCCGCTCGGTAGCGACCAATGCGACATGGAAGTCATATCTCGCCTACGCGGTTCCTTCCTTGATGTACCTTGCCAACAACCTCTTATATCTCTTGGGTCTGGAGCTGAGCACGCCTGCAACGCTTCATATCACAGTACTTGCAAAGGTCACAATCCCCTTCAGCGACTTTGGATGACATGGCTGACCGTCTCTGATAGTTGCCCATTACCGCCATTCTCCACCACTTCCTCTTCGTACCTCAACGCAATTTCTATGCATGGCTCTCCCTCGCCGCTCTCTGCGTCGGTCTGGTCGGTTCAAACGTTCCTTTGGATCTGATCACCTGGATTGGACTGGCTCCAAAAGGCCAAGCGCCTCCATTGTCGAAAGAAGCCTTCCTTGGGCCAATCATTGGTTTGATGATCGCAGTCTCATCTGCAGGTGCCAGCATATATATGGAGTTCATCTTGAAACAACCGGTGGCTTTCTGGGTTGCACAGTTCTGGCTGTACAGCTATAGCGTCCTCTTCTCTGGTCTTGCGTTCATATTCTGGGACGGACAGGTCAAGAGCGCAAAAGCCCCCAATGCTCCAGTGTTTACACGGGGCGACGTTTTCGCAACACCAGAGGCTATTTTCGTCAACCTGGCAGTAATCGTCGCTACTGCTACGACAGGCCTGGTGGTCGCCAATATCCTACGCAAACAGGACAACCTGGTCAAGCTGATCGGCACCTCTCTGAGTATCGTCACAATTATCGTCGGGCAGTGGATGTTCTTTCCAGCCTTGCGAGCAAAGACATTCAACGTTCAGACTGTGGCTGGTGCGGGCATCATAGCCATCTCCGTCTGGACCTACCACTATTACAAGCAAGCGCAACCCCGCGCACCAGGTTCGCGTATCGAGTATAGCGACGAACTCGATTCAGATTCAGAGAGCTCGATTCCTCTCACAGGAAAGGAGGGTGACTTGCCGACACCGGACTCGCCTGCACCTGTGACACGGACAAGCAACGGGACCCTCACTCCCACTCTACCACGAGTGGCAGCAGCGATATCGGCTGTCGTAGGCCTCAGCATGGTCACGGCTTTCTTCCAGCAACCCCAACACTTGCACAACGGGCCATTCACGCGGCCGTTTTCGGTCGACATCTATGGAAGCAGGGACGTCGAACGGTTTTTCGTGCCCAACAACGTCACGCCCGCTGTCTGGGGCCAGACGCGAAGAGAGGTGGGCTGTATCAAGAAATGGATCAAGAGTGAACACATCACGCCAGACACGCAGAAATTCAATGACTGGGAATACTCTTTCTTGGAGTCTGGATGTCCTGTCTACCCCATCCCAGACGGAGGAATGATTTTCCACCAGTACTGGAATGGACCGTGGAGACCCTTCCAGGAGATCACCATCGACGGTTTTCTCGCCACACAACGCCTTGGCGACGGTCATCGTTTGATCTACTGGTACGAAGAAGGAGGACCGACCGATGCGGTTCGCGCGAAGTACACCACAGGCGAGTACGGCAAGTACGTCGAATTTCGAGAATTAAACCGCACCGCCGAGGCAAAGGGAACATGTCTCGAGAACATGCGAGAGTGGGCCGATGTCGAGTATCAGAAGGAGCTTGAGATGAAGAAGTCCACATCCAGCGATCTGGTCCGTAACATGCTGCTGGCCAAGTACGGCGGCGTCTGGCTGGATTCGGATACGATTCCACTGGTTGATTTCACGCCTATGATCAGAAGTGGTCCGTCCGTGCCTGCGGTATGTTAACTCTCTTCCTTTCCATGTTTGGATCTACTGACATTCAATTTAGCTCGGCGGCAGCAACTACAACAACGACATCCTGGTCTTCGGACCTGCCGTTCCAGACGGTCCCGGTGACAGAGTCCTCCACACGACCTGCGAGATGCCATACAATCACACGCTGTTCGTGGAGAAGTTTGCCAATCACACTGTAAAACCCGTGTTCTGGTACTGGCTGTACAATGACGGTCTCTTCAAGCTGTGTTCGAAGAAGGAGTTTGATTGTGGACTCGCCAAGATTCCTGTCGATTATACGGACGGGTACGCATTCGCCATCAAAGGACAGGAGAAGATGAAGCCCTGCGGGCAAGGAGAGGAGGAGGCTTTTCCGCCGGGGTCGCTGGTGCCCGTGACGCTACGACGGCTGTGGGCATGGCACAATAGGATGGGCCACAGGGATGATGAGTGCGTGGACATTGAGAAGAACACGCTCATTGGCGCCGTGAGGAGGAGGATCCGTGAAGTTCTGTCTCACGGGCTGAAGATGGAGGGGCAGGATTTGTTCCCTGGACCTTCGGTGCTGAGTCGGAAGAGGTCTCTTCTGGAGGCGGCGGGTATGCCTGAGCAGTCATAATCCTGCAGATACACACGGTGATACCCTTCCTTTGATGCTGCCATGTCTACTTATGATTAGCGTTCTTTACAATAACATCAAGATTTTCAATGTCAGAAAGAGCGGACATCGTAATCACATCAGAACTTCTTCAAGATGAACCACCAGTGACTTGAGTTTTGGCCGAGCCAGTTGAAGGACTTTATTCACGGTTTTAGATACTTCGAACGAAACGTGGGCATCAGTCGGAAGCCTTCCGTCCGTTGTCCGTACGTCCAGCAAAGCAACGTCAGAATGGTCAGAGGGACAGCTAGGACCCAGTAAATCCAAAAGCTGTTGGAGACGTTCCATTCCTGCTTGCCAGTAACATCATCGAAAGACAGTGAAAAGAAGCTCATGCTGAAAATGGTCTGCAGGGTCAATAACGTTAGGCGCACGCAATCAGAAGTCGTCGCGCTGGATACTTACGGAAACAAAAGTCGCAGGTAAAAAGGCAAGAGTGACCACTGCGATGGTTTTCATGGATGCACTGTCGTGCTGGACGACGAGGTTGAAACCCTGTGATGGATCAGCTGGGCACACGAAGATGACCTACAAAGTCAGATTACCAAGTTTATCTCGTTCTTCAACCTTGCACTCAATGCTTCCGCACGGCGGCCAAGGTTGCGCAACAATCCCAACGTGAACGCGATCTCGTTGTGCGGACAAGCCGCCCTGATGGTGTCGGTAGCACCAAGCAGACACTTGCAACGACCGCCGTTGTCTACCCCATGCCCAGCAAGGAGTTCTGTAATGCTGTCACATGCCACGGCAATGATCTCACAGGTGTGTATTATGTGTCGGGCAAGGTCATGCATTTGAGCAAAGTCCAAGTGTTTCTGTCGGGTAGCACCGGAAAGATCTCGTTCCTGCGACATAGCCAGTGCATCAGCATAATACTCGACTCATTGCAGCGTCATGTTCCCCATGCCTTCTCGAGATCTCGTACGACATCGCGAATCGTCCAGACGGAGTGGTCGTACATCTTCAACAATTCCCCCAAAATGGCACTTTGGAAAAATGCAAGCTTATTTTTAGGCATCGGCTGATTTCTCGCATTCAGTGTGTGTACCAAATCTTTTCCGAATTGAAGCGGTGTATCCATGCAGAAGGTCACTGTCGCGCCATGTGGAACAGCGTAGATGTAGAAGCTCATCTCATACCATTCGTAGACATAGTAGTACCATGTCTTGGTTGGCATCCCCTTCTTCAGCTGCTTGATCAGGAGGTGGAACCAAGATGCTGTTGGCACTCAGTATGAGCACGATTCGATGAAAGGGTAGGCGACTCAGCTCACTGTCAGCTACTATTGTCTCCTCATGGCGTGCACTACCTGCGTATCCATTCGAGTCGCTGTATGACTTGTGCCATAACATCGCGGGATACTTCCACTGGGTCGTCATACTCTCCCGGAGTTGGGTCCGTTTCTCGAAGAAGTTGAACTCAGTAAACCTGGGAAATATTAATCACTAAAACTGCAACACACCAAGCGATAGCTCCCACACAACCCATGTTCCCGTTTGCGGTGGAGCCTGGCAGACAGTGAGTGATGAAAAGAGCCCGACAGACAGACGAACCGCCAGAAACCTTTCGCCGTCAATCGGCTCGCGCAAGAATGGCAGTTGCCCATCGACTGATTCTGTCAGTAACAGACCATACAGTATTTTGATTCGCTTCCCACCTTGCCGGTAGACTTCCATCACAAGGAGTATGGGCAAGACTGGGCACAAGCGCCAGGTTCAATAAGTCAGACATCGGCTTGCAAACAGGAACAGCAGAATGTCGGAGTGATGATCAGATATCAAGGCATTTGTAGCATCCTCACCCGTCAGGCTGAGGTTGCCTTTCGCAAGTCTGCGGACTTCCTCATTTCCAGCCTCGGAGGCGCCTCACTAGCCTTCAAGGAAGGAGTGGCCTGGCTATTGGGCAGTCTTGCAAGCTGAGCAGCGGCACTGCATTAACCTAGCCGATCTGCACCAACCCGCGCCTCAACCTGTGGCTGCCAATGACCTCCTGCATTTAGTGAAACACCTCGGATTTCCAATGGTGCAGGCAAAGTCTTCGACACTTTGAACGATGATGAAATGCTGCCGAGTTCAGACATGAAGACACTTAAATGTAGTGGATTATATTTCAAAGAATATGCGATTGCCGTCTTTTGACGGTCAATGCGGAGACAACAAGTTTAGTGGAGATGAGTGTCATTGACGTATCTCTTGCTCTTTCGCACACTGGACTCACTCGACATCATGCACATCGCCCCTTGGGCTGCTGCACTGCTGCGCTGCCGAGTCGAGGCGACGCTCTACAGAGACGACTGGTTGACAAGCCAGTGCAATCCAGACGTGTCGTCTCCGGCGCGTCAAGTCCACTCACATGATGAGAGCACACCTACCGGTTGCAACCACGAATCCTCGCTTGCTCGACTTCCTACCTTCGAATTTGCCTCACAGTCTGGCAGCCGAAGCGATGAGATCTATTCTCTGGCGCCAACCTCTGCACAATTCGACGGCACGGCTCGGTAATCAGAAGCCCATATACGCAAGAGAAGAGAGATTCATGAACATACGAAGTTCACTTCGCATGGGCCATGGAACGTGAGTTTGACCTCAGCCTATACCTCATGAGTGCTACATCCTCTTCAGCACAACCCCTTCTTCAAGAATGCGACCTCTCTGACGTCCAAAACCTCCCTCGACTCCCCCATCAACTGATAATGGTCCGCATCGACAATGGCATACTCCTTCGGCTCGCTCACCTGCCCATACCACCTCATCACCATATCCGGGGGAGTATTGGTATCCCTCGTGGCCACGCCAAAGAATACCGGCGTCGGTGTGAGAACGTCCAGATACGGCGCACATAACGCAGTTGTCGCCAATTCATCCAGGCTGGCCATCCAGCAATTATCAGCATCATCCTGCAGGTGTTCCAAGTCAATGACAATAAGAACTCACCTTCTCATCGTAACTTCATTCTTCCACGAACTCCCGTTCTTCTCCCACTCCGAGAAGAAAGCAAAAGACTCTGGACTCGGCAGCACACACTGCCCTCCAGGCTCGGCGATCATAGGCACCATGATCGGATCCAGACCTGCCGCCCTCGCCAACCGATCGACCTCGAACAGCGGCCGTATTGCATTCAGCGCATGAGGAGCCGTCAACCTACTCACAATCTCGAGCGGAGAACACCCCGGCCCCAGAGCAATAACCGCCCTAACCCTTCGATCAATCGCAGCGACTAACAGCGCCTCCGCAGCCGAAAGCGAGTACCCCCACAGCGCGATCTTGGACTTGTCGACCTCCTCCCTTGTCTGGACATAGGTAATCGCATCACGCATGTCATTCACCTGCTGCCAAGTGATGACTTCCTGGCGCGGCGCGTGAGGCGCCGTAGCCGACGCTCCAAACCCCCTGTGATCATATACAAGGCAAGTAACTGGCAGTTCTGAGATGAACATCTCGGCGACAGAGTCCAGACCCATCTCCTTGACACAAGAAAGGCCGTGCGTAAGGATCACGCATGGCAATTTCGTCGACGTTGATGTCGATGAGGCTATGAAGAACCAGCCACGCAGCGTCACTCCGTCGCCGGTCTTGAATGAAATGTCTGTTCGTGTCATCTTCGTTCGAGATGAAAGACGCTGATGGTCCATATACCTCTCTTCCTGAAAGTAAGTCGAGGCAGATGAGAACCTACAATGTACTCGCAGACAATACTGTAAGTCGATCCAGGAGAAGAAAAGGGGTTGTACTGCATGTCTTATATACCTATACCGGTCTCACCAACGATGTCTCCGTGCTTCCAGCCCAAGAACTGGTGACCGCCTTGCTCCATGCTCGCTGCGTATCTTGTCCTGGGTAAGCCTCGTCTAAGTGCCGAGATGTAGTATTCATCCCGTTCCACGACGTAGCCTCATGCTGTTATCTACCATCGCACCCAGAATCCTGCTCCATCTTTCCGATTACAGCTTCGCTTAGATTGTAAGATTCGCTCCCTGTGGCATAGCGTAGGTCATATCATAGAGTCTCCGACTTTTCAGCTCCCCATACCATGGAATCTGCTAGCCTTGCTAGCCTTGCATGGGGCGGCCATGTAATACCATAGAGATTACTAAACCTCTAGCTGACGAAGTACGTCGAATCTTGTCGGACGAATAGCTCAGTATTTGTCCTGGACGATGGCCGTCGCTCAATGCGAGTGAGGAGCATCTGCTTGTAATCAATTATGCGCATAGCAGGTCCCCTACCTGCAGGTTTTTGGTATGCGGTTGAACCCGGGGAGGATTCTGAACATGTACCACTCGTGGTAGGTACCTTTCCAGTCGACTAGAGGCAGAGTGTCGTACTGCGGCTACTGACGGAACGACATCTGACATGAGGTCCAGATCGAGCATGTGGGTAAGTCAGCACTATCGTCAGCAAACGCGAACATGAAATCGTGTGGTTGATCGAGTGGTCGAGAAGGCGGTCTGTGCATCATACCAAGATCGATGACATGCGCAAAGGGTTTCGACTTTGAAGGTTAAGGTTAGTCAGACGCATGACATGCATGTCCCAGCCATGCTGAAACATCTCCTGGCTGACATTTTTGTTGAAAGGCATTGTGGCAGAACGCGGAGACAAGGGGCACTGGATAAAGATATTGTGCATCTGTGGTATGTCGAGGGTGCTCAATGACGGACACAACACATGGTCACAGGCGAAGAATCCAAAGACGACCTCGGGATGGGTTTAACAATAAAAAATACTCGTTTGTCTGTATTGCCTATCCACACGCAAGCCCTTGAGAGCGTCTTTCGCTCATTCACAATCTGCCTAGATGTTCCCAAAGACCAACCCGGGAAACCCACGCCCTAGAGGCGCATGAGCTTCCGTTTTGTAGGGCTAAACCACCGAGCCAGTCCTTTTTTCTGTAATCTCAATGCAAGGAAACTCCGCTGAAGGTAACCCATGCCGACAAAGACCGCAGGACATTCATTACCCATTCGTATTAAGCTAGTCTAAGGAAGAGCACAGGACGCCAAATCCATGCTTTAGATGAAGAAGATGGCGGCCAGGAAAGCGCCGAGACCAGTCAGTGTGCTGGGATAGAATGTGACTCCGTCGCTCTTAGATGAACTGGTGCTGGTTGCGGTGCTCGAAGAGCCACCTCCGGTGGAGGATGCGTTGGTGTCTGGGTCTGCCTTGTCAGTGATGCAAGTGTTGACACCCTTGATGACGCCGGCAGAGTGAGCTTCGTTGAAGAGATCGCAAATGGTGGTGTTGGTGGATGTGGTCTGAACGTTGGATCCACCGCGGACATCGGTCAGAGATGGCAAAGCAACACTAAAAAAAAGGGTCAGTACATGGTGCTTGTGAAGAGTCGCGGAAGCTTGCTTACCTGCCGAAAGTGCCTGCAAAGTCAATGGCACCAACAACGGTCTTCAGCTTGGGGAAGCCGGAAATAGCCTTGAGGTCGGAGTTGTTCGCCAGCAAGAAACCACCGCCAATCTCAGTGAGAGATGGGAAAGAGAGGTTGGACAAGGAACCGCAGTCGACAAAGGCCAAGGTACCGCCGGTCGTGGTCAAGTTGGGGGCGGCGAAGCTCTCGATAGTGTCCGAGTAGAAACCCATTGAACCACCAACGGTCGCAAGTGATGGCATGTCGACACTGCTAACGTTGATGAAAGTCAAGTTGGCAGCATCTTGGAGGTTAGGGAAGCTGATCTGAAGGTCTTTGCCGTTGGCGGAGAATGACAAGGAGCTGGTGACATTGGCCAAATCATTGACATTGACATCGGTGAGATATGGGTTGTTGTTGATGTTCAGGGTTCCCACGGCGGTCAACTCGATACCATCAACATTGTTCAACTCGGTGTTGGAAATGTAGACCTCGTTGGCTTCCGACACGCCCTGGTTGAAGTTCAGACTCTGGAGAGCAGGGAGACCGACCCAGTTAATCACGTCGACGGCGTTGAGAGAGTTGAATTGAAGGGTGGACAGAATTGTGAGGCCAGTCAAGCTGAATGTGCCAGTGATCGTGCCAAGTTGGTCAGATGTGATAGCAGTCAGCTGGGTGGCATTGTTGCAGGTCAAGTCACCCTTGATCTGTTGAACACCGTCGATTGCGATTTGACCAGCAGCACTGGAATCAATGACAACGTCTCCGCTGTAGGTTGAGCAGCTGGCGATTTGTGAGGCATCCGCGCTGCTGGCAATGGTGATCGAAGGACCATCGCAGACCGAAGTGCTGGTTTGTGCTGTGATTGTTGTTAGCTCATTTCTCGCTCTTGCTTTATGTTCACTCGTATCTCTTGCGCGGCGCCGTGCCTCTTTCAATAGATAGTTGTGGTGTTGGTGGACGTACCGAGAACGGTGCTCGCAATGGCGAGAGCCGGAAGGATGAATTTGGTGAAGGCCATTGTGGTTCTATGAATCAGCGAAGAGGCTGCGAAGCTGGTCAGTCGGTGGTTCTCAAGGTATGCAAGGAGACGAGAAAGACATTTGAGCAAGAGGGTGAGGGTGACAGAAAGGGAGCTGTCACTCGGTGAGGGCAAACCAAGATAGGAAGACGCCGAGTGCACGACCGGGAAACTGACCTGAAATGCAATATTAAACAGGATAGAGGTGACTGGAAGCGAGTCGTAGGAACTTTTTGGAGTGTATGAAGGATTAATCTGTTGGGTTCCTGGTGAAACTCGCAACGAATGAAAAAGACGCTTCAGTGAGGGAGAAGCTGGTGGATTGTTGTTGCTTTGGATTTGTTAAGACAGTTGAGCCGGCGGCAAGTACGACCTTTCTTCTTTTACAGAAGATGCAGTCGACGCGTGGCTGGCTTTGGATGAAGAAGAAAGAAGAAGCAAACAGCAGCAACGATGGACTGTGAGTAGGAGTAATGTGAATGAATTTCTGTGAACAGAAGGGATGGCAGGAAAATAGGATGGGATCGGGCCCTTGGGGAGGAGAAGAGAAGAATGAATTTCAATGGGATTAGGACTGCCCGCTTCGCCGTGATTGGGTACAATGGTGCAAGCAAGCCGCAGATGGAGGTAAAACCACAGGCCAGACAAGCTTGACAGACATGTTGCCCGCGAGTCCGGGCGGTCCAGCAGGGGGATCACAAGCTGCAGCCTGCAGAGTGCCAGAAGTGGGCTTGGAAAGGTCGCGCTTGCAGCAGTCCCTTGTTGCAGGGGTGGATCAATTGTGGAAAAGGGGAGGCTGTATTGTGGTATTTGTACTGTCACCACTATCAAAGCACAAATCGCAGCCACTCCCAGGTACTCATCCAACCCCAAGAGCCTACCTAGAGGCATTCAGCCAGCTTGGTGCTTGCGATAGTTCATACGCATGCAATCCACTTCCTTCCGAGAGTCAATCATGCAATCATGCTTGCACCCAAAAAAAAGAACTCCTCACTACAATTGTTGTACACCTCCCTATCTGAGACATCTTGACAGCTTCCTCGCGTTACGTGCTTGCCACCTCAAATCATCGAATACCACACCACCGGATATAATCACGGCGGTACTGCTGCAGCCAGGCAACAAGTCTTTATAAATTCATATGATCGACTCTTTGGCCCTCGCCTTGCTGCTACTCAGTTCCTATCCAATTCTTATCGCAGAACCACACGGATCCACAGGGAGACGTACTCTGTACAAGAAACCGGTCGTAGCATGGACTGATGGTAGACTCAAGCATTGCCGAAGCGAATCCAGCTTATCACGCTTATTAGCCGAGATAGGTCCTTATTATCACGCACCTGATCATTGATCTTCATCAGACATCAAACAGATTTGTGGAGAGTGAAGAGGCTGGTAAAATCAACACATGGGGTTTGAGTTGGGAGTGATCCGAAGGAAGGCAAAGACGTGTCAATGCGTGCTTCATATGTATAACACATTCCGATGTCAGAATTGTCACAACTCCCTCCCACAAGCCACCTGATGCTCGACGCTCGTGCTTCAAAGACGAGACTCATCTCTCAGACCCTGGTGGAATCATAACGAATTTCTGAAACCAATATCAATTTTCTTGATGGAGCGACAGTGCTCGGTTTGCTGATCTCAGTGATTTGTCCCAAACTCTCGATTGTTTATCAGTGCCAGAGAGTTTGATAGCTTTTCGCTTGATCCCACATCTGACGGCGGAGTGGTGATCCAGTGCTGCAAGGCGTAGGCTGGTCACGGCTGGTGCAGTCTTTCCGCCACACTTGTTCCACCACCCACGTTTAGCGCTCTTTGTGGTTACAATACCGTACGGCGCCCAGCCAGATATCCCGGCGCATGTCCACAAATTGTTTGATGGAAGTTGCTGTTGTTGGAAGTCCACTCTCGATAAATATGCTTCTCAATCTCCATGAGATCCGCAACCAACAAACAGAGATCATCATCCTCCCAAAAGAGGCATGCCGATATCATGATTTTTAGCTGAGACTATTGAGTCACATGCTGTGCTCCGCCACAATGCAAGATGTGTTCTGGAAAGTCCGGCCTCTTCCACGACGCCGTCGGTGGGGTGGTGGTTTCTTGGTGTTTCTCTTGCAAAGTTTGACTCTTCTGGCCGCGTAACCTTCACGAGACCAAATTCTCGGATCAACCACGGAGTAACGCGGGAAGGTGCCCGTCCGTCTGTATATCGCACAACATGATACGTTTGCTGATATGAAGAGAGTCTTCCCGCGTTGTAAAGCACTTCACCAGAAAATCGTTGAACAGTGACACGAACCGCGTTACATCGGGATCAACACAGACTGCGACGGCAGGACCACCGCGTGTACAACGCGTTTTCTTGCTTCGTCCGCTTATCGAGTCACGTGCCTTGGCTTATGTCAGCCTTGTACGCACTAGCCTCTCCTCGAGGCTGTGACGGGCATGACGACAAAAAAACATCAAGCAGGTTGCTAATGAAGTCGACTTGCATCTGTCGAGGCTTGTAGATTGAACTTATGCAGTGATCCGTTGCCGTCTGAGAACAAATTCTTCTTCGACTTGATGCATTATACTTGCACGCCTACGAGTCGCCCAATTTGCCGCCGGAGATCGTCCGAAGGACGAATTCGACGAGGACATCGTGAATGCTAATACGTTCCCTTACAAACATGTCTCTCCGCAGGTCTGGTAGAGTTGCTTCGGCGCTGGCGTCCTCAGCAACGGAAGATGCAGTCAATGCGACTAATGGCACCAAGAAGCGCTCAGCTGGCACTGAAGCTCCTCAAGACAAGGCTAAAAAGCCCAAGACTGCAAGTGTTGCTGACAAAGTCAATGGCGAAACCAAGGAGACAGAGTTCAAAATACCAAGTACGCCAGTGAAGGGCCCGAAAAGGACTTCAGTAAAAGAATCCAAGAAACCGCCTCTCACGCCGACACCGAGCCTTGTCGCCATCATCCGAGCTCCATATAGTTCAGGAGATATCGACGATGCGACACCGCCACCCGATCGACCAGTCGAACCACATGTCACCAATGCTACGCTGGTAACACCGAACGGCACGCAGAGAGTGGCCTACTCTGATGACCTGCCTGACTCAACTCCATCGAAGACAGGACTTCCTCGACCAACAGCCACGACCAACACACTTTTAGATCAGGCATGTGCTCATCTCACAAGTGTCGACGAGCGAATGAAAGCAATAATAGAGAAGTTTCCATGCCACGTATTCTCGCCCAAAGGTCTGGCGGAACAAATCGATCCTTTCAGGTCGTTGTCTAGCGGGATAATGGGACAACAAGTATCCGGTGCTGCTGCCAAAGCCATCAAGAACAAATTCATAGCGCTCTTCAATGAGGAAGGCTCGGAATCACCCAAGTTCCCCACCCCAGCCCAAGTCTCCGTCACAGACATACCAAGGTTACGACTCGCAGGTTTATCGCAACGAAAGGCCGAATACATACAAGGTCTAGCTGCAAAGTTCAACAACGGAGAGTTGACGACGGACATGCTCATGAAGGCTACAGATGAAGAAGTCATGGAGAAACTGATCGCCGTCCGTGGACTAGGAAAATGGAGCGTGGAAATGTTTGCATGCTTTGGACTGAAGAGGCTTGATATCCTGTCTACTGGTGATCTCGGCGTCCAAAGAGGTATGGCTGCCTTTTTTGGAAAGGATGTCAAGAAGCTCAAAGCAAAAGGCGGAGGCAAGTGGAAATACATGTCGGAGCAGGAAATGCTGGACAGGTCGGCTCCATTCGCACCGTACCGCAGTTTGTTCATGTGGTACATGTGGAGGGTAGAGGACGTGGATGTTTCCGTCATGCAGAGTTCAATGTAATTCGTCTTCGAGTTCATAAGGCCTTTGTTGTATCTGTACATAGTTTCGAGGCCGCCAGCAGTTGCTGAAACCCAGCTTCAAGTTTAATGCATTGAATCATCCGTCAACTCCACCCAACCTATGCTTCTATTTTTTCCGCTCGACAGTAACAGAGTCGAGATCAGCGCGTTCCTTCAATTCGGCTTCGATTTGTCGAATGATGGGGCTGAGGTATTCTTTGTCCTGGGGTACCAATTAGCAACTGCTTCCTCAGATATCACTCCATCGGGCTCCTCCTTACTTCTTCAGGTTTGGTCCGCTCCGCGGCAGGTAGTAATTGATGGGCGAGGGAGCACTTCGGGAGTTGTCAGTTGCAATGTCCAGCATGTGAAACAGCTCTGCGCCGTACCTGGAAAGCTCTTCTCAGTCTGAACACGCGGTCGTATGCTTCCTTGGGTGGCAATCTCTTGAGCGCAAGCTGCACAATATCGTTTTCTTCAGGGATCAGATCATCGGCTTTGAGACCTGTTGCATGGTCAACCTCTCATGTCTACACTAGGAGCTGTCGTCGTCTTACCCAATTGTCTGTATCCGGCAGCTTCGGCGTACCAATTCGCTAGGGGCATCATCCATCTCTTGAGCCATGGTCGCTTGAGGATGTACGGGGCCATCGAAGGGGCAGACATCTTGACGGAAATGGGCTGGGGTACTTGGCCTAGAATGCCGTGGTGCTAGGTCGCTTGGTCGAAGATAAGTCGAAGGTCGATGGACTGCACCTTGAAGCTCTCATCGCAGTCGAATGAAGTTTCCCGGGCCCTTGGCAGGTCTGTGGAAAAGGGTCGCCGATGATTGGTCCAAGACAGCTCCAGTGCAAACCTGACAAACCGCTTACATAATTGCACCTGACAGCATGTGACCTCTTCCAACAATTGGAAGTTGTGCACGTTGTTGGTCGTCCGGAGACAGCTGCCCGTCGTCAAATCTTCCTGCCCGGGAAGCTTGACCGACTGCACCAATTCACCCACTTTCATCATATCTCAACACCACGGCTCCTCTATTATTCCACAGCTCAATCCGCTCTTAACCACTCCATTCGACCTACTCATCTCCGCTGTCTAATTTTCGTCGCTATTTCTTTGTGCCCGAGGTCTCCCATGGCCTTTGTCAACCGCTGACAGGCCACTGGGACGGCTTCGGCCAGACCCCGCAGTTTCCACGACCACCAAACGGCGGTGCAACGAAGAGAACATTCCCCAGCGCACTCCGTTTGTACCACCATAGAACCTGACCTCCCCCCTTCTCAGTATGAGACGTCAAGAGAGTTGACATCAATCTTCGAGAGTGTCTGCAAAGGATGCCCTTTGAAAGAGACCCCGAGCAGACACCAGCTATCTTGGCTTCCCAATATGCTATCCCGACTGACGATCCATCACCCGCCAACAATTACACCACAATGCCTTCCAGTCCTTCGAGTCCTTCAAGAGATTCCTTCGCCACTCGGTTGCAGATATACTCGACACAGGTTCCGAAGGCGTGGGTCAGCCCAATATGTGGTGCCGGAGCAGGCCTCGCTTCTGGTATCGTGACTTGCCCACTCGATGTGATCAAGACGAAACTACAAGCCCAGGGAGGTTTCGCTAAAAGAAATGCAACCCCAGGGCACCCAACCACGTCACACATATATAAAGGTATGGTCGGAACCACTCGAGTCATTTGGCGGGAAGAGGGCATACGGGGCATGTACAGGGGTCTGGGTCCTATGTTGCTGGGGTATCTACCTACATGGGCGGTCTATTTGACTGTATACGAGAATACAAGAGAGTTTTGGTACGATAAATGCGGGAGCTGGTGGCTAGCACGATGCTACTCATCCTTGACCGCTGGCGCGTGTTCGACGATCCTGACAAATCCAATCTGGGTCATCAAAACTCGCTTCATGACTCAAAGCACCAAAGCGGCCAGCGATGGAATGCGCGCCCCTTACTACTACACGTCCACGTTCGACGCTGCCAAGAAGATGTATCAGCATGAAGGAATGCGATCATTCTACTCTGGCCTAACCCCAGCTCTACTTGGGTTGACACACGTCGCGGTACAGTTCCCGCTATACGAGTATTTCAAGATGAAGTTTACGGGGTTCGGTATCGGCGAGCATCCAGCTCAAGACAGCAGTGCCAACTGGGCTGGTATATCGGCCGCCACGTTCCTGAGCAAGGTGTGCGCCAGCACGGCCACATATCCCCATGAGGTCCTCCGCACTCGGCTCCAAACCCAGCAACGCAGGACTGGTATGTCCACTTCCGACGGCTTGTCGGTAAAGGCACAGTACAAAGGCATCGTCCATATGTGCCGAGTCATCCTCAAAGAGGAAGGCTGGAGGGCCTTTTATGCCGGCATAGGCACGAATCTCATCCGAGCGGTTCCGGCCGCCATGACGACAATGCTCACATATGAATGGTTACAGAGTACGATGCATCGTGCTCAGGAGAAAGGAGAACAACTAAAGCAGGAAGCTCATGGTTCGCCAATATGAGCTGTGGAGATCACCTGCAACTGGATCTTCGCATGGCGTTGGAAGGAGTTCCGGCGCTGGGTGCCCGTCATAGACAGGCACTTGGTTCTACGCACTTTTTTTAGGCGCGCCATGTCTTATGCACGCGGCTCAGGTCAGCTTCACGTGACGTTGAACACTTTTAGAGTCGGAGTTGAACATCATGTCGTCCACAATACGGATCACGCCGGCTGAACAGTTTGCTTAGATGCACAAGGAGACATGGAAAGCAAGGTACGAGGGCCGAGGAAGGCTACCATCGAGGCCACATCGATGCCATGCCGTCATCGGAGACAAGAGGATATGGGCTCACAGGCCACATTATCACTATGATAGCCAAGCTTGCACCCCAGAGAAACCGCAAGCCTTTCGGATTCACCGCACCTCTGTTCTACCGAGAAAGGGAGGAAGTCACGGTTTGAGTGGACTGCCTTATCCCGCAGAGTACATCAGCCGAGCTGCCGTCTGTATCTAGCTACTTGTACAGTAAGAGCTGTTGTGCGCTTCAATATTAATGAACTTGAATTGGACACAAGAATTACCCGACATTTCCGTCGTGCATACTGATTTTACGCCCTTGGGCGGTGCGCACGTCGATCAGACATAGGCGGGCGGTCAACAGCAGACCCAGGCCCAAAGCCACGAACGGCCAGTCGTGAAGGAGATCCATGGCCCAGGGAAATGCCTAAGTTAGTAGACTGTACCGGACTAGTGCTTGTAAGATGCTCGTGAGGGCAGTAGACAGAGGACGGTCCTTTTTCTGATACTGTAGTGGTGCCACTACTGACTTCCGACTACCAGTGCCCACCACGGTAGGTCGTTTGGGGGATATGGTACGTACCAAGTAGGTAGTTGGAGAGGCAGATATATAGGTAGGAAACAAGGTCAAACCACTACAGGATATGTTTGCTTCGGTCGGCACAAGTGGCAATCTGCAGATATTTGGCACTGGATCATTGATCAAACTCTACCCAACGTCTACTGTAAGTAGATACTGTGGTATCCCGGACATACACTAAAGCCACCTCCGATCACTGGTGGATGCTTCAATACAGTGACGTAAGGTGGGAAGTCTCAGCCCACAGACCTCTATGCTCTGGGTTGCTGAATACTTCACTTTGAATACCTCTCTTGTATACAGGGATCTATTGCGGCTTGTCGGATGAACAATGCCGGGGACGAAGAAACCAGACCGAAGCGAGGCAACGGACAGTAGCGCGGCCTTTATAACAGCATTAGTCGAAGTTGTAGATCAGAATGCATAGATATCCACATTTTGATGGCTTTCGTACAAAGATCAGCCACAGTGCATAGCACAGCCTGGCTGGATATGAGACCTTCTTACACAACATAGGCAAGACTAACGACATAACCCGGGGAAAAGTTCATTATCACATCCAACGCAAAACAACACCCATGCAGACCCATCCCAGTCAACATACACACTCCGTACTCCATCTTCAAACTGTGCATAGAGAAGACCCATCAATACCCTCAATCAATCACAAGGCCTTGTGTACACTGAACATCCGTGTTGACCTAAAACAACAGCTTTTTCTAACCACTGCACATAATGCAAGCCTCCTTGTTTTCAATCGAGCCTGTTGACAATATTAGTAACCAGACACTCGGAAGTATAGGGGGTGGACTTACACTGCAACACCTTCTGCGCGTAAATATCACCTTCGCGCTCTTCGGAGTCGCTGTCCTTGTCTTCGTCCTGAAGAGCCTTGATCTGTGCTCTATTCTCGAGACTCTCTTCGACGACGGGCACGTCGACTGGGTCAGTAGGCAACACCTTCGGGCTGGGCTCCTCGCTGCTAGTGCCTTCACTCAGACGAGTCCGGGCAAGTTTGTTGACCAGCTGTTTCTCCTCCTGAGGAGGGGGCGTGGAAGTAGGCGTTGGGATGCCGTTCATGGACGTGGCTTGCCCACCAGCGCCAAGGTTGGATGTCTTGGACGCATACATAGGGCGCACACTGTTGGCCTGACCGAATCCGAGCGAGGTGCGCTTCTTAGGCGCGCTACGCTCACGGGCAATGTTGGTGTCAGCAACCTTGAGCTGTTCTTGGTCGACTGTGAACTGGATGGGCTGGGAGGCGGCCATGGTTCGCAGGTAGTACATGCCGGTCTTGAGACCCATCTTCCAGCCAGCAAAGTGCATCGAGGTGATCTTGCCCATAGTTGGCTCCTTGAGATGGATGTTGAGAGACTGAGATTGATCGATAAAGGCACCACGGTCAGCGGCCATCTGTAGGACGTTACGCTGGCTAATTTCCCAAACAGTCTTGTACAAAGCCTTGATCTCCGCCGGAATGTTGGGTACATTCTGGATGGAGCCTCCGTCAGCGATGATACGGTTCTTCATGTTGTCGGACCAGAGTCCAAGGTCGACCAGGTCCTTCAACAACCACGGGTTGACGACTTGGAATTCACCAGCCAGAACACGTCGGGAGTAGATATTGGATGTGTATGGCTCGAAGCACTCGTTGTTGCCCAGAATTTGCGAGGTTGATGCAGTAGGCATAGGAGCAACGAGGAGAGAGTTGCGAACGCCATGCTTAGCAATATCAGCCTTCAGGGAGTCCCAATCCCAAAGGTCAGTGGGAGTGACATTCCACATGTCATACTGAAGGATGCCCTGAGAGACAGGGCTACCCTCGTATGTCGAATATGTCCCCTCCTCCTGGGCAAGCTCACAAGAAGCCGTGAGGGCAGCATGGTAAATGGTTTCGAAGATCTGGATATTGAGTTGGCGGGCTTCCGGAGAGTCGAAAGGAAGACGAAGAGCGAGGAAAGCATCAGCCAAGCCCTGGACACCCAACCCAATAGGTCTGTGGCGCATATTGCTGTTCTTCGCCTCAGGAACAGGATAGTAGTTGACGTCAATGATCTTGTTCAAATTACGGGTGACGACCTGAGTCACTTCGTGGAGACGACCAAAGTCATACTCACCGCGAGCTTGGTCGACAAATGTTGGCAAAGCCAAAGAGGCAAGATTGCACACAGCCACCTCATCTGGTGCAGTATATTCGACAATCTCCGTGCAAAGGTTGGAGCTGCGGATGGTTCCCAGGTTTTTCTGGTTGCTCTTTCGGTTGCAGGCATCCTTGTAAAGCATGTACGGCGTACCAGTCTCGGTCTGTGATTCGAGAATGGCATACCACAGTTTCTGGGCTTTGATGGTTGAACGACCACGGCCCTCCTTTTCGTAGCGCTCGTAGAGAGCCTCGAATTCCTCGCCATAGACATCGGCAAGACCGGGAGCCTCATGAGGGCAGAAAAGTGTCCAATCTTGGTTCTTCTCAACACGTTCCATGAACAGATCTGGAGTCCACAGAGCGTAGAACAAGTCACGAGCACGGACCTCCTCTTTTCCGTGGTTCTTTCTCAGGTTGAGGAAGTCAAAGACATCTGCGTGCCATGGCTCGAGGTAGATGGCAAAGGCACCAGGTCGCTTATTGCCACCTTGGTCAACATAGCGGGCAGTGTTGTTGAAGACTCGGAGCATAGGAATGAGGCCATTGGAAGTGCCGTTGGTTCCGGCAATATAAGAGCCAGTAGCACGAATGCAGTGAGCATTGAGACCAATACCACCGGCAGTCTTGGAGATCATTGCACATGTCTTGAGAGTGTCGTAGATGCCCTCAATGCTATCTTCCTTCATGTCGATCAAGAAGCAAGATGACAACTGAGCCTGTGGTGTTCCGGCATTGAACAGCGTGGGAGACGCGTGAGTAAAGCATTTCTGGGACATGAGGTTGTATGTCTGAATGGCCTTCTCAACGTCATCTCCGTGGATGCCAACAGACACACGCATAAGCATGTGTTGTGGTCGTTCAGCAACTTGCTTGCCGATCTTGAGGAGGTATGATCTTTCCAACGTCTTAAAGCCGAAGTATTGGTAGTTAAAGTCTCGGTCATAGACAATGGCCGAGTTCAACTCGTCGGCATGTTTCATAACACATTCATACGTCTCCTTTGAGATCATGGGGGAAAGCTTGCCGTTCTTGGGGTTGACATAGTGGTAAAGATCTGAGATGACGGAGGAGAATTGTTTCTTGGTCTGCTTGTGGAGGTTGGAGACAGCGATACGTGCTGCGAGGATGGCATAGTCTGGATGAGTGACGGTCATGTACGCTGCCGTCTCTGCCGCCTGGGTCGACGTTAGCATTGACAGTACCAGAAGAGGGGGATAGCACGAACCAGGTTGTCCAGCTCAATGGTGGTGACACCTTGATAGACACCTGAAATGACTTTCTGCGTGATAGCTGCTGCATCGACGTGTTCTGGGTCGAGGCCGTAACACAGTCTCGAGACACGAGCCGTGATCTTGTCGAACTGAACGCGTTCTTTGCGTCCATCTGCAAATTTTGTCAGCGAGTCAATCCACGGCTACACGCCCTCCGTAGGCAGATGAGCTGCCCATGGATGCTTCGGGGAGTGTCAAGGAAGCCCATACCTCGCTTGAAGACGAACATGGTGGTGGTTCAGAGACTGTTCCTCACTTGGATTCGAGTAACGGCGAGAATGTGGTGGCAAGGAGAAGAAGTAAGGAGTGACAGAAGCAGCAGACCAACACGCTCGCCTTTATGTGATGACAATGGACATATGGTCGCTGTAGAGACGCAGGCAGCAGGAAGGAGATGTTGTCAGGAAGAGAAGCAAAGTGAAGAAGGGCCCTCATAACATATTAATGCAGGTCAACACGTCGCGCGACCTTGACCCGTTAAGTGTCTAGTACGCGAAAAGGCGCGTCGTGCGTGAAATGGGAGAAAAAGTGGAATGGAAGCATCCAAAGTAAAGTGCCTTCAGGCGTGTGGCCCTTGCGTCATTCGCCACCGTCACGTCCCTCAAAGATTCCCACGTCCCAACCTCAAGGGTTTCCGAGACTGGGGGAAATGAGCTTTCAAGTATGCAATCCAGGCCAGTGCCAGCCGCATCGTCAATCCTATAGCAGCTGCCTCCTCGATCGTCGTCTAAGCACCTCCTGATACACTTTGTTGACTCCAATGGTATGGGCTGGCGAAGCGACTGAGGGGCTACCAACAATAACACCGGACAGATCACAATGGAAGCTGACAAATGCCCAAGAGACGCGCGATTTCACGACGATCGGCCTCTGAATATGGACTGAAATCGTGAATGAATACGGAGTACATTTTCACATAATCTAAAACACCTTCGCTGAAGCCTGAAAGCATCGCAACGACCACTCCAACCTCCAAATTCAGACAGCCACCCAAAGCCTCAACTACATCAATAAGATCTAAAAAGACGTACAAAGAATCTTCATGGCCTCGCCAATGCCCACACCCAGAGAACCATCCTTTTGCCAACCACCTAATACGCCCGATCTCTGCCCTTCCCTCTGATAGTATTGTCATCAAGATCATAATCATCATCCCCTTCCCGCACGCTGCTCATCCTTTTGATTTGTTCCCGTTCTTTGTCTTCCTCGTGGTCCGCTTCACTGCGGTTACTACTTATCACACTGAGCGCGTCTGCATTGACGACCCTCAACCTTTCCTTTGGTACTGTGAACATGACCTGGACCACTCGGTTTTGTACAGCATTTTCGACGTCCCAGTCTTCATCCTCATTCAACCCGTCATTGTCGTTTAACATCAGGCCGGGAACAGGTTTCCTTGCAATTGACATCGGCCTAGGATTGGTACGACCTGGTGAGTCGTCATCCCAGTCCTTTGCGCCTCGTTTACCGCGCCAAAAGGCGTCTCCTGCGCTCATTGACCTGCCCACCTCAGACATATCGGGCTGCTTCCTGGGGCTTGGTGAACCACTTGTAGTCTCCAAGGCAGCAACGCGGTCGTGTACATCAACGTTGCCGGTCCCTGTGAACACCCGCTTCACGCTGCCAAACAGATCCATTGCCCGTCGGCTGGAGCTGGTCAAACTACCCGCTCGAGTATATTTGTTGTTTTCGGGCACTGTCTTGTAGTAGCGGTCATGACCTCTGTTCAGGAGAGCCTGGTCTTCGCCTGGTGCTACAGAACCCCAAGGGTTCCCTCGAGCAAACGCATACTGGTCTGCTCGATCATTGGCATTAGTGTGACCGGCAGAATCTGTGTTTAGTGATATACTCCGGTTCGTGGGCGCTCGTGCAAGCCCACCATTGTTTTGCGGCTTGACTGGGCCTTGTCGACCATTCCCAACCCTGCCCATAGCAGCTGCGGCTCCTGCGAAGAGTGCATACGGAACAGCGCTGATACTCCTTTGCGACACATTGCGCGATATTGTGCCAGCCATCGATCGCTGGAATGATGTACTCGTAATTGCGCTGCTCTCAGAGAGATTACTGCCTGTACGGTCCGACTTTTCCGGCGACCCTCGCCCTGTCACATCGCCCACCGTTGGAGGTCGAAATTGGGAAACATTCGAGTATGTCCTGCTGTATGCCTGGCTTGTGCTCCGCGACAGGCTCATGGACTCAGCCGCCGATTGCCAGTCATCGACCCAGCCCTCGACCTCCTTCTTGCGCTGTGCTGCAGCATCTTCCGTCATCGATGGTGGATCTTTGAATGGGTTGCTCTTGACCGAGCTGGTGTCTCCGGCTCGGCTGCTCTCGTCCTCTTCATCAATTCTAAACACGGGGCCAGGAACTCCTGCAGGCGGGTGCTGGTTGAAAGGGCCATGGCTTCCAGTACTCCTGCCACTAAGATTCTTCCGTAAGCCGCGTGTCGGGCTAGGTATCTCCATCATGACTCCCGTGCGCTCCGCATATCGGGAATAAATGCCGTCATCATGGTGAAGCCTTGCTGTCTCACCTGGTGCCACGATCGGAGCCCAGGGGAAGGGGTCTCCAGATCCCTCAATCTGCCGTTCTTGCATGGCATTCCAGCTTGGTGAGCGTGCTCCGGTCATCTTGGCGTCGTCTTGTCCAGTCGGACCTGGCGAGTGTTGACGACTGCCGAGAGCTTGTTCCCGGAGTACCCTCTCACGGGCAGCTCGTTTCATTCGGAGTTTCCGGGCATACAATAGCCAAACGATAGCCACCCCTCCTGCTGCTGCCAGGCCGAGCCCGAGCCCGGCACCCAGGCCAGCTTTCTCGGCAGACTTAAGTCCTGTGGAGGACGTGTCTGAATTCGTAGAGGCAGTCGTAGACCCCGCGGAGTTGGGGTTGGTGTAGCTGTCAGACCATTCGAGTGTCGTCGTGTTTAGGAAATAGACATCGTCGGAAACGTCACGTTTCCTCTTGGAGCCACTTAAGGTCATGGAATAGCCCCCGGAGACCATCATAACTCCGCCCGGCAACAAGGCAGCTCCGTGGCCGTAGATGCCCGTTTCTGAAGAGAATGGACTCGATGTCGAGGAAGGCACCGTCCAGGTCCAATCACTATCTCCACCATAGCCCTGACCGACTTCCAAAATCACGAGTTGAGGCGTCGCGGGAGTCGATGTGTCTCCCACCCACCCGCCAAGAACGATGATCCTGGCTCCGTCTTCGGTCAAGACCGCGGTGTGACCTGATCGGGGCTCAACCGTCGTCGAGTCTCTTGCCTTCAGCTTTCTCTTGCTAGAACTAGACGGTTGCTGCACCCCAACAAAAGCCCAGGACTGTTGCGGGAGAGAGAATATGGCAAGCTGGGACATATTAATGAAAGCGGTTTGAGTATGGCCACCAAGCAGGACGAAGTTTTGCTGCTGCGATACACTCGTCTGAGAGGTGTTGGAAAAGGTGGGTGTCAGGGGTGTGACAGTCAAGCCCGCTTCGGCGACAGGAGGGGCCCTCGCTCCAGTCAAGGACAGTTGATATTGAGAGCTAGTAGATGCCTCGGCCAGGGTCAACATGGTATTCGAGTAGGTGGCATCCAACTGCCAATCTGCTGCATCAGGCGAGGAGACATTGGGACACATGCCACCAAAAATGTAGAGTGCCAGATCATCACTGGAGTCGGTCGGAGAGAACGCAAACCCAGCAGAGAGGTAATTGGAATCCAGCGATGTATCGCTCGTGGAAAGTGACAACTTTGACCAGCTGCCGTTGCTTGTGCCATTGTCCAACGCCAGTCTCCAAAATTCAACATCCGCTGTACTGTTTCTGCAATTACCAGCCAATACTGAGATGTTATCCTCACTTAACACTGGTATAAACGCCTTTGAGGTCGTTTCGGAAAGGAACGGCAGGCTGGTGAACAACTCGGTCTTAGTCGAACTAGAGTTGAGTCTATCCGACAGGTCTACCGTGTGCAATGAGAACTGTGTGGACGAGTTCTCCGAAGAGAAAAGGTAGGCAACGGAGCCATCTGTCGCGGGTAGGATCCAGGTGGGATTGTAGGGGAGTTGCGCAAACGAAGGTGTAACAACGGTCGATAGACCAGCGAGGAGGAGGATGAGGCGTGCGGACATATCGCTTTGTTGGTGATCAGGTCATCGTCCGTCTTGGTGATTCAAATCTTGACTGCCAAACAAACCCATCTGCGGCCTGCCGTGGTCAAAGAAAGGTCGACTTTTTTGTATCTTTGCGCCTGGGATTCGAGTTCCCTTTAGTTCCTCCACCAGAATTCGAATACGAACAGAATCATCAGGAGGTTGGATGTAAGAGCGCAGTCATTCGCGGGGCACAATGTTCGGTGGTAGGTCAGCGTGTCAACAGTCGCGGGATAGTCGCCAGCCACGCTGAACTCGAGTTTGGTTTCAGGGTCCCTAGGCGAGGAATGGTTGCACAACTTCAAGGGTCTTTATCTTTGGTGGCCAATTGAGATCCTTACCCCTGCGAGGAGAATTGCGCCATCTTCATGGAAGAAGCAGACGAAAGAATCGCCAGTGTTTGTGGTTCTGTTGCCACGGAAACATGAATTTCGCCAGGGTTCGCGAAAATAGGCGAACGACATCCTGTCCAATCTAAAACATCAACATCAGCCACCAGAAGAACTAACTACTGAGTCCGCATACCCTGGTAGCATGTGATGATGTCCTTCATGATGACCCAGCTTGGACCACAAGTTCGTTAATAATGTGTTGAACTCATCATATACATCAAAATATCCAGGCGGCGAGATGCTCTCCTCGGAGGTTCTATGCCTGGGCTGAAATGCAATTTTCTCACGAAGTGCGGCCAACCTAATGCACCGGTTGCAATCATATAAGTTACGTTGACTGTCGGGTCAGGCAGAGCATTCAGGTAATGAATTCACAAACTTACTCCGTACGGCAGGCGAGTTTACCATGATCATCTTCTGCAGGGTGTTCTTCAATCATGATGCCATGCTGCTTTATCGCCACGTGACACGTCCCGGCGCCACCATAAGGGCAGCGCGCCAGATCTTCACGCAGGAAGACGCTGATCTCATTATTTGGGTTGTTCCACAGCGGCCGTCTTGTATATCATAATGACCTCGAAAGTCTCTCAGTCCTTCGAGTATACCGCCGTGAAGATCAATCGCGTATAACATTAGGCTCTATCTTGCCCTCATACCTGATGCGGTAACATGCAACGACCAAGCATTCCACGAATGCGACTCGACGCGACATGGCGTCTCGAAACAAAGAAAACAGTCCGCTCATAGCCAACCCGCGCCATGATTCCCTTGCGCCGTCGCTCAAGAACCTCCCGAGTGAAGACTTCTTCACTGACAGTATCATTGATGACTCGCGTATTCCCACGCCCAGCCCACAGAAGCCCAGGCCAGTGAGACCTCGACGCGCCGTCGGCATCAGCAAAGCACTCGGGGCGAGTAAAGATCTTGGGAATAAAACGCACCGCTCGTCCCTCTCCGAATACACCAACTCTCGGACGAGCAAGCTATTGCAACCTGCGCCAACTCTGATAAATAAGAAAAGCCTCAGCCCGCGTCGCAGCAACGGGCAGACAACTCCACCACATTCCGGGCATGGTCCTTCTCTCACGACTCCTACCGAAGAGTTCTCGAGCCCCCCGCATGGTCTGACAGACGTATACCAAAGGATAGCGGATGAGGAAGATCTTGCTGCTACGGAAAGAGAGGTGGACAGCGACGAAGAGTTGGAAAACGAAGAAGGTGACGCTCTGGGCACAGAGGTGAATGCCAATCCCACGCCTGTTGATCAACAGTCGCCCGGGGCGGAAGACCTCACAACTTCATCAACACCAGTTCAGCCCACGACTGATGCCGATAATGAATCTCTGATCGGCGATCACTTCGAAAGCATTTCAGAACCACCAACTCTGGATTTTGTACGTAACGAGATGAGTGATCGCGTGCTTGCTGCGAAACTTACGCCGCATGTGGTCGATCGTTTCAAGGACCGGCAAAGACTCGCAAGACTACGGCAGAGCCAGAGAGTTATCGACTTCCAGGCCAGTCCCAGATCAGAGCCAAATGGTCTCGATGGCGAGTATAGACGAAATGGAATTTCAGACATTGTAAACCGTGGCCCGATCACGTTCCAGAACATCAATGTCAATGCAGCGAAAGCAAATGGATTGTCCAAGGCTCTTTCGGATACCAGTGCCGATGCTACACCGCAGAAGAAGCTCAAAGCATTCAGCCGCGCAACAAAAAATGCCGCGAAGGAGGACATACCGGAAGACGATGATGGCAGCGACACACCACCTGAGTTGCGCGCGAGAGAGAAATTGGTAGCATTCAGCAAAGCAGGCCGGCAGAAGGCTCAATCCCCTGCTGAATCAGAACCGTATGCCCCAGACCCGAAGGCAATGGCCTTTTCTCGCACAAACGACCACCTGCAGGGTGATGACGCTTCGTCGGGCTCACAGCTTCGTCAGCAAACGGAAGGCGAGCTTACAGAAAGCGCTACTTCCGCGGCATCGGAACCTCTTCTGGGCGCCACGCCACAAAGCAGCGACAGACAGCAAGCAACACGGTCCTTTCTCGCGAGGTGGCGTCAAGAAGCGGCGAAAAAGCGCGCCGAAAAGAAGCAAGAAACCGTTGACGCGAACAGCTCCCAGGTCGACTGGGCAGCGGCTGCAGCAGATGTACCTATGCCGTCTGTGGAGACGAGCTCAACGCCTCAGGATACGCCTCCGCGGGAGGCTTTGGCATCATCTGTCCAAAAGCAAAGATCTATCGACAGGATACGCCGATGGGAGAATGACTTTACGGGTCTTTCATTCCAAGTCTCAGAAAGTCCCCCAGTCCGAAGTCGGCCCAACCTGAACGACTCAATAAGGGAGAGAGAAATAGAAAACCTGGCAAAGCAAGCCGTGACGGCCAACAGGCTGGACAAGATCCGTGAGAAGGATCCCAATGCCTTAGTTCGTAAGACGTCTAGGTCATTTAGCCCGGAGGAGCAGCGCAGACACGCCAAACAAGATGCGGTCCCCAACCATTCAGAGGACGACAATTCTCACGACCATGGGCAAGGACAAGCGATTCCCGACACACCAGTGGTTGTGTACATATCTTCTAGCACCACAAGCGAAAAATCAAAGTCTGGCGACAGACCAAACCCTGAATCCCACAAATCACTAGATCATCTCCAAAGGCTTGCTCGTGCTGCAAGCACGACTCCAAAAGCAAGTCCTCCATCCCAGGAGCCAAGGGGAGAGATCGAGGAGTATTCAGTGCAGGGTGACATCCTTGCGGCGTATGAGGCAGATGATGATGACGTTCCATTGTCTCCGCCCACGGGTGCTGACAAGGGACTGTCAGCTGCACCAAACAAAATCATGGAAACGCCCAAGGTGACAGGTGCTTGGACTGATACCATACTGCCCGATACGGTCAAGACGGTAAAGGCCGCACGAAAGGGTCCGAAGCACCTACAAACTCCACACGTCAATGCCGGTGCATGGATCGATACACCTGCTCCCAACTCAGGTGTGATGGTCTCTAATTCTATCCCAATGACTATCGAAGAAGTCACCGAAGAGTTGACGAACGATATCATTCCAGCAGATGACCAGTCCCACGAAAGAGAACAACCTAGGCCTGCTAGTCAGCCACAGGTCGTACTAGAACCGGGTGAGGAAGAAGAACTTGATTCACCCATAGACGCTCGTCTTGTCCAACCACCCAGTGCGCTTACCAATGTCCTAAATCAGGCGAAGCAAAAACGGTTGATATTGAGGGACATCACCGATGTCCGAGACGATACACTCAATCTAGGTGATGCCACTATTCAGTCCTTCGAGGATCTTCTCACAGATGCCGCAGATATCACTGCTGATTTGACTAGTCTGATCAAGACTGGTGCGGAGGATGCAGCTCTGCAACAGAGGCAGTTTCCACTGGGAGGCGAAGGAGATACCACCAGTGCTGAGGTTGCGTTTATTGGACACCTCGCCTCACGAATGGAGAGACTCATGATGAATCTTCATGAAGCACGGAAAGGGATCTCACGGCTGGAACAGAAGGTCTCCCTCACACCAGAATCGAACGAGGTCGCTCCAGCGCAAGCACCCACGAATGGTCCACTCCAACTTTGCACTGTTTGTGGCACAAGTGGCCATCAACATCTACTTCAAGGCAAAGCCGACACCAACTCTTGGCTGCCTATGACGTACTCAACTTTCACCCTGCCAATTCCTTTACTGTTCTACCCGCGACGCAAAGATCAAGGTCAAGTGCTACCACGGCCGACATGGTTAGGCTGGCTTACCATGACTGTCTGGGTGTGGTACTTTTTAGAGTGCACAATGTGCGAAATCTATGGCCATCCACTGTACGCCGAGCGATATGTCTGGCCTGCACAGCCTGAGCCAGAATTTCCATTTGTCTTGCCTACGATGCTATTGCGGTGGAGTCATATGGATACACTGGCGCCGGGATTGTTCGGGACTTTGAGCAGGCTTGTTATTGCAATCTACAGAGTCATCGGAATGAGCTTGGGACTCACTGACGGGTACGTTGACGGTGCAGGTTCAGGCGTTGGTTCGCAGGCGGCATCGGCACAGGCTACAAAAGCGCTCGAGGCGGCTAAGGATGTGATCTTTGGAGTTGGCGAGCGCATGATGAATGATGAGATTATATGACGGAACGCTTGATCAGCACAAATGGAGTTTGGTATGAGTTAGTGTACGGGCGAGCTGTTTCACAAAACCAAATGGCAGGCTCTATCAATACTTTGAGCAGTTGGTTGGAATTGTTTCGGGCTGATTTCAGCATAGGAGTGTGGAAAGGGGTTATCATGGTGCTAGGATTGGCAAATGAGCAGAGGTGCATCCTCCGAATGGAGACATCACGGTCACTCTGTATTCAATAGCAGGACCAACAGGCCAGCATCCGAACGAATCACACTTGACTTGATATTCCCTGCAGATAAAGATTGACAGGTATATCTACTGTCCCAAACGTCGAGATGAGATGGCCTACAGAACAGCTTCGGTTTTGATCATGAGCCTAGCTTCAGTCGTGTGCCTGTGGCTTGAGATGAGTCGAACAGGGTTTAGGGCAAGGCTTTATATCCATAATCAGACCACTACAGATATGCATATGTAGCATTCTGCTGTCTATTCGTTTACTGTAAACCCTTCCTCGGTCCCTGCTCGCTTCCCAGCCCAGAATTAGAAGGTTAATCGCACTTCCACCACATTTCTCCGTACAATCTTCAACACCTGATTCTTTCGCTTACTTTGTATTCTTCACCACACCATCTTGCCATGACCGACTCAAGTTTGATGCCTGGCATTGAAATGGATTCCAAACTTCGGCTATTTTGCCGAACTAGCGTCCCCCGTCGTGCCGGACACCGACGAATCTAACTTGAATAAGTAATAGACTAAATTCTGACAGATTTAACTCGCTTCGTCCGGAGCGGCGGACGACCGCGTTTTGTATACAAGGCTGTGTACTGGCTAGCTGGATTTGTCCTTCGCCCTCAAACTTCCCAAGCAATTAATTCACCTTCGTTATGGGAGCCTGGACGCAACTTTTCCCTCCCAGCCCTCATTTCACTGAGGCGCAAACCCCTTCCCTCGCCGGCAAAGTCTTCATTGTCACTGGTGGGAATTCTGGTGTTGGATTGGAGCTTGTGAAGATTCTCTATTCCAAAGGCGGCCATGTCTACGTGGCTGGCCGCTCTCCTGCAAAAATCGCAACGGCCGTTGAAGAAATCAAGGCAGAAGCAGCCAAGACGGCAGGGTCTACACCAGGACAGCTCAGTTCCCTGACGATCGACTTGGGTAATCTATCCACCATTGCGCCCTGCGTCTCCGACTTTCTGGCCAGAGAATCCCGCCTCGACGTTCTCTTCAACAATGCAGGTCTCAGTCGCCAACCTCCAGGTAGCGTCACGAGTCAAGGTCACGAGATACACATAGGCACCAACTGCCTGGGTCCTTACCTCCTGACAAAACTTCTACTTCCGATCTTTGCACAGACTGCAAAGTCCGCACCCAAGAACAGTGTCCGCGTTGTGTTCACGTCTTCCGGGATCATCGATATGGCCGGTCCTCCAGGTGGCGTTTCATTCCCCGAGCTTGAACCCGGCAAGCACTCTAATGACATGAACCGCAACTACAGTGCCTCCAAGGCCGGTAACTGGTTCTTGGCGTCCGAGTTTGACCGGAGATGCGCCAAGGATGGGATTGTCGCTGTTGTGCAGAGCCCAGGGACATTAAGGACCCCAGCCTGGAACGGGACTCCGTGGCTGATGAGGGCTATGATGGCACCATTCTTTTACCCACCAAAGATGGGTGCTTACACTGAGCTCTGGGCTGGAATCAGTCCTGATGTAAAGAGTGGTGACGGAAACAAGTTCATCATCCCTTGGGGGCGGTGGAACAAGACGCCGAAGAAGGACCATTTGGCCAGCTTAAAGTCGAAGAAGGAAGGTGGGACTGGGCTCGCTGCCGAGTTCTTCGAATATTGTGATGCGAAAACGAAGGAATTCGCTGCTTGATAGAAATGGTTTGAGCACCATACTGTTCGTAGGATAAACTGTTAGGGGTGAAGGATGGAACTTGGTCTCACTTGATAGTGGATTTCCTGGTGTCAGGTGTCTTTTGTCAAACTTGCACGATGTAGTCCTAGCAATCGGAGACTTGGAGGCTCATGTCTATGAGTGAAAGACGTTGCGCGCAGGGCAGGTTCGCCTCGCACGCTACGTTTTAGACCCAATCACACCACAGCAGGGCGCGTACCATATGCAGGGCAACTGCGACCAGGTGGCCGCAGATGGTCGCACATGGGCTTTAAATTCATACAAAACTACTCAAAGTTCGAATATCTCTTTGCATATCGTAGACGTTCGAAAAGGCAAAAACAATCAACAATACGGATTCGCTGGTGGTCACCCACCCAACTACTAACGTATCGGCATATGGCTTAAGTACGGCTGAGCGAACGGGAAGCCCTATTCAATCCCCTTTGCTCGGTAAGTTACGGGCGGTGATAAAAACCAGATGAAAACACGCTCCACCGCTTCCACAAGTTATACACGTGACCCATGATGACTTCCTGTGGCCGAATAACTCTCGCCTAACCACACCCGCCAATCGCTAAACGTCAACTGGTCCTCGGGCCGGAGGGGATTGCCTTCTTTTACTTGGACTGTGCCGATCAGCGGTCATGAGCATCACTAAGTAGCACCAGCACAAAGCGGGGAAAGGCTTTGTGTTTGTGGAGGAGGGAGCCCCATAAGTCACCAATAGCTCGCAGACGCAGACAGCCTCGAGGTGAGGGGGAAACGCACACAAATAGTGGGCAACTCCCGCCGAACCTTTCGACCCTCGTCTTCGACACTATCAACCCAATTTTGTTTCGGCGAACGTCCATTCCTGTCCAGCCCAGAAAATGAGGAAGACCTTGGGAACAGCAAGTGTGAATACAGTAACTGACGTGGAGGACGAAGACGATCGTACACAACGATCCGAGACTGGGGCACCAGAAGGTCGTGGCAAACGCAAGCGTCGGACTGCTCCTTGTGACAATTGCAGATGAGTCTTACATTCTCCAAAACCATCACCTGACGTTTAACACTTCAGCACAAGACAACACCTCAAGTGTGAGTTTCGAGCACTCCTGCGTAGCAATATCTGAACCCAGTCCAGGCGATTACATTACGTCTGTCTGCACAAGATGCGAAAAGAATGGCGAAACGTGCATTCGAGCAGCCGGCCGCATCAAGTTCAGGCACGGCTCTAGTGCGCGATATGACACGAAAGGCTTCCCTGCCAGTCAGACCTGGCTGCAGCCGGATGAATCATTCGGTGGCTTGCCCAGACACTTTGCATGCCTGGATTTGATGTTCTGACTCACGTTATAGCAAATTTGAGATACATCGACGAAACTGCAGAGGTAGCAGCCGTCTATGCCCAAGACGAATATGGAGGTGACATAGATGAAGAGCAAGAGCAACAGCAACAGCAAGAATGGGTCTCTGAACCAAACCCAATAACCGAGCCTCGAACGGAGGTGGACGATATCTCAGGTTCTGATGGTTCAAATGAGGACTTTCAGCCTCAACCAACATCTGAACATGCTGCTCAACAGGCTAGCTTTCAGGTCGAATCCACGATGGATCCCGAAGATTTACACGATGATGGGCCCCCGGCCGAGTTCACCCATGTCTCGGCGGCTTCATTCGACACTGCTGGACCACTTTCCACCCACAGCACGGGTTTTGGAGGAGACATACTATGGCAATCACCCACGGCAAATCGCCGCGTATCTAAAGAGACACCTCAGTCTCAAGGTGGGCTCTTCTGGGGTTCTCAAATCATATCATCTCCCAGCTCAAGCGCCATCGGGACCTCCTTCGCCGGCAGCCTCGTCAAGTCTCCATCCAACCTGACCTTTCAATCCACAGAATCCAAACTGGAAGTGGTGCTGTTGAGATATTTCATCGACGTACTGGGATGTTGGTTCGATATCTGTGATCCTGAAAGGCATTTCGCCGGCATTGTACCCCATCGTGCACGTTGGTGTCCGCCATTAAAGAACGCCATTATGGCAGCGTCCGCGCGGCACTTGACTAGTGTACAAAAGTCCAGTGCTGACCATGTCTACTTCTACGACGGCGAAGTCGTGCCGGATCTCAACGACGAAACCGCCCTGCACTACCATAGCGAATGCATCAAAGACCTGCTCAAACGGAGTATGAGCCCGGAGCAGACGCACGATGCTAGCCTACTGGCTGCAGTCATCATATTGCGTTTCTACGAAGAGATTGACGCTCCTTTGCGAGAGGAGGATCGTGACAGTGAACTCTTTCTACGTGTCATGAACGTCTTCATCGACGCCCAGATACCCTCCGTGCCACTTGTCCCGCACAGCTCCCCAGTGATCACGGGTCCGAAGGTGGGATCGGCAGATCAAATCGATACGATGAGATCTCCCCAGGCGATGCAATCGTCCACCAGTGCATCGGATCCTTCGACGTGGCGTGCTGATGGACTATGCCAGGCTGCGTTCTGGGTGGCCTTCCGGCAGGAGATCCACAGTGCTTTCCTGAAACAGCGAGCATTCAACCTAGCGCTGTCACGGTGCGAGGCCTTCCGGAGCTTCTCGCCCGCAGAAGACGCCGTCTGGGCTGACCGGCTCATCATCTTCTGCGCGGACGTGCTTGAATTCTGCTACGGAAACTCTACGAACCACTCTTCGCGGCAGCACGAGTCGTCCTCAATATCCAAGGAGCGATGGCTCAGCCTGAAACAGTACGAACAAATGTGGAGCGAAGTCCTGCCCGCCAGCTTTGAGCCTATCTACTTCCGCGATCCAGATCGCGCCAAGGGCGAAGTGTTCCCCCAAATCTGCTACATGGCCGACTGCCACGTCGCTGGTGTGCAACACGTGGAGCTCGCGCGCATCCTTCTCGCTGTCTATGACCCGACTGCGCCCAAACTGGGGCCGGGGTATCTCGCCAGAATGCGCAAATTGACTACGGAACTGAAAAGCGCGGTGTTACGTCTATGTGGCATCGCCGAGAGTAATCGCAAATGTCCGCCTGCAAAGGTCACGGCATTCTTGGGGGTCGCCATGTGTGGAGACCGGTTTGAGGATCCGCTTGAACAGCAGGCTTTGCTTGGAATGTTGGACGAGTTGGAGACGGGGAACGCCTGGCCTGCAGGAAATTTAAGGCAGACATTGAGGGAGGCTTGGGGTCAAGTTTCATGATACAGGTCGTATACGAAAGAATGACTGTACAGTATCGCTGCATAAATATCATGCGAAGGATGCAGCTTCAATTCTATGTCTATATCTATGCAATTCTCGCTGGATGGTTGACTATACCGGAATGACCTCAGTGGGAACCTGTACGATATCAGCCCCAGACATCCTCCTGCCATCTCTTCGCCCGCTTCCGTTCCTCCCTCCACTTCTTCAAGCCCTCTTCGTCATAAAGCTTGGCCTTCTTCAGGGCCTCGCCAACACGACTGCCCACCTCTCTTGCCATGGCGGCGGAACCGCAAAGATACAAAGCAGCATCTTCCTCGAGGAGGAGATCGACTATGTCGTCCTGCCTCTCCTCCACCCGATCCTGCACGTAGGTCTTCTTAGCGCCGTCAACGCGAGAGAAAGCGTACACGATGTCCAGCTTATTTCCCAATGCGGCCTGCAGCTGCTGAAGCTCCTCCTTGTAAAGCAGATCAATATTCGGATGACGACACCCGAAGAACAGGATCGTCCGACCTACGGGCTTGTTCTGGCCGTGCAGCGATGCCAGACGGGCGCGTTCATGGAGGAAGGCTCGGAACGGGGCGATCCCTGTGCCAGCCGCGATCAGAATTATTGGTTTATCTGGCGATGCTGGAAGTTTGAAGGTCGAGCGGCGGATCGAGGCGTGCAGGTAGGGTATTGAAGTAGTGGTGATCGCTGGATTGATGATTGGCGGATACGATTGTGCGTTGGACGTAGCGAACGAGGACAGGTATGTGCTTGCGAGGCCGGGAATGGAGACGGTGTCATCCTTGAGGAGGAAGCGAGGGTTGTTGGCGATGGTGATGGCGGCACGGCGCGGTGAGATTATTGACGAGCTGGCGATCGAGTAGTATCGCGGTGTCATGGGTCGGAGACTCTCAATGACAAAGGATAGGGGCAGATCCGTCCATATTGTGGTAGGGTCCAAGGTCTGTACGTGCTTGAGGAGTCGGGCGAGTGTGAGGTGGTGCTCTGCAAGAAAGCTGGCGAAGACGTTCTTGTCGGATGCCAGGCTGAGGAGGTATGCTTTCGCGGTGGAGGTCGAAGCGAATTGAGCAAGTGACAGTACGCTTTCTCGGGATACAGGAGCACAGATCTCGAGGTAGTGCTGGAACAACGCGGAAGTGGTCGTCGGAGAGGGCAGATTTAGTCTGTCAGAGTCTGGATGGACAGACTCGATCATGAGAGGAATGTTTTCGCGTCCTGAGAGGCCAAGAACATCGATGAGGGAACTGACTTCCAGCGTAGGATTTATGGGACGCACGGCCAGATGATCTCCCGTCTTGTACTTGATTTCCGGGTGGTCAGACAGATCAACTTCGAGATGCAGACAGCTGCGTGTCATAGACGCGCTTTGAAGAAGTTCTCGAGCCGCGCAAATTGGTAGCGGCACGATCGTAGAAGAGCCAGACGTAGATGCAGTTGACTTCGTTCCAAATGGTTCGCCGAGGAACACTCCGCTGGTGTCAATGGATTCGTCCATGACGATCTTTATGCTTGTTTCGTATTCAGCCTCACGCTCCGTAAGACCTAGCTGCGTGCAAAGCCCAGCGAATAAGGTCGTCTTCCATTCCAGAAAGTCTTCGTCCGTGGTCGCTTTCGCTTCGTCTGCCTTGCCAACAGGTAGAACCAACTTCGCTCCGAAACCCTGTAAGGACGTCACGACTGTGTCGATGACTGCATTGTAGTGTTTGTAGTTGCTGTTCCCGCACCCGAACGCAGCGAATCTGAGGTTCTGCAGGGACTCCTCAGGTTTAGACTTGAGCCAGCTAAGGAAGCTGGTCGAGTTGTCGCTTGGATCACCTTCGCCATACGTTGACATGATGAAGATAGCATATTGAGATTGAGAGAGTTCGGCGATGGTGTGGTGGTCGTACTCTGAGATATCAGCTACCAACACATCTAGCTTGAGGCGAGCGTGACAGTCCCTGGCCAACCGGTGTGCAAATCCTTCAGCAGTTCCAGATTGAGATCCCCAGAATATGACTGCTTGGTTCCCCGTTTCGGCCAGCTTCTGCGCGATGTTGCGCGTTGATTTGGCAGCGGCCAAACTGGCAACCGCTGCTTGCGGCCTCTCAAACCATTTGTAGTGATATGGATCTGGCTTGTCCCAGAAAATGCCACGAGTAGCATAAGCCAGTCCTCCAACGAATAGGAGTACGAGTACCAGGAGATCGTCGTATGTTGGACTTGAGACCAGTTGTTGGACTGGAACAGGAATTGCCGCAGCTATCCTTGAGAACGAAGCCATCGACAATGACTTGCGATTGCAATTGTTGTAGAGGGTTGATCGCACGGCAATCTGGACTCATAATCGATACTGCTGCTTTTAATGATCTCCAGCTTGAACTATGGCCATCAGGGGTCTGTGGGGCAGTCAATAGGCGTGCACACTCCATGTCGGGGATTTGCCATAACCACAGTCCATAGTCTTTTCGTGTTCAGACTACCAACGCCCGACGAAGTCACCTCAAAGACTCGACTACGGCAAGCACATCCTTCTGGAAGCTGGACGGAGATGCGTGCCACCAGCAGAGGGCATTGCCTGCCGAGCACCGAAATGCAGCATGCCGGAAACAGATGGCTCGAGGATCAGCCGCTGCATGCTCGCCGAGAAGGGTCCTACGAAAAGAAGTGGCGGAAACGTCAAGCTGCAAGCGAGATTTCTCTCCTCGCCGATGTCGCCGAAGTATATCAAGCATGTAGCCGGCGAATGCTTTCCTGTCTCGTCGTAACAGGCAGTCAGCCGCCATTTCTGCCTCTTTGGGCTGAATATCTGAGTCTGACCCCTAAAGCTAGATTCTTCCAGATCTGGTCCAGGCGTTCGTGTTCGTGTTCATCATCCGGCGAACACCTGCATAACCTGCTGCATGGATGCTGAGCATGCCACCATGTCGGCTTTAGTCTCTGGGCAGCATGTGCAGGGCATGTATGCCTTAGAGACGGTCAGATTGTTGATCTCGATGGCGCCGTTGGTCTTTGTTACTCCTTGCGTTATATTCAAGCTACAACATCTCCCCTGCTTAACCCTACCCAAAGTGTTCTTCAGTTGTTCGAGCTTAAACGTCCAACATGTTGGGCTTCACATTCTCCCTTTTGGCACTTGCTTTTGCGTTCAGCTACTTTGTTATCATTCCTGCGGTCGAGTATTTCCGTGATCCCAAAGGACTTCGGAAATATCCAAACTTGACACTTCTGTCCGGTTTCTCGGATGCTCCATTTATCTACGAAGCGCACAAAGGCTTTCGGTCTCACGCTTTATTGAAGGCTCACGAAAAGCATCCCGTCGTTCGCATCGGGCCCAATGCTCTTTCTTTCGGAACCAAGGAGGCCATCAAGGACATATATGGTCATAACACAAAATGCGGCAAAGATGTGATGTACAAGGAGTTGGCAGGCTCACATTATCATCTGGCCGATGTCATCGACAAGCCTGACCATGCTCGCAAAAGGAAGATGTTGTCCAGCGCCTATGCGATCAAGAATCTGGAGAACTGGGAGCACAAAGTGGTCGATATGACAGCACGTTTGATTCGAGCCTTTGACGCCCGATGCACGTCACCTCTCAAGCAAGGAGAGTGCCCAGCCGAACAGGATCAGACAATCGACTACCGGATGTGGTCGAATCTGTTCACCGTTTGTGCCATTGCCAACATCGGCCTCAGCGAAGATCTTGGTTTCCTCGACCGTGGAGACGACTTGGTCGATTCGGAAGCAGTCGACGGTACCATCAAGAAAGTGCACTTCAGAGAGTGTCTGCATGCAACAGCTTGGGTTCAATCGAACCTGGTATGGTCCTACAGTTGGTTTCAGACCTCGGCCAAGTTGAGCAAGTTGGTGTCACCCACTTACCGTCGTAAGTGGAAATTGAATGAAGGTTGGGATGGCGTTGTTCGTAACAGAGCTACGAAGCGGTTCAAGAGATATCAAGCTGGCGAGAAGCTTGACGACTTCTTTACCGCAATCTTGCACGACAAATCGGGTTCTCCAAACAACCTCGAATGGGGGGAAATGGTTGCAGAAGTCAGCATCATGATGAACGCTGGGTCCGACACCACGGCGATCGCCATGAATAATGCCATGTACCTACTGCTCAAGCACCCCCAGCACCTAAAGAGGTTACGGGAAGAGCTCGACGAGACACTCGAGGATGACGAGATAGTAGCTCCTTATGACAAGTTGAAGCAACTACCATTCCTGCGAGCTTGTCTCGATGAAAGCATGCGACTGCTTCCTCCCACCACTTTTGGACTACCTCGTCGCACACCTTCCGAGGGTGCTCCTATTCTCGGAGACTATATCGCTGGTGACACCACTGTCTCGGTGTCCGCATATGTTGCGCATCGAGATGCCAGCGTCTTTCCAGATCCCGAAGTGTACAACCCAGAAAGATGGTTGGGTGAGGAAGGGAAAGAGTTGCAGCCGTTTTTTATTGCCTTCTCCGCGGGTGCCCGAGGCTGCATTGGCCGCAATATCAGCTACCTCGAGCAGATGGTATTACTTGCCTCGCTACTGCACCGGTATGAGTTTGCCCTTCCGCACCCAGAGTGGGAGCCTACGAGACGGGAGAATTTCAATCTATCGCCCGGACCGATGCCTTTGAAAGTCTGGATGAGAAAGAGTGGCGACGAGGCATGAAAGAAGACATGGTTGTTAATGACCTCCTTATACTGGCGTTCTTGAGATAGATTTTTGTCATGGCTTCTGAGAATTGATGATATTGACTGATTCAACCCTTTCATCACCGTCGCTATCGTAATACTGCTGGCTAAAGACGGCTACCAGCCTCGAGATTGCTACCTCTTTCTTGGACATTCATCCACTCTGTACTATGGACAATTTTCCACTGGGCATTACCGTTGACAGGCAACCGCAAATGTCAATACTGCTCCGAGGTCCGCAGACAGTCTGTGCCAGAACAATCAATCGCAATTGTGGCAATCATCTGCATTGATGACGTCCTCGATGGGCGCCAGTATTTCCGTTGCTCATCGTTTGCCCCGGAAAGTCTTTCCCAATTCGCCAAATTCTCCCCAATGTGCCACTTTCGTCGAATCGCCCCAGAGTCGAAGCCAACCCCTCACAGAACTCACAAGACCCTTGGCCACGCCAAGCCCATCTGCCGTGCAGGGAATAAGACGCGTCGAGGGTTTTTTTGGAGCTTATCTAGGTATCTATTCGCCTACCTCTCTGTGCAACTTTTGTTGTTTCGCCGGCGCTCGCCTCCAGTTTCGCACTGGGCACCCCCGGATTCTACGTTACACTTGACCCGCATGCTCCTGCCATCTCCGCAGAAGTTTCCTGACACGAGACTATGCTGGCATCTTTGAAGGAGGGGGTCTAGTTGGTCCCGATACCCCCTCAAACACACATTGACGTTCGATTTCATCACCTTCCGACAAATGACCATCGCCGAAAATCTACAATATCTCTAGCCGTCGATCCAGGCCACGCTCGGTTCTGTCTATATAATCTGCCTTAATTCCTCTGCACTGCTTCCAGTCTCCGTCGCAACAGCTCCTCATCTTTGAGAGAAAAGACTTGACTTTCCTAATCCTCCCACACATCTTCGTTCAGAAGATTCCCAGCCTACCTGAGTACCTCTCCTTTCTTTACTCAAGCCATGGCCAACCGCGATCATGTGGCCCTCGAGCAAGGTCTCGAGGAGAAAAACCAGAAGTTCGAACACCTCGAGGCACATCGGCAACCACGCGCAAGTTTGGGTCCGGAGAGTGTCACGAGAGCGTCCTTTGACCGACGCCATTCCGTTGATCAACCAGGTTCCAGACGCGGCTCTATTCGCCAGAGTTTCGAGAAAGCAAACCTGGCAACCGTGTTCCCAGACTCCACGCACCTGGAGATCAATGACGACGAAATGGGCAGAAACACCATCGATGACCTCGGCACATCTTGGTTCGTCTGGCTCGTGGCAGCAACAGCATCGATTGCAGGGTCATTGTTCGGCTACGACACTGGCATTATCTCGGCCGTTCTGGTGTATCTGAACGACGACTTGAACAATCGGCCAGTCTCGTCCAACGAGAAGGAATTGATCACTTCTCTCTGCTCCGGAGGTGCCTTTATTGGTGCAATCATTGCTGGTTTGACTGCAGATCAGGTAAGGCCGATCCCTTGAACATCGAAATGACACTGGCTGATCTATCACAGTTTGGTCGCAAAATCGCCATCTATGTCGGCTGCGCTCTGTTCACCCTCGGAGCCATTCTGCAGGCAAGTGCCTATAGCATTGCCCAAATGGCTGTCGGTCGGCTAGTTGTTGGCTTTGGAGTCGGTTCCGCGGCAATGGTCGTGCCACTCTACATCGCAGAGATCGCCCCCACCAAAGTTCGTGGCCGGCTCATTGGTCTCAACAACATGTCCATTACTGGAGGGCAAGTTGTAAGCTACGGTTAGTGTTGCGTCTCTATTACGCGTCACGTATTCTGACATGCAACGCTAGGTATTGGAGCCGCTTTCGCCCACGTCCCACACGGTTGGCGATACATGGTCGGCCTCGGCGCAGTTCCCGCTATCCTTCTGGGTTGCTTGTTGCCATTCTGCCCAGTAAGTGTCTTGAAACCTATCAAATCATGTGCAACACCACTAACGATATGTCGTAGGAGTCACCCCGTCAACTCATCTACAACGGAAAGATTGCTCAAGGTGAGGCTGTTCTGGCCAAAATCTACAAGGGCGCCACTCCCGAACAGATCCGAGCCAAAACTGCTCTGATCGCTGCGGCTTGTGAAGAAGCCAAAGAACTCAACGAGGATCAATCGCGCTGGGCCAAGATCAAACAACTCCACACCAACCCAGCCAACTTCCGTGCCCTGGTCTGCGCCTGCGGTCTTATGGTTATCTCACAAATGAGCGGGTTCAACACCTTGATGTACTACTCCTCGACACTTTTCGCCCTGGTCGGCTTTGCAAACCCGGTCGCCGTCGGCCTCGTGGTTGCTGGTGGTAAGTTCTCCCCTCTTGAACCTTCTCTTTTTCGCTCTGGATAATCCCTTCATGTGCCATACACCTTATGGATATATTGCTAACGTCGTCCTCGCTAGTGAACTGGGTCATGACAGGTGTCAATATGGCCTGCGTGGATCCTCTTGGCCGTCGCCGCGTCCTGATATCGACAGTCTGGGGCATGGCAGCCGGCCTGATGGCCGTGGCCATTGCATTCTCGTTCATTCCGATCAACACGCACACGCTCGCTCTGGAAGAGACTAAAGTCTCCACCCCGGCCATCGTCGTCTTGGTCTTCATCATCTGGTTCGTTTTCTTCTACGGTGTCTCTGTCGGCAACACAGCCTGGATGAGTACCGATTTCTTCCCCATGGAAGTTCGCGCCATGGGAACCATGTGGTTGACCTGCAGCTGTTGGGGTTCAAACATCATTGTCTCATCGACCTTCCTGTCCATGATGAAAGGCATGACTCCTTCCGGTGCCTTTGGCTTCTACGCTGCGATTTGTGGTATTGGTTGGATTCTCATCATCCTTTTCTACCCTGAAGTCTCTGGTTTGACCCTCGAAGAGATCTCGGAAGTCTTCCAACATGGTTTTGGCGTGAAATACGCCAGAAAGCTTCGCCGAGAGAGAAAGGACGAGATCAAGGAGAGAATGCGGACTATGGAACGACCCATTGCTGGAGGACATTGATTACAGGAAATTGTCTATCAACGATAAGGAACGAGTGGAATTGCCGATGATCTGAGAGTTACGGAATGAACTGTTGGCAGGCAGTGTCATACCACAACTGGCAGCAGTTGGCGGCCACACCCTATGCACAGCCCAATTGGGTTAGCGTTTGCTTTTTGGCACTTCGAGGCTCTACCGATTCTGTACACTCTTACGTAGTTGAGATAATCAAGCAATTTATCAACAACACTATCGAGTGTTTACATGAATAAGCATGATTTAGGAAGGAAATTATGGATATAGTCGTTGTATTAGCTTGTACACGGTCGCTTTAGTGTCAGTTCTGGCACGGTCGCTTTAGTGAGGTATTGAGAATGTTATACAAATCAATCACATCACATCGGACATTGCAAAGAAGCATGGCGATCTGCTAGGTTCAAGCAAGGTGAGTTGATCTGACGATACCCTCATCGAATAGTCTGTACCAGATTGTAAGATTTCGGTAAAGGCTGAGCCCGAAACACAACATGCTGGGTGACACGACATTGAAAACATCCAGGCTTCTGTCGGTTTGCCATTCTCTTCATAACGTATTTGACCACCTCCCGATTTTTGACCACCTTCTGGGCCTAGTCGTGGTAAAATAGCGGAAAATGTCAACGGATCGTGCATTGCATTCCACCGGCAATAGCATAAAGGTATTGAGATATCGGCATGCGATCGAAGTGCTCGTCAAGAGCTACCAGCGCGTACTAATTTTAAGATTACTTTCGTCAAGAGCGAAAAGTACGAAGAGGGTTCTAAATAGTATTTCCAGCGATTTTAGGAATGAGAATTAAGATCTCGGTCAAGTAAGTACATTATTTCCGTAATCTCGTCAATGATTTTTCCGCTATACAAGCATCTATTGAGTTTCATTTGTCTTCAGGACATATATGTACCGACCTAGAATTCCCATCTGTAGGTGTATCGCGCGAAGCTATCAGATACGCTTCCCCTCCTTGTCAAAGTCGATCTTCTTCCCCGTCCTGAAACTCTCCTGCAGAGCCTGTGCGATCGTCAAGCTCGTGACACACGCCTCCAACGAGATTGGCATTGGCTTCTGCTCAAGCACCGCATCCGTAAACGCAATCACTTCCGACACGAAACAGGGTTTATAGCGATCATACCAGCTCGGCAACACTGAGCAATGCACGCCACTCTCATCAGACAGCTCTAATCTGTTGCGCTTCGAAATCAGGTTCACCGACATCTTGCCGTGGGTGCCGAAAATCTCGGTCTGATTGTCATAACCGGCTGCAGCAGTGCGGGAGTTGTAATGGAAGGCGATCTGGCCGCCCCAGAATTGAACCATGCCCACAACATTGTCGCCATCTCGGAAGGCCTCTTGCTCGAGCTCCTTGAAGTGGGCGGCCGTGCCGAACCCGCAAACGGACTGAGGTGTGGTAGATAGGCCGCCAGCCTCAAGAAAGGACAAGGTCAGATCGATGTCGTGAATGATGGAGTCGACAAAGAAACCACCGGCTTTTGCTGCATTGACGACATATGTGTGCATGAAGGGACCATCGTCGAGTTTCTCGCAGCCCTGGGACCGAATGATCACAGGCGCTCCAATGGCGCCATCACGGATCTTTTGCGCCGCCTCTTGGTAGTTCTCGTCGAAACGTCGAGTGAAGCCGACCATGAGCCGTGCTTGGTTTGAAGAGGACTGTACTATTGACACCAGTTCCTGGAGCTGTTCGACCGTCTGTGTGACAGGTTTCTCACAGAGTACGTGGAGTCCTTGCTCTAGCGACGCTTTTGTATGTTGATAATGGAGTTCTGAGATGGACGCTACCACCACGGCGTCGAGACCTGGGAACCGGATCATCTCCTCAAAGGTTGGAAAGACGGCGACTCCATGGGGGATCAGGTTGGTCTCAGCCCAGTCCAAGTCTGCTTTGGCCGGTGAACAGGCACACACAAGCCTAGCTTGGGGCACTAATTTGAGAATATTGAGGGCGTGCTGTTGTCCCATTCTGCCTATGCCTACGACACCAAAGTTCAGCATTCGCGGTTTGGTCTGTGACGCTTCCTTGTCGATCCCGGTCGATTGATCGTTGATGGCCACGACGTCTCCAATATCCCCCATTGTTGGTGCTGTTGGTAGGATCTATTGACTTAGCGAATCTGGAGTATGCCTCTCTAGTGCGATTTAACGGCTAAGCAAATTTTCTGCTTATATATGAAATTCGTAGGTGTTGATTTGAAGTGCTCACAGATATTTACGATGTTACTGTTACCGCCGCAAAATCGTGATTGGAGGAAGTCGTGGGGTTGACACTACGGAGTACATTGGGGCAAATGCAAGGCTGATCTCTACCGTGGTCTTTGAAATTCGGCGAAAATTGCCGTCTCGGTCTACTATGTCGGAGGCAGGCAATCTATCCACCTCCCATGGTCACAGCCAGAGGATACAGGTGTATCAGGATAATCAACTTCACCAAGAAAGACGTGGCTAACGTATTTGACCACCTCCCGGTTGTTGACCACGTTATGGGCCTATTCGTAAGAGTCAACCGGATCATGCCTTGCATTCCACCACAACAGTAGAAACTTATTGAGCTTCTAGTATGCGGTTGTAGAGCTCGCCAAGGGCTACCCGCTCATACTAACGTTGTGATTACTATCGTAGAGAACCGAAAGTAGCAACTATGTTCTGAAATGGACCTTTTTTGAGAACTTTTGAAGATATTATCGGTAGATATATCTGAAAGATGCACAAATAGTTGAACTATATATATATTTTTCGCCATGGCACTTGATCCTCAAGGTTCAACTAGAGCAACTGAGGTTCATTGTTTAAACAAATGTATGCCTCAGCACCCTTAGTGTTCTTTCTTGGGTGGTCCATACCAGTCGTCAAAGCCCAGATCCCAGCCGAAGAGAGGAGTATTATAGCGCTTGGCTTTTCCAGGCTGGCTGCTCAGTCGATTCAGCTTCTTCATGTCACTTTCATCAAGGCTCACTGTCTGGAGGTTCGACTTCAGTCGTGATGGGGAAGTACTTTTGACCAAAGGCACGACACCTTGATTCACGTGGTATGATATCAAAACGTTCGCAGGTGAGACGTTGTGCTTCTCGGCAATGCTGACGACATCTGGGTCTGACAAAATTGGTCCTCCTGCACTAAGAGTTAGTCTGCCAATCCTTGGGAGTGTTAGATGCAGGACTGGAAAGTCACTAAGCTTACCTGCTCCTCCGAGAGGTGAATAGGCCTCCACCAAGATCCCCTCCTTTTTACACCATTCTACAAGCTCATGTTGCGGAAGATGCGGGTGAAGCTCGACTTGATTAACCAAGGGTTTGCTTCGCCAACCCTTTTTGAGTTGCTCGAGATAAGGGATGGACCAGTTGCAAACTCCAATGGCTTTGACCTTGCCAGAAGCAAGGATATCCTCCATCTGAGCCCACGTCTTTCCCATATCCCAGTCACGGTCGATTGCTCGTGTGCCGTCGGCATTGACAGGCAACAGTTCAGAACTTTCATTCTGGCAGCAATTAGTAACGGCCTTTGTCAGCCACAATTCGGTTGGAAAACTCACGGGAACAAGTCGGACAGGCCAGTGAACGAGCTACATTCTTAGTCAGCATTGTGCGTAGATTGCATTTCCAGGACCAGGTCGGAGGGGGGTAACCCAAGAATCGTTTTTGCGACTCATGAGCTGAGCATGTTACATGGCTCTCCTGTACTCACATAAAGATCCAGGTAGTCCGTGCCCAGGTCCTTGAGCGACCTGTTCAGACTTTCAACGGCATTTGGATGAAAGCTGTTCCATAGCTTGGAGGTGATGAAGATCTCCTCGCGTGGAATACCAGACTGTCGGATACCTTCACCCACTTCGGCTTCGTTCTTGTAAATGAGGGCACAGTCGATATGTCTGTAACCCTCCCGCAATGCGGTAGCTACGGCGCCCTCGACCTCACTGGGGGGAGCTTGCCACGTGCCTGTCCAAGAATTAGCACAAACAAAGAACATGCAGCCATCAAGAAAACAGCAACACGTTCTGCAAATGGCACACCATAGCTTCCAGGAAGATCAAGGGGATGCAAGACTGGGTACTGACCAAGACCAATGGCAGGAATGCTGCTTCCGTTTGCGAGCTTGACGCTGCCTGCCTGTGAAGTTGTCATAGCGATACAAGGCTGTACAAGGCTGTGTTTCGATGAGTGAAATCGACTCTGTAACCAGGTCGAGTCTACTGTGTGTGTCTGGACCTGTTCTATATGAGTTCCCAATGGGGAAAGGGTCACATCCAATTCAGGAAAGTTTCGGCGAATGCTGCTTCATCCTAGGTAATTTTGGAATCCACCTCAGGAAGAGGAACCTATTACTCATGACGCGACTAATGTGGCGAGAAACGCAAGTAGTACCCGTCACATGAGAGCCGTGCCAAACTCCTGCACTCCAAAATTGTCTGAGATTTCGCCGACACAACCATCAGAATCCTCCACCGGCCCCCTTACAGTGGGAGCCCCGGAATCTCGCTGCTGCGGCCAGGAATGTCTAGATTTCGGACACAAATTTCCTCATTCGGCCTTCGTCTTCCACCATGATTTGGGATATAATATTTCTGGGATGTAATGTTTACACGGACAGCAGTATATAGACGACATTATTGAACAATCTCCTGCTTCATGTTGTTTGGATATCATGGCTCCGTCTGCTATCTACGAGCCTGTGGCTCAGAAGCAGCTTCTCAAAGTCGAAAATGCGCCAACGACCTACCGCAATGATAGTGTGAAGAAGCCAGTCGCTGATGACTACATGTACGCCTTCAAGTACAATTTTCCACTGCCAACTCATGGGGATGATTCAGAGGTGCTCGATTTCACGGAAGACGACCAGAAGAATCGACGTGAGATCGCGGACCAGTTTATAAAAGAATTGGAACAGGTAGTTCAGAGCCGTGACTCCAAAGCATTTGCAGATCTGTTTCTGTATAATGGTGAGTTTGGGGGTCTTCCTGGTCTTGCATACAGGACTGACCGTGATCCTAACAGGGGTTTGGAGGGACAAGGTCGCTTTCACTTGGGATTACCGATCTTTCAACACTCCGAAGAAGATCGAAGAGGCTGCTTCTGATCTCTTCCCTCGTGTTCCTACACGCAACTACAACATAATCGACCCGGCTCCATCAATCCAACGGCCGTACTCAGATATTGCTTGGCTTCAAATCGTATACACCTTTGAGACTGACCTTGTTGGTGCGAGTGGCGTCATGAATCTTGTCAAAACCAGAGATGGCTTCAAGATCTGGACGTTGCATACTGCTATCGAAAGCTTGAACGGTCATCCGGAGGTGCCCGACAGGGATGGTCACATGATCGGGGATAAGTCCTGGCACAATCAGAGAATCGAGGACGACAACCTGGAGGGCGTCGAACCTGAAGTCATCGTGGTTGGTGGTGGTCACTGGTGAGTCGCCATTCTCGTATGGCCGACGGAATCTGCTAAACTCTTGCCAGCGGTCTTCACGCTGCTGCTCGGCTAAAAGCTCTTGGTGTCAGCGCCCTCATCGTCGAGCGCAACCCTCGCATCGGTGACAACTGGCGAAACAGATACGAATACCTCTCTCTTCACCTTCCTCATTGGGCTGATCACTTTCCCTACTTGCCCTACCCGGAACATTGGCCAACATACACTCCAGCCGGTAAAATGGGTGACTGGCTAGAGTGGTATGCAAGTGCCATGGAACTGACCGCCTGGACTGACTCAAGCGTTGTTTCTGCCTCGGAGAAGCAGACGGGTGATTGGGAACTCACCGTGCAACGTGGATCCAAGGAAGGCAATTATACTCGAACCTTTCATCCCAAGCAAGTCATCGTGGCCACGTCGCTCGCGGGTGTGCCATTCACGCCGGATATCCCTGGAATGGACAAGTTCAAGGGCACTGTCAGGCACTCCACTAAGCACGACTCAGCTCGCGAGTGGGTCGGCAAGAAGGTCCTTGTTGTAGGAACCTCCTCCTCTGGCTTCGACACCGCATACGACTTTGCACGTCGCAACATTGACGTCACGCTTCTTCAAAGATCGCCTACATACCTCATGTCTCTGGAACAATCTGTCCCAAGGGTAAGTCCAATATTCACTTAGCATCAGATCTCCAATACTGACTCTATTGCAGATACTCGCTCCCCTCTACGAGCCAAAAGACCACAAAAGACCAGACTTGGACACCGCCGACCGCTTGAATTACAGCATGCCTGTTGGTCCTGCCGAAGAGCTGAACCGTCGAACGGCTCGAGATATCTGGAATGCCGACGTTGAATTGATTGCCAAGATGGAACAATCAGGCTTCAAAGTTTGGAGAGGTCAACGTGACACTGGTTCCCATACCTTGGGGTACACCAAGAATGGTGGTTTCTATTTCGACGCCGGTGCCTGCAAGGCCATCATTGACGGTAGAATCAAGATCGAACAAGGTTACCCGATCCGGTTTACCGAAGACAGCATCGTCCTGGACGGTGGCCGAGAGCAGGAATATGACCTTGTGGTTATGGCTACTGGCTTCTCCAACACCATCGACTCGGTCCGCAACATTCTCGGTGACGAGATCGCCGATCGATGCAATCCAATCTGGGGTATGGATGAAGAGGGTGAGCTCAACTCGGCGTGGAGGACAAGCGGTGTGCCTGGCCTGTGGCTCATGGTTGGCACTCTACAGGCTGGTCGTTATCATTCAAAGAAGTTGGCTCTCAGGATTAAAGCTATCCTAGAGGGAATCGCCCCTGAACCCTACATGAAATAGGGGGGAAAGCCTTACTTAAAATAGACCAAATTAGATTTCTTTGGCTGGCGTTGAGGCTTGAAAATCATCTGCCCAAGAATCTTCATCTGTCACTTCAAATTCCCATTAATCCTGGTTCTGGTTGTATTGCTGCATCGAAACATAGCTCCCAAAAATTCCACACTTGCGGTTCTGCCAACCTGACGGCATTCTCAGATTTTTTGTGATCGGTATTCAGTCAGTCGTTGCGGTGAGCTTTTCACAACAGCCATCTCGGCCTTCAACTCAATGGCCTGCAAAGGCAATTTGGGACCGGTCAACGTTTGATCTTCAGGTAGACTTGTGATCAATACGTTGGCCTTATCGATAGAGATAGAGAGACGTGGAATGACATTTTATGATGTTTCTCGCTGTTGCCGGACCAACGCTCCTCATCCGCTGACGTCGGCCACTTAAACAAACCTCCTCCCAGTCTTTATCTTACATTCCGTGCACCCTTGTTCAGAACGCGCTCGCCGAAACAAAGTATGCTTGTGGAAAAAGTGGTCGAATGCCGCTCCAAAGATCGGCCCGTTGTACAACATCAGCAGCCTAATTCCGGTTTGGACACGGGTAGTTCAATCACTAAATTGATATTGAGCATTGCATACCAGTTGGTCTCATTCTGACAGCCTTCGGACTCTCAACCCGCAGAACTCTGGATATGCTTAGACCAATTTGGCCCTGGTGGTGAACATGTTGGGTGGAAGCACGCCTCCGTTGTGCTCGAAGCGACTCTTCAAATCGCCCCCTGCGATCTGTTCATTGTCATCAATGGCTTTCCTTCTGGTGAAGATGCCGCAACTCGGTCTTGGTTGACCCTTATGCAAAAATATATGGCGAAAGACGGGAATCCGTGGAAAATGCTCATTCTCTCCAGGCACAGGGCAAGTCCACTTGTGTCCTTACTTGAACCGAACGAGACTAGATTAGTGCCGCGAGTATCGAATGCAAAGGGGCCAGTCTTGTTTCGTGCGAACTAAATGCTCACAAAGCTCCCTATCTGTCCCTCGACCAGCAAGAGCTACAAACACGGTTTCATCCATACTACACTAGTCGAGAAGCACTTCTGAAGTCACCTCTGGCAAGGCAGCCTTCAGGATTAACGGCACGCGCTGCTCTTTCAGCGCCAGTAGTAGTGGAGCCGCTTTGGTAGCCTTGTTCCCGCTTTCTGGTCGGCCACACACGAGTGTCTCTTTTTGTCAAAGTTGCTGGCATACCCTATTGTATGAAGGACATTTTGCAGCTTCTGCGTCTACGCTGGCCTCTACGAAGCTGTCGTCACCGCCCGACTAGTGAGCGAGAGGGCAGCCCTGTTCTTCATGTCCTATGGCCGATCGCGAAGAGAAGCGGGTTTTTAAACAATTATGACCCTTGATCTTTTTGGGTTTGAATACCCACAGTCTGAACAACGGTTGTTGAGAGAAGAATTGATGAGAATCGAAGACCTGTATAGCATCTCGCCGACACTGTCATGTCTTGCGCATCAAAACAAATGAGGAAAGAGTACTCTCAGTCCGTCCATTGCCTATCCCTTCCCACAACCATTGACGCCAGCAGCATTTCAACTTCTTGAATCATCATAAAGTACCCTGAGGGCGTCATAACATCACATCTTCGCAATCTCCTTCCCAAACACCCGATTAAGGCACCAAGTAAGCACAATAACCACACGACTCCTCCAATTCCGATTCCAAAGCAGACTCCCGCTCCGCCAGGCCAACCATGCCGACCGTCCTGTCCACCCGGGGTCGTTGGGGCCCTTTCCAGCAATAACCCCATCGTGAGCCCCTATATAACTCACGAGCTGTTTCTGTTCGTACTTGAACGTCTCGCGAAACGCAGGGTTCGGCCTCGGATTAGAATCCGTCGAGAAGTCCCCGGGCAGGTACGGACCGTGTTTTGCACGCAGGTTGAAGTTCCCGACAAGATACTTTGCCTTTTGAACCGCGACTTCCGCTGTGGTAGGGAGGCTTGCGCCCTCGATGTCCGCAGCGTCGCCGAGCGCAAAGACACCGTCATAGAACTCTCCGTCTGGCTTGAGCACGCGCAAGCGGTCGTCTGTGAGAATCCGCTTGAGGCCACGCCGTGACACTTTGACGTCGCTCTCAAGTTTCTCAACTAGGGGCACGTTCTTGTTGCCCGTAGCCCAAATGAGCATGCCGTACGGCACACGACCTTTATCCTTGATGTACAGGGCATCCTTGTCAACGTGTTCAATTTGGGTGTTCGTCGCGACGTCGACGTGCCGCTTTTCCAACTGGTTCGACGCGTACTCGTGCAATCTGTTGTCATACGCAGACAGAATGTGCGGGGCTACATCGTACACGCTGATATTCATGTACTCGGCCACAAGAGGGTAGATAGCCTTCAACTCGTCTTTGCGTAAATCGTCCAATTCGGCTGTCAATTCTATCCCCGTGGGCCCACCGCCTACGATGGCAATGTGCAGCAGTTCGCTGGCCCTTTCAGGCGTGATATGAGGAAGACTGGCTTTCTCGAGCAAGTCGAAAAGTGTCTTGCGCACGCGCATCGCGTCCGAGACGTTTTTGATGAATATTGCGTTCTCCTCTACGCCTGGCGTGTTGAATGTATTGGGCATGCATCCTGGCGCGATCACGAGGTAGTCGTACACCACCTCAAATTCTTCTTGGGCCAGTGCTGGATCCTCGTCAAAGGCTGGTGCGCATCGGCAGGCTCTTTTACCAAAGTCGATGTCCAGGACATTGGCTTTGACAAATCGTAAAGCCGACCTTGATTTCGACCGGACTGGCTCTTCGGCCAAGTAGAAGTTGAACAAGCCGACGGCTGCGGACGCCAACAGCGGCGTGTATGCTGATGTTCGACGTGGTGATAGTACCGTGACACTGTATGCTTCCAGGTCAATGTTCTGGACGATGTAGAATCCGGCCCACCCTGATCCAATGATGGCTAGTCGAGGTTTGGTGGCGGACATATTACGGCTCGGATCTTTTTGAACAGCCGCAATGTTAATCTTCGAGCATAAGCACCTGTACGGCTCTTCTTTGGGAAGACCTAGTTGATCTGGTTTAATTACATGATGAACAACAAGCAAGATACTGAACACGAATTTGTAGCTTTGCCTGCTGGCAGTGCCAGGCAAGCTTGCAGGGTCAAAGATGCTCGACCAGTCAAGCAGAAGCGTGGCCCCAGCGAGGTCAAAGTGTAGCCAATCAAGGCTTGAAACCCTTGTAATGATGACCCAAGGCCTCAGCCTGCTCACCAAGCAGGTTACTAAGTCACTCCGAAGACAATGATGTCAATATACAAGAAAGCATGATCGAAGAACAGGTTGACATTCCCGACGTTGTGAATGCAGACTTTGATAGTCGATCACATTCTCGTTCTACCTAAAGCTGATAACAGACCCTATCACTGATGCAGTCGAATCGGTGCCTGTGCTATTCCTGCCTGCCTGCATGCAGTCCGCCCAGGACTCATAACTTTTGCTCCCGATCATCCTGACCCATGATGATCGCAATCTGCCTTGCCCCCCAATATCCACTGTCAATCCGAGTGTTGTGTTGTGTACAAGTACATAGCCGATGAAGAAAGATGAAGCAGAAAACCCTTTTCCCGCAAACGGATAGAGACGTGCAAAGAGAACTTTTTCAATCTGCTCCCATGTTCGCCATTCTTTTCTGTGCAAGGAAGAGAACTTTCAACTCCTACTAATAGAACAGAGGAGAGAAGATCCGTGGCAGTCTGTAGGCGGCGCAGACTTAATGGCCCGATCCATAGCTGCCATTCCATCCTCTGCCGCCGCCATAGCCACCGTAAGCACCAAAACCAGTGTTAGAACCGTAGCTGCCATATCCAGTGTTTTGATGACCGCTTTGATGATTGCCGAATCCAGCGCCGTACTGAGGATAATTGCCAAATGCTTGTTGTTGGGCAGAGTGCTGAGATGGTGGTGGCAATCCACCTTGTTGACTGTTGACAGTAGAACCGGGACGACCGCCCTGCATTGAGGGACTTGGACCAGATGCTTTGCTTGGATCTTCACCTCCGGTGTGAGTGCCATGCTGTTGAGTCTGTCCAAAACCAGAGGTAGTCCGTCCGAAAGGATCTGCCACACCGCCGAACGCAGTGCTACCCGCAGCACTCTGCTGGGGGTCAGATGGCTGAGTGGATCCGCTTCGTCCATAAGCTGTCTCACGAGCATAAGAGGAGGGGGCGGCGGGAGATGATGCCTGGTCGTAAGAATAGCCCTGTTGAGGCTGACCATACATGTTGGATTTGTATCCACCGCCATAGTGATTTTGTCCATAGTTGTATTGGCTGCCATAGTAGTCCGCACCACCGGCACCAGCGGAACCACCTCCAGCCTGGTCCTGACGACGAGCATCATCAAACATAGGCCTGTTGGCCCCATAGCGATGATTCATTTGGTTGATATAAGCTTGGCTGTACTGAGGGTATTGTTGGTTGTATGCGTTGGGGTAGCCATAGCCTGGGTATGCTGCATGACCCTGGTTTTGCAAGTGACCAGCATGTTGGCTAGGGTGTGTAGGGATTCCTGGCGCAGGTGTGTTGTGTCCGCTACCCGGAGCCTCTTGACCCATGCCTTGTTGAGGACGAGAGGTGGCATATTGGCTTTGGGTCTCTGGGGCCGTGGTACCGAATGTACTTCCTGTACGTTGAGCATCCTGGCCTTGACCATACCCGCCATAGTAATTGTACGCGTCCCGGCCGTAGTAAGAGGCGTAGTCGCTCTGCGAAGGAGTTGAACCTGGTTGACCAGGAACTTGGTTGGAAAATGGTTCTTGTGGCTGGGCTTGAGCCTGCGTCGTTTGCGATGGCTGACCAAATGGGTCATACGGCTTCTGAGCTTGTTGTGCATATCTATATTGATCTGCATATGCGGAGGAAGATTGAGGTGATGGTTGTTGTGCTTGCTGAGGAGCAGGTGGCAATCCAGGTGCTTGTCGTTGTGCCATTGGTTCCGCAGGTACATGAGCCGACAGAGAAGGAGCCACCTCTTGGGCGTCCGTGAGAGATGGCGGCAGAGACGCACGTGGAGCGACTGGTGAATCGTCTGGAAGCTGGGTTCTGGTTTCGGGTTCTTCTCGGTCCTCGTCCACATCGACATCATCGGGACCACTCAAACCCAACTTGCCGAACTGGACTGCTGCCTTCTCAATGGCATGGTTACCTGGCATCACCACCGCTTCCTGTTGCTCCATCACTTTTCGTGCATAGCTCGAAGATCGGCTGGGCCCAGCAGTCGCCTTCAAGGCAGTAGCAGCATATCCAGACAATCCGGGGCGCAGAGCCGGTTTGGCACTTTCGCCCGCTGTGAGCGGGTCTTGAGTGCTTGCGACTGTGCTCACAGCGGTAGCACTCTGTGGTGGGTGGGAGGCATCAGGTAATTTCTCTAGATTCTGCTCTGTGAGTTCGTCTCTTGCTGGTGCCAATTCCTTCCCTGTGTCGGAATGAGGCGCAGATGGCAGCTCACTTGGCCCACCGTCACTAGGTGCAGTCTCGATCGCAGGAGGTAGAGTTGGCTCGGTAGGGACTTGTTCGTCAAGCGCGGGTTCGGGCTCTGCTGCATTCTCTTCAGGCTGCGCAGCACGAGGCGGGGGAGCGGCAGCCTTCTGGGGAGCAGGAGGCGGTTTCGCGAATAATCCAGCCCATCCACCAGGTTTCGCAGCAGTAGGAGCAGCGTCAGATGCTGGTTTCGGCTCCTCAGTCTGGAGCGATGCCAATGAATCTTTGCCAGGTTCGTTCGCCCAGTCACCGGCAGCGGTACTGTCACCATTTGTCGGGGCCGCATCCCAGCCTCCGACAGCTTCAGTAGCAGGAGCCGCAGTTGTGGTGTCCCATCCGTCTGTTGCTTTCGTGTCCTTGGTGCCATTTGTATTTGCAACTGTCTTGGAAGAGCCACGGCCGCCTCTAGCACCACGCTCTGCCCCACGGCCTCTACCACGACCTTCAAAGCCACCGCGACCGCGACCACGTGAGCTACCCTCAGTCGATGCCGTAGTGGTTTCTTTCGATTTTGGATGCTTCTTCTTGACCTCGCCCCATTGTGAGATGGTACCTGTTAGAAAGGGTTAGTTGTTGGAGGATAATGTTGATTGACAGCTTCATACCACTTGAGATCCGATCAACAGCCTCATTGACATCGCCGTCTGTCTCATTCAATGCATAGACAAGATCCTCGTCACTCCAACCAGGGCAAATCTCTTTCAATAAAGGCACTTTGTCACCGAACTTCTTCTTTAGTTCCCCAACTTCACCCTGTTCTTCTAGCGAAGTGGGAGGAATGTTCTCCTGCTCATTGTCTGCCTTGTGTTGGGACCTGCTGGGATGTCGGCCACCTCTAAAGCCGCCTCTTCCACCTCTGAAACCACCACGGCCTCGCGTGCCGCTGCCCCGGGGCTGGACTTCTGCCATTGCTCTAGGTTTGAGGGTGTGTGACCCGGAGGTGAGGAGAGGGAGTAGTCGACGGTGAGGTAATGAATCAAGGAGGGAGAAACAAGGAATAAAATTAAGCTCCCAGTAAATTGAAGGAGCTAACTCCCTGAAAGGATTCGACTCCGGCAGATACACAAGGTGACACGATTGCAAGGTAACGAGGAAGAGAGACTATGTTGACATTGGAGGTTTTGTGGACATGTTAAACGCAAGCAGAGGATCTTTAGGCAGGCCGCAAAGACAACTTGGAGGCTGAGGAAACGCCAAGCTTCGCGTTGCAGTGCAACTCTAAGACCCTTCCTTCTCCAGAGTCACGACTCACCATCGATCACCACATTCACGTCCATCTTACTTGCAATTGAAAAGCGACTGCCCGTCAAAAGCAATGAGGCCCAGATCTGCAAACTTGAGATGACCCGATCGCGAAGCCAGAATGAAGCTCACTCCCTCCCTCCTTGTCCGCAACTTCCTCGCTTCAATCAATCCGCCGCTTCCTCCACGATCCCCCGGCGAATCCAAGCGGCTCCTCAATGTCCTTGAATCAGCCTTCCAACGGCACCTTGACGATGTTCACCCTTCGCCAAAAGCTACAGAGTCCAGAGACGCTACAGACACCACTTCCTCGATACCAAATCCTGCACAGAGGCTCACTCATTCAACTCACTCCCATCTCGACAGCATCCTCAGTCACCCGCTCTTAAAGCGGAAATCCACGACATTCGTCCCTCCACATACTCTATCCGCTACGGCCGTCGCGACATTCGATGCCGCCTTGACTGGAAAGTCTTTGGATCTTCATCTTGTACAGTTTTGCGCATTACAATATCTAGAAGGCTTGGAGAAGAACGAACCTGTCCTGCAAGATGGAAAACTAGGTTCCCGCCTGTCCAATTGGTTTACCACCATGAGTCGCGAGGAAAAGCTCTCATTCTGGATGAACAGGAAATCACTAAGAACACTAGTGCGCGTCTTGTATGCGGACGGTCTCGAAGCAGAAGTATGGCAGTGGCTCCGGGATCTGTACGAACGTCAGTTCGAGACTTCAATCTTTTTGGTCTCGGACAACGATGCTCCCAACGCTAAAGCATACCTTCAAGCCGAAGACATCCTCGTCGCAACCATGATATCCGAGACAACCGCAAGGAGATCTTTACAAGAGGCTACTGAGCAATATGTCCAAGCCTGCAGATATCGCCAACAGAAGGGCCAGAGTGGTATGGCAGGCCAACCCGGAGTCAATTCAGTGTTCAGGCCGTTGAGGAACGCATGGCATTGTGTCGCTGCTGCCATTGTATCGCGACGCAACAATCACGGCATACCTACAGAATTGTTCGATTCGCTGCTGGACCATGGTCTCTCCGTGACACACTCTCCTATCGATCACAGCTTCGTCCGAGTCTATCATCCGACATCGCCATCAGCACAAATACTCTGTTCCAAAGTCAGGTCCGACATGTCGCACCTTAGGCCGTTCTCGAAATGGCAAAGACAACTGTCCAAGAGAATGTCTCGCAAAATCTTCCTAACCACACTACTTGACGGCGCCCAATTGTCTCTCGAGCAGAGTCGCGCCAACGACGCTCGTGTTCTCCTGGATTGCGCAGAACAGGAGTATCCTGAGTTCCTCTCGGACAGCAAGGACCTAGAAACGGAGAAGAGGCTGGAAGTCGCGCAGGCCGCCATGTTGGTACGGAGATTCGAAGCTCGGGCGAGATTACGGTCTGCTCCCGCACCGGTCTTTGCGTGATGAAGGCGATGATTACGAGGCGGACACCAGTTATAATGAAAGAAAAAGCGCGATCACACCTCTGTAGTATACCCCCGTGATCGCATAATGTACATAGTCATGTAGCCCTGAAGGGTACCCTTCCAAACCAGAAGCCTTTCCCAAATTTGAAGACATGAAGTCCTCTCAGTACATCATGCACCCAAGATCGTGTTCACATCCAAGAAAACTCCCATTGCATTGCTTCATCATTCATCCTTTGCGCATCTGGCGCCTTTCGTTCTCATCGTGATGTCTCTCTCATTGTCATTGCCGTTGTACTTTCGTCTTATTGTTCATGCCCACTCTTTTCCATCTCTGATGTACGCCGCCGCCAAATCATGGCACTTTCCAAGCCTATTTTCCCCTTTCCACTTTATCTCGTCGTCAGCTCGGGGATCATCCCACCTCAAACCAATCCCCCATATCTTGTCCATCGGACTTCCCTCCACGAATTTCCGTCCGCGGGAAGCACCCTTGTACAACGCCCGCAGTTCGGCATCGACTTCAGCGCGCGCAATACTGCCCGCCACCACGACGGGTGTAGAAGCTTTTGTCCATACTGGCTCGTTGAAGCCTCGGGCGCGGCGACCGATTGCTTTCTGATCGCGAGGTGAGGGCGTGTTGATGCACGATACCATAGTCCCATTGTGCAGTGCTTCGTAGTCGATTCCTTGGCCGTCAAGTACTGGCGTGCTTGTTTCGGTCTTGTCTTGGGCTTGTGTGTCGTCGTAGAAATGTAGTACCTTGTCGCAGATACGCTGAATGTGTGTGTCTTGCATGTTTGCAGTGTCGAGCTCGGCGCCTGGAAGCATGCGTTCGAATAGCCATCCCTTACAGGCCATCATGAACTGCTCGCCGCATACGAAGTCGTGGCGGGCCATGAGTTCTGTGGCCAGCGCCGTGCGAGATGGATGTGCCTTTATGCCGGCTTCGCCGAGGCGTGTGATCAACAAATCCATGGCGTGGCGGCCGGAGAAGGGGAAGCCGATGTTCCAATTTGACAACGGACCGCCCCAGAAGAGGATGTGTTGAGATGTGATTCGCGTGCCGCGAGCAGCTGGAGCCTGCTTTTGTTGTTGGCGAGGCTGGTGCTGGTTCTTGTGTGTTTGTGAGGGTGTGCCATTGACACATGTTGATGGTCTTGGTGAGGAGTTGCGTAAACTGGCATGTTTGTCGACTCTTGCGTCCCGGGTGCGGTTGACGGGAGAGGTCGAGGAGATGCGTTTGTCTGATTTGATGTTGCCGTGGCCGCCTGCCGATTCGGCTGAGCGCTGCCAGGCTCGTACGCCATTCTTGTTGTCCGTAAAGTCATTTGTGGGCTTTGGGCTCTGGCGTGGAGGACTTCGAGGTCCTTGTGAGTGCGTAGCTCTCCAATTTCGATTTTGGGAGTGTGAAGATTTTCGTCCTCGATTCTGCACATTTGAAGATCTTCGTCTGTGGCGAGAATGTGTTGGTGATGATGAGGAAGAGTCGTTGCTCGCGGCTTCTTTCAGGAATGCAGCAAGAGATTCGACCTCGGTAGTCGTGATGGCAGATGGTGACTGGTATGGTGTGTCTCGAGAACTGAGTCTCATGCGATAATGTTGTTCTTCCGACATGATGGTATGATGTTGTAGTAGTTCGGTCGAGAAGAGTGGGTAGTTCAAGTCATATGAACAGTTTTCTGCCAGGATATATCGACAGTCTTTCAATATGGCTGTGTCTGAGATCGATTGTACGAATCTGTTTCGATGTTGATTCTGATATCGATGGCTGTGAACTGTGTTGTATATCTTCAGATGTGGCTTGTTTTTCTGATGAAGATGGACGAGCACGAAGAAGACAGCGAGGACAAAAGAAAGAAAGCTAGAAAAGAAATTCCTTTTAGTGATGCCTGGTGCAAATGAATAGCCTTCTTCCATTCACTTGGTACAGCCATGAGTCACTTGTCAATGATATGGTTCCAGGCGGATCTCCCAAGAGGAAACTCTGCGCCAGGCAGAAAAGGCATCTTCCCGGCCACGCACAATGACTTGAATAGCATTCTCATTCGCTTGGTTATTGTGCTGGTCACATTGCGACAATGGTAGGGTAGCATATACAAAGGATGAAAGGATGGAATGAGCGAGCGGAGATGAGATACCACCGGACAATCTATGTTCCGGTCCTTTCAGTTTCACTTGTAACGAGGGAGGTCTGGTACATCACCTGCATGCATCTGGTTGTACCAGGTAGTCATGCCATTTGCTTGCCGTAACCGCCAAACAGCCCGTCCACCGTCATGCCCAGCTCTACTTGGCCTCATCCTTCTTTGCGTCCATTTTCGCCTTCATCCCATCGAACATCTCCTTCATCTTATCATCTGGAAGAGCGCCGGTAGCCGTCTTCGCCTTCTCCGTAGCCGGCCTCTCAGCGATACGCTTGATCCATCTTTCCACACCAGGAAACTCGCTCATATCAATATCCACACTCGGTGCCCCCTTGACCCAAGCCCAACTCGCCATATCGGCAATCGTATACTTATCGCCAGCCAACCAGTCCGCCTTGGACAATCTGATCTCGAGCACCGAAATCAACCTCTTCGTTTCGTCGATGTACCGCTTCATTCCGTACGTGTCATACACCGGCGCCATCAAACGAAAGTGGTTTGCTTGTCCTGGGAACCGTCAGCGAGCCCGTCCCTACCTCATGTTTGCTCAAGTCGTCGACGTAAACATACCCTGCATAGGCCCAATCCCACCCATCTGAAACATGACCCAACTGAGCATTTCGTAGTACAAGTCCGTCCCATACTCATACGTAAATTTCTTCTCCTTGTCGTACATGTCGGTCAAGTAGAGCATGATAGCACCAGATTCGAAAACACGTAGATCACCGTCCTTCAAGGCCGGAATTCGTCCGTTCGGGTTGATGTCCAAAAACCACGGCTCCTTTTGTTCGTTCTTCATGATGTTGACCTGATGAGAGTCATACTTCAGCCCGAGCTCCTCCAGAATAAGAGCCGGCTTGAGGCCATTGGGCGTGCCGAAGGTGTAGTACGACAACTTGTTGTATGGTGGTGACGACGACATGTTGGTTGATCGAATCGGTACCTCAGGTGAAGGCTCGAGACGAAGATATCTCCTTTGTTCAATCGGCCGGCGATGTGGGGGAGATGTGGTCTTTATAGAGCTAGCTGCAAGCAGGCGGGCATGCGCCGAGCACAATAGTTCCGATATCGAAGTACTTCTCGTCCGAGAAGTCAGTAGACTCAACCCAATGACGTCTGGCACTCTCCCCATGCCTTCCCCTCTCAAGGTGTACAAACAACTTCAGCACTAGCCCGCCTCAATATCAAGGCCTCTTTCACCTTATCCTTCCCTGGTTGTCTGTGCACGCTTGTAGTACTTCAGGGATTGATGTCGTGGAGGTAGACGAGAGACTGATTGGGTCGACGGCCCCAAGTCCTTGATTGGAGGTTGTTATTGTGCATAAAGCTGTTACATTACTCAGCACGATAACTGTAAGCGCACTAAAGAGTGTTATTGTGGACCAAGATCCTAGAGGACGAACGCAACTGCTGAGACTTCCGTACCTTATGTGGGAACAGGCAAGAGGCGTGAGACAAAGGCTAACTCGACCAACCTGGTTCCTGTGCAAGAGAGATGCTCAGATGAAATAATGCAATTCTTTTATTTTAAGACGGCCATAATGGAATGATAATACAACGCGTGAAGAGCCCGATTTTCCCGTCTGTCTCGTTTCAAACATGGACCCTCACGCCAACGCTGATGAGAATTCTGCTTGCTGCTCAATTCAACCTTGGTTTGTGGTAACCCTGCTCACCGGTGCAGAAGTGCCATCAGCATTGTCGCCCAATGCCAACAGTCCCTCTTGGTGGAAAGGCTTGTTCGCTTGAGCTGCTTTCCTCTCATCATATCTCCACACACCAGCCGTCTTCTCGGGCGCAACTCCTTCCCAGCTGTTGGTTCCCAGATTTGTTATAACCTTGACCAGTTTCTGAAAGGTGATCTCAAGTTCGTCCTTGGGATTGGCTTGCGAGAAGAAGACCCTCTGCCATTCCCGTTTCTCGTCTTGCTCTTTCTTGCGCAGCGCTCGTTGCGCGTTCTCTATTCTGGACTTGAAATGCGATACGGCATCCATATCGCCCTTTTCGATGCTTCGAGCCACGTGAGCCCAAGCCTTTCTGCTTTCAAAGACGTCCTGCTCCCCAAGGGACGCGACATTCAGCTTCGCCAACTTGATCTCGCCTGGTCTGAACGTAGTAATCTCCTTAGCCTTCTTGCCTTCGCCCTCTTTGAGGGTGAAAGCGTCCGACCACTGTCCGTCTGCAGAATATATCGAGTCCTTCTCGGAGCTTCCCACCTTCCACAAGTTTGCCGTAAAGGTGTTTTTCTTTCCTGACAACCATCCTCTGCCAGAGAAGTCGATCTTGGAAACATAGCCGGTGCTCGAAACAATATGTATGAATTTGCCCAACTCGACAAACGGGGCACCATAGATAAGGTTCTCGATATGCAGGGCTGGTAAAGTGATGAGGTAAGTCTCGGGCGTGTTGCTCCCAGGGGGATACAAAGTCAGAAGGGCGTGGCCAATCTGCTTGACATGAATAGTTCTGCTGAAACTAGCTTTCTGTCCATTGTAGCCTTGGAGTCGGATACGGTACTTGTCGTTGGTGATGCAGTATGCCGTCACTGGAGGATGATGACTGACTTGCTCAGAGACAAGTCGTGTCTGGCCAAACTCATCATCCCATGATCCCAAGAACAGTTCTCCCAAGAATGGATTGAGTGGCTTCTTCTCAGAGCCCAGTTTCTCGGATCGAGAACAGTATTGTTGTTTGAGCGTATTGATCAACCACTTCAACACGAGTAGTGCGCGTTTCGCAGGGTCTCTTTCTTGAGTTGGTGCGATGAACAACGACGTATTTTCGGCCCAATATGCAGAGAATTCGACCAGTGACTGAGTCGACAGTATGAATGCAGGGGCTGTAAGGGAGGAAAGATCACCATTGAAAGAGGCGATAGACTGGAATTGTCAGTTAGCGCAGTCCAGCTTGGAATCGGTATAGCCAGCACTTGCCTTTAAGAAAGACGACCATGACCCTTTGCTCTGGTTCGGCACGGCGCCACCCTCAACTTCGGGCATCTTGTCAATAAACGGTTGCGATGAGGGGGTGGAGACCGCTCGTGTGCGCAGCTGGTGGAGAGAAAAGACGTGGTCAATTGACGAAGGAAAGATATAGTTGCAGGTAGGGTCTGCAGGTCGTTTCAGCGAGTGAAGAGGTTGGCTGAAGGCGTGTAATGTTTGACTTATACCAAAGGTGTGTCCATCATTATTGCCTGCGATCTTGATTTGGTTGGTGGAAGGAGCCCTCGAAATTCCTTTGCACGAAGGGTGACGTATTGCCGGATCGAGCCACTCATTGCACCGCCATCGTCACTATCCCGGTGAGGGGTTGCCCGCCTCCGCCTCGCACACAACGTACGCACACGCCTCGCAGCTGGGGTGACTAGGATTTGATATTGATGTCTAGGTCAAAGTAGCTACTTCCTGTTCACGTTACTTATGTATAGCCAACGTCATCTGGTGCTAGCGATGGAGGGAAAGACATGGCTCTCCAAGTCCATCTTGTCAAACTTCCCCTTTAGCAGCGAGACTTTCTCTTACTGTCACACCTGCCATTTCCTTTATAGCTGGTTGGCAGTGTTGAAGTCCTTCAAGGCTTCGGTGATACGTGCGGTCATTGTCTTCTCACCCTCACGAACCCAGACACGCGGGTCGTAGTACTTCTTGTTCGGCTTGTCCTCGCCATCTGGGTTGCCGACTTGGGTCTTGATGTAGTCGTGCTTGTTGATAACGTAGTCCCGGATACCAAGCAGGTAGGCCCATTGCAAGTCGGTGTCGAGATTGACCTTGACGATACCGTAGCTGATGGCGTCGGTGTATTCCTTCTTGCTTGATCCAGAGCCACCGTGGAAGACGAGGAACACAGGCTTGTCGGTAGAGGTGTTCTCCTTTTCTTGGACATACTTCTGGTGCTTGTCGAGCAGCTCGGGGTGAAGACGGACGTTGCCGGGCTTGTAGACACCATGTACGTTTCCAAATCCTGCGGCGATCGAGAAGTAAGGCGAAATCTTCTTCAATGTGGTGTAGATTTGGTGAATATCCTCAGGTTGAGTGTAGAGGGAGTTGTTGTCAACATCCTCGTTGTTGACACCGTCCTCCTCACCACCAGTGATTCCGATTTCCTGACTTCGTGTAAGTATATTTCCTGAACCTCGATCTTCCGAATCTTACCATCTCAAGCCATTGCTTCATTGGAGCCGCCCGCTTCAAGTACTTGGCAGTTGTCTCGAGGTTCCAGTCCACGGCCTCCTCAGACAAATCGATCATGTGCGAAGAGAATAGAGGCTCGCCGTGCTGCTTGAAGTATTCTTCATCCGCGTCGAGCATACCATCGAGCCAAGGCAGGAGTTTCTTCGCGCAGTGGTCGGTATGCAGGACAACAGGGATACCGTATGCGGGAGCGACGGCTCGGATGTACTGGGCTGCGGCAACAGCGCCGGCAATTGAGGCTTGTTGCTTGTCATTCTTGACACCCTGTTATGAGGACCTTTAGCTTCCAGATCTGTTTCACCTGCTTATCCAATTGACAAACCTTGCCGGCGAAGTATGCAGCTCCTCCTTGAGATGTCTGGAGGATGATGGGAGCTTTGGCGTCTCGTGCAGCCTCCAAAGAAGCGACAACGGTCGAGGAAGAGGTTACGTTCTAGGGATCACTGTTAGCCATGCGTCGATGATGCTTGCGGGGGATTCTTACGACAGCCGGAATGGCGAATTGGTGTTCCTGGGCGTATTTGAACAGAGCCAGGACATCGTCACCAACGATTACACCCTCCTTTCTCGAGAGAACGTCTTTGACACCCATGTTGACGATATCTTAGTGGGGCTTTGGAGGTTTGAGTTGAAGAAATTTCTAGCTGTAGCTGACGAAACTCGACCTGTGTTAGACGAGCAGCGTTGACACTGAGTGCGAGAACAAGTCAACTAAGAGGAAAGTTGAATCAAATGAGGTATAAATGAGAAAACGGATTGCCGGGTTGTGTCGTAGAAACAAATGGGTTCTCCGTTCGAATTGGAGGAGGGGCAGGAGCCAAACTTATGACTGAATCCGGGAAGCTCGAGGCTCGGCTTGGTTGGCTTTTTTTCGGTGTGGATGAGCAGTGCGGCTTCCGATATGCTAATATGAAGTCAACCATGTCCTCCGATTTCTCCCTCAATGCATTTCAATTCTCCTCGTAAACGATGCGGAATATCACGGAATCATCCCTTCAAGGCTTCAACATCCCCACGGTCACGGCACACCTTGTCCCCGCATCACTGAAGCCTCGGTAGCAATAGTCCGAACACGCGGCAGAAGCAGTGACTTGGGTCCAATAGACCATGTTGCTGGATCTACAATCGTTCCAGCTGATTTTTATCCAGTTTTCTATACCTCGCAAAGAAGCTGTCCATGTTCGAGCCAATTCGCAAGGCCTCCAGATACGTAATGGTCTAACGGAGCCGTGTATCTCAACCCAGTGCATCGTCCCCTGGCCGCTCGAGCTCATAAAACAGCAAGTATACCTCACGTTGCATTGACAAAACATCCGAGGTACGCGCTTCTTTGATTTTATCATCCGAGATACGCCACCATCGATCCAGGGATTTCTTGCGTCGGCGAAATTTTGCTGGACCAGCATCTTGCGTTCTGATTTGAGGCTTTGATGCCTGTGTCTCCGTCCTTCGAATTGAGGACATTGGTGTCTCAGTCGGCTCGACTGTCGATGGTGACGTTGACGGTGGTATTTTGTCTAACCCATTCGAATTAGGCCTGCTAATTGACGTCGACAATGAAGCTGTCGACACTGTACTGTTGGATTGTTCATCAGAATTGACCGGCCGAATGGAATTGTTAGATTCGATGGCCTCAACGTTGGGACTGGCCGTGGCTGAGGGCCTCAGGCTTGCGGTTCGACTGGCCATGGCATAAGCACTGAAGGGATCGGGTGTGGCGAAAGGAGGGTATAGATGGAATCGCCGAAACGACTCGTAGTGTCCACTGTGATGGCTTCCTTTGTGGCAGACAACTCCCAAGAGCTTGTACCACTTTTCTTCCAAGAGTCCTCCCAACCGCAGGCGCTCCGAGTAAGAGACCTTAGCCATGTTCTTGGTTGAATAGCTCGAAGGGTCAAACAGCGACCTCGACAAATGGATGGCGATGAGTTTTGGAAAGACCGTGATGCGAGTCGATTTGCGGATTTTGCTCTTAGGAGCCTGATTCGGATCAGGTAGCGTAACGCCCTCTGGAGCCTTTTCAGGATCTTCCCGTAAAGCATGCTCAATGCGTTCGATATCGCTCTCGAATCCCGATCGATCCTCTTCTGTCTTTGCCGACTTCAGCTTGTTATTCTTCCATTCCAACGCATGCTGGAGCCGACATTTATCACATCTGAAGTCATCAATCTCTTCACTCTTTAAAAGGATGTCAAAGCAGCTGTCTAATGTCGTAGAACTTTTCTGTGGTACATTGAGGGTTAAAGAGACAAAAGTGCTCACGCTGGGTTTCGTCTTGTATTGGCATCGTAGACATCGAATCTGGGACTCCATGCGTCCTTCAAACGGGAAGCCTTCGTTCGTCCCGACGGACACCTCGGTCGTTGTCGCGGAGGATCGTACCTCCACTAGTTCGCCATTCTGACTTTGTGTTGAATTCAGCAATCTATTGCGCGCTCTTTCCGCGGCATGGTATTCGTCGCAAAGTCGCTCGAGGACAATTTGAAGAAATTCCTGGGCATCCTGCTGATTGCGACTGATTCGAGTCTGAAACGCCCTTTCCAAGGCCTCTATCAGTGGGCGCGCGGTAATAGTCTTCCTGTATATCGGACGCTCGTTCAAGGCATCAATCATGTCTTTCAAGGCCCTCGTTATTGGGCCCTTTTGAAGATTGACCAATTTATCCGCCTTCTCGCCCTTCCGCAAAACGGGTGGTGCCGTATTGTATATTTCTGCATCATCGAGCTGCCTTCGATGTAGTTCTCTTATAAGGTATAATCTCAGATCGCCCAGGCCAGCCAAAGCTTGTAGGACTGAATTTATAAAACAATCGTTGGCAGGGTTTGCCAGGCCGATGATGGTTCGCTTTCGTCCATCATTTGTGCTGCTGGAATTCTCGCCATCGAGGAAGAAGGTCGGTCCAAAGACGTAGAAGGCAGCAATAGCAGCAAGAGATGCGCCGGCCGCATAGGCGACAACAGTGGTGGGCTTGTCAGGCATGTGGAGGGTGGCTCGGTAGTAATGTCACAGCCATGGTGCTTGGCTGGCTGTGTTCTCAGAACATTTCTGGAGGACTCTCTAGAGGGCGGAAAGTACGGGAAAGCAGCCGAGAGGGTTGTCGGACGCGAGGTTGCAGGACAATGCTGTTTGGAAAAAGACGGGTGCCTGGTATCAAAGGTATCTCGCAGTAAACATGGGATTACCTTGAGAGTCAGATTCAGTGTGCTTCGAATATCTCCGTCTCCGTGCTGAAAGTTGCGGTACTGTACCTCTCGCAGCCGCGGCTAAAAGCCAGTGCTTCAGCCCCACTGGTGAGTGACGTGATGCCCAAACTGCCGGATTTCCAGGCGAACGAACCATCGCTGTCACCTGAATAATCTGGAGAAGCGAGTGCTCCCAGTCCACAGACTTCCTGATGTGACGGAGACGTTGGACGTAGCCGATATTGATGCTAAGCATGACCGGCGAGATACACTCCCTCGGGAGCCATAGCGCTATCACTCGCGCAGACTCTTTTGGTGGGTTGCTTCGCATTGAGCACGGCGCACAGACAAGTTCCGGTCGCTCGAGGTAAGCACTATGCCCCTGATCTTCCAGCCTTGTAGTCGCCCGTTTCGCGAGAGAATTACACTCACACCACGCTTCCAACACCTCAACGTCCGTCAAATATACTTGAAAGTATAGCACACAGTGTTCTGCTGGACATGTACATCGATTTACCGTGTTCTTCAAAGCTGCACTTGCTAACTCTGACAGAGAGACACATGTATCAAGGAGGAGCAAGGTAGATTCAATGCGCAATTCGCTGTGAAGGAACATATTGCGAAAGTCACGATGCCCAGTCCCCTCTTTGGTGTCTCTCCATACGCTTCGTCCGAAGGCATACCACCAAGAGGACTCTTGATCTCCTGTTGAAGACCTTATGTATGCGACTCAACGGCTAGTAACAGATAGCGCAGAAATGAAACCTGTTGGTGCAGTCAATCTTCACGTGTGAGGAGAAAATTGCCCTGGCTTACTGTATACCTCTGTTGATTCTGTCTGTGGAAGAGTCGACAACGAAAGAATATGTGGCCATAAGAAGAAGTGATCTGCAAAAGCTGTAGTTGATTGGTCCACTATACGATATGTCTCCACACGCGAAGACATCTTGGGGGGCACCATCTGTTAGTGAGCATCACTCTTTAACCCTCAGAGGGGATTCTATGGCTTAGATGGGGGAGATGAGGATAAGGCATGCATCATTGGCCAGACGATGTACGGATGCGTGGATTAACTCGAATTGAATTGAGGGACGACACCTTCTGAGTGATCGACGACCACGATGGACTGAAGCGACAATCGAACAAGTGGATCGCACGTTGGTCTCCATAGAGCCTCAAGCCTGTTCCACGCATCAGATTGGCCATGGGAGCTACCGTCCACCCTACATCAAGTCTGCGCTACTCATGCGTCTATAAGGTCCTCCCAGAGCCACATCTTAGATCGCAGTCTTTCCATCTTGTTCAACAGAGTTGACCATATATTGCAGATTGTACTGCCACTTCTTCGAGCTTTCCAACTGACAGATCGGAACGGCATTCTTTTCAATCGACCCAGCTCTCTACCACTAGCGGATGAAAATGTCCTTCACGAACCGGATACCTATGGCGAGCATCACATTCTCATCATCACTACTGCATGTATCGAGGCACAACATCCTGCGCTCAGGCCCGAAGCACCTCTCGAACTACCTGCCAGCGATCATGGAGGCACCTTGCTGGACAAGGAGAACGAAGACTGATGGGACAGCGCAAAAGATTAAAAGACGCCAGGAAATTGCTTTACCTAGTGGTGCTTCCCCCTCGAATGCGATTGAGCATGTAGTGTAAGTCTTGCACTTCCATGTGACCTCGTCACAGGGACGGCCTGTGAAAAGAGCACCAGAATAGCACAGATTAGGTTGCAACTCTCCGAGGTTCCATGCACCATTCACTCACCAGCCCTTTCTTTAGGACAACTCTCGACAAGCTGGTCAACTGGGCTCGAGTCGGTTCATTTTGGCCCGTCACTTTCGCACTGGCCTGTTGTGGGATAGAAATGATGCACGCAGCCATGCCTCGCGTAAGTATACTTCTTGACAGAAGACTGTGCGATTGAAGCACGAGTCTTTGCTTTATCCCAGTTTATACCGACACAACTTTCTGACGATTTGTAGTATGACCTGGACCGCTTCGGCATCATCTTTCGTGCAAGCCCGCGGCAAGCCGATCTCATGATCGTGGCCGGGACCGTTACCGTAAGTATTCTTCCTTGCGAAAGACTGTACTATTGGAGCACGAGTCTTTCAGTTCATCCCAGTTTTCATGGACACAATTTTCTGACAATTCGTAGAACAAGATGGCGCCTGCGGTGCGATTGGTCTATGACCAGATGCCCGACCCCAAATGGGTGATCAGCATGGGAAGCTGCGCGAACGGTGGTGGTTATTACCACTATAGCTACAGTGTACTGAGGGGCGTTGACCGCATTATACCGGTCGATATATATGTTCCAGGATGTCCACCAACAGCCGAGGCTCTGTTGTTCGGAATATTTCAGCTTCAGAAGAAGATCCAAAGGACCAGGACGGTGCGCATGTGGTACCGTAAGTAAGCTTGTCTGAATTGTCCGAGGCTTGAGGTAATGCATAGTGCAACCTTTCTGGCATTGGTCAGGCGGTGGTCCTTGAGGCTGGGAAGGCCGCAAGCACGGGCAGATTGCATGGAAGCCAACGGTGGCGATGTCCTAGGAGAACTTGTCGATTACTGCTCTCGGCCATTCAACGAATATTTGGTAGTTTTCCGGCACCACGTCACAAGCGTGAAGGGCCCACGAGATAAGTACCAGTTGAACCTCGTTGCTGGGAACTGGTGCTTTCGAGGATGGAACGAACAGAGAGTGTGTCACCGGAACCATCAACAGTTGTGCTATCGTGGAAAAGGCTTGAAGGACGTAGGTCACGCCATTGGAGGCATTGAACGTCTCCGTGAACTTTGTCCAGTCCGTGGTGAAGAGCTCGGTGTAAAGTCGGTGGCATTCCATGAAGCCGACCGATGTCGATTGTAAGCATGCAAGAAGTGCGTTCTTGATCGTGGAGAAGAATTGGCGGTTTTCGTCCGTCTCGATAATTGACCAAACACGATTTAGGGCTTCGAGACCCTTTTGAACAATGTTTTTGTCGACAAGGCCAAAACCTTCGCTGTCAGGGACGAGTTTGCAGAGGTACGTGCCACTTTGGAGCTGTCGCAGATCAAAGGAGGTCTCCGCCCCAGCCTCTGTGAAATTCCGGACCGCGAGTGCGCAACCTCGAACCATAACGACAAAGTCGCTGAGACCGTCCTTCATGTATTGCGCTTGAAAAGCAAGAATGTATACCATGGCGATAGTAGCATCGACTTCCGCGCGTGTCCAGGTCGTCTTAGTGAGAGCAGCCCGCAGGCCTGCCATGGCTCGTCCCCGAAATTCGATGGCGGTCACTTGGTTTTGTGCTTCGGGCCGCCGCCAGTGAAGATGTGAAGCACCGAGTCCAAGCATGGCGTGCATTAGATGCTGGTTCTGGCTGGCGAGTTGTGGGATAGTGCTGGCCCAGACCTCGTCGTTGCCGGCAGGCAGGTGAGGAGAAGCCATGGCTAAAAAGTGGTGGAAGAGCCGGCAATCTTCAGACTTGATCATCCTTGGTGATATTGACAGACTTTGGCCCGGCAATAATCGAAGTATCGTGCCACTTGCAAATTTTGAGGTCCTTGGATAGCGACAGCGTGATCCATGGCCAGCACATCTCTTGCATACTGGTCGAGATTCGTCACATTTCGTCCTTCGCGCCTTACATGCGAAGCAGCCTAGGCGTGATTTCTTGTGTGTTGCGCGTTGTCTCGCTGGAGAGTTCAGAACGTTCATTTCGCCGCTTGTGTGCATTGCAAAGAGCAAAAGTCGAGTTCATTCTCTCAACAGAATTGCAACCTACGCTGCCATCAGTCTAATCTGAGTTGCGAATACGAGATCGTTGTAGGTATTGCTGGTGTGGCGATTTGAGGTAAAGTAAAGCGGTGTTCAAATCACTCGAAACTACAACAAGGATACTAGAGCACATTTCAGAACGTTGTCGACGACCTTGTCAGCAGTTGCTTCAGGGAAGGTCGAGCGAACAGTCGTTTGTCTCTGCATGCATTATCAGCCTTCGCGAGACTTCGTCTCAGGTCTTGATGCTCCCAAAGTCCGCCGCTGAAGCGTGGACATACAAGATGCTCTTCCTTGTGGGGTGAGAAGCGTGGTGCGGAGTAATAGGTTGGGAACTGTGTCGTGTGAGGATGAGTCCTTTTTAGACGCAAGACGCAAGATGACGCAGATACTGACCACCCATCATCGCCCATGGCAGTCGAATTCGAGATTTCGTTGTTGTCTGCACGACGAGTAGTGTGTGGTCCGCCTTTGTTGGATCCTCGATTTACTACCACTCGATCAGGTTGTGGCCGTGTCGGTTTGGCAAGCATCGGCTTGCTGATCGAACGTTGTAGCCGTGTGCAAGACATGTGAAGTAAGCGAGGACAACACAGCCAACGGCGAGCGTTCTTAGTGACGGTGGTTGCAATGTCAGTTTGAGAAAGATGGGGAACGATGGGGTTGAGATTGACACCTAACGAATCGAGAGCATGTCGACCGCCCGATGGATCGCAGAAATACTGTAACGTCCAGTCAATGAGAATTTGGAGCCCTCGGCCGGCCGTCAGAGGCCCCAACAAGAGTTTTTTTTAAGGGAAAGGAAGCGAATCCAGCGCTTGGGGATTGGGCACAATTCAGTTTAACGTACCTGAAACTGTGGTCCTTTCGGTCGGCGACACTGTTTCTCGCTTGGCTTACGTCTATTTGTTGCCATGGTTGGTCCCTGCATGACGCGAGTCTCGCCGAAATTTCTAGGTAGTTTTAGCAGCAAAAGGCCTCATCGATGGCCTGTTCGAGGTAAGTAGACCCTGCACACGCGCTCAATTCCAAACACCATCATTCTTTTTGCACATATCTTCCGTTGTACATACATCTTCTTGAGGTTCTCCGTAAAGATCCTATACAATTGAAGGAGCTTTTCTTTCTAGATCCTCTTTGTCGCTCGCTTGAACCCAGTCTCACACGCCCTTTCATCCACGGTCTTTGTTCCACATCCGGACGTGTTTTGACGAATATCAGTCGATACAAAGTGCTGGAGTCGAGTTAAGTTCTGCTGGTCAGGAGATACTGCAGCATGCAACAGCGTTGGTAGGATTCCTAGGATTGGTGACTGCAGAATTCCAGAGGACAATGTCGGCTATCCAAGACGTCTTCCGTCGACAGACGACCACCACTTCGGATTCAAGTCTATCCCCTGGAGAGCAAGTCCTTCAGCTGGTCGCGAACCCGTTCCAGGCTTCGGTAAGACTTCATGTCGACGTATCGATGGGCCTACTGCTGACATGCGTAGATACAAATCAATGCATTCTGGGCTTCCCTAGCCACCTCCTTGGGCATCAGTGCCGCCCTCGCCCTTCTGTTCTGCTTCATTCGCCCGCGCAACACCCTCGTTTATGCTCCGAGGTTGAAAAATGCGGACAAGGAGCACGCACCGCCCCCATTGGGCAAGGGCCTTTTCAGTTGGATAAAACCTGTTCAAAAGGCGAATGAGCCTTTCTTGGTGCAGAAGATCGGTATGGATGCTGTGGTCTTTCTAAGAACGGCCCGTATGCTTCGAAACATATTTTTGATCCTCGGATTTGTTGGCATTGCAATCATGATACCCGTGAACGTCACAATGGGCAACAAGACGATCTCGAATGGATCTTCGGCATTCACAGTCATGACACCCCTGTACATATGGGGTCGTGGCCTATGGGCTCAAGTCGTGCTGGCCTGGTTCATGGATTTGATCGTGATATATTTCCTCTGGCACAATTACCGTCGGATTCATCAATTACGACGCACCTACTTCGAAAGTCCCGAGTATCAAAGGAGTCTTCATTCGCGGACATTGCTAATCCGAGACATTCCATCAAAGTCTAGGAGCAACGAAGGCATTGCTCAATTGATGGATGAAGTCAATCCGACGGGAGTCACCCCGAGAACCAGTGTAGGACGGAATGTGAAGGTCCTTCCAGAACTTATCGAAGAGTATGAGGAAAATGTCAAGGAGCTGGAATCCGTTCTTGCGAAATATATGAAGAATCCTGACAGACTGCCTGCACACAGGCCTACTATGAAAGCGCCTCGCAAGTACAAAGGACAAACAGCGAGTGGTAAAGTTGATGCCATTGAGTATCTGACAGATCGGATCCGAGCCCTGGAGATGGAGATTAACGATGTTCGGGACCGTGTCGATAGCCGCGACGCCATGCCTTATGGTTTCGCCAGCTGGGATTCAGTCTCCCAAGCCCATACAGTGGCATATACAGCCCGGAGCAAGCGACCTCACGGCACCAAAATCCGCCTGGCTCCTAGGCCGAACGATCTTATCTGGGATAACCTCAAGTTATCGCGAGGAACACGACGCCGGAAACGCTTTATGAACGGTATCTGGATTGCAGTTCTGACTGTGGTATGGACACCCATTAACGCCGGGATTGCTATTTTCTTGTCCAATCTTTCCAACCTCGGCCTTGTCTGGAAAGCGTTCAAAACTCAGCTTGACGCCCATCGCACAGGCTGGGCGATTGTGCAGGGCATTGCTGCTCCGGCCATCACATCGATTGTGTACCTTATCCTCCCCATCATCTTCAGGCGGCTTCAGATCCGAGCAGGAGACGTTACGAAGACTGACCGAGAACGGCACGTGCTTCGAAATTTGTACGCTTTCTTCACCTTCAACAATTTACTCATATTCTCCATATTCTCAGCTGTCTGGCAATATGTGACGCTTGTTATCGAGTACGACCGCGAAGGAAACGATACCTGGACTTCTCTAAGGAAAGGACAATTCTTCCTGGTTATCATGAGCGCTCTTTGTCAGATTTCGCCATTTTGGATCACTTGGCTACTTCAGCGCAACCTTGGGGCAGCCGCTGATCTGGCTCAGCTGTGGCACTTGACTTACGTGTGGTTTATGAAAACCTTCATGGCACCAACGCCTCGACAGAAGATTGAGTGGACAGCACCTCCAGCATTCGACTATGCCAGCTACTACAACTATTTTCTCTTCTACACCACGGTAGCGCTCTGCTATTCTACCCTTCAGCCGATCGTGTTGGTTGTGACGGCACTTTATTTCTCTATTGATTGTTTCCTCAAAAAGTATCTTTTGATGTACGTTTTTGTCACGAAAACGGAGTCTGGAGGTCAATTCTGGACCACCATCTTTAACAGAGTGGTGTTCGCGGTCATGCTTTCGAATGTGGTGATTGGTGTGGTGGTGAAGGCGCGTGGGACATGGACACTTGTCATCTGTATTGCGCCTTTGTTGGTCATCATGCTCATTTTCAAGTGGTACTGCATGAAGACATACGATCTGAACCTCAAATACTACGCGCGAGGCAAAGGTCAAGACCAGGAACACTTGGCCGCCGACAGCCACCCGCATAAGATGGAAAAGATCTCGTCCAAATTTGGACATCCGGCTTTGTACAAGCCGCTGGTGACGCCAATGGTACATGCAAAAGCCCAGCATCTACTCGGAGAGGTCTATCGAGGCAGGCTGAACTCAGATGGAGGGCAAGCCGTCGTATTCTCGGACATTGCCCTGCAGCCGATGGCTCAAACGACCATGCCGAACCAGGAAGTGCCGCTCGAAATTGTTCCTGAGGCTCAACAAGATTTCCAGTTCTACAAGAATCGCTCGGATTTCCGTGATGAAGCCGACGACCTGCTTTCGGAACGAAGCCACACGCCAATGTCCTCTCTTGGAAAGCAAGAGTATAGCTCACGACCAAGTACTAGAGGAGCCAGCCCGGCGCCACTTCAAGAGTACCGAGGCGTACCTCATCGCAAGCAGTTCGACCAATCTCAAGTACCCAGTCAATTCAGATCTGGTGGTCGCACTTCGACTGAGGGTGGCGATCTGGGGCTACGTCCTCATAATGGACCTTACACAGATCCTTACGACGACCGGACTAATTTGCTGAACGGGGTTGGAGATGTCCGGACACCGACTGGCGAATTCATGTCGCTGGATCGATGGCGGACACCTGGTGAGAGCAGAACTGGCACTGCTACGCACACACCAGACGAAGAGTGGAATACGAATTACGACTATTTCAGATCCAGACGGTGATCAGGAAGACGATGGGGGAGATGTCCTCACCTATCCAAAAGTTGAGCCTTGTTTCCGGGAGAGGCGTTCCAATAGAGGAGATAGACTTATGACGATATGAAACGGATAATGATCAAGATGATAGATGCAGAATTGTCACTGATGAATGCAGAATGTAGAGCATCACACCTTTCGACCTTGTGCACCCACAAATTGTGTAATAGTCATTCAAGAATGCGATCTTTCGCGATCTTGGGGTCCCAATTCATCTCGTATACTGCCAGTGGCTCCCTGGAGTCTACTAAGTCAAGGCTACTAGGCTCAACTTTAAGCAGCATAAACTTGTTGTTCTGGCGAGAAAGATTGGGGGCTCCTCCTGCCGCTCCTGCGGCTCGCCTAGCCCTGTGGCCCTTTGAGCCTCCTCAGTACTGTGCCTTTCAAAACTTTGTAAATTTGTCAAGTTAGCCGAGCGGGTTGCAACTCCAACTTTTTGAAATGGCGGTAAGCATGATTATGTAATTACTCACCAATAACGTATATAATCAAACATCTTTTTGCTGCTATCTTAATCGTCGTCGTCGGCGCTCTATATTAATATAAATATCGTTTTATATATCGTAGTTTTCGTGATACCGGAATATCGTAAGTTTTTATCTACCGTTAAAGATACGGTCGAGCTTACCCTTAAAACTATAGCTCGATAGAAGACTATTAGTCTAGCCTACGGCGTCTCTAAGGCCTATATTACTAAGATAAAGCGTTAAAAACGTAATAAGGAGCTTAGTCTCGACTAATTCTATTCTAAGAATAAACGCCCTCTTATTATTCACGATATCGTCGCCGTAGGCCTACTAGAATTTATTAAGGATTAGCCGACGATACGCCTCGATAAGTACTATAACTTCCTCCTTAAGGAGTACGATATTCGAGTATCTCCGCCTATAGTTAATCGCCTACTTAAAGAGTATAAGATTACTTATAAACGTATTACTCGCGTTAATACGAGGCGCGACGAGAAGTTAGTTATAGAATTTATAGCCGAGATAGCCGATTATACTACGGAGTAAATTATCGCCGTCGACGAGAGTATCGCTAACGAGAGAATACGGGACCGTAAGTTTAGTTAGTCTTCGCGAGGGGTACCTTATCGAGTACGTCTTTTAAGGAGGCGTATAAAGCGATAAAGTATCTTACCCGTACTTATAGTTAATAAGTAGCTTAATTACGAGGTATTTTAAGACTTCTTTAACGTCGAGCGATTCGAGATATTTATAGAGAGAGTACTTATTAATATAAATTCCTTTTCGAGGAGGTACTCGATATTACTTCTCGATAATACGATAATTTACCGCTCGAAGCGAATTAAGACGATATATCGAGAGAAGAGCGTAATATTAGTCTTTCTACTACTCTACGCGCTAGACTTTAATCCGATTAAGATCGCCTTCTATAAATTAAAGAAGTAGATAAGACGTTATCGCGAGATAAGTTATAAATATATTACGAATAACTTCGCTACCTTTATATATTTAGTAATATTATAGATTTACGAGGAGACGACGATAAGAGTATATTTTAAAGTATACGACTATAAAGACTCTATTAATTAGACCTTATACTATCGTAAAGAGTAAAGATAAGTAGAAGAGTAAGTAAAAGAGTAAGTATAATAGTAAGTATACGATTAAGTATATAAAATATAACTACGTAGAGAAATCAATATTACGTAAGTCTTTTTATTACGTATCGATATTTCTCTTATAGTAATTACTATATATCTTATATATTTATAAAATTTCGACTAGTTACGACTATATTATATCTATACTTAATATCTTTTAACTATTCTAGTATTTAGTAATACTATAAATTCTTAAAATTCTTAAATTAAAATAATAATCTTAGTACTCTCTTAGCGTTTACGTAAGTATATATAAGTATACGTAATAATTATTATACTAATTAAGTAGTAACCTTTATATAAGGTAAACTTTAATCGAATCTCCGTATTACCTTAAAATTAATAAATACCTCTAAGAATATTAGCCTTACTTAGCCTTACTATAGAATTAAGTCGATAGCGAGCCTACGAAGCTCGTCGTATCTTCTCCTAGGCGAGATTATATTATAAAAAGATATATAAAGATCTTAAGATTTCTCCTAATCTTCGTAATAAAGCCGAGAGCTATATCTATACTATTCCATTAAGTATCCGTATATTCTTTAAGATCTAAAAAGCCCTAACTATTCTTCGTAATTACGCCCTTAATTTTAAGGAATCGAGGGCCGTAAATAAAGAATTAAGTAGCTAACTAATTAAAATATACCCTTATATTATTATCGTTATTATCCTCGCGCTATAGTAAGCTTAAACGCGACTCGATTAGAAGTATCGTATTACGAACCGAGACATACGACTAGGTTATGACTAGGGCGCAGTCTCCAAAAGAAAGTAGGTCTAACGAGAGGACACGTGCAAGCACTATATTAGATCACGTAACCACAAAAGTGCTCAGCCCTACTTAGTGTGCTTAGTACTAAGCACTACTAAGTACACTAAGTACTCACGACTATATATATAACTAACGAATCTATAGCTTTCCTTCGTAGTCAACTTCGTTAACGATTATACCTATACGTTTAAGTATCGATTAGTCTCGCTCAAGACACTCGACGTGCTCTCTTACTACTATACCTTAATACTTCCCCCTACTTAGGAACCCCTTGTCTCGTGACACCTCGATAGAGCGATTCATAATACTTTGACTACCCTCTAAAGGACGTATTAGCACTATAGCTAGCTCTAAGCAAACTATTCGTTCGCTATTACTAATAGGATCGATTAGATTCTCGGCCCCATAGGGATCTAGGATCTATAGGGATAACCGTAAGAAGAGTGACCTTAAAGTAGAGTACTTCTATAGGGATAGGGCCAAGCTCGATATATTCCTTATACAACTTAAAGTAGTGTTTACGCTATAGCGAGGCAAGTACAATACATATACCGATAGGGTCCTATACGCCGAACTCTACATAAAGAGCTTAGCCTTCCACTAGTTTAAACTAGTTATAGTGAATTATCTTACGACTCATTTAGACCAACAAGATAAGGAAACCAAGGCTATCTTCGGCAACTTCAATGTTTTCGAAGCCCGACTTAAATAGATCTTTAGCACACCAAGAGAGGAACAAGTAGTAGCCTAACGCATTCAATAACTCCGATAGACTAGGTCAGTAGCCTAGTACTATGCGTTGTTTTAGAGGCTTGCTGCCAAACTCGATTAGGAATCGAATACCTTCGCATTAGCCTATTACTTAGGACTAAAGGATTCGGTCAAAGACAAGATAGGGATCGAGCGACTAAACGAATATAAGAAACTAGTCGCTAGATCCATTAAGATCGACAATTAGCTTTACGAACGAGCGATGAAAAGGAAAGGGTTCCAAGGGAGGACTAGTGAGATATTCTATTAGAAAAAGAATCATTACTAATCCTATGGAGACTCGATAGACTTGAACAATATAGAATACAGCTAGTCCTCACGACTAAAAGGTAGGTTCCAACGCTAAGGTTCATTACCTAAGGAGCGAGAGAGGCGCAAGAAAGAAAACCTATACTATAGTTATAGAAAATCCGGACATAGGGCGCGAGAATACGGTACCCGCCTATAAGGACTATATATAATGGACAATATAGTCGGTATTGGAGAAACAAAGGCCGACACTCTAATAGAAGAAGAACTCGGACGTAGGGTACAAAATAATGAACGTACTTAGAAAGCTAGTAGCGCCGAGAAAGCATAGAAGGAGTTAGAAAAGACTTAGGGAGAAGGAGCGCTCTCACCACTATAAGTTAAACGTAGTGAAGAGATTACTATAGCCGTAGGGACCTATTATCTAGGAAGTTTAGATAACGAAGAAGCCGAGGAATACGAAATAATTAATAAATACGAAGTAGAATTATGGGCCTTCTATTTTGACGACCTTTACCCTATTTATCGACCCTTTAAGGAATAGTCAGGATAGTTCCCTTACGGAAAGAAAACTAAGGCAAAAACGGATAAATTTAGAGAAGCTCGACGAGAGATACTTATAGTCATGGAACGGGAAGATATTCCTTACTAGGAAAAATATAGGGTGATTATATAAGGTAACTACGTTATAGTTATCTCGATACTATACTAATCTAAAGTACCTTACGACGGGTACTATATAGAACTAGGACTAAACCTATATAGAGGGACCTATCGAAAGTTTAATCTACATAATAATCCCGAAGGAAAAGAAGAACTAGTTCCATTAATACGCTATATTGTAATGAGATACGATCAACGACGAACCTACATACACGACATAGTAGGAGAAAATCGATACGACTTCCTATTCGCCCTATTAGACGATATAGATATAGATAGCGAATATAAAGAAGCACTCTTAAATAAAACTAACCTACGAGAAGTAGGGAATGTCCTAAGACGAGGAGGGACGATAGTAGTTATATAAACTAAGTACTAAATATAAGAACTATACTAATATTAAGGTCGATACGTATAGAAGTATCTCCTCTATAACCTAGAAGGAGAACCTCAAGAAGAAGATAAGTATATTATCCTATAGAGATACTACGACTACGACGCAAGAGGCCTAGTACACTATCACTAAGTAACTAATAATCACTAGTTTATATTTCCCTTTAAGGAAGAGAATACCCTTACCCGAGAAGACCTAATCGAGGAGATAGCCGTTAGGTACCATATCCAAGAAACTAGCGACCATAGAGTAATTATTAGGACTCACTTCTAGGAAGAAGACGAATAGCAAGGAAGGACCGTTTAGAAGTTCAGCCCAAAGACTAGGATTCAACCAAAACATAAGTTAATTAGAATTCCAAAGTGCCGAAACTAACTATACGAGGACAAAGAAAACACGTATATACACTAAGTAAAAGAAGTAGGAACACACTACTTCACGACGGCGGATACTTTCTCTAGCGATAACGAAGAATCCGAAACTATCCCACAAGAAACCGGAACTCCAAGAGTGTTGGGAGACGAAATTCTAGAAAGGCAACTAGAAGACCCTAAGAAGGAGAGGCCGGGAGGAATTCCTAGTTAAACCTTATGTATAATGGAATCTCGAGAATCAAAACGTAAAACGGATAGAAGGTCCGTATCGGAACATAGATATCCGAATTAGGGAGATCAATTACTCAATAAGGAAAAAG